CGCCACCGTCGTGAATCAAGTTCGGTACCAAGACGGAAAATTTATCTGCTTATGCACCATAGCACCCGATGGCACTGTTGTATCCACCCAGATGATGTAGCCTGGTCCTTGGCCTGTTCGCGCAGGGTCCAGATCTATTTCCTGCGTTTTCTTGCGTATAACGCCAACCTGATAAGATATTCGGGGGAGGGGGAGGGGGTTTGGAATTGCGCTAGCTGGCGACCGACCGTTGTTAAACAGTGCAGTAGTGTACTAGCAACGTCATAAGGTGAATGTAGACTCCAATTGTGGACGCCAAGCTGCAAGTTTCGAGCCTCAAGTGATTGATTCTAAGTGGTTGAAGAAATGCAAATGACGATCTGGCAGGTGTTATACCCTTCTCTTTCGTGCCGCTGCTAGTTGAGCTGCAGAGATCAACATTTTTTTTCTTTCTTCTATTCTTAGCAAGGTCGAGCGAAGACTGGGCAACTTAGTGCCTTGCGTTGATCGGCGCGCAGTGGGATATGCGGCTGTTAGTAGGAGTTGCTTGATGAGTGACAGAATAGATAGCCACCTAGCCTTTCTCCCAGCCTTTCCGATATCCGCGAGGGCCATCCTAAATCTTATCGATGGCTTGTCAACGCACCCACAGTACTTAGTTTAAGTATAGTCAGCTAGTTGACCCTTCAAGTCCGATTAGATAATTGGCCAGGGAAAATATATTGGTGTAGTGCAATAGCTAGTATCATCTGCTCGTTGTATCCCAATGCCTGCGTCGACCAGAATTGCTATTTCGGTTCTTAAAAGACCGTGCCTTGAGTCCCGGTACCCACTACGCGTGACCGATCATCTATTAAATATCGTGCTTGACGGTAGGAGAGGAATGACTCCACTCGATAACAGGTGATGAGGCGTATCACTCTGTGTTGTTTAACATGTTATTATCCAATTGCCTGGACGGGAGTGAGCCTTGAGTCCAGAACAAAGTATCAAAGGACTGAGGACAGGGGTGGACATGTGGTACAAACGTAACGTCAGGTTGGGGCTAAACCTTGCACCCTGACACCAGATCTTACGGCATTGCACACCTTGCTTTGCCTCCTTGTTGTACTGCAACGTCAATATCGTAGCAAGTCGTGTCGGTATATACCCTGGCAACGAAGAGTGATGACTATTTGCTTATAGATACGAAATCAGATATGGGTATTCAAGAAATAAGATATTTGAGGTAAGTGTCTACTCAGCTGGCACGGTAAGTTAGTTGGTAGGTAATCACCAGCATGTATAAGCATGATCTCGAAATGACTACCCGCCTGGGCTGGGTAGCTGGTAGAGGAAAGCAACATATTAAGGTGACGAGTTGGGAAAACATCCATGTAATGGATGACTTATTGCGGAAGTAAGGGACCTTGGTGTAGATAGGTAGGTACCTGCCACACCTCTAGACCCGAATTAGCGAGAAAGGCGGCCTACCTAACTGGGTCCCTAGTTCTTGGTCCCTGTCTAAAAGCTTGTCTAGCACTTTCCTCCCGTGGATTGAATCCAACAACCATCAAGAAGAGAAGGGACCTTCGATAGTTAAAAAAAGAACACCCTTCTTTTGTCATTGAGACAATGACAGTTGGGCAGATTCTATTCTTACTATCAACAGCCAGGTGGATTCTCCTTTCTCCTTGCTCATGTTATCTCGTCCCTTGTTGTTCGCGTCGATGTTTTCGGTTGGTGTTTGGTTTTAGATCCGCAATACCACAGCTGGCGCGAGATTCAGAAACCCAGGATCTGTTATCCTAGGCCGCTGGGGGTCGGTACGAGGGCTGATAATTAGACGTTGAACTTTGCCGGCCGGAACCTTAAAGCTAACTGGTCTAAGGCAAATATCGCTTGGGATCGCCATCACCCAAACCCCAACTGTCTTCGAGCTCCCCGATCGTGGTGCTACCATACTCCGTATCTATTGGACTATTAAAGGGGACTGCTATGAGCAAACGCTCACAGCAACCATGACGAAATGCCAATACGAAACGGTATCGAAGGAAAAATTTCCGACCTCGAGTTTCCGATGACATCTCATCTCGCCCTAGGAATGTCTCACAGCACCATCCCATCTACTTGACCCCAGTTGCCCTGACCCCTGACTTTCGTCCGTACCCCCAATATCTGGACTGCGTACGGAGTATCATCCCGGCCTTTTTCTGCACCAGAGTGTCGAGCTGCGCAGACGCTAGCAACATGAATGACTTCGTTGATCCGGAGCAGCGGTCGAACAAATAATACCGACGCCAAACCCTTGTCTCTGTCTTCCCCCATACGCAGTATTAGGGGTTCCAATTCCAAGTTCAGCCAGAAACAACAGCATGAGCGTCCAGCATTAAGGTAGTTGGTTGACCTAACGTCAATGTCAATTTCAACGCCACGCCCACACTTGCGCCCGCTGCCACGCCCCTGAGGAATGTAACTCGCACCCCGTTTAAAGTCAACCCGTCAAGCTTGCGACTGTAAGACCTCTCGGTACTCCGTACCTGGATTTGCATCTATCAACCAAGCCCACACATTGAGGAGAAGAACAAACCCGCTGGCGAACTGGCCGTATACAAGTGCCTCGACTACCCTGTGCGCAATCGTGTACGGTTGTCCCTACATTGTCTTCCACCTATGGTCCCAGATGATACTGTACTGCATCTGCACAACTGATACACGATGTACGGCATCGATGTTGAGTCGTTGGTATCGGTATTCAACAGCAGACAGGACTAGATCCAAGGAAGCAAGTAGCGAAAGCACTAAGTTGCGGCTGATGCCCTGATCCTCTTTGGGTCTAAAGCTCCTTGCCATGCACGCGGCGCTTGTATGTTCAATTGACTAGGTACGGAGTAACTCAGCCCACTTTCTTAACCTCTTGGTTCACCGGCTGGCCAGTGCATTGCTTCCCTTCTCAACTTCGTCTGGAAATTCGTCTTGATTGAATAATTGCCGTGTTCTGATACTTTCCAGGTGGCTTCACGACCTGTGTTGGTCGGTGCTCAACGTTTTTTGCTTTGGTGATGCTCTGATGGGTCATGCTTCCAACTCGTCAGGGCGTATTCTGAAGTCCCATGAACTTTGCCTCTTCTTTCCCAAGCTGCTCAATGACCAACAGCGATTCATCAACTCTTGGTGTTGCTTTTCACCCTCATTCACTGTCATGAACCCTGGCCAAGAACGTGCCTGTGTGCATCATGTGCCCTTCTTCATCTCTGCTTCCCTTCTGACACAGTTCCGCTGCGTTACCGAGTAATTTGGCACTAAACAGCTGCAGTTGCTTGGGTTAGGTTTGCCGGGTAATGGATGTATGCAAGGATTTCCTGGCCGCACCCCCCCTCCTCGGCTGGGCGTTGAGCAGCACCACGACAACCTCCACAACGGGCATCCACCAAGACTATCTCCACAAGCACTGAAGTCTCAGGGCCCTAGCTTAGCTTGCCTGGACTGGACTGGACTTGACTGCTGTATCGCGCGAGCCTTTATTCACGACAAGACAAGACAGGACAGGACTCCGGTATGATGCCAGCCAGATTTAGTTCAAAGACACTTGCATTTACGTCTTGTCTTCTGTCTCAGTCTCAGTCCTGGTCTCAGTCCTGATCTCCATCTTAGGCATGGCCTCTGTTTTGGGCTTACATTCTCATCTTCTTCCTTAACCTTGCTAAGTAGCAACAGCACTCGTTAGCTATTTCTGAACGTTAGCTGTTGGCTTGGCTTTCTTTGCTGCCCTTTTCTGTTTATACCATACTTTCGGGACAGCCGACCCCCAGCCCAGCCAGTCGGCGCTGCCCCGACTTTGACTACGGCGTCTCTCACACTCCATTCAGTGTTTTCCTCGACCGCCCTTGTTCGTCTTTGATCTTGCCTTACACCCCCACTATCATAATTCAAACTACACCCTCGGCCGATTAACCAGGTCCATTCTCTCGGTGCACATCGAGGGGGGCGACGTCTTCGCTTCTCCTTTCTTATTCTACTACATGGACTATACCTATACTCTCGCTCGCAGCCCTAATCACGATGACAAACTATGTCTAATTGCTTGAGCGCTGAAATTCTCACTCTGGTCGGCCTGTAGTGTATCTTGCAGGACCAAGGCAGCGGAGAAGTCTTATTATGGAAATCTACCGCAATCCTTGATTGACTTAGCAGCCACTCTAAAATCCTAGCCAGGGTCCTCCATTGCCCTGTCACCAACCCTGATCCATCCCAGCTGCATCTTAGTTGCGCTTCCCACCCAGAGGGAAGCTTTTAGTGCATACATAGTCACACGAAAGCCCAGCGTAGGCCAGCATACAGACTCTGTCCGCAGTCCGATTACTTGTGTTCACGGCCTACCGGCCAGCAAGGGGTCCGAAGACACTTACTTACCCGCCCTGCCTTGCCCGGTTCCGCCTCTCAGGTTCCGGCCCTGAATATCTGCGGTTGGCCGCCTCCGTCTCGACCTCCCAACTGCACGGCTTCATGCTGTAACACCAAGACTTCTCCAAGATCCCATCTTGTAGTATCACGGCGCAGCAGCTCGTCTCACGACTCCGTGTCCTGGCTTGACACTCGCTTGTCGTCTCTTGTAGTCTTCAGTCACTGCAACGACATTCCACCACTGCTACCACCACCAGATTATTATTCCGAATATCCTGGGCTTCTCCTACTTCTCTGCCACCTCAGCTCCGCAGATCTTTGAAGCGGGGCAGCCTTCTCTTCCTGATCAACTTAACACCCTTGCAGCTTTGAACTTGATACGTCTTTCCGACTGACAGGAAATTGCCAGGTAAACAACTGGAACCGTATCGAGGGGATCTTCTGGTCTACGCTCGTTGTTAGTACCCGACGAGGTGGTCGTTAGCAACCACAAGGCGCCAATTCCAACCATCATCTTAAGCTTGCAAGAGAAAGACAAACCCAATCTTTAACCAAACAAAACACTTCTTCGTTGTGGCCAGTTCAAGACCGTAGGGTCTTTTTATCCAGCCGCCTCATCTTGTTACAATTTTGCCCTCATGGTCACCAAGGGACCCTTCTCAAACACAGCTCCCATTCTGCTCGGCCAACGCCGCGGCATCTCAGACCTGGCACGAACTACCTTAGACCTGGCCTGGGTATCCGAGAGTGCAGAGCACAACAACTTTGCTCGTTATCGGGCATATCCCTCTCCGCCCATGTCAGGATCTCCGCCACTCCCCCCAAAACCACCCCAGGACGCTGGTGATCGTGGGCAAGTATCAGCGGGATACTCAGCCCCTAGCCAGCCTGACGCCTATTGGAGTAATCTGAACCAACAGCCACCAGTTGACCACCGAGGACCTCCCAATATGCAACCAACGCTTCCTAGGTTGTTTCAACAAGGACCTCCAGACACATCTCCATATTCATATCGAAGGGCAGACGATCCCGTATCTCGACCAGTTTCGTACATCCAGTCAGGGCCACCTCCCATGTCCCAACAACCGAGTTATATACCCCCCGGGGCCTCAGGGGCCCTCTCGCCATATACATCATCTGCTCGTCCTTCGACTGAGAATCAATCAATGACTTCGCCAAAATCGCAAAGGAAAACCAAAGGGCACGTTGCATCTGCATGCGTCCCTTGTAAACGAGCACATCTTCGGTAAGAAATCCTCTATACCTACCTATAATCCGGGTGTACTGACGTGGTGTTAGTTGTGATGGTATGTTTTTAATCCTTGTCTTCTTTCTTCTCCTGTTGTGTTGTTCCTTTCGGCAAGCAGCAGCGTCTCCGAGGATGGGAGGTAGTTGTGTTGCTATTACGATGCTCCGTATGGGCAGTATTGAGTAATGGTTGAAACATCATGGGTGGCCAGCCCATGGTCGCGTTCAATCACGGTGTACTCGGGTCCAAGGGAAGGCAATGTTGTTGTGATGTATTCGAATTTGCTCTTCGCTGCTGATGAGAAGATCCGGAATCAGTCCAAGTGGAATGCTTCTTTCACATCAGTCTCGATAAAGGAATGACGCCGCAGCTAACATTGGGTAATAGCACAACGCCCATGTTCAAGATGTATTACAAATGGAAAGGAAGAGTTATGTGTTGATGTTCAACATAAAAAAAGGGGCCGGCCACGGCTGAGAGACGATCGCGAAGCTCGCTACGATCCATCGAGGTTCCCTCATCCACAAGATGCCACGGCAAGAAGGCCACTGAGTATATATCCTTCTGGTGTCCCGATAGGACCAGGGTAAGGCGGACCACATGCCATGCTACATCCCTTTTCAGTGCGCTAACCACTCAATATCAGAGAGCACATGAATACACGATATCCCGAGCGAGCTCCGAACATGGACCCTTCAACTTACCCACCCGCGTTATCGACCGGATCTCGAGGCCCAGATGCCGTTGCATTCTTGAATATGAAGATGGATTTTGCGAAGGCATCGCCGGCTTTCATGGAGGCCGTGGGCCAAGCAGATCTCCAAGGACAGAATTTGAGCGAGGCTGTCGTGTTGGCAGAAAGAGAAAAGGTTGTGTCGATCCGAAGCCAGTTGATCGAGGAACAAACGCGGAAGGAGCCGAATTATTTACCCCCGATCATCTCGAGGCTCGACCATATCATTCAAGGCCTGGGCTTCGGCGCGGAAGAAGTTGGGAGATTCCAGCTTGATCGACACGAGTACCTAACATTCAGAGCTGCCGACGGACAACCCAGACAATACCCCATTCGACTCGGACTTGCGAAGGAGGGTACGATCTATTTCGTAGTCATGGTGCTCAGCTTACCACTGCGGCACGCGTACCCTTTGCCTTCCTCTCCTGCTGCAAGAGAAGCCGCGCATTCGTACGGTCAGCCACCGACACCGCAGTCTGTATATAGAACGCCGATACACCCTGCTTCCCATTTTGATATTACGAGGAACCGTTTCAACGAGGCGCCGTTGGTATCCCGACCGGCCACGGGCCCATCAACACAGTTACCTGTTAACCCGAATCTTGGGATTGCGACTGGGGCGGGTGCAACATCGTATGCTGCATCGACGAGCCAGACAGAATATGGAGGTCCCCCACCGTATAATGTGCCGCGAAGTGAGCTGCCTCCCTCAACCGCATTTCGACCTCAGGCAGCTTTTCAACTTCCGCCAATCCGGGCTCATCCTGAGCGACCTGCATCGCGACCTCCCACGGAGCAGAAATGGGCGCGCGAGGAGAGACCAAACCGAGTTGATATTGGCGGTCTGATCGATAGACCAGAGAACGCAGAGCGGCCACGATAGTATATCGGATTGCCCTCTCAGTTCTAAGGTGACTGGTGGATATCAGTCGCTGATGGCTATCCTTGAGAGACCCGTGAAGCACTCAACATGGCCTTTTGTTTGATTTTAGTTGTTTTGATTTTTGATGCGGCGGGATTTCGTGTCTATAAGGACACTGATTTTATTATAGTCCTGTTGTTATGGCTATGTCTTGCGTATTGTTGCATTTATGAAAGCGAGAAAGATCGGTGGAGATGGTCTGGTAGCATTGTTGGAAGCATAGTACTGTGTTTGCGGTCAATGGCGTAGGGCTGATGGAGGATGAGAGCGACTACAGCTTTGCAATGCCAGATTTATCAGGCTATTGGAACTGTTTTTAAACGAACCTTCTCTGGATAATTTTGTATAGTTCTGGATTTTGTGTTGGGTTAGGGATACCAGCTGCTTTGTTGATGCATAGGGGGATGAGGTCAGCCGAACGTCGTGATGGAAAGGGATATATAACGAAGCTGGTACGTATGTCTAGTCAGCCTTCAAGGAACAGGACTAGCAAGGTAGAGAAGAATTACAAGTCAAACCATGGCAGAAATGATGGATGGAAGCATTAGATGCGATACGACGCGTGATCCAACATGTTGGTGACACAGAGGCGCAAGCATCATGAAAAGTCAGGTATGACAGTGCGACACAGAGAGGGCACAAGAAGCAAGGAACAGGGCAATAAAAGCCAATGGGATCTGATAAGATGGGCATCGTACAATATCAAACCAATATTCATCCAATAGAAAGGATGCACAATGTCCAGATCTGGTCTGTATATGTACAGTTCGCAGGGGGTTCCTTGGAGGCGTGTGGGTTAAAGCAACGTCGGCTAAAAGGTCGGAGGGAGGGTTCCTGGGTTTAAACGTCAAGCACTAAAGTTACATTAAATCGCTGCTTAATTATATCTCCGAACCGTTGATTTAGTAATTAACATGCCTGCATGCCTGCCGCATCGTCCACCCGCCCCTCCATCACTCGTCCCAAACCACGTTGCGGCAGTCAAGATCGGCAGAAAGGATTGGGCTGCCGCTTACGGATAGACGACGGAGGAAAGTCCGGCGCCCCGAGACTTGAGGACCGAGGCCCGATCCGGTGCCGTTTGTGGCGGTGCGCTTCTACAGTACAGCTTTTGTTTATGTGAGGGTGATGTCACAGATCATCGTGCAAGGACAGGCATACAACGGGAGATCTGCTGCGTAGGTAGTAATAATAGACGTTGTATGATTCATAATTGAAACGGTTATTATCTGTGTCAGAAATTTGTGATTGTGTCTATATCTTTTACAATTTATCTAGCTTCGCGAAAGCGACATGAAACCCACGATGCAATAAGGATAAACGTAGTCCAAAAGAGAACGGCAATAGAAATTCAAACGCAACAGATAAATCAAATGAAATACCCATACTGATACACCCTTGTCTCGCGACATTTTGGTCTTGACCTTGTTTATGATGTCCCCAGACCCGGTCTGTTTGATGTAAATAGCCTTGATGCAGGCTCCGAATCTGTCTCCTGGGGTATTTCCTAGTTCGTCTTGGGGACGTTGTGCTCCAAGCGATGCGATAGTTGCGCACCCTTTTCCCATTCAGCCCCAAGTTCCTTGGCGAGGGGGTCTTCTTTGGAGGTAGGAGGAATTGGGGCCTTGGAGTAGTGAAAGTGCGAGAAGGCTCCTTTGTCGCCGTCTCTGGCACTGGCGGGGCGCTCCGGATGTGGAGACAAGGGCCGGGACTCGGAGCTTTGTGATGTGGAGGCGGAGTAGACGCATCTGAGACGAAGATGTTAATATCGACATAACAGGAGCAAATTAATCAATTATTCAAGTCACATACCTGGTTGAGTATGCTTCTGAGGAGGTTGTCATTTTGAGATTGGGTAGATGGGTAGACGTTGGATGGGTAGACGGTAAATGTGTTGGTAGATGAGATCTGAGGTTGGTGATGTGCAGGGGTTTGGCTCCAACGTCGATAACCGAACAGGCTAATAGTAGATGAAGATTGCAGAGTGGAAGGCTTCGATACGGATCTTTGTGATGATACTGTTGGCTTTTAAGGTAATAGAGTTGGCGAAAAAGAGTTCTGGTGACAACGGACAAAGGAAAAATGGCAAGTAGTCCATTGATGGATGGTCTTCTTATAGTCTAGCAGATCTACGTAGGCAAACCATTGCGAACCATGGTTTGCTGCCTTTTTCTCTCTCTACGTAAACTGGAATAATGTAATGAATGACTATTCCAGTTTTCAACCTGTTTGCCCCGACTAGTCTCGCCAGGAAAGAAGACGAAGAATAAAATGGAAAAACGTGAGCCTGACAGTTTGAGTTACGTGCGTGTGTACCTTGCATGGTGCAGCCATAGAAAATGTACAATTGACTGGCACTCTACAGTGGCTGTGTGTCTCAACGCAGCCTTCTTTTCATCTGGGATCCCACTCTAGGCCACAAGGCTTATAGAGAGGCATTGTTTGGGCGCAGGGTGCCACGGGAAGGGCCTTGTTTGGTCGCTGATGACTTAGATGAGCATCCACTGTCTTGGAGATGCTGAATCTAAAACACAAAAATCTTTTGATCGTTGGATTTGCATCAATTACAATGGCGGGCGGGCATGGACTTTGACATCACGAAGGCATTCAGGGTGGCGAATGCTCAACGTTTGGAGAAAGATGGCATACAAACTACCAACAAAATACAATTGCGGGCGTGGAGGTACCCGTCATCTTGTCTCTTTTCTCATTGCGTGGGCGTTGGCTTGCGTTATGCCCACAAGTTGTAGGTATTGGCTGGGGCAGGTCATTGGAGGTTGAAAGCCTGGTGTAAGAACAACCCATGAAATGGATGCCAAAAACCCTCCCATACTCGGATGAGGCATGTGTGAAAAAGAATTCAGGCAACAATGGATTTTTCAGCGAATACGTCCATGTCAAATATGACTGAACAACCGAGATTCGGCATCCATTTGAGAGGGGCGCCTGGCTCATCAGTATCAGCCTCCGCCCTGGGCTGTGCTACAGAGAGCGTGGACGCCAAGCAGAGCGCCTTGTAAGGAGAATTACCTACCTCTGGTGAATCACGAGTTCACCTTGCTCGCTGCGTAGTCTGTAGTAGGTATGCACATGAAAAATGCAAACAAGAGATGACAGGGGAATCTAGGGACAGTGCAACCATCACAGTCAATTCAGTTCTTACCGTGAATCAGCCCTGTTTAAGCCTAACCGTGAAATGTAATAAGGGCTGACTGCACTGCACTGCTTGAGTTGACGCCTTACGCGTGGCGAAGCTGACCTGAGATGCGACAAAGAGAGAGATTCGTATTCTCTCGTCACTTGTCATGTTTCCCTCCATAACGAGAATTCATAGTGCCTGGGCGTGGACATGAGTCATAATTCGAGGCGGCCCCCAATATCATAACTCTCATCTGCTCTGTGAAGCTCTCGTCTACTACGTACCACCTACCAGATGCAGCTGTCCACTGGTGGTAGTGAATCCTTTCCCCACACATATTGTCATTTGACGTCGGATAAATCTGGCTTTGGATTAATTGGAAGTTACAAGCGCGAATGGCAGGAAGAACGGGTTAAGGCGCCTGCCAAAACCTGAGTAGTACGTAAAATGGCAATGACATTGACATCGAGAAGGTGCGACTTTGACGTAGTACTTGTTGGTCACGTGTCCGCAGCTGGCAGCGCAACGGCTCGTTCATGCTTGTTTATCACTTGAGGCCTTCCAATGAGCAACCCCTTCGTTCGTTACCTTGTCCTTCCCTGTCCTGCATGAACCACCCCTTTTCTCCTCTCCAGCGTATCAAATTCAAAGGATACAACTGAGGTCCAATCGCTCTTAACCACGGTCAATTCCTAACACCACAAGCAGGGCAGACATGGGACAAAACACCTGAGAAATCTGAAATGAGAGAAGAGGAATTAAGCAGCGTGCACATCCTCGTACATCATTCGTCCTGTGCTTTATTTTCGCCTGATTTTATACTCCAGCATCTTGGTAGCCGCGTCATTGGCTTATTCATGCGCTAAGAGACAATAATTCGATTGCTGTAGCGAGAAATGGCAACAGACGCGGATGTTGATATGGGGGGTGTCTCGGACTCCGATGACATTCGAAATATCGCCCCAAGCGGTACGAAAAGAAGAGCCGATGGCCAGCCCAAAGAAAGCACTGCGCCTATAGCCCCTCCAAGAATCAAGGTAGGCAAACTCCAGGCCGTTCTTCTCAACGCCTGACGCATAGTCTAAGGCCCTCTACTAACACTGACCTGCAGGCGCTCGACCCAAACGTAGTAAATAAAATTGCGGCGGGTGAGATAATTGTGGCTCCTGTTCACGCTCTCAAGGAGCTCATCGAAAATGCCGTCGATGCCGGGGCTACATCGCTGGATGTTCTCGCCAAGGAAGGCGGGCTCAAGCTACTTCAGATAACAGACAATGGCTGCGGTATTCAGGTATGTTTTGTTCGCCTCTTCACATGTCCCAAGACTAACTTTGACAATAGAAAGATGATTTGGCTATTCTCTGCGAGCGCCATACCACATCGAAGATCACCACTTTTGAGGATTTGGCTGCTATCGCGACGTATGGCTTCAGGGGTGAAGCTCTCGCCAGTATCAGTCACATTGCGCACCTGTCCGTTACCACCAAAACCAAAGAGTCGGATCTAGCATGGAGGGCCCATTACCTTGACGGGAAACTCGCTCCAGCAAAACCGGGCCAGTCAGCAGAGCCCAAAGGTGTTGCAGGCCGCCAGGGGACGCAAATAACAGTGGAAGACCTTTTCTACAATATACAAACTCGGAGAAGGGCATTTCGTTCGCCGGCTGAAGAATTCAACAAGATTATAGATATGGTTAGCCGGTACGCTGTCCATTGCAAAGGCGTCGGGTTCACTTGCAAGAAGGCAGGCGAAGCGTCAGCGAATCTGTCAATACAGGCCCATGCTACTGTCATTGATCGTATTCGTCAAATTCACGGTAGTTCCGTGGCGAACGAACTCTTTGAATTTTCTGTTGCCGATCCTCGCTGGGGTTTTAAGGCTGAAGGCTTCACGACAAATGCAAACTACTCAGTCAAAAAGACGTCAATCCTGCTCTTCATCAACCATCGTTGCGTGGAATCGACTCACATCAAGAAAGCGGTAGAGCAAACCTACGCCAATTTCTTGCCTAAAAGCGGCCACCCATTCATCTACATGAGTCTTGAGATCGAACCGGCTCGGGTGGATGTCAATGTTCACCCGACGAAAAGAGAGGTGCACTTTCTTTGCGAGGATGAGATTATTCAATCAATTTGCGAACATATAGAGTCAAAGCTTGCTGCAATCGACACAAGCCGGACATTTATGACACAGACACTGCTTCCTGGTGCAAAGGTGGCCGAGCCCATAACGCAAGCAGAGATCGACGGTACTCCAAATCGACGAACCCCAGCGTCAAAGAAACGAAGATATTCTAATGATCTGGTGAGAACGGATACAGCTGAAAGAAAAATCACATCTATGTTTGCCCGGGCCGGTCCAAGCGAATCAGCTGGTTCAATAGAACACCCAGCAGATGCGACTGCTGTCCCTGAAGTCCTCGAGTATGAGACAGTGGATCGCGAACTCGTCCAGTGTCGACTGAACAGTGTGAAACAGCTGAGAGAAGAGGTCAGAGAAGACATACACCACGATTTGACAGAAATATTCGCCAACCACACTTTTGTCGGCGTGGTGGACGAGCAGCGCCGACTAGCTGCAATTCAGGGCGACGTCAAGCTGTACTTGATCGATTATGGTAAAACTTGCTACGAGTACTTCTACCAATTGGGACTTACAGACTTTGGTAATTTTGGCACAATCAAATTCAGTCCTTCATTGGACCTTCGTGAACTCCTCCGAATGGCAGCTGAAATGGAGAGGAACGCTATTACCTCGCCTGATGAAGAGTTTGATGTCGAAACTCTGGTGGATCGTGTGGCAGACCAGATTATTGAGCGCCGAGAGATGCTTCTTGAGTATTTCTCTCTTGAGATATCACCTGCTGGCGAACTCATTTCGTTGCCGCTGCTTATCAAGGGATATTCACCACCTCTTGTCAAGCTTCCTCGCTTCCTCCTTCGTCTCGGACCTGGCGTCGACTGGACTGAAGAGAAAGCTTGTTTTGACTCATTTATACGTGAATTGGCTACATTTTACGTTCCAGAGCAACTGCCAACCTTGCCCGGCGATGCAGAAAGTCTTCGTGAAGAGAAGATCTCTGACGAAATGCGCGCGCGCCGTCAGCATGTTAGGCATGCCGTCGAGCATGTATTCTTTCCCGCGTTCAAAGCGAGATTAGTAGCGACTAAATCGTTAATGGAGGATGGAGTGCTCGAGGTTGCAAACTTGAAAGGTCTTTACCGGGTTTTTGAACGGTGTTAAAAAGGAGTGGGATTACTCTAGACACGGTACCTCATGGCTGTTTTCTCGGGACAATTCTGGACTCTACTGTTCTATGGGAGTGGTGTTAGATGCTGGGTCTAATATAAACACATCGAAGCAATTTCAGCACAATAGTCTGAAATGTCCACTTCGGTCGATCACCTTATAAGCCAAGTTATGGACGAAATAAATATTCAATTTTTATAAAATCTTAAAAATTCAAAATGCTTTTATTTGACCCTTACGCCTCTGGCTTGTTCTTTTGTTTGTATGCCACAAAACGATTCAAGTTCAATACGGCTTCCTCTGCGCGCTGGCGCAGCTCGGTGCTGGCACGCCTGTCGATAGCCTTGATCATAGCGCGCGTCTTGGGAATTGTCTCCTCCAGGTGCTTCAAGAAGTTGTTCTTCCAGAAAACATCCTTCTCGTAGGATGAGTTCTCATCGGCATAAATGTCGAAGAGCTGGTTGAGAGCCTCAACTGCATCGGCAGTTGGCGTGTCGGGCAGACCCGCAAGGATAGTGATTAGGAAAGTACCGATGTCGCGGTTTCGAGCAACGGGTGCGGGCTCAAGAGCCAGCTGGCCAAGGACACCGATGCACTTGACGCTGAGGGACTGAAAGGGGTCTTCTGAGTCCTGGGCGACAGGGGAGCCCTTTGTGGCCTGGTAGAGAGCGATGAAGCGGCGGTGCTCATCGGCAAAAGGCATGTTTGGTCGGTCTCGGAGAGAACGAGCGACACCCCAGGCTAGGCTGGTGATCTGAGTTGCAAGGTCGATGTCGGCGGTGTCGGTGGCGAGAATGGGGGCGATAACCTCGGTCCAGAGGGCACGGCCGACAGGGTCCCAGGCGTTTTGGATAGGGAGGTTGTCAGAATCGGCAAAGTCGATGACGGAGACAGACCAGGCAATGTTGTTGAGGGCGGAGAGGGCGAGGCCTTGTAGGCGGAGGGAGTTGTCGTCAACGGGTGAGAGGGAGGCGATGCGGATGAGTTGAGGGAGGGCGTTGTCGATGAGAGTTTTGAGGATGGGAAGGTCGTCAATGTTGCTGTCCTCCTCATTTCTGTCGGCACCGGTAACCATCTCCATATCAGCTTCCAGCTCATCGTCGTCCATCTCCTCCTCGCCATCTTCACCACCCTCTTCCTCGCCGTCGGACATTTCCTCGTCTGCATCACCCATCTCCTCATCCTCATTGTCGTCGGGCTTCTCCTCCTTTTGAGGCTCAGCTTCAACTGATGTGTTGAGAGTTGTTCCGATGGAAGCTAGGATCTCCAGAGCAAGCTGCTGATACTCGACAGGGTTTGCCCAGCCCGAAGCATCGGACGTTTGGCCTGGTTCAAACGCTTTGAGAACCTGAGAGAGAGTGGGGATGAGAAGTGACTTGTCGGCTCCAAGAGCGATGTCCTGTTCCTCGAGAGAGGCAAAGATGTTGTAAAGGACACCACAAGTGAGAACACCATCGCTGTTGGCCGTCTTGCGCAGGGACAGCAGAGTACCATATGTGCGGTGCTCCTTGGTGTTGATAACCTTCTCAGAAAGCTCCTCATTGTCCTCGCATAGAATCATGAGACAGGCGAGAGCATCGCTTCTTAGTGAGACGATCTCGGGGTTGCTGGCGAGCTCGTCTGAAGTAAGGAGGAAGAGGAAACGGGTGATGGTGGCGTTGCGGGAGATGGCTTCAAGGATCTCATCCTGAGCTTCGGCAAGAGCAGTGAGAAGTGAGACAAGCGATGAGACAATGCTGAGGATTGTGGTTTGCTCAGGCTTTGAGCGTTTTTGGAATTCTAGGTCTTTAGACAGCAGAATCTCAGTGACCTGTTGGGTGTCAGTGTATGAACTGTATGCCATAGTAGTGATAGTAATAGTAGTACATACCGACTTGGCGGCAAATTCAATCGCAGTAAGAATATCAACACGGTAAAGATGAACACAGAAATCAGGCTCCTCCTCCTGCGCAAGAACCCTCAAGATGCCCCAACCAGCAGCTCGGCTCTCGAGAGCAGCATCAGTGAGAGTCTGTGTAGTGAGGGTATGAACAATCTGCTCACGCAGCAGCAGCTTGCGGCACTTCTCGTCCTGGATGATGTTGGATATGGCAGAGGCAGCAGCGGAGCGAGCCTTTGGGTCAGCGCTCTTGAGCTCGCCGATGACGGGGAGAATCTTGGACTCTCTTAGGGCAGCGAGTTCAGGGTCTGAGGGAGGTTTGATGGTCTTTGAGATGGGGTCTTTGCGGGCAGCTTGGCCACGACTTCTGCGAGATTTGCCCATGTTTTCTGATCAAACTTGTTTTTACCAATGTATATAAACAAGAAACGTGTTTATGTGTAGGGTGGTTCAAGATATAGAGGTAAAAAATGTACCCGAACCTTTTTTCAAAAATTTACATGAATATTTTGCGAAAGGCGGCTTGCCCCACCATGAAAATATATCCCCGAGTTAGGCCTGACAAGGATTATTTAAGCTCAGCGGGTGCGTGTAAATACTTTATGAAGCGGTCATTTCTACAACTACAACTAATATGGTTGTATCAGAATATTATTTCAATAATGCTGTATACCTGAGCGTATAGGCTTACTTACTAGCTCACCCCCTCTGCTCACTGCCAAAGTTTCAGATTGGACCCTTGATTTCCTTGTGTTGCTTGGCATTGACGTTATCTCGGGGCAGGCATTCCTTCGAATCTAGTAGTTTTGTAGACGGACTCTACAGCTCACATTGCTATTTGTTCTTTACGAGTAGAGGTATAATAACAGTACCTAAGTACTAAGTAATGCTACGGTATACTACTTTGAACTTAGGCAAAGTTAGGCAGGTGCATGTATATACTCAGCCTGTATACACAAATCGATTGAACTGGGTCACTGCAGAATATTATACCATGATAGAATAATTATTCACCATACTCATTCAGGCCAGTATAGAATACAGAATGTTCTATTGGCCTGGAATAATGCTATTTGATGTTGTTGGCACTATACATCAAACCTACTAAGCTAGGAAGCTGCAACAGTGACTATGGAGCACGAGCCACGCTGTTCTACCGGGGTCAGTCAGCGCTAGGTACTTCCGTCATCCTGCACCTACAACTCCAACTGCAACCTCAACTCTCATCCTTTAATACCCAACATTTATAGCGACTTCTAGCACTTCTGTCCTTACTCCCTATTGATCATCTACTGCGATTGACCTCTTTTGCATGTTTACATCCCTCGTATACCTGTCCCTCGCCAAGTAAGGACCTACACAACAGTCCGCGCCGATAAGCAAGCTATAGCTCCCCATGAGCTCTACCTATCCATATCCACCCTCTATCGACACTCGAGCTTCTATCTCCACGACCGATCACGACGATACAACATGACGCCTGCGCGCGGCAGACCAGCGGCGCGCTTCTGGGCAGGCGATGAGGAAATGGCCAATAAGAAAGACGACGACCTTCATGTTCCCGGTCATCGCTATTCAAGATCTGGTCCTCAATGGCAAGCTACGCCCCGCGCCCCGCGTCGCAGCGCCATCGGTCGCCTTATTGCCTACCTAGTCTTCGTGTCAGCCCTATTCTTCGTCGCATACAATCTATTGTCATCCTCCAACAGTTCGAGCGGTACCGAGTCAAAGCGATCTGCGCAGTCGGGACGCAAGCAGGGACAAGATAAGCACGATTACAGAGGACCTCTCAAATTCCCCGAGCTCGCCGACACCCTACGTAATATCCAGGGAACTGGTGGCAGCTATGAAAGGAACAAGAACGTCCTATTTGCGGCCTCTAGCATTAACAGCGCCTCTGCGCTTCTCCCAATGGCTTGCCAGATGTCGGCGCAAGACAAGAACCATGTTCATTTTGCACTCATGAGTAGGAATGAGATTCCTGTCAAGGAGCTCCTCGAGATAAATGGGATTGATGAGAGCTGCAAACTATTCTTCCATGGTAAGAGTAGTTGTACAAGATCTACCAACTTCTTGACTAAATGTTCCTATAGATGCCCGCACCGACTATGCTTCCACGTCTTCTGAGTTAAGACTGAAACTCGCTGCTATCCGTGCATTTTGTGAGTCTCAATCTTTTGCCCTCCTGGGTCGCGCATTTGTCTAACCACAGAACATGTAGACTATATCGACACCTTCATGCATCCTCAAGCGATCATTGTCGACTCTACACATGCTGAAGAGACTTACTTTCTCCAAGCTGCACGGGATCAGATCCCTAGCACCAAGTCCGCACTCATAGAGTTGCCGGATAAACCTGAAACTCGTCTTGCATGGATCTCCAAGCTTGACTCTACCGCATTGTCTGGTAAGTTGTTACCTCAATTCCAAGCAGTATACTCACTCATTCACGTCAGGTTGGAACAAGGTGCACTTCGACATATTAGTCCAAGCACCTGCTGTTGGTACAGCCAATCTACAAAGACTTCTCACTTCATTACGCAGAGCCGACAAGAGCGCTCTCTCAATCCCCCAGCTTACAATCGAATTGCCACCAGTCATCGAGAAGCCTCTGGAGAGCTTCCTATCCAACTTTCAATGGCCTTCGAAAGCTTCTGGTCAGCTGCCTCAGTCGCAGATGCTCTCTCTCCGTCATCGAATTTCTACGCGGAAGATGGATGAGGAAGAAAGTTCAGTGCGATTTCTGGAATCGTTTTGGCCAAGCAAGCCTTCGCATAACCATGTGCTTGTATTGGCAGCTCATACTGAGGTTTCACCTCAGTTCTTTAACTGTATGTGTTTCCTATACCCAAATCAAGCTTTGCTAACATGGTCAGACGTGAAATATAACCTTCTACATAGCCTTTACTCACACTCATCCGTTCTTCAAGACTGGAACGAGAATATCATGGGCATCAGTTTCCACTCCCCTAGCACGCTTCTCGACGATACAACCCCTTTGACGGTTCCAGCAGCCGATACTTTGGGAGAAAAAGATGGGTCAAGTCCCTTCTTTTGGCAGGCCCCAACAAACGATGCCATTCTGTTCATGGGAGACAAGTGGGTTGAACTACATGGGTACGTGTCACACATACTAGAAAAACAACAAGAAAGAACAGAAACACCAGCTTTTCTGGCCAAGAAAAACACGAGCAAGAAGCATCCAGCATGGTTGGAGTATGTTCTGCAACTATCACAGCTTCGAGGATATGTGACGCTTTATCCGAGACCGGAAACAGCAGCCACGATATTGGGAGCGCACAGTGACCTACCTACGACACCAGAAGAGTATCTGGGCGGAGGTGATGAGAGCGACGAAAACGGAAAAGCAGATAGTGCGACGTCAAAGTTTGACCCAGCTTCACCAATTGACATGCTGGCGACATTGCCTCGCGAAGGTGATCTGTTATCGTTAGGCGAGCTGCCGCTCGTTTCATGGAGTGGCAAGCCCACGTCGCTTCAGGAACTAGAGGCGAGCTCATTTGAACTTACAAAACAGTTCCGTCAAGAGGTTGGCCAATGCCCTCCGAGTGTCATAAACGACGAGGATGAGTTTGGACGACCGCGGCGCAACAAAGACGCCAGCGATCTCTTTTGTAGGGGTAAGAACAAGGCTGACCCTGAAGTCAAGGGGACAAAGGAAACAACATAACGAGACGTGGTTTACAGCCAGGGCCGGGTGTTTATGGCTGTCATTGTTCATCAGATATTGCATCAAGTCTTGCATGATGAATGTCGGAAGTTCAGGCGCTATCATTTAATGGATATGTATTGATGCGATGTAAAGCTTTGTTTTAAATATATATGCTAAGAATTGGAGGTTGATTCTCGAACCTTGGCGATTACCAGCAGGATGAGACAGGTTCCTATGATGGAGACTGCCGTGAGACCAAATATCTGAGTGTGATGTTTAGCGGATGTTAAAGTCATAGACACCGGTTGTATGTTGACAAACTCACCGCGTGTGTCTTCCAGCCAATTTGCACAATGGCTGCTCGCTTGCTGTACTTATTGACTGTTCCTATAACCCGTTAGTTTGCTTGGGTGTGTTTCTTAGAAAAGTAAACACTCACTTATATAGTTCCCCATTCCCGCCACAAGGGTCAGAACGGAAAGCGCCCAGAATATTGTACCTAACGGCTTTGCCATGCGCAATTCCAACGTTGTGGCTTCGCTTTTGAGATGGAATGAGAGCGTGATGGCCACCGAGACAATGGCCATATAAACCGACAACCGGAGGTACGACAGGAACGCTACAAACAGGAATAAGTAAGGCTGCTGAAACAATGGTAGACAAGATCAGAGGGGTAGGGGTGTACTTCTTTCATTTGCGCAGTGATCGCGCGCGTCACTACTCTCATTCTCGACTAACAACGGGCCAAAGATAGGCCAGTGGAAGAACGGTCTTTCGACATCACTATATGTATCGTGTGAGCTGCTGGATACTGAGTTGAAGGATGTTTAAGGGACCTACTCAAGTTCACTGGAATCAATAGGTCGAATCAACCCATAGACTGGCGCGCAGCACGCATGCACAGTGAGGTCCTCATCGTCGATATTTTCGGTAGAAGCCATTCACGCAGCGATTGAGGAATTATAAGAATTACTTGAGGACAATATCGATATAAATAAAGCCAAGACACAAGATGAGCATGTGAGGTTGAGGTGTAAGTAGAAGGTGTTGGTTTATGTTCATCTGGTTGGTCGCGGGGCTATCGGGCGGATGGTGCAATGAACCGATTGCCGCACGTCTACTTACCCTGAACCAGTTGGTCAAAGAACTACATGAGAGCTTAAGATCACTGCTATTGGGTTCTGAAGTTAACAGCGTTGATGAATATAATATCGGGACGTTGTTTGTCCAATGTACAAGAGTAATAAGTGGTATACCATCTATGGACAACATAGTCACACGTGTACAACCTGAGTTCCTTATCAGATATTCCAGAAACGGGAACCAACATAGCAAAATTGTTGATTTGCAACAGCTTGCTCTAAAAGCCCCAAACTTCATGCCACCTATTCTCATCAGTCCTCAATGGACCGTCCAACCTCCCAAATCTCGCTGCCCTTCCCGTGTTGGCTTCAGGAAGACACAGCCACTCCCTCACGCAGTCCGGCACCTCCTCTTTAACATGTGCAATGCAGATGAGCGCTTGTTGATCAGAAAGACCTGGAATCTTGACATGGCCAGACTTGGAGGCGTCACTCTCAACGATCTCTTCACCTTGGTACGTCTTGGCCTCGCCTTGTTCGAGAAACAGCGTGCATTTGTCTCGTACCGCATCGTCCATACCACTAAAGGCCTCGTCAAGAACCACTACATCGGGGCTCTTGATCATGGATCGGATGAAAAGAGAAACGCGCTGTGCACTGAAAGATAAACCGCCAAACATGTAGTCATCTGCCCACGCAAGGTCCTCATGTGATGATGAAGAGTAGCTGGGGTGCAGCTCAGGTGCAAACCAGCGAAGAGCGGCCTCAACCTTCTCCTTGGCAACCTCGTCCAACTTTGGCTTTGCGCGGAATGTCTCTGACCAAGCATTCTCTATAACTTGGCGAACTGTCAAGTTTCGAGGCATATGCTGATGGACTTCGGGGCTAGAATGTCCAATTCGAGATTGGATATCCCAGAACGTGAGTGGTCGCTCTTTTGAACCAGGCTCCGGAAGACGTGATCGCCCGAATAGTCTGATGGGAAGGGAGTAGGACTGAGGATGGTCTGAGCAGAGTAACGAAACTATGGTCGTTTTTCCTGAGCCATTGGGACCAAAGACACCCCAGCGCTCACCACGTCGAACAGTCCATATCAAGCCATCTTTGGAACCATCAGTGGTCTGTTGCGACCAGTTACCCAGCGCAACCTTTCCACGATATTGGACTTTGCAGCCATCCATCTCAACGAGTGGTTCAGCTTTGGCGTTTACTGGCTCAAGGGTCTTATATGATGCATGCTCCAGATGGCCTGAACCTTCCAGAGAGGCTGCTGAAGGCAACACACGACCAATGTCTACAAGTGAATGTAGTGGTAGCTTCTTGTCTTCAGTAAGCCCACCTTTTCGAACTCCACGAACATACATATTGAGTCCATCAAGGACCTCTTCCTTGGGGCCCATAGAGCCCACCTGGCAATCTGTTCTTAAATATACCAGATGAGTGATCCAATCTGGTATAGGATCTTGTGGTCGCGCACTGAGAACAAGACGAGGACTTGCTTTCTCGGCGAGAGAGTGTAGTAATGGACTCAGACCTGAGACTGTAGGTGGATCAAGTCCCATGAACGGCTCATCGAGCAATAATACCTCTGGCTTGGTCAGAAGAGCACGCGCGATACGAGCCCTCCGACCTTGTCCGTTACTAAGAAATGAGACAGGAAGATCGAGCAGAGGCTCAAGCTTCAGATCTTTAACCACCCGAGAAAGTAGATCTGGTGAAATGGTAGCCTCATCATCGCCCGCTTCCATCTTCGCAGGGTTTAATTCCGTGTTACCCAGTAGAAAGTCTCGTAGTGAAAAGTCCGTAATCTCACGTCGCGACTCATAGCGTGCGGAGAGATATGCACTCGTAGCAACACCACCACCTAAACCTCCCCCAGCCTGTTCAGCATCAAACCCGACATACTGAATAGCCTTCTGCGGCGTACGTAGTCGCTTAGGAACTTCATCGGTAGAAAGGTAAGGGTACGATCTTGCAACAGGCGGTTCGCAGAGAAACCTCCCCTTCAACGCTTGCAGAAAGGTGGTTTTCCCTGAAAGAGACGGGCCTACGATGCACCAATTTCGAGGTGAATTTGATGCTGAAGCCAGCTCGAAACTCAGGTCGCTGAAGAGAGGAGGATTTGGACGTGATGATGCAGCATTTGGATGATGGCGATAGAATGTGCCATTGGCGATCCGAACGATCGGGGGAAGAGTCGAAACAGGCCTCATGATGCCGATTGAATATTTCTAAGCAACGAATAACTCATTCTCAACTTCAAATGAGAAGATATTGTCTTAGAGCGAAGTCGGATCTTTAAGTAAGTGACGATATCTACGTGGGTCGTGGGTCTTATTGGAGAGAGGCGCTGGGGTTCAGCGATACGTTCCTTCTACCGGACCTGCAGCTGGCTCCCCGGAGCCGATAAAAAAGGTACGTACCCCTCCAACTGCGGCAACGCCAGCGCAAGGCTGCCTTGAAGCTGGAGCTTTCATCATCAACCACATTAACCATTCTTCCATCGAATAACCCGCCCACCAACCTTGCGCTTATCTCGTCCACCGAACGAACTCCGACTATCACAAAGATCGTGTTCTAACAGCGTATACGCACTATTCCACCCAGAACCACAATCACATCCGCCAATATGGTAAGCTTCAACACCACCCACGCTTCAATATCATGAGAGCTAACTCTCCCTGCCTCAGTCTCAAGCAATGCGAATCGTCCCCGGCAACACCAATGTCCAGACCTACACCCACATCTCCCACACATCAAACGCCCCCTCTGCCCCGGGCATCCACGATACTCTCCGCCACGGTGTCGGCGCATCCCCCTTCGACTCCAAGACCACACCCGCTTCCGCTCACCCTCTCGAGGCTCGCCTGAAGAACTGGGAGGCTACCCAGGAGGCTCTCAAGATGGAAACCCTTCGACGCACCTACGGCATGGCTGAGCCCATCCGCCGTGGTATGGAGCTCAAGATCGTCCAGAACGGCGAGTGGCGACCCATGGCCCTCGGCAATGGCCTGCCCAGTGTTCACGAGGATATCCTTCGGGGCCGCGATGCTTCCATCACTTGGGAGGATGTCTTCACTGGAGACGAGACAAGGGCGGTTGCAGGCTTCCACGATGAGATGGAGAAGAAGCTCAAGATTCAGTAAACGAGCGGTCTGGACGGGACTGAAAGGATATGTGTCTCGGCCGTTGTATTGTACATCAAACTTTACTACTTAGACAGGCTGAACAAGGTCAACGGTCAAAGGAACTACATGAGCATGGCTCAAGAACTATCAAGAATCTGAGAAGACCTGAAAGCCATAACGCGAATGCATTCTATGCTGCTATAAACGCGACGTGTTTGATGACGCTATCGATGATAATCGATGATAAAGAAATTAAGCAAACAAACAAGCAAAGACAACTCCTTGATACAAAATACAAAATACAGTGTAACACGCCGATATAGACTCCGGTGTCCCCATCTTCCACACATGAACCATCATTCGCTCGCGCTGAGCAAATACAATAGACCAAGAAAAATAGTAAGGAACGTATGGGCTTCGCCTAGCTGAACATTAACTCGAATTTGGAAACTCCAGAGGCTGTGAGTACCATTGCCGACCCACAATGGTCAGCGAATGGAGAAAATGAAGCGTTGATCCTGCTCTTGAGAACAAGAGTTGAGCGCGAGCAGCTTCAAGATTGCTTGAAACCAGTGCAATGTCGTCCATTTATAAGACGACACAGCAACCTCCACCACGAGAGCGCTGGCCATCACCGCCATTTGATGAGATGTTCTTATTTCCCGTCTTAGGCTCTTCCTCATCAAGGTCTTGTGGCCGAATGCTCATATGTACGACGTTGGGGCTCTCCGTTGAGAGTTGATACTCTGTAAGGTAGTTAGCAAATGGTGTCTCAAGTGTCTCAGCTCAGATCAGCGGTGTGCCTTACTCTTCAACTGCTCCTTATCGTCCAATAATTTTCCAAAGTGAATGAGTCTAATGCTGCTGGGACTAGCAGGCTTTGCCTCCCAATCACTTCGCCATTCCCGCAATATTAATTCCTTCAGAGTGTAAATGCTGATACTGAACGGATCTGGAAGGCCATCCTCCGTCTGGTCTGGGATATCCACGTTCCTCCTACTCAAATATTTCGCGTCAATTTTGTAAGGATGTCTACTTCCTGAAGTAAGGAGAAGAGTGATGGTACAAACGGGCCCGTCCGAAGAGCCCCCTGAAACCTCCCTGATATCGTCAACAGCAGGCCCAATGCCCAAATTCGAGTCTTGCTTGGTCGGTGGAGGAGGAACAGACTCCTTTTCCTTGCCCTTTGGTGAAGCTGATGCCGCAGCCGTTGACTGATCGATGCTCTCGGATGTCGTCGGGACTGCTGTGGAGGATGCTGGCTCGGCTGCAATCGTCTTATCGGCGGCTTCGCGCGAGTGATCGGCAGGTACCTGCTCGGAGGGCTGCGTAATTGATTCCATGGCTACCGCATCGTTAGGCTGTTCGAGCCGCGAGGTTTCAACTGGCGCAGCTTCACCACCACTCATGGTGGAGTCCGCTGGAGCCGACATACTGATTGAAGGTTGAGGGCGGCGCGGTAAAGGGTGCAAATTGAGGTCACACCACGCGAGATCAGAACGCGAAAGTAAATGAGGCGTAAACGAGTGGTTCGTTCGCTGGTAATGCGACTCGAGGGGGGTTGATTTGGTCTCTAGATTTAAGGATGGCGGATCGAAGATGCGTATGCGTATGCGGATGTGGATGGAGATGTGGATGAATATGGTCGATATCCCGTAGCGTGGCTAGGCCTCGGGAGCAAAAGTGAAAGACGTCAAGTTCGCTGGGAGGATGGTAAGGATGGATCGCCCAGCCGGGGGGCCGCAAGACCGGGGGTGGGGCAGTGAATGGCCGGAGTACTCAGTATCGTCCACTCAGATAAAACGCTCAGACGAGTGGCAGACGTAACAGGACAGGACCATGAGCAACTCAAAGGAACACGGGTCAGGAAAAAGTAGTTGCTATTCACTGTGTATTTCTGTTCTGTACTGCAGAGTAACAATACAAGCTACCACTGTAGGGCAAGCAAGCACGACAGCGGGCAAGCAAGCAAGAGGACAAGTGAAGAACAGTCGATGAGCCCTGTCGACCAGCGGCTGGAGCGTGGAGACTGAGTGGAGTGCAGACGGTGCGACAGAGTGGATTTCTCGGTGTCGCTCGACGCTTTGCCTGACAGGGAACGAGGGGCGTTTGGCTGGACGGGCTAGACTGGCTAGCAACTCCCTTGTCCAGGTCGTAAAAACGATAACAAAGGTCAATGGGGAGATACAATTGAAAACAGGGCAGTTCGGCAGTGAAAGACGCCGTGCCTCTTGTTGATAGTTGTCGATCAATTCGGCAAGGCCAGTTTCCGGGACTCGATAGAAATAAGAAGACCGTTAGATGAACACCAACGTCTGTGTAGGCAATCAAATTATGAATTCGAGAAAGTAAGAAAGTAAAAAAGCCAAGATAGCTAAATCAAGGCAAGTTCCAGCTAGAGGTGACGACACCTTATACAGCGCTATCCGTGATCCGTGAACTGCTTGGCGGTAAATATTGGCACTCACACAGGCTTGATGAGTTGAGCAACCAATATTGAGCTATTGCGTATTCAATGACGAGATCAATATCAAGAAGAGTATTTCGATGAAGGAAATGATCAGATGTAATTTGACGAAATATTACAGGCAGAGAAAGTTAGAAGTCCCAGAGAGAGACAGAGAAGGTGTTACCTTTCGTTCGGGTAGATTTGCTGGTAAAACGGAAGGTAGCACCTACATACCCGACAGCTCCTTAGTCGGGCAGGTACATAAGCTAACAGCCACTGTAAAAAGGTGGCGGCCCACGGAAGCCGGCTGTGCCGCTTAATTAGCCCCAGACTGCGAAGAAGCAGCGCAAACTATCGATTCTACGCACGGTATTTCCTACTAAGATATCCTCAAAGTTCAAAAGAAACAATTACTACGTACCTAGTACTTGATAATGAGTATGGCAGTCTTCTCGATGAATATCTTAAGAACATGTTGATATACACTCCTGGATAAAGGTACTCATCGTCTCAACAAGCCTCGGCATCACTCATATAAGATCCTTGAGCTACGTGCTTACTTCTACGCGCTGTCCAGCTATGATTCATGAATCAGCACTTACACAAAACAGATGGTATTCCTTCATTGAAAATTGTCTAATAGCCAATACATTTCCCCGGAAAAACAACCTGGCTTACTACCCCTAACGATAATCAGGTTCAGCAAATCTCAGGGTCCTGACCTTGCATGTGTCCCTCAGTAATTCCTCACCAAACTTGGACTGGTTCCTGAACTTCTTCCAAAAGTTCCGCCGTAGGAAAGGCACGAGTGAGACGCTTCAAACGGTCCAGAAGCCCTCCAGCACACCGAAACCGCGGATATATATCCCGCAGCAAGCCACCGATTCACTCACTTGCATACAGTTATGTGGATGTACTATTTGATGTCTCTCCGCCTCTCCTCTCCTCCTTACTGCCTTCTTAGACCAGGCCAGGCCAGGCCACACTAGACCAGACCAGACCAGACCACCATATCAGAAGTACAGCAAACGACCAAGTCTGGATCTGACTTGGCTGACAGACCCAAGACTTCGCCTCAACCCCCCCTGGTCAGATGTGACCTTCTGGGGAGTCTTTGAACAGACTGGTGCAACTGGTCGGGTCGACTAACGTGCTCCGCCCCAACTTGGCATCTGCAATAAGGTTATTGAGCCAAACCGAATTTAGGCTGGGTTCCTGGGGCAAATGCCAATGGATTCTTCCCTTTGATGAAGGGGGTATTGAGTAAATATATGATCTTGTTACAAAGCATCCAGAATACATTCTCATACGTAGTAATCCGTTATGCGGAACAAGCTTCTGCTCAAATATATTTAAACTGATTTGTTTCCGAATTTGTCTTCCATCGCTGGTATACACATGTATCGCTCATAGCACTAACAAATCACCATTGCTGCCAGCACCTTGGGCTGGTTGGAGAACCGCTTGGGGTGCATGCGCGCTCACCACGTACCCTGTCGAGTGGCCATTACCTCCTCCAAAGACATCATCCCCTTGATCAATATGCATCGGTTGCATCTGCTGCGTTGTTCCAATACTTGAAAAGTAGGCGTCCGCATCGTTAACTGCTTGTGCAATGTTCCCTTGGCCCTCGCCAGATGTTGGGTTGCGGCTTCTTGGATCAATATCCGTTGCTGCCCCAGCATTACCAAACATGCTGATACTCTTCTGGCTATCTACAGAAACAAGGAGGTTCTGCTTCTGCAGCGCTGGTGAGTCCTGGAGTTTGCGGGGTCTGGCGGATCTAAAAACGGTTTGCACCGGCTTCAAGTAGACCGTGGCTAGGGTTCCCACGTTCAAGCACATCTCCTCGAGTGTCGCCGCGTCGAGCCTTTCTGATTCAGCTGTAATTGCTGGTTTCTCTCCCATAACAATCTTTCTTGCTGCATTCATGTCCGTCGATAGTAGGCGCCAGTACATATACGCTCTGTCGCGAAGATCAGGGTTGTCCGTCTCCTCAGTCGCCCATTTCAAGACCTTTGGTACCAGCTCTTGACCCTTGGTTGGCCGCTGAATGAACAGCTTCACCGTAGCTGTGAGCAGTGCCAGTTGCACTTCGACAGGTTCCTCTGCAAACGAGTATAAAAAGTCTTCCAGTAAAGCGTCGCTGTTCTCGATTCGATCGGCGTATTGACCAATCACCCAAACCATAGCTGCCTTGGCTTCGGGCTCATCCAAGGAGTCAAGATGCTCGCACAGAGTGCTGATAATGGACTCGTATTGGTTGGGATATTTTCGGAAGATGTTTCGGATAACCACCGTAGCTTCCTGCACGATATATGTGATCTTGGTTGCCACAAGCTCGAGGAGTAGGTTGATGCATCGTCGTGCAGCTGGCTCAATCTTAATTGCTAGCTTACCAATGGCGCGTACAGCTTTGCGCACAAAGTGAACGTCGATTTCGGTAGCATATTCTCGAAGTTCCGTCAGGACCTCATCAATATTGTCCTCATTGGCAAGCATAAAGATGAGTTCCAGCTTGGTCACCTTGACGTAAATAGGATCATTGTACTTGCAGAAAAACACGCGAATATCATTTCGCAATACTTCCGGTCGTCGCTGGAGAATCAGTAAAGCATTTCGAAGGGCAAGATATTGAACCTCGGGACCCTTGGCGAGAAGTGTAACAAGAGGTGGTGAGAGCTTTCTGCAGAGAGCCGAGATCTGCTTCTGATCGCCGATATAGTTCATCAGATACAGAATCACCCGAATGCAGGTCAACACGACCGACGAATTAGAGTGCGACAGTCGTGGTGATATCCGCTCAGCCAGAAGTATCGCTTCTCCAGATTCTTGTGGCACATAGGACATAAGAGCCTCTAGGATATATGTCTGACCCCATCTGTTGACACATGATTAGTGACACTCATACAAATGATGCAGCCTAGCTTACTCGGAGCAATCGGGAAGAATAGCCACCATCTTGGAGGCATTGCTATAGTCAATGGTGAGTTTAATGGCATCACTGCGTTCCCAAATATCCATCAGACCAGCCAGGGCGCTTGCGACAACAGTAGGATTGTCATCCCTAAGCAGTGAGTTTAATCTGTCGATCAGGTCTGAGCCCTCCACCATATGTCGGTCATGATCATAGAGCTTTGCTACACAGAAGGCCGCCGTCTTTCGTACGTAAGGGTCGCCATCTTTCAGCATATGCTTGACTATTGGTACAGTGGCTTCGACAAATTCCCTGACATGGATGTAGGACATCGTTCGAAGAGCCAATGCCCGTACCAGAGGATTGTGGTCTTCCATATCCTAAGTCATAATCAGTTATGGCTCCGCACAGATCGTCGCTGATGAACTTACATGTTCCAGGACGGGAATCGCCTTGACAGCGATCTCAGGCCTTATCCTGGCGTAGTTGACCAGAAACAAGAAGCACCTACGTCTAATGAGTAATTGAGCAACATCAATAATACTGAGAATCTTACATTTTCTTGATCTCCAAACTCTGGATGCCCATGCACCCAATGATATCGGGAAATAAGGCAACCATATCATTATTGCTCATAGTCATATTCGCAACAATCTTTTTGAGGGCAATCTTCTTGCCCGCATGGTTTTTATCCTTTTTTCCTCCGCTGTTTAACTCGAGGCGTAGCTCGGCTACTTTGCCCTGTATATTATTTAGTCTCGAGCTATCATAGAGTGACCTTGGGGGCATGTATGCGAGAAACATGGCAGCCATCGTACGACTCGTGTCGTTGCGAAACAGCGCATCGACAGTCACATTGACATGAAAATATAATATGACGTGCCAGAAGCTCTTCGCACCACAATCCAAGTTGGCAGAGAACCAAGCAAGAGAAAAGGGAACTGAAAGAAGAGTATCGGTTGAAGACCAAGGGCTTATAGGACCTCAGGTCCTGCCAGGCTGAGACATAATAGAGGAAAGAGGGAGGCTTACTCGAGCAAACAATTTGGAGTCCCCTCCGCCGGCGGAGCTCGACATGGTGTTGTGCTTGTATCCGAATAACGGCTATGCGACTTGGGTTGGGTTTCGGTAACGTCCAAGGTGGGATGGGCGCTCTAAATTTGGCAAGCCCCTCACTTCTGAACGGGTTCAAGATTCGCAGCCGTTGTTCGATATTCCCAACCTAATTGGGTGGGATGCGTTGCCCAGAGCAGAGTCGTAGAGGGTGGATGGCGGACGGTAGACAGGAGGGGATGGTCACATGTATGTCTGTTGCGAACAGATGCAAGCGAGCCTCTGGTGTCCTTTTCTCGATCGTTGATTATCGCTATAAGTTGCCGTCGAATTCGGAGAAACAGAGGACGCACTGGGCCTTCGAGAATAGTTTGCGACGTCGAGTGGTCGTAATTCGATCGTTCGTGTTGTCCACCGGCGCCGTCGGGGTTGGAAAGGGGATCTCCAGGCTCAAGTAATGTAAGCCAAATAGGTCCTGGCGCTGGCGCTGGGACTGATAAGATAGTGAGCGAGTGGGTTGCAATTAAGCCGAAATTACATTGCAGCTGCCACATTTACGCCACATGTGGGTGGGCCAGCGAGTTATCAACTTAGCCCAATCAATCAACGTCAACGTCGCCTCCACGCTTGCAACATCAATCGCCTTTGCGCATCAACTACGAACCTACAATTCACGATCTATCGAATACCACATCGCCAATCTGCAACACTTCAAGCGCATCAATATGGCTGGATCATCCATCGCCCCTATCTGGGTTTCTCAGCTCGAGCACCCTCCTGCCTCCAAGGCCAAGCAGTCTGGTATCCAGGACCCTCCAGGCTACAGCTCCGGAACAGCCGTCACCAGCTCCAAGGCAAGTCGCTTGCTTTTCCTCGTGCGATCACCAAATTCGGGAAACTAACAGATTCTACAGAAGAACAAGGATGCTGTTAAAGTCCAGCCCCGTAAAGCCCCGACCGCCGACGAGATGGACACCTTGAAGCTCAAGAAGGCTTGGGAAGTCGCCCTAGCTCCTGTCAAGGGCCTTCCCATGACGGCCATCATGATGTACATGTCAGGCAATTCGCTCCAGATCTTCAGTATCATGATGGTTTTCATGGCATTCAAGAACCCATTGATGGGTCTGATGAACACAAACCAGGCATTCGAGCGCTTCCAGTCCGACAGTCTTTCATCCCAGCTCCTACAGGTCAAGTTTGTGTACGTGGTGTGCCAGCTCGTTGCACTGGGTGTTGGAATCTGGAAAATCAATGCTATGGGTCTATTACCGTAAGCACTCTTTCCACGCAAGCTCAAGCTGGCCAATAACTAACAGACTATAGAACAACACGGTCCGACTGGCTAATGTGGGAGGCGCAGAGAGAGCCTTTGGAACTTGCAGTGGCAGCTTTATAATTGGGTTCAGTTGATACGATAGAATGACTAGATAACTAACTAAGTGTGCATATTTATGTCGCTTTTAATGCATCCCGCTTTGCCTTTGCTGCCCTCCAATGCATACCTCTCTTGTCAACCAGCCTCATCAATGGAATCATGGCCAAATTAAGTAAAGCAAGAAAGGCAAAGCACCAACCTCTACCCATACCTTCAATCATATGATCAATGGCTGCTGTCGCTGCAGCTCCAAACATACATCGCACAAGATTGTTGGCAGCAGTTGCCGTAGCTGGCGCATTGGGATTGAGATCAACAATAAGTGTGTTGAGAACACTGAATGAGGTTGGAACGAACATGCCAATCAGGAAGACTAGAACCAGCGGAACAGCGATGGAAGCCTCAGCTTGTAGAGCCCAACCATATCCAATAAGTGATGCGATACCGGCGAGCAAAATAGGGTATACGGGCTGGATCCGCGCAGTCTCGATTGGGAACTTTCCCAGATCATCTCCACGCTTTCGGTCGATGGTGAAGCCAATCTTCTTTGCAATTCGGCGATAGTTCCAGTCCAGCACGTACCCTTGTCCAACAACAGCCATGGCACAACCAAAACCATAAGGTAGATAACAGAGGCCGACCTGGAGATCGTTGTATCCGTAAATGTCCTTGAAGAGGGTTGACAGAGTCGCTGCCGTTAAAATAAAGGCAATGTAAATGACGGCGTTTATACACAGGATGATGGCCATCTCTTTCTCAAAGACGATGTACAGCGTCTTCAATGGGTTCGGAAACTTGAGCTCTCTCTTTGGGATGTTTTGATCGGTGGTATCCCCACGATTTCTGTAGAGGTCAAGCATTGATCTATTCCATTTCTGCGGCGCTACAGAGCCGTTACCAACAACTTTGCGGCACGTCTCTGGGACAGAGAGAATAAAAGGGACCATCCATACACCAGAGAAGATGGCACAAAACCAGAAGATAGCTGGCCATCCGAGGTATTGGCTTAGTATACCACCCAGCACAGGTCCAAGAGCAGGACCAACGTTGATTCCCGCTCCAACTATGCCCATATATTTGCCTCTCTCAGCTGTTGATGAGATATCCGCCACCACGGCGAAGCCAAGAGCCAGTGTCCCGCTGCTGCCCGCACTTTGAAGACAGCGTAGAATCAGCAGCGCAACAAAGTCTCGCTGTAGAGCCAACCCAATGTTGGCACATATATAAATGGAGAATGCCACTATGTAAGCCGGTCGTCGCCCGGCCATATCACCAAAGTCACCGAAGATGGTTGGAGATAGCCCCTGAAAAATCATGTATGATGTCAAGGTAAGATTGATCATGGAAACAGATATGTCCAAATCTTTGGAAATGGGATTCAGAGCTGGGAAATAGATGTTGGCTGTCATGGGAGAGATGAAGCTAGCAGCTGTAACCATGGCTAAGATCCATCTCTTGGTGTTCTTTGAGAAAGTGCTGTACGCTGGGCCGCTTGACACTCTGGTCATATTCTCAGGATCACCCATTATCGTCTCTTCGGTCTTCGTTGCTGATCCATTGATTGCTGATTCACCGATCTTCTGGGGTACATGGCCGATGCCTGCTGGACTTTCGGACTCGCTGCTCCGTATGCTGATGTTGTCATGGTCATGCCTATGGGTGTTTGAGGCGTTGTTGGGAGGCTGGTTTTCGCTTCTCTCGTCCATCTTGACTGGATAGGAGCGGTGAATGAATACAAAGTAATCATGATAATGTAACCGAGTGGCAGCCAAGTCTTTAATACTAGTTGATTGCCCGCGGTATCGGAGAACGTTCTCCATCTATGATAGAAATTTTATTTCCGGAGCACTTGGAACCTATTTCCGACACGAACCGGCCGAAGAAGAGTTCACGGACCCGGCAAGTCTCCACCTTATGCCGAAGTCCGCTCCGGCCAATTTAACGGTCAGACCGGTGATATCGACAAAACATTGTGAGATGAGTGGTTAGCTAGAGGATCGGCAACGAGGCATGTCTTATTATCATGGATTGAGATATATCTCACGGTGTCTAAATCACTAAGTTCATGCACATGGGTAGGGCTGCTATACGACAGCGAAGATAGTGAAGGCTTCCATGGTGAGTGGATATTGCAAACCCTTCCTGGTGTGTATATTTAGCTTGATTCATAATCCTTACACAATTGAAATGAAATTAGTTGCATTACATACCTCTCTTTCTGTTCAGAGCTTTGCATCGTCGGGTAGTTCCATGGTTCGGCACCGAGTCTCCACTAAATGACTAAGCCATATATAGCTTGTTCCATGTGCGTCAGAGCTTCATGCCATTACAGCCATGGTGTCTACAACCTTGGACCCTCGTATTGACGTATGAGCTTCAGTCAAGTCGAATAACTCAAACACAAACCACGTCCGAATACTCTCACTAGATATTCGGGATCTCGATATTTTTCTGGCTTTTCATTTGTTCAGCGCAATTCGTCTTTTATCTTCAGAACTACCTCGCAGTTGAAGCCATGGATATTACTGTAACCTTCAATGAGCTCCTGCGGGAACGAAATGCGCCGGAAACCAGAAAACGTGTCACCTTAGATGCCATTGATGGCTTCTTGAAGGAGGCATTTCGAATTGTCAGCAATGCGCATCTTCTTAGCTGCCTCACTCGAGCTGACCGGTTTCCGTAGAATTCGCATATCACCAGCCTACATCGAGAACTCCAGGACGTTAGACAAGCATACCTTTCGACCGCACAACCACGAAAAACGAATAGCCGAACCGTGAAGGGCCAGACCCGCGTACTCACAGACCGAGACCGAGAAGAAGTTGACGCCAATGCGAAGCAGATGATTCGAGAGTTGAATGCTGGCATTCGTGCCCTTGACGAAGCTGAGCAGTTGCGGCGCGAAACCGAATCAGCCATAATCCGAAAGAAATATGTGGGAGGCTTGGGGGCGCTGGGATCATGGGCCTCGGGTGGTATGCTTAGTAGCAAAACAGAGGAACATGCGGAAGCGGAAGCCAAGGCGCGAGATGTAGGAATTCACCGGGATAGTGTTGTCTGGTTTTTACGGCAACGGCTGGAACTATGCTGTCGAACCCAGCAGGATATGATGGAGGCACGCCTGACAAGGGAGATGGAGAAGAGCCGCAGCATGCTTTCAAGATCTGGTGTGACTATCGCAGGGGACTTTGCAGAATTTCCTCCGTCTGCCCGACGACATTCGCAGGCGGACCCCGCCAGGCAGATCCCTATGTCCGACGACGGCCAGTTCCCGAGCCAGGGGTTGACGGAGGAGCAGATTCAGATGTTTGAGGAGGGGAACCAAGATATGATGAAGCATTTCGAGAGCAGCTTGGGCAAAGTCAGGTACGTGGCATGAGTTCTTTCGATGTACATTCGTACACCCTTGCTTGATCATCTCTGCACTAGAGCTGCAAGCGCCAGCCACCCCATGGGGAAGTGAAAGTTTCTTCCGAATATGCGAACTAACTCTTTCTACTAGGACTGCCGAGAAGTCGTTACTGGAAATATCCGAACTGCAGTCGCTGCTTGTGAACAACCTTGCAACACAATCAGCGCATATTGAACAACTAGTGTCGGATTCGTTTTCGACAACAGAAAATGTTGGCGGTGGTAATAAGGAGCTGAAAAAAGCAACAGAGCGTGCAAGCACAGCCAAGTATACGTTCTTTGCAGCGAGCGGGCTGTGCGCATTTCTAGTTGTCTGGGATCTCATCTTTTAAGTTGTCAAAGTATGGGCAAGAGCATATGTAATTAGACTAATACAATTGTGGCAGTGGTGAAATTAACAAAAGCATACATATTGGGATTGGAATAGGGTGCTAGAATCAAAACCCACCACCTATGTAGTGTAGAAAGACAGGATCAAAGGCTTAGCACAAGTACCTTACTACATACAGTGTTTGAGGTCTCCTAGAAGTATTAGGAATAGCCTATGAACGACTAATGTGAGAGATGAGGTTCATAACATGTCTTTTGAAGCTGCCTATATGAGTAGTGTCGAACACGTAACTTTTGGGCACGTCCCCAAACAGAAGGATTGATCGTAAGTTAAAACTACCTGTATTTCGAGACGTTAAGAGAGGAAGGAAGCAATAAGCCCGCCGGCCTGTCGATAGACATTGTACTGCGAATATAATGTACTCAGCATGCTGGGGTTTTAGCGGTCATCAGAGGAAGAATGGCGTTGACGAAAAACCTTTCCATCAAGGCTGAGCTTGAGCCGTCTATTGATATACATGTTAGACATGGTACTCTATACTAGGTATCTATTCGACAAGAATTAGGAGATGTTATCTCACACTACCTACTAGTTAGCAATCTTTACCCCTCCCTAGAAAATACTTAATAGGAGGGGTCCTCGATGAGTAACACATGACGTTGGTATCGGCCCCACAAAGTTTCTATGACTGCCCTAATTTCTCAACAACTCCCGCTCCCGATCTCGGCCGTTTCAATTCCTCTCTATCAGCAGTCTCTAGATTGCATCGGCCTTTCGCAACGAACGTAACGAACGTCGCTCACGAATATTCCCAACATGGCCGAGAACAAGGCGAACGCAGCCCCAGCAGCTGGCATGCTCTGGGGTGGCAGATTTACAGGTTCGAACATCTCGGGAAACCAGCTTCATATGCAGGATACTGACTTTACGGTGCCCAGGCGGGATTGATCCTCTCATGCACAAGTACAATGCCTCTATCAGTTACGACAAAGCTCTGTACAAAGAAGATATCCTTGGATCAATTGCTTTCGCCAGAGCCAACTCAAAGACTGGCATCATCACTGAAGACGAATTTCAGACGATTAAGGGTGGTTTACTCGAGGTGATGGAAGAATGGAAGCAGGGAACTTTCGTCATCATGCCGAACGACGAAGATGTAAGATCTCGCTCGGTACAACTTGTCTTGCTAAGCTTAACAGAATTCGATTAGATCCACACGGCAAATGAACGTCGCCTGGGAGAGGTCATCGGCAAGGATACCGCGGGCAAGCTGCACACAGGTCGCAGCCGCAACGAGCAAGTTGTCTGTGATATGCGCATGTGGTTGCGCGATCGAATCAGGGAGATTGATGGCCAACTTGTCGCATTCCTCAAGGTCATTATCGCACGTGCCGAGTCCGAAATGTAAGCCAAGCCTCATCTCTGGCCACAAGCAGCTCCCTCCTGACTAACAACCTCAGCGACTACCTTATGCCTGGATACACCCACAGCCAGCGTGCCCAGCCAGTCAGATGGGGACATTGGCTAATGGCACACGCTGCTGCGTTCAAGCAAGATCTCGAGCGTCTACGTCAGGTTTTCGAAAGGGTCAATCTCTCTCCACTTGGTTGTGGTGCTTTGGCTGGCAATCCATTCCGAATCGATCGAAACGCCATGGCTGCGGAGCTTGGTTTCAGCGGGATAACTGCAAACTCCATGAACACTTCGGCTGATCGCGATTTCATCATCGAGTTCCTTACTTGGAACTCAATCTTTACCAACCACATCAGCAGGTGGGCCGAGGATCTTATCGTATACGGAACGAGTGAATTTGGATTTGTGCAGCTGGCCGATGCATATTCGACAGGCTCCTCTTTGATGCCTAACGTAAGTCTCCTTAGCTTCACGTAACCTAATAGCATAGGTGACGTTTAAACGGTGCTAACAAGACCCTCAATTTGAAGAAGAAAAACAGCGACTCGCTTGAGCTTTTGCGTGGCAAGTCAGGTCGTGCTTTTGGTCAAATGGCTGGCTTAATGATGGTGAGTTCCCATATTGACATCTCAGCCAGCTGCCTGGCTTTGGGGGTGCTCAAGAACCTATTGAGAATAGCTACTGACTATTCACTTTGAAGACGATGAAAGGTCTGCCATACTGTTATGCCAAAGATTCTCAAGAGAGCTGGCAGCCTATGCTGGACTCTGTTGAGTTTGTGTCGGATAGTTTAGGCATCGCTAACGGTGTCATTGCTACCTTGACGGTGCGGCCAGAGCGGATGAGGGCTGCTCTGGACATGACGATGCTTGCCACTGATGTTGCAGAGTGGCTAGTGAGGGAGGGTGTTCCATTCAGAGAGGCTCACCACATCTCTGGACGCGTTGTTGCCTTGTCCGAGAACACAGAGGTTTCGATGGACCAGCTCACCCTGGAGCAACTGCAAGCCATTGACTCTCGGTTTACAGCAGACATTGCGGCGGCATTCAAATATGAGTCGAGTGTCGAGGCGAAATCGGCTTCAGGCGGTACCAGCCGATCAGCCGTACTGGGGCAGATCCAGGAGCTCCGTGCTATTTTAGATTAGAGGCCTGATGATTGTATGAAGTCTTTAAAACACAGTAGGAAAATATCAAGGTGATTAAGGTGATCATCGTTGAGATACGGAGTAGAAGCCTGAGCAAGAGCGGCGTTGCTGACTTACCCAACCTGGCCGCTGGCTTACCTAGGTACCTAGGTAGAGTGTTGCGAGTTCACCTCGGCTCACCTCTTCTAACGTCACGCGGGGAATGGAGCTGACCGACAACCGTCACCTTCACCGAGGTAGTCGATAGATCTTTGACTTGGCATGGGAAACGGTAAATTTGGGTTACGGTGCCAACACAACATGGCTGACGTAGTGTTTTGTTTCGTGCGTTCAAAATGTTGATCTCATGTTCCAACTGATAGCTAAAACAGTTGCTCGTGTATCTGATCTAATAATGGATGGCCTGATGTGTGGTCCTGTTTGATCTGATCTATCTATATCTCATCTAACTCCACGGGCCCTGTCATCAAACACCGTCAGGGCCGTCACGTAACTAACCGCGTTTCTCTTGACCGTTATTTTTGTATCCTCTCTAGTTCTTCCAAAAGACCTCCGCCTCATAGTCCGATGGGTCCATTCCCCCAGAAAAGAACCGCGCCCAGGTTTGCAGACTCCATTGTCTCATAGCTTAGCCTCTAATAACAAGCTCCCTTACCTATCCAGAAGCGGCCCCGGACACCCCATCGTCGTCCTGTCACGGGGAAGCAAAAAAATCTTAGACAATACATCACATGGGGTCTTTTAATGGGGTAATGGCTGGTCCAGCGTCAGCACTGAATTACACGCGCGTCTCCGAATTTGCCCGCTGCAAACGTAACGTCATGGATATGGATGGTTTGTCGTATGATCTTGTGAATTAGAATGGTCTTTTCACTCTTTGCGATGTTTATGCGAGCCTCATCTAATTGAAATCTATATCTTAACAAAGACCCCCTGAATCCTAAGCTCGTAAGGCCTAAGCTGAGGTCCTGGCGCTAGGCCCGGTTTACTTGCTGGCATTATTGGATAACAATCAGGTTGTATCGTATGTCTTTGTATTATCGAATGTTGAATCTGGGTAGCTCAGAATTCCTACCAGAACTGAATTTGGAAGTGATGAATTGTTACCTAGGTTTGACTATTAAGGTACTTACCTAGGTAGGCAATTTTAGGGAAGAAAGAAGAGCTCGATATTGCCGTGGAGCTTCACAAGCTTTTTCACAAGCTCGGCACGGGGCATTTTCGGTAATAGTGATAGCATAAAAAGATGACATTGTCGTTGTCGCAAACCAAGGAAGAGATAACGCGTAAAAGATAGAACTGCCGGAAGCATAATTTAAAGGCCCGGTTATAAACTCCCAACTCTCAACAGCTTCATCTTCATCATCTGTACAAATCTGACAGCTGTGGTATACCGAATTTCCGATCCAAACGACAGTCACGTCTCGAGTCACTTCTCGCGCGCTATTGAGTCCGATTACCGCAGGGCGCTATTGTTCAACTACCTACCGCTATCTTCGATCTTGCTGCGCTGCACGAGTTAAGAACTAGAGCTCCATTTGGACACAGCAAAGAGCTTCAGAACACTCAGAACCGAGTTAGGAAACTAGGTACTAAGGTACAGACTCAAAGGTGAGTTGTCAAAAAGACTTCTCAGTCAAAGCCCAAAACACAAGAGGAAGTTTCCTCTGGTTGCCCTTGGTCCGTCAGGCCTGTCCCTGTTGGATTGAATCGAGTTGAGTTGAGCTTCAGCCTCTGTTTATCACGCGGGCACTCCTTCGCTTTCTACGGATACGTCTACTGTACTTTGCTGTACCTGTTTCGTACCCATGCAACGATAGCATCAACAAGGAGAGAGAAAAGAGCTCGGCCGGTGAGGTGAGCCCACCTTGGCCAGCCAACTCCCCTTACGGAGTACTCCCACAGCCCTTGCCCCGAGGTCCTCTCCACTGGCCCGGAACAACGGCGCCCTATTTGCCCGCCTGCAGCGAGTGCTGGGGGACATGACCAATTGCATCAGGCCAGAATCTGGGCTGGTTTACGCAAACGTTCATGGCCCCCTGTGGGGAGTCTCTGGGCTTTTGGCGATAAGGACCGTTGGGCGTGGAGGAGGAAGACTCTCTCTTACTCTTGCACAGAGAAGAGTGCTGTTAGTTGAATGAGCGTTCAAAGGCAAATTGCATTGAATTTGAGGCTTCTTTCCATTTGTTATCTGTTACCCAAAACAGGCTTTTACTGCCTCCGCATGACTGGCGCGGTCCGTAACTTACTGATCAAAGTTGCAGTTAGGTACCTTTTTTGTTTTACCCCAAAGACGCACACTCCCACAGGGGGCCAGGCCTCGCTCACCTCGAACTCACCTCACCTCACTTTTTCAGTTTCACGGGCTTTCACCCGCAAACTCAAAATACACGCCCCCCTGGTGCTCCACCCGGACCACCACCCTCACCCCCTAATCGACAAATCCTCAGGGCCGCAGCCCACTATGACACCGTCACTGAGCACACCCCGTCAGAGTCAGAGTCAGTCTGGCATCTCAAGCTCGACTTCGACTGATAAAACGGCGCCGACCTCTTCTTCATCTTCCTCAATCTCTAGACTCAACTCCATCGCCCGTCACATCTCGCCCAAAATGGTTTCTACTACAAATTTCCCTGCCGAAGTCGTGCCTCAAGCACCTGAAGACCCTCTCTTTGGTCTTGCACGCGCTTACAAGGCCGACGAGAGCCCCAACAAGGTTGATCTTGTAAGTTTATCTCTCTGCTCCGTGCATAACCTTTCATGTTGTCGTTGCTAACCATTGATTTCTTCTTGCTTAGGGTATCGGTGCCTACAGAGATGAGAACGCAAAGCCCTGGGTGTTGCCAGTCGTCAAGAAGGTATGCGCTTCCCTTCCCACCTTTGATCTTGCCCACTCCACCTCGCTTCCATTCCACGACATTGTCCTCCGTCCCCTCAAGTCGCATGAGCCATCAAGTCACATATCTGCACTGCAATTGCTTTACACGCATTGGTTGCGCTTCCACAAACGCACTGCTCTTTTCAATATGACGCTTCCGATGCGGATCCGTCGCAGCCTTGGCCCTCCCATCATTGCTACTTTTGGATCATGGGATCAGCTTTTCGCATTGCGCTGCCTGGATAGACCCTCATGCAAACATGCGTCACAACTTGCCTCATCTGCCCCGCCAACACGAACTTGCCTAGAACTTTGGTCTTGGAATTTGCACTAACCCCACGTTTGTCACAGGCTGATGAGATCCTCCGAAACGACCCTGAACTCAACCACGAGTATGCTCCCATCGCGGGTATCGCCAGTTTCACATCCAAGGCCGCCGAACTGGTCTTCGGCCCTGACTCCGCCGCCATCCAAGAGAAGCGCTCGACGACGTTGCAGACAATCTCTGGTACCGGTGCAGTGCACTTGGGTGCTCTGTTCCTAGCCAAGTTCTACAAGGGTAACAAGACCGTCTATGTCTCAAATCCCACATGGGCGAACCACCACCAGATCCTCAAGAATGTCGGCCTCTCGGTCGATACCTATCCCTACTTCCACAAGGAGACCAAGGGACTTGATTTCGAGGGCTTCAAGCAGACTTTGCAATCTGCTCCCGAGGGCTCCGTCTTCGTCCTCCATGCTTGTGCACACAACCCTACTGGCGTTGACCCAACACAAGACCAATGGACCGAGATTGCTGCCATCATGAAGGAGCGAAACCACTTCCCTTTCTTCGATACCGCCTACCAAGGCTTTGCTTCCGGTGATCTTGTCAAGGATGCTTGGGCAATCCGCTACTTTGTTGATCAGGGCTTCGAGCTCGTTGTTGCTCAGAGTTTCGCCAAGAACTTCGGCCTATATGGTGAGCGCGCTGGTTGCTTCCATGCCGTTACCGCTCCCGCTCCTGAAGCCTCCAACACCATCACCCGCATCGGCTCCCAGCTGGCTATTCTCCAGCGATCCGAGATCTCCAACCCACCTTTGTATGGCGCTCGCATTGTCAGCACTGTTCTCAACGACCGTGACCTCTTCGCTGAGTGGGAGGAGAACTTGCGCACCATGTCAGGCCGTATCATCAGCATGCGCGACACTCTACGAGCCAAGCTGGAGGAGCTCGAAACCCCCGGTACCTGGAACCACATTACCGACCAGATCGGCATGTTCAGCTTCACTGGACTAAGCGAGTCACAAGTTCTCAAGCTTCGAGAGGAGTTCCACATCTACATGACCAAGAACGGTCGCATCAGCATGGCTGGCCTCAACGACAACAATGTCGAGTACTTTGCCAAGGCTGTTGACAAGGTAGTACGAGATGCCGCTTAGATCCACTCGGGTCGAGCAAGAGTTTGATTGTTTTGGATTGTGTATGAAACTCATGGGATGTGGTCGAATACAAGACCCTAGAACGAAATTGGCGTTTGGATTACAGCTTCCTATTGTCGCACCTATCATGACGAAGTCTCTGCAAAAAGCACTGGACGATCCTTGTTGCTGCATGCTATTGACAGCTTTTAATATACCTTGACTGCAAGCCAATACATTTTTTTGCATACTCAAACTTTTCTTCTTCTTTTTTTCGTTTACTATGTTGTACGTGATGTCGTGTGAGGGAAGACGCTGTGGGACGTAGATCGCAGCTTGTCTTCCCAGTACAAGCTATGGACGACGTATTCTTGGCATACGCCAGGGGATTTTCACCTGCAGACAATAGCATAAACACGTTTAGAGATGGTTTTCAGAGAGGTGCGATATGCGATTCAAGACTTGATTGGCTCGCATCTCACGCGGGACTGCCAGGAACTTCCTGCTTTATTAGGTAAAAGTACTATTGTTGATAATATAGCGGTAACCGAAAACGGACACAGACACAGGCACAAGCATCCTTAAGACCTAAAGACATCAGGCTGAGTCGGACTCCAACTCCATACGCGGTCATTCGGGGAAACTTCGCGGTCTCGGAGGGAGGAAGCTTCGTTTTGTTCCATCTTGCTTCCCCGGGCTTCGAGGCATCTGTCGCCGACCGCGGCATCGAGACCCCGAGTTTACCGTGAAGGAGGGAGGGGAATTTCTTGCCGCGCACACTACACTCCCCCCTGTCAAATCAATATTTGCCGTCTGGGGAAGATCCGAAGAAGAAGGAAAACTGTTCCTGTTTTTCTCTCTCCAGAGTCCACCTCCGCAATTTTTTATTTTGGTTTCTTTTTATCTTTTCCCCGCATGGGAGCCGCTCGCTTGTCCGGGGACCAGGGGGGGCGTGTGCCAAACAGTCACCGACAAGCCATGGAAAGATGCGGGTGAAGGCGGCGGAAGGGAATTTTTTCTGGACGGTGGAGACGGAGATGATAACAGAGGTATTGGCTGGGGAAACGGTTTGCGTGATACATCGTGGACGTTGCAAAGCTGCAGTTCCGTTGCTTGTTACTGCGGTTTTTGTTATGTCATTAGACAAGCAGCATTGCAACGGTATCCATATACAGCCTCCGATATACCCCGAGTATCATGAAGATTAAACTGAACTGAATTGAACTGAACCTGTTAGATTTCGAAATAGACATAGTGTGAGGAAATCCATGAATAGCTTCTGGTGCTATCTAGGCTATTACACAATGGCGTATCCACTGGTGGGGCGCAAAAAGAAGGTACATGGGAGGAACTTGGGGAATCGGGGGAAGCGGGAAGCCAGCGACGGGACTTCTCCGATGCCGGGGGCGTACGAAGACGGAAAGATACTAGGTAGATAGATACTATGGGGTAATGGACTGGGGCAGATTACACCACGTTACTAGGTTAATGCGTGTTTGGTCTTGGTCTCGCAATTGAGCGTATGCTTTGCGTGTGTAATTGAAGCTTGGTGGGTATAATCTCGGATGGCGTGTTGGGCATATGCCACTTTTGCGAACCTCGTGATGTAGAGTTTGATGTGGGATCGTTGAGTATGGGTTTGGAGCATACACTAGTATTGCCATGCTAAGAGTATTCAGGTAAATAATACCTAGTTATAGCAGAGGCTTTGTATTGTGAATATTGTCTATTGATGTCATGAAGTACCTAGATGCACGTAAACACCCAAAGCCAACTCTTGGACGAAATATCATGGAATATTATTGTTGAGCAACGAGCTATTTAACTGCTAGCAACCACCTACGGTTGTGTGCCATGGGTAGACCAGAGGATAAACACGATATACATAATTAGTCCCACCTTGAAGTAGGACGAAGACGTGTTGTGTTATGGTTCCAATGCAGGTAAAACTCCATATAATACCATTGGACAAAAGGCATGGAAACTCACCCTACAGTCGTGCATTCTGTAACCATCTAACGGTCCATGGGCAACACTCACAACAAATTCGAGTCTACTTAGTGCTCATTTATTTCAATTTACCCTGATAGCTATGTACGTATTGTGAATGGACTTTGATCAAGTATTTCAGGAGATCATACGATGAATGGCCTTGCTTTGCCGTGTTATGCTCGTGAACATGTTAAACTTCCTTTTCGGCGCCTAAGAACCACCCGGATATTTCTTTCACAATAATACAAGGTAATCCGAACAAGAAAACTCGATAAACTGAACAAACTCGCCCTGTCCTCATATTATGAACAAAGTTTTGTGTTGACGTTCGACTGTTGAGATGGAAGCATGCTTCTCACCTCGCTCGCCTAGTTCAGCGCTCAGCTGCCTAGACTGAACCCCCACCACTTCACCACAACGTCGCTTCATTACACAACCTCACCAACAATGAACTTACAGCCATGGGCAGAAAACTCCCCTGGAAGACGTCCCCGACGGCTTCAAGTCCTGAGAAGAAACCAAATATAAAACCAGAGAGTCCACGGCCAACACTATCTCGATCGCCAAACCCTGGCACACCATCCGCATCGTCTAAGAAACCGCGTCGTGAGCGCGTTATCGAGGCGCAAGGTATCGCAGACATGTATCTCTCATCAATGCCGCATATAGACTAACTATATCTCATAGATGGCGCACGCAGTCCGTCTACATCGCCACCGCCAGAGCCGCCGCCAGAGAGGTCTTTCTTCCTTGTGAAGTATTAGTCAGATCACAAACTGACACAGTCCAGATTCATGAGACCAGGTCTTGACCATGATGACCGCTATCGTATGGTCGAAGACGAATTTCTGAACATGGCGCATCAATTCACAACCCATCTCCATCGCGCAGAGTACAACCGTTTGAAGAATCTGGCCAAGAACCAGAACGCAGACGCCATCCGTGAGATTGAGCGACCCATCGTCGGCGCACCAACCCTCCTCGCGCGACAGCGCCACGGCGCAGCGCAGCGCATCATCAAGCAGCGCAAGCTCCTCGGCAGCGATGCCAATGAGAAGGACACGCCTTATGCAGGGTCGAGTCTGCAGGGTCTCATGGAGAGTCCGAGGAAGGAGCACAAGTGGATTTCAGCCGGTCTGGCCGATGCGGCAAAGACGAGAGCTTCAGCTGGATTTGATTCGCAGAAGATCAGTCCCCTGCGGATGAAGCAGATATCAAAACCATCATCGGCGAAGAAGAGACATATTTCTCTCGCGGAAGATGATGAGACCGATGAAGGGGACGATATGGATCTTGCTACGCCCTCACGCACCCATACTGCGAAAGCAGCTCGCACATTACACACATCGAGCCCGGTCATGCCACGCTCTGCACCGCGACCAACGTTTAGCACTCCCCGTGCACTGAAAACAAGTCTAAACAATGCCCCACGATCGGGTTCCAGCGTCAAACGACCAACTGCAGCACCTGGAGGATCCGAAGCACGCAATACAGCCAAACGCCGTGATGCTCGTGAGGACATTGATGATGACGACCCCTTTGGAATCACCAAGCGAAGAATCCAACGTCAGAAGTCAAGGGAACAGGTTCGCAAGCCGGAAGAGAAGACACCTACCAAGTCCTCTCTTGATGACATTCCCTCATTTATATGAGCTCGTTCATGGTTACTATCGGTACTAATCACAAAGCCAATTATCAAGATGAGAAATCAAATCAGTTCTTTTCATTCATGTAAGCTCTAATCTTCCATTGGTCGATCCTGCACTGTTAGCTCATCGAAGTCGTCCAACAACTCATCCATGTCGACATGAGGAGCCTCGTCATCCTCCCCTTCGGTCTCAGCCACGCTCATCTCCTCCTCGGCCCTCTTCTTAGCCTTGTACAAGGCGAGCGTAGCACGGAGCTCCTCGTCCTCCTCGACATCTCGCAAGAACTGCTCGTACTCTTGATCCATACGTTCTTGGTCGGCCTTCTTGGGCAGAAGCTCGCCCTCGTCCTTGCCCATGCGCTTGAGCTGCCAGTTTCTCTTGCGGTTCTTTCTGCGGCGGGGGTAGTGCTTCTTCACTAGTACCACGTCGGGAATTCTCGACGAGTATGTGTTGGAGGCCTCGATCGCCTCGTATTCGGTGTTATTAAAGACGGTACCAGCCAGCAGATAACCCATGGCCGAATCACCAGGCTGGAGGAGTTTACCCATGTGGGTTCTTGTGAAGTATGTTCGGTCGTTGTGACCGAGATCAGAAGCTCGCGCGACTGTGGCCTCGCCAAGCGTCCACTTGCCCTTCTGGGTTGATGTGAGGTCGATGTCCATGACGATGAACTCTACAAGCTCGTGTGTATCGGAAAGCGACAGGAAAGGGGCTCGCCAGTAGATTGGGGCGCTGATATCAGCAGTCTGGAGAGTTTGAGGGTCCAAGAGATAGACAGAAGTACCAATCTTGTGGCAAAGAAGGAGAGGAGAGATGTTGCCGCTCTGCTTGGCCATCTTGATGGGCAGGGCGACCAAATCGTCCTTACATATCGGCACCAACTCGGCCGAGTATGTGAACTTGTACTGCGTCTTGGAAGTGTGGACATCGTGAGAAATCAGCTCCTGCGAAGACTTGATCTTGACGGGGACCACGGAGTTGAGGAAGTCGATAAACTTCTCGGCCTGGTTCCTTTGAGAGAAGAAAAAGTCGATACCATCCTTGGCCTCCCTGATGTTGAGGGTGTCCTTGTGCGCGCCGTGCTTCATGATAAGCTGCTCGAGGAACAAGAAAGTTCGCTTGTGGAGGACCTTCTGGCGGACCTGAACAGCAGCTCGCCAGACGTTGGCAGTGTACGACTTGGCACACTCAGGGCACTGCTGGTACGCCACCACGTATATGACCTCGAAACTCTGCTGGAGCAGCATGCCATCCTGAACAGAATCCTGGATGGTGATCTTGACCTTGATTCTTCGCGAATGGGGTTCAGTCCAGATGAAATGTGCGTCCACAAGACGGACTTTGTTCATGCCTCGAAGTTTCTTGAGGCATAGGGCCAGCAGTTCGCGGGACTCGGGGGAGGCGACGACCCAGCTGTTGGGGGGCATGAGCCATCGGTCGCAATCTCGGCAGAAGTTGAGCACCGCCTCTCGCTGGACGCCCTGGGAGATGTCGACGGTGAGCTTGATGCAGTCGTAGCAGAGAGCGCCGGTGGAAGCGGTTCCATCGATGGGGGCACCGCAGTTGCAACAGAGAATACTGACAGACGACCATGTTAGTATTGCGCCTCGACAGAATGGAATGAGTGCGGGGTGGGTTGAGAGAAAGATCAAAAACTCACGTTGCAGCGCCCTGCTGCTGAGAGACAGGGGCTATAGAGATGGGCTGGTCATCCAAATCCATCGACATGCTGGGCAACGATGTCGTGTGAAAATTGATGAAGTTGTTTTTGGGTGAAATGGATGATGTTCAGTGACGAGAGTGGGAGAATTTGGTTTCGCCCGCCGCTTGATAAGTGGCTTATCAGTTGGGCAGGATATTTTTTTTACAGACGCGGGGCAAATTTTGGGAAAATGCAAGTGAAAGTGCAAGTGCACTTTCATCACAGTCACAGTCAAGCAAAGTTCAAGGGTCCACTTGGCTCAAATAAGTTGCGGTCATGCCGATCATTGGATGGAACATCATGTAAAATGGATTCTCTCTTACAGAAAAGAGTCATCGGGTTGAAATAGAGATCAGGTATTATTATAGACACAAAATAACAATAACAAAATGGCTGTGTGAATCAGAAAATCTTGCTTAATACCCTCGTCACCTCTGCAGGCTGATCTTCCACGTCCGTCCTCTTCTTTGCAAGAGGAACCTGCTTGAACGATCGCTTGACCTGGCGCACTGAATCGTCGGCCTGTCCCTCGACGTCTGCTTTCCTCTTCTTGGCCTTGGCTTTGACCGCCATGCCATCCAGCATCTTTGCCTTCTCCACGTTCCTGACAAACTCCTTGTTCTCCTTTGTGGACTTGCTGATCTCGGCTCTCATGCGACTAGCGCGCTCGGCGTTCTCATGAGCGATCTGCTCCGTGAGGTTATGCCACTTAAAGCCCTTGAGGTACAGAAGATTCCATAAATCATCGTGGTAGTAGCTGCCCTTCTTGCCGCCGATTGTGTTCGCGTTGAGGAGATCACACACGGCCTTAGCATCCTTCTTCTTGGTGAACTCGACCCAACCCTCGGTGTAGGAGCGCTTCTTGTTGCCGCCTGCGCGGACGCGACGGGCATGCGAAGCTGGGTCTTCGGGCGCGAGGAAGATGCGGTTGATGGTGCCGTAGGGTTCGAGTAGGGAGCGCAGCTTGGCGGGCTTCATGAAGGGAGGTATACGGGAGAGGTAAACAACGCCAGATCTCTTGATGGCGGCCTCGGAGGCGACGAGGTTCTTCTTCGTCAAGGTTCTTGTGACGTCGGGGAGTTCTGTTGATGTGGTGTCTTTTGATTTGCGCTTTGGCTTTTCGGACTGATCTCCGTCTTGCTCCTTCTTTCGCGATTTGTTTGCATCTTTTCCAGGAATGTCGTCCTCATCGTCGCTGTTGTCGCGATCAACGTCGCTACCCAAATCGTCTTCCTCATCCGAGTCCAACTTCCGTCGCTTGGCGCCTCGGCCACCCTTTTTCATATCATCATCCTCTGAGTTGTAGCCGACATCGTTCTCCTCGTCACTGTCAACCGTATCGAGAAAGTCGTTCTTAGTTTCGGGCGCCATGTCTAATGCGAATGCGAATGGCAGCTGTATGCTTAATTTGTCTCCCTATGTGAGGCTGGAGAATCGAGTTCTAGAAAAAAAGTAGTCCCTGATAAGATAAGGTGCATTGGCGTCCCTGGTCTGCAAGGGTCCGTCTAGAATCTAGAATTGGAGAAGAGTCATGTGACTTGGAGGGGTAGCCCGCGACGTCACTGATAAGACAAATTTGGAGGGGAATATTTTGAGAAGAGACGAGAGGAACTTCTTGATGCTGTTAAGTTGATTTGGATTACTAGTTCTTATCATTGGACCTCTTGCAGGACTAGGAATTGATCTTGGTTCACAATTAAACTATATGCAGATATCCCAATTCTTGTTAAAGCTGGGTTCATGTAGTTTCAGCTCCCTAACTGTAACCAAACTCGTATTTCTTGAGACTTGTCACTGTACAGCTGCTCACACTCGAGTAGCTTGAACAATTAATTCAACTGCCTATTACTTTAAAGCTCTATCATGAATACAAGTCTCAAGTTTAACTATCATTTCCTATCAAAAGTCGTGGCGGGGCTGAAGCCGCCGAGGTCGGTACTTGCAATACGTGGGGCAGCGCGAGCCGCGAGCCGCCAACCGCCCACTATGTAAGTGATAGGTTAGGACAAGACAGGACAGGCACCTCTATCTCCAGCTATTACTCCACTTGCACGTCAACAGTGGCCAACTACAAAGATATTATCTTGTCCACCACTTCTCACAGCAACCTCACTCCATCACTCACACATAAACTCATACTCATAATGTCTGTCGAAACCATCACCACAATCTCCCCCAACACAAACGAGCCCATCCTTACCAGGAATGGCGCCTCTGCCGCAGACCTGGAGTCTCTCCCCAAGGTCGCCACTGAAGCTTTCGAGAGCTACCGCAAGACAACCCTGAAGGAGCGTCAAGCTATAGTCCGCAAGTTTCTCGATGGCCTTTTGGCTAAGAAGGATGACCTTGGTGAGGAGTTGACTGTTCAGATGGGCCGCCCCATCTCATACACACCTGGCGAGGTCGCCACAGCTGTTAAGCGTGGTGAATATCTCCTCAAGATCAGTGACGAGGCTCTTAAGGACACCGACGGTGAGCCCGAGAAGGGCTTCAAGCGTTTCATCCGAAAGGTCCCCGTCGGGCCTGTGCTTATCATCTTCGCGTGGAACGTAAGCGTTGGCCTCGTTTTTTTATATCGGTTTGCATTACTGACTGGCTCTATATAGTACCCCTACCTTATTTTGGTCAACTCTCTCGTTCCCGCTCTTCTTGCAGGCTGCAGTGTAATCCTCAAGCCCTCACCTCAGACACCCACCATCGTGGAGCGGGTTACCGACATCCTAAAGGAGTCGGGCCTGCCGGATGGCGTCTGCCAGTACTTCCACTGCGGCTCTCCTACCATTATGGAGACAATCGTGCGCGATCCCAAGATTGCCCTAGTCTGTTTCACCGGCTCTGTCGCTGGAGGACTTGCTGTGCAACAAGCTGCGTCTGACCGCATTGTAAATGTCGGTCTGGAGTTGGGTGGCAAAGACCCGGCATATGTCCGATCAGACGTTGATGTTGATTGGGCTGCTGCAGAGATCGTTGACGGTGCCATCTTCAACTCTGGCCAGAGCTGCTGCTCTCTTGAGCGGGTATACGTTGATGAGAAGATTCACGACCAGTTCGTTGAGGCCGTGCAAAAGGTGCTCAAGGCGTACAAGCTCGGCGATCCTTTCGAGAAGGAGACTCAAATAGGACCTCTCGTATCGAAGCGGTCAAAGCAGGCTTTTGAGGAACATATCAAGGACGCCATCGACAACGGTGCCAAGGATGCGACTCCCGAGAACGAGACTTTCAGCAACCCTCCCGCCAAGGGTAACTTTGTGAAACCCACCCTTCTCACCGGTGTCAACCACAGCATGCGGGTCATGACTGAAGAATCGTTTGCTCCAATTAGTAAAGTCTTTCGAATGCGTTTGATGAATTTACGCTGACCAAGATACAGTTCCTGTCATGAGCGTCAAGAGTGACAGCGAGGCTATCAAGTACATGAACGACAGCGAGTTTGGTCTGACGGCCAGCATCTGGACCAAGGACACAGACAAGGGATACGAGCTCGCCGAGGACGTGGAAGCGGGCACTGTTTTCGTTAACCGATGCGATTATCCGGCACCGGTACGTTTTGACCCAAGCACAAGGGACTTTGCATTATGTGATGTATGACTTTTGCTGACTGATCGACAACAGGACCTGGCATGGACTGGCTGGAAGAACTCGGGCAAGGGACAGACACTCAGCAAATTTGGATTTGATCAGTTTGTGAAGCTCAAGAGCTACCACCTTAAGGATTACCCAAACTAAGGGATGATGGTTAAGATGAATGCATTGTTAGTTGAACCTGGTTAAGATAATTGACTCGGACTACAATGACTCTGGTTAATGAGACGACGTCTATTGGAAATGATTCAAACACCTGCAAACAATCTGATACTGCCGTGATTAAGAATGAGGTATTGTACGTGAGCATTCGAAGTGCACATCATCTCTCTTAGCGACTGTCTCTAGGAAGCGTCTCCCCTGCGGCGAGACGGGATGTTTTCGACGCCAGGCGACCAAGACAAGCAAAGGATAAGCTTTTGGGGGGTTGAGTTTGGGGTATGTTGATCAATGGGAAGTACAAATAGCTGCATCCGGTAATTCATGGCTGGGTCAAAACGAAACAAAACAGAACAATCTATGACAGATCAAACCAGTTACGACGTGGCATTTGCACTTACATTTACACTTCCACGGGAGGAAGACAAGGTGACGCCATCTTCCCTTTGGCAGCTCCAGCAAAAATCAATAGACTTGCTGTTTAGTACTGAATTATCTACATTACAACCTTTTCTTTCTCTGCCCTTGGATCTCCCTTTGTCGCACGAGATTGGCTGGGGACGCCACGGGGCATTGAGTATGTGATAGTTTCCTCCCCCCTTGTACTCTGTACCATGGACGCAATTTACTGTCAATAAACCCGCACATTGAAGGAGGTTCTGTTTGTGATTTCTTTGCAACCGTGCACTGTTTTTATTTATCTATTTCCAAGTAGTCTGACTTGTAAACCTGAGTTGGGTTCTCTTTGCGGCCCTTTGCTCGTCGCACCATGGCCGTGTTTACTGTAATTGTGGAGTGTCATCTGTCTCAATTAGGCTGGCTCGCCCCTCCTCCAGCTGAGACATGTAATGCTAACGTTGGGTAGGCCACATCCCCAAATAAGGCGTTGGACCATAGGTACCTTCAGGACCCGAGACGCTGGAATTCCAGAGACCTAGCTCCAACATTCCAGCGGCTGTGCCCCTGACTGTCCCCTGCTCCCGGCCACACAGACTGCCTGTGCCTGTGTCTGTGTCTGCTTGCACTGGACCTCCTCTCCATGATACTGCGTATGCATCTGCATCTCCATCTGCAAGTCATATTTCCCGTCCCTTGCGGCTCGTATGGATCCTTTATTAATTAAGCACTTGCACAGTCCTGACTTATAATCTTAGCTGTACCTCTCTCTATCTTTGCCTTGTTCCTTCTTAGTCTGTTGCTTATGCTCTTAGGATTCAGCTCCTTCATTCCTGTCATTGCAGTGCTATAATTTCACCACCTAATTCCTTCTTATTAGCTCTCTCTTTTTCAACCTCTTATACACATTCACATCCATTGCATCCAATACAATACACACACTCTTCCCCCCACCCTCTCTCTCTCTCTCTCTCTCTCTCTCTCCCGCTTTTGCATACCTCAACCTCGTTGGTACCTGAGACTAGACTGATTCTCTTTGTATCAAAAACATACCGGACCTGGCTGGCTATTACTGTTACCGTTACCTACTGATCGACTCCAAACTCCACCAACCACTTCAAAGACCGCGTGCCTTGGCCTTTGCACCATCTGACACCCACTACTTGTACCTTTCTTTGTCCTTGTCCCTCCTCTAGACCGTGAATCTAGGAAAACGAGGCTTCTATTTTGAACTCGCCTCCTCCTTCTTCATTTCCCGACCTTCTTTCCTTCCTCTTAAGAATTCCAATCCTCTCTTTCTTCTCAACTTCTCAGCTTCAGCCTCTTTGACTCTCCTCCCAACCCTTCTCTTTATCTCAACTAGAGCCTCTCTTTCTCTCGACACTTCTTCTTTACAAATTCTACAACGACACTCCACTTTCGACTACTACCACTACCAGCCAGCCACAATTCTTGGTTGGACTCTATAAGAAAGAAGCTTTACCACCAACACCACCCGACTCGATGGGTTTCGCAGCTGTTTTCGCTACTGAGAGACGAGATCCTCATTGCTTCCAACTTCCTTTCACTCGCCGTCGATCTACAAGGATGCATATTTCGGATGACTTCCAGACGCTCTGCGAGCGAGTCCAGACCATGGTTCGCCAGCGACGTCGCAAGGAGAAGCGCAGTATGGAGATTGTAAGTTGATACGTTCAATATCTAATCTGGATGATCATAGACTAACACTTTTACTTCATAGTCTGAACCTTTCAACTTCGTCAAGAACCCAGTCGACCTTCCAGGCGTGTCATCAGAACAGTAAGTCTATATAACCGCAACCTCCTATCAACCAAACACTAACTCGTTCAAAGGCTCGCTATGCTTCGAGAACATGCCGCTGCCGGTTGTATTGGCATTGCAGACCCTCCCAGCCCTACGGCCCCTCGCTCACCCTGTTCTACATCGAGCCTCTTCTCCAACCCAGTCCGACCTCCCATGAAATCTGTCGCTACATCCAACTCCATCTCATCTACCGACAGCCTGCGTTGATCGAATCTGGACAGTTTGTCATACCTTATTATTTGTTTTTACGGCTATTGGAAGTTACCAGGGGCGTCTTAGAAAAGGAAAACACATCACTTTGTTTGTCACGCATGGATTATGGATAGGCTACCTCTTGTACGATACACATGGAACGAAACTCGAAGAGGACTATGGGAAAATGGGCATCTACGGGACCATCGGAAACGCGATATTAGAACATCATCATACCCGGAGTAAATTTTAATCTGTTAATTCTATTACTACCATCCCACACCGTCTCTTCTCGCAAAGACCCCTGAATCCACAGACCTCGTAATGCCTTCCAATCTACACCTGTTCGTCAGGACTGTGAATGAAACGTTGTCGTTGACGGGGAGAGTGGCACTACATGGCATGGCATGATATGTTTCATTTCAATGTTTAAGACATGCATTCATTCTCGCTTGCCGCTTGTCGCTATAGTGTCTTTTAGATCCAACCGGCGTACACATCAAGGCTCTCGGAGCGAACGCCCTCCATCTCCCCCTTAACGCCGAGCAGCTTGACCTTTGTGCCCTTCTCCTTTGCCCACTTCTCCAGGAACACCTCAACACGCTGCTTCGTCTCGTCATCATCCTTCATCAGGAGAGCCAGGGCGTCGTAACCGCCTGCTCCAGGGACGACGCCACCGTAGACGCCCTCGACGGTACTGAGGGCATCGAGAAGCTCTGTCTGGCTCTCGGGTTCGATGGGGACTTCACTCGCGCTGCCCATTTGTCTGATCATTTCTCGCACCGCCGTGATCTTCTCTGGCAGCTGCGCGATATCACCAGCGTTGAGTGTAGCAATCAGCTCCTCATTACGCTTCTGCAACTCATCCCAGAGCTTCTTGGATTCGTCGGGGTTCGCAGCTTTCCAGGCGAGGACCTTCTTGACCATGCCGACTGTCTTGCTTCCACAGTCTACGTCGCACATGCGCAGAACCATACCCTTGGGCATGGTCACGGCATCCTTGAGAACCTCAACATCCCACGAAGACTCGCCGTCGACGAGCTTCACCAACGAATCTGCAAAGCCAGCCGCACCAGGCTCAGGAATCTTGCTCAGCGTCTCAGGAGAGAAACGTCTGTATCTACAAGATCCATAGACAGCAGTCGCAACATCGAAGCCCGAGCCGACCTTTCCCTGAGCAGCACAGTGAGCCGCCTGTGCCAGGTTATGCAGCGTCCTCTTTCCCTGATCAGACTGAACATCGAAGAGGTCCTTAGGTAGATAGTGAGCCAGGAGCGAAGCTGTCAGTGAAGTAACAAGAGCGGCAGATGAACCAAGACCAGTCTTGTTGGCTTCGCCCAGGGTCACAGGGAACTTGGCGAAGCGGCCTGTACGAGTGCTCTCAGATTCTGAGTGAGAGTAGTAGTCGTTATCTGCGAGGATGATAAGACGGGCAGATGTCATGCTATGGCTGGAACGATGCCCGGCGACACGGTCGATGTAGGTGAGGGCATAGCTGAGGGTTGTCTCCACGAAGGGGTTGGGGCTGATTTGAGCGCCGCTGCTGATGAGTGAGTAAGGTGAATTGTTCTTTGAGGGGAGAGTTTTGCATGAAGGAATTGATGGTTGGTTTGTATCAGTCACTCAATTCGTGATGATCAGCCAACCTATCACATACTCTCGTCTCGTTGGAGAACTGACAGATCGACCATAGTCTCCATGGGGGTTGAATGCAAATTCACAGTGCAATCAATCGTTAACTCTTAACAAGAAAAAAATAACTTACACTTGCAATTGAGTCACCTTGATGCCGCCGCCCTCACTCGCCCGATGGTATCCATACCGCCATTGGGCTTCAAGGAACTGCGGGCTGTCAACGACAATCTCAGTGAGCTGCACCCCAGCAGTGGTGTGAATTTCCCCTGCAATGATGTTGATACGAGCATTGAGGCCAAACACAAAAGCCGTGTACTCCTGGTCCAGCACCAGGTATCCGCCAGCGAGGAAGACCTTGCCAGGAGCTGAGATGGCGATGGTGGGGTGGTGGAGAGACATTGTGTATGAGTTCTGTGTATATATATATGAAGATCTTGGTGGGAAAGATGAAAGAAAAGAACAAAAATAGAAGTACAATTGGTAGTGAGGAGAAACGACGGCAATGACTCTTGAGTTTGTGAGGAGGCTCCTTTACTTAGACTGCATGCATATACTAATATTGATTGAGAAAGATCATTAAACTCTGGCGGGGCTTCATTTCTACATTGCACAGTGCATGTGAATCACTGTGGAGAGACACACTGTAGTCTATTCAGACCTTAGTCACAGAAGCATCGCCCAATTAACATACAGCAGACTTCCTCAACCTCGGTGAGGTCTAGTTCTAGTCAACTTAACAGCACCTAACGGAGCTTAATGATGGCAATTACACGTCATACAGTCCAAGGTCGAAAGCCTCAAAAGCCATCTCTCAAACAGGACATATTGTGGCATTATCACCACCACAACTAACACGAATTCATGTCAAGCAAGCACTATTCAACACATAGACAAGAACAATCATATTCGATGACAAAATGGTCATTGCTTCGTTGTTTATTGTATTGATGGTACAAGCAGCAGGACTGCATGCTCGGCTGTCTCTTGGCCAATTCTCTCCTTGGCCTATTCCCTGGCTCTTCCATGTCCTTCTATGCTGCTAATATGCAATGTAGATAACGGTTTCCCTTTCTTGGAGTGGTGATGATCTATCCAGGGAACGTCCGGCCCCAAAATCAATCATTCAGAGGCCAACGCTCCACGACAATCCCTTTTTTTGATTCCCAAACGCCGTCCCATTCCAGGGCTCGAGGGTACCCAAAGCCTCTCGATCATGATATTTCATCAAAAAATGCCCCTTTGTAAAGACAACCAGCATAACCGGGCCCGACCCAATCCCAAATCCCCCCCCCAACCAGTAGTACAATAGGGTATCAAACAAATGGCGCCAACATTAAAAAGAAAACATTACCGTATCCCACCGAGTTCTTTCATCAAAAAGCTCATCAATTAAGCAGAATCATGTCCTCCACCAAGAAGTTCGAGCACCTTGTTGACAACAGCACTGGGGTAGCCGCGAGTAAGCATCTCACCAACAACACCCTTGGCTTGTTCCCGTTGCTCAACAGCCAAGAAAGCCCGAGTCATAGCCTCGTATGTACTAGGCTCGCGCTTCTCTCGGCCGACGGCGTCGTAGATGCCCTGAGCCTTGTCGATCTTCTTCTCAGCGGCCCAGCCGTGAATCAGAGTGTTGGCGATATAAGGGGTCATTCCCACACCGTTGCTTCGCATGTGTGCAAGCACTGGCTCGGAAGCAGCAACCTGATGGTTGGCAACCATCGCCTCAAAAAGAGCTTGGTACAGGCTGGCACTGATGGGAACAAGAGACTCCTTAACGACCGAATCGAACATCTTCATGGCACCCTCCATGTCGTGCAGAACACATCCCCTTGCATGGATCAAAGAAGCGTAATGGACTGGCTCAACACGCTGGCCTGAGGCACGAATCATGCCCAGAACCTCTTCAGCAGCTTCCATGTCAACGGGATCCAGAGTGGCGTGAGTATCGACAAGAAGCTTGTAGGTGTGGGCAGTTGGGGCAATGCCCTTAGCCTTCATGCGTTCATAGTAAGCCAGAACCTTTGACTTATCGCGCTTAGTGGTCAAGAAGAATTGCATCATGCTGTTGTAAGGAGCGGGACGAGCCTTGTAGTTGGGCATGGCCTCCATCTCATCGAACAGGGTTTCGGCAAACTTCTCATCACTGACTCGACAAAGGGCGTTGACAATAGTACCGTAGGTCACCGAGGTAGGCTTGATTCCAAGTGCTCTCATTTCGGCAAAGTAGAAGAGACAGTCGTCGATGCGGCGTGCCTTTCCTAGCTTACCAATAAGAGCATTGTACAAGAAAGAGCTGGGCTCAACTCCCTCGGCCTTAGCCCGATGGAAAATGCGGACAGCCTCAGAAGCCTCGTCGAAAGTCTTGGTTGAATCCTTGAGAGTGGTGATGTAGAGACCAAAAGTGTTCGCAGATGGACTAGCACCCATCTCCAACAGCTCCAAGTGGAACTGCTCAGCTCGTCCGCGGTTACCCACAGTGAGGCAAGCGCCGATCATAGCGTCGAGAATGCTGGACCATCCATAACGGATAATAGCGTACTGGGGCATGATAGGCATATCGGTGCGGGCCATAGAGAGGATGTCGTGGCACAAATCGAATTTGCCATCACGAGCAGCAGCAGAGATAAGCTTGGCGTAGGTAATGTAACGAGGATGTCGGCCGGCACGTCGCATGTTTCGGAAACGGTTCAGTGCCTCACTAAGACGAGGACCTTTGCGACCATGGCTTCCCTCAAGATCGTCGGCAATCAGGGAAGAGCCCTTGAAGTCGGTGCTGTGGGCGTAAGGGTCGTAAGTATCCTCAAAGGTAGAAACAACAGGAGTCGAGACAAAAGGCGAGCTAGTCACGGGTTGTTGGGGGAAGTTATGGACTTGGGAAGCGATCTCGCGAGGATTAGCAATTCCACGAGTTTCCATGTACCGAGAAATGAATTCGGCACCCTCATCAACCTCTTCAATGAGATGAAGTTCAGCGTCAGAGACAGATCCACGAATTCGCTGGAACATCATCTCAGACTGAGCCAGTCCCTCGGCAACCTGACCAGAACCAATCAATGCAACGGCATACATGGCTGTAGGCTCGACGAAAGAAATAGTTGCCTGGACCTCGGGGTTGCACAAGGTTTGCCAATACCTGGAGGCACTCGCAACATCACCCTCGCGAATGCTCATGGCGAGAAGAGCAGTCGCAGGGGTGATCAAATCATCGGCATAAGAAGGCATACCATTGTAGGCCGCAACAGCGGTGTCCTTGTCGTCCTTATCAGCAGCGATGGTAGCAATCTCGCCCATAGCCTTGGCACGAGATTCGGCCTCGACAGACTGGGCCCAATGGAAAGCCTCCTGATAGATGCCACGGGTGATAAAGCCCTTGACAAAGCCAGTCGTGACCAAAGCATCCTTGATGTCAGCAGCGCGAACACCATACTCGTCAACGATCTTCTTGAAGAACTTCATGGCACCCTCGATCTTGTCAGTAACCACATAAGCGTTGATTACTGCCGCGTATACCTCGGCATCAAGACGGTCGTTAAGCGTCGTTTGTCCAACGTCGTGAGCGATAGCCAGGTTGCGGTATTCGTTGTAGCATTCAACAGCACTGATCAGGTCTCCAGAAGAGGCGAATGCAGTGATCATAGTAGGAAAAACGGCGGCGAAGGGGATGATCTGACTAGCCTCCATATGCTCGAAAAGACGCAGCATGTCAGCGACGCGTCCATCCTTGGCACAAGCGGTGATTAATTGATGATAAGTCTCAGCAGAGTACTCGGCAGCATTGGTATCAACCGATGTATCAAACAGCTGGACGGCAAGATCAAGACGATCGTCCTCGCAGAGAATGGCATGCTCAAGCTCGTGAGATGCAAGCATAAACTTGCCAGGCTCATCCATACCACCAAATCGTACTCTCTTGTCCTCCAAAGCAGCCTTGAGCTCAGCAACCTCGAGACATCGGGATGCCAGAAGACCAACAAGAATGTTAAAAGTGTCAGCATCTGGCGAAACCTTCCTCCGGAGCATATCAGCGTAAACATCGAGAGACTTGGAGACGATCTCGATCTTCTTCATGGGGATGTGAATAGCCGCCAGCAAGAGAGCATTGTAGGCACCAGCGATCGGTTGAACGCCAGTAGCCAGCATGGCCTCGAAAACGGCAGGAATCTCAACATAGCGGCCATTCTCGGCGAGCTTGTGAAGGTGTCCAGCATAGGACAGCGATTGAGGATCAACTGATGGGACATCGCTGCGAGCAACACTGCCTGGCGTCTGTGTCCTTGAAACCACTGGAGATCGTGGCTTGAAGCCAAGACTAGAGACCGGTCGTCCTTCGGCTACAGCATTCTCAGCTGCCTCCTGTAGACTCCGAACCTCAAGCTCCCTCTCAAGGGCAGCATCGATATGCGCGAGAGCTGCCTGATCCTCAATAGACAGGTTCGATTTGACCTCAGCGTCCTCAATCAAAGCCTGCTCAATAACATCTTGAGCGGTTGCCTGGTCCTTGGTAAGAATGGAGGCCGCGCTTGGCTTCCACTCAATACTCTTCTGAAAGTCGAATTGGGTCCATTCGGGGTCGACTTCACCAGCGGAGTGCTGGTCTTGCAGAGCCTCGAAATACGCGTCTAAACCTCCATGATTTTGGCCGGGGCGGTACTCTACGGACGGAAGGCCCGAAGATGCTGTGCGCTCGGTGTGAAAGGCAGAGTGAAGCTGGAGGTTAGAGAAGCGACCAAGTCGGTTGGTCTTTCGTCGTACGAAAACTGGTCGGTTTTGTGAGCTGAGGACGTGAGGATGGGCGGCCGCAACAACGGATTGGGCGTAACCGTGTGTTGTGATCGACTTTGCGAATGTTGATCCTTGACGGACGAAATTCGAGTATAGGGAGGAGTATATGGTGGGCATTTAGAAATCACCCAGGGGGGAGAGGGAGACTACGGAGCCTCTATATCAGCAACAAGAACAAGTAGAAAAGCAATGCGCAATGATGCTGTGTGTCAAGTATAGTCATATGCTGTGGGCAATGTGCCTGAGGACTGACCAAAACCTGGAGTCGAGTCGAACGATTATGAGATGTGTGTCGAACCACGATATGGGGAGGCGTGGAGGAACCGTGGTGTGTAGTGGAACCAAAAAATACAATTGAAGTGGCACTTACATTAGAAAAAAGGGAATGATATCAATTGCAGGTTCATTTGACAGCGAGTAAGCCGTCAAATAAACGCGCTGATCAGATTGATAGATGGATTATAGAGGAGGCGAAAGATGGAAGGAATAAAATAGAAGAAACAGTTCGAGTCAGAATCGAAAAGAAAAACTATTGTCGTTTGTCTGGGGTTTGTCCTCGGGTATTGGAGATGGAAGACCAGTGGAGAGGAGGGTGAAGATTGGATGGACCCGGGCCTTAGGGTCGGGGGAGTGGCTGCCTTTTTTTCTCTTTGCCTGAGGTGCAGTGGAGTGGATACCTTGGCAGGTACTGTACGGTATTTCGTAGGTGAGTTACAAGCTGCCTCTTGAGCTTTAGCGGACAAATACCGTAATCTCAGTGTGGGGAAGCCCTCATCGAGCCCTCAAAACGGAGCTTGTCAAGATCAACCACCCACTGAACGAGCTCACTCGCGGCCTGTTATCGCTACAAAGTACCTACCATCATCGATGATGGTTGCGCGGCCGTAGCGGCCTTGTCGGGGGCGCGGAGTTCGGGTCGTTGTTGTTGGCGGCGGAAGTGGGTGTAGACAGGGGTTTACGGTTTAGAGAGACACTTTTTCCAGCGTGTGGGTGCTAGACTCCATTGTAAACAAGGCTTGAGTGGGAGGTTCTGGAATGGATGACTCAGTTGATGAAGCCCTGTGCCTGTAAGTAAAGTTATTCCCATCGGCCGTGGATGGAAGTTGAGTTCAGCTCCGCCTCCAACCCGTCTTTTTTTCTCTTACCCATTAAATTCCCTAGAACCTCCGTAGGCAAGGCTTTCAGGTGACGGTCCCAGTTGAGCTTCAGGTGAAGGATGGAAAACACATCCATTACCACCCATCCAATATCCATTTGCGGGGGGACCTAATGCATGTGGCAACGATTCATACTGCTTAGTCCATTACACGCGCATTCACACCGATCATTGATCCTAGGAAAAGATATGTGCTGGAATACCCACCGCTATGAACGTTCAGAATCTATGAGCAGAACATCCATTCTAGACTTTTTGGGCCTGGCGTTTTGGGGAAGCCGTTGGAAAGACCTGGTTGCGGATTGGCATTGACCAATCAGCTTTCATGGAACTCTGGAAACTGCCTGTTGTCCGGCATGTAAAGTTTTTTCTTCCTTGCTTTTTACGTGGTATCTCCTCGATCATATCAGTTGCTTTTTGGCAGATGCTGTATCAAAGATACCGTATCCGTAATTTCTACGCATATTGCGAATGCTCTGTACACACACGCACACACATGGCATGCTGGTCCCTTCTTTCTTAATGATGTACAGCATGACGGACCCTTTCGCACGCGACGACCCTTGATGACTGCAAGTGACGAATTAAGCGAACAGCGGGACCGTTTTCAAATGCATCATGATTGTTGACGGAGCCAAAAGCCAAAGCCAAAAGCCAAGGGTCTTGAAGAAGTCATTGACTAACTTTAATCTGCCATCCAACTTTTCGTGCCTTTGATGGTGGCCAGGGCGAGAACAAACCGGTGCTTTTAGCCCAGCCCTCCCTGTCTTAGACTTCTTTAAGAGTTGATTTTCTCAGCTTCGATTGGTTAAAAACCTTAGCGTAGAATGTATGGGAGAAGCCGGAACTTCACGTCCAACCTGTCGGGTCACTGCCTGATATCCCGCCAAAGAGAGGACACATTTTGTCTAAGTTCTAACCCTGCTCGTAACAAGGGCAACTTCGATTTTATCAGCTTGGGGTTTTTATTAATTATTATTATTATATTTTTGTGTTCGTCAGCAAGAAATCATGATGGTGGATCTAAGATCATAGTAACGAAATCAATGATCCAAGATATGCCTGGCTCTAAGAGAAACCCTAACCTTCTAGAGTCTACACAAGGTGTGGCAAACCTCTCTTGACTCATCAAGGCTGTGTGTAGTTACTCGGTAGAAAATAGGAAACGTCAGCTGCTGGTTCACTGGTATCAGCCAAAGTACCATACTGTACTTCGTCGCCTGCTACCAATCGTGTGGTCCCCCGGGGCAGGTAGTGCAACTCCGTCGACCCTCTGTCAGCTCTTCCGTTTGCCCTAGCCACAGCCGCCAAAGTCAAAGCCAAAACAACAAAACCCTTCATCATGACAATGGATCATTTAATGTGGCAACGTCAACAAGCGGTTTAGTTTAGCCCCCAAAACGTGGTTGGGGCTCAGGGCTGTGAAGGTGAGTGGCAGGGCTGCAGTTTTGGTCCGTCACATGGATTGCCATCAACGAAAAAGACCCGTTTCCAACGGATGCCACGGATCAGTATGGATTATAGCTGACATTCACTAATTGACTCCCCTGTCAAGCCTGTCTGCCCTGCCTGTCTTGTCAATTCTCTCGCTTGAGGTGAATACTAAATAGCCGAGTCCGATCGGGTGTAAGCATACGGACCGGCATTTTCGTTTGTTAACTCCATCAATATCCATCTAGCGATTGGAGATTTGCATTTGAAGATATGGACATTGGTCGGTGCTATCACATGGTTCGCCCGACTATCACTTATCAATCTGTGACACCTTCCAGGGCGGACTTCACAATCCCGATTGAGCTCGGATGTGACACGGATCAAAATTACGAGCTGCTTATGCCTAGCATTTGCTACTACAGTAACTTTAACTGGACATATCAGGTTTGTTGATGTAGCTTCAGCCTGCAATCTCCGACGCGTTGCACATCACAAGGACACTGACGTAGGACTGTTTTACCAAAATGCTGTGTCCCGTAGATTTAGATTGCGATGTGTATCACTCGAAGTCTGAAGAGCTGCCGCCTCGTGAATTCATATGCGGGACCTCCCTTTGCTTACGCGGTCTAGGTACTTACATTGCATCGTCGCGATTCTACGGGATAGTAAATATGCCTCGTTGTTTCTCCTGCACATCCTGCATCATCTCGTATCGATCTCATCCTTTTGAGGAATCTCGCTCGGGGAAATTCGAGTTGCTTTAAGATGAAGCAAGGGTTGCAAGTCACTTGACAGACCAAATACCGGGAATTCTCGAGTTGTCGATCACCCAGTTTATCCCGAATGTGTAAGTTTCCTTGATTACCCCGTTCGAAGTTCATGGGGCAGATTCCCAGCGCATCATAATATCCAAGCTTTGGATTCGCGATAATAAGCGTCATTCGTGAATGCATTCAACAGCCTGTAACACAACGATGGGCGAAGGTTGAGTCTAGACTGGTCGATCATGATAGTTTATCGATAAGCCAAATCGCTGATAAGATAAAAATGTCTCCACATTTTTATTTTTTCTTCGCATGTATCGAGAATATCTCAAAGCCCCACGTAGAATCTCTATAAACAAACTTCAACAACATCACAATTATGGCTGACGATGGAATGCTTCTAAATTTTGACCTGGGTTCTGGTCCAGTGAAGCCCCAGGTTAAATTTAAAGGTGGACGTTGGCGTGACAGGAAACAGGCTGAGAAGAGTGCAAGATTGGCCTTTGGAAAACCGTCGCAACCCAAACCTTCAGGAGATGGACCTGAGGAGGGCAGATCTTCAAAACGCCAGAGAACAGACGATGTGGACTATGATGATGATTTCGATTTCAAGTCTTCCAATAGGTTTAATGCGCGACCAAGACATGGAGACTCTGACAGTTATGGAGGCGCTCACTCAGGTCAGCCTCGAAACCAGCAGTCGGATGGAAAGTCAAGACAAGTCATTTCGCGCCTCTTCTCGTTCAATCCCGCGCAGACGACAGAAGCGGAGGAGAAACAGGGAGAATGGACTGCCCCAGAAGCGACCAATGCGCCTCTGTCAGATGTTGCCAACTTCGGCACCTTGACGATATCCGCCAGACTTGTTGAGGAGCTCGGCAAGATGAACCTGGAGCGACCTACGGCCATTCAGAACAAGGTCATTCCTCATATGTTGACAAGCAGCTCGGACGCTTTTGTGCAGGCTGAGACTGGTTCCGGAAAGACTTTGGCCTACCTCCTACCTATCCTGCACCGTGTTCTACAGCTCAGCGAGAAGGGTAAGGTCCAGATTCACAGAGACTCTGGTGCATTCGCCATCATCGTTGCGCCTACTCGTGAACTCGCCAAGCAGGTTCACACAGTTCTGGAGAAGCTCATCCGGCCTTTCCCATGGCTTGTTTCGACAGCGATTACTGGAGGAGAGTCAAAGAAGGCAGAGAAGGCTCGCATACGAAAGGGTGTCAATTTCTTGGTCGCCACCCCTGGACGACTTGCTGATCACATCGACAACACTAAAGCGCTCAACCTCAGCACTGTTCGATGGTTGATTCTCGATGAAGGTGATCGACTTATGGATCTTGGTTTCGAGGAGGATCTGAAGAAGGTTATTACGACATTGAAGTCGGTCGACGAATCTGACAAGCTACCCGATGGAACACCACTCAAGGCCCTCCCAGAGCGGAGAGTTACAGTACTATGCTCGGCTACTATGAAGATGAACGTCCAGAAGCTTGGAGAGATGAGTTTGGCAGATGCGACATTCATCGCAGCAAAGAAGGAGGATATGGAGATGGATATGGAAAAGAGCGAGATGAAGGCACCCGCGCAGCTTCACCAGTACTACTCTGTTGTCCCGGCCAAGCTTCGACTTGTCACTCTCATGTCGTACCTCAAGTCTACTTTCTCCCGGCGTGGAAAGACCATGAAGGCTATCGTTTTTATATCATGTGCAGACTCGGTCGACTTTCACTACGAGCTCTTACGAGACCCCAACAGCGGCACCGTGGCACCTGTGGCGGGAGCCAAGGAAACTGGATCCAAGGAGACAGCATCTAAGGAGTCCGGATCTAAAGAATCAGGATCTAAGGACTCGGGATCTAAGGATTCGGGGTCCAAGGAGACAGGACCCAAGGACGCAGCAGCCAAGGAGGCTGAAGCAATTTCCAGAACAGTTGGAAAGGCAGCTTATATCACTTCACCAGCGAGCCCTGAAGTCATTTTGCACAGGATGCATGGATCATTGTCGCAACCGATCCGTACAGCCACTCTCCGGTCATTCTCGGCTTGCAAGTCGCCCTCTCTCCTCATCACCACCGATGTTTCCTCGCGAGGTCTGGATATCCCTTCGGTCGACCTGGTCATCGAATACGATCCCGCGTTCAGCTTTGCGGATCATATTCATCGTGTCGGTCGAACTGCTCGTGCCGGTAGACCTGGTGACGCAATGCTATTCCTCCTTCCCGGAACCGAAGAAGGTTATATCGAACTCCTGAAAGCGTCAACACCACCAACACCACAGTCTTATGACTCTATTCTTCAGAAGGGAATGATGACCAAGCTTGAATTCCCCGTCGAGACGCCTGCGAAGCCGGAGGATGGACAGTCTTTCCACAACAAGGCCGAGTCCCTCCAGCTGCATATCGAACAGCGTCTCCTCGAGGATGCCAAGCGACTGGAGCTTGCTCGAAACGGATTCAAGTCCCATATCAGAGCGTATGCTACTCATACCAAGGAGGAGAGAAAGCACTTTGACATTTCGGAGCTACACCTGGGTCACACGGCCAAGAGCTACGGCTTGCGAGAGGCGCCTGGCGGCATCGGTGCGGGTGTGGAGAGGAAGACCAAGAAGCGGACGAATAGGGGTGTCGAGAAGGATCCGGAGCAGGCTGCAGGAGACGAGAGGCAAAACCAGAACATCATCAGGAAGAAGAGTATGATGTTGATGAATTCCGCAGCGGACGAGTTCAATATTGGTTAGATGGTGCGGCGCATTCCTTTGCATGGGTTGAGTTTTTAGATCAGAGCATAATTAAAAAGCCGGGCATGATAATCATGCCCATATTGATTTTTCCACCTTTTAATGGCATTTGCATACCCTCTTCAAGGTTCTGTTGCTTGTCCTCCTACACCTCCTACATACGCGTCCAACGTCATGACGTTGTCTGATCCTGGCTCAACTCACGGAATAATGACGATGCAGCTCAACATGTCCCGGATCGCCCAAGATCTTGATCTTGATGGTGTGCGATGAATCCTGCACAAGGTCAGAGATTTGATGCCTGTGCAGCTGTGATACCGTTGACTCGACCAGTCACAGCCTCACAGTCTGACAGCTAACGGACGAATGCGCCACAAATGGCATGCGTCCGACCATCCAAGGGTCCCAAGATCCAGAATATGACATCAAAAGTTCAAAGGCTCACGGCGGGCAATGCCTGGAGATGCCTGCTAGCACAACGCGTTTGCCCTATGGGATCAACAGACAGGGACACCTATGCGTGGCTTCGAAACACCGAAATGCGTAATTATGTGTCGAGGAACGTCATTTTAGACGTGCGGGAGGGATGCTTCAAGCTTGTGTGGCTGGTGGGCAAATCGATATCGAGGGATTCTGGGGTTTGACGTCATGCGGTGATGTAACTCTGCGGCATATTGATTTACGGACAAGATATTCGATGGATTTCGAGGGGAAGAAGAAATACATTTAAGAGAGCACTGTTCCGCAGGTTATAATCGATTTGTTCTTTAATCTACAAGATCTCAAGCCTTACAAGCACAACTTCCAAACAAAACCAACCACAACTCTACCAAATCACATCCACAACCACCATCGCCATTATGAACAACAACAAGACCAACAACAACGCCAACGTTGGCGAGACCATCGGCGGAGCCGCCAACTTCCTCACAAGCACACTGGGCAACACCGTCGGTGGCCTTGGCCGCACAGTCGGCAACGTTACCGGAGCCGCAACCCGTGGTGTTGGCGACACTGTCACCTCAGCGACGGGCAGCACTGGCGCTCCTATCGGCAACGCTGTAGGCAACCTCGGCACTGGACTCGAGGGTGGCCTCAACAGCATCTCCAAGGGCGTCGAGGATGCTGGACAGTGGAAGAAGCCTTAAATCACGAATATACGACCATGTCCCGATAGTTCTGGAGGAGAAGGGCGAATGTAATGAAGAAGATCAACGGGTGGTGTGAAATCACACTTGATAGTTTTAAAATATGCCAATAATCAATATGAGCGACGAACATTGTTTTCAACTTGACTACAAAATGCCTTGTGCTATGGCCGTGATGATATCGTGTTATGGCATGTATGATCAAGTAATGTTTCAAATATCTCTTCGTGTAGCAATGTTCTTCTATTCAAATCTAAGCATGTGCGCCAAGCAGACAGATTGAAGATGCGATTATCAGGCCCACAAATCACAACGCGTGAATAAGTTTTCAAATCTCTCCCTCAGAATTTGCAACATCATATTTTCACATCAAGCGACGATTTTCTTCTTCATGCCCCGGCGTTAAGCCGAGCACATAATGAAAAATGGTTGGGAGTAAATCAAAAATAGCGCCCCTTCGAGCCCCGAAGGACCATAAACCGTGAACGACACCGCGATGTGCAATGCAGGCCGTTCAGCGATGAAGATGCCAATTCTTGAGCTGGCTTCTTCGGAACAAGGTAAGTATGAAGAGAAAAGAAAAACAGTGCAAAGGTGGGAGGGAGATTGAGATTATATAGGCAGAATTAGATGGTCCGTGCGTCGGACTATGTCAGCTTCGTGCTGTGGTTGCCTCGGGCTGCAAATGGAGAGCCTCATTTCGTTTGAGTTCGAGTTGCGCTTGGCGAGTGAATCAATGGAGCAGTTCCGGCCATTTTGACTCTGAGATTTCGGCAGTTACGGCAAGGACTTGTCAGTCAATGGCTGTCACTCAACAATAAAGCTTTGGCATTTGTGAGTGACAGCAACTTAGCTAATCTTTACCAACAACTTACAAACCTCAAATGCCCTCGTATCGATCGTGGCGCATGTCTTCGTTTGCCCTTGCAGCTTCTTAGCGATGCTCAACAACGTGTTCTGCTAAGACAAGCGTGAAGTCTAAATTTCCAGCTTCCATATTGAGCTGTTAGCCCGACCGAGTATGGAGTGATATTACTGCCTGTTAAACTTTGAAGTCTGCGACTATGTCTGTCCAGGGTAAGTTGCTTTCCCACGTTTATGCAAAGAGTTGGACAATACACGAGCCTCAACGCGCTTCAGGAAGAGTATCAAACAAAATCGCATGTCTATTGCTATGCTGAATTATTTCAAATCAATATTTGTTCGTGTTGCAGGCCTTAGAAACCAAACACTATACTTCAAAGCATTGTGCTACGATGCTAAGTGAGGTGTTTAGAACCCACCAATTAACTCCATACCATCTGAGAAACGCCAAGTCGCCCTGTAGAAACTTGACCCAGAGTCGAATATAGTCACGAAGCAATATTATGTTCACTGTAATTTGATCATTATGCGCTGGGTAAGTTGACCAGGCCCAGCCAGCTTGACCCTAGACTCCTTACTCTGCATCACTAGTCTGGCGATTAAAAGCGGTTTCACAGTAACGCTGTGTTCTGCCTCGGAAAACCTGACATAATAAAGCGAAGTGAACGCGAGGAGGCCTCACAGTTCCGAATCTTAACAATGTTACTTCGCAATTGGCGGAATGACAGAGATCTACTGTACCAACGCCATACGGACCCAGGAATAAACCTGGGGTAGTAGCCTCGGCAGTTATCGGCAGGCTTCCCATGGTGTTGGGTCGCCTACAGGAGAACAGCAGCCACGCAATTTCAATGATATCAAACCAATATACTTGGGCTGATAGACATTCTATACGACTACGATGCAGCCAATTCTCAAAAGTGAGATATGTGCATATCTAGAATTAGAACATCAGCCTCCTGCTTACCCTATGACGGTCCTCTTACAACGACGCAGAGGTCTAGACTCCAAATCTCCCTGGATATCACGGCAGTGGCTTGCCGAATATTGAGTTGCACCGTTTCACTCATGCGCCAAGTCAGGGCGCGTAAGAAAGGGCGTTTTGTTTCTTTGAGTCTGGTCTTTGGTCTTTGGTCTTTTCGGCACCAAATTGCCGGCGCCAAAGAGACCTAATATTGAAAGACAACACACAATACCACGGCTCTTGCAACACGAAGGGTCTCGGGTGGGTTTTGAATGTTCTTTACCCCCCGTTTGATCTAGCGCTCTCGCGTAGAAGTCAAAACCATTCAGGTCGGGCCATTAGACTCTCCGGGGCACAAGACTTGATACAGGTGCCGGGTGGCTGGGTTTGGGAGCGGCCGACTGCGTGCTTCATCCTTGTTTGAGGTTAGAGGAAAACCCTTGCATCACCATGACAAGGGGACGAGTTTAAGTTGACTTCACATTATTGGCATCAATTGGATTGAGTATAAAGAGGCCGTAGGAAACATTCAATATTTGGAATTCAACAAACAACTCATCTTCACATCTTCATCTCATCTCATCTCTCAATCGCAACAAACAAATAAACACCAACAACTCCCTCCAATTATCACCAAACCCCCCAAACCACAAACATGCACGCTCCCGCCGCAAAGCTCATGGCCCTCGCCGCCATCCCCTGCGCCGTCTCTGCTGCTCACCACATCGTCAAAGTCGGAGAGAGCGGTCTCAACTTCTCTCCCTCAGAGACCAAGGCCAGTGTCGGTGACACTGTCGAGTTCCACTTCTACCAGGGCTTCCACTCTGTCGCCCAGAGCAGCTTTGCCAAGCCCTGTGAGCCTATCAACAGCACCGCCTTCTTCAGCGGCGACATGAACGTGAAGGATAAGGTCAGCGACAAGGTCTTCACCATCGAGGTCAAGTCAGAGGACCCCATCTGGTACTACTGTGCTGTGCAAGGTCACTGCCAGGGCGGTATGGTTGGTGCTATCAACGCTCCGTAAGTTAATCCGTTGCTTCATTGAAACTAAACATGCTAACATAATAATCAGTACCAGCGGTCAAAAGAGCTTCGACGCCTTCGCCAAGGCTGCTGCTGATTCCGACGACTCCAAGGAGCCCCAGTCCACCGGCGGTGGTTCAATCGGCTCTGCCACAGCAACACACAGTGCCTCAGGAACTGCCGCTACCGGCTCAACCACCGAGACTGGAACTGCTGCCAGCGCAACTGCGACAGAGAGCACTGGAGCCAATGCTGGTCTCGAGGCCCGGGGAGAGATCCGATGGGGTCTGATGACCTTCGGTGTTGCCATGGCCGGAGTCTTCGGAGGCTTGATGATGTAAGATCTCATCGTCAGTCATCCATGTATCTTGTTTCTAGCCCTAGTTGGCCCATGTATTTTGTTCCAGCTAGCAAGTCTAGCTACGGAGCATCATTTGTATAAGCGTTGATAGACAAATACCACATAATTTGAGCGTTACCAAACTGATATGAACATACTTTCAAATGATGAACCAGCAGCATTGAATCACATTCTCCGTTGAGGTACTCGATCGAAAGAAGGGTATTCCAGCGAGAATAGCTGATTCACAACATTATTCACTGCTTATATGAAATATCTCATTTTCATGTGCCGCCAACCCTCTAAATTTACCAGCTCCTAAATGCCATCTTGGAGCCACTCAAAAGTATTCAACAACTCAAATCCAAAACCCAAAGAGCGAGGGAAATCTGCACTGAGAGACTCCAGGCCCGAGTTGTTTGCTGGGGTTGAGTTCAAATGCTGATCAAGTACACGCTGAATGATGGTCTCACAGTCGGCGCACACAATCCTGTTCGGCGAGCTGGGTCCGACCCAATTCAGAAATCCAACGAGCAGGCTGAGTTGCTGCACGATGCTCGAACGTGACAGAGTAGGGTTGAGTGGATGGATACCAAAGAATGTTGGTCGGAGTAGTTCTTGGCAAAGTATACCGCCTCCGGGAGCACCGTATGCCACCAGCTGAATAGTTTATGGATTTAGATAAATACCAAGAAAACACAAGTTTTGGAGACTTACTAGCCATTCAAAATTGCGCCTCATACGCGCAAATCGGTTCTTATGTATCCAGAGCATGACTGTAACCTTGACTAAATCAAAACTAGTTGTTAATAACGAGCCGTCGTCGATCGCAGAGTGACGAAGCATCAATCTCTCTATAACAAAGATATCTCTTCGATGTGCAAGATAGAGTAATATCCTTAGGTAAAGAATATTGACATCTAGATCCGGGTTGTCCAGATCTTCGTAGTTGAAAATCAAATGCGAAGGTACCTCGCTAAACGTCTGAGTCACCCGAGCCTTGATATTCCTTGAACCGAAAGTTAGCGTATGGCATTGAGTCTAATGGACGACTCACTGAAGTTGATCAAGCGTAACATGGACATCATTGCCAAGTGCTATTTCTACAACCTCATCAAAGACAAAAGCCATTAAGTAACGAGCCCGTATGTAACTGTTGCCATAGGTCTCGCACTTGGAGTTCCAACCCTTGTCATCCAACGATGCGAACTGCTCTGCCAGCGTGTCTTCAGATAATAGACAGTTGTCAGACAGATCAGATGGTGGGACGGATGTGCAATATCGGCGGCTGAGGAGTGGAGGTCTGCCAGTGAAGGCAACCATGGACTTGTCGCCCGAAAAGATGTAGGCATATGTAAAGCGTCTGAGCTCGACACAGAATGAGGTCTTCTTAGGTTGTGTTTGTGCCCTTGATGCCTCTCCTGAAGCGTGAAGACCTAGAAACAAGAGCATAGTACAATGTTAGTAATAAGTAGTCATTTGCCAAGGGAGAAAAGCGAGGGTAATCGTTACATAGAGATACACAAACCATGTGAGTTCCAGTATACGGGGCCTGAAATGTCAGCATCAGTAGTTCAGATATTTGAGGCGTCCTTACTGGCATCGCCGTAGACCAATGTTCCAAGAGCAGCCTGTCGTCGACAAAGATCAAGAAGTAGAACATTGCCAGCGGTGAAGTGGCGCACGATCTCGATGCAATAGTGCAAATTCTCGTGTGATATCACAGAAGATTCTTTGCCTTCCACCCACTGAAGCTGACGATACGACAGAGTCGACAGTGCGTCTGAAAGCCCCTCAACATGAGCCCATAAAAGACCTATCGATTCCCACCGAATGTTGGAACCACAGAACTGCGCTACCCAGTCATCAAAGCTACCAAGGTCATCATTTATGGGCTGAGAAGTGTTTTGACACAAGACATCGGCCACCTTTTCGTCAAACGAATCACTCCCCTCGAAGCGTTGGAAAAGAAGCCGCAGAGATGTGATGATGCGAGACACCGCAGCATGGGACCAAGATGTGGTGGTCTCAGGGCCTGGCTGATCGTGAAAGACCATATGCGCATCTGGTCGTCCTGGTAGACATTGCAGGACAACAAGACACATCTGCTGTGTTGGTAGGGGCAAGTTGCGTAAGCGAATATCCTCGTCACCAGGGCTAGCTATGTCTACCCCAACGGCCTCTGTGTCCATCTCAGAAACCGACAGACTTTCTCGAGCACCTTGAAAGGCAGAGTTGTAGCTTGTAAAACCAAGATAACCTGGGCTAAACGCATAACCTCGTATCATGTGCTTCGTTTGTAGGGGTGATTGTGATTCAGAATCCAATTGACCCAAGAGTCCTGTGCTTGGCTGAGTCAAGCCGTAAACCTGTGGTGTAGATGCTGTGTAGATACAGGATTCTCTTCGTCTCTGGCATCTTGTGCAAGCAGGTCGTCTGTGGTCGCACGACACTTTGCGCGAACGGCATGAGTCGCAAGCTTCAGGACGACCATTTGGTCGCCGAAACGCCTTTTGACGTGCGTTACTCATAATGATGTTGGCATGAAGTTCTGAAAAAAGATGAGAATAGTTTTAAAGATTTAAATAGAGGAGTATATTGAGTCATAAGAATTTATGCAGCTAAGTTTGTGTTGTAGAGTCACAGTGGACGTGAACTGAGGTGGAATTGAACTAACCCGACATCTCACCAAAATAAACAGGCTCGGCTTCGGCTTCGGTGCTGACCCCTGGTAGAAGTCCGACTTCGGCTTACTGTGAGATACAGTCGAATTCTATGAACTTTTGATCAAGTATGAGATGTCGGTACCGTCTCAGCTGGGTAAATCATAGTATTTACTCAACTTGGCTATTTTTTTTAAGTGATGCTTATGAAGACAGGTTCACAAGTTTCAAAAATACATACACAGTTCTGTGCATACCTAAGCTACGATTATAGGATAACTCTGGTTGTACAAAACTCTCGAATATTAAAAAAACATGAGGTTAAATTACGCATTTACTTCAAATGAGGACATAAAAAGGCCTGATGGGGAGACCTTCTTATATACTCAAAGCTCAGACATTCCCTTACCTTGGCTTATACAGACAGTGAGCATCTGACTTTGAATAACATCCGTATATTGCTAGGCCATGATAGCTATCCCGGTCAAAGAACAAGGCAGCATTTCTCGAGCTGAGCCCTTCTAGTCAAACTCCTCGGAACTCTCACCATAAGTGTCTTTTAAGCATTGATCTCTGTGATTAGAGAGGTCAATGGTGATTTGCATGCAGCACGTATAGTGGCCTAGCAAAAGTGTCGATATTTTCCTCCTCTAAATTTTATCGAAGCTTCATAAATTATAATAAACTCTCTTAATTCTATAAAACTTATAATGGACTCTTCTAATCTTAGGAAACTTATATAAATTTATTAAAACTCTTCTAGTTATTGTGAATAAAGTCAAACGCAATAGAAGAGTTCGTCATAAACCTTCTCTAATAAACCTTGCATATTTAGCGCGGGCGGATGCTGAAAAATGCCCCGCTGCCTTTTTAGCCCAAAATTTTCTGTCGCATTGGAGGTTTCCCTTGGTTCATCCACCTCAAAATACTTGTAACTTGCGACAATGGGTAAAAAGAGCTTCAGGGTGCGCAATACACTCCTCAAAACGCGCCAATCGCTATATACTGACATTATTTATTACAGGGCAAGAACAGAAAAGGCGGCGGCGGTGGCCGAGGCGGAGGTGGTGGTGGTGGCCAGGACCGAAGTGGCTGGAGAGACTATGCTGTTATTCCCAAGGAGAACGAGAAGCTCCAGCGCTTCTACGATACGCTCCTCCAGCTTCCTGAGGAGGAGAAGAACGCTTACTGGGAGGCTCTCCGACGCGAACTCCCCAACAGCTTCAGGTTCTGCGGTTCCAAGGGGTAAGTTACTGTGATCGCGTTGACGCGAAATCGGAATTTGTCTGCTAACATTCATGCGCTACTAGCCACGCTCTCACTGTCAAGAGCCTTCTCCAGACCAGATACATCCCCGAAATCGTCAAGATCGAGCATCAGGATGGCCGACCCGTTGAGCCTCCTCGCCCCGTGCCTTGGTACCCCGACGGGCTGGCTTGGTGGATGACTACTCCCAAGAACGTCGTTCGCAAGTTCCCTCCCTTCGCTGCATTCCAGAAGTTCCTGGTCTCCGAGACGAGCGTTGGAAACATCAGCCGACAGGAAGTCGTCAGCATGATTCCTCCCATGTTGATGGATCTCCAACCTGGTATGACCGTCCTCGACATGTGCGCTGCTCCTGGAAGCAAGGCTGCGCAACTACTCGAGATGATTCACCAGGGCGAGGAGGCTCGCGTGCGCAAGGTCCTGCGATCCTACGCCCAAGAGGATGGTCTGGATCTTGGTGCTGAGACCAAGGAAGAGAAGGAGGCCGACCTGGAAGCCGACCCGAGCGACGCTGGACGAGCCACTGGAATGCTCGTCGCCAACGACTCCGACTACAAGCGCGGTCACATGCTTGTCCATCAGCTCAAGCGACTCTCTTCACCCAACCTCCTCGTTACGAACCACGATGCCACTCAATTCCCCTCCATCAGACTCCCCGCCAAGGATGGCAAGAAGCCTACCTACCTCAAGTTTGACCGTATTCTGGCCGATGTTCCTTGCTCTGGTGACGGAACCCTGCGAAAGAACGCAAACATCTGGAAGGATTGGCAGCCTGGAAGTGCCCTTGGCCTTCATCTCACACAGATCAGAATCTTGGTTCGCGCTCTTCAACTTCTGAAGGTTGGTGGCCGAGTCGTTTTCTCTACCTGCAGTATGAACCCTGTCGAGAACGAGTCTGTTGTTGTCTCTGCCATTGAGCGATGCGGTGGTCCTGGAAATGTCGAGATTGTCGACTGCAGCAACGAGCTCCCTAACCTTAAGCGATACCCTGGATTGAAGGACTGGAAGATCATGGACAAGAGCGCCAGAATCTGGAGCTCCTGGAAGGAGGTTGAGGACTTTGCCAACGAGAGCGCCGAAGGCGTTATCCCTGGACGAGTTGTCGAGACCATGTTCCCCAGACTTGAGGGTTCTGATTGCTCTGATCTGCCTCTTGAGCGCTGTATGCGAGTCTACCCTCACATGCAGGACACTGGCGGTTTCTTCATCACCGTTTTGGAGAAGAAGTCTGAGTTCAAGGCTAAGAACGAGAATGAGATTAAGGAGTCCAAGCAGGCTGCCAAGGCTGAGGCTTCTGCCGATGTTTCTGTTGCGGCCACTCCTAGTGAGAAGGTTGTTGAGGAGACTCCCGCCAAGGAGGAGGAGGCCCCTGTGAAGACTGAGGCTGAGGCAGCACCTGTCGAGACCGAGGTTGCACCTGCTAAGACCGAGGAGAAGGAGGATGTCACTATGGACGACGCATCCACAAACGGTAACAAGCGACCTCTCGAGTCCGAGGAAGCTCAAGATCAGCCCGCTAAAAAGGTCAAGACTGATTCTACTGAGCCCTCGGCTGTCGCAACTCCTGTTCCTCAAGTGAACCAGGAGGGCAACAAACCTCGCCGCAATGGCCCCGTTGAGGAGGCTTTCAAATACCTCGATATCGCTCACCCTACCGTCCAGAGCATCAAGGAGTTCTATCACATCTCCAAGCGTTTCCCCGACGACCGATACATGGTGCGAAACGAGATGGGTGAGCCTGCCAAGGCTATCTACTACACCAGCGCTCTCCTTCGTGACATTCTCGTTGAGAATGAGGGCCGTGGTATCAAGTTTATCCATGGCGGTGTCCGCATGTACATGAAGCAGGATGCCCCCTCAGCTGAGGTCTGCAGATGGCGCATCCAGGCCGAGGGGATGCCCATCCTGCAGGGTTACGTTGGCGAGCCTCGTGTTGTGCACCTCCACAACAAGGAGACTTTCCGCAAGCTTCTCATCGAGATGTTCCCTCGTATCAACGATGGAAAGTACGAGCGTTTCGACGAGATCGGCGAACGTGTCCGAGATATCGGCATGGGTTGTGCCGTCCTCCGCGTTGAGCCTGACGGAACAGACCCAGACTTCAACGAGCGCATGGCTCTGCCCCTCTGGAAGAGCATACACTCCCTCAACCTCATGCTTCCCAAGGAGGACCGATCTGCTATGTTGCTACGTATCTTCAACGATACTTCTCCTCTTATTAACATCGTTACGCACAAGCACGCCCCCAAGGCTGCTGTCGAAGAGGACTCCAAGGAGGAGATTGACGTCGCGGATCTTCCCTCACCTGAGGAGTCCGCTGATGTGGAAGTTGTAACGGAGCCAGCCAAGGAGGCCGAGGCTGAGGATAAAATGGAAACGGCTTAAAGAAAAAGGCCCAATATGTACAATTGCTTGATGTTATTATGGTGTTATTACAGTTTGAATCATGACAGGGATTAAATCTTGTTACAGATGGTATAATACAAGGTGTCTCCAAAATCTTCGTCTACTCGTCTAATAGTCCCACAGTCCAGTGTACAATTCTATCCACGCCTTGACCATTGATTGCACTCACCGGTATGACGGTGCAGTCCTTAGTCCAGGCATCCTTCACGCCACTTGGATGTGACTGCTCACCTTTCGTGATGTTGTCGAGATACTGCTTGAGCCCCTTGAAATTTTCCTGTGTCTCTGGCAAGTCAGCCTTGGTTGCGACAACAAACCATGGCTTTCCGGCAATTTGTAGGCCTTGCTTTGACTTCGAGTCCTGCCGGCTTGCTTGGAACTCTGGGGAGAAGTTCATAGGTCCATCTAGGTCTGTCGTGACATCCCAATCGATATGTGACTCGACCGCACGATCAGCCTCTTCCTCATCACGCATTTCAGCGTATAATCCAACCTCCCGCCAGAGCGAGTTGAGGGCCTCAACCGCATTACTTGCGGAAAGGTCGATAACAAAAGCGAGAACGCCAGCACGCTCGACGTGTCGTAGAAAGGCAATACCCAGACCACGGTCAAGATGTGCACCCTCAATTAGACCAGGGATGTCGGCAATAGTAAAGCGAGTGCGTGGCTCATTTTCGACTGCTTCGGGAAGACCAAGTTGAGCGGGATAGCGACGGTAACTCTTAATGGTAGGACGGCCAGAGTACTTGTCGAGAACGACTGTGCCGATGTTGGGTTGAAGTGTCGTAAATGCCCAGTTGCCCACTCGAGTGCGACTGTTTGTAATGGCACGAAGCAATGTACTCTTTCCAGCATTAGGAAGACCAACAAGACCAACATCAGCAAGAAGCTTGAGCTCGAGCTCGATTTTCATAGTGACAGAGTCTTCACCCTTGGTAGCGAACATGGGGCGAGGGTGAGCTCGTGATGTGAAATGAGGATTGCCCAAACCACCAATACCACCGGTTGCAAGAAGAATTGGCTTAGGAGTTGGGCGAGATAAGTCCAGATGAATCGTAGGCGGCGGTTGCTTGAGAAGTCGAGTGCGTTTGGACAATCGAGGAAAGACTGTATTTTTGACATCAGTTTTTGACAATCCGGGGTACAGAAGCCATTTGCGGCGCTCAGGGTCCTGGTCTTCTTCCTCCTCCTCCATCTCCTCTTCGACTTCTTCCTCTTCTTCCTCATATGCTTCTTCGTCTTCTTCTTGCCTTTGCTTTCTCTCTAAAGCAGCCAAACGCTCCTCTTTTCTCTTTTGTTTCTGCTGAGCGCGCCACAAGCGCATATCCATCTCCTCATCTGCTGCCGGATCTTGGCGCTCCAGTTCACGTACGACCGTTCCCACGGGCACAGTTATAATAATGTCTTCTCCTCGTGTCCCGCTCTTTGCGCTTCCTTGTCCATGCTTGCCACGGCCAGCTCGAATAAACCGCTTGCGAGCTAACTTGTGCAGAGAAGTCTCACCATGCGCTGCCTGGATGTAGACATTGCCGCCGTGGCCTCCATCGCCGCCATTGGGAGGTCCCTCCTCAAGGTAAGCTTCGCGCAGGAAAGAAATACAGCCGTTTCCGCCGTGACCAGCGTACAAGGTCAAGTAGGCCTTATCGGAGAAGCTCGGCGAGGCATAGTCGTCAGGAGCAGGGTTAAGTCGTGACTGTGGAAGATCGTTTACGTTGGAGTTGTAGCGACGTCGGAGAGCTGTTGCGCCGGTGAGGGTATGCCTTTTCAGGAATACGGATGGATAAAGGAACGGAAGAAATGTTGATGAGACGGTTGGGCACCGGGGAGCCATGATGCAGTACTTGAGCGACAATTCTACCGCCGAATTGAAGCTTAGAAGTTGAATATCTATCGATGATGTCTCGCCTCAAGCTTGGTCGAATTTTGCCAGGGTTAGTTACTGATTAGATAAGAGAACAGACGAGGGGTCGTGAGCACTGAGAACAGTCCAGATGATGGACATTGCTAGCTGACGAAGTGGCCAATGATGGCTATAAATGTAACACCCAATGTGTTTTCACTATACCAAATTTATAGATCTTTATTTTAAATGTGCTTTTTATGAATGCAATCAACGACGTCGCCGTCATGTTGTCTCTTCCTTAACCACCTTTGATAACCTTCAAGTGGTTTTTGTATAAGTCCTAAAGGGGAAAGAGGACTTCAGTAAAGAATGAATGATAGGTAAGTAGGCAGGTAGGCAACTACCCTGAATCCATGCCTCAGGTCTCAGCTAGGACTACCTAGCAAGGGAAGGCAGTGCAGTTAAGACTTAAGACTGCCTCAGATCTCAAATTGTTTCATCTTATCACCTCTCTTCTTCATTCTTTAAACCTTGGCTCACGATGCCCTCAGTCATGCCTCAACTCTCTTCCTCGTTCGACACGTCGCAGCCGATGGCCACTAGCCGATACATCATGCTCATGGAGCTTGCTCTCGGGAGGCATTCCTCAACCCCATAGGCGCTGTAACCTTCTACAAAATACAACTGCACGCCTGTGATATGGGCGCAGCCATACTCCAAATATCTTGTTCGTTTCTCGACTGTATTGCGATACGCTAGGTTGACACAGATATCCGCTCAAATATCCCAACTCTGCTTTGACAATACTCCCCGGACCGTTCACGTTTGTCTTGCATCGCGTCGGCGGGATCCTGCAGCTCGCCTGGAATGGTCCATCACTGGCGTCCATTACCATTCGACCAGCAATGGGCTAGCCCCAGCTTCCCGAGCTTAACAGCATACGCTTGCTGACGCCAAAATGCGGTGAATCGGTGCAGCAGCAGCAGCAACAGCAGCTGATACAGCCAACAGAGCCTCTCGTGCTTCGGTTGTCAGCCCTCCAGTGTTCTTTGCCTTGCTGCTGGGGCTCTTGACAATCGTCCTCCATCTTCATTCGTCGATCATCGATCGGTAAATGCTTCCTGGCTTACCACCTTCAAGCCCAACCGACTCCCCATTTGTCACTCCCAACCATCTTTTGGATTCTTTCAAATTCGTCTGTCGATTCAGCTGGGTCGCTGCTCAAGTACAACTCAAACCTCAACCTCAACCTCGGTCAACTCATGTTTTCAACTCCAGCTCGTCTACGTCCCACTCACCCCTCCAAATTTGGTGATACTACCGTACTACTGCTCGTCAACACCACCCTTCCTGGCAACAGCACATTGAGCCGCACAATCACCCAACGACAGTTCGCCGCCATCGACCCCTCCCTTGTACCAGTTCGAAGCCATTGGGCCAGCCTGCATACGATCCGTGGTCCCGCATTCGAGCCACGACTGTAGACGTGGTCGGCCTGTCCTCATTCGATCTCTCCACATAGCTTCCTTCGCTTCCCCACGCGACTTCTTCCATCTCGCTCTTCAATTTCTCCCTCCATTTCCAGCTTGAGCCCCAGAGAGCTGCTGGTGCTTGCAGGATACATACTGCTCCAGCGAAACAGCTGCTCTCCTTCACAAGCTGGTGCTCAACGGGCAAACCAGACCATTTTCCAACCCAGTGTCGTTATCTTTACCGCCACGCCGTTAATCGACTTTGACACGGCTCGTGCCTTTTAACTAGGTCCGTTTTAACTTCCCTCTGTCATCCTCATCCCTACTTCTGTCCCCATTCCCTGTCTGCCCATTGTATCTCGTCATTGCAGGTCTTTCTACCACGCACACACAACTTATGAGAGACGTCTGCGGGGTTGGAGGGGGATCTCACGTCGTTGTCATGAGTTGACCGTAGTTGAATATTGTTTCTCTGCCCATCTCTCGCACTACGACCGTCCACTTCAACTTGACGTAAACCAATTCGCATGATATATCAGCTAAAATGTTTCCCAGAAGTTATCCGTATAGTGGTAGTAAGTCTATCTTCAGGATGGATCCAGACTGCGCGATATGCCACGCCCCAGCCAACATGGCATGTGAGTGCGAGGCCAAGGGTCTCGATGTTGCTGTCAAACAAGCTGAGGATCGCATGATGCGATCAATATATAATGAAATTCGGTATGCAGTTTTGGCCTTCCCGCCTTGCCTTGAAGCAGGTCTGACTGTCAATTCCTAGTTCCTGGGTTCGAGGCCACGCGCAGGACTACATACTTGAATACTTCCGTCTCCTTACCGATCAACGTAAAACCGCCCATGCTGCACATATGGATCGAATCACCGCCCACGCTTATCACTATTACCATGCACCGCCTCATCCGACACAGGTTGCTGAAGCGCAGGCCTCTCTAAAACGTGGCATCGACGAAGACTGGCAAGCGAGTGTACAGCGCTACCCTGAAGTTTTGGAATATTTCTTTGGACTCGTTGAACTTACGCTACCAGCGGAGGATGAGCCAGCAGTCAAGGAACCACCACTAGGCTCATTGGCGAGTTCACGAAAAGTAAATCGTCGGAGTGGCAATCCGCCTCCTGGCGCTCCTGCTGCAATTGGCCCTCCAGGGTATCGTGGCGATCCAGGCCAGATGCAAATGCATCCGCAAGAGCCTCCTCCTATGCCTCGATCCGACCGTCGAACACCCGGCCCTGGAATGAGGCGGCCAAACTATGGGGCCGTTCCGCCGCCAATGCCGGGCGGTTATAACTTCCCTCCTCCTCCTCCACCTCCATATTAAAGAATCGCGAATGGTCGATACGATAATGCTGAGCATACTTGAAAATTCAATATTACGATTTCTACGAACATCACGACCATTGCATATCTCGGGCGTGGAGTATTTTCGGCATAGCAGACTGAGGTGGCATTATTACTGGGGTTTTTGAAGTTTGGACTGACGGTGCCATTGGTGTTTTGAGTAGAAGCTTTCCCGGCCTTGCACTTACTTTTTCTTTGGAGTCTCTGGTGTCAACAAAGTTGGACATTTTTGTCTGTATCTGAATTACAAAATACCACGCCACTGAAGGCAAAATTGTTAACTACACACAAACTCATTGCCGTATTGACGTACCTCGCGCGAAAGAGCGGAGATTGGCGATGTCTTCGTCGGACTTGAGAGATATTGTTGAAAAGAGGGGGCACACACCTGAAGCATGCGAGAATCGTGGCGATAGGCCGAACAACGGGGGACTAATGCCCGTCTCATGCTGGCGTTTTCAACACATCATCTGCTGCAGTAAGACGACAGTCATGTCTCAGGCGGCCGCAGATACACGCATGCAAGCAACAAAATGAGCAGAGAAGAAAGCAGGAAAATGCTCAAGGCTCAAGGCTCAAACTAAAGAGGCACAGTAGCGCACATGCCCGATGAGTGCCCAACTCAACCTCTATGTAGGATGTCAAGCTTAGCTCCTCATGACTTGCTTATTCTTTTCATGAGCGGCAATAAGCCATTGACCCGACCCTAGGGTTAAGATCTACAGGGAATCCGATAACCGAGAATCATGTCACGCAACTAGCAGCCAATGCGAATGGATAATGGATGCATCACCGAATTGAACCAACTTTTTGTCATTTTCCTTGCGCATGACTTCAGCAAGAAGTAGCGCCTAATTACAAAAACAGCACGAAAAAGCGCTTTTTAGATTCGAGCTTGTGTTGAAAAGGGGGAGAAGAGAGGTGAAGCGAGAAGTGACTCGGACAATAAAGTTGGTGGGCCAGACAACTCAAAACAACTTTTGATATAGCTCAATGTTTGGTTTGATATGCCGAGTAAGAGCGCCGGGAGGTTTTTTGGCAGATTGTGTGAGCGGTGAGGACAACACACCATCAAGGGAGGATAGGAAGAGTGAGTAAGCGCGCAAGGGGGTTCGTATCGGGCCCTGCATCGACGGAGTGGGAGGATACCGACGAGCTTTCAGATCATGCCAAGATAGAGACTTACGACTCCTCCTTATCGGCGATAGAGGTCTCCTTCAGCTCCGAAGTAGCCTGTTCGACCTTATCACCGTTAGACTCAGCGGCTTCGAGCTCAGCGATCTCCTTCTTAGCCTTCTCAATGTTCTGAAATAGATGTTAGTGGGATGCAATATGCAATTCATAGAGAAACAACTTACACGTTGGGTCTGGGCCTCTTGGTCGTTCTTCCAGAAATCAAGCTTGGCGCGGACCTTCTCAGTAACATCGGGGATATCTGCGGCGCTCATAGGGGGGTCGATGCCCATGGCAGCACAGTCCTCTACAACGGCTGGGGGAACACTGAACTTGTTGGATGAACCACCAGTACCAGCCTTCTTGCCCTTCTTGCCCTTCTTCACAGCAGGAGCGTACTCCTCCTCACGGTCCTTCTTGCTGAGGAGCTTAGTACCCTTAAGAGAAGATTCATCAACAGTTCGCTGGGCCTGAGCACCGAGACCAGTATCGGCCATGAGAGGGCCCTTCTCAACTTTGTGGTTAGGGTCGAGGAACTGGAGCAAGCTGTTGGCGCGGCGGATCTCATCGAGGTAGGCAGGGTCGCTGGCATCACCCAGACGGCGCTCAGCCTCGGCCTTCTTGCGCTCCTGGTGGTAACGCTCCTGCTCAGCCTTTTGCTTCTCACGGTAACGCTCACGAGCCTCACGATCGTAGGCTTGGTAAGCCTTCTTTTGTCCGTAGTAATCATCCTTAAGCTTGCGGATGGCAGTGTACTTCTCCTGTTGCTCGGCCTGGAGCTTGGTACGCTCATCACGGAGGCTGGAAAGACCCTTGTAGGCCTCATCCTGCTCAGCCTTGATGGTGTCAATCTCAGCCTGGATCTTGTTGTACTGATCGGAGAGAGCTCGCTGCTCAGGGTCATCCATGCTGTCCTTGATCTCCTTGATCTTGGCGCGGAGGTCGTCAATCTGCTTCTGAGAATCCTCGAACTGACCGAAGTTCTTGCGGACCTTACGCAGGCTGGAGATGTCAGACAAGGCCTTCTTCTCATCGACCAATCTCATTGTGCCGGAGTTGACCTGCTTGTCCAGGGAAGCAATCTGGGCGTCGACCTCCTCAAGGTTCTTGTAGGGGACCTTGGCCTTTGCTGTCTTCTGCTCATTGATTCGGCTTCGGACTTGCTCATCGAGGCGCTTGATCTGGTCGAGCTTAGAAGTGCGGGCGTTCTTTCCGCCGGCCTGCTTCTGTCGAATCTCGTTGGCCTGAGCAATAAGCTCTTGTCGTCGCTTTTGGGTAGGGCTGGGCTGGTCCTTGTTCTTGTTTGGCATAGCAATGTCAATCTTAGCCTTGACAGCAGCCTGGAAGAGAGTAATTGTTAGTTCATGTTGACCACTAGCCTAACTACATATGAGGCCATAGCTGTGGGACTTGATTCCACAGTCAAGCCACGGCAAAAGGAGAGGATAGTTGAGATCGTACCAAACGGTCCATTGAAGCCTTGTGGTCCTTCTCGGCCTTTGCAAGCTCCTCCTTGAAGAGGTTCTCATCAGGCTTGGCAGGTCGAACATGACCCTTATCCGCCGCCGCAGGGGCGGGCGAGGTTGCGGTTTCAGCCATTGTGATGCGGAAGACGAAGACGAAGCGAGAGAAGCTAAAACCCAGGAGCGAGATTGCTCGAGGAAGAGAAGTAAACGTGAGCGTGAGGACGACACGTGTTGCAGAAGTGGGAAAGGGTTGAAAGAGGAGGAGAAAAAAAAGAAGCCCCCCCCAGAGAATAGAGGTCAATTAGCTGTGGTAGGTAATTTAGGTGCAGTAGAGTTTCTGGACCCGTGTCTCTTGCTTTCCAATGTTAACTTGCCCGTTGGGGCAGGCCCGTGCGCCCCTGAGCTGTCTCCCGCCGGGTCTGTCTTGCCCCTAAATTAGTGGAAGTGTTTGCTGTCTTTTCCTTTCTAGGGGGTGCCCCTCCCTTGGGTTCGGGTTCATCCCCTAGCGTTCGCTGGTCTAGGCCACTGAAGGGTCTATCTCAGAGCCATGGACTGAGTTTCGTTGGCGCCCGCCTCCACCTAGCACCAGGGGTTCCTTCCCGCCCCACCTTCATCAGGACTCGGATATCTTGCCGTGGCTGATGAGCCAGCATGTGGCAGTGCACGTGGCGCATCGCAATCACATGACCCTATCAGCGCTCAGACCCGCTCAAAGAAGTTTGGACTTTTGCGGCGACGATGCAAGGCTGAGCGAAACATTTTTGACGACTCTCGCGATCACGATCATCCATTCTTTTTACCCGTATCAACACGCCTACCAACACCACGACCAGGATCGCATCCCAAAACCTTAATAATCATGGATATCGATCACGTTCCCACAGATGCCAAGTCAAAGGAGGTTGTTCGGCTTTGGCGGGCTTGGAGGACTGTCCATGAGATGGTCGCGGACCGAGTATGTTTGTCCCCGAAGCCAAAATAGGGAGAGCGCGCAGTGTTCTCAATCGTGCAGCTCTACTGTATCATATTACTACGAAGCTAACGGTAGAAAGGAATACGAGCTTGCTGAAGAAGAAGTCAAGATCTCGCTCGAGCGCTTCCGCGACGAGTACTGCAACCCCGATGGTTCCATCAAGTAAGGCCGATCATACTTGCGATTGCAGACAAAGAAAACATGGAACTAACCGCACCTCGGACAGCCGCGCCAAGCTCCAATTCTCTGCGCGTCCCAGCGACAACATGATCCGCAAATTCACGCCTCCCGCGACAGCAGCGAACCCCAACCCTAGCGCCGACTGTGGTCCTATCTGGGTCGAGTTCCTTGCTGATAAGACCTTTGGTGTTGGCCAAATTCGACAATTTGCTACCTATGTAATCACGAACAACTACAAGACTGGTATTATGGTGACACACGTCCCTCTCTCGCCCGCCGCCCGCAAGTCTCTGGCTAGCGTTGAGTCACTCGCCAAGATTGAGTGCTTCCTTGAGGACGATTTGCTTGTCAATATCACCCACCACGAGCTTGTCCCCAAGCACGTCCTCCTCTCCCGTGAGGAGAAGACTGCCCTGTTGAAGCGATACCGACTCAAGGAGACCCAGCTGCCTCGTCTTCTGCAAAAGGATCCTGTCGCTCGTTACCTGGGTCTCAAGCGAGGACAGGTCGTCAAGATCATTCGAAACAGTGAAACGGCCGGTCGTTATGCCAGTTATAGATTGTGTGTATAGATGAACTCAGCGGGAGGATCGTCTTGAGTTTGAGACAAAGATATAAGCTGTTGGATTAGTGAAATGAAAGGAAGGGCTTTTGTTACGAGGACGGTGGCGTCAAATTGCACATGAAATTCTAAAAAGCTGGCGTTTCAGGGGTTCTATGTATGTTGCGCTGCGCCATAGCAAAGCCAATCAAGGAATACAAGCATTTATGGGAGTTACTGCTCACTTGTTGTGCCTAGCTTTAAACGACCTCCTGGATATATCAGAAGGAAACCATGTGAAACCACAACACCTTTAAAAAAACCAAAACACGAGCTTTTGGGAAATCTGATATCGAGTAAATCATATCAATTCCATTAAACGTAAACTTGGCTTTCGCCGGGGTATATGTAACCAATATCCATGTCATCCAGACGACCAGAACCAGAAGAAGATCCCAACAAATCCACAAATCATAAATGCAAACCTTGACGGCTCTGCTGATAACCATATCCAATAGCCTGCTTCATGCTAAGGCTTGGTATTCCACCGATGCAAAACATCCTTTGTTGTGCAATACTCCGTCCTCCCAACCATAAATATCCCAGTGCTAGTTTCGTAAACACCGATTGCCGTGTCTGTGCTTAAGACAAAAAAACACAATCGGCGAGCAAGTCCAACAACGCAAGATCGCTGCCATCGTCATTGTTACGCATAAAAATGCCAAATCATTATTAAAGTCGTTGGCCTACTGTGCCAACCATTATCACCCGCTCAGCTGAGAAGGCCACCGGGATCCCTCAGCTCTGTCCCTGGTTGTTCAGATGTGTCATATCGCGACTCTGGTCTAGATTGAGGGATCGGTTGCAATTCTGTGCCCCCAGTTCTTGACTTAGATCGGGGTTGCCTTGTGGTCGTTGGTCCAAAAAGACCACCTAGATCCTGAAGTAGGGCGGTTGACCCTCGGCGGAACCCCCCTGAACTAGCTGGCAATGACGCAGGAGGTGTACGGGATTGCGCTGAGTCTTCTTTGGACGAATCGCGGCTATTTGCTCGCACGCCTCCAGAACTTTCAGGACCATCCAGCAAACCGCCGACATCAAAGAAAGAGACTCTTCTTGGCGGTACACTGGCCTCGTTCTTTGATTGAGAAAGGGGATCATGGGGAATTAAGGAGTCGTCGCTATGTTCCGCATTGCTGCGCTGTCTCTTCGGAAACTGCCAGCGTTCGAGGTCTTGATCCAGTTTGCGAATAAGAGGAGCAGGAGTGTATTGCAAAGTACCATTTTCGCTTGAATTATCAGGCTGGTCCTGAAGTTCTGGGTCGACAGTCATGCCAACATCCCGCACTAGATCTTCATCACTTCCCCAATGTCGTTGTAGAGTTGGTCGGCGGAGATTGAGAGAGGGATCGAGGGATTCGGCGAGGGATAGGCGGCGAAATTTCTGCTTTTTAAGACCTCGATCACGCATGAAAGATCCCAATACCAGGGAGTTAGCTGCCGCTGTAGCAAAAAGAATTTCGACCGAGGCTAGAAGCGATCGATACTGCTGGCGGCCGTGATCTTCGATGATGTGCGGTACTCGATATAGAGTAACCCCCACAACCGACAAACTAAGCGAGAAGAGAAGCACGAGTTGTATCTTCCTCTTGACAGTCATTCCGCTGGTCACAATAATTGGGATGGGGAATATGACGAGCAGCAAGTCGGTGAGAACATTGCACACTGCCATGGTGAGAAGCTGCACGTATCCTTGACGGCATTGGCCGCCAGGATCAGGAACGACCTGCCAATAGTTCTTATAAGGTCGGCATTCAACAAAGTCGCTGAGAAGTACGGCAACAAAGGTGGCTCCTAGGATGACGCGGATAACATATAAAGATCTTTGCCATGACCGTTCCCAAGTTGCGCGGGTTAGGCGATGAAGGAACTCAAGAACTGCAAACTTGAGTATCCATAAGCTATACAAGGTCAGTTTATGAAGCTTCACTATGCCACATCATCTGTCGCATACTGCAAGGGATGAGTGCTAAACATAAAGAGGGTATCACATACGTTGCCGCGTAGAAGATCCGGCTAGCGAGTACAAGGCCACTACCAATAGCCTTCTGGCGCAGTTGCTCAGCTGTAAGCTCGACACCGTCAAATTGAGCATTGTTGGTTCCGTAGATGAGAATGTAGTGAACGCATGCCATCCGGGCATAGAGAGGAATCAAGGCTAAGGCAGCGACACGGTCCTCGGTGAATAATCGTTCGGTTCGTATAAAGCGGCCAGCAAGCCGCAGGAGGATGATGAGTGTGCAGAATGATGTTGCCCACCAGCAAACGAGTAGAGTGGGCTTGTCATATTTGAATTCGCGAAGAGCTGGAGGTTCCGAATAGAGGGCCATATTTGCGTCCCAGTCCGCGCTCGTCGTCCTCCGCAGAGGGCTCGACGAGCGAGGTCACGAATAGAAGTTGAGGGTTAGAGCTTGGCCGAAAGATACAGTGGGAACGAGACGGGTAGCCGAAAAGATCGTTGTGTTGAGCCGGAACTCGACCTCGAAGTATTTGAACAATTCACCTCGGCATGAGGCCGCCGGTGGAGGCAGCTGAGTGGTGATATCGACGGCTTAGCATGAGAAGAATGCATCAAAAGCGCGAGGTTGATTCGTGACGATCGATAATGGCCTGTTATGACAACCGAAGATGGTCTCCAAAGGAAGAAAGGTGCGCAGTATGAATAAGGTCCAGTCCAGAGTGATAGCTGCTGTTGAAACACGCAATTGTCGAGATACCAGTACAAAACCAAGGTAAAAGTGAGTGCGCGAATTCGTCTATGATACTCGGCCGCTGTGGGATGCTTTGTATGCTGTCTAGGCTGTGTCGCAATCGGTCGGCGACAGCCAGGTAGGAAGGAGGCCTGAAAGTAGAGTAGAATGGAGACAGGGTAAAGTTTAGAGGAAGTAAGTCAAGATAAGAGGAAGAGTGGAGGCGGACAAGGTGCGGTGGTCCCAAGATATTGCGGAGGCGAGCGTTGTGTGGGCGAATCGACTTGTCCCGGTTGGTATCCGGAAGGCACAGTAAGTTCCTGTAGCGTTGATGTTCGAGTCTTTGGGGTACGCACTACGGAGTACGCAGCACACACACACATTACTCGCTCTCCCACACGAGCCTAATGGCCCCCAAGGCCAGTAGCACCGCCATCAGTTGGCTTTCCAAGCCCTGTACGCCTTGGAGGGAGGGGTGTTGGCCACAGACATGTGGAGTCCCAGGATCGATGAGTGGGCTAGACAGATAACGACAGGGGGCAGCCCAAAGCACCGGTCGAGTCTCGAGTCTCGAGCTCTTTCTCCACTAGCCTTGGGGCTGGATTGCTGGATCGATGAACAAGTAGGGTCCTGAATTCCCTCGATGAAGGTTCTAGCCAGCTAGCGCCCTGAGATTTTGGAAATTTGACAGCTGGGCGAGATCGACATTAGAGACAGTCAATAGTGAAGCGAAGTATCACTAGTAACGAGTCGACCAACTTCTTAATGTGTCATTAAGTAAACGGAAATTCGACAAATACCGACCGCATCACACCAAGGACTTGGCATCCGTATCAGGCCAGAAATTGGGGTTAGTAGGTGCATGGGGATATCGTCTTCCAACAAGTTCCTCAGCGTCCACCAGGACTGTTGCGCAAATGCTAATCCAGTATGCGACCGAGCCAGAATCAAAAGAATTGGTATTCACTAAACAAGGCGCTAAGTTATTGCCAATGAGACGGAGTAAGATTTTTGGCTATTCGCGTGATTGTTCTATTTATCAAAACTCGGTGACGAAACTGGACGTACCGTACTCGAATACGGAGTATACTTCTGTCGACAAAGACAGGCTAACTCCTGCTCCTGGCTCGGCATGCCCACAATGCCGATTGTGAAAAACCACACTGCTTAGCCCATCCTCAATAACTTTTCATTATCGTTTCAAATTCGGGAGACGACTCTCGGTGCAGCTCTTAGCGCAAGCCACCAAGCTTGCGGCCTTGGTAGGGTTTATAGTCATGACCTTGAGTTTGACCTAGTCATGACAGTACTGGTCAACTGCTCACAACACCGCAATACTGGGTAAAGCGCCACCTGACAGACATGCACTGAACAATGTGTCTGTACACGTCTCACAACGGTGCGGTCTCTTGTGGTCAGCGGGTGCGGCTCCGTTGTCGGTTACCAAGCCGAGTGATAGCCGCATAACCATAGCCGTGGCCGAGGCACATAGTGGTCTACTTTGCAGGTACTGCGTCTCTTTTTTATTCTTTTTTGTCGCCAAAGGAGGATATTGCTTAATCAAGCTTGGCCAGGATCGAATGGCGACAGAATGCAACACTTTCGATTTGGACCCAATCGCTGATTCACGTGTTATGTACGGAACTGCCCGATGTGAAAGGGAGTACTGGAAAGGTGTTCCCATTGCTGTGTTGTGGCTAGACGCGATTATGTTGCTTAGCACAGCATGCAGTTTCCTGGTGGCAACCATTTCGATATCGTTCACAAGACGAATGATTGATTGCGAGCTGTTCCTCCGCCATTTCCACATGGTACAATAGTGAGATTAGCTTGGTTGATGAGCGGGGAGGGAATTTTACCCAATATGAAATGAAGATGGCACATTTCCCCAGGTTTACACGTTGAAACAAGGGTCCAGCCCAAGCAGCCAACCAAGTATCATCGGCCTATTGTATCACGCGACAACGTTGTAGCCCAACTGTGATAAGCAAAATCACGCTGCCCCCACGCTAGTCTGACCGTTCTGCCGGGACTTATGCGCTGGAAAGGTGTGCGCATGTCTGCAGAGAGTGAAGCAATTTCATGATGAAAAGAGACGGGAAGAAGTATCCGCATCATGCAATGATAAAGGCCGTGCACGTTATTAGAGTTTGGTGGGTCGTGCCTGGTGTGTTAAGTGTGGTTAGTAGTTATTATCCGATTTTCTCATGCAAGCAAGCACGATGTTCGTGGTTCTTGCTTCCTGCTTTCTTCGTCTTCAGGCAACCAAGATTGTACCTGAGACAGCAGGGGTCTCAACCTCATAATCCCGGTTCTAAAAATGGGGAAGCCAAGGTCATGTCAATTCCCAATCTCTGTCTCATGAAAGCAAAAGTGGATGAAATCAATAACCCACACAGATATCATCCACACACTGCATCTCCCCTTATCTGCAAAACTCCACATTCCGCGATGCAGGTATCAACCTTATCTTTTATGCCTACCTAGTTCTTGACTCTTGTCTTTTCCCCCATCCGCCTTTGAGCGCCCGCATATTCGTCTCGTTGAAATCCACATCAAAACCTCAGCCCGAACTAGCGACTTGAAACTGTCAATAGCGGTATGGGCTATCTCCATAGGCTTTGCCCCTAGATATATCGTATCACACGAATTGCTTACCTCCAAGCTTGGCGCATAAACCGGTAGCTGTCAAAGATGATCGTCGCTGGTCTGGTACCATCGGCCTTGGTTATTAACGTTCATTTAGACGAGATACCAGATTCGAGTCGATGCGGCTGACTGCAAGCAACGTGCAATGTCGATCCATGGCCGCAGATTGGCCAATGCTGGACTCAATGCCTACCTACTTGATCTTGATCTACCAGTGAAAGGACAGCAATATTAAACATGATCGTTGCCCAGTTCATCAACATCATTTTCAACTAATTATCAATAGACAGTCCCAACCTACTACGTAGTCAGACTGGGCTGCCCCTATTCTTATCTTGGCTGCTCGCTAGACTGTTGAAGAAAACGATTCACTCCTATCTCTGCCGCTTACCCGCGCCATTGCACAATATGGCAACGAGTGTGGCATCTATCGTTGTTAACACGCATGTTCACGATGGTTGCCCGAGACAATCTAGCGGGCTCGCTAGAAGACTGACGGAACCATTAGCGCAAACCTTCATGTTACTACGATTTGATTTTAGGAATGCTTTGATATGTTGGCCACTGGCTGACTTGTCACCTTTCTCGGCAATTCCAAAATGAAGACAATTTCGTGGCTTCTTGAGTTCTTCATCTTCAAGCCACCACATTCTACTCCATGCAGCGCCATGCATACCTAGTTTTGCAGCCATCACCTACAAATCATCGCGTGGTGGTAATCCACAGAGGCTTGCCAGGACGGCCGTTGGTTTACTCACCTTCCTGTCTGGGATGCATCACGATTCACTGACTCTTGACAACTCTGATTCTGTCCGGTAGATGTCGGCTTTTGTTAGCTTCCACATTGATATCCAGCCTTGTCACCACGGGTCGATCAGGGACCAAAGTTGGAGCCGCGCAGTCAATGCATCTTTGCCGCGCCTCCCACCTCGAACATTATCCAACTGCCACATTAGGATACAGCTCGCATATCTCTAACTAGCCTAACCTCAATTCTTCAACTACAGTTTTGATCTGCAGTTTCCCGGCTTGGCCCCAGTCTACACCTTTTAGCTTCTCTGCCGCTTCTTCCTGCTCCCCAAGCACTCCCCAGAGCCCATCTACTACCATGCTCCTGACTTTGGGCCATGGATGAGACATCATCGCCCCAAGACGCTTCCTAGCCTCTTGGACGCCTGCTTCGGCGCCTCCTTGATCAGCCATTGATGCGACACCGCTGTACACTTTGATACACGCCTCGAGCTTTCGCACATTGCCTGATTTGTAGCCCGCCTTCTGCGTCAACAGGCATAGGTTGCGGAGATTGACACTGCTTTTTTGGAAGAGCTGCACATGGAAGAGGAATGCGGTGATCTCCAGGGTTGGCACAATAACCCTGTCCTGGCCCTGCCTAGTCTTGAGATTCTGCAACATTGCTTTGCAGATAAGGTCCAGGTTCTCTTGGCTGGCTTCACAGAAGTCGCTAAGCGCAGCTCGACTTGCAATGATTAGGTCTTCGTTGCCCGTGTCTGCAGACCCAACAAAGCCGGACATAAGTTCTGACATCCATTCATTTGGGTCTCCTTTGGCAACATCGCGAAGCAATGGTAGGAGTCGGTCCCCAGTATGAAGGTTCAGAAGGCTATGAAAGTAGGCTTTGGAAGAGAAGGTGAGCTCACTGAACCTTTGTGCATGGCTGGAAATAGTCAGTCATTTGTTAAAGCATTCATCGGCTTACACAATCGGACGTACCTCTCTTCTAAAATCAATGCCACAGCAGCCTGAGCTTCAGGACGCACGCGGTCGAGTTTCTCTGCAGAAAGACGGAGAGCACTGAAGAAAAGAGCCCGTACAGATGCTCCTGCCCATTCGCCTTGAGCAAGCACCTCATCCAACTTGTTCCACAGTTCTCTGACAGCCCTGAGGGCATGCACACGAACATGTGATCCGATATCTCCTCGAGCATTTGTGGTATAATCGTTCAGAGCCTCTGCGATTAATTGCAGAAATGTCAAAGGCCTGTCATGCAAAATCCTACTTCGCGTCAAACTCTGCAAGATAGAAACTCGGGTCTCTACTTCTTTATCCCATGCCCAACGTTTAAGAATTGCCTGACAGGTGACGTCTTCCGATGAGTCTGCCAAGGGCTGAGCAGTTGCAAGTCCGGAAAAGTAGCCGCTGCCGTGTGCCGCAGTTCGGCTCGTCGGCCGATGCTGAACGGTTTCCGCCCATTCCCCTAAAAGTGTTTTTCTTTCGACAGGTGTAGAGAAGATCAATAGAAGGAGTGATGCCGCAGCAGCCGGCTCAATGGTTTCTTGCTCGCTGCGATTCAACCAGGTTGGGACAATGGCCCGCAATGCTGAGATCAACTGTGACATTGCCGCACTTCGACCTTCAACGCACGAATCAAGTGCGGACACAAGCTTCAGATATCCAGACGCATTGTCGTGATGAATGAGTTCGTGGCCTGGACGAAGAGCCTCCGGCAAGGCTGTACCAAGAACTGCAACCTGCATTATTGGTGATGCGGAGACAACAAGGCGGCTTGCAGCCTCAGCCAGCAATTCGCCTTTGCGGTAAGCAGTTGACTGCAAGTTCTCCAGAACCTTTGAGACTGTTATTAGTATATCGTTGATTAGAGACGTGTCGTGTTGCGCTGTGTCTGTGCTAATCAGGGCTGGGAACTTGTCGAGGACAGCAGAAAAGCACAGTAGTAGACCGTGTCGTTCCTCAACCTGACGAGGCTGAAGGGTTTTCAGTCGATCGGTGAGTAACTGGATAGTAGCTCTGAAACGAGAAAGAGGATCATCGGACTTGATGTCAGATAGCTCATATGTGAGAACACCAAAAGCGGCGCCAGATACACGTCTGGAGGCTGCATCAAGATCGCCGATACCTCTCCATCCGAGAATAGTATCAATGATGGCATCGCCGTACTGGCTTGATAGTCGAGTCGCATTGACTGCCACCTCCTCGATCGCTCTAGATCGTCGCGCAACAGCATGGTAGTCGACAGTCTGTACCACCCAAATGCCTTCCTCTACAGTATCTGGATGACGTCCAACAAGTTCTTGCAGCGCTGCTGATGCGCCGCGTCTAATATTGCCTGCAGAATCCAGAGAAGCAGTTACAACCAGTTCTGTTCCAAGAACTTGGAGGATAGAGCTTGCCGCTGGATGGGCTTTGGCTGCAAATACAGAGTGTGTAGGAATGGCTAGGAGCTCATCTGTCGTGTATCTACGTGCCAGAGCCCAAATGCCAAAGCAAGCAGCGTCACGCACACTAGTACCGACGCTTCCTCCAGACATGCTTCGTTGCTCGAATGAAAGCCCAAGGAGCAGAGCGTGGACAATGTCAGACAGCTGCTCGGTTGGTGGGGATCGTCTGTACAACAGGTGTGAGAGGGTGAGCATAAGCCCATGCCATTCAAGATTGTTCACAGCAGACAAATCTCTGACTGGTTTGCCCCCATTTGGTTTCGTCCAGAGAACATTTCGGTTCAGCGATTCAAGAACGACTTCTACAACCTGAGAGGCCATATCGGGCTCTAACTTCAGGGTAATGATACTCAGAGACTTGCTAGCTGCAAACCGGACCGGAGTGTCGCCATCGGATACTGATTCAAGAAGATATCCAATAGCGGTTTCTGTGAGCTCAGTGCTGGCCATGTCCTGCGGGGTCTGACGGAGACGTAACACGACAATGGATCGAATAACCTTGAGAATCATTTTCCTTGCAAGCGCAAAGGAAACGATAGTTTTTGAAAGAGTGTCTTCACCAGCAGAGATTGCATGGATCGCATAGAAAATCGTCGACAAGTAAAGATTCATGTCAGAAGTATCTGACGATGCTCGCAAGATCCCTGCGAGATACGAGAGGACGCCCAGGTAAAAATAAGTTTGTTGAAGAGGCCGCTCCTTGTTTGGACGTAGAGAAGCGAGAGACCAGTTCACGAGACTCTCAAGCACGCCGAGCTGTTGCATATCACGTCGGATAGACATTCTCACCAGGAGAGCCTTTGCGGCGTCTCGTTCTTTGCCGGGAGTACCGAGATATTTGATAGCAAGAGGAATCATTCGTACAGTGATAGCAGGGAGGTTTTCAGGCCAAACCAGTCCCGGGATATCCGGTGCTGTGACATCCTGCAGATCGACAGATGAGATGGTAGAGAGATCAAACGGTGCAAGCAAAAGATGTGAAAGCCATAGAAGAACGACATAGCGCTCCTCCCATGACCATTTACCAAGAGCAACGTCATCGGCGGATGCTTGTTCTGACTCTTCAATGGCAAGAAGTAGCAGCTCTAGGTACTTTGCTTCGACATTGAGAAAGCGCACAATGACCTTTTCGCCACGTATCTTACAAAATGTGTACAGGATTTTGCATATAGCAAACTCGACAGAGACCAGAAGCTTGGAGCGTGATGAAAGCGTCCTTCCCCGATTGCGAGTCTGCAGATGCTTGAGGAATGCCTCAGCGAGGAGGGGAATCCATTTTGGTAGATAGGGATCCAACAGCTGGGGGAGTTCCTGGAACGGGTCTAGAAGCTGAAAAGGGGAGTCAGGCCGTGTTACATAGAAGCATCTCATAATCACATACCGAACTGGTCAACCGAAATATCTCCTTGGCGCGCACCCGCGAGCGGACTCTGGTGCCGCCATGACCATCAGGCTTCCAGAGGAATTGGTGGAGAGAGCGGTCAAAGTCACCGAGAAGATCAGCTGAGATCTTCTGCAGTTTGATATCGATATCCGCTTCTGGGGCATCCATCTGTGCTGATTCAACAGTGCAAGCAAGCAAGCAGATTGTTCAGTTGATGTTTGCGAGAGGGTTAAGAAGTTGCTACTTGGGACATATTGTGAGCGAGAAGCGAGGTAATGAGATGAGCGGGTCCAGGTTTTGGTCTTTGGATGACAGTGGTTTGACCTGGGAGAGCCAATGAGAGATAATTTGACTGTTTTTGACTATAGAGAAACTTGAAATAAAACTCTTGCGGAATTCTTGGAGTGTTATGTCAGTTGTAAATATTGAGGATTGGTGAAAAGCTTCCTTCATTACGATATTTCCTCTCTATACCAAGACGCTCACTGTCGCCAGCCTATGGACAGTGTGTATATACTGCCATAGTGCTGTCAACACTGTACTGCGAACAACAGCCTCAAGTAAATAACCTACCTCAGGTAGTCACCAGCAATTGATTGGCCACCAACAAGGTGATTAGTTAAGATTTCGCTATCACATATTTGAGAAAGTCTGTTGTGCTATCAGAAATGTTTTGTTGTATCGTTATATTGTTTGTAGATTGATTAAGATTTGACAGTTACAAGAAGTGTCTATATGAGTGCCTTGCCTCTATCCATCTCTTTAGGTAATGTAATGTTCCAGCTGCCTTTGCTTTCTTTATCCTCCCAATCCTCTAAAGGGGTATCAACCATTAACAAATAAACCAGGAGTCACAGACCCTGTCCTGTCTGATGCTCGTAAGCGCGTGTGTGCTTCTATGCCCAGTGAAAACCCATCCAAATTCGCCAAATAATCCAAAACTATTCCATAGTTTTTTGAACCCAATTCCAATGACGCCCGGTCAGTCCATGACCTTTTTCTCTTTTCCCGTTTTGAAAATTCATAAGACAAAGAAAGTACAAAGTACTCAAGAAACAGCAATCGCTGCTACAATAGCGTCCAGAGCGCTGCTGTGTGAAGGACCGGTGGCCTCGACGTAAGGCCCGGTCCAGGAAACTCCCAATCTATTCTCGTCGTCGCGCGCATGCCTCCAGATCGATATGGCGTTCTTGGTGATGAAGCGACGATACAGGCGCTTGGGTGAAACAGCGTGAAGATATCGGAGGTTTCTGACAAAGATACCCTTGAACTGCTGTCCGTCTACACCACAGTGACCATCCTTGAGCTCACAGTCGTCAGTCTCAATGAGAATTCCATCGTCGTTGCTAAGCTCCTTGATAGCCGCATAGGCAATCTTGTGAGCCTTTTCGGTGTATGCATTGTCGCCGGTGGCCAGCGCGAGCTCAACCAGCCCACCCAGGATAACACCCTGATTGTAACTCCAGGTCTGTAGGCCGTTGTTCTTGCAGTCGCTGGTCAGTCCATCATTGATTAGGCCCTTTTCGTTAATGAGGCCACTGTCGGAGAACCAGTTCCACTGCTTCTTGGCGATATCCAGGTATGTGCTGTTGCCGGGAACACGTCGTGCCAAAGAAGCAGCAGTTGCGAGATAGAGTTCGTTTGCAATCGCATTGACATAGCCCGATCCCTCCTCGCCCTCCTTCTTCCACCTTATGCCACCACAAGATGTGCCAGTTCCAGTCTGCATATCGTTGAAGATGTCAATGGCAGCCTCAAGGTATTGCTCGTCTCCAGTAGCATCTGAGGCTCTGATCCATGCCAGAGCCCACCATCCTTCATCGTCGTAGAACTCGTTGAGAAAGTTGTCGAAGCCTCGCTTTCCGATGAATGCTCGCTTCATCATGCAACCGGAGCTTGCGTCTATACAGTAGGAGGAACTGACGAGGCCGTTGGTCATGGTCTTCATACTGTGGATGGTTGTTTTTTGGGCGTTGGTGTATGTTGTAGCGAGGATACCTCCGACATTGAGTTTGTTGCTGTCCTCGAGATTTAAAGTGGCAAAATCGCTAAGAATTGTGACGATCTGGACGAGTGTTAGTTTGATATCCATCCGTATCATGGGGGATATATCACGAACGTTCGCGCTACTCCACCAAGCATTGTCCCATACACCAGTAGCAGAGTTGTAGAAGTCGTCGTTTAATCTTTGAATCGCAGTAACAGCCTTTTCGGTGTATGTTGAGACAGCGCGAGCTTCAGGTCGAACCGAAGTCATAAAAGTTGTTCGGGCAAAGAGCCGGGCCCAGTGAATGTGCATGTTGAGGAAATAGATTTTAAGGAAATAGGTAAGATGTTATAGAACCATTAATAGAAGGAAGGAAGAATAGAAGGAGACAAGAAGATATATCAGAAAGAAAGATACCAGACTTTTATTCTTATCTTAATACACTCTCAGAGTTGTATGAATCAGACACAACAGCAGCAGCTCGGGTATAAGTTTTTTTGGAAGAGGACAAGAGATCTATATAGCATATACAAACAAAGAACCCACCCCAGTTAACATCTGAAGATCAAAGTTTTTGTCCCCCCCGGGTGGATGCCTCTTTGTCTAATCCCACACCAAACTCCCCGTGAGTTGCATTTGCATTGAGTGTTTCCTGGCCATGACCCGCGACCAACACCACGCACGACCCAGCGTAGCGAGAAAAGCTCCCAGGGGTACTCCGTACTCTGTCAGGTACAGTACCAGTCAAGAGGGCCAGTGGAGCATTGTGGGACTGGGTTCTCGGAGGAGGAACGGTCAGTGATTGGCGAGAGGGAGGTTGAAGGTGAAGATGCGACTGGCGCGAAGTCGATCTTTCTCATGAGTTGTCGGGTTGTGATGGGGCGCTTGATGTTTCATACAAGACTACCGGCTCTTACCCCTGACGCTACAGGGCGGAACGAACTATTTTTTGCCGCTGTGGGGGCCTGTAGTCTCAGGGCATCGGCCCTTCGACCTCCACTGACCTTATCTTTTGTCCCCCATGGACGTGCTCGACCTGACACAGGCGTTAACTCAGGTCTACCTACGGATCTCATGCTATTTGGTGATTTCTCAAGGTTTACCCTACAAAGTGAATCTCATGTAAGAAGAAATCTCCAGATCTAGGCAATGTTTGTTTCTACAAGAATTACAAAATTACAGAGTAGAGGTACATTCCTATAGATAAGGTACCCAGTGATGAGTTGTACCAAACCCTTCTATGTGGACCATCCCATGAATCGCCTATTTCTGCTGTGCTGTCATGGCTTCGGAGCCGGGGTTTCGTGTTTCATATCAACGTCAATGTTATGCAAATCGTCCTCATGGATGCTAATACTACATAAAGATTATAGATCTTGACACTTCTCTGATCGTCCCATCCTGTTCTTATTCATGCCAGCGCATCCCGTTAAACAGCCCTAAGGTTGCTGGCATTGTTGGTGCCTCTGACGTACTATAGATGCATTATCGGGTTTGCGCGACGCCGGATTCATTTTCTTGTTACTCAGAAGAGTCGATCTGTACAACATTTTGTCTCTCGGGACATATCGTAGTCCACCGCAAGTTAGCCGCTGTACTCCATATCTTGTTGGCGCTTCTGCCATCTTCATTGTCTAAAGCCTTGGATAATGAAGATAAAGCTTTTGGCATTAAGCCTTGCACAAGAGAATAGAACTTGGAAGCACGGTGTCACTTGTGCCCCAATCGGGTAGGGGACTCGTTAAAAAAAGCTCGATGAACATCAATAAACGCCTTCATCAGGCCTGTGGTTCTCGACGGCCTGTCGGAAATATAGTGCCAAGATACTATATTCAGCCCGAAGCCTGACAACTGAGACTGACCCTGGCCAGGAGATTGTTGCTGAAAGCACTGGTTGGGGTGACATCGGCAGACCACCAGGTAGCAACGACAGTTATCGCATTGTTGAACAATCTTAAAGCCTCTATCGATAGAAATGCTCTGTCGATCTTTGGGATGATCTTTTTGAGTAACAGCATGCATAGCCATTGATCAACATGGTGCATTGCTCAGCTCGTTCTCAAAAGGTAGTGATTTTCAGAAGCGATCTTGATGTTTCGTCCCAAATTTCCGATCAGTTGAAACCTGTCTGGCGGTATCAGAAAACTTGGCAGTTTTGGACCAAGAGATAGAAAACTTGGACGGTTTTAGTGTTTTTTAAACAGTCTTCCTCCTCCTCCTCTAGAGGGTGAGGTTGCGAAGATCTCTATCCGTACATACCTTGTCATGATAATCTATGTCATAGCCAACCAACAGGTCGAGAACAGACTGCCATGCTCCGCATTTAGTACGACAAAAGAAAAGTCGCTCTAGCGTCTAACATTGATATATGGGTCCTTTCTCCTTTCCTAGACTCATTCTTACTCGTAGAACAAGTACGTATTATGTAGATCGTGAAACGAATATTATGGATCGAGTGGAGTGTTCTGGTGGTACTTGCTTAAATGGAGTTGAGGTCTGCAGCTGCAGCTATAACGGCAATTACCATCTACTAACTTACAGTAGGTCGCCAAAAGTTACGATATATCTAAAGCCCTACCCCTCTTTACGTTAAATATTAATATTAATAATATAACTATAATACATTTTTATTATAGTAAAAATACTTTAATCTTAGCAAAAAGAATATTAATTTTTTAAGTATTAAATAGTAATTATAATAATATATATATTAAGTGTTCTAGTTAAAGAAATTACTTAAGAATAGGGTATTAATTATAATATAATTTATAGTATTTTCTAAAGGTTATAATAATAAACCTTAGGAAGGTCTTTACCTTATTCTAGTAGGCCCTTTAAGTTATTAAATATAAATAAAATATATATTAAAATACTTATTAAAAATAACCTTTTTATTTTATATTAAGATATTATTAATTAGATATACTTATCTTATTAAAGAAAGACTATTTATTAATAGTTTCTTAAGGAAAGGATATAGTATAAGCTTGCTTTTTAATGTCTATTCCTTACCTTAGAATATACCTAAATAAGGAAGGCTTTTATAGATAAGTATTATTATAAGGATAAGAGTTTTTAATATAACTAGTAGTGTTTTAATAAGGTTTTTATTAATTATATAAATAGTAATTATATTAAGTAGTTATTTTATAAAATTATTAATTTAAACCCTTTATTTTAAAAAGTAAATTTTAATAATACTATAAGGTAAGAGGCTTTATAGAGATAAGGTTTAGCCTTATAGATAGCCTATAAGATATTCTTAGATATTTTATAGTATAATTTATTATAAAAAACTATTTAGGCTTATTATTTTACCTAGTAATCTTAATTCTTTAAGGGGAGGTATAATAGGCCGTAGAATTCTTTCTTACTTATAGTCTTACCTTCCTAATTTAGTTAAGGAAGGAAAGATATTCTAGTATAATAATACTTATATTTATACTTATTGAAAAGTTTAGAAATAGCTTTACCCTTAGGCCTGGCATAATAAGGTAAAATTATTAAACTGGCCTTTTTATAGTCCTAATCTTAATCCTATTAAAAACCTATAGAAAGTCTTAAAAAAATAGATATATAATATATACCTTAAAATATCTACTTTTCTTAAGTTAGCTATAGTAATAAACTAACTAATTAAAGCTATAGAGAAGTTTTAATTAGAGGTTTAAAATAAAGTAATTAAAAATATAATTAAATTAATATATAACCGTTTAGAGGTATATTATTAAGTAAATAATTACTATATTAAGTATTAAGATATATTCCTAAAATCTCCTTTTAAAATACTATAGAATAATATATAAAATATTATAATTAAAGAATAATTACCTATTTAATTATATGCCGAAGTAGAAGTATTAAGTTAGGGTGGTTAAGGTGGACCTGATATATATTATTACTTTTGCCCGCCTACTGTACCTTAACCCTGGCACGTCCGGTTCCTGAAGATCTCTCCATCGTGCAGGTGCAGACGCACTAAATCTAGAGCCTCACACAAGGCAGGCGTGGCTTCCTTCCCGCTTCCGTATGACAAGACGTCATCTACGTTATCGGAGCAAAGATATTTTCTTTTCTTGAGACATTACCTACTCATCCGAGAAATCTTGGTTACCTCACCGCCATGGTTTCTAGTATCACAGGCGCGCACCTTGTTCAACCTTCCATTTTTCGTCTTGGCAGTAGCTGAACAGACCCGGCAGGGCGGATATCGTGGCGCTTAATCGACCTCCTCGGGCCCATTTAGAGACATGGTCGTTAACGATACCCTCGTTCATTGGCTTTCAATGGTCAACAATACTCAAGATTTTCTCAAAATGGGCGCATCGCACTGAATTCGGCGCTTCCTTCCTTATGCAATGCGGTTGGCGTTTATCAGCTCGACTTGCATTCCCACACTGATCTGCCGCCGCCAAGCAGCCTTTTACAGCCAATATACTCCGTACCTAAACACGTTACTCCTGGCACAACGGGACAATAGCAATACTGAGATTTGGTCTGAGTTACAAGTCACTATCTGATACAACAAAGTAAAAAATGAATAATGCATATGCCACATTCACGGGTATAATGCCCAGACGCCCGACGCCCATTACGACCAATCCATCCTGGCTAGTCGCACATTATTATATCTTGTCCTCGGGTTCTCCGATTTGATCACTCACGACCAAGTGTGCCACTTGAGATCGGCGTTGGAAGCGCAGGTATCTCGTTGCTGCTGATAGAGCCCGCGATACTTCCTGGTCGTCCAGCCCGGCTCGTTTTGCGAGAAGAGAACCGAGACAGGACAGACAAGGACTTGTTTCTCTCGTTACTCACGATACTCGCCCTGTCAGAACCAGTTTTACCAAAATCTCGCAGTGTGCTAACGTCAATGAACGCTTGAGGAAAGATTCCTGTCTTGCCCTTGGCGTTCGTCCCTGACCAGCACCAATACTCCTGATAAGGCCCTAATAAACAAGTCAGATCAAACGTTACCTCATATGCAGGCATAGGTGATATATGGGGTCAACTTACAGCTGATGTTGGTAATGATTTCGTCTTTCTCGAACTTGAGCCAATCGCCCTTGACTTTGTCCTTGTGGTTGAACTTCCACCTTGCGGTTGCCTGAACTGGACTTAATCCGTCTATCTTGACTTCACTGGATGGCGGTGGATCCAGCTTTAGAATCTCAGTCGGTACACTGGCTAGGATGCCATCGTGGTATCCCATAGCCCATTCGCCCATATACTTTGCGGGCCAGGAAAGGCCGACAATTTTCGCATTCAAGACCAATTCAAGGGCGGGAGTCCTATCATACAGTAATCGTTGCCCGTACATACGACGTGCCGCTTCTTTGCTGGTTGCAGTTGGGAGATAGCATATCTCATCTGTCTTCTCCAAAACGGGGTGTGTTTCGACAGGTGATTTGAAGTGAAGGTCATAATCATTCCTGTGCACAGCAGGGACCTCCTCCTGTTCAATCACCGTAAATCCAGGGACGGCTGGTAAAGGACGAGGATGGCGAGCCAAGTGTGCAAAGAGGGCCTTTTGACTGATAAAGACGGTTGCGTCGCTTGCGTGAAGGGTCTTTCCTTGAAAGATACAAAAGATACAACCATACATGACATCGTCTGAACGTCTCGTCGGCAAATGAGATTTTTGGAGGAAGCGCAACCTGTATCCAATGCCATTCTTGATAAAGTTACCTCGATCTGCAGAGCTGTCAGCATATCATGATACCAAAACAAGATCTTGTCGTGTTGGAAAGGACTTACCTGCTTTATTGACATCCAAGTCAATCTCATTAAAGTCTAGTTCGAAATGACACTTGACGCATTTTGCGATTGTTGCAACGGTAGCGAAACCCTATATTGATCAGCAACTGGCGGTTGAGTAATGGAGAGGCAAGTAGCATACCGCTTTTACTGTCTTTTTGACTCCGGCCCCTCCGTTGAGAATCTCCTTTGCACCATCACAGAAACCTTTGTGCACATAAAAAGAGCTCTGGGGGTTGAGTTTGCAGTCGACGGCAAAAGGGTTTGGTGGATGTTCCGGAACCTGGATCTCGCTCTCAACAGGGATGGGAAGATTATCTACCTCAGGGACCATGATCGGCTGCACTGGCTCGAGCATGCCCTGATAGTTATTCACCGGTAGATGCTTGACCTGGAGGGGGCTCATTTCTGCGGTGCCGAGTGTGGGACTGCCGTCAAAACCTGAAAGGGAAGAGTCGCGGTTATCTGTGAGAGGAGTTGTCGCTCCGTCAGGTCGTCCTGCATCAAAAACAGAGCCAGGATTGGTTTCGACCGATTCGGGACGAGAATGAGGAAGCGAATGTGTTCGAGGAGGAATCGTCCTCGGGGTAGGAGAGAGCTGTGACATATAGCCTGTGTTGGGCCTGTCTGAAACAACATCCTCAGGTATCGAGGTAGACAATATGGAGTTATGGTTCGAATAACGACCCCGTGGTGATGGAAAGACACTGTATGTACGTTCATATGTCGTGGGTTCCATCCCCACTGAGCTGACTTGGGAGTCATTACTATACTGGGATGTGCGGTCACCTCCTGGCTTGAGTGGGCGGGGATGAAGCTCTCTGCTTAAATCCGGGCTGAGAGGCGGTGATATTGGCTCAACGGGTGATTCAATCGGGGCCACAGGTTTTCTCCTCTCAAAAGAAAAGTCATCTGAGAAGTGGTTGTCGCGAGAAGATGGCGAGGCCTTTACATTGAAATCCCATGGGTTGCCAGACGGCGGTCTTGGAGGTGGCTCGACTGGTGTCAGTACAGCCTGTGGCGTGTGACTGGACCGTGGAGACTCGGCATATAGACCTTCGTCCGGCCCTGATCGAGACTGCATCATGCGCCGCAGCTCAGCAGTGGCTGCTTCGACTGTTACAGGATCATTGCTGGAGCGGCTTTCGGAAGCGAGTGAAGAGGCACTTCGTGGAGTATCTTTTATCAATTCGGAGAATGGATATATCGGTGGCATTGGGGGAGCATCTGGTGAGATGGGTCGTGATTGTGACCCCGACATTCGAGTCATGATGGAGCGATTATCATGATCAATCGGTACCTCGAGCTTGAGGCGCATAAGGATGTCGTAAATCTTCGGGGCGGCTTTGCGCGACAGAGCTTGCAACTCAGCAAACTTGTCGGCCTCAAAGTCGTCCAACTCTATATAGTCTTCGAACTCCCATAGCAATTCGTTCAATTCTGTTCGGAAAGCGGCGATTTCATCTACATTGTCAAAGTCAGCCAATGTCGATTGGACAGCGACCGACCGCCTGGAACCCTGAAAAGAGCAAAGCAACTACTTACCATTTTCCTTAAGAGCATCTAGAAAGTTGGAGCCGTATTCGTCGAGGTGTTTTCGACACAGCGGTTCGATCTTTTTGAGCGCACGTTCGCCTTCTTTGGTAAGGCTCTGGGACGCCTTAAGCATTGTTTTATCATCGCCGGCATTCTCTACAGCCTTTCGGCCTTTGTCGACGATATCTCGAAAAGGCGAGATAACGAGGTCGGCGACATCATCCATGATGAGCTTGGACGGGTCAAGATTCGCGAACAATCTAGTGAGCGCTCAGGTATGGTTATGGTGGTGGAGGGCAAAAGCCGGAGTGAGGATGAAGTGGGCGTGTAAGTCAGTATGAGGGACTCGGAGCAAGCCAAAGATGGGGGGCTGAAGGACTAAGGAGGGGGATCATCACACGACAGGGAGGTATCGGGTAAGAAGGCCACAACGATTAATCAAGCGACTAGGCTACCGTTGGGAACTAAGGATAAGAGAAGAAGAAAAAGAAGAGAACCAACATGGGAAGCCTGCATCTAATACAATGGTGCACGGCATGGCATATTCTGGCTGGGCTGGGCTTTCACCAGGGCACACTACACTAACACTCGAGCTGAGAGCTTGAATCGGCAGCAGTGCAGTAGCTCAGTCCTAGCCCACAGTAAGTCCTTTCTTTGTTGCTCATGCGGAGTACACCGCAAGGCGATACTTGACGGGGTGTCTGGCGCCATGAGACATGCTGTACTACCTACACTATTGGCCGACCGGGAGCCGGGCCCCGGTGAGAGATGGTTCTATCCCCGAGGCTCTAGCTAGGGGTTGCCCGAGCATTGGGAAAGTAGGGGAGTTGTCTTGCTGGGTTCTCGAAGCAATTCCTGTCATGAACGAGTTGCCTAACTTACAAAAGCAGCGTGGTTTAGTTAGCGCAACTTGGCCTACAAGGGGACAATCCTCTCAAAGGCGGAGATGCTCCACTTACCGCCGCCCACGTTGACGGATCTGCGCAACGGGATTGGGGGGCTTCCTGTCAAGTATCATGGCCTCATGTAGCAGATTGTTATACCCTTAGTTGACTCTTTCAGTGGAAATTTAATCACAACTGCTCGGTCAATATTCTCGGCAAAGTCATGATATGCAGGGGCAACACGACTAGTCTGAAGAAGAAAACTTGACCGAGAGCTCTTTTGGGTGGAAACTCATTAAAAGCTGACTGAAGGTAATAGACACAGTCAGGTACCTCGAAGTCACCACAGCAGCGACAGGAAAGGAACACGTTCCCTAGCAGTCGAAGAGTATGGCAGCCAGCTATACCGATATGAGATTACCGAGCCTTTTTTGCCTATTGCTTTTTCCTTTGTTTCTGCAATTAATTTATGGTTACAACTCAGGGCCCGCCCTGGACCATGCATGAGAAACACCACGAGGTGGAACACGGTAGCAATCATGGGGTAAACTTTGGTCAGTGATGCAGATCCGGACCAAGGAATGACAGCGCTGATCACTCAAGGCTTTAATTGATTCTGTTGAAGCTAAGTTGAATATGCTCAAGGCAAAGGCGGTAGACCGCAGCCCTCATGACGCCCGGTCGAGTCAGCCTTGAAGGTGGAGATAAGCCATGATGGAAGGGATACGTGAAAGATTACCCTACAGTGTGTTGTTATCAGAGTCGCAAGCAAGCAAATACTCGCAGAAGTTCAGCAAACCTAAATCTTGAACCTGATACGTTAGCCCAGGGCCATCTTCATTTACTACCACAGGCGTCGGGCGATCTGCTTCCAGTAGCAGAGCTGGATTCTGTTTATCACGATCATCCAGTAACACCCAATGCGGGGTGCGCATGATGAACATCCCGGACAACTCCCAGGATAAGTCGACCACTGGCTGATATGAAAGCTGCCTTAGAAAACTGCCGTTAGGAGTTAGGACTACAATGTCTGAATGTGGCTGCGTTGCCAGCGATCGTCGCATATCTCATGGCATAGTCTCCGCCCTGTTATAGTGACACACGTGCCGAACGACACTCTCTTGCAGCCTTTGTCGTAAATGCCTTGCCGTGGCGTTTTGTGGCATGTGTCTGCCTATTTTGATATTCACTCCTCGCCCATGAGACATCCAAGTGGGGGGAAATCAAAGAGAATTGAAATGACTTTCAATTCAAAGCAATTACTTTCAATCAATACTAATCATAAGCTCATAACCGTTCGTATGCTGTATCCATCTTAGCCAATCACCATCTCTCCCTAACTTTTTGTTCACTTCTTTCTACCCATCTCCAATTACAGTCAGCCCTTAAGCAGCCTTCATGCTTGGAACCGCAGACTTGCTGTTGCTATTTTTCTGGAACGCAAGCTTCATACTACCCGTTAGCTCCAATCCTTTATTAATCAATTGTAGTGCCAATAGCTTACCTGCTGCTCAATCATCCTTCGTCCAACATCAATGGTCTCGTTCATACCACGCTGGCGTTGCCAGAACCTATCTCCTGCATTAGTATGCTGTGTATTGTCATTACCAGGTTCACTTACGTCTCTTCCGGTGTTCCATGACCGCGAATAGATGTCTGACGGGCCTCCTCTTCCAGAGCCTGGCGGGTAATCTTCTCACTGTGATCAATACCTGGGACCGATGACTCTTCAGATGCACCCTGTCCGATGTTCTCCTCGAGGAGTTTTCTCTTCATCAGAAAACGCTCCTTGCGCTCCTTCTGTACGCCAGGGCTGTCCAGCTTATCGAGAACAAATCGGACTGCTAGCTGAACGACGAGATAGAAATGTTCAGCAAAAAGAATACTCAAGAGCAGGCCCCAGGCCGTCAAGGGGGATGGTGTGCCGTGGGAACCATGGCCTCGAGCGCCACTGCACAAGTAAACAATAGCGGCGCTGGTGATACTGCCGAGCCACGAGACGAAACTGAGGGCAGTCAACCAAGGGCCGATCGAATCGGTTCGCCATGGGATCGGTCTTCGGCTGCTGGTGGCAATCTTGAGAGCATCGGATCTCAACTCAACCCAGTTGTTGACGAGGAAGCAGCAAGCTGCAAATGGCCAAGCAACTGAGAACATGGAAACGTAACCTATGCACGGGTCAGATAATTGGTTTCACAAATAATTGCTAACGTCAGCTTACCGAACTGCATAACCATCTCGCGGTAGTCTCCCGAGACGTCGTACATCTCGAGTGTAGTCTCCTTGCGGACACGTTCAAGGAACGCGGCCTCCTCTTCGTGGTCGTCTTGAATCTTGGGCTGTGACTTAAGCTGCTTGGCCTTCTGGAAAGCCTCTCGCTTGAGGTAGGGTACCACAACCTCGGTAGCAAAGTTGACGATCTGGGCTGTGACGGTGAAGTAGAACATCTGGTTGCTGATTCGGGCAGGGTTGATCTGGAATTCCCGTGTTGGGAGTGGTTTCTCACTGAATGTGACAACCTGAGCGGTCTTTCGCCAGAACTCAAGGAAAGGAACCAGGACATGGCCAAAGGGAATGTAGACGAATGCGGTGAAGAAGAGGGCCATGTACGAGGTCATGAAGTTGAGGACAAACTGCTTCTGGATAAGAGCAGCGTCATGAGCTATATGTTGTCAGTTGGTGTTGCAGTTTAAGATTAGTGGTGAGTTCGTACCATCAACAGTGGAATAGTTCTCCATTGCGTTCAATTTTTCAGCAGCACTCATTAGCAGGCTAGAGATAGTAGGTGTACCAAGAACGAGAAGAATAGTCGGCAAGAAGCCCTAAATCCAGCCAGTCAGTCGTGTCATGTAAATGATGAGCGGGATTCTTACAAGATACTGCTTTCCAGGGCCATTGTATACTTCGTTAATAAAGACCTCAAGAGAGTTGCAGGTCACAATTAGAGCTCCCAGAGCAATAACGCAGGCTAGTGCAAAGGGGATCTGGAGTAGTTGAGTCTTAACACGCTTCATGGGCTCGTACACTTTGACAACTTCGCCAGTGACGGGGTCCTCAGCCTCTCGATCCCATTCAAATTCGGGCCTTGCCTGCTGAATGCTGGATACACCTCGGACGCCCCACTGCACAGCAAGATCGACCTCTTGCTTCTTCCAGTATTCGAGAAAGACAACAGACCAGAGACCGCAGAGCAGGGAATAGAGGAAAGAAAATTGGCCGAGCAGTAACCAGGCAACGAAGCCGAATCCAGAGGGAATAACGAGGAAGCGGAAGTAGGATCGGAGAAAAGCAAAGTAGAAAGCGACGCTCTCTCCGAACTTGTCTCGAATTTCGTCGATGTCGCCTTGCTCCAGAGTATACTTGGTGCTCCATTTCTTGATCCATTCCTTGTTGAAGTTATGGCTATGCAGAGGAAAGATGGACTCGACGTATTTCCACTTGGCATTAGACGGGGTGATTCCAGCGCCGCCTTCGGTGCGTGGCTTCGTGATCATGAGGTAGATCAGGCGCAGGCGCTCGGCCTCGACGACGGGCTCGTCCTCTAGGGCCTGGTTGACATCGCTGTGGGGAGCTGAGACTCGAACGCCGTGGAGCCAGTCGGAGAGACGGGCGCGGTATACTTGCTTTGCGAAGAGGTCGGGGGATGCGACCTTGACGAAGACGAGGAGGGAGTCGTTGTCGCCGTGGCGGACTTCGGTGGCCAGACCAACCGCTGTAAGGGCTCGAATGAGTTCGACGAAGCCGGCTTCAGCTTCAGCGCGTTCTACAAGGATATTAGTTTGGTGGATTGTCCGAGGGAAGTAGGCTCAAGAATTACCTGACGAGGGGACTTTGTAGTGAATGACAAAGTCGACGCTGGCAATTGTTAGAGGGAATTAAGTAACGGAGTGTTTGTCTCGTGTGCTAACCCAAAGTTGCTCGTCTGAGTGCTGTCGCCAGATTGGCTGTACAGGTCCTTTAGGTTGGACATGTTTGGCAGATGTTGAACATGCAATGGATGATCCCAAGGTGAGAAGAGAGAGAGGAGAAGAAGGGAAGGGAAAGGAGGGGAAAAGGGGAGGTTATCGATACAAGAAGCAAGACGAGACAGGACGAGACAAAAGAGCAAAACGGGGATATAGATGCAGAGTGTGTGTAGTCCCATTGGGTTGGGTCGATGACGATGGGTTAGAAATGCAAACAAGCTTTTAGTGCAGTTACAGCTTATCCCAGTGCAGCTGAGGGGGGAGCTTCAGCTTTCAGCTTAGGTTGTACTGTAAATGTTGACGTTAGTGGGAGGTGGGGAGCTGGAGCTCGCATGGCGACGTCACTATCCTGCAGCTGTCTTGGTCAAGGGTATGTGGTCCGTGCTGGAAGGACATTATCATGATGATGCCAGTAGTAAATAATATTGTTATCCGATAATGTTGTATTATATAACTATATATACTACAGTGTAGGAGATGCTCTTTGGTCACTGGTGTTATATATATGTATGAGTCTAGGAACATCCTACTATGGAACTTGAACTTGCAACATAGGTAAGCACCGGTCATTGTCTGTCACATGTCTAAACAGTTGATTTAGGAGACAAGCTCTGTCGCCGTAGGTAATAGGTAGTTAAACAATGCTTGTAGCTCTTGTATAATGTTTATATCTACTATCAGCTTAATATATATTTCAGAGAACAAGTCATCGTTCACACTACCATTGCCAACTCTTCTAGAATATAATAATAATGCCCTATAATTCAATCCCCTAGGGTCATGGATGGTTGCTGTCAAGTTAGCGTCACTGTGGGGCCGTTTCGTCACCTATCGCACACTCCACTAACATCTACTCTCACCTCAAGCTACACCTACTGTATCCATATAGCTAAGAAGCTACACAGCTATACAGATCTCCAATCGTTTCATCATAAACAATCTCTTATTCATCTTTTCCATTCAATTGATCCTCTGCTCTTGACCTTTTTACCCTATACCTCCCTCCCTCACCCATCATGGGCCTCCTCTCCTGGATCGGCCTCCGTCGCCGCAATCAGTGGGAGCCCATGACTCTCATCGACCACTTCCTCTCATCACCTCTAACATATCTTTCCTTTCTATTCTACCACATTGTCCTCCTCCTCCGCGGTCGTCCTTTTCTTCCGCCCCGCGACAAGTCCGCCATCCGCGTTGTCTGCATCTCCGACACGCATGATCTCAAGGTCGACATCCCTGACGGTGATATTCTCATCCACGCGGGTGATCTCACAGACTCCGGGACTGTCACAGACATTCAGAAGCAGCTCGATTGGCTTCGCGAACAGCCTCACGCCGTCAAAGTTGTTGTCGCGGGTAATCATGATAGCTGGTTTGATCAGAAAAGCCGTGTCGAGGAGGATGCGCGGTCAGGTGCTAAGCCCAACATGGAGGGCCTCGTTTATCTTGAGAGCGGCTTAACGGTGCAAAAGATCAAGGGTCGAACGGTCAACATCTTTGGTGTGCCTGATATCCCAAGTATTGGCCCCAAGGAGTTTGCGTAGGTGTCCGAAAATTCCGTCAAGGCTTCAAAATCTAACGAGACAATGCTTGTAGCTTTCAATATGCTCAAGATAAACATCCCTGGCTTAGCAAGGTACCCCCTCAGACTGACATTCTCGTCACCCATTGCCCTCCCGTAAGTCCCCAAACATGCTTATCTTCAGTCCATTCAACTTACGCAAACCCAGAAACATCATCTCGACCTAGGCCTTGGCGACGATAATCTCCTCCGTGAAGTCTGGCGCGTAAAGCCCCGTCTGCACGTCTTCGGCCACGTCCATTACGCCTACGGTAAAGAATCCGTCTTCTTCGACGGTTTCCAGGAGACATACGAACGTATCATGTCGCGTCCGCGCCGTGGTCCAATTCGAGATTTCATCCCTAACGAGGCTTGGCTTGATTATTTGCGGTTCCTGGCCCAAGGGCTTCACAGCGTGGCATGGAAGTGGCTCATGTCAGGACCTGGAAGTAACAACGGTAGTTTGATGGTTAATGCTGCGCAGATGATTGGAAACTCGGGCAAGGCAAAAAGCAGGGCCGTTGTTGTTGAGATTTAGAAGACTAAGCAAGTAGACTATATATAAATTCAGATTTCTCTCCATGCTCCATCATTGTTTCATAGAAGTAACGGGCGAACTCATTGAAATATCAAGTATTGGTATTATTATAGTGCATTAATCTCTAATAGGTCATAAAAAGACAAAAGAAATCTCGACCGTAGTCGTGTAATCAAAGAAATACCCTTTCCTCTGTCCCAATTACATATATATGTCTATGTTTTTGTATAACCCCATATTTTCCCATTAAAGTCCTCAGATAGAAGAAAATCGAAGCAAGTATTGCAATTGGATACCACGATCCCTTACAACATCACAGCCAAAATTGCCATGGCCAAAATGGCAAAATAAACACTTATGTCATCCCTTCTCGACGAGGCTCCTGAAACCACAACGGGTGCGCCAGGTGTCGGTGTAGCAAGAGTGACTGGTGTGTTTGGCTGTCTAGGCGATGGAACAGGTAGGATGCTCATTTCACCACCAGTATTGGCTATGGTGACAACGACTGTCCGTCGGGCTGTCCTTGTCTCGGTGGTAACTGAGTTTGTAGAGGTACCATACGTGATGATGCGGGTCGTGAGGTATGTTATAACGATAGTTGTTACGTCGGGAGATGATTCACCACCCTCGCCATCGCTTTCCATTCCGCTTGGTACTACAGGAGGGACAGTATTGCCTCCCGATGTAGCCACTGCATCGGCGTTGTTGGTCTGCTGTGCTTGAGTTGAGTTCCCACCAGGGACGGTAACAGTAACGGAAACGGGAATGGTCAGGGTAACGGTGTTCTCGCCATTTGTACCACAACCGTCGCATTCAACCACTCTCGTGGCCATTGGTGGCTTGATCAGCGTTGGGGTCTTGCAATAATCGCATTGCTCGTACTGCATAGTAACAACGCTCTCTTGGGGGACGAGTGATCCTGGGTTAGAAGGCAGTATAGTAAAGTAAGATATTGTGCTTATAACTGTCTCGCGGTTGGCATCAACAAAAGCTCCGGTAGCTTCAATCACCTGGCCGTTTGAAGCAGTGCCAAGAACCACCACAGGATCTGCGTCTGCATCAATTGTGCCATCGGTATCGGTAGCCACGGCAGGATCAAGAGCCGCTGCTTCAGTGGCCACAGCAGTACCAACTACTGGTGCAACATCAGTAGCATCCGTAATATCAGCACCCATTTTGGTTGTAGGGGGCACGGAACCAGTATCAGTCAGGTCGTTGGATGCGGTCAGGCCAACCAAATTAGACAGGGTTGGTTCGTTTTGAGCACTTGAGTCGTCTTGCGTATTTGAGCTATCCTGGTCACTCGCAGCAGCTGAGCTAACTGGACTGTCGACAACACCACCGCTGACTGATGTAGTTCCAGCAGCAACAGGCCCCATAGCAGGTGGTACTTCAGGCTGGTCGGCATCAGAAATGTCGGCATAAACTGTAAGAAGGATGTTGTTTGGGGCGTCTCGACGAAGAGGGACGCTTCGTCTGGACCTGGTGCTAGTGCTCTGAGAGACCATGCCACCGCAGAACTGCTCATCATCGCCTGGGCAGGGACGATTACAAGACGTTTCATTCCGGACAGCACGGGTGTCGGCGTTGAGCTTGGAGGCGCAGTAACATGATCTGGGAGATAGGTTAGTCACTTTGAATTCCAACCTGCGAAAATGGAGATAGTTACCCTTCAAAGATACCAATGTAAGTTAAACCATTACAAGAATCAACGCACTGCTCAATGGTCATATCATCGCTCTCGGTACTCAGGTCGAAAGTCTGGAAACCAGCCTGCGAACCAAAACAGCCGAGGTACGAATAATCTCCAACCTTGGCTGGATTCACCGAACGACCACCCGTGGCGACAGGAATAGGGCTAACAGTTGGACTAACAGTGCCAGAGCCGGGTATAGTAACCAAGACTGATGAAATTCCCGTGGTAGTCGTTGTCGTGGTGGGTTCCTCTGACTGAGAAAGTTTCCCGCTGGGGTTTGGACGAGCGGTCGTGGAAGAGTTGCTCGGGAAACCTGTGCTAGGAAACGGGGGGTTTCCAGAAATTGGAGTGTTGGGGTTTGGCTCCGAGATCTGAGTAGAAGTCTCACTGGACGACGAAGGTATAACAGGTGGGATAGATCCCGCTATGCGCGTGTAGACATCAATGTAGCTAACGTCGTAATAGGCGTCTTGGAAGTCCGTGGGGTTATTCGCAACATATTCACGACAAGTTGGAGCGAGAGATCTGCAGGTCTCAGAATCTCTCCAAGTTCCCTCGCCATAGTCGCCGCAGAAGTTCTGTTTGAGTCAGTCAGTTGAAAGCTATCAGGGATGAGATTGGCATCACTTACAATGTTCAAGACAATCCTCATGTCATTAAAGTAGTCGTCCACATTGCACTTTGAACCACCGAACAGACTTTGAGGAATTCCCCATCTGCGGGGATCAGGTCTCTTGGCCTCGATATCAGACGGGATTGCACCTCGTGGGAAGTGCCAAATTGAGATGTACTCTGAATCCCATTCCATAGCGTATACACCCCCACCAATGGCGTTGAAGGCATCGCCATAAGAGGAAGTATCGCTCTCAGGAGGGCGAAAACCACATCCGACATTGTCACTACCAACACCACAATCTAGGCCAAGACGTTCGCCAGAGAAGAGACTGGAGTCTGCTGGGTCCAACATACAACCTTCGGCCGTATGTGCAGACATGATGTTGGTGTATGCGAGGTTGGCACCCTCAAGGATATCGACTTCGCCGCCCATAGGCCAATTAGCTCCATATGCCCAGACTACATAATCTTGTTAGCTCATGTTCTTATTCACGGGGGAGTTGAACGAGACGTACAAGCTGGCCAGGTACCACATTGAGAAATGGGCATGTGTTGGAAATCCGCAATGAAAAGCCCGTATTGGTAGGACTCCTTACTTTCGAGTCGAACACTTGGCCTTCCTTCGTCCAATCCGAATTTGTTGATAGAGTCGGGTCTAAGTCGAACATTTTCGCTAAAAGGATCCACGGAGTAAAGGCCATATTTCCAGGCACCTCTTAGGTCCTGGTATCTGCTCTATTGTCAGTAACAAATCAACTCCGAGTCTGTACAAAGCGGTCTTACTGTACGAATCCATTGGAAGGATCAGTGCCGTTGAAAAATTCGAAGCCAGAGATGAGAGAGTCTCCCATAAAGGAGGTCGCCAATGAGTACGCCATCACAAATCACAAGGAAAATAGCCAAAAGTTAAAGACAAAAGATGAGGAGTTGACAGAAGAGGGTGAGTAGTTAATCTCTGGTGACCGTGGGCAGCAGTGCATCTTTTAATTCTTTGCGGTCTATTGCCTGACACGGCGAACACCACCCGCATATGGAATTCAGTAGCGGTTGGCAATTGACTGAATGCATATGCTTTGGAGGCGAACCAGCAATCTGACGCTATTCTGAGACACCACGAGGTCGGATCTTTGGTTAAGCCAATAGCACCAGGAGGGGCTCGTGGAGAGAATGCAATGCTTTGCATCAGCTCTCCATTGTATTCAGACTGATTGTTACAGATTGTCACAAAGAACACGAGGTTGATCTCTTTGTGCGTCATCCTATGCATTCCATTTCACTCACCCTCTATCAAGGGTTGTGGCTGGCTTCTGAATCACCTGAAGAAAACCCCAAGGCGGCGGAAATTAAGGTGAGATATCGAGCGGTTGGCGTTGACGATAGCGTGTTAGCACAGCTCAGCCAGACGTTAAATCAAACAGGGAGACACGAATGCATTCCGGAGTCGGGAGATGCAATTAACATAACGGTCCGCATCTAGAAGTGATGATGTTGCTTCAATTAGGGGTGGGACATCCAAGACACCCGGGTATCGAAAATTGCACGCCAACTTGGAGAGTGGTTTTACCAAATCTCTTTCGGACGCATGCAGTATTGTAAATGTCGTTTCTCTATACCATTATCCGCCTTAGGCCTTCTGTTCCACCCAGAACCCTTCTGCCTGTCACTGCGCATCTCCCTTGGCCACTCTCCCACTTGCCCTCGTGTGTCTCCATAAAATCCTCCTGTTTCTGATGTTGACCCTCGATCCATTTGTGGATACATGTATAGCAATAAACGATACCGGTTTGACATGCTGTTGGGGTGACGATTTCATCGACACAGATTGGGCACAATGCCGAATCGCTTGGGAATGGAACGGTATAGACAGGCAGTAGCGAGGGAGTGGCGATGGGTGCATTTTCGGCCAAAGGAGTCGCATCTCCCTCCACGTTCGACTCTTCCTTCTTCTTTTCTGACTTCTTCTTATCGGACCCTCCCTTGCCATCTGCTGCTATCACGGGCGGGGGTAAACCAACGCTCTCGGTCGCTTTTCGTGAAAGTTGCTTTGCAAAATCTGACTGATACCACCACTCCAAGAATTTGAGCGCAAAGATGCTTGTTGGTAACAGTATCGATAAGCTTGACAACACCCGAGGGCCCATCTCACGAGGATTTAGCAACGACCGCCACCCCGGTCTGTGTCCTGTCTCGGGTGTCCGCGTCAAAGCATCGATTGCTTGGTAGTCCGCTCCCGACATTCTTCGTATACGTGTTCCTATCAGCCACATGAGTGGGCTATGATATTTGCTCCCGTCAAACAGGTAAGCCACATTGAACGCGAGCATGGCAAAGTAGTAGCCGGCATTGACGCTCGGGTATATGTTTCTGAGGAACCATCGGTAATAGTATAGGAATCTATCGCGAAGTGTCGGGTTATCTGGCATTCGCGTGTATGCTGCGCCAAGTAGAGCTCTCGGCGCATTCACTTCGTAGCTCTCATCTAGCTTCCGCTTCAGGTAAGGGATGCCCACGATAACGAGCAGGTTCTTCCACACATCCTTAGTTGTGAGCTTTAATGTCTCGCGCACAATATCAGGCGATGACATGCTCGCGCGCGGGACTTCGGCGTGGAGGCCCTTTTCGCGCTTCAAGCCATAGAAGTGCTCTGTGAAGGAACCACCTCGTGTGCGCAGGTAATGCCGCTCAATAAGCAACATAACTGCAGCGTATATCTCATCGAACGAGTTGAGTATTCGCAAAAGATATCGTGGGTGTCGATGCGTCGCGATGGTAAGGAGATAGCGGAGGGTTGGCGGAAGCAGGGCGTTGAGCTGCTGTTCGGAGAGAACTTCGAAGAGCGATGGCTTCTGCTCATCGAAGGTGCCCCGAAGGGCTGTGACAAACTCCATTGTGTCTTGAGGACGACTGCGTAGTGCGAAGGAAGCGTACAAAAGAATGGCAATGGACGTCGATGAATTAAAAGTATAGCATGAGAAAGGAGAGTTGAAGGAAGACAGGCCGATCAAGAGTGGAGCTGAATTTGTTAGTGACCCCGGATTATGATAGTGGACCGTGGACCGTGGATGCGCCTGCCCGTGACGTCGGGTTGGTTGTCCGAAAGAAGTGCCTCGGCAAGTTCGACTGGGGCCTCAACTTAAACGGGCAATAACCAGCAGCTCTAGTACCTGCCAGTCGCATTGACAACGAACCGAGGTATCGGAAACACAGATCAAGGTACTATACTCCGTACCTTATCTTGTTTAACTTACTCCTCATATTGTCAAATTTCACTATTATCATCTTTCACTTTTCATCGTGATTTAGTATTTGCGACACTCATATATCCCAACACTGCCAACAGTAAACATGTCCGACCAAAAGTCTACCGACAACACGCGCAAGACCTTAAAGGAGGGCAGCCCAGAAGATAAAGTTAGACTATGGCTCCAAATCTCACAAGATGAGAGTGGTAGTTCTAAGCAAGGAGTGAGTACCTGTTTTCCCAAAGTCATCTCAGTCACTAACATTGAACCTAGGATTGGATGAATACCCTTATCCCTCACCTCCGTCTGGTATCAACCAATCCTGAAGGCCCTCATCCGTCTTGTGTTTTCTCATACACAGTTCAACCCGATAATTGCAATCGGTTGAAAAACCTGCATGGTGGATGTGCAGCGACGCTTTTTGACTGGTGTACCACATTGCCAATTGCTTTGGTGAATAAGCCTGGCTTCTGGCAGCATCTGGGCGTGAGCCGAACACTCAGCGTAACCTACATGAGACCAGTTCCTGTAGGAACTGAGGTGCTGATTGAATGTTCCATCACTCAAATTGGACGGAAATTGGCTTCTTTGCACGGATCGATGAGAAGGAAAAGCGACAACTCGTTGTTGGCAACTGCCGAGCATGGCAAAGTTAACATCGACGCAGATTTGGCTAAGATATAGGAAAGGCAGCAAACTAAGGAGAAGCCAGCGAAAGATCTCAAACAGCTACTCCGTAGAGTGAATTTATTTAGAATTTATTATACAAGCGAGAAAACCAGTTAGATAGCAATATATCAAAGATTCTGAAAATACTGCGAGAATGTGTAATTCAGTTCATGTCCAGGGTAGATGGCTGAAGCATGAGATTACCATGACGGATACACTACGCTGCTGGACCGCACCCCCCACAAGCTCCGCACGTTAAGTCCGACGTATTAATGTAAAGCAACGTTTATAAATCTTTCTATATCGTCGTTTCATGCCAGCCTCACTTCTTATTCAAACAAAAAAACAACTCATACCGAATCGCCACAAAGGATCGCAATATGGACCAGAATAACGCTACCCAGCCGATTCTGCAGCTTCCAGCAGAGATACTGCATCACATACTACAATGGATTACGCCCGCCGACTTAGTTGTACTGCCCCGCGTATGCTCGGCCTTTAACAGAGTCACGAAAGTGAACAATAAGCTTTATCGGGATGTGTATATAAATACCCTGGTAAGTGGTTTTGCAGAATTTTCAGTGCAATAGTTACTCATGAATTAGGACCAACCGAGTGATACCGAGTTAGACTACAAGAAGGCTGTCAAAGACTTGGTTAAGCTTGAGGCGATATGTAACAGCAAAGAGGTATACAATAAGGTGAGACAATATAATGATTATGACATCGTACGGCATCAAATGAGCTATACTGACCCCTCTCTAGAAAACCGAGCTCGACTTTGTTCACGAGACAGTTACTCGACTCCTCAAAAACGCTTCTCCGTCTTTATCAGACGAAGCCGCCAACGTTAACTTCTCCAAAACACATGCCCCATCTCGTAATGCTGCTCTTCTTCAGCGTCTTTTCGCTCAAGACGAAACACTAGAGGCATTTCTCGAGGGCTCATCTCTATTCAACCGTTTGCGGAATGATCTCCGCCAAGTCAACCGAGAAGCACCCCCGGCTCCCACATCGGCCAACGAAGCCTGCAGAGCGTTGCAGCAGAAGAGCGCTCATCTTCACTGCCTCCACGGGAAGCCTATTCTTAACGTTGGTCGCCTGCGGTCAACGAGAACGTATCCTTATGCATGCTCAAAGGTATACGATCTGCGCAACTATACCGACCAAAGTGGATGGGGGCCTTTTATGAACGATGGCTCCTTCAACGTCGATTGGGAGAAAGTCGAGGCTATACTTATCGTCTTAGGTCACAACATTGGACCGAGACGTGTGGTTACGCGCCTATTTGGTGAGATCTGGGACAGTCCATTTTCAGGGTCATACCAAAACAGCTTTATGGCTCCTCCACCTCGTGACATAACCTCACTCGAGGCTCGCGACCCTTATGGTGTCACGGGTACCTGGTACCGTGTTAGTTGACTCCGCGTTACTTGTTATATCACGTAAGGGCTTAAGCTGATACACAAGATTCTAGATCGTATGCTTCCTCGATTACAGCGACTTCTTCGCCTTCAACTTCAGTTTCAGCGGCGATGAGCTCATCGCCCCGGACGCAACGCGCCCACCACTCGACGTAGGCGAAGCAACCCGTCTCATCATGATGCGCATCCAAGTTACATCAATAGAGCCACCGGGACCGGAAGACGGCCAAGAACTGCCCGTAGTTCACTTTCGAGGTGTATCTCGCTCTCTAGACGATTCCTTCGATGATAATGCCAACTCAGACATCCGAGGTAAGCACGGAACCCCCTTTGAGAAGTGACTTGGAAAAAAGAGAGCGGCCGATAACTAACATGGAAGAATTCAACGTCAAAGGCACCGTTCGCCTAACAAAAGAAGGCGAGGTGAGGTGGACAACCTTTTCGATATTCCACGGCGTCGAGCGTTGGCGAAGTGAAGGTGTACAAATTGGAGGTGTACGCTCTGCTCGTGGCGTTGTTGGAAACTGGTTCGATCGGTATGATATCATTTATTTGTCTTGGGATGATTCTCTAACATTAGCACAGCGACTACGATATCCACGGCCCTGCGGGCCCTACAGCGTTTTGGAAGGGTGCGACGCCTGAACAAGTCGAAAATATGGAGGACGATCTGTTGCCGAGCGACTTCTTCCTTCCATATGGCGCACTCATTGACATTGACTCCGATACTGACCCAGAAGGAGAGATGCCATATACTGGTGAGGATGAGGAGGAAGATGATGAGGATGAAGAGATGGAGGGAGTAGCAACTGGCGAGGAGTTATCGGCTCTCATTCATGATGCAAATTTACCTTTGGAGGAGAGTCTTGTGAATGGTCACGGGTTGAACTGACCTAGAGTTCTTGAGCGATGGTGTGGACCTGGATATACAGTACAGCATTTGCACCATGGCCATACATGTAGACGGGTCACTTGACACCAGAGGCTTGCTATGCGATATTGCGGAAGATCAGATAGTATCACGACGGATGTTAGGGTATAATCTCTGTTAGATCCATTGAAAGATAACAAACAACTGATATTAGAAACGTTGTTGCTTAAGAATCATCATATTGTGTGAAATGGCACTGGGGTATTCTAAATCAAAACGCAAGCCAACCTATGAAACCACGTACTCCATCTAATTATACCATGCTGTTTATCCCAATCATGCCGCCTACCTTGTAATTTCTGCCGAGCCATTGCGCCGAGTTTCTTTTCTTCATATATACTGCCCTCTTCTCAGGTCAAACCATGTCTCCGGAGAATCATGAAGCTGCGTAATGTGCCCAGAATTGTCACGTTCCAGGCGTATAATACCACTCCTGAACATCTTTGTAATCGCTACAGTTGCAAAGCATGAGACATTGTTCTATTCGATCGTTCCGCCTTGGTTGAGGATGATACAATTGCTCAAAAGAGCTGATCCTTCATGGAGCAACTCCCAACGCGTAGTCTGGAGGCTTGTTAGCGGATGTCACAAGGTTGTAGTTAAGAAAATACATACCTGGAAAGTGTCCTTAAGGACCATAAGAACGGCCGTATTGGCGTTCACTCCAGATCTCCCCTGAAGAGCGCCTGGACTATCGATACCACCGAATTTGATGAAATAGTTTCTCATATGCTGCAGCTTCTCTTGCCTTGTGGTCGGTAACGGGATGTTTGGACAAGGGCCTTCGAGTGCGAATCCGTAACTCCAGACGACCAAAGCAGCGAAGTACATAACCCATGGCCTATTTAGGAGAACGTCATCGCGGGCGTCGTAAGGCTCATCCAGGTGGTAGCCACCCGCATGTGCTGGCGATACTTGATCAGGAGCCAGAACTGAGCACAGGAATTTGATGGCGTAAAAGGCTGCATCTCGTGCCCGTGCTGAATGTGCCCAGTGGTCTTTGATACGCCTTTGAGCACTATTGAACTCCTGGGGCCCGATTGTTCGACCAAGCAAACGTTTTGCTCGAGCAAACATTTGACAATCCACAATATCAGCGTGCATCGCCATATGAGCCAGATGATGCAGAACAGTCCGGCTCTCAAACACAACATTGAACTCTTGTCTCTTTGTAGCATCATCACGGTACGGGTCGGATGCTTCACTTCGTTCCAGGTGTTTGTCGAAACCTGCCTTCCAGGTGTCGTATGCGCGAGTAAGAGTGGCCCGCCATCGGTCACGTCCACCCAAAGCCTGTATGATACCCCCACCCAGGACGTTGACCTGAAGATCTCGCTGGTGCATGTGCCATGAGACACTCAAAAGGCCTGTCATGAGAACGGTTCTGCCAAAGGAAGTAGTGTGAACGTCCTGGCCGCTCAAAGTTCGTTTGAGACCCTCCAAGAAAGAAGTTGGTTTAATGCCGTTCGACATCAAGTTTGATTCGATCCTCCAGACTTCAGAACTGCTTCCGGCTCGCCACATCGACTCGTCACAGGGAAGAGGTAATCGCATCTCGTGGGCTACCATAACTGCTGAATGCCCAAACATTGTGGCGTGGATTGAATCGACAATGAATGCTGCGAAAGCTGCACGTCTAGTCGCCTCGTTTGTGACCCAATGCTCCCACCATTTATCAGCCGTTCCAGTCGAGCTGGATGTGGAAGACTGCCTAGACCCGATGGATCCATCGCGAGGGTTCGGCGGAGAATCTAATGCAGATTTGCCGATCAGGGACCGTCCTCTTCGCATTAGAGTAATGGTTGTAGCGTGGTGGATGTGCGCCCGTTCGTGGAGTTCTCTTGTCGCAAACATCTTTTCATACAGTTCAAGCAGAATCAACGCCTGGAAAATCCACAGCTTGGCGGGTGGCCGGAAACTGACATCCATGAAGATATCCCAACGCAAATGCCATGCAAGAAAGTTGGCGAGCTGTGCGCTCGCTCTCGTCACCTTATGCCCATGTGTTCGGTCCAGACAAGCCCCTCCGATGGACATCATAGAAAGCAGCAGGAGGTTTGGTGTTTTGTCAGGAGAGAAGGTAGGCTTATGTAGTATAGGCATCTGATCACTGAAATGGTACCAGTATGAACCGATGTAAGCTTGCATCATCCTCTTACTTAGCATATGCTCGCCATTCGAACGATCGCCCTCGAGTATATCGGCCCACTGACGATCAGGTGGGGCATGTTTATTGTCATGGAAGCGTTCTTTGATGAAGTCGAACAGTTCTTGACTCTTTTCCTCGGATATCGAAGCCTCAGGAACTTGCTGATCAAGAAGGTTGTTGACAGCCATTATTTGCTGGGGAGCAGTTGGAAAATATCCAAGAGAATTGCTGTCAGTACCCAAGAGCGAGACATTGAACTGGTTTCCTTGCAGTTCCGCATAACTGGGTTCATGTTAGCACAGACTCTCACAACTTCGACAGGTACTAACTTTGTGTAATTCGGACCCATTACCGGCGTCATGGCTTGGCTTGGGGAGTTGAAGAGATATGCCATGAAATCCTCAGGCATCCCGACGTATGGTGATTTGTTCATATCACCTCCCTCTCCGAAAACAGGTACCGTGGCAGGCATAGACATCTGGTCCAGCATCATCATTTCGCTTGGCTGAGTTGTTCCTGGTTCCGAGTATTCCGCTGTGGTGACGACGACAGAGTTCTGCCCGTTGGAGTACTGTGCTGGGGGCAAATTCATGGGCATAACATTCTGCTGGCTGATGAACGTGTTTTGTGACATGTTCTGATGGGCTGGAAAGCCTTGCTGATTATGAACAGGAGACATCACGTTGTACTGTGAGTTGTCAGCTGATATTGATGGTCTCTGCGACATGGATGGCGATTGTGGCTGGCTAAGCTGCGGCGTGCGATTATCGTATCCTTGGGTAGGAGACATGTAACTATCCATATTGTTGGGCATAGGCCCGCTGGGATACATTCCCGTCGGCGTACTTGCCATAGGCGAGTAAGGGTTTGGCGTTGGAACTTGCGGTGTTTGGTAAGTCATATTTGTTTGTTGAGACTTTGAATAATCGATTGAATTATTCCGACTGAAGTTAGGAGGTTGGCCTGGAGCAATAACTGGCGTCATATGTCCCGCCATCGAATCCCTTTGGTTAAGCTGTGAGCCTTTTGCAGCATGTCGGTCCATATGTCTTTTGAGAAGGTCTCCTCTAACAAAAGTGCGTGTGCAGTTAGGAAAAGTGCAATGATATGTTTGTTTCGAGTTGTGGTTCAGTTGATGTCGATATCTGTGATTTGTGTCAGAATGGATTCCGTTAAGTCGCAAGAGGCCAAGACATACAAATGCTCCGCTCTCGAATAACTCTTCCCACATCCTTCGGCACTACATTCAAACCTCTTGTCTAGACCTTTTCGACTCCGTCTTCTTTTTCTGGCGGGGCCAGGACCGGGGCCGTCTGAGTTGGAAGATGCGCCATTTGGTCCATCTTGGTTTCCTTCAGCCTTCATGTCATGCTCAGCACCATCGTCTGCAGGCGAACGACTTCTTCGTCGACCGCGATCTGAGGGACCTGAGGTGTCGCGAGGGGAGATATTCTGAGCTCCCATCGCGCCGGAGCTGACCGGAGAGATGGGAAGGGTCGGTTTGACGCTATTTGCTATGACGGAGGCCATAACCTGTCGCAAAGATAGAAAGCCTATGAGGCTAGAACGATGTAAAGTATATGTATGCGTGAAGATTCAAGCAAATCGAGCCGTGGTAAAAGACAGTAGGCGAGGAAACCGCCAGCTGCACAATTGTAGGCCAAGGCGCGAATATGACGGTTGATGATCGCTGCAGGCGCAAAGCGTGGCTGTTAGGTCGCAGAAGATAGCGGGGTTGCGACCGGGGTCTTGAGGGTGGGACTGGACCGAGTTAAATCGTATAATTGCTTTGTTCAGACCCCTACGGTATCATGACAGAGAAGGAGATTCGAAGCTGTTGAGCTGGCGTCAAATGTTAAAACCGTTAGGAGGCGCAAGACGACGGGAGATCGGCGCGATAATAACTTCAGAGTTCCAAGCTAAAGAGGCCGTACTGGGGCTGAACTGGTAACTTAATATTAGCAGTGAAAGACAACGGACGTCGCGTGTTTCTGCGGCTAAATTCTAAAATGGATGCTGCAAAGTGGATCGAGAAGCCACGGGCCAGCTTGGGGAAGACCGGGATGTGGGACCGTGACTGGAGACGGAGAGATGCCGAAGCGACGCAAAGACCATCTTCGAAGTTGATTATTAAATAATATAAGTTGGCGTAATGTATTGCTGGGTCCGTTCTTGTCTCGGCGGTGCGCAAGGAGTATGGGATGAATATGTAAATGCGATTGTTGCCAAGGCGTTGTTGCGGCGCCGGGTGAGGCTTTGTTTGGTGTATGTGTATACTCGAGGTTTGTCAGAGCGATGGCGTCGGTTCGAGATCGTTGATTATCTTTGACATGTGTAACGTTCGGCAAGATTGCGGAGGGTTTGACATATGGCGTATGGATCACCCTTGAGCGGAACAAGTGGTTCCAGAAGGTACAACAACTCATCGTCGCCGAGAGGAAGCAGAGTCGAACGATACACAACAGGGACGAATACAAGGATTGACCCGGATATGGGATCTGGCCAGATGTAGGCAACAGTCGACAATGACCAACTGATTATGGGTTATTGGCATCCAATTACCCACGGTAGCTGGTAATTTCGAGTGGTCCTTGCGTGTCGAGTGGCGCTGATGAAAGGTGATAGATCCAGAAGAGTCGCCGAGATGGATTGAGAAGAAACATAGAAGATATGAAGGAGGACAACAGAAAAGCAATATAGTTACCTTGTGATGATGCGCGTTGACGGATGTGTAACATGTGCAACGCAGGTGTGACAGAAGTATGTTGGAAGCCGAAGGGCAATAGGAAAGAAGGAAACAGGGAAAGGAATAATAAGATTATACACAACAAGACACGACCTGAGCGACTTTTCAGCTGAGATAATCAGAAACACTAATAGAAACAGTAATAACAGTTCAGGGTCGCGCAGCAGAAGCAGAAGCAAAGGTGATGCAACGCGATACCCAAGCTATCATAGAGTCTCGAATGCCAAAAGAAGCAAGTAATCGGTACAGTAGTCGCTTTTCCAAAAAGCTTCATGCGATTCAAAGCGTGGGATGGACTGAAGATGAGGGTCTGGGGAACGTGCGGGTAGAGAGTGGGGGGTCAACGTTGGCTTTAACAGAAAAGGATGGAGCCCCTCAGAGAGCAAAGTCCAGTGAGTCTCACCCATCAAATTAGACTGAGTTACCACACTCACGGCATGCCAGAAGGAGCCTGAGAGCCCTGAACCCTTTTCGTGCCATCTCCTCACCTTCTCGGTATAGCGTCCGTCCCCTCCTCCACTTCGCTAGCCCACCTCGCCTCTTGAATGCTACCATTATCCCATTATCCCTGCGTAAACCCATGAACTAGCGCAGCCTCATTCCCATCTCTAGATGTCCCGATGTGCCGATGATTTTGTTTGGAGCAAGAACTCATAAAAAGTGTGATTAAATCATATATTCAGATTCTATTCAAGTTTTGATTATATACATTATAGCATACTTGGCTACTATCCATCTACATATCAATACTCCTGGTCAAAAGAAAACATTAGAATCAACAACACCAGGATGCAAGAGGGCCCTTGCTCCGGGGAGAAAGGCTGCACAGGGATATCGCGCTTTTATTGATGTGATAACGTCTGCCCTCACTTCGGCTGGGCATCCATGATTATTTCTACTCACTAATGGCCTAGGTGAGCACCAACTCCCGACACATTGGTACTTCACCGAGGGCTTAGATCGGTTCTGCCAAGTATTGGCACCAACAAATGCGACTTTTAGCAGTGGAGGCATGATTCATAATGCTCGTGGCCTTGAGGTCTGATTTTCTGAGACATTACCATTACATTGGGTCATGCATGGACCCAACAGTCGGTGCTTCAGGAGAAGTACATATCCATCCATGGACAATGAGGTTTTTATTGACCTTAATATCAATCGATCTTTACAGGGCCAATCTGCACAAGCCCAGTCTGTGCGCTTTCTTCCCGTTGCGCCCAATGGCCGTTTATGATTGACGACGCCTCAGGATCTCTCGGACCACTCGCCCCGAGCAAAGATTGATGGAGAAACTGACATCTCACGGACCATTCTGAATCCGCGCTGTCACGCATCAGCCCTTGCGTTTGCGTTTGCGCTTGTGTGATGTGCTGCTACTAGCCAGCGGGCCGCATGCTCATCAGCTTGCGGATTATCGGAGGGTGGGGAGATGACCAACACGCTCTGCAGACAGGTAGCACTGAGCAGTACGTAATTATCCAACCTCGAGTATCTCTGGATACAATGCTTTAATTATGACACAACGACAATATGCCTCTCGTTTGGGAGCGCGGGAGTACAATTATAACCGTTCGTCTTCAGCTTCTCCGCAGTTCAACTGTTGATCACTGATCTGCGACACGATTCGATTACTGTGTGTGGAAATGATGAACCAGCCATTTCCGGTTTGCTTTTACCGATTTAACCCCCTGGGAAGATGTGTCGGAGGGATCTGTGTTTTCTTGATCAAGGATTAATTCATCGCGTATATACTGATTGCCTACGGAGTATCTGTCTATCTCTAGAGATAGGGGTCATTAATGTTTTTTTTTAAGAGAAAGTTGTGGATTTGCACCGCTGCTATCTATGATGCAGACTGATGCCGCAAAAGCGTTGATGAAACCTGTCACTCGTTGGAGGTGATAGCGAATGTGCAGATCTACAAGATACTGTACAACTCTCAACCCTACAGGTGAGTTAAAAAATAAAAGGGAATTTTGATGAGATGACTAGAATACTGGAATGCTTACACTACCCTTAGGCTTATAGATCTGATCGAGCTTTTATGTCTCCTACTTCAATAAGAGCTTGAATTCCTTTTTGTTTTCTGAACCGCCTGCCCTACTAATGCAGTCATTGCCATTATCCTGAGTGAGGCTGCTGATTCTGACCAATGACCAATATTCCTCAGATCCAATATCTGGTCGCCCTGACTGAAAAGGCTTAGCCCTCGAGGTTGTGTCTGTTCTCGAGACTTTTGAGACTCGTCAACTCTTTCAGCGCTAATGGGTCGGCTGATCACATCCTCCCCAGGTTTATTGCAGTGATCTTCTCCACAGCGGCTGACTACAAGTTACAGCAGGCTGGGGATAGCATTGGCTCGCGTCTTGACATGCAGGTCCATCCTAATGCGAACGGCCCTGATTTGCCGTCTCGTTGCCCAGCCTGTTCAATAGCCTACTCTGGATATGTGTCTCTTATCTGAGAGGTCCGTTATTGGTCGTCTTCTGTGCAGGCGTCGAGAATCATTCACTCATGGAAATATCAAGGACAACGTAATGGATTGCGGAGTAGATAGGTAGCTGCATGCTATGACCGAGAGTCCGGGGAACATCCCTACACATGAAGACGGCCTATCTGTGATGAGCTTGTTTGATGAATACGCACATGGTGTCACAGATTGCTTTGACAATTTGTTAATTTTTAAGCTCACCGAGTTCCGGCCAGAGGGATTGCGCATGTTGTCCCACGGGAGGTGATATTCTTTCCGACCTATGCATGAACTGGTAACACATATCGTCATATCCAACCATTGGATGCCAAGCCTGGTCCATGATCAAGATAGTTCACCTTCTTAAACTATCGCAAGCCTGATCAATTGCGTCCCGCCAGGTAATAATTACGACCATGCTCATAGAAACATCCAGCTTTATAAGACGTATCCCGATTCTTGACCGAGCCACCAGCGTCTGTGATCACTCCGTCAAGTTGCAGTAGCTTTCTGCTGTTTAGCTGCAGGTGCTCGGTTTAAGTGATCTGCTCGGTGAACAAGATACGTATAGTAAAGATTTCGGAATTTCAGTTTAGAACTTGGCAGTCATGAATGCCTTCCCACGCCCACATGATTGGAGTCTCCTGCGTGGTGACAAGATGAATCGGTACTTGATTCATCCCATGCTGGCAGATCACAAGTGAAGGTGGGGAGATGGGGTCTTTATTAGATCTCCGGCTCTTAGACGATTGAAGAGGCTTAAAAAGATGCCGCGATTCGCGATATTTTAGCGACGAGCGATAGATTGATTGATTGACTCACACCGGTGGTCAAGCCTTACAGCGTGGGGGCATTTCGTTTGGAGAAGGCCCCACAATAAAATACGTGGAAGATGGAGATGAAGTTACAGATGACACTCGTGGTGATCTCGTGACAGTTTCTGGGGTCAATGACATCAACCTCTTGATCTGTCGTAACACCTCTAGATCGTAGGTCGTTTTCGTGGTGCTAGGCTTATGAACAGCTATTTAGTACCGGAACTTGACTGTCAAATGTGAATCCTCAAGAGACGAATGTTTCTTGACTTGGGATGTCTGGTGAAACTTGAAGGATTTGGAAGACAATGTGAACACGATCAGGATGAAGCAGTGACGCGGTGTTTTGTATAGTTGAGGTCCGGGCCATTGTACAGAGGTAGGTTAGTAGCTTATTCCTCCGATATGCTCGGTACATATCTTTTTGCTCCTGCCATAGAGCCCTCCTTGAATTGGAATATCTCATCTACACGAGTTGGTCTGTTGACCCCATTCGTTGTCTCCATCGGAACATTCTGTACAGTAGTGCAGAGGGGCTACGTTGATCATGGGGCACATTGTTACACGCCTAAAGGCATCATGTGCGGCTTTAATTCCGCTCTGGATTCTATCCGTAAGCGCTTGCATTTTGTCAAGTCGTGCACTGTCAGTTGCCCGGTTCCTGGCCTGATGCAAAGCAAATAAAAGTGTTAAATTTTAAATTGAAATCAACTGTCCTGCCTGTTCCCATTTCAGCGACGGGTCGCTTGAAACATTTCCATATTCTGACTGACAAACGCCTCAAACCGACGACCGCTGCCGGAAAAGACGACGATCGACAATTGAGGCGTGACGAAAAGAACATATTTGGACCTTTCTACGGGCAACCCGATGGGGGGACGTTTGAGCCACCGTACCAGACCCTTGGGGCTTTTGTGTGTACCTGTCGGCAGCGAAAAGGCCTTTACTTTGTTTACATGAGTGTTATCCAAGACAAAAATCATATCCTTAAATGCAGAACGAATTCATACAGTTTCAATAAAGAAGGGGGAAAGATTTAAGAGTTGGTCTGAGACTTCTAAAGTGGTCTCATTTACCTGAGTACCTGAGGTAGTGGGCGAACTTTCTGTCTCGGGGTCCTCTCACTTCCTCATTTTTTTTTTGTCGTGCTGTAGGAGCTGGCTGTGACGTCGCCCTGGGCGTGCGGATGACAGGCGACAGACCCCGAAAAATGGACAGGACGCACCGACTGCGGCCATCCCAGCCCAGCTCCTCTTCTCTCCCCTCTCATTTCCTCCCACATTCTGCTTTGCACCGTCAGTCAATTCGACCTTGTTTTATTATGTGACCAATTGTCTTTGGCGACTTACCTCTTTATCCTCCTGCGACGTTTCAATTTCACGACACCGACGCACTTTTCAACAGCCATCATGCCGCCTGCAAAATCCTCCCGCAATCACGACGACTCCAAGGCGGACGGCCCCAATTCGAAAGAGAAGGGTACAAATGGCCATTCTTCTACCAAGATGCGTCGAAACGCCAGTCAACAGAACCACTCTCTCCTTCGCGAACTTCAAAACGCTGCCGTCGCTGCTGCTCCTCAGCCGCCTGTCGAGCCTTCTCCCCCTAGTGTTGGTCAACCCCCTCCGCTGTTCCACGTTCTCTGGTCGCTCTCTGGCCTTCGACGAATAACCAAGACATGGGAAGCGTAATAGAATGACTAGATTATGCCTAAGACCGAGGAGAGTCTGAAGTGCTCAATTTGTCTGTCATCGTGCGCTTCCACCCAACTGAAGTTTGGTAGATGTTTTGGATTATTCGTCAGACCACTTGCTCTTCAGGGAGAGCTTGCCAGACCTCGTTCGCTCTCTATTCAATTCATCGCGCTAACTCTTTGTCTTCCTCAGCTTCACTGGGCCTCCTTCGACCGAGACGTTCTTCATGCCTACCGCCGTGAGCACCGTTTGAACACACCAAGCTCCTTTTCGAACCCATACTGTCAATGGATTCTATCACAGCCAAACGGGATTGGATTGCACTCCCCAACCATGGTCCGCCGCCGACAAGCTCGTCGTCAGAGCAAAGATCAGCTCGCCCTAGCAGTGCGCAAACATTTTAACGGGATGGGTGTGCAGGAGAATGATGTGATCGTGGACTTTATCTACAAGATTCGTCACGACCCGAATCGTATCTCCAAACCATACGCAAGCGGCAAGGCTACGACTTTCACGAAATAAGGGGTCTCATAGATGATGGGTTTTACGCAAGGGATGGTCACATTGGTATGGAGTTTTTGGCGTTGAAACGCGAGCATCATAGTTGCTCCGCATGATTTGCGACCTTTCTTTATTTTACAGGACTGCATAGGGCGGACAGGCATTTTTGTATTCGCCGCATACGGATACTCTCGACATAGGCTTCAAAGTCTTGCGCGGATTTGAATTACACCACAACGATACCACATTGAGCAGGAAATGGATTGCTGTAACTTCTACTTCGGAGTGCTTAAGCTCACGAGATATAGACCCTAACATTTTGGGTAGAGAATACAAAGCCAACCATGAATGAACATTCTCCTTTGATGCATAGTGCTGTGACCAAAGCTCGATTCCGGAGGTGACACAATATAAGCATAGTAAATAATATGACGGATCTACTGGTCTGAAGATGCAAGTTGCAATTTAGAGTGATCAGTCAGCAGACTTAAATACTGGACAAAGCTCTGTATTCAAGGGAACTATTTCCTATAGTTGTTTCGTATGTTCTAGTGCTTTGTGCATATGCTGTGTTGCGAAACGCCTGCATATGTTTTCTTTGGTACCGCTACTAAACAGCATTATCTGCTAGACGCCTTTCTGCCAAAGACTAGGGGTTACGGTATGGCATATTGGAATCAAACCCATTTGGGGCACACCAACAAAACATTTACATGATAGGCCATACTGGCGCACATCGAGCTCACCTGCTAATTATGGCATCCCTGGTTGAATTAGTTACGGCTGTTGCAAAGCCTACCACCAATGAGTCACATCAACCATTCTCACATACTAAGAACAATCGCGGTATTCTATAGCCTGTTCTCGGCTGTTCAAGTTGGAGATATTTGGACTGTTCGGCTAGTCGGGGTAGTTTCGGCATAAAAGTATTCGAGAAACAGATATAATATCCGTACTACGAGACGAGATGGGGTTTGGCGCCACCATTATGAGACATATATAGATATAAGTTTGAACCTGGGGGCCATACACTGCACCCATCTCTATTACTCGATCTGTCTTGTTTCATTTCCAGAAAACAATTCGAGTTTACGATCGGCTTTGCGTCGGCTTTCAAATCACTTTAAATCTGGACCAATAAGCCGCCGTCTAAAGCGCAGCCGAAGCCGGCCTTTTATGACGAAGCTAGATGCCTGAGGCTTGTGCCGTGGAAAAGTTCGAGATAGGTCTCGAAAAAAAGAGAAGCACGAGCTATTCCGTTTAGTCGCTTGTGACGTTTCTCCTCTCCCCTCGTTGCCCATTTTCCACATTTTGCATTTCTTTGTATTTTTTAGAGTCAGATGAATTGCTGCAGCTCATGATGAATCCTAGCTTGATATCAAAGGCCGCCGGCCCCGCGCGTGTCCTGGCGCAAAGTGCACCAAAGATTCAATGTTTAAGGAAAGGTGCTCAACTTCATACTGCCTCATGGCATGTCGGATCTCGTGACCGAACTTCTTTTAAGAAAGGAGCTCGAGGTCCTTCGGCGAAGCGGGTGAGTAGTCCAATATCAATTGACAAGACTTTGCGTTTCTGATGTGTGATAGTTGTTCCATGCTACAAATGCCGTCCAGCAGAAGGACCCTTACCAAGCTCTTGGTGTCGATAAGACCGCATCCGCCGGTGACATCAAAAAGGCCTACTATGGCCTAGCGAAGAAGTTCCATCCCGATACGAATAAGGACCCCCAGGCGAAAGACAAGTTTGCCGATATTCAGTCCGCCTACGAGATTCTTTCCGATCCCAAGAAGCGCGAGCAATTTGACCAGTTTGGCGCCGCCGGCTTCGACCCTAGCGGCGGAGGTGCCCCCGGAGGTGGTGGTGGTTTCGGAGGTGGCCATCCATTCTCTGGCTTCGGTGGATTTGGTGGACAAGGTGGAGGCTTCGGTGGTTTCGGAGGCCAGGGAGGGTTCGGCGCCGGCGTCAACTTCGAGGATATCTTTTCGGCATTCACCGGACAGCAAGGTTTTGGCAGACGCGGACGACAACAGGCCTACCAGCAGGAGACCTTAGTCGGAGACAATATTGAGGTTCAAGCTACCATCAGTTTTATGGAGGCTGCCAAGGGCACGAGCAAGACAATTTCGATTACACCACTCAGCACCTGCGGAACATGTAAGGGCAACGGTCTGAAGGCCGGCACATCGAGGAGTGCATGCAGTGCTTGTGATGGATCTGGTACCCGGGTTCACTTTATGCAGGGAGGTTTCCAAATGGCCTCTACTTGCGGAACATGTGAAGGTACTGGCACGGTTATTCCTAAAGGATCTGAGTGTAGGCCATGCTCAGGAAATGGTGTGGTGAGGGAGAGAAAGTCGATCACAGTGGATATTCCTGCCGGCATTGAAGACGGTATGCGGCTCCGAGTCGATGGGGCTGGTGATGCACCTGCTACCGGCCGATCGTCTGAGCCCAACGCTCGTAGCCAGAGCGGAGACCTATACGTCTTTGTCCGAGTTGCGAAGGATCCTAAGTTCCGACGAGATGGCTCCAACATTCTCTACACAGCCAATATCCCTCTTACGACTGCCATGCTAGGTGGACACGCAGAGATTCCTACTTTAGATGGAACGGTCAATGTTAAGGTTGCCACTGGCACCAACACCGGTGACAAGATTACCCTACCCGGCATGGGAATGAAGCGCCTCGGTTCCCGACGTGGCGGAAATGGCGATCTCAGAGTTGAGTACCGAGTCTCTATGCCTAAGTACTTAAGCGCGAACCAGCGAACCATTGTCGAAGTACTTGCCGATGAGATGGGCGACAAGACTGCCAAACGGGTGATGGGCGTCAGCTCTTCAAGGTAAGGAGTTATATCCTACATGGCTTTAGAGAACTGATACTGACCATCCAAGGGACCCCAATGACCCTGAATCGCATAAGGACGAGAGTTTCCTCAAATCACTCTGGCATACACTCACCAATAACCCTGCTCACGCAAAGGCGAACGAGGATGCAAACGAGAGCGACAAAACAAGCAAGAAGTCCGACGAGAATGAGAAGAAATAAATAAACTACCGACTCATGATGACGTGTATGGATATTGGGGAGAATTATCAATGTTAGAGGAAAGGAAGAAGCGCATTTGTCGGTGTTTAAAAGGGTTATGTTATTTGTTTGGCGTCGGTGGAGGGGTACGACAACCCAACTGCCCATGTAGATCTGGCAATGCATCAGATCTGTTGTATACTAATCCTGTAGTATAGAAAGAGGGGGCTGGGAAGCTCCAACGAGGCCACTCTCCTCATCCAATTGTAGTCAAGTCACTTAACGATCTACGCTGTACATCAACGAAACTACGAATATAGAGCATGCAATCTACGATGATGGAACATCACAGTCATAACGTACCTACCTTGGTGAAACCCGATGTTTCCGGTGTCGGTTGAGGAGTGAACCTTTGGAGGCACCTTGACTGACTTGATTAGAGTCCAAACTGATCATCATCATTATTTAACTCACATACCAGCGCAACATCTTGTGTAGTGCGGCCGTGTCCCTTGCGTGCTGTCTTCCAATTGAACTCCATCGCAGAATATCATCAGATGCCTTAGCCGATGGGCTTAAGCTTCTTCTTCTTCTTCTTGTCGCCACCTTGTCCTTTCTGGAACGAGCGCCAGCTGGTGATGCGCTCATCCCGAGTGGCCTCCCAATCCTGCTCATGCTGCCGCTTGCGCTTACGATCCTCCAACTCGGCATCTTCGCGCCGTTGCTCACGGCCTTCCTCCTGAAGCTGGGCTTTCATTTGGCGGCGTCGGCGATGCTCGTTATCGATGAGGACGTCTCTGGCCTTTGCGCGCCACATTTTCTGAAACTCTTCCGTTTTGAGCTCTTCGCTATCTACCGTCCATTTATTCTCGCGAATAAGAAGCATTCGCGCGTCTGCTATGGCTTCATCGAGTCGTTCACGATGTTTCTCGTCCATAAGCTCCGTTTGAGCCTTCTTTAGCCGATCAAAGGCATCTGGTGCTAGGGGGTTCTTTGTTTTATCGGGATGGATAAGTAGTGACTTTTTGCGGTACGTAGCCTTAATGTCCGAGTCGGGGACACCAGGCTGAAGGTCGAGAACGGCATAACTGTGAGGATTATTAGATATTTGGCTTCGAAATTGACGGGTTTTACGTACGCATCAAGGCGGAAAGCCTTCAAAATACGGTCGATCTCAGCATCCTATAATCATAGTTAGTAGGAGTCATGATGGCTCAAGTGGTTGTCGCAACTCACCTTGTCAAATTCCTTGGCCTCAAGCTCAAGAGCATCGAGGGCGTCCTTGTCTTCTTTGGAGTCTTTGCTGGCCATTTTCGATAATCGGGTGTACAAATGAACTTGGAGAGAATTGATGAAGAACCAGCAAGGTTGAAGGCGAAAGAAGGTATGCGATAGGTAGTCGCGCCAGGCGGCGCTGAACAAAAGGACCCACTCATCTGCCCCGCGAGATAAGATAACAGAAAAAAATATTGGAAAGAGCTACCAAGTCCGTTAGAGTATCCCATCTCTACATACTCGTTTCTATTATTCAAAGCCGCATCACCATGCCACAACGCGGCGTCTCACCAACCCCTTCGGACGGGGAGATCGACATCTTCGGATCACTATATCCCGGCGATGGCGAAAACGAAAATGGCGGTAACGGCGCCGACGCGGACTTCGACTTCGACGGCTTCTTGAACGGTCCAGAACCCGGCAACGATGACACCGACGAGGCCTTCATTGCCTTGCAACAGGCGGCGTCTTTCAGAAAAGCGACCAATCTGAAGGGCAAGACAGTCAAGAAGGGTGGAGGTTTCCAGGCAATGGGCAAGTCACCCATCGATTGAGGCAAAGAATCTTCACTAACACATCCCAGGTCTGAACAGTAACCTTCTAAAGGCTATCACACGGAAAGGATTCTCGGTTCCGACCCCGATTCAGCGAAAGGCTATTCCTTTGATTCTCGATAGAAAGGATCTGGTGGGCATGGCCAGGACAGGTTCAGGAAAGACTGCCGCCTTCGTCATCCCCATGATCGAGAAACTGCGCGCCCACAGCGCCAGGTTCGGAACACGAGCGCTTATCATGTCACCCTCCCGAGAACTTGCGATTCAAACTCTGAAGGTTGTGAAGGAGTTCAGCAAAGGTACTGACTTGAAGTGTGTCTTGCTTGTCGGTGGTGATAGTCTCGAAGAACAATTTGGTTACATGGCTGCCAATCCAGACATTGTGATCGCAACACCTGGTCGATTCCTTCACTTAAAGGTTGAGATGAATTTGGATTTGTCTTCCATCAAATACGTGGTTTTTGATGAGGCTGATCGCCTGTTCGAGATGGGTTTCGCTGCTCAGTTGACCGAGATTCTTCATGCACTACCACCTTCGAGACAAAGTTTGCTTTTCTCCGCTACATTGCCTGCCTCTTTAGTCGAATTCGCTCGCGCTGGCTTACAAGACCCAAGTCTTGTGCGACTTGATGCCGAGACAAAGGTCTCCCCTGATCTTGAGAGCGCATTCTTTGCCGTCAAGGGTGCCGAAAAGGAAGGATCTCTGTTGCACATTCTCCATGATGTGATCAAGATGCCAGCGGGATCCCCAGAGGCCGCACGGGACGCTGAAGGAGGATCAAAGAAGAGGAAGCGAGGCGCAAACCCTGCTGGTGGCAAGCCGACACAACATTCTACCATCATATTCACAGCCACCAAACATCACGTTGAATATTTGGCAAACCTACTTATCTATGCCGGCTTTGCAGTTTCTTATGTTTATGGATCGCTCGATCAAACTGCGAGACGAATTCAGGTTGAAGATTTCCGGATGGGCAAAACAAATATCCTAGTAGTTACTGATGTTGCTGCTCGTGGTATCGATATTCCTGTTCTTGCTAACGTCATTAATTTTGACTTTCCTCCCCAGCCCAAGATCTTCGTTCATCGAGTCGGTCGTACTGCTCGAGCAGGTCAGCGAGGTTGGAGTTACAGTCTCGTACGAGATACTGATGCTCCTTATCTTCTCGACCTTCAGCTGTTCCTTGGAAAGAAGCTTGTTGTGGGACAGGAAATTAACAAACCATCATTCTCAGAAGATGTGGTTGTTGGAGCCCTGAAGCGGGACTCCGTTGAAACTCAGGTAGAGTGGTTCAACAAGGCCTTGTACGAGAACGAGGAAGTTTCAGCTCTGCGGGGAGTTGCCATCAAGGCAGAGAAGCTCTACTTGAGGACAAGGAATTCGGCGGCTAGCCAAAGTGCAAAGCGCTCGAAGGAGTTGGTCGGAAGCAAGGGTTGGACACAGCTTCACCCGCTATTCGGCGAGGATGTTGATGGAGCTGAACAAGCGCGAGTCGACATGTTGGCGAGAATTAGTGGTTTCAGGCCCCAGGAGACCATCTTCGAGATTGGTGGTCGTCGTGATAAAGGAACTACTGAAGCTGCCGAGGTAATGAAGCAACTACGCAAGAGAATTACGCCACGAAGACAGGTAGAGAAGCAGGAGAATGATTTCGACGGCATTGATGATGATATCCCAGCTGGCGCTGATATGGATGTTGATGAGGACGACGAGGTGGAGGTACAAGAGATGGATATGGACGATGTCGATGAAGAATCGGATGGTGGCCTTGAGGTCACTGTATCTAACGCCAACACCAAGAAGGGACAGACGGATTGGCGCGATTCAGAGGTCTTCATGTCGTACACACCTCGAACATTTAACGCTGCCGAGGAACGCGGCTATGGAGTGTCATCTGGTGGCCAGGACGCTTCCAATTTTGTGGAAGCTGCTCGTGGTGTAACCATGGACCTCACCAACGACGAGAACGCCAAGAGCTTCGCCGACCCATCTCGTTCCAAGATGCGTTGGGACAAGAAGGGCAAGAAGTACGTGGCACGAGACAACGACGAAGACGGTTCCAAGGGTGCCAAGATGATTCGTGGCGAAAGTGGTGTCAAGATCGCAGCCAGTTTCCAGAGTGGTCGATTCGACAAGTGGAAGCGTGCCAACCGTCTCGGCAAAATGCCTCACGTTGGCGATACAGAGCGTCCTGGCACTGGCGCCAGCCATGTCGCCCACATCCCCACGGGTGCGCGCTACAAACACAAGCAGGAGAAGGCACCCAAGGAGGCCGACAAGTACCGCGACGATTTCGAAGTGCGCAAGAAGCGTGTCTCCGAGGCGAGAGACAAGCGCGTTGGTCGCTTCCGCGATGGTATGGGAAGCAAGAAGGAGCTCAAGGGCAGAGAAGATATTCGCAAGGCGAGACACGAGAAGGAGCAAAAGAGACTCAAGAACGCTCGACCATCCAGGAAGAAGTGATTTTTCGATCGTGGCATTTGTGCATGGCGTTAGGAATATTTATAGAGAAAATAATACGATTTGTCTCAGCAACTTTACTTTGTCTCAAGTGATCGAGATGGGCAATATTAGTCTTCAAAGTTGGGAGAACTATGTTGTTGTATGAATTGACGGTTATGTAAACCCCTCGATTCTGTAAGCAAAAGCCACACGACAGACCGAGTCTCATCACGGTAGTCACTCTAGCCATACGACGAAGCTGCTGGGATGATGAAAAATGATCATTTCTACTCTTAGTAGATGTAGCTATTATTATTCGCCAAACTCCAAGGCTGTCGCTATTCCCCTTCAATCCCACGAAACGCCAACCTCTAATATGGTCAGCTTCGCCAGGAAGCATATCGAAAAAGAAAAAGAAAACACATAGTCCCTCAATAACAAAAGGTAACCGACCAGTTTATGCCACAATGCACCAGGTCTAATCCAAAGGTGTAAAAGCAGAGATAGAGTTCGGAGCGGTGTTTTTCCACACTCTTCTCGAGGTAGAGCCACTCCCAAGGTTTGTTCGTTCATGTGCACGCAAGATGTACGACACATGGGGGTATCATTTGGAGGTCTTAGGAAAAATCCGATGACGGTTGTAGATCCACAAGACAAGATGTTGTGTGCGGATGATAAAACACAAAAAAAGCAAAGTCATAAAAGTCGTAAGATGAGGATGGCCATGAACGGCTCATCCGTCAGTAATATCTAGATTATCAAGCCACATGCTGATGGCATCATGAAGTGGGCTTAGTGTTCGGCCATTTCTGGTGTGGTTGGTCTCGAGATGTCGCTTCTCGCGAATGTCAATGACTTCCCGGATGCTATCTTCAAGAGCAGAAAGAACGACTGTCTTGCATTGCACACGAGGTATCTCCAAGGGTGCCGGTGCCAATGCTGGTGTAATTGGGGCCGTGATGGAGACTGGCTCCTCGACTTCAGTACTCATGCGAGTGTCGCTATGTGTTTGAGAAGAAGCCAGAGAGTGGTCTTTACTGGTATCTTGGCTCAAGCTGATAACCCTCTCAACAGCATCAGTCAGGGTCTCGTCAGGACGCAAGACGGGTTCTTCAATCCATTCTTCTTCGAGCTGAGTCTCGTAGGGAAGAATTGAGGGAGTCAGGAGTCCCCCGTAAGAGGTTGAAAGCCCAGGTGGGCCAGTAAGGGGTCGGTGATCAGCAGGCGATCGTGGCTTGACCAACCGACGGTATCGGAGACGAGTGATTGAGTTGGTGGTAGTATCTGCAACCATAACACTGCTGATATCTACCCAGCGCTCGTTGAGGTCACCCAGAATGGGGTGAGTAGGAGGTGGTGTTGGCTCAGCCTGAAGAGACGCCTTGATCTGCTCCATGAGGTCCTCCTGAGGAGGAATAGCCTGAAGAGCAAAGTCAGGGTGATAACGGTTTAGCCAACCAGCAGCGTTAAGAGGAAGATCGCCGTCGACACACAAACGCGAGGCTTGCTCAAATGACTCGAGTCCGCTTTGAAGTCCAGGGGTAGAAAGATAACCGCTGCTTGATGGCGAGCTGATAGCAGACTCAAAGGAAGTCATATAGTCGGGAAAGGAGATGTCGACATCAATGATACCATCATCGGCATTGATGGATGTTTTGACAGGGGACTCAAAGGCACCGTTGGGGTCTGGTGTCCTGTCGGGACGGATGGATGGCTCCCGGCTATGGCCTTTGAAGTCCCTTGGAGTGCCTGCTCCCCGAAGAGCATCAGTAGAGGGGCGACGCGCCGACGATGAGGGAGCACTTGTGTTCTCCGCCAGAGTTGCTTCCTCGACCATCTGGGATAACTTATCCGTGCGATGGAAAGATGCCTTGGTGGGCGACTTCGGATCATACCCACTATACGTGCTGTAAGAAGTCGAATCACGGCGTCGCGTACTCCAAAGACCACTAATGACGCTTCCCCAACGCGAACTTTGGCTTCTAGAGTCGCTGCTACCATTGCTCATGGCGCCTGTGCTTTCTCCTCTTTTTAAGGAGCGCTTAAGATCGTCAGTAGCGACGCTTCCGCTGCTACTAGGGCGGGGTCGTCTTTGTGATTCCACTCGCTGAGCTGTGGAGAAATGCGGCATGGTTGTCTCAGGCATGACTGTTGTGGTTGTTGCAGCACTGCTCTTCCTACTCACGATGTCATTACCGAACATTGCGAAGTTGGGAGGTCGAATTGAGGCTGCGTCCGAAACTCGCCGTTCATGGTTCCGGTCCATTGTCAGATGAGCCAGTTGCATGGGCACAGCTGAAGATCTTGCGCTTTGACTTGTTGTTCTCGAATGGGAGACTCGGCGTATCCCTGTGCGTCGGTTGATCTTACGACGAAGAGACTCTTCTCGAAGAACAGGAATGACAAAAGCTGGAGGCGAGTGGGAATATGTCCCAACGGACGTCGAAGTGCTAGGTCGATGAGCACGGGTCGTGGGAAACTGGGAATTGGCGGGCAGAAACGCAGAGAGAAGGAAGACAAGGCGTCGAGCAACCATCTTGTCATCAGATACAATAATGGTTCGTGCCGGGAGTGAAAGATCCTCCTCGCTTCGGTTCTTCTGCTGGAGATAAAGCCGTCTTCGATAGGAAGGGGGGCAAAGAGCCTGCAGCCAATCCGTATGGGTTGAAAGAAATCCAGTCAGGAGGTTATAGAAGAATTGGTTGTGCTGGTCTATTCCAGAGACCCATTTGGAGGTCCAGCGTGCTTCATCACGCCAGATTCCCCACCGACCCTGACCTGTCACGACTCGTGCTGCGCTTAATCCCATGACAATTCTATGTCTAGAAGCGTCAACTTCTCCGGCAATGTTTGTGTCATCTGCAAGACAATTGGGCCAGAGGTAGACCAGTTTCGTGGTGCTCTTCGGAGGCTTAATCCGAGACATCTCACCCCGCCGTTGCTCTGAGAAAGAGGTGGCTCTGCCAGTTTTGTTGGATGTTACTGAAGCCTGGGCGGGTCCCGGGGCAGGCCCAGGAGAAGCCAGGTCGACCTGTCTAAGCATTGTTGCTAAGATTGTGGCCACCACAGACTGAAGATGGGTTAACGTCCTCATAATGATATCCCAATGCCGAGTGAGTGAGTCGATTCTGTCTTCCATGTCGGCTGTGTATGTCGAGTCTGCCCCATCACCATTTCCAGATCCAACCATGGTCCATCCCGAAGGTCGAGCTGAGCTGAAAGATGACGGGAAGAACTCTTGGTCGTTGTAAGAGCTTGATTCACGCTGTGCAGATTTGGACTGACTCGTAGGCATTCGAGTTGACGTAGCGTTGGAGGTAGGGAGTTGAACCACTAGCACCACGGCATACATTGGAGTTCGCCGTTGCTTGACATGTGGTTTCTTCTTCTTGGGCACAGATTCGTCGCTTGTCGTTGGAAAGGGGAAACCAGAATTATCGTCTGCCCAGTGATTTGAGGGCGAGGTGCTGTCAGGGTCATCGGTAGGGAGGTTTACGGGAAACAGGCGAGTTATTAGAACTTTCTTCTTCTCAACTGGACGAGAAGTGAATGTATGGTTATGGGCAGTGGAGGCGTTGGTGGGAGAAAAGGCTTGCGAGGAGAATGACTGAGATAGTCGACTGGAACGAGCACTAGAGCGTCCGATGGAGCTCCTGCCATCTCCAATAACGCTACTCGAGGGCTCAGCAGGGCGTGACTCGCCTGGCACGACATGAACCTTGGTCGATGTCCCTTTATAGGACATTAGTTCCGAATTTCCAAAAATGCAGCTGGAGAAAGTCGCAAGCTCCTCGCGATATTCACGGGAAGCCTTCTGTCCATCTGACTCGGCTTGGCTGTCCCTTCGCCCCTGGAGTGAGGAGCGGCGATCGAAAGCACCCTGTCGAGGAGAAGGTTGAGGAGGGCCTTCGGGTTGAATGACGAGAGGTCGTGACAATCCACCGAGACTGCTTTTGCGTGGTGATGTCGGGGTTCGACGAAACTCTGGAGGGATAGGCGCACGCTCTGTGGGAGATACTGGAGGGGCAGGGTGACTATCAAAGAGAAGAGAGGCATTGGAAGGGCCTAGGGCATCCTGCATAATGATAACCCGAACATCACGCACGTCCAGGTCGACATCACCGCTGTAGTCGAAGGCGTTTGCTGTAGAGGTTGCAGGGGTGGTTGGAGTACTTGATAGAGGGAACACTTGATCATTGCGATGCTGATACAAAGCATGGGCGTCTGGAAAAAGTAGATTTCGGGTAAAGATATCCTCTTGAACAGATTCAAGCGAGGATACGGGCCTAGAGGTTTTGGTAGTGGCCAGTGTAGGCGTGGCTGAAGGGCCGCCGGAGCCCAAGTGCAAGAGCCGGCCGAGCATGTCGGGAGGCGCACTCAGGGATTTGAGCAGCAGGTTGAATTAACAAAGGAGGCGGGCCGTCGATATTAATTACGACGGCGAGCCATAATCAAGGTGGGAGACGAAGTATTTGGAGATGGGCGTAGTCGCATAGTCACCACTGCGCGTGGCATGTGAAAGGGTAACGAGCTCACAGAGTTTGGGTTTCTCTGTTTTGGAAAGCAATCGTCAAACTGAAGCAAAGGCGGGCGCGCGATCGGAGGGAGGGGTAGGTGAGGTAGGTATGAGATGGCTGGAAGAAAAGACTTGAAGCTTGAAAAGGACAAAGCAAAAAGAGTCCAAGTTGAAAGCTTTGTTTGGGTATCGTCGCGAAAGTGAGAGAAGGTGGCGGCAATCAGTGAGGTTGCTTAATGTTGTGGCGCCCGTGGTGGAGGGTGGCAATGGTGTTGTTATGCGTGTGATGGAAGTCGTAGCAGGTTGTAGCAGCTACAGCAACACCAACATTGGCAGTGATGGGATGGTGAATATGGCATGCACAGCTTAAAAGATGTCTGGTTTACTGAGAGAGTTTCGGTGTGATGCGGTACGATACGATACGATACGATATGACTTGCGAGATGCGGAGAGCTGGTGCGTACGTGAGGGGTTGACAGTTCGTGGGTGGAGGCAAACGATATGCGTGCGGACTCTGCGAGTGATCGATCAACAGGAGAGATGGAGTTCGATAGCTGCAGGTGGACGATCGTGCAGAGGAGGGGGTTCGAGTTGGACAAGGAGCGGAAGTTGAAGTATCGAGGGTCTAAAGTGACTGCAGTTGTGCAATGCGCTGTCAGTGTAAGTGAAGCGAAACAAAGTGCCGGATAGTCATGAGGGTAGAGTGTTGAAGCTCGTCGAGTTGTGTTGTTGGGTTGATCCAGATGCTCGGGACAAGGCAAATGCGCCAACTCGGAGCGGGTGGCAGCCCAGTTTTGGGTGTGTGTATGGATGTGTTTGTGTGTGTGGGCTGTGGACTGTGGGCGCGCTGGGGGGGGTCTTTCAGTGGGTTTAAAGGCTCCGTTCGGTACTGCAGTCCGAAGTATCCCAGGCAGCTCGTTAGTGGCGGTTAAGGCCTGGGGCTGGTGGCGGTTCGAAGGAGGCGGTACAAGGCGGGCCTGATACCTTTTTAGCTTGGAGCCAGGATGGAGAATGGATGGAGATGAGATGGGGAATAGCTTAGTGGAGATTGCATGTGGTGTGGGCAGGCTGGCAGGCTGGGAGGCCCTGCAGATGAGCAGAGGAGGGCCCTGTTGCAGCGGAAACAGTGGGTAATTTTTATGAAATGGGTGATGAGATCGGAAGGAGAATCAAACAACAGACGAAAATGTGGAATTTATTACCTTTTGCCTTTTGCCTTTTTGTCTCTCTTAACTCGCTCGCTTGCCCTGGCCAAGGTGAATGAGCAACGAAGATGGTTACAGCAGCTAGTCGAAGTCGAGGAATGGTATCCGTACCGCGTCTCGTTTCCCCAGAGTCTTGGATTGAACGGGCGCTGAGAAGCAACTGTTGATGCGGAATGACGATGAGCCAGACAGAACAGTCTTGTACTACAACCACACACCAGAAGTGGCTTGATCTTGAAAGCCGGGGATGCAAGTCAAGGGTCGTCCAGAATTTTTACTTTGTAATATCTCCGAAGGTTGTCGAGAACGTGCCAAAGCCGAGCCGCGAACTCGAACTCGAACAGACTAGAGGGTTTTTTTCTTTTTTCTTTTTCAATGGAGACTCATCAAACGGCCAGAATACTCGAAACGGCAGCGTTTTAGGTAATGAATCAAGACAAAATTCTGGATCTCGAGTCGTTATATCGATAATCGACGGCGGCACTGCGGGTGGCTAACACCTAGTAAATGGGGACCCTTCGGCGTGGGCGATGATCCATTCCAAAGGCAGAGCAAAAAAGGCTCTAAGTTGATAGGCTGGGCTGTTGAGATTGTTTGACAAGGGCGGGCTTTGCTAAAACAATTACCCGGCCTTTTCTTTTGACTTTCTCGTGGTCGGCGGCTCTGTTTGTCTGGGCTGCTGTGGGCGGATGATTACGACGGAGTAAATATTATAAAGAGAAAATAGAGTGTATGAATAAAAAAGAGGGTCGAGGCCTGACGATGGAGGTGTTTGTAATTGTTGAAAATGGAGCCTTTACTCTTTTCAACCTGAGGGAACAAACCCCAAAAGATGGATAGAAAGGTAAGGTGACTGACTTCCTTACTCAGATGAGAGCAATCGGAAAGAAGAAACAAATACAAATATGAGAGCAGCCTTGTATGCCAACAAAACGACATCCCATTGCTTTCGAATCCCTGACTCTTCAAGTTGCGGTGAAAGCAACCACTTGAACACTGAACATTGAAATCAAGAGTTGTCGGGTCCCCTTCAACCGGGGTCTTCCTGGTAAGTCCCAAGTTGGACGGTACTGGTGCAGACACTGGTACCGGTACCTTGTGCCCCAACCCAAACACCAAAGGGACAGGGCCTCAATTGTTTCCGTATCAAGCGCAGCTAGCAGCCAGCAGCAACGCAAGACATGAAGGAAGAAAACTCCGGGGTTCAGACCTGGGCCCGTCCGTGCCTTTGATTGAATACCATGGTGACGGTCACGATAGTGGAACTCGAGGCGTGCTCTGACTCTTGAATGGCTTGTGCTCTGGGCCTTTGGGCTTTAGACCTTGGAAGAATGGAAAAAGGCCCCCAGGGTCTGGTGTCTGGTGCCTCTTCGGCGTCGAAGCAAGGCCGGTCCATTGCTGTCAAGTTCTCTGTCATGGGGGGGCCCGTTCATCTAGGCGGTGCAAGCTTCACGATGCTTCGATCTAGAAATCACTAGAATCAAGTTCCGAATACGCACTATTTCATCTCATTTCATCTTATGCACCAACGGCTCGTCGCCAACTCACATCAACTCTACTGAAAGGAAGCCATCTCAAGCGCGCTAGCCTTCATGGTAGGGCTCCAAGCCTTGAACCTTGAGTTAGACGTGCCGAGGGCCAAGCTATTACAAAAGCCGGCTAAAGAACGCCATGGATTAAACGGTGCTGCATCCAACTCGTCTCTGCCCGTTCTCGTTTCGTCCCCTGTCCTTGGTTGCCTCGTGCGTGTTTCTGCTTTGACATTTTTTGTATCTTCAAGATACGATAGGTATTGTACATTGGATTGGGTTAACGAGTCGGTAAGAGAGACAGAGGGAGAGATCAATGTACGGAGACACGGTTCACCAATTGACATGGATGATTGACAAGACAGTACATCGACCGGTGAGCTGTGAAGGTTGTCAAACAACGATCTCTACCAGTCGCAGCCCAACTGCAACTACAACTCCAACTCCAACTTCAGCTTCCAGCAATGTTTACTGATAACATCTCAAGAGCCTTGTCCTAGTCATCACAATGCCATCACCAACGCGCGCAGTCGCAAGCCGCTATCGGCTCGTTGCCTTGTCCCTATCAAGCGGTGTCTATTAGACTATTCCATTGGTTCTAGTAAAACGTGCACCGTACACATGACGCTATTGTACATGCAACTTGACCGCAGCCTTTATTATGTAGACTACATTTTATGTTTGTGTGTGTGTGGTGTGTGCGTTGTACATACAGCACCAAGCAACAAGCACGTTTCTTTCAAGTTAGCTTCTTGAATTAGCACAGCAAAAAGAGTCGGCGTCGGCTCCGAGATGGAGAGAGAGAGAGAGAAAGGTGTGGTGTGATAGAAGAGGCTTTTTTTTGTGTGTCTCGACTTGGCTCTTTTCTTCCCACTAGTCATTTATTTCCAACTGCCGCTCCGACAACAACTGGTAGAAAGAATATTCAAAGGAGAAAAGGAAAAAGAGAAAAGGTAATGTGTACGTAACGAGTAAGTCCTCTCTACATGCCCGATGCTATAGGGACGGATAACTCGGGTTCGATTCAATCCAAAGCGTACCCGTCTCCTTGGCGATCTTGATGCGTTCCCAAACTTGACTCGCAATGGAGTAAGTAGCCGGGCTCAAACTCCGGTTGGCCCTTTTGGAGATAACGGAAAGAAAGAAAAAGGCATGGATGGAAAACCCCCTTTTATGCAGTACATGACTTTGAATGACATCTCGCCAAGGTCTTATCACCATGCCAGCGATCAAACCGTATGCCTGACATTACCAAGGGCATGCGTATTCGACGCGAGACACCTGAAATTCGCTTATTCTTTAGTCCAGTCACTGGGGTGAATTACTTGTCAGTATTTTTTTTCGATCAGAGAGGGTCCATTAGAGTACAACAGACAGACCATGGGTTACTTACAGGCTGTCTGGTTGTATCCAATCCCTGGTCCTTTTCCTTATAATAATGGTCCCCTGATGCTACGAGGTACCATTGCCATGCCATTGGGCTCGATCGAATCGAATGTCCTTGCTCTTGACTCCAAGTCTTTTATCACGCGATGTAGTTCATGGCTAAGTGCTAATATAATCGTATATCTTGTGGGCTCTTCTCGGCTCAAAGGCTCAGGCTCGGTTCAAGGATCAAGACTATCTGTACGGAGTAGTCTTAGTAGACTTAGTTACAGTCTGTCTGAGGGCCTCGGGCCTAACGGCTGCTTACACATAAAAGAAGTTGGGGCAGAAATTCGATTGGATCTTGTTTGTCTCGTGGGGTTACATTGTCTTGGGGCGTCATGCATGTCCCGCCACAGAAAATAAATGCCCCGCGATGATGATGATCATAAGCTCAGCCTCGAGGCTCTAAAGAGCTTGTTGTCGTTGTCTTTGTCTTTCTTCCCCTCAATTGGTGATCTACAGGCACGCACTACTGACGGGTCAACGGCCATGCTAATGTGTGTCGTGGCAAATGAGTCACTTTTTGCTTTTTGCTTTTTGCCGACAAAACTTTAGAAGCTCAAGGGTCTGTTCACTATCAACACTCCAAGCTCCAGCTGTCCAGGGCTGTAATCCGATGTCGCTGCGACACCTGGGCAGGCAACGTGAGGTTCTGGTTCTAAGCTGGGCTGGGCGATCCTTCATCCTGTAACCGTAAGCGGGTCATTGCAACCACAATATCTGTTATTTTCCGCAGTGCTGGTTAAGATCGTTCAGCCCAATGGACGTAGGAATACAGTAAAATTACTGGCTGATCTAATCGCCTTCTTGTCGGTGACGAGACATTTCTGCCCGGATCCCGACTGCGCGAGCGGTTATCTCTGTACTGCAGCGTATAGTCTGTAGATCATCTAGTGAATAGCTCAAGGTCAAGGCTCCAGTCGAGGTATGATGATGATCAAGATACATGAGTGACGCTTAATCCTCTTAAATGTCTTAGTTGCCCAACGACACGAATATCCTATCTAGGCAATCCGCATATTTAGACATGTTGTCAATCTCTTTTAAGCTTCCTGCTCAGTGGCTGCAGCTGCGTCTGTCTATAATCCCGTGGCCAGTAACTAGTAAGATGGCTACGGAACTGTGTCGTCTGTGCGGTGTAATTACACAATGCGTGCTAGAAGTATCCTCAGTTTAGGAATTACCTCAACTCCAAAGCTCTCAATGAACCACCCTATTTTGAGAGCGCGTGAAGCGGCCGCATGAGCTTCCCCATCCTTGCTCTTGTTACCAGTCACAAAAAAGGATGTGATGTGACTTTGCGGGTTCCCCCCCCTCCCCTGTTGCAATCCTCCGACTGCTTGGAAACCCAAGATTTGCATTCAGATCATCCTTGGGGGATGTGATTAAAGAATTCCCCCACATAACCCGAAGGTTGCAGACTGAGGCTGAAGCAGAGGCAGAGGCAGAGGCAGACCGGTTCACGTCAAAAGACCTAGAGAGCGTGAATGTGGTAGAGGTATTCGCTGACAATTGCTATTGTTTCCCCCTTGTGATCAGAATATTCAAGTCACGAGATGAGATTGGGGGTTAGTACAACACAGCACAACATACATGGCACATCACATATTCGCTTATGTACTCTCTGTCACCTTTTTATGACATACATTGTCATTCTTTTGACTAGTCATAGGCGGGCCGTCCCTTGACCGTCTCACTGAAATGAGCAGCTGACATGACAGTATTAACTTGAGATATTATTATATCCCATATTTAAAACACATGCTAATCTGACTGCCTGGGCTGATGTAGCACTGTTATCAACATCCTCGTTCACCGTTGTTCCATGTTTGACCACCATCTCAATCTCACTAGGGCATTTAACATTTGACATTTGCATGCTCCTGACAGGCCTAAGATCTCCTTATGCGTTGCCCGTAACGCTTATCCTCGTTGAGGTTAGCACCGACGTCGCCCTTTTTTCAAGGGTCCAATATGAGTACGAGTGGTGTGACTTGTGCATATCCCACCATGAGGCTGACTGTCTGACTGTCAATCCCATCAATAAATCCGATATTATTCTCTGTAAGAACACACATTATCCACCGAGTTATGGCCTTTTGGTCCAGTCAATCAATCACGGTAGCAACACCTCAACTCCTCACACAAACTTCCACAAATCAGCTGGCACTTTTGCTCGCCTCCTCTTGATCGGCATGTATTGTGATTGGCGTCGATCAGCGCTACCTCTGCCTGAGACTCCGCGACGCTGTCAGACGTGGTCACGGGGCTCGAGATTAAAGCCTCGGGCTGTAGGGTTGCTGAGTGAACCCCATACGCGTGGAGACACTCCATGATGATCTTTGCCTTGTCAGCAAAGGCCTCGATGGTTCTACCCTCGACGACGATGTGGGCAGAAGCCACAGATTTGCGTTGGTCTAACCGCCAGATGTGCAGCTCGTGTACTGATTTGACTCCAGGAATCTACAGATACGTGCTCGTCAGTCGGGTCCACAGAGCGGATATCTCGAGAATGCCACTACTTTTTCCATATCATGCTTGATATCCTCTAGGCTTATGCCTCGCGGCGCGGTTTGTAACAGAATGGCGCCGCTATTCTTAACCAATGGAATGGCTGACAAAAGAATCATGATGGAGATGAAGACTCCGACTGCGGGATCGGCATAGTATCGACCTTCTCCTTTGGTCTTCCAGACGATAACCGCTGCGATTATGACGCCAATGTTGTTAATAGCGTCTCCTAGAACGTGAATCAAGACGCCCATCATGCCCAAATCTCGTCCTGGAGATTCAATAGCTACAGTCCTGTGTTTGTGCTCATGGTGGCTACTTGTCATCTGTTGCGTTGTAGTTAACAACTTCAACTCCATAAATGCTTAAGATACCATACTTACAGACGTCAAACGGGTCTCGTCTTCACTAGTCGTGTCGTTTGTCCCAGACTCAGTCACTTCTTGGTCTTGTATTCCGTCAGTATAACCGTGTTCTCCATGTCCCGTGTGGCCATGCCCATGGTCGTGCTCTATAGTCAAAAGTCAATGAATCAACCCAAATATCAGAGCTGTACTTGATTTTCTTTTACCATGAAGGAAAGACATGACGAGAACGTTGAGACCTAGACCAACACTGCCGACTATCAGGATCAACAAAGGGTTTTTTATGCCTAACAACATTAGTGTTCTCTGATAATATTGGTATATTCATGTCGAGAACTCACGAGTGATATGCACAAATCGCTCGATGGTCTGCACAAGAATACTGATACTCAGCGCTAGTAGAAACACGCCATTGAAGAAGGCGCCTAATATCGTTGCTCTCTGCCAGCCATATGTGTATGCTTGCGGTGCTGGTTCGACACGATCTTGCGCCTATCTTAGTTACTATATAGGCACTTGAGCCAGAACTTTGACGTAACTTACCATGAGAGCAACTAGAGCCACAATGATTCCGATTAGATCGCTGAGCTAGTATAGTTAGTTGTGAATCATAGTTCTGATGTACCGGGAAGTGTACATAGTGGAAGGCGTCGGCGATCAATGCGATAGAGTGTGTATAGAAGCCGACTATCAATACTATTAGTTTATATACGCATGATGAAGATAGATCGAGTCAACTAACCCGCTAACTCAGCGGCAAAGAATGAGAACGATATGCATATTGTAGCTATCAGCCGCTGCTTTCTCGAGATTTTCATACTTGTGTTTAGGGGTTGGTTGTCGTGAATGTATTCGATGTTGGCAAATTCGATACATTAACATGTCAACTTGGGATGTTCGAGCATTAATTCTAGAATAGAAAGATAATATCAATCGCCAATTTATACTCCAGATGATTCTGGGATGACTGATGGTCTGCTTTTGCAAAGACTGGGTGTGTGAAATCTTGTGAGCAAACCCAATCCATCGGCTCGAACTCACAAACAACGGCGACTTGTCGTTGATGGCCAAACACGCGACAATTTGAGTGAAATTGTAACAGATATAGTTGTTTAATATCAATACCCGCGGGATGTTAATCACAGAAGCGAAAGCGAGAATAGGAGAGGTTGTAAAGCAGTTTATCAAGGTTGGTCCATGTCACTACCCGTCATCGGGACCCCGGGACGATGATTGGGGTAGCATCGATTTGCCGAGCCGATGATGGGTTACAAGAATGGTTTATCTCTGTTTATGGTAGCACAGCATGGCTTTGTAGAAGAGCATACAGTGATGCGGTTGTTTTGATCGAGTGTTTTGAGGTGTTGGTGTTCAGGGAGTGAGAGAAGATCTTGAGTAAGACGTGATATGCAATCAGACACAATTACCTATTCAGAGAAGGATATAGTCTCAGCAAATTTGGAGTTGTTCCGAGTTGCTGGGGTATGTTTGCTCAAATGCTGTTCCTGTAGAAGCAAAGCTGATGTTTTGTCAACGTCGTGCAGGGTATGCAACTCTGTTTCGGTACGGACAAAAGATAATTTGGTAAACAATCATTTCTAGGGACAATCCTTATAAAAAAAAATAGAGGAGGGCTGGGATAGTCGAGGCCTTATACCTCTTGTCGAGGTAGAGAAAAAGCATATTCATGTGAACATATGTTGGAATTCATACAAATAGACAAACTTCACTTAGTCAGATTGGCACCTAGGCTGTTGGACTACATCGGTAGACGATAACTAGATAAATCATCTCTCGTTATACAACACCTATTGGATTAACTGATTATGTCTAATTTAGCAATATGTCCTTCTAGTATACTAATGTGAGAAAAGAAATCTTGAACTACTCATCAATCGTAAATGCTTTCACCAAAACAAGCATTCCCACGACATCTAAGATGATTTATACGAGCATTATACCTCCATCAATAGACCTGCATAGCCATTTCGTCACGCTATCCTACATAACACACAAAATTATCATCGCCCAGTCAAACTCGACCCGCCATCGTACTGCACACTACTCCTCCGCAGGAACGACATTGGACTGTTAAGTCGCTTTGTAGGCGCCCCGTCATTCCCTCCCAGAACGCCAGGCGGGAGTCCCAACGTCGGGATGCTAGCCTCAGGCACAGCCTCTAGCGGTGTCGGCGCAGGCGCTGTTGCAGGCGTGCCCTGGACCTTCTGGCCCTTCTCCATGGCTTCCTTGTAGAACTCCTCCAGTGCTGCCTCGTCCTTACAGAACTCGTCGATCTCGGCATTGAGCTGATCCGGATCTGGAATTGTTGAGGCCAAGGGTCTGGTGTGTTGGTCGACGGGCTTTAGTGCTGGGGAGTGGTAGTAGTGTGTCGGCTTGATGAGCGGCGATGCGAGAGATGCCGCTTCTGTCATTCCAAAGGTTGAGTAGGGGCCGTAGGATGACATGCGCCCACCGCGTTCGCCCAGAGCTGTTGAATCGGATGAGCGGTTCTCCTTGTCGCGGGGATTCGCAGATCGGCTACTATATAGACGGTTTGCCAGGATCAAAAAGTCGCCCTCGTCGGTGATCTCGGCCAAGAGAGACCCGCTGCGATGAATGTACTGGGTGTATTTGTAGTCTGGTTTGCCCCAGGAGTAGCTCACGTCGACGTTGCTTGGAAAGTTGGATGCCGCCTCAACATCCAACACGAACTCGAACTTCTTGAGAATGGCCGTCTGATAGAAATGCTTGTTTGGAGACGTCGTTGGGCCTAATGAGTTCGGGTCCATATACGTTTCGGGCCTCTGATCAGGCGGACGAGCTGCCAACTTAATACGATATGGCTTCCTGAACGGATTTGTTTCGGTAATGGTGCAAGCCTCCTTGATAGGTACTTCAACAAGGCGTAGACCATACTGACTAGCCTCACGAGCCCAGCTCTCAACTGCGTCTTCCACCAACTTTGTCGTCACATTCATCCAGTCGATACGTATATGGTAACAACTGTCAGGGTTGTGAAGTCGATCATAATGCAAGTCGATCCTCTCTGGTCTGTATGATCGCTTGCGGTGATCAACATCGTACTTGATGACTTTGCTTAGCACAACTCTAGAGCGTTTCACAGCATGAGAGAGCGATATGGTTGGTGTTGTAGAGGTTGACGCAGGAGAACCAGTTTCATCCACCGAACGAGACGACATCAAAGCTCGAGGTGAATCCCGACTGGATGGCTCAAGGATTGGAGTTGGTGGTACTGCAGCTCGTCGGGAGTTGAACCATCCCACATGAGGCTTGGCAAACTCAGGGGCAATTTGGTAGTAGTAGTTGCCATCGCGGAACTGATGCCTCTTATCAACGTGAACAAACAAGCCCCTTTCTTTGGGGTTTGCAGACTTCGAATCATCATGCGCCATCAAAGCGTTGCCCAATGCTTCGGCGTCTTCTCGAGTGTCGAGATCCTCAAAGTTGTCCAGCAGCCAGGTCACCATATCAGATCCGATGAAAGAGGCAGAGTAGAGGCGAAGATGCCACCGTCGGTTTTGCAACCTAGCACCTCCACTCTCTACGGGCTGCTGCATGGCATCAGCTAACGTAGTCAGATTTAAGTTGGACTTCTTGAAGCGCTCCTTGGCCGACACAAGTCCTTTTCGGGGCACACCCTCAAGACCTTCTGTGAGAGGAAGTGTTTCGACCTCGGCAGCAATAACTACTGAGGGATCATCGGTTTTGTATACGATATCCAGAGGATTAGGGTCTCGTCGTCGCTTCTGCTGACTAACTGCATGGAACCTTCGCTCAGAAGGAGGAATGTAGCGATACTTCTGCCAAGATTGGGCAAGACGCTTGATGCCCTCGATTCGAACCTCCTCAGCATGATCTCCCGATTGTGTTCTTGAAACCGGGACATCTTTCCGTAGTACTGGGATAAGGACGAACCTTGCACGCCAGAAGCGAAGACTATCCATCATCTCATCGTGATGCCCGGCGATGTATGAATCAATCATGTTCCAATTGCGCTCAGGGCGAGAGGCGAGCAGATCTATCTCTCGTGCTTCGTAGGTATCATCTAGTAGAGTGCGAATGGCAGGCTTGTAAATTGGTGAGAAGCCCAGAGAGGTGAAAGAGGTATCTGTTGGCTTTCTCATGAATATGTTCACCTCTACTTCTGTGCCATTGACACACGAGAGCTGGTGAATGCTGTTGCCAACTGACATGAAGATGCTAGTGCCATCCTCCAAAGGCTGATCCCTCGAGAAAATGTCACCAATCTTCATGGAACTCTGCCCGAAAGCGCGGGCTACCCACGGGCCTACCACAACCTGAAAGCCCTGCGTGAATCTCAGACTAATCAACTCCTGAATGAATTCCTGGCGGGATTTGGGCTCGTCAACCATGTCGTCATCTCCGTCCTGTTCAACAGTATACGGATGCCGTTGATATTCGGTATCGAATTGTGGTTTTGAGGGAAAGTACTCGGTCGTTAATGGTACAGAAGCAGGGCAGCAAAGAGCCTTCCATTTCTGCACCTTCATCTGACCGATTTGAGGGTAGACGTGTTGCCATCTACTGTACAAGATACTGTCGTCGATCGCAAGGCTCTCTGGGTTTGATGGGTTCAACAGTGTCAACCAAGGAGTAATGGCAGTGGTAGGCGAAAGAGTTGTAGGGAGGTCTTGGACGTCACCGGCCAATGCACCTGCGCGGAGCTTGTTGGTATAGAGTTTTTGGGCATCATCAGCTCGAAGAACGTCCGAGTATCTCTGATCTCGATCGTCGTCCTGCTTTTGCGGCCGATTACTAAACGATGAACCGATTGCCGATGAAGCTGTCCTCAGCTGCAATGCGGCCACATCAAGCGCAGAATTATTCCTCTTGATAATAGGAATGCTGGGTGTCATGGGCACTCCTTCAATGATGGTGTCAGGGGCTTCTAGTCGATACTTATGTACAGAGAGTTGCGATGGATGACTGGTGATCGTCTGAGGGGAGCTAGGGCGCAGTTCTGGGCGAATTCGAGGTGTTGGCGGCTGTTTTCCTTCACTAGACGTATGACCAGATGCGTTGACTGTCTCAGCTTTGATCTCTGCAATTACTGCCTTTGGAGCAGCGATACCGAATCCTCGCTGGCCTAAGCTAATCTGCCTCATTAATTTGGGCTGTTTCGCTGTTGTTTTAGGAGGCTTTGGCGCTGGTTCTATGCTCTTCTTGAGGCTCGTAGGGGATGGCTTGTCAGTGTCCATAATGTTCATTGAAAGCTTCCTCGCCGAGGGACCAAGAATCGGTGCCTTTTTCTCCGGGAGAGAAGTTCCATACAGACCAGAGTCCTCGGCCAGTTGCCTTCGTGTGATCTCATCTAGTTCCTTTGCATATCGTGATGAGTGATGTCGACTACGGCCACTGGAAATCTTGGCTCTGTGATCGTCAAACTCTTGAAGTTGTTTCCACAGCGACTTTTCGCCAGGTCGTGCCAGCCTGTCCGGAACAAATCTCTGAAAACCATGAATATGGTCAAAAAGCCCGTCTGGCGGACGTCTAACGGGAATGTACACAGTGTCATTGATGCCGGTATTACGATATTTTTGCGAAGATGGTGGTTCCGTGATATTGGCAGGAAAATGCGTGTCGACCTGCAAAGGTGTAGTTTCGATCTCGTTCGTCTCAAGAACACTTCTCATTTGCAAGGCATACATGCGACATCGAATGTTAAACTCGTCTTCGTCGTCTTGCACAACTTTGTTGGACACGGATAGAGCAATACCCTCATACGACAAGGCTTCATCGGAGGCCCCGGTCCAGAACGAGACATGTAGCCATTGCGGCAGCGCAAAGCACCACTGTTCGTTTGAGGCCATGGTAATGAGAGGGTCTGCACGACGAGAGAGACTCATTCCTTTTGAAGGTGAAAATGACTCTCCAAGTGACTGGTAGCTACCGATCACTGGTGTCGGGTGGTTAGGTGTGCTATCCCGACTATGGAACGACCTTGAGAAGCTGGAGCGATGACCATGGCCTCGGTCATCAGACGAGTACTGAGGATTGCGATATTTGAAAAGAGGCACTGAATGTAAGGGCATCTTGGGCATGCATATCAGATCAATGCCAATACCGTTTCCAACCAATGCCTCCGTTGTCCGCCGTAATGTCTCGTAGTCTACCTCGAAGACACCAGAGCCAGGGCTGATAACGGCAATTGAGATCCCCGTCCTTGTGAGATCTCTATCGATATGATCATGGGCAAACTGGGACGAAGCTAGGTTGATCGCCTCTAGAACATTGCCGTACATGGCATAGGTTGATTCCGCCTTGACACGGGTTGACGGGGTATCTTTGGGGATGGAATCTTTACCATCGATGGCTGCTTGAGCATTGAGCTTGTGGTGATGCAGACTAATATCCCGACGGAAGAAGTTGAACTCAACCTTCAGCTGATGCAGGATCTTGGTCCACTCTCCGCTACCCATCTCGCTGACCACAACTCGATAGAAGTCTTTGTACGGTCGGCGTGGCCCAGATGGTTGTATACCTGTGTAGTAGTCACCCGAGAGGTTATCAAACTCAGCAGTCAAACCAGTATCGTATTCCACGCGTGCGAAAAGAACAATGCTAACAAGGTGTTTAGCCTTGAGCATAGCCCATCTCTTGAACAGCGCGGGAAGGAACCCGTTGACGACTTTGTTAAACATGATCTCACCCGAGCTTTCTGCATCAAACTCCCACATCTCCTTGGCCATCTGGATAAAAAGCACGTATCTAGCTGATTCGCTTCGGAAAATGGGCCTGGTATCGCGAGTAAAGAAGGCAGAGTGCGTTTTGTCGCCATCAACGTATATTGCTGTGACTTGCGCTTTGATTGTGCCCATGAACAAGACTGATTGGCCTTTGTAGACGGTTCTCCCCGTCAACTCTCCGACAGTCATTCTCCAAATGTCTGACCTTGACAAATATTGATCTTTGAAAGACAATTCTACGTGTGAAGCTTCCGTAGCTGGGCTTTTCGCATCCACCTTGATCCTGTTAGCACCCCGGATTCATGCAAGCAGAGGTTCCTTACTATTGTCAAGAGTACCTGGGATCCCTTCTTCATTCCAAACGCATCTGCGATATGCCTCAGGACATAGACCTCGACATCGGGATTCCGGGTCTTTGTCTCTTGTGGCATATCTTTTGCAACAAAGAAGTACTTGAAGCATGCGCTGTCCCCATTTTGTGTTCCTGACATTCCTTTCGAGCCATAGTTCTGATCCTGATTCTGCTTGCTGCTCGCGCTATGACCAGCCGATATCTTTCGAAGATCATCCTTAACAGTTGATATGCACATCAACGTTCCGGGCTTTATATCAGCACCCACAACATCGAAATTGAGCAGCACCTCGTCTCTGGCGTAGCCCTCGTTGACCGTCACAGTGCATCGGCGTTCTATTCTTGTTCGCTTCGTCTCCTCCTTGATAGTAGAATGAGTCGATGCGCTCGCCGACGACACTGGAGCTTCGGTAAGGGTTCGATCTAAGCTAGATCTGCTAAACTGTCGCCAGTGCGGCGGTCCCTTGCGCGGGACCGGGTTCTTGGAGGTACCATTTCGCGACATGAGATCGGGCTGCTCGCTCGCTATACGGGAAGATTCGACAATACGCGATGCGATACTGTAGCTCGCATGTTGATTTAAGTATAGATTGACTCAATTGACGAAGCCGATCGCGGCAGCTGATGGAGAATAGCTTGTCGCAATGACTATCGTCAGTTAGTAGTTGGGAACATGAGGTCGTCAGTTGCGGCAGAATCTTCACCGCCTTCCAGTCTCGGTAGCTTGCTTCTAAAGGCCAAGCAGCTGCACGGCCCGAAGCGCTAGTCTCTGGATGATTAGATGGAAGCGAAGATGCGAAGTGAGTATTGTAACCTAAGGGCATAGCATCTCGGGCAAAGGAATTTATTTACCATTGCTGGAAGTGACGGAATCGCTCCACTTACAGAACTAGAGTACATATGCGATTACCACCAACGAAACCATTTATAGGGCGAATGCCCTTATTCTGGAGGCGCCCTTAGTCTCAAAGGAACTTTACTAAAAGGAACCTTGGTCATTTGGAAGTTTAGATCAATTTCTCAATTATGTCTTCGATATGAAAGCTCCATATTCATGAGTGTAAGCTCAATTATCTTTGACTTTGTAAGAGCCAGCTCGATCGAAGTGCTCAAGTTGATGACGTCGCACAAACACAATGTGACTAACAACAAGATCTCAAAATGTTGCAATTGAATCAAGGACGAGATGGGAATCACGTCACGCTGTATCGCCTTATTCTTTACTTAATCAGTGCTCTACTACCTATGCATTGAGATACGTAGAGATTCAGATCACGCGTGTTACGACAACATCAACTGTCTCGACAAGTTGAAAGGTTTGAGGCGCATCCAGCTGTACTATCCATCAGAGACTGGCGTAGAGGGCCGGAACTATAGCAGTGAATACTTTACGAGCATATGGTCTTTTTTGCCTTCCCCACTGCATGCAAGGTACTCCCAACTAATGTACAGTATTCGTAGACACTCCTACACTCCGCCACTAACTGAGTACTAAGGTACAATACAACCCCTGTAAGTTTGTCTAGTTTGTACCTTACCGCCCTAATATAAAAAGTCATCTAAAGTTTTGGAGAAAATAGATATTTAAAAGCAGAAAAAAAAAGGGAAAAATCAGTATAGATAAAAGATTCTAACCCAACACAGTCACTAAGAGGTACACGAATGTGTTTTAAAGAGGTGATTCGCCTACCTTAGTAGGTACTTAGTAGCTATAGTGCGTTTTTGGCCACCGGTCTTTACATCTAAGATCACAGGTCTCGTACACGATATGCTCCTTCCCTACAACTAGAGATCACAGATATGTCGAAATGCTCTTTCCATACAAAGCATCTATCTAGGCAGGCTAAAACCATAATGCATTTGCCTCAGGCCGATGCATTCATAAATCACCGACGCACTTCCTACCTTACTCTGAATTATCAACACACTTTCACATACTCTGAACCACCGATACTCTTTCACAAACTCTGAATCATCGACGCACTTACACATATACTCTGAATCAACACACCTTCACATACCCTGAATCACCGACGTTCTTTCATTAGACAGAGCCGTACCAAGGAGTGTCATCAACGAACGGAGTTCAGAAGGTACACCTTCCGGCCTTGTCTCTCTGAAGTGAGGCTGTCCCAATCAACGTCTCGATCGCTATAATTACTGGAGCAATCGAGCACACGAGTCAGGCATACATATATGAGGAACCCCTGTGCCTAAGCAGGGACTTTGACTTGCCTAGGATGACAGAGCCAGCCTCAGGGTCTTGTATACCCTGAATTACCGACGCACTTTAGCACCGTAAGTTGAACTACACATGGTTCCTTTTCCAGGATGTACTCTGACATTGTATCTAGTATTTATAGATGAACTTTTCCATAAGTGTGCACGGTTCTGGCGGTGGCGGCGGCCGCGTTGAGAAGAATCGTTTCTAGGGCAAGTGCCGCCACGTAAGTTCTTCCCTTTCTTTCTTTCTTTCTTTCTTCCTCGACATCAACATATCTGACAATGACATAGTGCAAGAAGTATGATCACAAGGCTGAGGATTGTAATCGTCCGCAAAGGGAACAGCTGCAGCAACAACAGCAGCTACCATCCTTCCCTCCCCCCTTCTTCTCTCTTCTACAATTACTATCACTTCTTCGGCGGCCTGGGGAGAAAAGATGTCTGACGAGTAAAAAAAAAGATTTCTTTTTAAACTACGGTTTTTTTAATGTATTCTTAGATGGGATGTACACTACATGGCATGGGCTGCGGCCGGAATCAAGTTTTTTGTCTGATGATCTTTGTGTGCTCTTGTGATTTCTCATTGTAACTCTAGTGATCCAGTCGACTTTGTACGAATTTATCCATACTGCATACTCTCCCGGGTTCAGTCAAGGCCCTCATGTAGTCATCAAGCCCTACCCTCCCTGTATCTCCCCGAGAAAGACTTGGAGTTCATCAAGATCTCCGAGATGAGACTCGAGAGACACCACCGCGGTAAGAAGGTCCTCCTTTATGGAGCTAGAGCTGGGGAGGCAGCGGGAGCTGGAGTAACCTTCCAGTCGAGGGTTTCCAGATCTGAGAGATTCTTATCTTGAATATGCTGCGTGATGATCTGGTTGAGTAAACTCTAGAGTAACCTTCCAGTCGGGGGTTTCTAGGTATAAGAGATTCTTATATTGAATATTCTACGTAATAATCTCTAACGGTGACAAGTCTCTCAGGTCTTTGTAAATATCAATATAAGTAAATAAGCTAAATGATAATCATTCTTACCTGATTCGGAGTAGCCATCTATGCTTTAAAATAGCAAGAGAATCGATATGCCTGATGATGGGGAGGACGAGAAACCTACCTCCCAGGGGTCGGCTGTACCGCGCGATAATAAAGCTCGTTGATAGGGAGGGTTCACATCACAAGCTTCAGTCCGACTCGAGGGAATGCTTTCGTTACGAGATATGCAGCGGACGCCAGCCAAAATGCCAGATCAACAATTTGGTCCAAAACATCAGATGTAAGCTCGAAGAGAAGGTAGGTAGGTACCTTAGTAGGTACTGTTAGGGACGGGTGTTTTAGGTAAGCAGTAAGGTACACTTGTGGCCAAGCATTATTGTCACAAAGCCGCATTCTGCCTGGTAGGTTCGTACTGTAGTAAATATTGATATTAAATAACAATCGTGACGGTATCCCTAACCATAACTTCCCTTAGTTGTGCTGACCGCAGGGCTCGGCTTGCCTCTGAGGCTGGAGCTCTCAAGTCTCGCACACAAAATCCATCAAGACCAAAAACAATACCCTCCCGAATCTCTCGTATAAAAAGATGCGTGGTATTGCGTCTGCCAATGGACTGATATTATCCTCACGGTGGCGTTATGCTGCGAAGATGGTTCGCCATATGATGCCATACTTTCGAGTGACTGTCGTCTCTTTGACAGAGGAGTTCATATTGAGATCGTGTACGGCAAAGGAAATGAGCGTCTCCCACGGATAATCTAGTCGTTAGGAAAGACTGTGCGTGGGGTCGTCTTCCATAGTGGAGGTAGTATTCATGCGTGTAGTGGAGGTGTGCCTGTTCCCTTCCAATATATCTTAGGACTGTAGTGTAGTGGCACAAATACTGGTCCTGTCGTGTCCGACATGTTGGGTGTGCTTTCCATGTTGAAGAGCGACAGCTCATGGAGTCGTTATCTCGCTGTTTCTGAATCGCTCCTTGAGCTGATGTGGCGAGAAACCCGTAGATGTAAGGAACAGCTGAAGCTTTATGATATGCAACCATTCGGCAGTCCACGCTTAAATGACCTTGCTCGTACTGCTTTAGTTTGCATAGTGGCGTTCCTATCAGCTCGTCTTCCTCATTTCGTAGTCACGGTGCCAACAAGTCGCCCTCCTCACGTAACCTCGTCGTTGTTGGTGGCAAATGCAATATGAAAGAGTGTGGAGCGTTCACTTCACCCAGGAGTGAGGATTCATGAAGTCTTCGATGCGAACCTGGAAAACATTTAGCATATTTTTTATCCACTGGATACAAGCCTCATCTGACAGACGCTCTAGCACTCACGTGGCTCTCCGGCTTTCATATCAGATCATTCGTCATGGCCAGAAAGTTGTTGCGTACATGTTGCATCTTGAGAGAGGTTTGGTTCGGCACCATCGTAATTCGAGTAGTGATGATGCTCTGGAGCTTTTGCTCGTGGCTTCGTCGCCCAGTGTTCCTCCGGAGGGAAAGTCATTGTTTGCTCGTTGATGTTGAGATTGATGCCCGTCGAACATCCCTGCTGTCGCCCCTGTCGCCCCTGTCGACCTTATTGATCTGACTCCCTTCGTCTCTCTCTCTCTCTTCATTTTATTTGTAGCTACCTGAATATGATGCTCGCGAGGATAATCGTGAGCTGAGAAGGGTGACGCGCTACTAGTAAATACCGAGCCGGAGCTGCGGATACCCCAACCATTACATGACGCACAGTCTCGAAGTAGCCGCCCTTGACTTCAAGCATCACCATCTTGATAGCAGGATCGAAGATAGTGAAATTGCAGTTTGACCAGAAGATTTCGATCTGATGGTAGGGGGATGTTCTTATCCGCGTGATCTTCTGGGTTCGGCTCCAATCAACCAAGGTATAGCCCGCAAGGGTAAATTTGTGAAATTCCGCACAGATCGACGGTGTTTGTCAAAGTTACCGAATCTGGGGGATAGCACCACAATGGTGCCGGCAGTCAGAGTTGTTGACTGGTTCCATGCTACTTTGGCGGTAGAGCTATGGGATAACGCCACGAGTGTGCCGGTGGTGAGATGGAATTGCTGTGTTGAGTGCTTCCAGGCTGCTTTGGTGGTGAGGCCTGATGGGCATTCCCTTGCTGAACCCAAGTCGAAGTGCCGCAACTCTCAAGAAACTTCCGAGCCAGTCGTATCGCCACCCGTAACAAAAGAAAAGGCGCCATATAAGAAGATGAGGACGACCGCCATAGAGAACGAGCACCAAACAGAACGAACACCATATGAAAAAGAAACAAATGAAAAAAGAATGGGAAAAGATATTCCCTCAGGGGACTATAGGATCGGAGGGCTACCAAGCCTGTTTGTAAATATGGATTTTCATTGAAGAATCTCTCTTAGCTAAAATATTGACATAACCTCCAACGCCTGTCGCTTTTCAAATAAACGATTGTTTCGAAGGACGAGTACCTCCACCATGAATGTATTGAGGTACAGCATTCAACCACACCTTCCTCAAGTACCTGCCCAGTTGACAAAAAAAGCAGGCGCATATGCGGGACCATTGAACGAAAACGGGTAGCCACGTGTGCGGGCCGAACAGAACTATAAACCTTAAAAATTACTACAATGGGGTTGAACATCATGGAAGAATCATCTGAAGTGTTCCAAGTGCTCCGACTACTCCAACTGCTTGAAGTGCTTGAGGCGCATGAAGTGTTTGAAGTGTCTGGAGTACTTGAAGTGTCTGAAGTGGTTGAAGTGCGACTATTCGTCAGAATGCGTTGGGTACCCTGTTCTCTGGTCAGTAAAACGTCAACATGTATGTAAAGGAAAAACTAGACTTACACCATGAACAGACAGCTATGATAGAGTAGAGGCATATCAAGAGCCAGCCTTCTAGCCAATGGCTCTTACCATCGGCGATCAAGTAGTTGACCAGGAGTACAGCAACAAACATGGTTGCCACCTGGAACAGGTCGAAGCTCAGGTTCATGTCGTCCATACCCATTCCCCAACCAATGATAACAAGCAGGGGAATAAGGAACAAGGCAACCTGCATGGAGCTGCCAACTGCCACGCCAATAGCCAGGTCCATCTTGTCCTTAATTGCAACCGTCACAGCGGTTGCGTGCTCGGCTGCGTTCCCCACGATCGGGAGAAGGATTAAACCAACGAATTCTTCTGAAATTCCTCCAGTTTTTGTGACAGCATCGATAGAATCAACCATGAATTCGGCACAGAGCGCTATGAAGATCGTGGAAATTGTGAGGGTTGCGATAGCGACCCAGAAGTGCAGTTGGGGTTCTTCCTCTTCATCCTCCTCCTCCTCCGTTTTAGGAAGCCGGTGGGGATTCATAAGCATCTGAGAGAGACGCTCATTCTCTTCAGGGCCAGTCATACCGCCGCCAACGAGAGCACCTGGAACCATAACTCCTTGGCGAATATTGCCACCAGCGCCGTGCGACCATGGCTTGGCAGCCACTTTTTGACTCTCTTTGGCGAAAGTGCTCTGGTGAGTTTTGAGCTGGAAGATAAGATATGCAGCATAGACAATAAGGAGAATCACAGCAGTGCCTCGTGAGAGCCGAGCCACATTAGCGGCCGGTGTGTCTCTGGCTTGGTCGAAAACGGTGGGAACGATAACAGACGCAACCGCCAGAGCAAGCATACTACACGAATTTTGTTAGCGGATGCACTCAGGGACTTGAATAAGCACGCTGCCTATATCAAGTCTGCACATATCAAAACTTACCTAGCCGCTGTCTGCGCCACGGTCTCATTGAAGTATTGAGCCTCACGACGGAGACCACCGAAAAAGAAACAGAAACCCAACACGAGTAGAAGGTTGCTCAGAATGGAGCCAACCAAAGACGTCTGCACGATAATGACTTTTCCGTCCACCAGAGCCAGAATGGCCACAATAAGCTCGACGGCGTTTCCGAAGGTGGCATTGATGAGACCTCCCAGAACCTCTCCAGTGCGCAAAGCGATTTCTTCTGTAGCGAATGACAAAATGGCGGCCAGAGGAATGATTGCAATGAAGTTTACAACAAAGACGGCGGTTCGGTTGACGGATTTGATGTAGTTGAGGGCGATGCCGACCGGGGCGGCGATGAGAAGGATATTGATATATGAGTTGAGGAAGGTTCTCTGGAGCTGATTCCTAACGGTAAATGGCTCCTTGGGTTCGACCTTTTTGAAAATCTTGGTTGACTCTCGTTTCTTGAGTTTACTCTTTTCCAGGTCAATGTTATTGTCTGCGGCGGCCACGGCCTCTTCGCGCTTCCTGTTTCGCAATTGATTCTCATCTCCGACGAGTGAACGCTGTGAAATAGGGATGTCGTCGGTTCCGTCAATGGGCGAGCCGCCGGCCATTTTCTCTCTGTCGTAATCAGCTTCTTTGCTCCCCCTCATGTCGGTCATAGTCTCTGCTGTTGACCACTCTCTAGGAGGCCCACTTCGTCCAGGCTCGGAGGAAGCGTGTGCGAGCTGCTCGCCAACTGTGTTATCTCGTGCGCCTCGGTTCTGCTGGTTCTCAAGGCCGGCGTCAGAGAAGGCGCGTGTTGGGCGCTTCCAGGCGACGTGACGGAAAGGGTTCCAGGACTGGTCGGTGCTGGTGCGACTCAAGGTGTGAGCTTGGCGCTTGATATTGAAGGAATTGACTGTGGTTTATGTGAGTAAGCAGACAATAACGGCAAAAGCAAATATCAAGGCAAGGGTCAAGAAATTCAATGATTGATTCTATGCAAAAATGACTGTGAAGAGTGAAAAATGCAGAAAGGAGACCATACAGGAAGACATCGCCAAGAACTGGGGTCCAAGTTCAGACGTGGGTCGGTGGGTGTTGCGTGGCACTCAGGGCACTGCAGAGCAGAGTACGTAGCAAAGTAAAGGTAAAATAAGAATAAAAAAAGAGTCAGACTGGAGGATGTGCCAAGGATTCGAGAAAGAGCGGAAGTGAGCTGCCGGTGGTGGAGGGCACCGTTTTGTTGATTTCTTGGCCTACTTGACCGTAAGCTTAATTTATGGTGAGGTCACCAATGTTGGTTTGTGTCTGTGTCTGTTTCTGGTTTGCCTTTCCCCTTTATTTCCCTGAAATGGGTCAAGCTTATAGTGATTGTCTCTATCGCTACTAAAAAGACAGGTAATTTCAAGTGTGTACCACACCGCGTCAAGGGCGACACTGGGACAACGAAGCCAAATGCTACGTACCTTGCATTACAACTGGCAAGAAAAACAAGATTAGAGGCCTCCTCCGGTTTGGGCACTCAAATCTCCTCCAATAGCTAAGCTTGATTAAGAGCTCTTTTCTATCTAGACCACACTTCAAGGTTCCACTGTCACCATCGTCAGCCACAACGCACCAGCTAATGGGTGCATCCGTATGTACGGTTAGACAATCAGCCATCACCATTCGTACAGCAAAAAAGGGCATGATTCAGCGCGTTGCAGTTGCAGCTGACTCTCTAAGCTCTAAGCTCTAAGCTCTAAGCCACTGCGTCGAAAATGAACACGCCAGCAACACGCCAGTCTCCGGAGACCAACTTCTTTGGTTGCGGGTCGTCATCACACGCGAGGCTTGTCCCTTGAAGCCTGCAGGGATTAGACCCGCCAAGCCGGCCCAAATATGCCGAGCGATCTGCTTCCTTTCCTTGGCGATCTGGCTAGAGTCAGGGTTATGTCATTTATGCATTTTCCTGACCCAATTGTCGCTTTTCTTGGCACTCGCATGGCTACATCATCTCCGCTCTATTTCCTACTTTCCCCAGCGTTGTGAATAATATCCGAGTACTTTATACGATACACTAGCTGCCCGCAAGTAACCCGCTTTGGGTTATTGGCTTTGATGATGATAAAGTCGTCACCATCATAGGAATTCGTGTTATGATGCCAACGTTACCTCACACAATTTCCTGATATTCCGTTATCAAGCTCAAATTGAGTGACTGGTCAAATGCGCATGATGAAGAATCTCAGACCATAGCCTGGGTTTTGCGGTGCTATCATATCTGAGCAATGACAAACTCTCTGTAACAAAGTGAACAAGGCCAACAAGTATGGAAAACAAGCACTGAAAGCTCAGTTGGTCCTTAGCAACGTATTTATACCATTACCTACCTACGGATACAACGTAGAAATCTAGAAATAGCCCCCAAATATCCACGTGGATCATCTCTTGGCAATATCCCATCCTTGGCATTCATAACCCCAGTTACTACCAAGTACCAACTAGCTGTAATCCATCTTGGCAACTTTCTTCAACCTCAGTTTCATCAATCACAATATAGCACAAAACAATTAGGCTCTGGTACCACCTTGTCAAGTTCAAATGGTGCTAAATGTGCGCCTTCTGCTGCCTATGTATATGTATGTACAATGCGCTTGATTTCCCCTGTCGGCATCAAAAGATGAGCTACATTACCATGCCGTCTAGCTCAGGTATCATCGAATTGCAAATCGCAAAACTCCAAAACGCCATTTGTTGTCTCTTGGCTCCCCTTCTCGCTGTAAAAGCCCATTGTGCCACTGTTGGCCAAACCAGCAAATGCTCTGTTCAATGCCACCCCTGCGGGTTGAAAACGCCGATCCCAGCATTCATAGCTCAGTTCAAAATTGGCCCAGACCCTTTTAAATGCAACATCCCATATCGATTTCATGCGCCTTGAGTATCTCCATCACATCCAGTCTCCTTCAACATCCGCTTCCATGCTTGATTCCGGTACTGCATTCTTTCGAGGCCGACCTCGTTTGCGTGGTTGCGAATTGGATCGTGCACGTTTTTTGCGCCCACCTGGCGTATGTCCACCCTTTCGTTTGCGTCCTCTATCCGTCATGCCATCGCCGTCCTCGTCCTCATCTGCACTCGGAGTTGACGGTCCCATATCCATTTGTTCGCCATCATCAGCGACCTTGAATTCTTTGTCCACGTTGAGGAGTTCCACAAGTGCCGTGCATTTCTGGATCATTCGCTGTTGGTCTTGAAGCCCAGCCATATGAGACTCGATCTCTTCCCAGACCTTGTCTCCGTGAACGCCTTGGACCTTCACTGGTGTTTTATTGAGATCCTTGGCCAGTGCCTTCGCCTTGCTGTCGTGCCTGCTTATCCCCATTCCATAGAGTCGGCGCAGATATGTTCGCGTTTCCCACATTGACAACAGGATGATAGACGCTGTTGTAAGCTTGCGAAGGTGGCCGGGCTCAAGGGTGGATGCGATCGCCAACATTGGCGCGGGCTGCCCCTCTGGAGGTGCTGTTACGGACATCGAGTCGGTCATGGGCTGAGATACTGTCTCAGGGGCATCAGGCGCTGCTAACTGTAATGCATCCACAGTAACGTTGAAAACTTCGGACTCGATAGCCTGGGCGATAGGAGCGCCAGTGCTAGTCACCAATTTTTCAATCGCGTTAACCGTCGTTTGAAGTTCTCCGATTGTCTGGTATTCGAAGAAGGCCAAGTTCTCGGTGATAAATCGCGCAAATGCCATATGGTATGGGACTTCTTCACTCGTGTCTAGTTTGGCGAAATCGAAGTCCAACTGACCACAAAGCTTGTCCAGGAAGCGCTGACGATTCTTCATTTTGCTGATCTTGAGTACCTCGATCATAAAATGTAGCTTGGACTGGAAGGGATTTGTTGTTGCACCGCGAGTATCCTCCACGACATCTCTCTGGTAAGCAAAAGCTGACTGCACTGCCTTGGCATACTCTCGCTCAAGCACAGTCTCGTGTTTCTCATGCGCATATCGGTGCTCAGAAAATGCCAGCTCCGCAATCCTGCGGTTCGACGATGTTTCGAGAGTCATCAAGGTAACACAAGTCTCTTTGGGATGCGTTAATCCCTGTCGGTTGATGCTACCAAGAACCTCCGTAGCAAGGAAAGCATGATCGCCCTGGCTGGAAACTGCGATGCGCGATACATGCTTCAGAAATCTTTGAGAGGTTGCACTGGCGACATCGTCGAAGTTGGTCCCTCCCATAACTGTCAGTTCCTTCTTCTTGCCTCCAGCTGGAGCTTCCGCTGCGGTTTCGGATCGTTTCTCTTCGGCAAGAAGGAACTCGCGAATTGATCTCAAAATCAACACCTCAAGAACTGGTATCTGCTCTTTGAAAATCTGATCAAACAACGTATACAGCTTAGGAACCACATAATTGCGAGGCCATGCTTGGCAGATCAATCCGAGGGCGTCAAGTGCTGACTTGCGAATTTCGAGTGGCTTGGAGGGTGCTACGAGAGGTGCTAGCTTCTCGATCGCAAGCATAGGAACTGAATCGCCCTTCCACTTAGGAAACTTGGTTTTGAAGATGGAAGTCCAGTCGTCCAGTTTGCAATGCTTCGCAATCATCCCGATGATCAGACTGTACCCATAGGTAAGCGTGATCGCAGTTTGGTCTATGGGTCTCGCTTGTATCTGATCGAGTTTGATCATGCTAGATAGCAGGCCACTCACTAGAGGGGTATACACGTTCAGGAGGCCACAAACGACCTGTGTACAAGCAACCAGATCATCCAAGGGGTTTCGCTGGTTAACCTTGGACAGGGCTTTCAACAGATAGTTGCGCACCTCAGAAAGAAATTCCGTATGAACGCTAGATAGAGTGGGCAACACCCGGCGATAGATGATGGTCACATGTCGGAAGGCAACCAGCTCTTCAGGCTTGGAGAAGTTGGCAAGATGTGGCTTCAAAAGACGGATCTGCTCGAAGTTGAACAACTTGGGCTCGGCATTTGCAAAGATGGTAAGCACTTGTAACGCATCGCGACCAGATGGAACTGTTGGGTCATCCGTATCAAGGTTGTCGATCAGACTAAACATATTCGCGACAAGCTTGGTACAGACCGTAAACGGCCCGCTCAAAGATTTATCTTTGGGCTTCAAGATTGAGCGAAACACTTTGTCGAGCATCTCGGTAACAGTGCCGGACTTAACCGTTTGGATGACGAGTGAAACGTGCTCGTTGAGCGATGTTTGGTACACGGCGGTCCCCTCGTCTTGATAAAATGGCGTAAACCAAACCTCCTCGATCATCTGGCGGGCCAGATCGCGAACACCTTCATCCGGATCTTGCACTCGACGCAGTAACCCATTCGCTATCATACTACGGAGTGTCTTGCTTGGGTTGCGAAGATAGATATCCCGAGTAAGCTTCATAGCGCGCTTCCGTACACCTAGACCGTTATCTTGGAACCGGTTGACGATCATTGGTGTGAGCGATGTTTCCAGGCGAGGTCGCATAGTCATGCAGTTACCAAGCAATCCGAGAGCAGAGTCTCGCACTTGTATAGACGAATCTCCAGCGCAGTCTAGTATCAGGTCAATGACGGTCGAGTCGCCATCCAAGATTGAGGGATCGGTCTCCAAAACTTGGTTAACACTCTTTAGACTTCTACTCCGGACTGTGGCCTGATCACTGGCCATAGAGCTAAGGAGGATGTTGAGAATCTTACTAAAAGCTTCACAAAGAGGTGAGCGCAGTAGAACGATTGAGTACGACAGTTTGGCTTGTGCTGTCGAAACGGTCTTGAATGTGTACTCGTTGACAAGCCATCTGCGATCCTCAATCATCATCCTCAAACGATAAGCTAAGCGTCCAAGTTCCTCATCTCGCTCATCGTCTCCTTCTTGGTAAGTGTCGTAGCCATTGTGTACCTGGGACGCCCAACCGGCAACCAGAAACGAGATAGCACTTGATAAGTGGGGATCTTCGTTACTTCTGTTCTGAACATGCTCCAGGACAACTCGGTATGGTCCCGTCCAGGCAACAAGCTGTTCCACACGAGTTTTGTGCTCTAAAGATTGATTGGCAATATCAGCAAGATATCGGGATATGTCATCAGCGTCATTGCCCTCGAAAGAGCTCGTGAGTCTCTGAACATGAGAACGAAGACGGGAGATAGCAGCACTCAATCCTCCCAACAACTCCAAAGCCATGTTCTTCGCTGGAGCAGCAGTCTTGGGAGCCTCGAAAAGCTGTACCATCATAATCATTAAGAGGCGAAGCAGTAGTTCAGCTGACGGCCAGTCTGGCGAGTCAAGACAAGTGGTGAAGTCCTCTACGAAAAGATCAAGAAGGTTTCGGTAAGGGGTATCTCCAGATTTGGTGGAACCGACTGCACGCTTGATAATGAAGCTTATCACGTACGAGGCATTGCGCTGCGCCGCGTCAGAGAGTGGAGCAACTGAAATCTCGAGATCTTTGATCGCAACAGCGTGTTGTTTGGCGCCTTGCACCTCACTCTTAATGGAGGAAACAAACTGCTTGACCCCAGAGGGTTCGCGATCGTCACCATCATCGGAACCCTCTTCCTCCTCCCCGTCGATGTTTCGCAAAAGCTTGTTACGATTCCGCTTCTTGTTGTTATCCACTCGCCCAGAGCTGGCTTGGACCAGCCTCATGATCAAAGCAGAGACAGGTTGAATACTTCCTCCATCTGAAAGTTTAAATTGGCGAGCGCTCTGCTTCCCAACCGGCAGCTTTTCGAGAGACGTAAGAATTTCATCAATGATGCCTTGACGCTGCTCAGGTTTGATCAGGAAAATTTGGGAAAGCATGTCCATTGCAACAGACCGAAGTCCGTCAAACTTTTGAACTCCCACCACAGAATCTTTCTCGAAGTATGCATTCTCCAAGAAAATGAGACGGGAGGACGTGTATTCAAGCGAGTTGATGACGGATTCTGAGAGCTCAATCTTGGTCACGAGTTCCGCAAGTAATGCAAACAACTTCTGGCAGCAGAGGAAGACGGTTGTAATGGGTTTCTTGTTCTTCGAAAGCAGCTTGAAAACGCCTGAAGCGGGTCCTGATGGCCGAAGTTCCACAAGAGGCATGACGATATCCTCAGTAACCTTTCTGAAAATATCCACGCTCCTCTGAATGACACTTTCTGAGTAAAGTTGCTTGTCCTCTCGTCCACCCGAGAGAATGCGAAGACAAGTACGAGCTGACTTCAAGATTGTCTCCACCTCTGAAAGCTGTTGTGTCCATGCGTCGACGGCATCCTCATTCCAGCTCTCGTCAATGCGTATCTCCAGATTTTCAACTTGTTTCAATCTGGCATCACTCAGTCTCATGACATGGGCCAAATGTTCTACGGGGACCTGATCGAAACACTTGAGCGTGATCGTCTTCTGAATCGCACCATGCATCTTCTGTTGAGAAGAGGCGGTCATAGCAACCTCTTGATCAGGTGTCATGGAGACGACTTCTTCCTGGCCCGGTTCGCCTGCAAGCGCTCGCCCTACTGAGTTGAAGACAGTGCGTACAAGCTTGTCAAGCGCGTGGAGAGCTGCCTCACTACGCTGCCGTTGATCGAGGCTCTCCCCAAGAAGATCCTGGCTATCGGAGTAGCCTTGTTGGCCTTGCTTTCGGACAGATAGATGATGAGGGTCTTCCGGCCTCTCTTCGACCTCGATGTATTCCTCTCGGTTGATATTCGCACGATGAAGTTCAATTCGAAATGCGCCATTCTGATTAACATCTGTAGCAGTGTCGGCAGGAGATTGCACTATTGGCTCTGAAGGTAGAGACAAGGGCTGTGCTTGTTGTTGCTGGCGTTGTTGTTGCACATGACGGGCTGCAGGAGCCTCCTGCTGGGGCATATCCTTCACATCGACATATGCAGATGGATCGAACTGTCTCTTGGACGGTATAGCAACTTCGATTCTGATAGAGTTTGACTTGTGTGCCTGGGAATTATGGGCTGGTAGGTTATGCGGTTGTGGAGGATTTGGTGAGTTGATCGAGGACGAGCGTTGCTTGGGTGTCGAGTGACCTCCAGCTTGGCCGTTGAGTTGTTTAGTCTCGGAGATGACAGGTTTCGTCGTCTTGAAGTAGCCTCCCACCTTATCGAAGACACTTCTTGTAATCGGCGACAAGTCTCCAATAAGGCTCTTGCCATTTGAAGGGGTTGAATTCGTTCTTGAAATGGTCGTGAACTTGCTATTGGTCGGTCAGAATATCATACATGCAATGCGCAACAGGCTTCTCGTACTAGTGCGTTCGCTGACTGGGCTTAATGTCTTGCAGGACATGGTCCACGGCTTGTTTGACGTTGCGCGGCATCTGGGCTTGGCCGGCGGCTTCCCTGTTCAGGCTATCGAATTCGTGGAATTGAAACAAGTCGGTCAAAGGAAGAGCAGGAGAACCGGAACCTAGGACGGGATCGGGGATGATGTCTGGCAGATGTCAGTATGGGGGCATGTCGAAAAAAGGAGACGGCGGACCAGAAATGAAGGGAATCGTCGAGGTCTGTGGTGAGTAAGGAAGCGATTCTTGTAATGTGAACGGTCGAGTAATGGCAGGACCGGTGTTTTCAGTCCCCGTTTGAGCAAACTGCCCATTCGGGAGGGCCCCGTGCTTGTTGGGATGCATGTTGTTCATTCTCGCACGCGGGAAGGCGATTCATCACATAGCTAGGTTCGAAAGGAAGGAGCAAACGAGCGACGGCGCATCGGAGGTTCGCAGATAGAATAGCGTTGGATGCGGATCAATAGACACGCTACGAGCGCGTATTCGTCGAGATTGTTCCCGCTCGATGCATACGGATGGAGTTGCTGTGGTTGAGGCTCCGGGGAAAATAACGGTGTGAATTAAATGCAGCTAGGCATTGTTGTCCACTCTATGGAGTACTAAAGTGAAAGTAAACGGCGAGGTCGAAGCCTGGGAAACCAACGGAAACCAACACGGTCAGCCTCGCGAGCTTGAACTTTCCTTGGATGTTTGGAAGGCACTAAATGGTCTGTGCGCCAGGAACGATGCCAATCACTGTTCATCCTGAGGCTCCACTGTGGCCTGGTTTTTCCGAAGGACCCTTGCGCCTTCCGTTTGTGCCTATGATAGCTGGGCCAATTTTTGTCTTTGAATTTGTTTGTCTCGCGCATTTTCCTTGTTAATCAATAAGCACTTCGATCGTGAAAAAGCTAACCCAACAACACACAATGGCTGCGATTGGAACTCTGGTCTTTTGTACCGACTGTGGTAACCTTTTGCCTACGACAAAAGGAACCCAACGAAATGTCCTGCACTGCGAGTGCTGCGGCGCCGAAAATCGAGGTTTGTACACTGTAGGCGATGTTTGACGACATGTCTAATTCTATGCGCAGATACCGGCTCCAAGGTTACCGTCGCGCAAACGAAGCCCTCCGATTTCCCTTCGTTTTTGAGACAAAAGTTGCAGTCGAGCGTCCAAGCTGTCGAGAAGCATAACGTGCAAACCGAAAGCACTGCGTTCGAAACATGCCCTAAGTGTGGTCGTGAAGAGGTCAAGTACACCACCGTGCAACTCCGCGGCGCCGACGAAGGTTCAACGGTCATTTACAACTGTGAATGCGGCAACTCGTAAGAAACCCAGAACCCTTCTATTGATATAATCTTAACAGTCTACTTTTTAGGTGGCATGAAAACAACTAGACGTAAATCTCGACAATGCGAGCGCATTCATAAATTACACAGCAGCTCCTGCCGACTCGGGGATCAAAGCGTATTCAGCCTCTCCACCCTTCTCATACTCAGCCATATCGAGCGCAACGATGCAACTCTCTCGAACGACCTTTTCCTTGTCGTGGAGGAATTTTCTTAGAGTATCTTCAACGCCCTCTTCTTCGCCTAGACTTCCCAGTGCCTCGGCCGCCTCGTGTCGAACCATACTGGCCTCGTTGACGTTGCTCAGCGCTTCAGTAAGGGCAGGAATAGAAGCGGGATGTGAAAGTTGGCCGAAAACAAAAGCGATCTCGTGGCGGAATAGGGCGGACGAATCGGCAAGGCCCTTGGCAAGAGCGAGGACAGCGGGGACAGCAGTTGGCAGGTCGGGGGGCGAGGCCAGGTCTCGCAGGGCGAACATGGCACGGTAACGGACGAAGAGAGGTGCGCTTGTGTCCATGAGCTTTCGGCCAAGCTCTTCAACCTCTGCTTCCTTGTCGGACTCAGGCATCGGGGGCGCAGGATCGATAGAGGCAAAGTCACTAGAATACAAGTTAATTAGGGGCAACCCCAAGATATGATTTTACGAACCTAGGGCGCAACTTCTCCTTTTGTCGCTCCTCTGAATTCTCCCACTCAATACGCTCGATGGCAATCTCGCAGGTCTCGATGATGCTGATGTCCTCATCTTTGCGATCTCTGTATTCACGGAGAATGTCCAAGTTGTTTGCCCATCCGAGAGCACCAAGGGCTTCGGCGGCTTCGTGGCGGCACATGGGGTCCTCCTTCAGATCGGCGAGAACCTGTCGGAGAGGCTTGACGGCAGCAGAGTTGCCAGTTTGACCGAGGCAGTATGCGAGTTCATGCTTCAGAAGGGCGGAAGGCGAGCTAAAGCCGGCGGCGATAGCCTCGATGGCTGCGACTCGGGTGGCATCATCGTCCGAGGTGGTCGCAACGTGCTTCAAAGAGAAGAGAGCGCGGAATCGGATAGGGAGGGGCGTGTCCTCGGAGCAGACGGATTTCCTCAAGCTCAGAACCGTAGAGTCGGCCGAGTTAGAGATCTCTGGGCTGTCAGCAGAAGGCGACATTTTTGTAGTATAGAATACGAATAGTTCGTGATGATCGCAGTCTTCTCCGAATCGGCTCAGAATAAAATCTTCGCGGGGTCCTGCTTATCTTATCTCAGCGTAGATCGAATACCCCGCCACCTGAAGTTTTCTGAGTTTTTATTAGGCGCCATAACCTTTAATCCTGGCATTTCTCTTATACTCTTGCTCATTAAGACCCTGCCAGCACTTCTTATATTGTTATAATACCCTTTGTAACTCCATATAACTAGCATATAGGGGTTTCTGCATAAGTTTTATCCCAATCGGACTACTTGACCGTGTTACGCCTAGTAATCCCACACCTAAGACACTGCGGTATGGATATCCGCTTAGTAGAAAACTGCATTCATTAATACCAGCGTCTTACTTTACACAACAGCCAAATTGACGGTAACAAGCTTGCAATATCCATTTAAAAGCACATAAATATCGTTTATCAAAATAGTTCGGTATCTTGATACGCTCAAGTATCTGTTACTCCGCGGGGCTTTTACTGCACATCGCCCAACGCTTGCTAAGCAACGAATCAGCATAAACGCTTAATACTTACCCTAGGATCAAACACCATATTATCTCAGTGAACCCAACCTTGGTTCAACTTGACTTCTCTCAATCATTTTTCGCTCGTACACGATATCTCGACCTAAAAAACTGGCCTTCAATCTCTGGATCAATTTAAGTTGTTGTCCTTCTCATTCTTTGGATAACGCTATCATACAAATTGCGCAAGTGCAATTATTAAGCTTCGGCGCTCTGATCGCCACCTCCGACTCACTTCTACCGACTAGAAGCAATCTCTCTCTCATCCTCACTTCACAACAATCATGGCACCTTCACTTGAAGCCCCAGAACCCGTGGACGACGTCTTCGCCAACCCTATCAAGCAGAAGCCACAACTCGTCGCCCCGGAGCCTCAGAACTGTGTCGGCCCCGATTCGCAACAGGCCGGTAAAGCGGACTCATGCGCCGGGTGTCCGAACCAAGCAATCTGCGCATCAGCGCCAAAGGGTCCAGATCCTGATATTCCCATCATCTCTGCGCGGTTGGAGAATGTCAAGCACAAAATCCTCGTGCTGAGTGGCAAGGGCGGCGTGGGCAAGAGCACTTTTACGTCGCTTCTAGCACATGCCCTTGCGACAAATCCGGATAATACCGTGGGCATCATGGACACTGATATCTGCGGACCAAGCATCCCCAAGATGATGGGAGTTGAGGGTGAGACGGTGCACGTTAGCGGTACAGGATGGTCACCTATTTGGGTCATGGACAACCTTTCTGTGATGAGTATCCAATTTCTACTGCCGAACCGGGACGATGCTGTCATTTGGCGAGGCCCCAAGAAGAATGGGCTGATCAAGCAGTTTCTCAAGGACGTGGAATGGGGCGATCTTGACTTTTTGCTAGTCGATACACCTCCTGGCACAAGCGACGAGCATCTCAGCGTGAACTCATTCCTCAAGGACAGCGGAATTGATGGTGCAGTCATGGTTACAACACCGCAAGAAGTATCACTCCTAGACGTACGAAAAGAGATTGATTTCTGCCGCAAGGCCGGTATCAGGATATTAGGTCTCGCAGAGAACATGAGTGGCTTCGTCTGCCCTAAATGTTCGAACGAAAGCCAGATCTTCAAGGCTAGCACAGGAGGAGGGCGCGCACTGGCCGAAGAGATGGGCATTCCCTTCCTGGGAGCAGTACCTCTGGACCCAAGAATTAGGATGGCTTGTGACTACGGAGAGAGCTATTTTGACTCGTTCCCAGACAGTCCGGCGTGCATCGCGTTTCAAGGAGTAGTTAAGAATGTCGCGATGCAGCTGGGTCTGAATACGCAGGATGTGCTGCCGGACGAGTAGGCAGATCTCTTAACGTTACGCTTTTATGTAGATAATGATATATGGATTTCCCTGCTTGTATGCGTGTCTCGGTTATTCCGACTTGAGCTTGTCAGGGATCTCCTCCAAATCATCCGCTGACTCGATATCAATGATTCGTCCGACTTCAGCGGTGTTGCGCATCAACTCTTTGGAACCGGCGTAGAGCATTCGGATCTCAGCGTTACATGTAACGGGGAGGTAGAAGATAAGCACATATGGTACAGATAACCGTCCGTCACCCTACGCATGTGTTAGTACCATATCGTATGTTTCCGGTGTATATTGGATCGACGCACCATAGTCAGGGGGTAGCTGAGGAGGATGAAGCGAGGAGCATGGTCGGGAAGGTCTTCGGCTACCTCGTCGAGAGAGGTGTAAACGGTCTTGTCTTCGTCTTGTCGGATCTCGTAGGTGTTCTTATCGATCATGTCTAAAAAGGAATGGTCAGTAGGAGCGCACGAGGACATGGACAACCAAGTCACATCAGCCAGAGACGTACATACAAATAACAGCTTGAGGGCCCTTAGCTCGAGAGGTAGTAAGGCGAAACTTTCGGAGATGGTCCTTGGATTCTCCAGAGAAGGTATACAATCGCGATTCGGACGACTGCATGCATTGTGTCAGCAGACGGGTCAAGGACCATGAAGAGGTCAATGAAGAGGACGGGTGAGTAATTGTACCATGTTGAAGCTTCAATGGAGTTTTCAGAGAGTGAAAAGGCTATTTGTAGCTACCTTATTATGAAGCTGTGATAGTTGCGAATACCTGCGTATAGTAGTTATCAGGCAACCTGAGTTGGTGAAGCCCAAAGCCCCGCCAAATGCTGGACTAGCACCCCCACATTGATCATTGTCCCGCCATCGACTAGCCGAGTAAACGTCATCTAAGCTGCTGAGCTTCCTCCCTAGCCAATTCTTCCAGACAACATCCATTTGGATAAATAGAAAAGACCTGCATATCGGCCTTTTATTCTTTCGACTCTCAGCATCTGGCACAGCACTTGACCTGGATTATTATCCATGTTCGCCCGCATCTCTCAGATTACAAGGCATCTCTCAACTCCTGTCGCATACAACACCAGACGATTTGCCTTGGCAAGAATGGCTCCTATATCGGCGGACGAGCGCAACTCGCGCACTATCTCTACAGCTGCCTGTTTGATCATTGGCGATGAAGTTTTGGGTGGAAAGGTATAGTAGTTGAGACGACTCATTGTTCTTTTTCATATTGTATAGTATGCTAATAGTATGAACTTAGACTGTTGATGTAAGCAATCCTGAGATAGGGTCATAGACTGTATTGACCCGAATAGACCAACTCGGCCTACTTTGCCAAATGGTGCTTTAACCTCGGAATTGTAAGTCATAATCTCATCAGCGAGCATGAAATAGTACTCAACAATTGCAGAACCTGAAGCGGATCGAGGTTATTGAGGACGATGAGGGTGAGATCGTCGAAGCCGTTCAGAGAATGAGTGACCGCTACGATTTTGTCGTCACAAGGTAAGTCTCCAGCAACACCGTCAACGCAGGATATAGCTAACATGCATCAGTGGTGGAATTGGACCTACGTAAGAACTCAGAATCCTCAGCCCTGCACTCACTAACATCTCAGGCACGACGACATTACTTATCAATCTATCGCCAAGGCGTTCAACCTGCCTCTGAAGCTGCACGAAGAGACCTACGAAAAGATGAAGCTACTATCAAAGCCCCAGCCCAACCAACCCAAGTTCGATTGGGATGTTGACTCACCAGCCAAGAGGGCAAAGCTTCGTATGGCTGAACTACCCACAGACGAATCCCGAGATCTTAAGCAGCAGGCCCTATTTCCTCACGAGGACCTCTGGGTTCCGGTGTCAGTGGTCAACGGAAATATCCATATCCTTCCGGGTATTCCCAGGCTCTGTGAGTAATGCTCCGGGCTATTCTTGCTGTCTGCTAACCAGTAACAGTCCAGAGACTTCTTGAAGGACTGAAGACTCATATCCTACCGCGACTCACTGACCCTGATGGCAAGGGTACACATAGAGTATTGTTCTCCACGCCCATTCCTGAGAGTGGTGTTGCCGAGTTCCTCACAAATTTGGCCGCTAAGGTTGGGCCCAAGGGTGTCAAAGTCGGAAGCTATCCTCGCTGGGGCAAGAACAACAATACAGTTACTCTTGTTGGAAGGTAATGAAGAGCATCACGCCCTTTGGTAATTGATATACTAACACTGACGCAGGGACTTGGACTACCTCGAGAGTCTTGTTGACGAAGTGGAAGCTGGAATCCAAGGCTTACGAGTCACCGCCGAGAGCGACGGAGAAGAAGACCCGAAGCAGATAAAGAAGAAGGCGACTGAAGACGCAGACAAGGATACAGCAGAGAAGGTTGTTGAGAAACCTTGAGAAGTCTTGAGAGCTGCCTCTTAAGTCAGTCGACTATTGATAGGTGGTGGTGGCCTTGGCCACAGTTACATCCGTTGAAACGGCCGTAGAGAGCCGCCATTGGCTAGATGGAATGTTTGGTCGATATCCTTGGATATATGTAAACCGTTACTATAGATATTCAGAGTTGCAGTCTGCTAATGGCGCACGGTCTTGAAACTTTCGGTGATTAAACGGTCGATCAAGACAGGTTTCTTTCAAAGAGGCCATTGTTGAGTAGGTAGCTATTGGATGTCTGTACGTTATCTCAAAGTAGGAATTTTGCCAAGAATATTCGCGCAGACCCTTCCTGCGAGGCGATCAAGCTGCGAATATTGTTGAAAGTATCGAGAATATTGAATACTGAGCCGAGATATGACGATAGCTACCACATCAGTCATTTGTTGCCAACACATAGCGCATGTGGTGTCGTGCATCCTGACACAAAGTTTGAATAGCAAAAGACATGCTAGGTTCCTGTCACATCTCACAGATTTTAGGGCTGGCCAGCTTCAAGCAACCGAGATAAGACACCGGAGCGGAGTTCTGTCTCATTTCCTAGGCCTGAGGGGTTGTAACGTAGTATCAACGCATCAACCTGAGAACTTTGCTTGCTCAAGATGGCAAGTCATAGCACTTGAAGTATGAAGATTGGGGTTGGCGGCGATTTCATTGCCATTGTTTTGCAGATCGCTGCACGAACACTGTCGACGAGACGCATGCGCGTGGGAAGATATGCACCTCGTGAAATGGCACGCTGTGTTCGGAAGCTGACTCGAGACTCTCTCTCTAGGAAGAACCTGGGGTGCGTTGAAGACCAGGGGTTGAGGTGGAGCAACAGCACCGTTTTGACCCTGCTGGGCACATCATTGTTAACGGTGATAGCAAGGCTCGTGACATGATCGGCGCTGAGATCAGACTCAGAGGTTGTACCCTTGGACACACGGGTCTACAGCAAAAGGCGGAGATTGAAATATGTCGTGACGGGCGTCTTGGCGTCTAAAGCTAGGCCATCGAGTAATCTGCCGAACCGAAAAAGGGGCTGTTGCTATTACGAAGGCCAAGACTCAAGAGACGAGCTCGAGACCAAGTGGACCACAGACTGTGGAGACGGGTATAAGCACGAGCACGAAAGACGTCATTTCATTCTAGAAGCCGACAAGAGAGATAAGTAGTCCGTAAGTAGGTAGTCATAGTAATCCACTGCAGTTGAAGGTGATTTACTGCCTGGAGTGTTGTATATAGCAAGCTGCGTATATGGTTTTATTGTATACAGGCCATTCGGCTGAAAGAAGAGAAAATACCGGTCGTTCAGTGACACCTTAGATGGGTTAAATGTATTCATCCAGAAACCAATCTCCGTAGCTTTTTTTTTATAATAACGATGGTGATGCTTAATTGTCGAGATGGTGTTGGTTCATGGTTATTTGATAATTAAACTCCAATCACGTGCATGGCTGCAGCTTTGACAGGACCCCACACTTGCATTACAAAGTCTCGACCCGCCTCGCATCACATTCTCTCTCCTCAAGCATCGTCCTCTACAACGTTGCGCTTCCATGCTACAAACAGATATTCCATGCTACAAACAGATATTCCATGCTACAAACAGATATCTTGCCCCCGGCAAACTATCAAGACCCTTTTCGTTCGCGAGAGCGGTCAACCCCTCGCATGTGAGAAATTCGGAGCATCTCTCCAACCCGCACCGCACCTGGTTCCCTTCGGGGGACTGGCTGGTGGTGTACATACAGCAGTCGCTCGCTTACCAAAAGTGAGAAGGACGTGTCTACCCGTGAGGGTCCAGCGCCAATCGGCGCTCGCAATAACAGGCATCAGAAATAGCAGGGCCTCACAGGTTCGGCTTCGGCTGCTCGTCTGATTTCCTATGGGAAAGCCGTTGCGGAGATTGTGGTTGAACACTTGAGTGCAATGCGCGACGTGGCTACGGCCATAATTCAATTCCGATCATTCTTTAGAGGACGATGCTTCACCCTACTTTTTTCTCGGGTATGCGTTTATCTATTGGCTGTCCTGGAGCAAGGAATACTACTAATGATGGCGTGTCTCGAATCTAGGGAAGAGCCGTGCGGGCATAGCAGATTGCCAAGCGAGTATGCTATGCCTGTAGTCAAGGTTCGCAAATGATAGCCGCTCTGTCAATCCGTGACTTTCTACGGAGTAACTCGTTTCCCAAGTGTCTCTAGGCGATCAGTAGATGTTCTTGTGCCTGGCAGGTGCTGTTGTTCTCCCTAGCCCATTTGCTTGACCGAGCCGAAGCGATGTCCTCCGAAACATGGTTCACCTCATGACATGCGTAAAGGGTTGCTCAGGGTATGTATTATGTCATGTGCCGTGAGTAAAATTCGTGATTGGTTTTCCTGGCTATATCAAGTATCACAAACTAAGTTCAAGTGTCAGTTCGAGATCAGGGATCAACCCCCACGGCTAAATTGATGTGACGACATCTGATAAGTGTGAAGAAGCCCACGTCAAATATAGAGGTTGTCTAGTCTTGTCAATCTGAGACATGGCACTTTAGCCCGCTATCACTTGCCTGGCAACATCGGATTGCAACCTTATATCCGTATATCAGAACGTAATGCGAATACTGCGAGATAGTAGTTACCTTTATCATGATACATTGAGGTTTACCCGCGTGGCTACCCATGCACTTCTATTTGAGCCCCCACCAAGCGTTGATCGGATCTTCTCGCCTTATTGTCCTACCGTCGCATCTTCAGCAATGTCAAACACGCCAAGGCTAGTGGTACAACGTAACGTGCCGTGTTGGTGCCGTCGTTCACCTTACTCAAATGGCTGGCGACTACGACATTGAAGATGGATGTGACTATGTCTCCAGGCATGACAAAGACGGGAGCTACAGAGGTGGTGAAACTGCTGGTCTAGAATCATTGAGATGCGAAAGGACTTGAATGTATCTATGCACACTCCATATAGGGTGAGTCTTTGGTATAGCTTATCACGCTGTGAGAGACTACTAGGTACATATTACATGAGCATAGCATAGTGGACTAAGTCTTATGCTATTATATAGCCTGCCTTTTTCGTTGTGCGATTCCGTTGCAGATTAAGACATGAAGCCGGCGACAATTGAATTGTCATGATAACATTTAAGCAATTAGTATCGGCCTGGCAAGCCGTTATCACGCATCATAGTCAATATAACCGAGACAAAAGACAAAAAGACGGCCGAAGATCCCTCTGGCCACCCTGGCAGCCTGGGCACCTTTTCGTTAAGGTCCGGTCATAGTTCTGGGTCTTGGACTCCGAACTAGACTGCTTAAGATTAGGAGCATCGGAGCTTGTCCAGCTTGTCACCCCATTAATTAGTTCCCCAGGCCCAGGGGCACGGCGATGGGACGGGGGTGGGATCTAGAGCTGAGTAAGGGGCCCAGAGCAGAGAGGCTGATCCGCATCGGATCGAGGTATGATGGATTGGAGATGGTCATTGGAGGGATGAGCTAAGAAAGGCTTTCTCCGTCCCCTTGGTGCCTGGTGCTTGGCTTGTTAGTTGTTAGTTGTTGGCTGTGTCTTGATACCAGGTGTAACTAGTCTTTTGGAGGTGTTGGCGCTTGGGCCAGGAGTAGGCATGTCAATGGGCCATGATCCATGGATGGTAATTGTGAACGTGAACTGCTAATAAGTGACTGCTCAATTGTCTGTGCGAGTGTAATAGGTAGACAATCCGGATGGATAGACGGAGCAATTATCTCGTCTTGTCTGCTGTGGACTGGTCTGGCTTATAAGTTGTGGAATAATGTCTGGGTTACCAGGGAAGAAAGCAAACAAAAGATGGAGAAAAACGGCAATCGCAATGATATGGTCGATGAATGAATGATGGGCGATGGATTGGATGGTCGGCCTCATTTACACTTTGACCGAAAAGGCCCGGGGGAAGGACCAGGACCATGACCCTGACCTTTGAAGATCCAGGGGGGGTTCAGTGGGCGTGTGCCTTGAAGAATCGACTCCATTCTCTGGGCATTCTCCATTTTACTTGTGCTTTAGCGAGTAAGGTAAGACGATGAGATGGGGTTGGAAGAAGGGACTAATTTGTTCTACGAACTGTAGCTTAAAAAGAAGCGTGGAATAACTGTTAAGTTGGTCTTTTAAGATTCGACTTGTCACGAAAAAGACAAGAGTGGGAGAGAGAAAGATGAGGCTTGACCATGGGCCCGTCTGCCCTGGGTTAGCCGTTGAGGATCTGCATCCTCGTTGCCCATAGCTGTTATTGTCGGTGACCAGTAGTATGGTGTTGTGATGAAATATGAATCGATTGTGAGGAGAAAAAGAGTAAAGACCCTGGCAACTTGGCAGGCAAATTAATACATTCAGGGACCTTATTCCCTTGCCCCCTATTTCACTTATATCACCAATTTTTCACCTCACTTACGGAGTACTTCGTCCACCACTGTTGCCACCCCCTTTGTGTACAGTATATCCGGATTGCAGCATCATTGCGGAAGGGATACGTCGTTTGTGGCACGAGAGGCCATCGACTATAGCACGTACATACGTACACACGTACAGTGCTGCGCTGTACTGCACATGTGGAAACACAAGCACGCGGATACGGTGAGATAGCTACGCAAAGACGTGCAGGAAAAGATGCACAATCAACTGCATGGCACGCTGCAAGTGTGCGTACGATTGGTAGAGCAGACGCAGCCAGCCGCTGCCCTTGCAGAAAGTTAAGATACCTACCTGCAGAACGGAGTACATATGGAGGCCAGCAACTGAGGGGCCGGCCGGACAAGGTACTAACCTATTAATCGATCAATCAATCAATCGCGAATCACTAAAAAAGCATGGAGCTCTCTTCTCTTGCTTCAACGGCAACGGCAAAGCAAAAAAACGCAATAGCAAGGGTCTTTTCAAATGGGGGATCCATTGCCTTTGCCTTTACTTTTGCTTTTGCTCTCGCTTGAGCTTGCTTGAGCTTGCTTGCCCCACGCAATCTTTTTAGTGTATCCGTACTTTCGTACTCTGTACGGATACACCTTGCCTTTGAGAAAAAAAGACGCCCCTCCTCAAAAAGAGTTCCTGAGAATCGATTATCTGAGCTGGTGAATGGCCAATGGAAGATTACAGATACTGAATCGCTGCTGTCACTCAGGTATGGTCTCCATCATGAGTCGAAAAAGAGACGGAAGGGACCGAACATCTAGACTTTTCTCTCTTTTTAGTTTCTTCTAGGATCTCTGCTGATTCACTGCTACCAGATGACGATTTGGTTCAGTCTCATTTGTCAAACCATCGCTACCTGTCCTCCGCCATCTAACTAACACACCGAGGGTCTAAAGACTCACTAGTTTTCTTCTTCTGCCATTCACCTGGGACTCAGAGACCTTATTTAAGTCGGTATGCAGGCAGGTATGGTCAGCGGCGCCTCCAGACATTATGGCAGGACAGCAAAAGACACATGATAGGTTCGTGTCATGACTTCTCACGCCAACAACATAGTAATGGCTTCTAGCTAAAGCCACAGCCGGGCACGGGTGCTGTATTTCTAGATTCCGTAGAAGGGCATTCATATTGATTCATTCGTTCGTTCATTCATTTACGCGTGGCTCCTCTACGTTAGTGAATGTATCCAACCACTGGATTGGATCTGGCCATTGCTCAACTCTGGTCAACTAACTTAGAGCCTAAGTTAGAGGCTGGGCTTTATCGACCCTAGCGACCAATCCGGCCATCGGATGCTAGGCCATCCTATCCACTGGCACGACGGGAACGGGAAGTCTCCAGTGGTCAACCCACCCAACCATATCCGTAATTCATTTATTATCAACCTTTCTCAGCGCTCGGAAGCGCCCAGAGAGATGGGTATTGCAGCACCAAGAGAATTGAAGTTCTCAATGGCTGGAAGATGGCAGCTGGCTCACTGATTGATTGACCCTAAGACTCTCTGTTCGCCAATTATGGTAAACATGTACATCGGAAACTTAACTCATCACAGGTCAAGCAAAGAACAAGCAACCGCAAACACCCAGCAAGCGCAACAAATAACACTACCTAGGTGTGAGGAGGTTGCTGGTACACCATCTATCCCCTGTAATCATGCCTACCAGATAGTATTCAATACTTTCTTTCCCTTCTCCCCTCAGCTCATTCCTCTCAATCCATAGACGCCCCCTCCCTCTACCGCCCCTTCCCATCAACTTAGTACTTACTCCCCCTGTTCGCCCTCCCCTTCAAGGATGTTTTTCCTACCCTGGCTATTCGACCTTTTCCCCTTTCAGGCCCTGTTCCCCTTCTTCTTCTCTCTTTACTACCCTCGACTCCCTCTGCTTTGACCTTTTTTTTCGAGCCCATTTGGTCCATTCGAATCGTCCGTCTCTCTTTCTCCACACATTCAGAGCTACGTTAGAATCCGCTCGCCCCAGCGGCAAATCGTTCATTCTCTCTCTTCCTTTGTTCTTTGCATCGTCGAGACTCCAATCAACCTCCTCCAACTCCCATCTCCGCCCATCGTCTTCGGTCCTTCGCCCTTGCAGTCCAATACTCTCGCGATCACCGGTTTCAATCAAATCACGACGACTCGTCCCCAGCAAGGAATATTCACACGAAGCGCAACTTGAACTCTATTCACAATGGCTGCGAACACAAAGGTACGACACGCGGAACAACACCATCTCCTGCGCACCTATCGTCGAACTTTCACACCTTGTTTCCGGCGACCGCTACTCGCGTACGATCGTGTTGCTAACTATTTTCCCAGTTCATGCGAGAGTACAAGCTCGTCGTTGTTGGCGGTGGTGGTGTCGGTAAATCTTGCTTGACCATTCAGTTGATCCAGAGCCATTTCGTCGACGAGTACGATCCCACAATCGAAGGTTGGTAAATCCCAATCGCAATCGCGCGATAATACATCGTACCATATTTCACACACTAACCATTGACAAACTCTAGACTCTTACCGAAAGCAGTGTGTTATTGACGAAGAGGTCGCTCTGCTCGATGTTCTCGATACAGCCGGTCAGGAGGAGTACAGCGCTATGCGCGAGCAGTACATGCGAACCGGAGAGGGTTTCCTACTAGTCTATTCCATTACTTCGCGACAAAGCTTCGAGGAAATCACCACCTTCCAGCAACAGATTCTACGAGTCAAGGACAAGGACTACTTCCCCATGGTCGTTGTTGGTAACAAGTGCGATTTGGAGGGCGACCGAGAGGTGACACGACAAGGTATGTTACTTCATGATTCTGATTAAAGTATCAATCACTAATAACCGCATAGAGGGAGAGGCACTGGCAAGATCATTCGGCTGCAAGTTCATCGAAACCTCCGCCAAGTCCCGAATCAATGTCGACAAGGCCTTCTACGATATCGTGCGAGAGATCCGAAGATATAACCGCGAGATGCAGGGTTACTCGACTGGCAGCGGCGGTACCTCGGGCGCAAACGGACCTCCCAAGCCCATGGATATGGACAACGGCGAGCAAGAAGCTGGATGCTGTGCCAAGTGCGTGCTCATGTAAACGGATATACTATGTGAGGGCATGAGACGTACATGCCGCGACAAGAGAGGATGTGACCGGCAAAAGACACCCGCCACGCTCGGGTTCTGCCGACCGCATGCGGTATGATGTGAGGATGCAATTTAACCAGCAGGCTTTGGGAAGAGCACGGAGATAAAAGTTAATTGCATCGGACGGGAGTCAGGTTTTGAGTTCGCATTCATGTTTGAATTGGACGCAGCCTACGGAGATACCCAGCGACGTGGGAAAAAGGACCTGGCGTGCCTACGACATGAGATGTCTTTGTGAGTAAGGCCCATGGTTCATGCTTAATGACCCATGACCCATTGATCTATACGACATGGAACATGGCACATGGATCGGCGTTTCTCTGGAGCGGCTCGCTATTTTGAACGTTGTGGATAAGCCAAAGAAAAGGATCATCTATCTACCTACTGGAAGAGAGAAAAGGACGGTGGGAAGGGAGCTTGAGCTGGACGTTGTGTATGCAATGTAACGCCATGTGAAGCAATGCAATGCTATGCTATGCTACTCATCCCTTCCCAGGCCCTCGCGAGAGACAAACTCACCCGACCCTTTTCCTTGTTTTTGTTTTGTGCTACCGGGGAGGATGAATTTTCAAGATTAAAGTACGGCTTCTGCAGGCTCTTCTATATCCATTATTTCATACATGTAATTTTTTTCTTGCTTCTTTTACTTTTTCTTTTTTCAATCTTGTCAATCTCGAGGTCTCCTTCTCTCCAGCAGTAATGGTTCAGTCAGACAATACAAGCATACACCCTTTTTTCTTACGGTTCATGTTATCCGTCCTTGTCCCTTAAACAAAGCATTCCGACACTCTATGTTTTCAGCCACATTGCTGTTCTTGTGAAGATGAGACGGAATGCGCAGCATCAGTGTTTCCCCAGTGAGTTATTGACTATGCATGATAGGATGAATATGTGTTCCCGATTCGCGAGGTTGGTCTCACCTCATCTACATCGGTATTTGATTCCCCTTTGACAGCTGATATGTCAATCAGTATTAAGGCTAGCCTCTAGTCAATGTCTCAAACACGCCAAACCCCGGGATAACCCCTCCTGAAGCGCCCATCAGTTCCCTCAGCCATCCATCATCTCGACATCCTCCGCCGCATAAATCCTGCCTGGCACCATTCCTTGACGCGGGCCGAGAAGCTCACGCCCAATGTTCAAATTCCACAACGCCTTATCAATAACTCCTGGTTGATTACCCTCGCCGTTCTTCTCGTTCGCTACCCAGTCGTTACAGTTCACGCATGCCCATGCTGTGGGGGCGTCTGACAAAAAGCCGCCAAAGTCTGCCGATAGATTGACTTGCTCGAGAGGCTTTTGGGCAAGACAGCTGGGACACACTGCCTTCTTGAAGTGCGAAAGCCGCCATTCTTGAATCATGGCCGAGTTCTTTAGTGCTTCCTCCGCATAGTAGAGTCTGTGGAAGCGGCAGAGTGACGTTCCAAGCATTCTGTTGGCGCATGAACAGCCTGTAAGGGCCTCTGTGTCGTTTTGGAACTCGACGACACTCAATGGGTCATTCTCAAGCTTGTATGTGGTCTGGGGACGCTCCTTGTCTGCCACTACACCGTATATTCGACGAGCACCGATGACCCTGTACTGACCTGCATTCTGAGCGCTATTACTCATGTGGCCAGCACAGTCGTTGCAGAGATAAGCGCGCATGCTGAGGATTTCGCTCTCGGTGATAGGATTGTACTCATGACGGAAGAGGTCTCTGACGTTACCCTGGGTACAATCGTTGCAAATGGGAAGGTAGCCAGGCACTGTATTGCGATGGGCAAGACTCTGGCAAGTGGCTTGATCCTGCTCATTGATGTTCCAGGAGCCACAATACCCGATTCCACCCTCACCTGGCTCAGCACAACAATGCTCTGTTCTCTCACCCCTATGTTTGTAGGGCACATCACCCAAGACATCACGCCATGGCACAGGCTGGTTGGCTTGGCCGTTGATGACAGAGAATAGATGCGGCTGAGAAAGTTCTTGAGCCGGGTTGTTTGTTGAACGCTGCCACTCATCCATATTGAGATCTTCGAGGGGATTGAACGTCTTCCAGCGCGAGCTCCTTGAATTTACCTTGAAGCGCGGCTTCTGATTCTGGTCCAGGACGAAGCCGAGGAATGGGTTGAAGGCCTTCTTGGCGTTGGGATCCACGGGGACTCTGTTCCAAAAGGCTGTTCCTTCGCGGTCTGGCTTGTCGATACCAGAGGTTGCAGGCAGAGGCCAGCGCTGCTTTTGAGTTGCGAGGGATCGTTCATGAGATACTTCATCAATGCCGAAAAGTGCTCTCACTTCGTCTTGGCCCAATTGGGTGATATCAACGTCTGGGGCCGGGGCCTCCTGCTCACTCGCTTGGATGAAATCTGCCGCACCCATGAGATTGTTGGCCTGCTGGTTGACGTTTCCTTGTTGCTGCGGTGCATTGTTGCCGGACTGTTCGCCAGGCATATGGATAATCAGGTCATTAGCGCTATATAAGTCTTCATCCCCAAAGGGCTGATACTGGAATTGGTAGTCGAAGTTAGGTTGCTGGTCAAGAGGCTGTAAGTCAACGTCTTGGAGTTGACCAATTGCATTTGGAGCGCCTGCAGACAGACCAAGGTGCATATACTCCACGTCAATGAGCACGGGATTTCCTTGAAAGCCCCTTGCCCAATGATTCATGTGCGGCAAGGTGTCAACTCCAGCTTCTTTCATCTTGTCCGTCTGGGCGTCACGCAGTTGGTCCCAGATCTTCCGATACGCAGCCATATCACTGACCGGAACCTTATGGTTTTCCCAGAGCCGAGTGATCATATCCCCCAACTGGTCAGTTGTCAATTCTCTGGGTTTCGTGTTGGCAAGGGCACCGAGATCAGTCCCGTTCGGCGGCATTACGCCCTGTGGTGGACGGTGTTCTCGATGTAGTTCCACAATGGCTCGATAGTGTTGGTTACTTTGATTTTGCTCCACGATACCGTATACAGGAGCAACAGGACCAATCCAGTGTTCAGGGCTTCGTCCATCCTTGATACTGTCGACGCCTCCTGGGCCGTAACCCAGTGCCAGATAGTATAAAGGACCAGGGTTTTGGGGATTGTTGAGATTGTCATTGGCGGCCGATCTGTTGCGAGCAACACAGCCATGGGTGATGTCCTTGTGCATAGCGTCGCATTTGTCTTCCTTGGAATGAGTGCAAGAATCACAAGGTCTCTGTCGGTCACACTTCCGTCCTTTTTTTGCGCAGGGATCGCAAACGGTATAAGGGGTAAAGTGACCGAAACCCACCCTGCTCAGGTCATATATGGGATACCGGTTGAAAGTCTTGCTGCTGCGATCAAAAGCTGCGCACTCGATACCGAATTGCGTACAGCGCTCACATGCGTGATACGGCTGTGTCCACATGATGAGACACGGGATTGTTTTTCCAGCTGATTCGCAGCACTGGCATTTCCTGCGCCATTTCGTTTGCTTTGTGACCTCAACATACTCGTGCCACTTTGCTTTCTTGTCCTTCCTCTTCTCTGTTTCTTCCACTTCAAACCTTGGACGGATACGCCAGGTTGATGGAACAGGTTGATAAGTAGGCTCCGCGACTATGATCTCTGAGTCCAGGCATATCGCACCGTCCAAGAAACATCGATTGCACCCCGAGCCCTGCTCCCACTGGCTCCTATCAGTGAGCCAGCTGCAACAGTCGTCTTGCGGCATGGCCTCGAACCTCTTGTGGCGCATGAGACAACGGTCACAGGCATGTCGATACCACGGCGGCCGTGTAAGTTTGATGGGGCGCTTCATGGGCTGTGGGATCTTGCCGATAGTACAGGTTTGGTCACGCCGACAGCGAGTGCAGAAGTAACCAAGTGTTGTGTCTACATCGCAGGTGTCGTAGAACTTCTTACTATTACACAATTTGCATGCTCTGTGCGCGTAGGTCCTGGAATCAGCATCGCCGTACTTCTTATGGTTGAAGTCAATCAAAGCCGTCACGGGACCTGGGACACGACACAAGTGATCATCCTTGTTGGCGAACTCGTTGGGCTGACGGTTACGAGATCGATAGTTGGCGCAGTTACCGCACTCCAGATTATACACACCGGCGCCTGTATTGGGAATCTGTTTCCAGTCGCATATCTGGTTCAGAGCATACATCTGCTTGCCGGTAGGATGGTTGGCACAGAAGTCGCAAATTGTTCCTGCAGTGACGATTTCTGCATTTCCTCGCCCATAAACCGAGCTGTCGTTGTCGTTTTCACCCTCTTCTGCGTCTTTAGCGGCTTTGGCCCCTTTTTTGGGTCTGGGTTTAAGACGTAACATAGACTCAGCAACCTCATCAGCTTCGCCAGCGTGTAGTGGCCGGTGCTTCCTGACCTGGATCCTCCTGGCAGCAGCTCTTGTCCCTTTGGCGACGGGTTTGGCAGTGGCCTCTGGGCCATCATCATCATCATCATCATTTATGTCTGCACCTCCTCCTACAGCCGATGATCTTCGGGGGTTCCTTCGAATCCTCTTGGGGGGTGCGCTGCCGTCGGTTGGCGAAGCTCGACCTCTTTTGGTACCCTTAGTCGAGCCAGTGTTGGCAGACCCTGTATCAGTCGGAGTAGCAGTTGTCGAAGGAGTGAAAGCTGGTGTTGAAGGGGTTGAGGCATCAGAGTTTGAGAGACCAAAATCTGGATAAAGGCTTCCATGTGGGTAAGATGAACCGGGGAGACGTCTAGCGGCGGGGGCAAGAGCAGGAGCAGGAGCTGGTATTTGCGACGGAACGGCAAGAGGTCGAGATGGTGGCAACTGCTGAGGGTTTATACCAAAACCCAAGTTGGGATCCATCAAGGCAGGATCAATCAAGGCAGGATCAATAAGAGCAGGATCAAGCAAGGCGGGATCAATCAGACCCAGGTCGAGATTGTTCTGCGGATTCGTCCCATCATTTCGACCCTCGGGCGGAAGCTGGGACTGATCGTTCCCCGACATTTTGCTATTATGTCTTGCAATTGCGACTTGAATAGTAAGTTTTGTTCACCTGGAAAGCTTCTGATCGAGCAACAATACAACTGTTTGAAGTCAAAAAGCTCGGTTGGTTATAATCAATCGACGATATAAAAGAGAATGAATGAACTTGGGCTGAACTTGAGAGAGCCAGTCTTTCAAGGAAAAGAGTGTTGAAACTGTTGAAACAAGTGTTGATTACTTCGATTAGTGAGCTTTTCGTGTACATGAGAGAAGCGACATGTCGAATGGGTTGATGTTCTCGTACTTATCATGCCGAGTTTGCATCCCTCGACCTCCCATCCTTTGTCCCATACATCATAACCAACACGACTTTCTTTGTGTATTGACCACTTTGAACTAACCCAAAGTTCATTCCATGCTCTTTGATCCCCAGATTAGATCCCTTGGTTCTTTCAATAGTAAAGCAGCCTAGAGTGTCGTCTCAATCTCAAGTCTAACACAAAGAACCCCCCCAAAAGAGATAACACGCATCTTGTCTACCACATCCAAAGAGTTTGTCAAGAGAGATGTATCAATGAAGCTGGCTCATGGTGCCTCCTTTTGTCCATGGCGGAATTGCCGAGTCATGACTATTTTCATAACACATTGGGTGGCATTTCCAGGACAAGGTACCCACGCCTACTTTTCTTTGTTGAAAAGACATTCACGTGTCGAATCCTGCCAACGCTTTGTGATGTCGTCGCTTTACCCATAATGGCATAACCACAAAGCGTTGGTCCTCCCAAATTAAGTATGAATGTCTGGCAGAAGCCAATATACATGCGAATGGCTTCAACTAAGCAACCGCCGTACTATTATCGACCAGGACATCTTGGAAAGTCCTCGCTTTTATATCTACATTTATTCTTCACATCGCGCCTCGACGCTCTAGGCAAACCTCCCTTCCTCCCCAGGCGTCCTAATCGTCAAAGCTTGCTTATCTTGCAAGCCAGTGTTCGCTATGCCTCCAAAAAATACATCCCATTTTCCCATCAAAGAAACGCTCAATTATCGTCGGTCGTCCCCAGTATACATACACATCTAATAAATCCACTCCAATTTCCCAGCAATCCTCTCCCTGCGTTCTAGTACCGGCCAGATGTCGTGTAGATAGGCGAACCGTTCTAGGCATCTGTTCTTTCCACCCAACCATCTCCTGATTTATCATTAAACTCGTAGCTTTACTCATCCAGAAAACTGGAATCGTGTAGCCTCGAGCTGGCCAAGTCCATCGCGCGGTGCCACGTTTCGTCGTCTGTATGTGTTGGTAAAGTCTTGCAAGATTGCACGTACGTTCTTCATGCCGCTAGGGTCCCCTGACTCAAGCTTCTCCTTGACCTTGACCAAGAATCGGTTGGCCTCAGTTGGGGAGACGGTTCCCTCAGGTAGCAGCTGTATTGTGTGGGCCACCCACTGGTGAGTTTCGAGTGGGACCAAGTCAAACAAAGCCAGGAGGACGCCACTGCCATCGGCGAAACAATCTCGGGGGAAAGTGATCATCATGCCCGCCATGACTTGCTTGACTAGCCCCTCACCAAGAGTGAGCAGCAGGTTCTTGACGATAGTCCTGATCTCCACCGCTGTAGCCTCGGGGAGTCTGTCGCTCGTGGCAGGGTTATCGCCGCCGTATGACAGGAGATCACGGAGGAAGTGCAGAGTTGAGGATAGAGGATCTCGCTGCTCCAGAGTAAGAGCGTAGATGGCTGCCTCAAAGACCGACCTCAACAGGTGAGAAGGAATCAGTCTTTGAGGGTAGTAGAGAAGAGCATCAATTAGCAGACGGAAGAAATCATCGATAACGTCGGGGAGCTCCTTGGGCTGTAGTTCTGTCATGACTCGGAGGAAGGTCGTGGTCTGGGCCTCAAAGAAGGTGTAAATGTTTTCGGTGGTGGCTTGGTCAACGTGCTCGCGCGCCTCAGAGAACTCACGCAGAATTGCAGAAGTTACCCACAAGAAGCATCCCTCTCTTGAGTTGTTGAAACCACCGGCTAGCTTGTTGGCCATATCTGGAAGCAAAGGGGCCATCGCCGTACGATGAGAGATAACCATGTTGCGCCAGCACCTGCACACACGCTCGCAGATGGGTGTAAAGCTTAGGAAGTTTTCCAAGACAGTGGACAAAATGGGGAACACCTCTTGCCAGTATTTGACAGCAGGGTTCTCCTGACCTGGGCCGACGGGAGGCACAACGTATTGAACGAAGATGGTGATGAGCTGAAGGTGATCTATATAATCGTTAGCTAGGACTCGATGAAAAGACTCAAATATCTTACCTGCAAGCGCCAGCTTGCCCTCTTCATCAGTGGCATTGTTAGCCTTCGTCATCAGGCGTTGAATCAATGGGTCACAGTATAGCTTGAGCAGGCGGTAGACCTCCTCTGTAGGCTGACAAGCCACAACGTTGGCCACACCCTCGGTGATCTCCTCTTTGCTCAGCTCGGGCAGCTTGTCCAGTACTTGATCGTAGAATTCCTGTAGTTGTAGCACTTGGCCGCTCAAGAGATGCTTGCAGTCTGTGCAGAAAAACTTAATAGCCAGAGCAGCAGCACGGATAATCTCCTTCGAATCCGACTGGAACGATGTGACGATGTAGCTGAACTGAGGCTCGAGGTACTCGGGGTGGGCGGCGGTCCATTCTGTGTAACGGCCGAGGACCATGATAGTCGCGAACCGAAGCTTCTCGTGACTGGGGATCTGTACCAGGAGAGGCATAAGCTGAGGGAGCACGATGCTCTCGTCCTTGTCAACCATGCGACCTAGGGCGCGCATAGAGAACAAAGGTGCCTCCAGCTCTTGCCAGTGAGGCACTGTTGTGTCGGTAACTTGACTGGCATATTTGGACATCCACAGCTGAATGGCTTCAAGAACCTTCGTCAGACAGTCTGTAACGCCCATAACTTCACAGCAATCCTTCAGCGTATCGCCCATCTGGTGTCGGAATTCCCTGAACTTCTCCTCCTGCTCACGGTCTCCGTCGAAAAGGTCGTTCTCGTTACCAGAGTCCGGCTTGGGATATTCGAGGTGCTTGAGGAGAATGTCGACCAACTTGGAGTACACATCAACCAGCTCCATGCGGCCTTGAATGTAGATATCTAGCACAAGATAGAGCTTGAGCTCATACCAAAAGTTAAAGGTGTGCTCAATCACATCTCGCTCCGTATCTCTCAAGGCGCACTCCAATACTGCATCGACCAGAGGCCGGAAGTGTGTAGGTTGGCGTGCGATTCCAACAACCCAACTCTCTGCAGCAGTCGCAAATACCTTGGTCAAAGCCTTGAGTGTCTCGGTATCTTCCTCCTCAGCTGCCTTGGCCACTTGCGGCCGCAGTGAAATAATTCGGGGGAACAGTCTCTCGATCATTTCCTGGCTCTCGTCGACGTCGCTGGTTTCTCGAAGCATGGTGCAAAGACACTCGGAAGCCTCCTGGCTGCAGTTATCGTTGGTCGTGCCGTTGAAAACAATGTCCATGAGAGGCGACTCAATAACATTGCTGACTGGGACTTCTCGGAGCCATGAGGTAATGCACTCCATCAACTGAGGGTTCTGAGCGGCAGTTGCTGTGGTGTATGTTAGCATTCTGTACCTAAGGAGTTGTCGCGCAACTTACGTGACGATTGAGCGTAGCTGATGAGCAATTGGACAACCTGGTCCGCATTATCGGTCAATAAAGCTTGCGTTCGCATTGCAAGATCTTCTTCCTAATTCCAAACAATTAGACTTGAACTGGTGTTGACGTCGACCGGATCTGACAATCTCGAAAGAAGCGAGTTTCCGATCTATAGTTGCGTGATCCACATACAGACAAGGTGATCTTTCGACCTTCGGTAACTTCTTCGGGGAGAACCCGCAGGAAATCCAGGATGCAGGCGTGGCTCTCGGGACTGTCGCTGAGCGACTGGACAACAGAAGGCAGGACATCGTTCCACTCCTTCATCTGGATGGCGAGGATAGCCAGGCATACACACAGCTGGACTCGGATAGGCTTGGGCCCTGGGGCGAAATGCTTGAGAAGCAGGAGGATCTGGTTTCGAAGGGCGGGCAGTTCGCTAGCAGGGACTTGCGTAGAGAGGTCGTATGTGATCTAATAGGGGTCAGAAACGTGGGGATATGGCAAATGTCGCAAACTTCAAACCTTTCCACGCAGTGTAATGGCTGCAAATAGGGTGGCTTCTGGTGCAGCCTCCGACTGCAAAATACCTATTATAGTTGCCCATGAATCTTTCTGCATACCTCCAACGTTAGCAAGCTGGTGGCACAGCACGAGTTCCGTTGTGACATACCGATTTCTGAAACCTCTCCAAGTACTCGTGAGCATGTTTCTTGGCCTCTTGCTCCCCACTCCTCATAGTCATAACAGCAGCCAGCACATCGGGCGGCGCAAAGGCCTCCTGGGCTCCGTTTGTAGCCATTACGTATTATGCAGCGAGCGGAAGGTATGGACGTCGATAGTCGGGGTCTCTGTCTCTGTTGCGCACGATCGACCTTTGTGGCAGCGGCGCATGCAAAGGGGGGTCGGCAGCTGTTTCTCGATGAAGGCTACCAGGAGTTATGGGGGTTAAATTGAGCGCAAGGGCTGGCCTACAGCACCAGGTGATAAGGAGAGGAAGAAACGAAGTAGAGTTTTAAGGCGGCAGGGAAGTCAAATCCCAAAACGCAAAAGATGAGGTGTTGTAATGATCAGGCCAAAGTCAAAGTGGGATAGGCAATGTCAATCAGAAGTAAAATACAAAGCCCACCCCAACTGCCAGACGTTGCTAGTCATGGCGGGGCAGCACCCGATATTTAACCGATGCTTCACGCGTCATAATCGACTTATACAGGCAACGAACTTGAAATCGAGAACGCAAATGTCCTATATCGTACGCACCTCTCAGCTTGCTAGACTATTGGGCTGGAAGATACCTAAATATCAAAAACACTGCAACCCTGGTTTGCTTATGATTTCCACACAAAATTCCAAGTTTGATTAGGAAAATAAATGATACATTGATCAAGGTAGGTGACAGTGCCATGTACCAAAGTATCACATGTTTTAAACTCTTGTTCTAGAATTACAATTGTCTTATTATAGATCTTGCTGTGGATATCGTGAAGTTGAAACTCCATGAACCCCAGCCTTGATCTCACCATTACCAATGATGAGTCCGTTGAGTCTACGGTCATGGGTATCTGTCGGAATCTGGTGCTCCGATGTCGCAGGGACCATTTGTTCTGTCAAAGCCAACCCGTACAGTTGCAGCGGATTCTCATTCGCGATGCCCTTGTTCTCAAGCTTAGCCATGTACCTGTTGATAAAGAAGTCATAAAATCCTTTGCCGTGGCCGAGGCGTCGTATTGACCCTGATTCATCAAAGTCGAACGCGACGCCTGGGACAACCATGAAGTCCAGAATAGCTTGCTCAGCATCAGAGCCGCCTAGGATGCGCTTCCTAGAATCAACAGTGGTAGGGTCCACGCTGGGGATCCCCCACTTGTCGAGCTTGAGGCTCTCATAGTCCTGAACATTCTCCAGATGGACCATATCCATTACTCGGGATGGAGTATCGGGAGTTTGGAAAGGCGACTTGTGAAGGTATGGAACAAAAACCTGCTTGCCAGCAGCCAGTGCATGGCGAACAATGGCATCTGTCTGGACCTCAGCTGTTGGCATGGCCAGATAGATGCTGATGCGTCGAGCATCCTTGTAGGGCTGAAATTCTTTCAAAGTCTCAAAAATACAGCGGCCTGCGCGACTGTTGTTAGGGGAAATGCTCTACGAATAGACACATGACACGGCAATGAGTGGTTGGTTGGTTGTCATACTCTGGGTAGTAATGGAGTCCTGGGCGATCTTGGACAGCTTCTGCTTGATGAGACTCCTCAGCTGCTGCTTAGCAGCGGGAAGGGATGACGCCATAAAGAAACAGGCAAGATTTGGCGAGCCGAGGTGATGGGTTGAAAGTTGTTCCTGATGGTGAAAAATAGTGTTTGAGATTGTTCCATGGAAGACGCTGCGCTAGAAATCTAAAGATGCCAGTGTGACACGCCCTTGGCTCCGATGGAGCGGATACGTGCCGAACCTAAGTTCGGTCTCTGGCGTCATCACCATCATGCGAACGAGGCCGGCGCCGTCTAAGATACGGCCGGAGACATCGGCGGTGAGGCCCGAAGGATTAAAGAAGAGCCTAATTCGACTACGAGTTTGATATCTTTGTAATTCATGGTCGACAAACGCGGATGTTGAAAAATGCAAGAAAAATAGTATTTCAACCTCACTTAAGGGGTTCACGTGCTATATAGTTCTTATTGTGGTTACACGCCCAGGGCCCTGGAAATCAACCCCCACGCCAAATGAGAGAGGAGCCTTCAAGAGCGGTGTCAAGTATTGATTTTTTTTTGGGGATGGAGAGAAGTAATACTTGCGGTAGGTAGGCAGTTTCAAAGCTCATGATTAGGTAGGAAGACGCAGCTGGCAAGACCCCATCGCCGTATCTACTAATGTTAGCTAGGGGATACACCAGGGATAGGATACCCATGCAACAAAACACACCGGGCATGCTATTTCCACCATTGATCAAGGCCGGAAAAGAAAACAATATCAAATTCTTTGAATTACAGCATCTCGGATTGGTAGAGAAATTCTTACACGGTTCGAGACATGGCAAGGTCCTGTAAGCTTGGTCCAGGACATAAGAAAATGTCCGTGTCTCTCGGTTGAGCATCAACCAAAAATCACGGTTCATTTGCAATGCGCGGCATTCTATTGCTCAGAAGTTGGGACACCCAGCAAGCTAAAGCCATGTCTCAGCCTCCCAGGCATTTTTGACGAGGGACGAGTCTGGGTCAGGATGATTTTATGCATGGGAGGCTAGGAATCAGAAGCGGAATACGTACGCTTCAGGGGCCTGGGGTGTGTGAGTGTTTTAGGCTTCCTAGGTCTTTCACAGGGTCTAGAGGAACTCAGCTGTGAACTTTAACGACGAGGCTGAAAGCTAGCTCTGTAGATTCGAAATCAATAGCGGCAGATCGGCGTAAAGCTCTCAAGCCGCTGTGTTACTATAAAACAGCCAGGAATAACTCCAACATGTCGGCATTCAAAGAACGGCAGAGAGGCACCTAAAGAATGTGCTGCCTCGGCAGGCAAAAGCTAACAAGGATGAGATGGATATGGTGACGGAGTTGTCGGGCGTTATCTAATCTGATCCATCGTTCATCAGCGAAAAACCGAGTGTTCCCTGCAGGATGCAGCCGAGATGGAGATGCCAGGGTGTTTCCGTTCGGCCCGCTTGTTTGATGGCAGCCGTCAAGATGAGGTGCTTGGTGCTCAGTGCTCAGTGCTCAGTGCTCATTGCCTTTGAAGACGGCGACAAGGGTTTTAGTAGTGGAAGATGAGAATAATGAGTATACGGATAGCTTGAGATGGAAATGGTTAAGGCTCATTAAACTACCAAGTATTGTGTGCTCAAGACTCTATGGCATAGAAGCTTCGACTGTGTATAACACATGTGTTTGCAGCTTCAAAGATGTCACTTCTGAGTCAGATGATGGATAGAGGGTCACCATGAGCAGATCTTTACTTTTGGTGCAAAAATTGAACAATACCAGCCAGGGTCGAGTCGGTGCATTTGCCATTCTGGCGATAACTCACGGGAGCTCCCCCCTGTGGAATGGCGCTTGGCATCGGCAGCCTCCCGCAATTATGTGTGAAGTACGGAGTGCAATTGGATGGTGTCTATTCCTTGGACGTCCGCAATATCAATGCCGATATAACGTAGCTGTTAATGATACGTAGTTTGGAGACGGGACATGTGGTTATTCTTATTACAGATGAATTAATTGATTAACTCTACACCTACCTATTCTTGTTCATTTACAATCACTGTAGATAATGCATTGCTTGCTTGAGCTATTTCTATCCCATGTTTAGTTATAAAATGCCCTGTATCTGTCCTAGGCTCTTCCGTCATCCCGTCACCATCTCCCTTGTCATTCCGCTTGATCCCTTGTCATCACCCACTCAAAACCCTTGGACTCCCCACGCATGAAGACAGGGTTGCCCTTTGCCAAAGCTCCATCGTCTGGTTGATGACCATTCCCGTAATATTGTAGTCTTGCTTTTTCTGGCCTCTTACCTATCACTCACTCACTGCCTCTCTCTGCTACGATACAACCACTCAGTAGCAATCCCAACTGCGTCTGCTCCGTCACTAGCTGGACAGCCCCCTTTAAAGCAACCCCTTGGCTTTTCTCTGCCTCTTTGGGCTGTCACGCAGGGCTCTTTTGCTGCTGCTCCATATCATAACTAGGCCCAGGCCATTCACCAAATCGATGATAACTGGAGCCCCATCGATCACGCCCCTCCCAGGCCGCCACTGTCCTTCATCTTTTGTCCCGTTTATCCATATTTTTTATAGCCTGCTGGAATTGGCTTGTAAGTCAACGGTAAACACGCTTGACGCTTGACACAAATCGCGTACACACGCCCCCCCACGCCATGGGCAGACGGGACACCACCAATTCCTCTTCGGCCTCCATCTCTTCAAGCAAAAGAAGCCTTAGTCGCCAGTCTTCAGCCTCTTCGTCACTAGCACAGAGGGTCGGAGACAGGGTTGCTGGTGATTCCCCTCCACGCCAGGATGTTGCTCTTCAGCCCCTAACATCCTCATCCTCCTCGTCCTCCACCACCAGATCCACTGTGACTGTCTCACCCTCACACCCAGCCCTGCCAGTCCAAGACCAGGGCCATGTCTTGCCATATCAGGTTCCGGCCTCTCATCTGCCTCTCCCATTATCATTAAGAACCGTTGCTACCCCGGCTGCATCTGCATCTACTCCTGCTTCTGGCCCTTCATCAGTTCTCGTTGACTATCAAGATGCAGCCCTGCCCTCTGAACATATCGATACCGATGGCAGTCTAGATGCGACCCTTCAACAGCCGGATAACAACCTAGATATGGCCTCCAAGAAGACGCCCTTCTTGCGCTCCACCGCTGCTCGATCTGATGCTGCTCCTTACGGATCCGTATCACTAACGCCGAGTCGCAATAATTCGCCCGCTGGTAGCGATCGCTGGGACCCCGATGCCCACCCGCTTCGACATGTTCCCGATACAATGCGCAGTGAAACCTCGCACCGCTCCATGCTAAGCAAAAAGTCCTCCTCGAGATTATCCGAAGAGATCGATGGCGCCGTCCTTGTCTCTGGCCTCGAAGGCCGTTTGGGCATTGCCGAACCTACACATACGGGCATTCTTGAAGGTAGCGTGAAGGACGATGTGTCTGAGGACGGCGCACTGCTGGACGACAATTCCTCAGCTGCCTCAGATACCGAATACCAGGAAAACTCTCCTCATGAGGTTGTCCGCGCCTCTGTTCCGCCTACAGACAATACCACTCTCTCCATAAATACACCACGCATGTGGTGCCTCTCCGTCATATTTGCTGTTCTCGGCTCTTCGACCAATCTGTTCTTCTCTTTAAGATACCCTAGTGTTGCCATTACTCCAGTTATTGCCTTGTTACTTGTCCATCCCCTGGGACATCTGTGGGATTTTGTGCTAAAACGCCCCTACGACCTAGAGGAAGAGTTTGTTGACGGTGTGCGGATACCGGCCGTTGCAGACGATTCGCATGGCCTGCATAAAGTTAAAAGACTTACACGTTGGAGGAGGTGGCTGGCGCAAGGTTCTTGGAACGAAAAGGAGCATACGTGCGTCTACGTCAGCAGCAATGTTGCTTTCGGCTTCGCTTTCGCGACGGATGTAATTGTCGAGCAGACCCAATTCTATAACCAGGAAGCTCCTATCGTCTACCAGCTTCTACTCACTATATCGACGCAGATCCTTGGTTATGGCTTCGCAGGTATCACGCGCCGGTTTCTTGTTCGGCCCAGTGGTATGATCTGGCCAGGCACACTCATGTCAGCAGCCATGTTTTCGACACTTCACAAACAGGAGAATAAGCCCGCTGGAAGCTGGACTATCAGCAGGTGGAAGTTCTTCTATATCGTCTGGACCATATCATTCCTCTTCTACTTCCTGCCTGGACTGCTCATGCCAGCGCTCAGCTACTTTAACGTTATCACATGGTTTGCACCAAAGAACGTTGTGATTGCAAACCTTTTTGGAGTCTCCTCCGGCCTCGGTCTCTTCCCCCTTACTTTTGACTGGGCGCAAGTCACTTATGTCGGATCACCGTTGCTGGTCCCGTTCTGGGCTGCCATGAACGTTATTGGAGGTCTTGCTGTGGTGATGTGGATCATTGCGCCCATTCTCTACTACAGCAATATCCTCTTCTCTTCATATATGCCGATTCTTTCCGCTGCTGTCTTCGACAACAAGGGAAAGGTGTATGATGTCAGCAAAATCCTTACCCCTGAATTCGTCTTTGATAAAGAGGCATACCACAACTACAGCAGAGTATTCCTACCAATCACCTACGTACTGAGCTACGGTGTCCAGTTTGCCGGTTTGGCCGCGCTGTTAACACATACTGCTTGTTGGCACGGCCAGGACATTTGGAGTTCATGGAAACTGGCCCTGAAGGAGGCCCGTGAGGATGGACAAACTAAATACGAACCCGTCGCGGATTCTCCTGATCAGCTACCTCGACAGTCGACCGACAACGACCAAAGACGGATGTCATCATCTACTTCCCATGTTGATGGAATTATTAGTCGCGAAGATATCCACAGCAAGCTCATGAAAAGATACAAGGATGCTCCTCTAAGCTGGTACTTGATAACCTTTCTCTCCATGACTGCCATTGGTATCTTCGTAGTCGAATAGTAAGTCTATACTAACAATTTCTCAACATCCTTCACTCTCTGACCTTCTTTAGCTATCCTGTTCACCTGCCGTGGTATGGTCTCCTCCTCGCCCTTGGTCTTGGAGCTCTCTTCTTCATCCCCAACGGCATCATCATGGCTGTCACAAACCAACACAGTAGCATCTACCTCATTTGCCAACTTATCTGCGGTGTTGTCTTCCCAGGTCGCCCCATCGCAAACATGGTATTTGTCACATACGGCTACATCTCATCAGCCCAGGGCATCAAATTCGCATCTGATCTTAAACTCGGCCACTACATGAAGATTCCTCCTCGTATACTCTTCCTAGTCCAGATCGTCGCGACTCTCGTTTCCTCTTTGACTCAGATTGGTGTGCTCAACTGGATGTTCGCCAACATCAAGGGTATCTGCACCGCGCAGGCCCTGAATGGCTTCACTTGTCCCATTGCAAGAGTCCACTTCAACGGTTCCATCCTATGGGGTGTTGTCGGCCCTAACGAATTCTTTGGTCCAAAGGCCATTTATCGTTCGCTGGTCTGGTTCTTCCCCCTCGGCGCCCTTCTTCCCATACCTCTATGGCTCTACAGTCGAAGGCATCGCTCAAGTATCCTCCGCAAGGTGAATCTTCCTGTCATCTTCGGCGCCATGTCCTGGATCCCTCCCGCCACAGGCCTCAACTTTTCTGTCTGGGTACTTGTCTGCTACGTCTTCAACTATCTCATCAAGAACCGCCACAACGCCTGGTGGAGCAAGTACACCATGACTCTGAGCGCTGCTCTCGACTCTGGTCTTGCTTTTGGTATTGTGGTTGTCTTTTTCGGCTTTATCTATCCTGGATTGGCGAATAACCTCAAGTGGTGGGGTACCGAGGTGTACAAACAGGGCTGTGACTGGCAGGCTTGTTCGTATAAAACTCTCCCAGAGGGTGAACGTTTTGGACCCAAAACGTGGTGAAACTTGGGAATAGCAAAGGAGTGCTTTTGGTGCGGGACTACTGCATATAGAATTAGGTTAATGCTTTTTTTTTAACTGCAATGATAGATAGCACGCATTGATTTGAACATCATTAGCAAGGCGCGATTACTTTACAAAGATTCACCCAATAGCAGTTATAGCCAGGGTGTAGACAATCACATCTCTACAGTATTAGCATAGCATACTACACTTGGAACGAGCATGAAATTGAAAAGTCGGTTTTTTCCGTCTATCAAACATCCGGTCCCCGTCCTTTCTTGCTGCGCTTACGGCAGGCAACCATAGAATACAGTGTAATTAGGTCTGGTCTTTTGACCTGTCCGATCGTTGAAACCGGCACCATGCTCCAAACAAGTTCATAACTTCTATTTCTCAGCTTCCCAATCGGGGTTCTATAACAAGTTAGTATGCGCATCTTCAGAGACTGTTGTTCAATTTACCTTTCGCAGAATTACCAAACCCTCAAGGGTGCTGTTGAGGCTGATATACTCCTCGTCCTCAAGCTCCGCTCGCTCACCATATCCGAGCACCACCGGCGTGCTCTGAGTCTGCCAACCAGTGATAGTCTTGGGTCGACCAGCTTGGCCAACGACGTCGACGGCCTGACCAACGCGAACGTTGACCTTGAGTGGCTTAAGGCTCTCGTCTAGTGTGACGAGGAAGCGGGGATGCATGGCGGTGACGAGGAAGTATAGGAGGTAGTGTGATTGTCCTGTGACAAACTCCTTGGGCTCGATCATGGCAACGAGAGTGGCGAGGAGACCGGCAGCCGAGACGCGAGACAGAACCTGACGGTCTGTATGGAAGGGGCTGATTGTCAAAGTACCCTTGCCCATGTGAAGAAGACCTTGAGCAATTCGGACCATGAAAAGGGCATCCTGGTCACGGTGGTAGTAGCTAGCGAGTTGTCGCAGCAGCTGAGCCAATCGAGCGTTGTTGGTACCAGCTCCCAGCAGACCCATGGCAAAGATGGCGTTGATGGCGACCTCGGGATCATTGTCGTGGCTGTATCTTGAAAGTGTGTCGTACACCTTCATCTGAGGGTTGCTGGGGCTAATGAGGCCCATGGCCAGGGGCACAGCTTTTCGGATGTTGGGCTCACCGTAGTGCATAAGGTGGCCGAATTGTCGCAGGACCATTTCTTGGCCAATATCCTCACCCATAGCCACAAGTGCAATACCGATCACGGCAAAGGCCTGTAGGAGTTCGTCACCCTTCTTCTCATCGGACTCCTCCTGGTGTTCATTGCAGATGTGCAGGAGCTCCTGGATCTTAAGGACGGCGCCTGTGCCGGCCCATGCGCAGATCTCAGCCATCACAGCGGTGGACTTAGCCACAGGGTGTTCAATGACCTTGAGGGTCTCAAGGATGACGTCAACCTCTTCTTGTCGGCCAAAGAAGAGAAGACCCAGTCCAAGAGCCAAGAACCGTGTCCATTTGTCAGTGAACTGACTCTTGCGATCATCATCCATCAGGGTTTGGATAATGGCCTCGCTAATTTCGGAGTGAGAAGAACCGGTGAAGATAAGACCGCAGGAAAGAGCAGCCATTGCTGAGATCTGCATATCTAAGGAAGAATCGGAAATCATAGGCAGGAGATGCTCAAGGACATCCTCCTTATTCGATCCAGCATAGGCCAGTCCAAGACCCATGATACAGGCTGTTCGGACCAGAGGATCAGGGTGGTGTAGTTTGTCGCTGTCGGCCAAGAGAGCAATAGCAGGATCCGAGTCCATTCTTACACCGGAGTTCATAATTCCAATAGCAAGCATAGCACCTGCAGAGATCTCTGTCTCTGAAGAGTAAGTGTACTTGTCGATCTTGTCCAGACCATTCTCAATATCCCACATGAGGAGAGTTCCCATAGAAGCCACGGTAGACATCATTCCATCTGCCTTGGTCTTCCATACCCACGTCTCCTTCTCGCCATCAACAAGCATCATCTTGTCGTTGCCGAAGCCTGCATTGACAAAAGCGTTGACAAAAGCCGCCGCAAGGTTATGCCGAGCAGAATCCAGGTTAGTCATTCCAGCAACTCTACTGCTCTCGAGATGACTCTTGTAGATATCTTCGGTAGACTTTGGCTCCAAAATGTTCAGCTCCTTGCCCAGAGACTTGAAGTGCTCGGATAGCTTCAAGTTACCAACTGATTCCAAAATGGCATCGTTCTCATCCGAATCGTCTTCGATATCGAGTGGTATTCTTTGGCGGCCAATCAAGAATGCAAGCTGCTTCTTGAGAGCAGGGTCTTTGGCCTTTTCGAAATCGGCCCTGATAAGGTCGATGTCGTGTAATCGGATCGCAAGAACCATGGCCTGCGCAAACTGCTTATATTCCATATAGATATCGTGCGCGGTCTTGAGGAAGGTTTCGTTATCGGGGTAGGTGAGAAGGTTAACCATGGAAGACATATAGAGACACACACGGGCGTATGTGTTCTCGTCCACAAACTTAGGCATCTCCTCAATGATTTCCAGTTCGCTCATGAGATCCACTGCATCGGCCTCTGCGTTGCTCTTCACAAAGAGAGGAACCAAGACGAGCGCGAGGTCGATCAGGTCCTTGGTCGGTTCCTCGTTCTGAATTCGCTTACCGTACACCTCTCCAATCTCGAGCGCAAGATGTCTAGTGTATTCATGACCCCACGAGCTAATGTCGGATGAGGGTGCGAGTAGGCGGTAGTGAAGTGTGTCTTGTCGGTCCTCATCTGAGAAGGTCATACCAATGACAGAGAGAACGTCTGCCAACGAAGTCTTGTCTTCACTCTCTGGCCATTCTTCGTAAAGCTTCGTCAACGTCTCGTAGTGTGGTCGTAGGAACTTCAGGGGCTTTGGGACTGCTGTCATGGATGACGTCGATGTCTTTATCGAGGTCTTCATGGCCTCCAGGGCAGGCTTATAAAGTTCCGAGCTTGACTCCTAGGCGAGGTTTAGAATGTTATGCGGCAGCTCGCTCTTTCATGTAACTTACGGTCAAGCGTTCAACCATCATATCGAGCTCATTCTTGAGTTGTTGATCCTCCTCGTTGAGCTCTTCCTCGGCGGCTGAGGCTAGGGTCAGTACAACATCGCATGGTAGAACAGCGGGGTCTCATACTCTCGGTCTTCTCATCCTCCTTCTTCCCATTTGTCTGCTGCTTGTCCTTCTTGGCATCGTCGACGGCCTTGCCCTTGCCCTTGTCGGCCGCCTTGGGCACTTCGCTGTCTTGAGCCATGTTGACGTCGATTGCTTAGGCGTCTTGTAGAGCTCCAATGAATGAATTGAAGAGAGTAAAAAGTCGGGATGTGATCTTTGATGCGTACCCGAGCTGTATATTCGGTGATCGCGGCGCGCAAACTCAATTATCGATAGAGTGGTGGTCGTTAGTCGTCGTGGATGGAAGGTGATGGAGACTGCTTGGTTAAGCTCAAGGTGCTTTGCTGTAGGTAGTAAGTACCTAGCTCTGCTGGGTTACGCGAGGCGCTGCCGCCTGGCGCCTGGCTGGCCCCAGCCTCATCACGTGTACCCGGCTTCAAGGGACCCACATCGCCGAGGACGGGCGGAAGTCTTGTTAGCGATAAGATCTTGAGGAAAAAATAACCCCACCATCCAAGAACAACCCCTCCAACATCAGCGACGAAAAATTAAATTTACAACAAAATTCCCCAGGAAATATCCAACCTAGTCGCTTTGAACTTTTTGTTAATAACTGCCCATCATGAAGTTAGACACAAAAGCGATGCGCTACCTCGCGGCTGAGGATTGGCGAGTTTTGAACGCAGTAAGTACCCTGGCCATCATGGTTGCAGAACTCATGACTTACACTAAATAATAGGTCGAGATGGGAAGCAAAAACCACGAACTTGTTCCTACTACCTTGATTGAGAAGCTTTCGCGTCTTCGTGGCGGTGTCGGTAGTGTTCACAGAAGTATCTCGGCTCTCGCCAAGGTCGGTCTTATTGCGCGTGTCAAGGAGGCAAAGTATGATGGGTACCGACTCACATATGGTGGACTGGATTACCTCGCTCTTCACACCCATGCCCAAAAGAAAGACGTTTACAGCGTGGGAACCCGAATCGGTGTAGGCAAGGAAAGCGACATTATGATTGTGGCAGATCATTCCGGCACACAAAGAGTCCTCAAGATTCATCGACTAGGCCGAATCTCTTTCCGAACCGTCAAATCGAACCGAGACTACCTCAAGAACCGACAGTCTGGATCATGGATGTACCTCTCTCGGCTGGCAGCCATGAAGGAGTTCGCTTTCATGAAGGCTCTGCGTGATGAGGGATTCCCTGTTCCCGAACCACTCGCACAATCCCGACACACCATCGTCATGTCCTTGATAGACGCTTTTCCTCTTCGACAGATCGCCGACGTTCCCGATCCAGCATCTCTATACGGCGATCTTATCTCGCTGATTCTTCGACTTGCTAAGCACGGACTTATCCATGGCGACTTCAACGAATTCAATATTTTGGTCAACGAAATCAGAACAAAATCAGAAGAGGGCGAGGAGACTCTCACATTAGAGCCCGTCATTATCGACTTTCCCCAAATGGTTTCTATGGAACACCAAAATGCTGAGATGTATTTTGATCGAGATGTGAACTGTGTCAAGCGCTTTTTCGAGCGCAGATTTCACTTCGTCCCAGATCAACCCGGACCCTTCTTCAAACAAGTAAAGAAGACTGTCGGCAAGGACGGTGTGAAGAGACTCGACGCTACAGAGATGGCTTCCGGCTTCACGAAGAGGATGTTAAAGGATCTTGAGGCTGCCATCAAGGAAAAGATAGAGCAAGCTCCTCAAAATAGTGGAGATGAGGACGACGACGATGAGGATGACGACGAAGATGAAGACGAAGACGAAGACGAAAACAATGAGAATGGGGAGTCAGCTGATCTTCAAAACGACCTAACATCAGGTGGCTTGCTTGCTGACGATGTCAGGGATTCTAAGGAAGACATAGTCGAAGAGGGCATGTCGAAGCTAACAGTTTAGATAGAATGCAATGATACCCATGTTTTACGAGATACACAGACAGCTACCACTTGGCGTAGAGCCCATTCATGACATCACTGTGACTTCATGACATGAAGGAATTTTATGACATTAATGAAGATTCCGTCTAAACGCCTTCGTCTGACTTTGCGGCACGGATGCCCCCGAATCTAGAGTACAAAAGCTCATGACATGAAATCATGGCACGAATTCTCGAGTGTAACAGCTACCTCAGACCATAAGATGTTCCGCGATGGCTCATTTATCGATGTGAAAGCCGAACGCTCCAAGAATCAGAAAGTAAAATGGTGAAAGAAAGCACAATTGTCGGCGTAGTCTGCCGGTCAGAGTCAGTAAAAGACGGCTGTTTGGTAGGCTGAGACCTCAGGTCTCTTTCTTGCTGTCCTTCTTGATCGAAGGAGACGAGTCCAGAGAGGCACTGGCGACGACGGTTTCCGCGTGGATGGTGACGTTCTCATCGCATTCGGACGAAGTGGGCGTGGCGACCGCATCATCGGTGCTCGAATTGGGAGCCGTCCTGCTTCAAGGGTTAGAGAAAAATCACAGCAAGCGCGCGAACGACCCCGTTCCATACCCAATGGATTGACGCTGAGTAGCCAGTCGTCGAGTCGCATTGTTGGTATCGGAAACAGAAGGAGCATCCGGCATAGGACTGGAGAATGAATTAGCATTCATCAAAAAAGATAGACATTGAGACTTACGGGCGCGTGATGGGGATAGCCGCTCGTCGGTTCTGCGCGTGATGGGGGTACATGGAACCACCATAGCCGACAAGAGGAGTACCGTAGGCCCCGATGTTGTACTCGTTTGTTCTGAACTGGCGACGCTCGGCAGTGACGCGCTTCAACTCCTTCTGGGCTGGGGTATCGGCGTAACGAATGTTCATGAGAAGGCCCTCTTCACCAACAGTGGCGCCATGAAACTTCTCGATCACCTCGTCACAAACGTCTCGGTCCTCGAAACTACAATCATGTTAGCAATATGGAATGGCCGCATACAGTGTGCGCATACCGAGCAAAACCAACACCACGACTGTTACCCATGCTATCCCGAAGGATCTTGCTTGACAGGATGGTGAAGCCTCTGAAAATGACACCAAGCTCCTATTTGGTGTCAGCGATCCCCTGACTGATCAAGCCATGATGGGGAAACTTACTACTTCGGTCAAGGACTTGGGTAGGTTTGAGATGTAGAGGTTCGTAGAGTCATCATCGCCTTCGGCCTTGAGGCGAGAATTGAAGGACTCCTGAAAACACGTCAGTCTGTTCGTTCAACCATCTCTTCAAAGCTTAGAATAACTTACGCGTGCAAAACCGACCTCATACCCAAGACGGTGAAATCCACGAATACACAGCTCAGAGTGAGCAACATCGAAAAACTTGGCGAATCCGAACCTGGTCATGGTCAGCATTTGTTGGAACGGAGGCTACATACAGAATCTTACCCTTTGCATGCACCGGTTCCAGTATCAATGATAGCCTTCGAGGTCTCGACAGGACCAAAACGGGCAGTGTAATGGTAGAGAAGCTCGTCGTCAGTGGTAGGGTGAAGGCCACGGATGTAGACGTTGCGGTTTCCAGGAATTCTGTTTTCAAGGCTTTGGTCAAGGCTCTTCATCTGACCCGCAGGAGTGAAGACCGCAGGGACCGCCTCAGGGATAGCAGGGCTCTTCACCAGAAGCTCATCCAGAACACGCTCAGATGCATGAGAAAACTTGGACTTGTTTGCACCCTCGACCTGTTGAGCAGCCAGGAGCTGGTGAGGGGAAGGAGTGGTGTATGCAGAGCGATCACTGTGAACTCGGGGCCCATTCTCACGCTGGGTCCAGTTTCCGTAGAAAGGAGTTGCAGGTGCGGACTCCGTGGTCGAGTATGAACCACGACGGTTCTCCAAGCCAGGGACCTCTGACTGAGTTCGATCGGCACGGTGATTTCCAGCGTTGGCACGAGCCGGTGTGAAAGGCATAAGAGCTCCCGGCAGGGCATAAGGGGTTTGGAATGCTCCGTTCATCTGATAGGCAGAATAGTTGGCCTCATTGGCATGGTTCATGGGAATCGATTGGGGAGTTGGCATAGAGGCGAGGATGAGCCCGTCCGGCGCAAGCATGTAAGGCGGCTGCATGTGAACAGGCCCGGCTTGGGGGCCAGGCATACTCATTCCAGCAAGGCTCAGTCCCTGAAAGTGACTCAACAAAGCGCTCTGGTCGGCAGATCCAGGAATAGTCAGGTGCTGGGGTCGCCTGTCGGGCTGGTGAGTGAGGAAGGGGGCCACACTGGTGTTCGGTTCCATGGTCATCTTTGAATGATGTATGATTAGGATATCTAACAGCGTCAAACGTCAGCCACTATGTTCCGAGTAGATTGGGAGTAGGGAGCACAATTGGCAAATGCGTAAGGAAAGAAGGATCACAAGCCCTGAACTTGTGCAGTCGGGGAAGGGGAGGAATGTCGAATTCGTACCTCACAAGCAACAGATTGGCTACGAAGAGCAGTGCAAGATGCGAATAATCAGGGGATGTGTGAAAATCTAGCTGCATTCCCATGTTGTTAGTTGAACAGTTGGCTTGAAGACGTCGGCAATAGGGATGAGGAGCGGATGGTGGGGAAATGTATCAGATCGGATACTCTATAAAATAGAGTCCTAGACCATTCACGAACGTCCAACGAACTCGATACCCAAGGAAAGGGCGTAAATGGTATGGGGCAAGAACGGGATCGAAGTGCTAAGGGGACGGAACGTACCTCGAGGGCCTGGTTGATGATCAAGCACCTGATGGAAAAGGAGGCTGAAAGAAGCCGATGATGACGAACTCTGGAGTACCAAGACTGAAATGAAGCGAGAGTAAGTAAGATAGGCCACGATACCGTGCAAGATGAAGAACGAGAGATCGAAAAGGGTATGAGTGAGGATGGACTGGAGGAGATGTTGTGAAGAAGAAGAAGAAAAAGTAGACGGAGAGAAGAGAGAAGATGTATAAGAAGATGGACGTGAAGCGAGCACCTACCTAAGAGTGAACAAAAAGGATATTGTCGGAAAGAGGTACTCTTATTGTGATATAAGAGGAAGGATCCTCTGTGACCGATGAATAGGCAAGAATAATGCTATCAGCGGACCAAAAGATGCATGAATCTAAAAGACTTCTCGACAAAAGCTGCGAAAACAATGAAGATGTTGTGGAGAAGAGAGGATGAAAGGGAAGAATAACAACAATCGTTTTATGGGAGAATGGAATTGCGTTGAATGATAAGTTGAGTTCGGTCCGCCTGACAGTGGCAGTAGAAGTGGCAGTAGCAGCGGCAGTCTGAGGAAGGAGACTGAGGCTGCAACTGGCAAGAGCTGCAAAGCATAGATTTTCGAATGTTCGGAAGGATGGAGCGTTGAACACCACCTCTTGAATTCTCTTCTTCAGTATTCCTGCAATGGAGAAAGCACCACATATAAAGACCGAAGCGTTTCTTGCCAAAAGGTTAGTTTTATGAGGCTCAATAGGGGTGCCGCCCGCAGCGGCATTCGCAAGACCAATCGATATTTTAAGGGATAAACTTGGGATAGTTGGGTAAGAATGGAACCAGTATTTTGAAGAGTTATTGGTCAGTATTTAGGTGAATACATTAGTAGTCTGATATGATGAATACATCGTGAACTTTGAGACAACTGAACTCGGTGAAAGCTGGACAGTCCGCTCTTGTAGGAATAAGAGTCACATTTCCTCACATCGGAAGTTTATATCATATGCCCATGCTAAGAGGTGCATTCGCGGGTATGGATAATTCCCTCTTCTCTTGTTGGACAATCCCTCCTCTGGACACACTTCGGCTGTGACAAACAACTCTCATAGGCAAGCCAGGCTTCCCAACCAGACATGTTCGCAGCTGGCATGACTTGTATGTGTGATCACTATTTGTGTGTAATTATGTCTCCCCAAAACAAGTCAAGGATGAAAATTTCCCCCAAAGAAGAGATAAATGCTTGATGGTCTTTGCAACCACATGCCATGAACGTCTGTCTTTGTCACTACAAATTTCATGCTCAAACAATATGATAGTTCCAAGTTCTCGGCTTTCCATGTGTTTTCGTTGATCTACTGCGGGTGGTCTATAAATTTTGAAGACTAGTATCTGAGTATTGTTCTCTCTTCGCCTTGTGTCTTTGGCTCAAAATCCCTTTGATTTGCCAACTATACTAGTGCAACCATAGGAACAAAGCTCGCCAGTATGGAGATGAGATTATCTTGAGGCTCGGCTTAAGTCTTCTATTCTTCTTCTAGAAGTTTTTGGTTCTCGACTTCTCTGATATCAAAACATGGTCATGGTATGTCTGTACGCATATCTCGGTTGATAGCAAATGATCAGGGAAGCTTACACCAGCGCAAATATTGGAAAACAGTCCACCTTATTTCTAATGCATCGTCCATCCCAGGTACCGGGCTATATACCAATGATTTGCTCCTTACTTGGTATTCATATACCTTAACGTGTATGCATGTTGACAAAACGGTTTATGTTTACGGTTGCATCATGCAAGTGTTCAGATAAAGAGTTGAAATTGAGCGCAGAAAACTAGCCTTGGTACTTGTCAGATGAGAGCAAAGCGCGACCATAAATTAAAAAAACAGTATAAATCGAATATTTGAAATGAACAATCTTCTCATCTGATATGGATATTTAGCGATTAGATTCTCAAATAACTATATTCCAAGGACAATAAGTCGTTACGGAGATTCCTCCATCCTCTTTGCAACTACAGGGTAAGTATCCCAAAAAGAGATCCCTACACGTGCATCCATGTCTTGCCTCTGCACCCCGGCACATACAAACAAGCAATTAATGTATTCATTCGCATCATCAATGCCTCCTTGTGATTGGTACCAGGATTTCAGTCTTCTCGACTAACTTCCACACTCACGCATTGTTGATCATCACATCTCACTCTCAACATGTCTTCTAACCACAAGGTCACACTGGATCGATGTCTTGTACTTTAAAAACTTGCTTGTGTGCATATCCATCTCTGAATGGATCAAAAGTGCGTTGCGACGCATATAACCAATGTTCTTTGTGTAGATGCCACCGGAAATCTTTCACCACACATGTATCAAACCCGTCTTAACACCTTCCGTCTAATAAGCTGCAAGAAAACCCTCGAGTCTACTTCATATACGCTCACTAAATGTCACCACCACCTTATATAGCAGTGGAGCAGAACGCCGGCCGTGTAACCTGACAAGTCGTCGCCGCCGATAATCTCAAATGTAGCGTGTCGCTGATCGCTTGTTTTTTTCATGACCAAACATCCTCCTGTAAAGCCGGTTAGCAAGAGTATTATTATGTGATAACTGGGATCAGTGTAGACACTACGCACCTGGTATTGGTTCGCCGACCTCATGTTCTTCACGATCTCCTCACCCTTGGCCTCGGAGACTCCACGTGCCTCAGCAACAATCTGGGCTAGGACAGTGTTGACCTCGCGAGCCATGTTTGCTGCATCACCACAAACATAGAAGTATGCCTTTTGAGCAAGGAGCTCGCTGACCTCCTGGGCTCGCTCCTTAAGCCTGTGTTGGACATAGACCTTCTTGGAACCCTGTCGAGAAAAGGCGGTGATAAGCTCGAACTTATCGCCAAGAGCCTCCTTGTATTCCTAGAGAACAGTTAGTAAGCAATATTCAATCATGCAGATATACGTTGTTGACTTACCTGCCACTCCTTCTCGTACATGAAATCCTCACTGGGCTTTCGGCAACCAAAGAACAAAAGAGTCTTTCCGACCTCGACACCATCACGGGCTTGCTTAGCACGCTCCTGGACGAAACCGCGGAAAGGAGCAACACCAGTACCGGGGCCGATCATAATGACAGGCTTGCCAGGATCCGAGGGGAGCTTGAAGTTGGAATGACGAACATGGACGGGAACATGGATACCATCGTACTTGTTGCGGGGGCCTGTGAGCTCGTAGGTCTGACCGAAAGGTGTTGGGCTAGGGTCACCATTCTGCTTCTGCTTCAGGGCAAAGAGATAGTTTGTGGCAACTCCACGGAAAGGATCATCTCGGCCAGGAATCTGCTGGGACTCAACGACGGCAGTGATAGAGATCTTCTTAGGCTGAACCAGAGAGGAGGAAGAAATGGAGTAGTAGCGGGGCTGGAGCTTGGTGAGACCCTCAATGAAGGCGGAGAAGGGGATCGTGGTCCACTTCTCACCCTTGCTGACGGTGTTGAGGAAACGAGCAATATTGTAATAGTGAGGGCCGGTCTTCTCGTGGAAGTAATCCTTGTCGCTACCGAGGCGGTTCATCTCGGCCTTGATAGCGTCGTTGGGGGCGAAAGCAGCGAGAGTAGAGACGAATTGACGGGAAACAGGGGCACAGATCTCGAGGTGGTATCGCAGAATAGCATCGTATGTCGTAGGGTTGGGGAAAGGGACCTTGGCGGTAGGCTCGAGAGCCTTGACGGTGATGACACTGTGCTGCTTACCCGAGAGATCAAGAACGTCAAGGAATCGCTTAACCTCCTCACCAGGGTTGGTGGGCCAGATGGCAATGTGATCTCCAGTCTCGTACTTGAGGTTAGAACCGCTGATGTCGACTTCCATGTGGAGACAGTTTCTGTCCTTGGCAGAGAACAACTCGTAGGACTCGGCGATGGGGGCAATGTAAGGGTTGTGAGAGTTGAAGGGTCCCTTGGCGGTGCCTTCGAGATGCAGCTTGTTGGGTTCACCGAGGTAGACTTCATTGGTCTCAGGGGAAAGGTCTTCGCGCTCGTTGATGGCGAAGATGGGCTCGTAAACGGCTTCACGCTCTTCCAGTCCCATCTTCTGAGCAAGGGCCTCCCACATGGGATCCTTCCAGGCCAAGAAATCCTCTTCCATTGTACCAGCTCCATCGTCACCTTCACCGGCTTCGCCGATGCGGTGAGCGCCAAGTTTTTCAAGAGCCTTGTTAACGTTGCGGACCATAGAGTTGTAGTGTTCGTAAGTGTTGTTTCCGAGACCGAAAGCGACAAAGTTGAGGTTATCCAGAGCAGGATCTTTGCCCTCGTTGAAGCTGGCATCCTCGCCGGTGATGAACTCGTAGAAATCAACTGCATTATCGGTAGGCTCTCCTTCACCGTAAGTTGCGAGCACGAACATGACGATGTTGTCGCTAGGAACAGTATCCAGGTTATCGAAATCGTAGTCTTCAAGGTCGGCAATCATAGTGTTGAGTCCAAAGCGACTCTTACCCTCCTTGGCGAGACGAGAGGCATAATCTTCAGCAGTACCAGTCTGAGAACCGTAGAAGACGACGCAGTTCTTGCCAGATTCCTCCATTGCCTCAACGACGTTTCTCGTGCGCCCAGGCTTAGAAACACCGCCGGTAGCGAAGCCATTGGCATAAGGGTCCTTGGTAACACCCCATAGCTTTCCCTTTGTAAAGTATGCGACCGTTCCGAGGAAGATAACGCCCAGGACAATGATGTCCAGAGTGTCGAGTTCAGCCATGATGGCTACACGCGCGCTGGGGAAATGTTGTTTTCGACGATTGGTAAGATCCAAGTAACAAATCGAATCTGTCAACGAAAAGGAATCTGCTCAATTTCGACAAAATTCCGAAGGGTTTGTCCCAATGGTCGTCGGCCGGAAAGGAGGCGGGGGAGAATGGAAGTGGGATGTGGCGTGAAGTGTCTAAAAGAGAAGATGCGCTGTCAGATAAAAACCCACGCTAAAATGTTTAGGAGATTAATGGATCGCCCATGAATCCTTCATCGTGCGAGGTGACCGTGGACTGCGAACGCACTTACACTAAACGTATCAGCGCTAACAATGAATGGCTTGAACTACTTGCTGTCTTTCTCCTCGTCCAAGAAGATGCGAGTAAAGAAAACCTAAGTACTACTTCTGCGAGGAGTTTCAAAATCCAAGCGTGAAGACGGAGTACTCAAGCGGGAAATGTGTTCAGTCCGACTCCGGAATGCCACGGTAGTTTTATCTCGGCCTGGGGCGGGTTCGGATTGAACCCTTCAAAACCGTAGAGTACCTGATGGGGGGTTGTCGTTGGGGCTCTTGCAGGGGTTTAGTGGGTGAGATTCGTTTCTGCTGAATTGCACATGACGGATATGACCTCCAGCTTAGTTGGTATGAGTATTAGTTTGCGAGAGAGTGGATTATCAGAGTCCAATGCTGTATGACTGTGTATTGTCGTCGCCAAATATTAAGAAGCAGAACAGATCAGGTCAAGGAAAAGCTTTCGGAACTGATTGATAGCTATCCATGGCCTCTATAACTAATATCTGAATAGCGAGGTCCACCCCCGGAAGACGTGCCAAGGTAAAATACCGGTCGTATCATGAATGATGGGTTCTTGCGGCGGGGTTCCGAAAACGAACACGGCTGTTAGAGTTGCTCAATATACTCCGGCATCCGATGGTGAGAGCAGAGCACTCACTTACCGTAATCGACTCCCGATCACGGCCTCGGCTTTTCAAGCAATGACATTCATTCATTCCCTTGAGTCTTGACCACCATTCCCCGCGTCTCTCTCCCGCGTGCTCATCATCGACTATCTTCGTTAGTCCTTTCGCCTCATATCCAGCTATCCGGAACCTTACCCCAAGATCTCCGAATCATCTTGTCCCGGGAATGCTAGTTCCGCCGTGAACTCATTAGCGGAAACCGTACCGATGTATTGCTCCGAGGCGAGGCGCTGGATGAAATGCCGAACGTAGATGCCTTGAACCAATTCTTTAGGGCACTTGTCAATTCGAACATTCTCGAACCGGTATGAATGGTCACAAGACAAACACAACACTGAATAAATGATTGATTGCCATTGATGTTCTAATGTGGCTGTAAGCGCCTTTAACGGCCGGTGATGACTGAGAACAATGGAAGCTTATTGCACACAAGTTTCTAGTTGAGTGGCCGTGTGGAGTGGTTGCTAATTCCCTGCCTCGTCATTTTATTCCGAGGTCATAAAATATGTAATCATTTTGCGGAATTTCATTAAAGAGTATAAGTAGCTTAAACAATCCCAGAGATATATCAAAAGCACTCACATCATTGTAGGAGCTAGGTATATAACTACTAATTCAATGTATCAAATATCACATGCTGCCTTATTATCGTGACTATTGCTACCACAGGATTGTACACACCCTCGACCATCTTGAGGGACACAAATACAGGGTCACAGGTTCACAAGCGAAAAACGTCAAATGTCTTGGTGAAAAGCTTCCCCTTGGCACTGGAATGCGGGATATCAACAAGCCACGCCGCAACCCTGTCTTGCATGAAAACCGTACCCTAAGCACCACCGGTTAGGGTGTAATCGAATCTGGCAGGTGAACCAGAATAAGCTCGCATGGCTGGCAATAATGGCGATAGCAAGAAATATGTTTGCTCAAAAACAGGGTGTGATCTTTGGTGGAATTTCCTTTGTCTTTGCCAGCCCGCGCATGAATAACTATGCCAGAATCCCTAAGACCGAACATGTCCTAGTGATTGGACTTGGACGCTCCTAGTGTAGATTACCGTTGACAGTCCAACATGGTTATGGGAAAACAATCATAACGTGACTCGCCTGGCCGTTGAACCGTTCTCATTAGTTAGTGCGTAGAAGCATCCTCAGCCCGGGAGTAATATAGCTTCATTACTAGACTACCTAACGTGCCACGGTAGAGTGGGGAGATGTACGAATAGGATATAATAGAGGCATCGTTATCTCGTGCTATTACGGGGACAGTCCCAGGGCTTCATATCATAGGATATAATGATGTGCGTAACATCAAGAGCGAGATAGTGAAGTGCATGGAGACCCCAAGTTCATCATGCTAACCCAAGGATCAACTTAAGGTGCTCCACAATGCTAATGGTACAATGATCAACGGGAAACAAATGCTACGTTGATGGGTACTTTGTTCTTTGGCCCATGCTCAAGCAAGTGAATGAATGCTCACTTTTGTCCTTACAGCAGCCGGACCAGTCTCAGTCTGGTAGATCCGGACCTCCAACCTCAACGAGTCATTGCTGTGAATTGATGCCTCTACAGATAAGATCTCGAACGCTGAGCCAAAAAGATCACCCAAGCCCCCTTTATAAAAAGCCAATTGACAGCCGAGAAGTGGCGCGCCATCTTTCCCAAGGGTCCGTCATCCCATGTCAGTTGATGCTAGCTCCGCTGATAGGCCATGGCCCTTGCAGATGGCAAGGTTAGCAGCCCAAAAAAACACTTCCAATTGACAGCCATGTGTGCCATGTGTGCCATGTGTTTAAAGCTCCTTGTTCTTTAAAAGGCTGCTGGACAAAACCATACAGCGGGCTGGGCCAATGCTGGGCAAGCTGACAGTAGCGTCATTGCGCGTGGGTGGCCGGTGAGCCTTGAGGTGGTCCTCAAGCCGCCAAAGTCAGTCCCAGGTCGTGCTTCTTTGTTGTCAAAGGACTCCCTCGTATGGATGCTGCACATGCAGTTGCATCCCTTGTCAACTTCAACCCCAGACCCGTAAATAACGTGCGCTTTTCTCTTGTTTCTCTTCTCCTCTCTCTTGTCCAGTTGCGATACTGACATTGAGATTGGAGAGCCTCCATAGATCATGAGATTGCCACATAGAACTTGAGAGATGGGTAAGTCCAAATCTTTTGAAGGGTGTCCACACTTGAATATCTACTCTACGCTACATACCAGTACCTTACCTTACCTTGCCTTACCGTACACCAACACCAACACCAACATCAACCCCTCCCTTATCCTCCCCCACCACCACTAAATCTGGGGATTTTGGGCTGCTTGTATCGCGGGAATACTCCGTACAATCGTTCGTTACCCGTCAGCACAAGGTAGTCTCAGTCTCTGGACGCTCTACAACCTCTAGTAGAGTCACTCGCAGCTGGCCTGGCCGCGCTCAGAATTAGACCCTGCCCTGGATGGCTCCGCTCCTGTTTCACCAACACCCATCTTCAGACATCTCAGTGACGATATATCTTTCGTTGACTAACCCCTTGTGAAACCTGAAGTCCCGTCGCAGCCGCTGCCGGACCACCTGCAGGATACGCTCAGGTTCTCTCCCCGGTCTATTCCTAGACTCGAAGAGGTTGAGGAAGATGAGAAGAATTGGGATACGGCATCACGTCTAGTAGCTCCAGATTCACCGGCGTCCTATCGATTTGCGCATTCGCGAGATTCCTCCATCGAAAAGATCCCTCAGACGAACCCCCCCTTGGTCTCCCCACGACTACACGGAACACACTCGAGAAGCCCCCTTGGCGGCGTTGTTGAACGAATTATCGACCCCAAGAGCGCCGCATACGGCCACCATCGTCAAACCTCAATTGTCCACGGCATCCAACACTCGAGAAATGGCAGCTTGGCCAGCATCAGCTCCAGTCATCCCCTCAGCCCGCAGATGATTGCAGCCGCCGGCGTCGGCTTCGATCGCCCAGATATGCAATCGGTAGCCACCCGTATCGATGGCGACGCCGGCTATCCTTCACGGCCACCTACATCTCTCTCCGGAAACGCTGCAACCATGGACCGCCCCAATGCCACCGATGCTCCCTACGGCCTGACCCCACGAAAACTCGAACGAATACATAGCAAATCGCGACGCGATCATACCCCCCACCACTCTCATTCGTCTCGACATGAGCAAAAGACCGTCGGCGAATATGCGCTGCATGTTTTGTTCACCTCGGTGAGTCCAGGTTTTGGTGTTGCTGACTTGCGCCGCAACTGACTTGATGATAGTTTATTGCCCAAGCTGAAGAAAAGTTGACGGAATGTGTCACGGTCCCCTTCGACCCGGAACCCAATGTCGAACAAGTATGCGGCCCAGGTGTCGACCCAGCCTTCGATCAATTGATTGTTGCGTTGGGCCATATTGCTAGCCCCAGACCGAAAGCCTTAATAGATTCAATGATGCTATGGAGGAAAAGTAAAAGCGATGCCGCCAACGAAGCAAGAAGTCATCTTCAGCAATCTCGGAGCGCTGTGCCTGGGACCCCCCTTTTACGAAGAAACACAGAGCCAGTGCAGGCCGTGATACCTGGCCAAGGAGGCCCTGATTCTGTTTTCCCAAATGGCCCACCAACACTTGCAGCAAGACAAGAATTTGTGGCTCAAGCTGAACGCCGGTCGACAGTATCTATATACATTCTTTGTCGCGTCCTTCTCGAGGTTATCAGCCAGAGCAACCTGCCATCTATCACCCCGGAAATGGAAGAAAAGTTGGAAAATATCATTTTTGGACAGCTGAAAATTGCGGACACTGAGCAGTTGATGGTATCGCCTCTTAAGCTTGCCAACTGGAATCTTTTTGCCCAATTGCTTGGACACATGAGTGGCATCAATTTTGGTGGTGTTACCAGAAGGTTCATCGAAGACTTGGACGGCTCGCTCCAGGAACGTGTTATCAAGAGTTCGACCTCATCATTCAGTCGAGATGTTGATGGAAAGGTGGAACTTGTGCTGGGGGGTATGAAGCACCTGAAGCTCAAGATCTCACCTGAAGAGTCTTGGGAGCAGTCTTGCGATTTTCTCATCTCGCTCGGACGGCTCTTCCAGAAATCCCATGGCCAGAAAGTCAAGACAGCATTTTGCCAGGTTATAGAGATGCTACTCCTTCCAATCGCAGCAAAGGCAAGCAATAGCCATTTCATGCATCCAAAATGGGCTGGAGTACTCGCTGCTGTTGGACCACGCCTGGCTCAAATGTTTATGAAACCTAGACATTGGAACTTTGCATTCCCGCTGACTGCAACTTTACTTTGTGTTTCTTCTCCGGATAATTTTGGATCACAATGGCTGCAATTGATATTGCCCCTACAGACCAAGGTCAAGGATCGAGCCACTAAGCCTCTCTGCCTTCAAGTCATCTCTCGCTTACTGTGGACATACTTGTATCGCACTGACGAAACCTTCCAAGGCAGCCTGCGCAAGATCGACGAGGTCATGAAGCTTGTTTTGCCCTCATCCAAACGAAGTCTGGTAGCGTCTGATACTCCTTGCACTGAACCCTTGATCCAAATCATCCGAATCGTTGGCTTCAAGTATCCAGAATACTGTTTTAGGAATGTCGTGTTTCCCCTTATCAATGCTGAGCTGTTCACTTCCAACAAAGAACTGAAGGTGGAGCAGTTGGATCCTGATAGAGTCGTCGTCGGCATCAGAGCCTTTCTCATAATCATGTCGGATCTTGAGAAGGGAGAACAAGGACGACCTCCGTTCCCTCAGTTCTTTGAAACCTCGAATTCGAATCCAGTGCATGATAGGTTCCCTGTCTCCCCTGCGACGTCATCTCCTCGCAACTCCCCCCTATCACAGCCAACTGCGGCTTCGAAAGAGGAATACATAACGCGACCGGTCTTAACCCATGTCTTGAACGATGGTGTTAGGGACTTCTATCTCAAATTTTGTGAGATTCTTGGTAAAATTACGATTATATGTGATAATACTTTTGGTGGACAAGCGGCTCTCGATGAGAAGTTCAGCAGCCCCCTACCGAAAACCCCCATTACCGACACCTTCACTTTCTCCCGTAAAGATGATCACCAGAATGCTGCAGACCAGAAGCAAGCGTTCTATGAACTTCTTCATGTCGCCGTCCAGGCACTACCTCGGTGTTTATCTGTTGACATACCTTTCAACTCCCTAATCAACTTGCTGTGTACTGGAACTGCTCATGTGCAGTACAACATTGCCGAGTCTTCAGCCAATTCTTTAAAAGCCATTGCGAGACAGTCACATGCTCAACAGGTTACTATGGGCTTTGCTCGTTTTATCTTCAATTTTGACGATCGGTACTCAACAATGTCTGATGGCGGTATGCTTGGTCATAGTCATATTGAGAACACCTTGCGCTTATACGTTGAGCTGTTGCAAATATGGATTGAGGAGATTAGGCAAAAGACTAGAGACGCTGCTACAGATCAACCAGAAGCCAAGGCCTCGGACAAGCGAGCCATTAAGCTTGATATCTCTAGCATTTGGGCAGAGGTTGATCAAGCTGAAGCCCACGGGTTATTCTTCCTTTGTTCACAGTCACGACGAGTTCGCCATTTTGCGGTCACAGTGCTTCGCTTGATCGTCGAATTCGACAAAGCTCTTGGGAAGGAAGCATCTGAGGACAAGGATTCCATGAGGCTCATCGATATTCTAGAAAATGAATCCAGTCAGGTGATGGATTTTAGCGATGAGCAGCTATCTGTTGCTGAACGAAGCCGATTACAACGAGGGTTGCAAAACACCAACAATCAAGGTTGCCTTGTTGAACTCTGTGCCAGCGATGTTTCCTACGATACGACGTTGTGGTTCAAGATCTTCCCAAAACTCATTCGGATGTCCTACGAGAGATGTCCTTTTACTGTCACCATTTGTCGTGATCTTATCTGCAATCGGATTCTGCAGATGTACAAGTCGATTGTATACCTTTCCGAGCCTTCTAGAGGCTTGTATTACAATAACGAACCTGGAAGTGCTAGGCTTGGTGCACGATCTGCAACAACGCACCCTGAGGTGATGGTGGAGCAATGGAAGCTGTACCTCATATTCGCTTGCACTACACTGGCAGATCCAGGTGCTTTACCAACTGCTCAAGATCCTCAGCATGTCCGAAAAGCTTCCAAGGCATCTTCTAAAGACAAGATTGTGACAGCTCGAATGCTGTTTAAGTACCTTATTCCTCTGCTATCTGTCTCGTCCGCATCTGTTCGAGATGCTGTTGTTGTTGCCATGGGTTCTATCAACATTCATATTTACCGAACTCTACTTGAGGAACTTCAAGGTCAGGTATCTCGATGTAATGATGAGGCGCGGGCTCGAATACATCAAAGAACAAACAGCAATCCTAGGAGGAACAGAAAGATGGACCTTCTCAGAACTGAGATCACCCATGTCTTTAAGCTCACTTCGCATTTCATCAGCGAGCCAGAGGTTTACAATGGCGAGTTCTTTTTAACTACTCTCACTACATACACCAAAGATCTGAAACTTTTCCTGATGGATGGAGAAGTGCAAATGGATTGGGAGTTTCAGAAGCTCCGGCGTCATTACTGTGGACTCATGGAAGCGCTTTTCGAAGGTATCAACAGGACCAAAGATCCATCCAGATGGATGACTTTTGAATCTCGAAAATCGGCCTTCTCACTCATGGAAGACTGGTGCGGGTTTTCCCCGAATCAAAATCAGATCCGTGCCCGTGAGGATACAATGCGCCAATCGCTGATTGACCAACAGACACTAGGCGAGAGAGGTACTGCGACAGCCGCAATGGAGATAGAGAAGAGGAACCTGCGGACCGCAGCACTCAGCGCCATGGCTGCTTTGTGTGGGGGACCAATCAGTGTTACAACCGAGAGTAATGTGGTTCTTCAATTCGACGTTCGACGCATGCTTGCTTGGATCGACTCCATCTTCAACTCTGGAAGCGATAAGATGAACGTTATTGGCCGAAGAGCTCTGCAGAACCTTATCGTCCATAACCAGGAGGTACCCTACCTCCTAGAGCACTGTATTGCGCGATGCTACCTGGCAGAAGCTCCCAAGGTGCTCGAAAGCTATTTCACGGTTGTTACGCAAGTTCTTCAGGACCATCTTGACTATCCCTGTCCATTCTGGAAGTTGCTTGGCCTCTGTTTATTCACGCTGGGTAATGACCAGAGCGAGATTAGATCCAAATCTGCGTCTGTTCTTCGTGCGTTGGAGACGCGGCAACAGAGAAACTCGAAGATTCAAGATTTCGATATTAGCATCTCGGACAAAACGCAAGCGGTATACAAACTAGCCCAGTTTGAGATCTCTACACGACTTGCTAAGCAGCATACGGAATTGGCTTTTCACATTTTCTCCGAGTTCACCCTCTACTTCAAAGAATTGCAGCCTGCAGCTCAGCGAAACGTAGTTGCAGTTATGCTGCCCTGGATTCAGTCTATCGAGTTAAAGTTGGACCCAAGTGGCGGGCCTGCAGCGCAGTCGTTCGTACTACTCGCGAACCTCCTCGAGATCACTATCAAATCTAGTGGCGCGCTGCACAATGAAGTCCAAGCCCTTTGGCAGGCTCTTGCAACAGGACCTTATCCAGGAAATGTTCGCTTGGTTCTTGAGTTCATCATGCAGCTTTGTCTTGAGCGCCGAGAGCAGAACTTTGTGGAATACGCCAAGCAAATCGTTGTTTTCCTCTCAACAACGAACAGCACGCCTGGCATCAAGGTTGTGGAGTTCCTCCTCATGCAGATAACGCCAAAGGCAATGGTACCAAACGAAAAACGAGATGCTGTCGAGCCACCGGCTGATATCAATCTCTTGCCATATTGTGCCGATTTGGCCGAGGCTCTTCCAGTCGGAACGAAGCAGGCTGGGTTTTCACTCGGCCAACTTTCCTTGATTTTGCTGGTGGACTTGATGGTATCTCCCGTTCATCTCACTCAAGAGAATGTTCCCCTTTTGCTCCAGGTTGTCACTGTTCTGTGGGATCATTACACGCCACTGGTACAGGAGCAGGCACGAGAGATGCTCGTACATCTTATTCATGAAGTGGTAATTTCACAGATTGATGATCAGACTCCGGACACTAACAGGAAAGCCATCGAAGATTTGATCGACTTGATTCGTAGCCACGATCGCTCTGTCGTGTGGGGATATGAGGATAGCAACGGCAAGGTTGACAACCATGACAGTAAGGTACCGCCAAGCATGGAGTTCCTCACGTCGGAAGTCATCAAAACGTTTGAGATGACGTTCCCCAGAATCAAAGAGCATTGGGGGCGACTGTCGTTGACCTGGGCCACGTCTTGCCCTGTTCGACACCTTGCTTGCCGATCATTCCAAATATTTAGATGTGTTCTCACGTCTGTGGACCAGCCAATGCTTGGAGATATGCTCGCACGATTGTCGAACACTATTGCTGATGATGACCCCGAGATTCAATCGTTTTCTATGGAGATCTTGACGACTTTGAAGACCATCATCGTTACGCTTGAGCCGGATGACCTTCTCAGCTTCCCACAACTATTCTGGACCACATGTGCTTGTCTGGAGTCTATCAACGAGCGTGAATTCTTAGAAGCAGTTGAGATGCTCAACAGGTTTCTTACCAAACTGGATCTGAGCTCACCTAACGTCCGTCGTATACTTGCCGATGGCCAACCGGCTCGTTGGGAAGGACTGTTCGAAGGAATACAGCCTCTGCTTCATAAGGGACTGAGGTCCTCTCTTTGTTGGCAACCGACCCTTGACACGATAGACAAGCTGGTGCTTCTACCGAGTGATGGTCTAGTCGGTGATGAGAGTCGCTTGTTCTTCTCGTTACTTGCCAACTTCCCTCGCTTCTTACACGAACTTGAGAAGCCGAGTGCGGATGAAAGTGTTATTCAAACAGCGAGACTGCTCCAGGAAGAAGCTGACAATCAGGGCTTGGCTGGCATCGCTATGGCTCTGGACGACTTCGCTTTGGGGAGCCCTCAAGACAGTAACAAAGACTTCATCGTCGAGTTATGGGGATCCTTACGCGAATACTATCTCCCCAACATGGATTTCCAGATGGTGACCTTCCTGACCGGAATGCTTACCAACTCTTTGTCATGGGTAAAGGTTCAAACCATGAGAATCTTGTGTGTTGCGATCCCGGAAGTGGACATGCGTAAACCGGAATTAGCTGGCCATGGGTCCGATCTGATCTCGCCACTGCTTCGTCTGCTGCAGACAGAATTCTGCATGGAAGCGCTCGAAGTACTGGATAACATCATGACCATGTCAGGAAACCAGATGGACAAGCATCATTTGAGGATGAGCATGACACGACCGACCTCGAGAGCGATTCGAAAGGAATATGAGCGAACGCAGAGTCTGTTTGGAATACCTGAGGCATCGGGCTGGGCCATTCCCGTACCAGCAAAGAAGACGGATGCAACGCGAGCCAATATCCATGCAGCTTTCTACACTTGCCAAGGATCAGAAGGGATGCTGACTGAAACTTCACCTACCCCTGACGTGGAGTTCCATGCCGACGACTTCCCTTACAACTACTTTGGTGCACCTGAACGAACTGAGACGATGCTGTCCGATGAAGGTCGGGGTGACCACTCAGGTGATCTCGCATTCAAGCTGGATAGTCTTGATGATTTCTTCGAAGAGCCATCCAGCCCTACCACCGATGATGATGGGCGGTCTTCGAGAACAATCACAGAATACACCCCGGAGTCATTTGAGACTGGAGCTGAGCTTTACGATGAACAGATTCTCCCTATTCTACATGAAGCCTCAAACAATACGTCGTTCCAGAACGGATTCTCCGATCGGTCTCCCGGCATAATATCTCCAGGTTTACTGTCGAGAGAAACCAGCTCGAATACCATGAACCCAGGTGCCTTCAGTGTGGTCATTCCTAACATGCGTCCAGGGCTTCATGCAAGGTCTGTTACGTCGCCTTCTGCTCCAGCTTCTTACCAACCACAAATCGGTGAAATCGTTTCCGATGATGAGTATGTAGGCGGGTTCTCGGACGCTGACGATGAGAGGCCCGGGACAGGGCATACCGAAAGTGCTTTCTACCTGGAGAACATGATCAAACCCACGACGCGAAGGCCGACATCAAGGTTGAGGCGTGGTCCAAGCAGCCGTTCGCGCGATGAGCGAAGTAGGGAAAAGGCACCGCCACAGCCAGCGTCACGCTTAGCAAACAGCATATTCCCACCAGGGATGCAAGATCATGGAGAAGGCGAGATGTTATGATTATGTAGAAAAAGGACTGGCTTTAGCGGATGGCCATATTTTGAATGAATGTTGGAAACGTTTTATGATGTGTGGTATTTGTGTTGTTGGCGCTATGTCTTTGCATTTCAACTAGTCCACGGACTTGGATAGGCAATTTAACTTATAAAAGCGATTGAATGCAAAGTCATCAAATATTATACTATTATTCTACTGTATAAAAGGGTCCCTGGTGAAGTTGTGATAAGTGTTGATCTGATTAGGCGATATACCCCTTTGGTGCATATTCTGTATATGCAGATTTCATACGCATATCCTAAACTCATGGCCTATGAAAGTGAAGGATACCATCAAACATCACTGCCTCATGGAATAATGTCTATTTTGTTTCGAGGCTCTCAAATTGTCTCGAGACACATCAATCAACCAATAAGATGGACCTACAAAATTGTGAGCTCGAGGCCCTATAGCAAGAGCAAAGGGAAAACTCGCAAGCCTGCCCAGTTGATATACCCCGATGCTCCCACCAAGGAACACTCCGACCTCGCGACATTCCTATCGTATGTGGAACGCTCCAGTCTGAATAAGAGATCTACAGTTTATAGGGGCACACACTACGAATACACAGTCTCTGACACCCTGTCTCAGTATGGCTTCTTTCTCAAGCGCGTTGGGGGCCAATCAGACCGCGGCATGGATCTTCTGGGTACATGGACGCTGCCGTCAACATCGCAAACGTCAAAAGTGATCCTTCAGTGCAAAGCAGGAGCCCGGGGCCCAAGCCCTATGTACATCCGCGAGCTCAAGGGTGCTATGGGAGCAGCACCTCCAGGATGGCGCGGCACCGACGTCCTGGGCTTGCTGGTGGGTGAAAAACCAGCCACGAAAGGCGTGCAGACCGAGATGCACTCTGCGGATGTGGCGATGGGATACGTATGTTGCTCGAAAGAGGGCGAGGTTCTGCAGCTGTTGTGGAATCTCAAAGCCCAGGATATGGGGCTCGATGGAGTGTCGGTTGGTGTGAAGTACGGGGAAGGGAAGAGCCAACTTGTGCTGATCAGAGGAGGGGAGATGTTGCCGCTTTTGGAGAAGCTCAAGACTGAGGTTGAAGATGTGGTGGTTGTGCCTGCAAGTAAAGCTGAAGAGGCGGCGAGCTGATGCTGTTGATATTGTGGGTGGAGTTAGACCATGGGTACATTACTAAAGGCTACACTGTATGTTGTGATTAAAAGTTGTACTTTCAACTTGACAATCAGACGTGATATCTCTCGATAGACAATATTAAACTCATTATTATTACTTCACAGTATGTGCAACACAGCGATACGACAGCCATTGTCTGAGCTCATTTTCCAAGTTTATTAACTACGACATCGTACTGTGATGACATAACAACAAATAGAAACCGCCATTTTGGTAGTCATCTGCTATGCCTTGCGATGCCTGGACCAACTGCTTCTCCTACCACTGCCAGGTCGGACTTTCTATTTACATGCCAACCTTCGCAATGGCCTTCTTGACAGCCATGTCAATCTCCTGAAGGAGCACCTCAGGCATCTTCTTCCCGTACGACTTTGCGGCATCCTTATCCATCTCGAAGACATCGTCAAAGCTGAACTCGCCGGCGATCAAATCATCCTCAAAAAGATCCTCCGCCATGGTTCTCTCAAAGAAGTCGTACTTGCGGTCTTCGCCCTCGTGGTACTTGTGGCAGAACTGCTGCCCAACCGGTTTGCCAGCGTCGAAGCGGCATTTCCACTAGCCACCGCCCGTCTGCTGGAAAGGTTGGGTCCAGCGAGCGCTAGGTTCGTGCCATTTCTTGTCCCATATGTCAGGCTTATTCTTGTTGTTGAGCATCTGCGACTCGAGCCTCCAGACGGTCGTGAGAAATTCCTGATACTGCTTCTCTTTGCTGTTGCGTTTGTCGAGGCGAATGACGCCGGACTTGGCAAAGGTCGGGAACCACCTGGGGACGTCGACCTTCAGGGGAGTGTCCCACATGTTTTGGCGCTGGAGATCTGTTTCGGTCTTTGGAGGCAGGTAAGGGAAGTGTTGGGCCGCCCATTTGCGTTCCTCATCCTCAACAGTGTCGTCGATCGGGGCTGTCATGGGGGCAGGGAAACGAGCCTCTAGCTGCTTGGAGAGAGCTTCCTTGAAAGCTTGCCTCTTCGCGGATTTCTCTTCTTCATCTATCCACTTGGAAGCAGTGCAAACGTTGGCCGACTGCTTCTTCAGCCACTGATCGTATAGTGAAGGCTCGGGAGTTGAGTCGTGGGAAGTGCGACATTTCTTGGGAGACAGTGATCTTTCTGAAGCCAAGCTCTCCTTGCCGGGTGCAAATTCATTCGAATTTGTTGACTTCTCCTGTGGATATAGGCCTCGAAGGCTTTCGGCGTCACGAAGTATGGCCATCTGTTTCTCAGTCGGTGGGAGATGAGCATAGTCAGGACGATAGGTAAACTCGCCAGCAATCATGCCTGCAAGAGTCCCATCACAGACGGCGATCTTTCTGGTTAAACCTGAAATCTTAACTCTGTGGTCGTAGATTCCTTGCTGCATCTCAGGTCTGGGTATGCGATGCTCGACGGGCGCGGTGGTTTCGTTGAAGTCGAACTCCTTGATTGCTGTCTTTTCGGCACCCATACGTCTAGCCTCGTTCATTTGTCTGAGAATCTTGTCATGACTCTGCTGTCCCTCAGCAGTATGGGCGGCATACTCCTGGCGGATGGCACCCTGGATATGAAGGGGCTCAAGGAAATGGACTTCGCTCTCCAACTCAAGATTGAAAAGAGCCGGTTCGGGGTCTATTGGCTTGGCGAAGACTTTGGGGGTGAAGTTAAATTCATCTTCCTCAGGCCAATCTTCGTTGGCAGGGTAAGGGTAGCTGTTATCCCATTTCTTTTCTCGGTCGAAAGGCGGGATGCCAGCTGGAGGACCAACAAACTGGCCGCGAAGGATTTGATCAGGCTCATCTGCCGCAAGTTTCTTGGGCCTGATTTTCCACCTTTTCTTCTGTTCTTGTTCTAGCTCAGGGTCTTTCTTGGGCTTTTGAGGCTTCTGAGACTTCTTAGGCTTTTGATCTTTGGGCTTGGGAGGAGGAGTATGTTTGTCGACTGAAGATGCAGGGCCAGAGTGGGAGCTGCAGAGGTATTCCTCGAGGGCCTTTCGAGTTCGAGGCGTGAAGCTCTTGACGTTGCTGGGGGAGGGAGAAGAAGAGAAAGGACAGGAGTCCATCTGACGCCCGTTTCTTTTCAGTAGAGCCATTGGCTGGTACACCTTCTCGACAAGGAGATCAGGGGGAGGTTGAACACATGAGGCCGACGGATCGTTCGACGCCATGATGAAGGTTGAGATTTCGCTGTAGATTCTTCGATGCTGTGTTTCTGATAGATTCGTTTCGCAGGTGAAGATTTGTGAAGGTGTTAAATTAAGAAAAAAGAGTGTGTGTGCGAGGAGGGAGAAGTGAGTTTCTCGTTCTGCGGTGGGTGACTAGAAGCGAACAGCTGCGAACAGTCGCGCCGCAGTGCCAGTCACTCGCGTTCACCAACGCAGGCCGAACAATGAATGACAATGGAAAATCTATGTTTAAACAATAGAAACGAGAGGGGAGAATGGCAGTTAAGAGGCACTGCACAGAAGTGCCCAACATAATAGGGCGAAGAACCCACTCGTCAACGCTCGAGGGGGGAAACTCAAACGAAGTTGAATTTCAAAGCCACTTTCTGTGATCAAATAAAAGGAGAAGTAGATACACCGACTCAAACTATCGTCAACACTGAGTTTAGATGGGTAAACTACAAATGTAGTGTCCTTTCCCTCCAACTTATCAGTGCCTGACCCCTTTCTGCCATCGTGACGAGCTGACGACTCCCCCAGGCGCACCTTTACTATCAGTTAATCACAAGGCGAAATACAGATCTCGATTCCCTTTATATATAAAGATCAGACCTTGCTTCTAAACTGTTTGCTACCTTGGCCACGAGTTCTGAGTGTACACAAGATCTTTGGTGACGGTAGCATCTTCGGCGTAGACCGGTCCATACGATCAGGGTTCTCGTGGCTCGGGTTGTTTCTGCGACATTGGCCGGTTACCTATACATTGTTATCTTTGTGGCCTTCTAGAATCATTCCCTAAGCGCTTGCCGTACGCTTATATACAATAAAGTCCTTAGTCAAACGCCCCCCTTCGCCTTTGAAAATACCACGTTGTACATATTACCCGAGATACCACTCCGCGACGTGTGGCTCATCTACTCCATCAGGATGCCACAGGTCCTACCTTGACGTGCTCCCGAAGCCTCTTGGCCTCGGCTGCCCTGTCCGCTTTATCCTTCTTTCTCTGCCCTGCCTCTATCTTTGCAAACTGTCCACGCGCGCCATGCTTTAGCTTTGTGATCATATCCGCAGCCTTGCCTTTGTCCAGATTTTCTATCGTCAAAGGTTCAGCCTTGCCGCGCATCTTATTGATAAAGTCCACTTGTCCCTGCGTAGGCGGGTATGTCCTCCACTTTTGATAGCGGTGGATGAATGTGTGAGGGAACACCTTCGCCGCGAAGCTGTCTGCCCCGTGCACGGCATCAGTGAACGTAGCAGCAGTGAGGATCTCCCTTGGCATGGCATACGGGGCTTTGGACATGCCTGGTGGCAGAGCTCGTACTTCTATAGCTCGGTAAAGCGGTGCCGTAGTGTTGAACCGGTCACTAACTCTCTCGATTCGAACATAAGAGCCGTTTGGAGCTGATAGAACAAACTTTTCTCCTCCTACTTGAACCCATGCATATTTACTAATTGCGCGGATGTGCTTCTCGCCGGACGTATCGGCGATGAGATCTAGGACCGAGTCATAGTCTGTGAACGTCACACTACCAGATGCTGGCCCGGAACTTGTCTTGTAAGACAGAGGCTGCTCGGATTTGACATGTTCGGTATCCTTGATCTTGCGCAGCTCGTTCACTGTTGCCCTCTCCACCAGAATATCAGGGTCAAGGCCAAACAGCGTGGGCGTGGTTACAATTCCAGTATCCAGACTCGAGACAAGATCGATGATATGGCAGTTTTTCTTTCCTGGGTGAAGTCGCATTCCTCTACCAATCATTTGGACGAGTAGATTACGTGATCTTGTCGGTCTGCCAAGAACAATGCAGTCGATATTGGGGATATCAGTTCCTTCAGTAAAGACACCGCAGTTGACCAACACTGGGAATTCACCCCTGCGAAAAGAATCTAGGGTTTCACCTCTCTCAACTTTGGCGGTTTCTCCAGTCACATATCTCGCGTCAAAGCCGTACTGCCGGAATTGGTTTGTCAGCTCGACCACATGAGCGACGTCAACACAAAACACAAGTGTCGACTTTCTTCCCGCAGCCTTTGCCATCCAACTGCGTACAGTGATATCGTTGGTCTCGCTGGTGTTGACGGCCTTGGACAGTTCTCCGGGGAGGTAATCGCCAAAAGCGCCCTTCTTGATATCTGATAGGTTCGCTTTGGACTCGACGGTCGTAAAGATGACATCTGACAGCCACTTTTTGGATATCATGTCCACATAGTCTTTGTGGTAGACAATTTCGTCAATGGCTGCACCCAGTTTGACACCATCGAAACGTGAGAAGGTAGCAGACACACCGACCAAGTTTGGGGACTCAGGTCGCTTCTCATCCAGTCCAAAGTAACGAAGGGCCTTGAGGTAGCCTGGAGCGACGATGTGGTGGGCTTCATCAACTAGCAAGAGTTTGAATCGAGATGGGTCGAACTTCTTAAGCCGGCCCGGTGATGTGAGACTTCGTATGCTAGCAACTGTAATATCTGCTGTTCCAGTTGCATGGACGTTGCCCATCTCAATCTCGATTCTTTTATCTGGATACGCGCGTTGACAATGGTTCGCAGCTTGTTCCACAAGCTCACGGCGATGAGCCAAGATCAGTGTCTGTTGAGCGTCCTTGTTTGTTGATGGGATTCTATCTATGAGTTGTGTGAAGATAACCTTTTGAATAATGTTAAACAATTGATCTCAGAAATTGGACAAGATTACTCACTGTCTTTCCACTTCCAGTTGCTAACGATATACCAACTCTTTTATGCCCATTTTCCAAAGCAGTCAGAACCGACTCGATACATTCTTCTTGATAGTCTCGAAGTTGTAACTTGGGTGGCTCATGAGCAACAGCTGAAGCGAAGGTTCTGAAAGTCTGTGGCTTTAACACAAACAGGGATCTCGCGGCTTTGGGCCTGTAAACACATCTTGGTATAAGTCTTAACATTGTACATGATGAGGAGTGCAAAGGAAATAAGCTTTGTCTCATTGAATTGTGGTGAAAATACTAATGAATTGTTTGTCTCGACACTACGAAGATGAACAGCGACAAAAATCAGTTACGTAATCGAATTAATTGCACTAACATTCCGACCGAAACAACTGTAGAAGGCTTGCGGTTTATAAATTTTGCTAACATTATGAACAATGAATTAAAAGTCGATATTCACATTTCAGCGTGACTTTTCAGTACTAAAGGTTCTTTTTCACCTGTTTTATACCCACTCCTAACCTGGAGTACCTCTCCTTCAGTCTTCTTGTTACCATGTTTTCACCCTCTCATATTTCAACATATACCATCAACCAAAGAACATGGAGTCGGAAGCCAACCATAATCCCCTCGACGAGGATATCAATAACACAGAGCGTGTCCAGGACTTGGAAGTGAGGGAAGAGCCTCTTTCGCCACTGATATACGGACAATACGCTGCCGACCATACCGACGCATCTGGCAGCCTGTACGCTGGGAGTGATGATGAATTATATCAAGATAACTTGCAGTCTTCACTCAAAAGGCCTGCTGAAGGAGATTTAGCCCCTCGGCTTTTCAAAAGGCAAAAGGGCGTTCTCAACACCGACTATTTAGATCTTCTCAATAAGGATATCGAAGATGCTGCCCATCGGGTTTGCTTCACTGTCGACGACGAAGCATCACTACTCTACCCAAGCCAAATAGGCCTCACCTACTGGTCGGTCCCGGAGAAGAAGCTATTCTTTGAAGCCATCGCACGCTTGGGCCAGATTGACCTTCCGGGAATTGCAAACCGTATAGGCACCAAGAGCGAAATTGAGGTAAACCATCACCTTGACGTTCTTCAAAGAGCTCGGCTTTTGAGGCAGCGAGAAGTCAGACGTCCGGCCATAGAATTTTCTGAAATTCCTGCTGCGGTGGAACTTAGCCAGCAATGTTGCCATGCCTTGGATGAAGCTGCGGATGCCATCTCTGTACGCCAGGAGCGAAAAGAAGAGCAAAGAGAAGAGAGCAAATGGGGAGAGTGCTGGGACATTACTCCAAGAATCGCACGACGGCTCGATAATGGCGAGAGTGTCAGTGGGGTCGAGGGCATTCACTCATCTAAGCTCTTTAACCTCCACGCCTGGTTGAGACTATCTGAGCGCATTTTTATGAACTCGTCTATTCCTAGTGAGAACTGGGATTCTATCGATAACAGCCCACCGTCAATGTGGGCTACTACATTTGAAGACTTCCATGCTTTGGCAGTCTCTATCACAAAACGACTCGTCCAGACAACAATATTCCTCAGCATGTCAAGAATCAAAGCTAAAAAGCAACTTGTACCAACTACTCGCGAGATCATCAGAGCACAAGACGTCGAGGCAGCCGTGGCATCGTTAGGACTCGCCCATAATTCTCGTCATTTTTGGAGTAAATGCGCACGAAGACTAAGACTGGAGGTACACGAGGAGCCGCCCGATCGTGATGAGGAAGGTGAATATGAGCCTCTTAGCTACGAACAGGTTGAAAGTCTTCTGTCAAGAAGCGATGAGGATGGGGATTCAACCGCCGAACCGCAAACCGATCTGGAAGAAATCGTCAACGGCTCCGAAAACGAAGCCCTAAGCTCTGACTTTGAAGAGCCCCCTACACTATCTGACGAAGAAGGTGCTGCAATCGAACGGGAAGCGAACGAGGTGTTGCAGTTCTCGGCCGCCGACTTTCCAGAAACACACCGCAAGAAAGAGACTCTCAAGAACCGCATTGCAGTGGAGCGACGACAGGAGCAGTACGCCGAAGAGCGCGATCAGTACGTCAACTGGCAGGCTGAGGCCGAGATGTGGGATCTGCTGCATAAGAGGCCGCCTATCGAACTGCCCAAGATACCGGAACCGGGTCCGCTGCAGCGGTCGACTATGGACGTGGAGAGCATCTTTCCCATAGGAAGGGATTGGAGATACAAGACCAAGTACCGCAGCGAATGGGAGGAGGTACAGGAATAAATATTATGTGTATGGGCCGCTGGTCCTTGGCCAGTTTTGGGCCATTAAGCTTAATAAGAAGCATGCCAATAATACATATGACTTCATGCTGAGGGTATCTGAACCGTCCCATCTAAACTCTTTTTCTACGCGCGAGCCTGTTCACTTGTTTAACGCTTCCTCTTAGGTCTGGCCTTCGCTTTCGTAGTCATAACCTTTTGGCCCTTCTTGGCACCTCGTGTCGACTTGGAAACTTGTGTTTCGCTCTCCTCGGCGCTCTCTTCACTATCACCAGATGAACTTCCACTCTCCTCTTCTTCATCCTCGTCTTCCTCTTCCTCTTCTGTAGTCTCGGCTTTTTCTTGCTTCTCGGCCTTGGCCGGCGTGGCCTTCTTCTTCTGTCGCGAGGCGCTTCGTTTCGATTTAGGCGCTGGTGAAGGGGCGTCCGTACCGTCCTCTGTATCTTCTACTGAAGTACCTCTGGTCTTGGTATCACCTCTCTTGCGCTTCTTGGCTGGTGAGGATGGTGGTGAGAGGTCAAGTTGGGCGGGTGACGTCGGTGCTTCGCTAGGGTCGGCAGCGGCGCGTGCCATCATAGCATCAAAAAATTGGTCTTTGGGTAGAGAAAATTCGTTGTATCGATCTTCGGTTTCGTCTTCGTCAAAATTCTCTCGTTCATCAATTACCTCGAGATTGTAGTAGGTCTTGAGCTTCTGCCAGATGTAAGGAATGCGTGTGTGTTGGTATAGATCAGGGTCGAAGCCGTGATTCCGCAGGTGCTCCGAGATCGCTATCATTCGAAAGTGCCTGTGCATACCTACATATTGCCGTCAGTAACAGCTCGACATCTACAGAGAGACCCTAACTGACCGGCTGGTTTCCAACGAATGACACCCTTGAATAATGAAGCCACTTGATCGTCTGTCCAAAGATCGTTGTAGTTGTTATCTGGTTCTTGCTCCTTTGTCTCACTGGACGCCTCTTGGTCGCCAGTCTGGGGAGTATCAACGTCCATAGCATCGTCGTCTCGCGCGGGTGTTGGTGTCGCAGCAGTTTGGGTGCTAGCCCGCGCACGCTTTCGAGGCGCCATTATGATCGCGATGTGGTAAATAGAAAGGTGTTCAATGAAGTGACTCCCAAGTCTGTTCTGCGTGTGATGGAAGCTCTACGTGTGCTGAGCTTTTGTCTGTTAGGTATGTTAGGTGACTGTTGACCTTTCGGACCAAAAAGGATGAAGAATTCAAGCTTTAGATGATTGACAAGTTCAATTCGATGAGCTCGTTGGTCGCACTGGCTGCTAGCACTATCCGCTAGGCGATGAAATCATAAGGCAGGAGCTGACACAGTGCGTTTTTAGCGTCAAGGGTCCTGAAACGCGCCTGAAATCCACTGAAGCGCGTCACGGAAGGGCATCTTTGATTTCGCGTTGATTGCTTTCTGCTATGTAACAAGCTCAAGTTCAAGCCTAAGCCTCAAAGTCGAGATCAAAACAAGGCGCAAAGTATGGAAATGTTATAACTTCAAGTGGATTTGAGTAGGAAATAAAGATCATGACTGAACCTCAAGAGGACCCTGCCGCTGTTTTTGCCATACCGGACTTCTGGAAACCGTCAAAATGGCTGCATCAATTCGATCACGACTCTAATGCCCGCGATCCCTTCTTTTCTCCCGGTCTCACAAGTAAACTGACCCTGTTTCTTGCGTAAGAATTCCGCTGACCCGATGTATGCTAGATGATATAGACTCGGACCTTGTACAGCTGGGTGAAGTATCGGTCCAGAAAAGCGGCTTCTTCAAATTACCATCCCAGTTTGGGCCTCAGTCAGAGCCAGAGCCAGAGCCAGAGTCAGAAACGACAGTATCCCCCAACGATGGTCCAGTTCCTGTGGAAAGCGTCGACGGTGCAGAGTCTGAAGACGATATCTGGACAAGTACCGATAGGCCAGCAGAAAAGGTCCCCGAGCACAAGACCTGGGATGGCTTCATTGAAGGAACAGCAGCAGGTCAACAGCCACCTCTGATTACTGAAGCCGGAGCAACTGTCTATGATGCCTTGTTAGGCTGGTCTGTCGATCCTCTCGAGCTGAAAAGCTCGGAAGTGCCTGTCGTTGACATCAAGGCTTACTTTGCCTCCCTCCTTGCTTTGGCGCTTGGCCAGGAGTCGGTTTTATTTTCCAGGCAGGAGAAAGGCCGCTCTTTCGTCCCAGCGATACCCAGTATGCGAGTTACGGGATATTCCAAAGACGTACTTCGTGGTCTGGAAAAGCAGTGCCACAAGTGTGGCTCAATGCTTCTCGAATTGCGCTCTTTTGTCAACACTACATATGCAAAGCGTACTTCAAAGTGCGGTGTTGCTCTGGCTGGTGCTATAGACCAGATTCTGAAGGATGTTCAGCGACATGTAGCTTTGCATGGACAAACACCCCGGTCTCTTTTAGAGCTCCAGTCTACGGTCAATGGACTACTCGCGATTCTCGTACCTTTCCACAGGCTCTCTTCCAAATTTCGCAAAAATTATGGAGACGAATATGTCCTTTCTCTTGTGTTCCACGAAGCATACTCCGTCGACTACGGTGAAGAACAGCTTCGAGGGATTATGCGGGAAGTCTTGCAGAGGACTTCCTCACCCTGGATCGAGTTCTTGGAAGAATGGATCGGAACCAGACAAGAGGAAGGTATACCATTGACCAAGGCCAATGTTGGAGCAAGCAAAGGGTTTATCAAGGTCGACACAGAGAAATACACAGATGATTTCGGCCACGAGGTTGAAGATATTGACTTTCGACTGGACGAGACCAAGATGCCTCACTTTATGCCCTATGATATTGCCAAATCGATTTTCGAAACAGGCAAGAATCTGCGGTTCATTAGAGAATGTCACCCCGAGCATCCTCTGGCTTCGGCGCATATCATTAATGCGACCAACCCTCCAAAGGTCGGTTGGCTCTACGACTGGGACGCCATTGGAGACCTTGAGAAACGGGTCATCAAATATCACGATGATCTTTTGCAGGCGATCAGCGACTGCTCGCCTACCAAGCAAGTCTCCCAGCCAGGAGACTCCAATCAATCTATGGATGCTGAAAACATAACTCTACCTCATGAAGATGGCACCCCAGAAATGGGACTCATAAGTGCTCTCACAGCACGCATGGACGAGCCTTTAACGGTCGATGCGAGCATAGAAGATGCGTTGAGCCGAATCCTTCGTGAACGCCTGACACAGTCTGCTGCTCGGAAGCTCAAGCCTCCTACCAGTGGCTTTGACTTTACTCCTCATCCATCACTTCTTCCGGTGCTTTCGTTCGGAGGTATTGCCTCTGCGCAGTCCGAAGTCGTCAACCAGGAAAGTCTCAGGCTGCTATTTAACAACCACGACTTACGTGGTCATCTAAAGATGCACCGCGATTTTCACCTTTTCGGTAGCGGAATGTTCGTAAGCCGCTTGTCTCACGCCTTGTTTGACCCCGATCTTGAAACGGCCGAACGACAGGTGGGAGTTGCACGGCAAGGAGGTGTTATGGGGCTTCGTTTAGGGGGGCGAGATACTTGGCCACCGGCGTCCTCTGAATTACGCCTTGCTCTCATGGGAGTCCTTGCCGAGAGCTTCGCTTCGGACAATGAGTTTACCAGGGAGCAGCAGACCAGTATCTCGAGGGACGCGTCTGAGCTGCCAGGCGACATGAGCTTTTCTGTGCGTGATTTGACACAGGAAGAGATTGAAAAGTGCATGAACCCAGATTCGCTGGAAGCACTCGATTTTCTACGCCTATCATACAAGCCGCCCAACGCACTGTCAAGCATTATCAGTCCTGTGATCCTGACGCAGTACGATCGAATCTTCAAACTGCTGTTGAGAATTATGCGGATGGTTTATGTTGTCAACCAGTTGTTCCGAGACGTCAATGCTAGAACCACCCGTTGGAACGACCCGGAGGACATTTCCTACCGATTCACCAGAGAAGCACTTCAGTTCGTTTCCGGCATCACTTCATTCTTTATGGACGCTGGAGTTGCGATTCCTTGGGAAGCGTTTGAGGCCAAACTTGATAAAGTTCAAGCCGACTTGAAGAGTCCATCGCACATCAGGAACACGCCAGACAAGGTTGAGAGTCCTGACAGACTACGAGAGTTTCACTCGCGAGTCCTTGATCGTATCATGCTTTCTCTGTTTCTCCGAAAGCGTCAGCAGCCAGTGCTGAAGCTGCTCGATGAGATCTTCTCCACGGTCTTAGAGTACGCCAAGTTCTCTCGAATCAAAGCTTTGGGCAAAGGCCAAACGACAACGCCAGAAGAAACCCAAGAGCTGCGGCGCCTGTACAGGAATTTCAAGCAAAGGGTGCAAATCTTTATGACTGTCTGTCGAGCCTTGACGGAAAAGAGTCGATCAACGAGTAACAAGGTATCGGATGACTTGGGTTTGAAGCAGGAGGGCATTGGCGAGGATCATATGGTTGCGCAGCTTTTGATGAAGTTAGACATGAACGATTATTACACCAAGCACTAGGGAAAATATCGAGTCTAGCATGGCACGATACATATCACCGCATTGATAACGTCTCTTCCCTTTGATCACTTAGAAGCTAAACAAAATACCATTTATCAAAAACACCATCTTACAGCTCGATTCTGCAAGTCATATGCTACATGCAAAAGGCTTTGCCTGGGACAAATTATAATTACCAAATCCCATGTTTGTGTGCTGCAATAGGTACCTTAATGCGTGCTTCTTCAAATGAAATTGTTCAAGAACAACATTCATTCGAACTTATAGCCTCGTTTATAGAAAGATGAGGTTCAAATAAGAGAGGTAGGTTATGCATGGGTCTGTCCCGCCTATCCCTGGTATCCCCCACTTCGCGACCCCACGCGTCCCTCAACTCGGAGCTTGGAGGTGCTATAATGGCCGAATATTTGACACTGGTTGTAAACAAACAACTCCATCCCACTTCACATATACTCTAAAATGTCCCGACAAAGCGTAGCGGCGCGCAACCTCTCCCTCACAGAAGAGCTTGAGAGACTCGAACAGTCCATCACCCTCACCCTACAAGGTATATATGTCTATTCTTCTCTTTCGCATGCCATACTGACCTGTAACCAAAGAAATCGACCACAACTTCAGCAAGTCGCATCGCATAGTAACAACGAGTATTCTGCCTCTAGTAGAGCAGTATGGAGAGCACTCTCGTGCTGTATGGGAAGCTTCCAAGGTATAACACATACATCACTTTATCTGGCGGAACAACCAATCTGACGGCGTACAGTTCTGGAAGCAATTCTTCGAGGCCTCGGCCAATGTGTCCCTCTCCGGCTACGAGGAGCTTGCCAACGATGACGAAAGCGAAAACGTAGAAGAGAGCACGGCTATGAGGGAAGATATAACTGCGGAATACACACAGCACAACGAAGATGTCACCACCGCCACAGGTGTTGAGCAATCTGACTTCCAAGCCGATGAATCCCTCCTCGACGATGCGGAGCTCACGGGTAGTACCCCTCGGCCCGGAAAGACAAAGACTCGATTCTCCGATCTGGAATCTCCATACGAAGTAATGAAGCGCGAGATGCAAGGTGAAGAGGACGATGGCAACCATACCACGGTTCTTGACGACAACGAGGATTCTACTGTCTTGTTCGCGCAGCACACCGCCAGACTTCCCGACATGTCAATGACACCACAGAACCAGCGCGACTACACGATGACTGGAGAGCAGTCAGTTCAACCCCATCAGGACCCTCTGCTGCACCGCGTGCTGGACAAGAACTATCGCATCCAGGCAACCCCTCATAAGCCCGCTCTTCGTATCTCGCCGCTCAAGAGCGCCCAACCAAAGAGCGCCAAGAAAAATGCGCCAGCTTGGAACGACTCGCCCGGTTCGTCCCCTGAGATGGCGGTTCCGACTCTGCGTAGCGAGGTATTCATGTCGCCCTACAAGAGCAACGCACGACAGCGTCTTGCTGCGGCAACGCAAGGTCCTCGAACACCCGGTGTTAGCGTGCAGACGCCAGCGACAGCACGTAAGACAAGGGACGTTTTTGCTGGAGGTAGTGCCAAGGCCAGTGGCAAGGATAAGTTTGAAATTGATTGGGATAGTGATGAGGGAGATGAGGATATTGATCTATATGCTGGCATGAGTCCGCCCAAGACGATCCAGTTTGCGCTTCCTCCCTCGAAGCTTCTACAAACGCCTGGTGAGTTTCAATACGTTCTTATGAGAAAATTTCTTATGCTAACGTTGACTTGTAGCACGCGAAGCAAGCCAGAGGATTGTGGGCGATATTCTACTCGATGCTGGAGCGGATCCAAACTCATCTGAATACAGCCCTTCAATGGTAAAGATGAACGAGGATATCCTAGACGATAGCTTCTAGGCGCACCACTTCCAGATAGAGAGAACGAATAGTGGTGTTCATTAATGAGTATAAAAGCTAGTCTCGCATATAACCAAAAGATACCCCTCGCTTCTTTCCAATCACTGCCTACAGCCCCCTTTTATTCCACTATCTGCATCAGTCCCATCCGTGAGGTTTTCAGTGTAGACATCTACATACTGAATCGAATCTGTGCTTTGAGGGCCTGTTCCTGCATCTTCTTGGCATCGAAATCTGTTCCATTCTTCTTCTCCCCGTCCTTCTTGACTAAGGGTACAGAGGATGAAACAGTGGTAATGGAGGCGGTCTCAGGGTCGGCAGTCTTGTAGCTGCTGTACTTGGTAGTGTCTACCTGGGCTATAGTTTTGGTCAGTGTCTTACTCAACTGCCGGAAACCCTTGTAGCGTGTGCTTACTGTTGGAGTTTGTGGGAACGTTGCTGCCTGCGTTGTTGGACATGGTGACTGAGTTGAAGGGGTTTTGAGTGATTGGATTGGTTGAGTCGTTGACAGGGTTGTGATCAAGGTATTAAGCTTAATAGTTGGTTCTTGTGATGGGATGGAACTGGTGATTGCTTCTGCCTCGAAATAAAGTCCATAAGGCGTCACATCCTCCTCACTTTATACTTGCTGCCTTACAACCATCTACGTCTACAGGCCTACCTACCACCGCCCTGAGTCTTGCGTAGACTTCTACCAGGTCACTGCGTGAGTCACGACGAGAACCATTGGACCAGGCACTAGAGCTGACGAAGGAACGTAATGATAGCCTCAAGTCGGTAAACACAAGGCAATAAGGCAGTGTACGTATAGGGCTGACGAAGAACCGGGAATAGTGTACGTATGAACCGTGTAAGCCTGCATCACCATGCATGACAAGGGTGACTGACTGACGGACGCTACTTTGAGTAATTGAGAGAGCAGCATGCACAGGGATTGGGCAATTGGGTGCGGAATTGTCTAGAGACAAGCTTCTTTTGAGCCCGACACCGGGAATTTTCGATTCGCCGGTTGCTCATTTGTCTTGGCATGACATTTTCGCACGGAATTTCATAGATGAGTTCCTTTTGGAACACATGGTGTCACAGGCCAGAGGAGCTTGATGACAGTGTTCAATGTCATATACTAATACTTTAGTGGAGGATTGTTGTGTCTAAAGTCTTATTCCAGAGCAATCACTCGTCCAAGTTGCTTGCTCACCCACCTTCAGACAACAAATTGGGGTGTATTTCACCTGCATCCTCATTGATATCACGCTTGCTGAGACGTCAGTCAGCCACGTCTTACACTGATCACCATGATCAGATTGAGAATTTTGCGCAAAAGTGCTGACAGTTCTATTCAGAAAGGGCTTAGCAGAGTTTGCCCAGATATGGAAGTTTGCGTCACCGGGAATATAGCCACGCGTTGGTGCTGCAGGTCGATAATTGAAGAATCTATGCTTAAACAGGCAGCTCAGAAGATAGACATGGTTGAACTTAAATCATGGCAGCCAACACAGCCACATGTGGCTGTCTCCGAGACTGTGGCTGACTCAGGCCCCGCACCGTGCACTGACGCAGGTCAATCTTATCGATAAGCCTCCCACTAGCGCCTAGCGCGTCTGGCTTATCGGACAAATTTTCTAAATTTTTGGAAGTCAAAGGCGACAGACAAGCTGTGTTAGTTTGATGGTCCTTGAGAGTTGGTGAAGACGTCGCACGCAAACATGGAGGACCAAGTGCACAAGCCGCATCGCAAGTCCAAGGACAGAAAAGAAAAGAAGGAGCATACAGGAGGTAAGTTCTCACTATTATTAATTGCAATTTGCGACAGGCGCATGCTAACGCTGCTGCAGAGCGCAATCCAAAGGCCTTTTCTTTTGCCAGGCCCGGTAAGCTTCAAAGACAAGCCGCGAGATCGCAAGATGTAGGACATCTTCCCAACCCCTACAACGATACTCTACAATACTAATCACCATCAACAGATCAAGGAAAAGCGTCTCCATGTCCCGCTCGTCGACCGATTGCCCGACGAGGCCCCGCCTCGACTCGTTACCATCGTTGGCCCTCCCGGTGTAGGAAAGACGACTCTGATGAAGTCGCTCATTCGAAGATATGCCAAGGAAACAATTACTGACCCCCAGGGTCCCGTCACGGTTGTCACCTCCAAGAAGCAGCGCTTGACTTTTGTCGAGTGCCCCAACGAACTCGAGGCCATGGTCGATATCGCAAAGGTTGCTGACATCGTCCTTCTCATGATTGACGGAAACTATGGTTTTGAGATGGAGACTATGGAGTTCCTCAACATCCTCGCTGCAACTGGTATGCCGGGTAATGTCTTTGGTATCCTGACCCATCTCGATCTTTTCCGCAAGCCCCAGGCACTTAAGGACGCCAAGAAGAGACTCAAACGACGACTTTGGACAGAGCTTTACCAGGGTGCTCATCTCTTCTACCTTTCTGGTGTCATGAATGGCCGATATCCCGACCGAGAAATCCACAACCTGTCTCGCTTCCTCTCCGTCATGAAGAACCCTCGTCCTCTCATCTGGCGCAACTCACACCCTTACTCTATCATCGACAGCTTCCGAGATGTTACTCACCCGACCAAGATCGAAGAGGACCCCAACTGCGACCGATCAATCGTGCTATCTGGTTATCTACGAGGTACAAATTTCTCATCTCAAAACCAACGAGTCCACGTTCCCGGTGTAGGTGATTTTACCGTTTCCAATATGGAGATTATGCCAGATCCTTGTCCTACACCATCAATGGAACTGGCAATGGCCAAGATTGCAGGCAAAACTGGACGAAGACGACTTGATGAGAAGGAGAAGAAACTCCATGCCCCCATGTCCGATCGCAGTGGCTTGAAGATTGATGGTGATGCCATCTGGATTACCAGCGAAAAGGGCTTCAGCTTCGACAGAGAAGGAGAAGAAGACGAGTACGACCGAGGAGAGGGAGAAGAAATGATTGTTGGCCTTCAAGCGGAGCGAAAGCTTCTTGGTGAAATGGATGGGGGTGTGCAACTTTTCAAGGGTGGCGAGAAGATCGAAGCAGTGCCCGAAGAGGAAGACACAGGACGAAAGACACATCGCAAACCTAGGTTTGCCCAACGAGAAGAGGGTGATGAGGAGGATAATGTGGACGACGAGGGTCTTGCCAGTGGCGATGACGAAGTCGACTCGGACGCTGAGGTTGAGTTCAACGAGGGCAAGCTCGGCAAGATGTTCCGCAAGGACGCTGATAAGGACCTTGGTGATGATGATCTTGCCTTTGCAGACAGTGACTCAGATCTGGGAGCAATTTCCGGAGAGGATGAGGAGGAAGATAGTGAAGAAGAAGAAGAGTATGATTCCGACGAGGAGGCAGCGGCTTTGAGATGGAAAGACAACTTGGACGGCAACGCAATGAGACTTCACGGCAAGAGACGCTCATATCACACAAGCGACCTGGCCAGGTTCATGTACGACAATTCATTGAGCCCTGAGGATGCGTTGAATAGATGGAGAGGCGAGGAAGAGGAAGAGGAGAACATCGAGGACGATGAGGATGATGATGCTTTCTTCAAGAAGTCTAAACAAGAGAAGGAGGATGCCGTGGAGGATAGGTCAATACCCGCCTACGACTACGAGGACCTTGCCGCAAAGTGGGCATCAGAGAAGAACGTCGAGGCCCTACGGAGGAAGTTCACATCAACAGCCCTTGCCGCCGGTGATGACGAGGACGAAGAGGGTAGTGAGTTCGAAGGCCTGGATGACTCGAACGACGAAGGTGATGGTGTCTTTGAGGATCTCGAAGCCGAAGGCAAGGAGGAGCCTGCAGCTCCAACAGCCGAGGATATCGAGGCCGAGCGAGAGAAGAATGCCAAGCGAAAGGAGGAGCTCAAGATGAGATTCGAAGAGGAAGATCGCGAGGGTTTCCTGAACGACAAGGCCAATGCTCGAAGGGAAGGCGGTGATGTGCAAGAGTTTGGCGAGGATGACTGGTACGAGGCGCAAAAGGCCATGATCCAGAAGCAGCTCGACATCAACAAGGAGGAGTTCGAGAACCTCGACGAGCGTCAACGTTCTGTTGTCGAAGGCTACCGCGCCGGCAAATACGCAAAGGTTGTCCTTGAGGGCGTTCCGGCTGAATTCGTCAAGCTTTTCGATGCCCGTCGTCCTATCGTCGTGGGTGGTCTCTCCGCCACAGAAGACCGCTTTGGCTACCTCCAAGTCCGTATCAAGCGTCATCGCTGGCACAAGAAGATTCTCAAGACGAACGATCCCCTTATCTTCTCCCTTGGATGGCGTCGTTTCCAGACCATGCCAATCTACAGCACTACAGACTCGCGGACGCGTAACCGCATGCTCAAGTATACGCCTGAGCACATGCATTGTTTCGCTACCGTGTACGGTCCCTTGATCGCTCCTAATACAGGCTTCGTCTGCTTCAACTCAATGGCAGCTTCCACACCTGGCTTCCGCATTGCTGCTACAGGCACTATCCTCAGCGTCGATGAGTCCACAGAGATTGTCAAGAAGCTCAAGCTCACTGGTACGCCTGCCAAGATCTACAAGAACACCGCCTTCATCAAGGGCATGTTCAACACATCTCTAGAGATCGCAAAGTTCGAAGGTGCCTCTATCAAGACCGTCTCTGGTATTCGTGGTCAGATCAAGCGTGCCTTATCCAAGCCAGAGGGCCAATTCCGTGCCACCTTCGAAGACAAGATCCTTCTCAGCGATATCGTCTTCCTGCGTGCCTGGTACCCCATCAAGCCTCATCGTTTCTACAACCCCGTCACCAACCTCATTGGCTGGCAGCCTATGCGTCTCACAGGCCAAGTCCGCCGTGACCAAAACGTCCCTACTCCCCAGCCCAAGAACAGCCAGTACCGCCCTATCGAGCGCGAGACACGCCACTTCAACCCTCTCCGTGTCCCCCGCGCCCTCGCCGCCGAGCTGCCCTTCAAGTCCCAGATCGTCGAGACCAAGAAGCAGAAGAAGGAGACATACATGCAGAAACGCGCTGTTATCATGGCCCCCGGCTCCGAGGAGAAGAAGGCCCGCGCTCTTATGCAGCAGCTCCTCACCATCCGCAACGACGCCGCTGCCAAGCGCCGAGCTGCAAAGGATAAGAACCGTGCTGCCTTCCAGAAGAAGCTGGCCGACAACGAGGAGAAGAAGGAGGCTCGTGAGAAGCGCGAGTCCAAGGACTTTTGGCGCAAGAATGGCCGCAAGCGTGCTGCCGCTGAGGATGGCGGTGGTGGTAAGCGCAGGAAGTAAAAGGGAGGTTAAATATATCTGTCTTGGTTACATGCACCACCATATTGGGGATGTTAGAAAAGTGATAGATGTATACCTTGTTGGGTTGGCGTTTCGAGAATCAAAAAGACAGTCATACTGCATATTCAAGTCATTAAGTATAAATAATTTCTTTCATTGGCAAGGAACATTCAGATACCATGTGCTCAGGTTGAGATTCTAAATCACAATGAATTGTACACAGGTTAAAAATTAAAGTAAAGTTCAATGGTGTATCTAGAAACGAAGGTTAAGTCAATGGTATCAACCTTCAGTAAGCTACACAGTAACAATCCTAAACACCCTTCCTCGAGACGCAAACGCATAAAAAAAGCCGCGGACCAGATGCCGGAGTCTTCCCATCGACGCATTAATCAAGGGTCCATCTTTTGGCACCCTCTCCTAGACACCGGCATCTGCCCGGTCCATCCGTATTTTAACCATCTTTCATCAACGTCAACTAGAGTCGTTTGTCGCATTGCGTGCTAAGGAATGCTCCCAAAAAAACCAATTCACGCCCGGGTACAATCTGACAATCCCTTGCTCCCAATTCAAGGAAGGACGTACGCCCCAAAATGCCGTTAAACACATTCATTGCCTAGGCTAGCTATGCCTTTTCTCGGTTCGTGTACACATTGTAGTTGTATCGCACGGGTTATTTAAGAAGCAAACATAGGCTGCTTGTTGGGGACAACGGGCTCGTGGGGAAGCTCAGGGGCCGCGGTGTTGATAGCGGTGGGCTCGTTCAACTCCTCCTTGAGAGCAGCAGGAGTGGGAATCTGAGGAGCACCACCCGCGGTGGTCTTAATGGGTTCCTCGGTAGGAGGAGAGGGGAACTCGGGCTGCTTGGCAAGGACTGGCTCAGGCTTGTGGTCGATCTTCTGGCGGGAGGGAGTCTTGCCACGGAGGAGATCCTGGACCTTTCCGCTGTAGTCGCCGGCGTATTGCTTGCTGATGTTGGAAACCTGCTCCATCTGCTTTGATGCAACGTTCTGGATCTGGGCGGTCTGGCTGTTGATGATCTCAGAAGCGTGGTGAAGTTGCTCATCGATAAGCTCCTGGTTAGAAGTGTAGATCAAGGGCAGGGCAAAGGCAACGGTAGTGCCAATGAGGGCGAGACCCCAAATGGGAACAAGCTTAACGAGGAAGTAGGAGATGAAAGCAGCGACGAAAGCCTATCGACTATTAGTTGATGGTCAAAGGACTGTCAATTGAACACTTACAGCAGCGGAAGCAAAGACGTTCTCGGCGAAGATGATTCGCTGAGCCTCGATAACGAAGAAGTTGATGAGTTCGTGAACGTCCCCAATAAGGGCGTCCAGAGTCTCACGGGGAACTGTGTAGTATCGACGAGGGCGAACCTGAGTAGCGAGACCGTTGTTGAGGATAGCCTTTCCGAGGACCTCAGCGAGGATGGTCACGCCAAGGACCATCCATGAAGCCTTCAGACTCCATCGGAGAACATCTAGGTATCGGGCAGCAAAGATGGAAGTAATGATGGTCGCATAAGCGATGCCAGATGCGCCTGTCATATCACTAACATCAGTCACTGGTCATCAGAAAGGCGATAAAGATTTACTTACGAGGGTTGTTCCAGGAGAGGAGCTCGGAGAAGAAGGAGTGGTAATGTGTGAGGGGCTGGCCGGTTGCAGCGGGAGTCGCGGGAGTGCGACGAGCAGCAGCCAGGTTGGAGAGCTCGCCACCAGCCTTCTGAGTGTGGTCGTAGACGTTCTGAGCAACAGGGCCTGGAAAAGAGGAAACATTAGTTACACAGCAAAGATTAAGAGTTGCTGTGAAGGTACATACCGTTGGCGACAGATTGGTACGCAGCGGCGGCGTCTAGAAACAAGTTAGCTATTATGTTCTGCGCAAACTTAATCATGGCGGGCAGCGCTGCAGTTGCGCAATACTCGCGAGAGAAGACTGTAGAACGTTGTTAGCTAATCTGTTCAAATCGTTCCTGCGAGGCCAAGGCATTTCGGAAGCGACAAAACTTACCATACTGTTCTTGGTGGTCTCGAGAAGAGAGTTGCCGTTAGCGGCTGAAGTGTTATCAGCCATTTCGACGATCTGACGTTGAGATTGCGTGGAGAAGTGGTGCGCTCGCTGAAAGAACCGTCGGTGGTGAGTCTGGGGTTGAAGAACGGTCGTAAGAAATTATTCTGTAGAAAGCGAAAAGCGACGTGAGTAAAAGTGGCCAGAGAAATTTTGGGAGTTAAAAAGGCGACAAGGGCTGCTTTAAAGAGCTACGTAGCACGTTGCACATAGCACGTAACAGTAGCAAGCTATCTCTGTCTCGCTCCGCTCCCCGTCTCTGGGCCTACAGAGTAGCTGCAGTTGTTTTTTCCTGTCTGGCCAGCCGATAACTAAGGCAGACTTAAGGGGCGGTCCGGTCGGGGGAGCGAGGTGAGTGGTCGTGTGAGAGGAATGGGCATGTCAAGCGAGAGCAGCCCCGTCACCGGCTGAGGACCCAGGTCCAGGATAATGCATGTGAAACGTACCTTGAGAGAGAGCTAGATGTGAAGGATGCGAGTTGAGGAGGGGATATGGAAGTGAGGTGAGTATCTCGTAGAGGAGGAGAAGAGGAGAGAGTTTTGCAAAGTTTGTATGATTGATGGTGATGTGATGATGGTGGAGGGAAGAGGATTATAGAAGGAGAGAGAGATATGACGTTTAAGGCGTTCCTGTTCTCGTTTTGGAGGGGCCAGGTTTCGTCTTCCTTCCCACCTGAAGCAAGCAACGCACGGAGGGGGACACAGTGACGACAGTGACAGTGACGCCTACAGCGAAATCAGGAAAAAACTGGACTTTTCCAGAGGATACATACCTCTAACAGGCTGTCCATTCTCCGTACGATCTGGCCTTTGGCCTGAAGAAGCCCCAAGTCTAAGCCTCCAAGATTAACTCTAGGCTGGTATCCACGCCCAGTACCCGCACAAGTGCACCAGATTTATTTACTTGTCTCTTTATTGAGCCTTTGTTCGCTGAATGGAGCTTGGATGCAAAAATCCAGGGCATCCATGATGGCAGTGGAGCTCTCTAGCTCCAGGTCAGGATGACGCAGTGCTACGCTCGCTCGAAGGCCACCCAGAACCTATGAGGTACCTCTGAGACGCTCCCCACCAGACAGCATCTGCAGGTACCATCCATGTCACCAACAGTGGGAAGAAACGGAAAACGGTCCAAGCTGAGCCGTCAAACAAGGGTTAGTTCTTAATCCCGTCATCACGGCGCTGCAACGACGACATTCCAAAGCGCTGCAGCTTCTTCTTTTTCTGCCCTTTCGATGTAACAAAAAGTCAATTCCCTTTACCAATAATAGACCGAGGTCGCTGCAGACGACAGCTTACTCTTTTCAGCACCGAGAGCTTTCTGTCGTCTGACCTATCAACGGAACAATCCCTTGCAGACGCTGGCGTGGAGTCAATGAATGATGCTTTGACGTGATGATCTGGTCATTGACAATGCATGTGAAAGTCGCACTAAAAGGGGGGTCCTTTATCTCAAAATGACATGGCCCTGCCTCTCCCTCTGGAAGGCTCTAACTGAAAGAGCACAGGCCTGCATCCCTTATCACCACCAACCACTAACGGCATCGTAGCATCAGTAGAGGATAACAAGCCAAGCTATCCCTCGGGGGAAGGGCCAGATATTATATTTAATTTACTCTGTACGGCGGATAGACAAGTTGCTATTATGGAATGACTATTTCCGTAAAGTAGTGATTTGTCGTCTCCGTCCACTCGGAACCTTTCTAACAATGCAGCATCTTGTTACATCTTCATTGGCTGAAGCTTCCATCATGATCAAGACCGTCACGTCAATCAGGGCTGATCCTCAAGTGCATCATCGCGATCAGTACGTACCCTTCTCGGGGTTTGAGAAGGATCCGGAATAGACTCCTCTATCATGGCATGATTAGCGCATCACCTTCATGATTTAGTGAGTTTCGTATCGAGTGGTACCCTAAACCCTCATGCTTCTTGTGAAACGGTTCGTGTGCTCTTTTTGAAGAAATAAAGATTTTCCCACCAAGGGGGTTGGTCTGGTCTGGTCTAGCCTGGCCTTGATCCAACGATGGAGTGACAGAGATTCATCGAAAAGTACTGCATACAGGTGGATGGGATGGCATGATCCCACAATTTTCCTGCACCCCAAGATCCATGACTCCAAATGATCATCGGTTCCACATTCTCCCTCATGGACTGCGTATCACTCTGGCAGAATCGAGCATGCCGAATATAATCAGAATATAAAATGTCTTTTCAATTACATAGACGCATATATCTATCTATCAATCCGCATTATGCGGCATTTGGAGGAACCCCCACAGAAACTGCCAAATCAGCAGCACCATCTTTTGACTCCAACTCCCATGCTAAGTAGACAAACGCCCTGACATATGACGACAATGATAGTACCGTGGGTGGCACATATGGAAAACAAGGAAACCGGCCCTGACAGCCACAGCTGGCCCAACACAAAATTGTTAAAAAAAGTCCCGGAGCTTCTCGCCGTTGCGTCCCAACATATGCGCTCGATAAACATAATGCTCATACTTCCCAAAAATATGTACGAAGAATCGACAATTCCCATATCTAGACATGTCGCGAGACCCATCCGTGGATCTCGCTCGATGCTCATTAGAACTTAACCCACAACGCGGAACGCCTCTCTATCTTCGCCAACCCCAGAAACTTGCTGCAGATCCTGGAGATCCAGCATTCGGTGATGCTGGCTTCGTTGAAGCATCAGTCACGGCAGGTGCCCCGTGGCCGGACAGCAGTCCGAACATTCCACCGGGTCCGGATTGTGATGCAGATGCACTGTGGGCCGAAACGGAGCGGGACAGTCCATGAGATTTCCTCATCGACTCCAGCTTCTGTCGAGCCTCTTCAGCTTCTTGTTTGGCGACTGCCTCTGCTGTTTTGGCTTGCACGAGCTCGGCTAGCAATGCCTCGTGTTCGCTATGTGAGGGTCCAGGTGCCGTTGTGGTCACCACCGGCACGCCTGCTTCGTGGCTTTTGGGCAAAGACGACAATCGTTTGCTGAATTTGGTCGTGGCAGATGACATTGTCTCAGACTCATGAAGGTGTGGCGGGTGTGGCGGTGTAGTTTTGCTGCGATTGAGCTTGAACTCTCGAAGGCCGCCCCCAGACTTGCTTCCTCTATCCACGTCGACTTCCTTAGTTGCCTCATGCGCTGAGCTAGCTGTTGATACTCGAGACTTCAGCCCATGCATCTGCTTCTCGAGCCTTTGCCTGTCCTGGTGAAGCGTCCTAACATGTGCGTGACTTTCCCGCAGTTGCTCCTTGACACTTGCCATCTCCTGATTTAGGTCCAGTATTTGGCGACTGTATTCTTGTGATTGTGAAACAGCAGCATTGAGCTGATCTTTGGCATGATTTAGCTCGTCCTGAAGTTGAGCTTTTGATACGAGCATGGACGACTGCCGTTGGTCCTCTTCGCCCTGGAACCGCTGTTCAACCGCATTGAATAGGCTTTCGAGATCCTCGGTGGCAGAAGCGGGTTCTTCTTTACGATCCTCGTCATCGCTCGATTGGGGTTTCTCCTCCGGAGTTGGTGACTTCGACTCATCATCCTCGGCATCTGGGCTGTCTTCCTTCTCGGGCGAAACGGTAACTTGAGGGCTGCTCAATCGAGACGATGTAGAATCTGCCTTTTGTCTCAAGCCTTTTAGAAGTGACTGGACCGCCTTACGATCCTCCTGTCGATCTTCGCGTTCTCGTTGCAGCTGATTCGATAATAGGGAATGGTTGCGCTGTAGCTCACTGAGAGCGGTCAACAAGTCTTCAATCTGGCTATGCAGGTTTCGTTCGTCTGTGTTCTTATGACTTGGCGCTGTCTTGTTACTGACCGGTGTCGAATCACGCCCATCCTCGGTGTTGGAAGAGTCTCTGGACATAGCGGTCGCATCGGTCGATGTTGAACTGGTAACACTAGCCGAGCTAGCTTCCATTGAGTTCAGTGTCGACGCGATGCTTTGCTTTGATGGGCTTCGTCGCAACATACTTGTCGGTCTTGTGGGGGTAGTACTTCCTGGGCTGAGGTTGGAGGATTTGTTGTTGGTGGCCCATATACGACCCAGGAAGCGGCTAGCGGCAGTGGTTATTTCGGATCCTCGAACAGGGTTGCTGATAGCGTTCTTGGAGTCTCGGTAGCTTTGCTCAAGCTGTTGCATGTTTTCAGCCGTTACAGCACCTGTTAAACCGACAAAATCTTGAACAAATTCATCGGCGTTGTAATGATAACAATCCCAAAGGCCACGAGATAAAAGAAGTTGCATAACGTCTTCCATCTCAGTGCACGCCAATAGACGCGCCTCGTTCTTCCGCATTAGGGATAGTGCGACTCGCATTAATGTTTCGGAAGCGCCCTCAGCAAAGATCACATCGTAAGTGCGAAACAGCATCGGTAAGGGACAGGTCACAGCAAAAAAGCTGAGGAACCATTGGGAGACATATGCAGGGTCCACCTGTAGGTCGTCAAGGTGATTCGACAAGACTGGGAGGCTTTGGCGCAGTAATTCTTTGAATTGGTAAATGCGTACGTGGAGACCTGAGAGATCAGGGAGGAAGCACGCCCTTAAGTCGTACTGCTCCATGAGGCTGAGATTGTTTGTCAGTCATTACAACTCCAGCCAAGATGAGGGAGGAAAATTAGAAGAGGCTTACCGGACTAAAACACAAAATGCCTGTTTGTCGGGCATGTGCATCAGCAATGGGCCGACCAGGAAGGCCAGCCCCTGACAATAGCCAATCTTGGTGTCGTAGAGACTGAAGCACTTGAGAACACGCCCAAGCATACGTTGTCCATCACCATCTGGATCACGGAACATGTCTACTCCTGGGAAGCTTCTGCCCAGATCTTTGCCAATTATGACCTCGTAAGGACTAGTCTCACCGCAGAAACGATCAAATTGGTCTTCCAACACAGCGTCTCGAGCTCCCGACATGCTCTGCCAAACCACGCCTCGCAGGGGTGGTGGAATACCCTTCCGGATTTTGTTTGATAGAAGGGTCGGAAGTCTGGCGGCCGTTTGTTGGTAATCCTTCACGAGAGCGGCGTAGAACTCAAGATCTGTCATGGGAGGTGGCGGTAGCATCGAGTATCGTAGAGCGGGTGGAGTCGGTCCATGTACCATCTGGCGGAGCTGTGCCATTGAAGGAGGACGAGGTCTGCTAACTGCACTACGTTCAGCAGTAGCACGGTCGACGCCTTGGACTTTGACGCTTTTTGGGTTCGTAGCCAGCTTCGCATTCTCCTGTTCAAGTCGGGCCAACAGCAATGCCGTCGACTATAAACGTTAGCTTTTGTGCCTCAGGGTTCGTAACTGTCTTAGCTCACATTGTCTGTTTCTTCATCTTTGGTCTGTTCATCCTCCTTCTGCTCGAGTTGTTCCCAATTCACCTCGTCTTGGTCGTCTGACAGGTCGCCATCATCAGCTAACTCGTCTTGTAATGTTCTTGTCGTAAGAATCGGTGGCGGCATGATTGCTGTAGGAACATCCAGGGCCTCTGTATCGACAACCTCTTCTTTAGTCAATGTTTTGGGCTCGTCCTTTGGGCTCTCATCCGTATCGTCCACCGACAGTTCAGACTTGGGGGATATAGGAGTATCAGGGCAGTCGTCAACTGGTTCTTTGGTTGGTGTTGTCTGGGTTGTATCGACAACCGGGGAAGCGATAGGAGAATCGAGGGCTATGGGATCCGGCTCAGACAGCCGAACCGTTACCAAGGAGTCGTGAGCCATCTTGGGGGTCTCGGGGGCTGGGTCTTGCGCCATCATGGAATCTCGTTCAGTGGACGCGGTCAAAGGGAGAGGCTCGTGTAGGCTCTCTCTGACTTGGGCGTCCATACCGGCCCGTTAAATTGGTGGAGAGCTGTGAGAAAGTCTCTGAGACTGGAACGAAAGACACAATCCAGCACCAGTAGGCGGGCAGGAATTTACTGTGACAACGACAGACAGGGATGAGGTCTTCAGTCGCGTGTTGGGGCAGGTTTGTGTATGTCGAAAGTAAGTTAAACGGTGACAGCAAGTCAAGAAACGAGTTTGGAGGTCGAAGAAGGGACCAGCCTGCCTGTCGAAGAAGGCGCCTCAGGTACGGTTAGGTCAGTTCATCGAGTGGTGGTCCCAGAGGGTGAAACGGAGCTCCTGGGGCGATTGTCGATTTCGGAGCTGGAATCCAAACCAAACTCTAAGGACAAGCTAATTGTTTAGAGGGCGAGAGAAGGGAGCGGTGGCAATGGAGCAGCAGTTAAAACGGGTATGATGGAAAGAAAAACTTCAGGTCTCTCTCAACAATAGAGCGAGGTTGGCGGTGGAGATTGAATGTTGGGTTGGGTTTGGGTTGTCTGATTTGTATATTCACCTCCTCCGGTGAAGAAGTTGAAGCCGGCCAGGGGTAGTCCAAAATCCATAATAGGTATGGACCCTGGCAGCTGCAGTGTGCAGGCGTGTAGGAGGTGCAGTAGTGCAGGCTGCCCTGAGAGTTGAGAGGTGCCCTGAACTGAAGGCGGGTGCATTGACAAGGAACATATGGCCAATCACGATGCGTACTTTAGGCCCGCTCATTTCAACCATTCGCCAATGTCACCCTTGGGACCGTTCGGGTTCGGTTCAGCGTCCAACCTTCGACGATCCGCTTCCAGGACCGGCACTGAAGCGTCCACTCTCACTGGGCACCGGAGCTGAAGTGACGGCGGCCCGGGGGATGGTCTAAAGCAGGCCGGGGCTGGCGAGGTGACCGCCACAGAAGCATGAATGTTCTTAATCTCAAGGACAGGGGCAGGCGTTCGCGACAATAGTGAGCCATAAATGTCTTGAAGGATACGCCTGTTTATGGCGCTTTAAAACATTATGCTATTGTGCATGAGCTGTGTTGACCTTGCAACTGCTACTGTTGACCGCTCTTGACGATTTTGTTGTCGAGGTGACAATTGTCAATTGTTCATTGTCAATTCTCCCTTCACAGTCGTAGGTGGTTATTAAGTGGGTTGACTCCAGTGGCGTGCCTCCCTGGCTACCTGGTCAAGACGCGGTCACCTCCAAATGCTGCTATTACATAGTCTCTCATCACCCTCAACAATGGTTGGATATGCAGGTCCCTCACGAGAACAACCTCAGAGGCGTCGGCTGTGGCTTATGTCAAATGCACGCTTCCGGGTGCCTTGCATCCATCCTTGAGACCCTGATCAAGCAACGACAAAAGCATCTCATTGGATCCAAAGGCGTCCTCTTCCCCTCACTGATTACTCTTATTCGATCAAGGTTTGCGGCTTACTTTAACTTTGAACGATCTACCTGACCGACAACAGTTCGCTCTCTTGTTTGGTATGCGCCGATGCATAGTCACGGGCCAGTCTGGAGCTTTACGCCCGATCCATCCACTTAAGACGTCGCTTCACGATTCACGCTGTATCAAACATTTCTTTGCAACGCCTCTTACCTTTACAGAACAAGCAGGTGTTGAAATGCCAAGGAAGTCCCGTATCTCACTACTGTTCGTCAACTCTGCATCTTGTCAGGCAGATCACTTGTTTGAGATTAAAATCCTGCTTCTGCCTTAGTAACCAAAATCATATAGTGGTAAATTCTTTATTCGTGATATTCTTTTGCTTCCCGCTCTCCATTACGTAGACTTTCATTTATCTTTAATTTCATCGTGCCGTTTATCATCCTTCGCCGTTGCATTTTGTCCGTGCAGTGTTAAGAGCTCCCACAATGAGGATATAAGAGACTTCCCAGAGCGCCTTCATCATCAATATGACCATCGACCCACGGAAGTACACGTCTAGCCCCCTTCGCCATAACTAAAGAGCTACTCGTTGTAATGACGCTTTCATATGTCCCACTCACAAAACTTGTTGTCCATCCAAGTCCCTTCAGGATAGTTGACAATAACTTGTAAATGACATCAGTTCCTGTTCGCTCCCATATCATCAGACTGCAAAGGGGTACCCAAAAGTGGCTGGTCAAGATCCATATCGAAATCAATAGCGGCAAGCTGCTGAAGAGCATTGAAGGCAAGTCGGCAATGATCTCAAGCGATGGGCTTGGACGAATAGGCTTAATGGCGGCTCGGTCTTGTAGATAGCGTATTGAGTTTTTTCGAATCGGTTGAAAGATGGAATGTGAAAACAGATAGTAAACGAGGCACTCCGAACTTTCTTCTTCCACTAGATGGTCCTCTTCGATGGCGCCGTTTAGTTTTAGAGTACCGGTGTCATGATTAAAAGTCGGTTGATGCACCACGCCTTGTGGCTCGCAAGAAATGGACATTATCCATTCTTCAATGGTAGGTGAACCACTCATAATGGCTAATATGTGTATTATTGACGATTGGTTGACCGAAGCTCATGGCTCTTCGATAAAACGATTATGGGATATACATAATGAAAATGCTAAGGATGTAACAGCCAGTTGCTTAAGGCTTGTGTAGAAATGTAACGGCCTTTTATACATACATGTAGAAAAGAACGGAAACCCCGCGCAAGATAAGCATATCTACGACGGTATCTCCAGATGAAAACGTGTAGGTTTGATATCACACCATTGTGTTAACTATAATCTCTCGAAACGGAGTGCACGATGTCTCGTAGAGAGCACCCATTAGCACGTACCACATTATGGTTGGTTCTTGGATATGTCTTAAGTTAAGAGGCTTCATCCCCGGATTCAAATCCTTCATCTACTGTTCTCGCCATTGGATGTCTTTCGTCAACGATAAGATTAAACTTGGTTCGCATGCGGGGTGCACAATGCGTTCAGGTGGTATGTCCGAATATTTACGTTCTGGCAACGGAGCCAACAAAGCAGCCGGATGCAACGTTTCGGGTTATTTTGGAGGGATTTCTTTTTTGTTAAATCTATAATCAAACGTTGTGTTATTTGAGAGAGTGTTGTATAAGTGCCGATATGGGGGATTGTAAACGTTGCAAATAACGGTTGACCAATATCAACTCCATCAGCATGAGGATTCATATTCAGAGCTCAGAAGATACAAGATGATGGTCAGCGGCCTGTCTTTCAAGTTTCAACGTTAACTAAGGCATCATAGTAGATACAGGTTTATATCATTAGACCTGTGTTTCGTCGACTTCCATTGATAGCTCGAGTACCCTACCTAGGTAGAGAAGGGCTTTTACTGTAGGGGATTTAGAGACACTTGTTGGTTCCGCAGTCCTAGTCACGACCCGCAATCGTATAGAGGGGTATAATAGCATTTCTGGGATTTATATCAGACGATGTATCCGTACTCAGCCGAGAAGGTTATTATTTCTATGTCATAAGCAAATCAGGTCAGGCCCGAGGCCGTGTGTAAGTGGGGAGACACTCAACTTCCTAATCATAATCAGTTGGACCAATGGTAAGTATATATCGAGACCGAACTGAAGGTTCACTTGTGAATCCATATCATTTCAATTTTCCGATGTATATTGTGGATATTACCTTATTTGTTACGCGAACAGTCCAGTCTAAAGTACCCATGGACGGTGACAACTTTCTTATCTAATCATATAAATTTCCGTGAGACCAACCTCGACTGTCTCTGAAGAAATGCACCTATTGTCTACAGCGGTGTGACTTGCATACTGGAACATGTTCCAGACTACCTCCGCAAAAGTGGTCGGAAACATTCATATCCAAAATAGGAAGATGCGGTCGATCAGGTGAGGCAATGAGGAATTCCATTTCTTGATCCCCGCACAAGTTCCGGCACGGCGGCAGGGCGGTGAAGTAATCGGACGTGGGGGGAGTCTCTTGTGCCCGCATTCATACCACCCTACAGCATTACAAGCTGCATATCTCTCTGCTGCCATCGCGTGTGTTGACCTATCACAAAGCGCTCGAGATTCATGTCGAGCACTGGTTGATCTCATGAAACGATGAGCTCACGCATACATACATGCTGCAGCGTTCGAGCATACGGTCTAGGATGGTTCTGCAGGTCAAATGGAGCGGAAGGGCATCCGTTGTTGCAAAGGCAGTCGATGACCCGGCAGCAGGCATGAACATGGGGAACATGGGGGAATGAATGGGCTGCGGCACATTTCGAGCGGGTACTCTGTAGCCCGTGGTCTTTGTTTTTGTACCCGGATGATGGGTTGGCGATAGCGAGACGAAGCTATCGCGAGGGGTTCATTGGGTGGCCTGCGGTTACCCCCCGGATCGTCTGTGCCCGCGATAACTATAGCATGGAGTGATCTAACTAGATTTGTATATCCATCGAGATCAACATTTGTTTTGTAGACTTCAACTGCCTGGTATGTCGGTGCCGGGTTGAAAATACCGTTGGGTTTGTGACTGTGTTTGTCATACGCAAAACTTGGGTACAGATAAGGGAGAAAGAAAGGCAAACAATAAGTACCTACCACGGTGACTACGGAGTACTTGCCGATTCATGATCGAATGTCTGCCTGTCTGCTCGATCATGAGATCGGTCTTGGTTTTCCGTTACAGAGAGAGTGGATTGCCCAGGGCCGCATGTGAGACGTCTGGTCGGATCTGTTGATTTACGAATGAGTGGATCAACACACCAAGGCAAGGTTATTGCTTATTGCGACGACATGCACGAGAAGAAAGGGAATAGGAGTGCACCGTCATCATTAGGAGAGATCTTGGTTGCGCTGTATCGGTCAATAGGAGAGGCTAGATGGGTAGATATTGGACGTCAGCCAGCCTCTTATCTTCGTCTTTGGTGCACATCACCAAAGTTCTCCTCACCCACCCTGGAGTTCGGGGTTGCCAAGCTGCGAGTCAGAGCAGGCCTGACATGACAAGCCTTTTTCCCTTTCATCTCCAACTCTAGGCCCGCAGACCACGTAAATCTTTGGTAGTTAGCAGGGTTGGCTAATTTGGTGATCCACCTCCTGTACTCCTGGTCTGTTTCGCTTGTGTCCATAGGTTGGATTTGCGGCTTGCCCTACAGTCCAGCAACATTCATCTTCAAGTCTTTTGGCCACTGAGTAGTCTACCAAGACGAACACAAGCCGTTGTCTGATATAATAAGCAAAAGACCAAATCGATCACCAAAAAGAACCACCTCCTCAAAAGACTCCTTCAGCCACTACAAAGTCTTCATCCCTCACATGCTCCTCACGGCCCGCAAGCCATCGAATTTCCTTGGTTTTGCACCCTCACGTAGTGCATATAAATCGACCGTTCAGTGGACCCTTGACGTCCGTCCAAATAGAACCTGGTCCATTGGCGTTACACCCTCTCGATCCCAGAGCCGCTAAACTTCTAGTTCGTCCAGGGGCCCAGGCATGTACCTATTAGCAATGGAGTAAGCGAAGAGGTACGTGATACTCGCCTGCTTTAGCGTCGTCTGCTTCCCAAGGTTCAGTAGCGACAGCGCCCCGAGCCTTGAAGTTTGTCGTTTGGATGGACCCCAGCTATGGGCAGGGAACATCTCGCTCTCCTACACCCTCTTCCACCTACCAAGATTGTTAAAAACTTGACTCCAGTGACGGGATCTGTTGTTTGGGTTTTCTTTTTCCTTTTCATAGTCACCTAGTTTCCCGCACACTCGTTGCAGAGATCCTCTTCCCTCGCTCCGTTCGTTAAACTCCAACCCCAACTTCTATCCACTGCGCTACTCCTTATCCATGGCGCGTTGAGACAACTTCAAGCAAGGCGGAAAGCTTGCTCCCAAGTAACCCAGATACCAGCAAATGTTCTCCTCTCTACTGCGACGCCCCAGGGCTGGTCCCCGTCGAAACGATCGTCGCCGGAACACAAGTGGTTCTCCATCTCCAGGTCCTGCTCGAAGGCCTTATACGCTAGAACGACATGCAACGGCCGATTTCACGGAAGCCGACGACGACGATGGTGATGATACTCAGGATGAGGCGTTGAACCGGTTTCAGAGAAATGACCGTCGTACGAATAATGATGGTGATGAGGATGAGGATGAGGAGGAGGAGGAGGAGGAGGAGGACGACGACGACAACAACGATGGTGAAGAAGACGGGCCAGACGAGGATAACCAACGCCGACTGCCTGTTCTTCCTTTATTTTCTGCCACTCATTTGGGTACGTAACATAAATTCTGGTTATACCATATTTCCAATGGCTGGCTCGGGCTATGCTAACGTTTCTTTTACAGATTCATTGCCTGTATATAGCATAACGCATGCCATTCGAATCATCATCTCAACACGCACCGAGACGACACTATCATGGGACCAGCTTCGTTCACCACAGGTCTCCCAGTTTCTGGTCAAGCCTATGCAACAACAGATTCGCGCCCAGCATTTCAACCGCGCAACGCTGTATGCTCTCATGATCAACTGTCTCCAGTTCAACAAGGAGGGTGAACGCTACCCTGGCAATGCAGGAATTAGTAGCACTCGTGCCAAGGTTTGCGAATTGCTGACCCTCAAGCTCCTCAAGGAGTACAACACTCGAGAACTTATCGATGCCCTTGCCTATGACTTTTACCCCCTCCAAGGCCTTCCCGGAGCTGAGGCGCCTACGGATCCACGAAAATCACCACCGATCAATAAGCTGCCCCTAATTGCATCTCGAACATCGACTCTCGAGGTTGCAATTCGAGCCTCAGCCAAGCACTTGCTTGCTCATCCCCTTGTTGTCCAGCAACTGGAAGCAATCTGGAGTGGTGCAATTACCTTCCATTCATCTGCCGATAGCTTACATCGCGAGCCTCCACCAACCACCGGCCGCACTTCGAATGGATACCTGGGAAAGGCGGACGACAGGACTCCTCTGCTTGGACATGTTGCTCAGAAGAAATCGTATTTTACCCCTCCAGGGCGTCGTACGGCGTCGCTCTACGATCCTCGACAAGCGTCTCTCCTGAAGCTCTCCCGGCTGCGAGTTCCCCGATACAGGTCTTTCCTGTCGACAATCTCGCTTGCGGTCCTGATTGGACTTTTCCTTGCTGTTCTTGCTGAGCGTTCGGTTCAGATCACTGGTCTGGAATTGATTTTCTGGTTCTGGAGCGCTGGCTTCATGCTTGATGAGCTCGTAGGATTCAACGAGCAGGGGTTCGCACTCTACATCATGAGCTTTTGGAATATTTTCGATCTTGGTATTCTGTTATTGCTTATGGTCTACTACTGCATGCGAGCGTATGGCGTTTTTCTGGTAGATCCTCATCACTGGAATGACATGGCGTACGATGTTCTTGCGGCCAATGCCATTCTACTCCTTCCACGTATCTTCAGCATATTGGATCACTACCAATACTTTTCACAGCTTCTTATCGCTTTTCGGTTGATGGCTGTTGACCTTGTTGCGGTTTTTGTTCTCATCGGAATTCTTTGCAGTGGATTCTTCTTCTTTTTCACCTTGACAAAGAACTCATTCGGGGCGAGTGACGTTGCATATAAGATCTTTCAGATTCTTATGGGCTTTACCCCTGCAGCATGGGAAGTGTAAGTATACTATGAGATCACCTATGAAACAAAGCTAATAGTTGACAGATGGGATCAGTATAATTGGTTAGGGAGAGCCTTGCTGGTCCTTTTCCTGAGCATTTGTCATTTCCTCGTTGTGTAAGTTCAATTTTTACTTTTTCTGTTTACTTTGCTAACCAGTCTAGGACTATCTTGATTACAGTCTTGACCAACTCATTCATGGAAGTCGCCAAAAATGCCAACGAAGAGCATCAGTAAGTTGTTGATCTTCTCTGACATTGATGTATTTTGTGCTAATGACGCCTCAGATATCTATTCGCCATCAACACTATCTCCATGGTGAAGAATGATGCGCTTTTCTCATATATTGCACCCAGCAATATCTTTGCATGGCTTCTCATGCCTCTGCGGTATTTCATGCCGCTGAGACATTTTGTGTGGTTGAACCGAACAGTAATCAAGTTCACCCATTTCCCAGTACTATTCTGTATCTACTTGTACGAGAGGTACTGGCTTGCTCCGTCCATGTATGAGCCAACCGACTTGGTGGAACATCCAACTCGCGACCGAGGTCGACACATTTCCTTTATGGATCCTGCAGGCCGCGCTGGCATCTTTAGTCCAAGCATTAGAGTTCGTGAGGAATCAGTTGCCGGCTTCCAGAAGGATCGAGCCCTTGAGGAAGTGTTCAGGCGCCTGCCTGATCCCCTCACGCTTAGGACACAGAGGCGCCAAGAGAGACGGAAGACACAGACAGCCATTCGTAACTGGATGGATCAACACGACGATAACGATCAGTCACCAGGCAACTGGCAAGCACAGGAGAATACCGCAACTCCTTGGCAGCGAAGATCTAGTGTCGGTCTTCTTCGCACCACCAATTTAAGGCGTGTTTCAGACGTCAGATCAATAGCGAGCGATCCTGCTGATCTGATCTCCAATGCTGGTCAACCCTTCCGAGAATCTCGTTTCCCCAAGGCTCGCTTGGCGGGCGGCACGTCCGAGTACAAGGATCAGACCGACGCAGACGGAGACGACGAGCTGGTGACAAATGACGAGGATGAGGATGATCGAGGCACAAATGCTGGACGAAGCCAGGTCACCAGAAACCACCGAATCCAAGAGGAAGCGGACAGCTATTTTGCACCAAATGCCAATAACTTTGGAAAACTGGCATCTTCTGTGAGCTCAATTGGGAAGAACTCGAGCAAGAACATGCCTCCGACCCCTCGACCCAAACGAGGTGCGCACAACCGAACACTTTCGACAAACACGATTCTCTTCAACCCACAAGACTTCAAGCAGGTGAAGAGCGCTTCATCGGTCTCGCCACCTCTTCCCGGCCAGTCCCGTCCACGAACAAGTGGACGTACGACAGCTGGAGAGAAAACACCAAGACGCAGCTCACCGCGCCGCTCTATGTATGTGACTACCACCAAGCCTCGGCCAGTATTGCCTCCACGAGGTATTACCGAGGCTGGTGCTGTTAGTCGATCTGCCATGCTCAGCATTGAGCCACGAAACCGCCCCAAGGATGTCAGAAGGTTGTCCTCAGTTGACCTGAGTGCCATGTCTGATCATGTTGGAGTGGATCCTATCGGAGCTATGCCAGGCAGCTTCCAGACGCAAATGGCGATGGCAATGATGAAGGACAATCGGCTGCGGACGGCCGGTGGTAACGACTCCGGCGACCGCGACAGAATGGGAAGGCTAGTGCTGGCTAGAATGAAGACACTAGAGGAAAGCTTTGCGGAAGTGATCAGGGAGATGCGGGATCTGAAGAAGTCATCGACAGTCCCTACTACACGACTTAATTCGTCAGGAGAGGAGGGAGGCCTGCAACAGATCATCGAAGTGGCTGGACGAGATCGACTCAAGAAGTACGGCGTTGACAACGGCCAACGCAAAGTGGCGTCTAAGCGACCTGTCAGCCGACGAAGCTTGACTAAGGAGTCCAAGACCTCGTGGGATTACAAGGGGAAGGGTAAGGAGATAGCATACGAGTCTGATGATGAGGCGGAGACAGACGAAAGCTTCCTTCAGAAGGGAGGCTCATTGTAACAAAAAGGGGGGACATGGCATAGGTGGGAGTTTGGTCAAAACTTTTGTTGTTCGTGTATATTGTAGGTTTAATGGGTGCATTAGGCGTCGAGAAAGCATTGGGGACCATGAAAGCATTGGGGGAGGTCAAGGTCGGAGTAGTGGTGGTAATTAGCCGGTAACTTGACCGGAAAGCTGTAGAGTTATGATGCATTTATGCTCAAGTTAATGGTATTGACGAATGTTGCTCTTCTAGAGAGTCTCTTTTACTAAGCTGTTAAGACGATTGTAAGATATTATAATGCTAGTACCACACACAATCAACTTCGAATATAATCATTCTGAACCTTTATTGACTGTGACGGCCGCTATGGCAACGATGGCTGAGGTAGTTCTCCAATACGACTATGTAGGTAAATACAGACAGGAGAGTTTGAGAGGTGGTTCAGGGTTGCCTGGGAAAGACGGACAACGTGGGGGTGTGAAAATGATTTCTGCACAGCGGGGTAAGTTCTGCGGGGGGGTACCATCTGGATAAGTCGGTTTATAGGTACTGAGCAATACCTACCTGATATAAAAACACCTAGAACAGATAGATACACAAGCGAGAGAGATTCAATGTGAATATAAATAAGAGTATAGTAACCCAGCATTATGCGCACTATTTACTACACGCATAGTGTAGTAATATCATACCTAAAGATGCTGTAGTTGGAAACATACAAGTACGGTTACCCTAAACTTGACCCTGGTAAATCTGGTGACTATTGTTAGACTCACGGTTTATACAATTCCTAAATTCGGAGGTTTTTGATGTTAGCGTTCAAAATAGCGCCCGTTAAGACTGGGATATCCAGTAGGGACATGTTCAGTGAATGCTTTATTCTCGATTGCGTTCATAATCGCCATCATGAGAGCCCGAGCAATTACAAAGTTAAGCCGCCTTACTAACTCATGCATATACGTCCAACAAATACATGCACAAGCTGGCGAATTAGGAATGAAACGGGAATCGAGATTCGGCTTGGTGCTTTTCTTTGCTTGACTCATAAACAAAAGTCTTACCCGGTGATCGGACAGTCAAGTCGGCTGAGCTTTGAGCTGCATGTCGTGGCATTGGATGGCAGCCTCAAGGCAACCATCCACCTCCCACCTATCAAAGGCCAAAAACTCAGGCATCAGCTTTTACTTGCATGTGGATGAGAGGGGTTGGGTTGGCTGTAAGTACACTTATAGGCGTAATTGCTGTATTGTACTTCTGTAGGGCTGGATCGGCGCTTGACATTTACTTACCGTCAGCCCGTGACTTGTCCATCCCTTCCATGCTACCTTCCATCCCAAACTCCCCATACCTGGCCTGGCATCTGACATCCCCTCTCTTGTAAAAGTAAATCAACACTTCTTCATTCTCCAATATCCAACTTAATCAATCAACTCAACCTTTGCTACTCTGCTTATACTTGACTCGACCTGACCGGGCCTGGTCTGCATTCTCAGGCCTTACACAGCCTACAACCTTCCGTCATACTACCTAGATTCTATCCGTACACAGCCTCTGAGTCGCCTACCAACAATATAGCCTTGAGTCAGCCTACCACAAGCAACATTTGGATACCATATCAGCTATATCTACAATCTACGGACTGTGGAAACTTGTACACACTTTTGCTTGCTTGTTATTCACGATCTTCGATTGTCTCTGCTCCCTTGTTTTTACCAGTCTAGACATTCCCGGTATTAAAGTCCCCAGCAACACTGGCGAGGACCACGTCCACATACCTACTATGGCTTCCCACGATGAGTGGCAAAGCGGTTACCAGCATACGGTGCCAAACGCATGGACTGATGGACTCTATCATCTTCAGCAACAACACCAACAACAGAACACTTCACCACAACCTGCGCCACTCGAACAGAATCAAGACCAAGACCAAGACCAAGACCAAGACGATGTGCCAACAACCCTGGAACTTTTAGAACGACCCCGGCCCATCTCAAGTTGGAAGGGCAGTTGTTTCAACAAACCTACCACTTATTACGGCAACACAATAGGGAAATTGATGTGCAAACAGGATATTGAGGACACTCGCAACTTTGAGCTTTACCGTCTTCATTCCGTTCGTTTCGAGTTGAACCAAGGAGACACTCTTGTTTTCATCGACTATCCCACTCACAATAGCATCGACCATACTGACTGTAATGGCATTTTTTACAAGTCCCAAGAACTCCGTGTTCACTCCGACAAGTTGCTCGAGACTGGTTCTTCTAAATTCGCCGAAATGCTTGGTCCTACATACCAGTTCAGAATCCAACGTCGTCGGAAAATGGTCAACAAGTTGCCAGAGGGCATCAAGTATCTACTGGATTTGACTCCGCCTTCAGAAGGAGATGAACTGGTATTCCAGATGACTGAGCTATCTCTGACTCCTGCAATTACCAAGTGGTGGAGCTCATACATGATGCACACCGTTGACCCGTTGCTTGTCACTGGACACGCCGATGTTTGCACATGCAACAGATATCCAAAGGCCGAAGCAAGTGATGAGGAAGCAGTAAAAAAGGAGGATTGTTCTGGAACCGTTCAGAATGATACAGAATCCACGAATGGATCGATGCCCAACCAGCACAAAAAATCTAAAAAGGCGAAGGAGCCTTTGATACCTCTTCACCCAGAACGCGCTCTACAGATGAAAGCTGGGAATGATAACGAGGTCTATGTAACACCCTCATACCGACGTGTCCCAGATTACTGCCCGATTCGCCACCGAAATGGCATTCTGAGGTTGCTCATGCTCATCGAAGGCAAGGGAATTATACTCGACTCGGCAATTCGAGTATGGACAATGGTTAAGATCGGTACCATCTTTGATTGCACTTCTATCCTCCGGGATCGTGTCACTCAATGGATTATGCATGGACAGAACACTACTTTCATCGAGGTGTTGCCTGAAGAAGCTTTGCAGATCGCGTTCGCCCTCAAAATCCCACAAGTTGCAGAGAGTTCTTTTCGAATTCTCGTCAATGAACTAGCCCTGAAATTGGCCGCCGACAAAGATTCGTACAAAGAGCCCAGTCAGACCACGATTTTCGGGAGAAGAGTGGGTGATTTACCTGACGAGCTCAGAAACCTCGTACAGCATGCAGCCCAGGCGCTTGTCGACAGAGTTTCAGAGGTTGATGCTACAATGCGAAATGCGGAATTGTATGACTTTTGGGATATCGAAGAGTGGAAAAAATTGCGAAAGATTGAGCAACTTCTCACGGAAGAAAATACACCTCTCGGTCAAGAAGCACTCGCCAGTATTCGGCTTCTCATGGATGCCCTGGTCTTCGAGGTCACACAGACGTGGGACGAAGTTATGACAAGCCCACCAGCATATAATCACGAGACCTATTCGAGTATCGATTTAGACCGTCTGACATACGTGGAGCCCAGGGATTTTGAGAAATCTCCTGTCATCATGCAATTCTTCAACCCGGTCCAGATGCTGCTATGCGCAGCACCTTACAACGATGTTGGGGTGGCCCTAGATGGCCGAAGATGGCCCACTGTCCGATGCAAGTTGGCTGGCCACAGACACACATTATACGCAACGCTGGTGCGAGAAGCAACACTTGCCTTGTACGGCTTTCTGGCATGTAATCAGAGACTTACAAGCAATGCTCAATGGGGAAAAATTCTTCATGATCGCCCGTTTCCGTTGATGGGCATGACAGCCTCGCTATATAGGCCCATCGTCTCGCTCATTGCCATAGAGCTCGACGTCAAGAAGGCAGTTGGCCAAATCACTCTCTCCTGGACACGCAACATGATCGAACCGCCGCTTAACAATACGCGTCATCTACTACTGACCCTCAATGACAACGAGCTAAAGTATCTCCCTCTTTGGTGTGGAGGCTGTGACGATGGGACAGGGGGAGTTTTTGAGGAGCCTATCCCAGAAACTTCGATGGGCGCCAATGGACCAGGCCCTGCATACCACACCGGACACACAATCCCTTCTACACCTTCGAGTATCAACGGCTCCATGATTGACGATATGGATGCCTTAAGAGTCTGGGGTAGCACAACAGGAGCCTCGATTAATGTTCACGATAGCATATCAACTGTGTACAGGGCAGACCAGGTGATTGCTCCAGACGTGTCTATAGCCTCGGACTCTTTCACTGCCGGCGAGTCTGAGTATTCCAACGCCAGGTATGCCGTGCCTGCGGATCATCAGGCAATGGGGGAAGCGATCAACATGACCGTTGAAACAACAGACTCGGAATCAGCATCTTCAGCTACGACTGAAGGTTGGAACACTCCGGATGAAGAAAGTAACGACAGTGACAATGATATGTACATGTGGACCGCCGATAGTGACAGCGACGACAGCACAGCTACTATTTCTTAACCATGAGATATATGGGAAGGGATATTTGGTATACGGGATAACAGCACTAGAATCAGGATGTCACGATTGGTTAACTACTATTTTGTATGGGCATAGACGAAGACACATGAATTTAAAACTTACACAACCAGTACATGCGCATGCTGAGGGTATCATTCCTTGTGTATTTTCCGGTACCTGCAATGCATGTATAAACGCTGAACCCTCCACATTACCGACCCTTTTCAAACGCCGATGCCATAATCCTTCCTATTTTAATGTACTCCATTCTCAATTCATATAATTCAGCCCCTGTTGAGAGTATTGCCTGCTCCCTTGGGGTTGTGATCCACGAACTCGTCCCACTCACGTTGCTTGTACATCTCACGATCCACAGCGTCGATGTCATCCTCGTCCACAACCTTCTTCTCCTCCACGCCGCCCTGGAGAATGTTTCCTTGTCTCTTCTCCTCCTCGAGATACTCGTCGATAGACATGGTCGGTAGGTTGTGTCCTGAGCGGAACACGTCTCGGGCCATTTGGTCTCGGGAACCAACAAGTGTGAATGGCTGCAGTGGCTTACCCTGCTTCGAAAGCAGTGGGCCACCCTGGAGAGACTGGAGGCGGCGGAGGGGCTGGTCGAGACGGTACGAGTGATCATCCGCAGATGGTATGTTGGTGGTGGAGGGTGCGAGCGGTCGGGGCGCGTGAGCGAGAATCTCAACCTCGCGGTTCATCGAATCCAGCGCTTGGAGAGCAGAGTGCACCGCAAAGGTGATCTGCGTTAGGTACAGCTCCCGCACGAGCTCCTCATCGCCCTCCTCCACATACCGCGGATTCCGCCTCAACATCTCCAGCTTCTCCTTCAGCGCCTTCTCCGCGCGATAATTCGCAATCTTGCCATCCCGCCGCGCCGAAGCATCGTTACTCGCCACCACAGCAAAGCTCTCAGGTTCGTCACGGTATCGCTCAAGAACACGATTGTAAGGCGCCTGCACGAGCCCGTAGCCGTCGACAGCGGCAAGGAAGCGCTCGTATGCGGCGCGAGACTTGGCGAGGATTTCGAGGCGCGAATCGGGGCTCTGATTAGGGGTCTTCTGAACAAGTTCTGCGATGTAGGAGTCGAGAAGAAGATAGGGAAGATCAGATGTAGAGACGTCCTCGATACCTTCGTTAGGCGAGAAGAGGGCGAGAGCTGAGATCTGATCGCGCGCGGAGGCGTAGAGCGAAAGTGCGGCTTCCAAGTCGGAGCGGTAGGTGGGTGATGTTGCTTCGAAGGCGTTTTCTAGAGCGCGACGCTTTTCCTCGGCTGCTTCGTAGAGGGAGCGGAGGGATTGGGGTTCTTGTGAAGTCATTTTATATGTTATTTTGCTGTGATGTGAAGATTGTTGGAGGCAAATGAGCGAGTGGGTGGCATGGAGGGGCTAGAGGGGGATGATAAATCGGACCCTTGAAGATCCAAACAGCCCCGCGCTAACTCCAAAGCTCTTATCGATAAGAAATATCCCGACTGTATGTACATGTTACCTGCTGGAAGGTCACAAACACAAACTTCATTTCTCCTCACGGACATGGGCAAGTGTTTGTCAAGTTATTCATTTTGTACAAGCTAGTAATATGTTGAATGATACGAAATGCCGATCATATATGGATATCAAATAAACAGCCAGGCCTAAAGCAAAGCCATGCATCCTTGGACGCCCTGAACGCAAACCATAAATACTAAACCAGATTCATCCCCTCAACGTCTTTTATCATACCGACTGCTGCCGGTTACCATCCATGCCCGCCAAACAATGCAACCATATCGAAGAGCCGATCCTCGTGGTTTTAGAAACAATAACTAACGACATTTAGTACCGACAAGCTTTCATCTGCTTGCTGGACGAATCTAATCCTCATCGTCGTCCATCTCAAAAGGATCGTCACTCTCATCTTCGTCTGGCTGCACCACCGACGAGTCATCGTCAATCACAACAGGTCTTCTGGAAGCAGCAGCACGGCCGGGTCGCGCTCTTGAAGAAGCCTTGGGAGGAGGTGAGTCTGGCTCGGCCATTTCCTCATCAGAATCATCATCAATCACTGACTTCTTTACAGCCTTCTTAGCCGCATATGCCTTTGCTGCGGGCGACAGGGTAGTTTGCTTGGTGGCAGGACGTGAGGCAACCTTTGCTGCAGCTGTCTTGGTAGCCTTTGCCGTTGCTTTAGGAGCGGCCTTGGGCTTCGCTGGCTCTTTGCTCTTCGCAGCAGCAGGACGACCCCGGCCCTTCTTGATTGTGGCAAGACCGGCTGGAGCTGGCTCTTCCGAGTCCGTACTGGTAGGTTTGGACTTGGTCGCTGCTGGCTTGGCTGGAGCAACGTAAGGCTCATCATCAGAAAGGAAACTATCGATGTGATCCTCCTTGGTGGCTGTCTTGTGTGGTGACGACTTGGCGAGAAGCTCATAGTTGGTATCGTCGGGACTGTCATCGTCGAAGTCAAAAGCCTTGGCTGACTTGGGCTTTGTCTTGGAAAGTCCGCTGGTGCTGGCGTTGCCCTGGCTGGAATCTGGTCTACTCATGGCATGTAAACTAAACCTGCCCCTTTCGCGCTCACCAGCAGGCTTGTCAATGCCCTTGACAAGCGCACCGACATCACCGAGCATCTGGTCATCGTCACTTTCAGAGTCGTCGTCGATCACTGCCTTGACCCTAGCTGCTGCAGCTCGTTTGACGCGTCCGGTGTCTGGTGCTTCTGTAGGTGGTGATTGGGACGTCTTGACAGCAGGTGCCGATGACTTGCTGCGGCTCAGGGCAGCATAATCATCATCGGAGAAAGCGTCCGAGAGCTCCATGACATTGGCCGCATTGGCGGCAGGCTCTTTCTTGACCTTTGGCTTGGAGCTGAACATCTCAGCAAAGCGTTGCGCGCTCTTCGTCTCCGTCTTGACCGCTGGCTTAGCTGCTGCTGCAGCTGCAGCTTTTGGTCTACCGCGGGCCTTCTTGTCAGGTACAAAATCGTCATCATCCTTGGCTTTACGACCGCGCGCGGTGCCAGCACCTATCTTTTTAGAAACGCGGCGGCCCAAGCGTCGGATGTTTGTCTTGATCTCAGCATCGACTGCAAGTTGGTTCTCCCACTCGAGCGAGAAGTCATCAAGATCGCGACACCAGAGGTCCTTTTCACTGAGGGCAAGAAGCTCGTCATGCTCCCCCTTCTTCTTCTCGATAGCCTGCATGAGCCTTTCAAGACGCTCAGCCGTTAGAGACCAAATGGGCATCTACTTCGGGTTAGTTCGATACTATGGCTAATTTCAGCAGAGCACTTACCGAGAGAAGATAGTCGTAATCACGAGCACCATTGTCCAAGTCACCCTCGACATCCTGGTTTTCTTCGCCCTCATCTTCCTCATCTGCAGTCTTCTTCTTGTCACCACCACCAGGGGGAAAAGCCTCGTAATCACGATCTCGAAGCTCTTGCACAAGTATAGCCTTCTTCTTCTTGCCAACCAGAAGTTCTGAATCGATAATCTCCTTGATGAACCTTGCCTGGTTCTTCAGTTTGCGATAGTCTGCATGGTACACCGCTAGCCAGTGTTTCTAACAACGTTAGCTGAGATCTTCTCAAATGTCGATTGATCACTTACCTTTCGATCAGTGTACATCTCGAGACGGAAGTGGTAAAACTCTTCCAGAATGTCCTCAACCTTCGCATACTTACGAATGCGACCCGAGGTATCGAACGCAACCAAATTGGAGGTAGCGACCTGTTTGAGGAGCTTGAAACGCTCAAGGACGCCTTCTTCCATGACTTTACCCATGTGCTTTTCGTCCACAGCAATTTCAAAGTGAACAGTGCTGTGATCGTTGAATTCCTTGTAATCCTTGATCCAGGAAGGGCCCTTGGTGGCTGCGATGATTTCCTCCAACTTTGCCTTGAAGTCGTCCGTCCACATGCGGATAGGTAATTCTGTAATGACGATTTCGTTGTCCTTTTGCTCATTGGCATAAGCGACACCATTGAACTTGTAACGATCAGGACCAGCAGCCTCGGGCGAGCCCTTCCAGCCACGGAACCAAGGTGTCATGGCCTCGAATGGCCTTTCCTCAATATCGCCCTCAGTCTCACGACCCATTCGGCGCTTCAAGTTTCGAACGATGTCTTCTGGATGGTAGTTAGGGATGGAGGTGCTCCAACCTGTACCGATACCATCGGCACCGTTGACGAGAACCATGGGCAGGATTGGGGCATAAACCATCGGTTCGATCTTCTTGCCATCTTCGTAGTGATGGAGAAGATTTGGCTCATCCATGGGGTGAAAGATCTTGCGGGCAAAGGGCGATAGGCGAGTAAATGTGTAACGAGGACTAGCAGCATCAGAGCCACCGGCAAGTCGAGAACCGAAGTTTCCACTGGGCTCCAAGCAGTTGATGTTGTTTGAGCCCACAAAGTTCTGAGCAAGGCCTATAATGGTCTGCTGAAGAGACTGCTCACCGTGGTGGTACGCCGTTTGTTCGGACACATAACCAGCCAATTCAACAACCTTCTTATCCTTGACAATGTTTCTCTTGAAGCAAGCATAGATGACCTTGCGCTGACCAGGCTTGAAACCATCCAAAACGGACGGGATGGATCGCATGTTGTCAGCCATACTGAAGAGAATAAGCTCTTTGTTGATGAAGTCGGTGTACGAAATCGACTTGCTCGAATGATCCAAGTAAGTTCCAGGCACAAAATTGCCGAGCCACTCTTTTCTTGCATCAGCCTTCTTTTTGGAAAAAGCTAATTCGAAGAGGCTGGATTCCTCGGACTTCATAACGTCGAACTCCTTCAAATGGTCATCGAGATTTGTGAAATACACCTGTGCGTCTTCATTGGAGCTGGTTCCCAGACCCTTGAAGTACTTGGAATGCCATCGAGTGAGTTCATTCTTGTGATCATCCTTCCACTCCTCGTACTCAGGCTGCGTGAAGAATGACTTGAGGCGCTGGGGCTTTTTGGGGTTTGGACCTTGCCAGACCTTGACAATTGGTGTGATGAACTCGCGGAAAAAGTCAGGAATCTTGAGAAGTGATGGATACGCCACTTCTAAGAAGTTGATGAGTAGTCCTTTGATATGACTACCATCATGATCCTGATCGGCCATGATCATCAGATGTCCATATCGAAGGTTCTTCGTGTCTGTATACGTTGCCTTGTGCTTGAGACCCAGGAACTGTTTGATGTTGCTAATCTCTGCGTTTTTCGCGATTTGCTCAGTAGAAGCGTCACGCACATTGAGTAACTTTCCACGAAGTGGGAAGACACCAATACGGTCGGGGTCGAGAATGGCACGGCCAGAAACAGCCAAACCCTTGGCGGAGTCACCTTCAGTCAAGATCAGGGTGCATTCGTGCCCTCTTCTGGTACCAGCAAAGTTGGCTTCAACTAATTTGGCGTTGTTCACTCGACTTCGCTTGCTTCCGTCACCTTTAGCCAGCATTTTGTCGGCCTTCTTCTCCGCAAAATCCAAGATGTTCTGTAGGGCATCGGATTTTGCGATTTTCTTGAGGAAGTCATCGCCTAGACTGCATTTGCTACCAAACTGACTAGGCTTCGTAGTCATCTGCTCCTTGGTTTGCGATGTAAAAGCTGGGTTGTTGATGTAGCAGTTGATAAAGATGAAAATGTGGTTGCGTAGGTGATTCTGCTTCAAAGAATGACCCTTGCGCTTCTTGTTCAGGACCTCGAGGAGATGTTTTGTGACCTGATCAGCGACGTAGTTTACATGAGTACCACCGCTAGTTGTAGCGATGGAGTTGACGAACGACACTTGTTGGAAAGTACCGTCAGAGACAGCGAAGCCAACCTCCCATCGAGGATGGCCCTTGTCCTTGTCCATTTCTACGGTGCAGGTCGGAGCACCGCCCTCTTCGTTGCTACGCTCCTTTGCGATAGACTTGGCGTATAGATCACAGTATGCCTTGAAGTCCTTGATCTTGATCTGCTCGTTGTTGAGGTACACCTTGATGCCTCGAATCGTGCCCACCATATCGTAGACTCTTCGGTATAGGAGAGACTCTAGATCATCATCAATGCCATCCTCCATACCAAAGCGCTTGAAGTCGGGTTTGAAAGTAATTCGGGTGAAGTCGGCACTTTTGCTGCTGGTGATCTTGGCCTTGTGCACTGTTTGCATGTTGTTGGTCCAAGTCTGCTTGTACCTCTTGCCATGCTCACTGTTTTGGCACTCGAGATTGAATTCAGTACTGAAGACGTTGCACAGCTTGGCACCGTAACCGTTACGGCCACCAACGGTCTTCTTCTCGTCGTCGTCGAAGTTGGAACCCGCCAACAAATGTCCGAAGATAAGCTCAGGGATGTAGATCTTCTCCTTCTCGTGAATCTCGATAGGAATACCCTTTCCGTTATTCTCAACGCTGATCACACCCTCCGCACGGTTGATGTTGATCTTCATGTAATTCATGGAAGGATCGCGCTGCTTGTTATCGGCAGCGTTAACCAAGATCTCGTCAAAGATCTTGTAGAGACCAGGGACGAAGTTGACAGCCTTGTATTCCATCTGTTCACTCTCCTTGTTCAGAACCCACATCTGCTGCTCTGTCCTTTCCACAGAGCCGATGTATGTGTCAGGTCGCAGGAGAATGTGATCAAGCTGGGAGAGCTTGGTGTACGTTTCGGTGGCTGTCTTGGGTTTGCTGGATTTGGCGGGTTTGGCGGGGCTGTCGATGTCCATGTCGTCGTTCTCGATCTCATCTAACATGGCGGCGGAGGATTTGCTGGTTGTCGTGTCTTTCTTTTGCTTCTTAGCTTTGGGAGGGGGGTTGGAGAGACCCGAGACATCGCTCATAGCTTCATCATCGCTCTCAGGGGTTGGGCGCTTCTTGGGCGCAGCCTTTGTTTTAAGAGTACTTTGCACCATTTTCTTTGGGGCAGGCCGCGCAGCAGCTTTCTTTGGGGCGGCTTTTGGTTTTGCCTTCTACAACAAGAGAGTCAGATTGAGTTTGCAGGTAAAGGCTGGTTTTGGGTTTGAGGAGATGCTTGATTAAGAGAAGGAAGATGCGATGCGGGCTGACAACGGAATGGGTCAGGCAGTAGGAGGCAAACAGGCATTCATTATGCAGTATTGAATGCCCTATGAATGAGAAATAGGCAGATGGAATATTACTTACGGTTTCGGGGACAAAACCATCCGATTCCTCCCCCATACTGAAGATGGACTCGTCGGAATCCATTTTGCCGGAGTTTGTAGTGGGAGAAAAGAATCTGACTTGAGGCGTCAGGGCAGAATTTAAGAACGAATAAGTTGGGCACAAGGGGAAAAATGGTGGACGAGTTGTAAAGAAAGGGTTTATTAGTGAGGGACGAAGAAGGCGAGCAAGGGGGTTGCGCGCGCGCAGAGTCGCGAAAATAAAAAAGAAGGAACAAGAGGTGATACACTTCCCATCCACAGCTAAAACAAGCCTATTCCGAATGTTGTTGTGACAATCAAGGGTCTTGATTGTAAACAAATCTTACAGGGACGCGATCGCGGTGGCCCACTTCTGGTTGAATGTGGGGCTATTGGTTTATGCCTCAGGCTCTAATTTTATCCAAACAAACGCCAGACCTCGTGACTTGGCACCTGATCTGGCATCTCAGGACTTGATGTAGAATGAACGTCTAAGTGAAGCTTGGTCGATTGCTATGGTATTCATTGTTGCATCTCTCAGGCACTCGCCATGGAGATTCATCAGCCGAGTTCTATCACGTCCCGGCTTAATTGAGTTCGTTTGCTTCCAGCTTGATGTCTCTCGCCTATGGTTTGCTCACATATGGGATGAACCTACGGAGTAGAGACTCAAGACGAGATTTACTGTCGGGTCAAGTCCCCTTCAAGTCCAAAACCTCCTTTCAGTTTAATTAAAGGGCACCAAAAACCATCTACAAAGCAAACTAGAAGTCAGCAATCCGCCACTGTTGCCCCGTTTCATTTACGCTTCGGCTCGTGCCACACGTTCCACAAGCTTTCCAGAATAGGAGCTTCCCCCATGGAGAGAACGGCAACTGACAACTTGGACATCCGAACGGGCTTGATTTAATCGTATCGCAGTCGCTTATTCCCCGAAACGAACCTGTCAAGCTCGAAGTCAGACATGCACCGGTCTCAGCCTGGATTAGCGGGCCGAGTCAAAACGTGCAACTTGGGGCGAAGGATGGCCTCTGCCAAATACCCGTGTGTGTCCATGGGATAAGGATTAGTATTCAGCCATTGCCTATTCTCCTGGTTTCACCGTCTTCGAGATTAGCTTCACTGAGCCTGGCCGTATCACCACCAAGAGCTTCAACGAGGCATCGAATATCGATCGCCTTATGCCACCATACCTGAGTATCCCTGTGCAGGCGACCAGATTGCCTTACCAACAAAGCCAGTCCCCTGATCTCTTTGACTCCTCTGCGCTGTATCTTCCCTGCATCTGCTTTCGTGATTAGTCAATACTTTTCATCCTTCTCTCTGCCAGTTCCTGAACCAGGATTCGGTCAGAATTTCGCAGCACGCCCAAACACAACAACACACCCACTGCCTCTATCTTCATCCAGAGCAATTCTTCGACGCAAGGGCACAGACTCATGGCACACGGATGGAGAAGGCAAAACGGTAACACCGCCCGAATATCGATGCAGGGAACCGCTATACGTATTTGGCTGAGGCATGATGCAAAGGAAGTGTTAGCTCGCCATGGTTTCCCGCTGTGTTACCGGCCGAAATCGTGCAATCATCTGAAACCAAGGCTTTGAGAACTTAATAAGGTATTTCCATGCTCTGATACCGATATGGACAATCACTTGCTTCCGAATTCGTCGTAGCCGGTCCGATAAGCTTAGCAGGAGGCCAAACATGTCGTCCAGCTATCAGAATTAGACACGAATGTCATATACGGCCCAGGATTAGGAATGCCAAGATGCCTAGACAGTGCCGCACACACTGAAATGATGGAGATTGCGACGGTGTTCTATCAAGAGATGCCATTTCCCGTTGCTGGGCTCTGCTTCCACCCTTTACCGAGAGCCCAAGGGAGTGACCGATGAGTTGCGATGGAATTGCACCTTCAGTGTCAACCTCGAATTACTGGGCAGAAGACCCGACTCCGGAAGAGTGTCGGTGCCCGAGCCGTCGGCTGGTCGCGTCAGATGTGAGGAATTTCGCGAGACGATGTTGATGGTTCTATTAGAGGTCATCGATCTGGGTGAGTATGGCTGTATATTTCCATTAAGCGGTCGACAGAAGCGCGAGGAAGAAATATAAGTTTATACCAGCAGCGATTGAACTACAACATCGCGTTTCCCATACGAGGATACGATTCTATTGCACCATCGGTATGTGATGCATGGTACCGACTAGACTCCTCGAATTGACCACTATTGGCCTCACGGTACCTTGAGCCTGTGGTAACTACTTGTCCGAATAATGCAGACCGCCCGCCAAAGATTCTGAGGGGCGGGCGTATTGGGCATAGGCTTGTGTTCCCTCTCGGGGATTTTTCTTGTGCGTGTACGCCTGAGAGCTCGTGAGAGTAACAAGGACAAGAAACATGACAGGCTGTTTCTATCTTCGCCGTGACAGATGGTCTAGGAAGGAAAGGCTAACAAACCAAGTTCTGGAAGCGCCGTCGAACTCTTACCAAGCAGCATGCTATACTGTCGGTGTAGTTAACAGCGGATACGCGCAGCTCTTTTGTTGTTGAAAGAAAGGTCCATGATAGCAAGGGTCATATCACGCCCCCCCATCAGTAGCGATGGGAGACACGTCTGATAGGATCCTCGGCAATGTTGATTTGCAAGCTTGCCCAGCAAGGAGACGGGTGCCTTGTAGCTGTCAGCTGTCATACTGACACGTGGGGGCGACTCGAGCAAAACTAAGGGAGGGTTGAGATTAATCCAGGCCTTTAGTGACAGCAAAGCCCGCCGGTTTTTGTTGTACAGACATGGGAAAACAGACTGGGGTAGAAGCTCCTGGACGATGTGGTATGCAAGCATCCGTCTGTACTTCATTTTCTACTCTGAGCTCGTGGGGCGGTCTCTAACGAAGCAAGGCAGCCAATTCGTTGTCCGAGTTGATCTGTTGCGGCTCAAAGTTCAGTCCCCATATCCTACTTCCTGGATGAGCTGGAGAGGTGGGCAGTCAATCAAAGAGGGACGAACTGCAATAACAATTGGATAGGATGGTGATCCTGGGGTGCCCTGTCGAGTTCGAAGCAGAGATGAAGAGGCAACGCGGGAGTGTGACGGACGGTACAGCGTGGAAGCTGGCCTATCCGCATCCAACAGCTCCCAAACTACACCCCCTGTTGCAGTTCCCTCTGCCTTATGGGCCTCCTAATGCGGAGGAGAAGTCTGAGGCACGTAGGGAATCTGTTTGATAAAGCGGGACTTTGGACTCACACGCAACCTTTGTAGGCGGCTGGGCAAAACCGTAGCCGTGGGACACGACGTGCCTATTCATATTCATCAAACTATCTAGAGCCCTCGTCCTTACATTTGTTTTCAAGGCTCCCAGCTGAGCTCAGTCTCTTTCATTTCATCTTGGCTACCTTGTTCCGATATCGTTCCGTCATCTATCACTTTGGTGGCTGTCTCTAGTATCTGCTAGCACGAGGCGGTGGGAGCTCGTCACCAGAGCTCTCCCCCCTTTGAGAGCCAGTTTTGATACTCAGGGAACAAAGGAAACGCGAAGGAGAGTATCGGCCTGACCGAATAAAGTCGTGACCGACTTTTGGAGTTGCAGGTTTCCGAGCAGCTTTGAACGCTGGGCCAGGGGGGTTCTTTCTCCATCACCGCGTCTTGGTACACGCAGGCATATTTGCCCTTCCCCGAGTTGTTTGTCAAGCTGAGGAGTTACTTGAAAGGCGAAAGAGTTTCCACCAGCTGTTGCGTTGCGGTCGTCTGTCCTTCCCTGCAATCCAGAAGTAGTTATATCACGGCCGCTGCCCGCCTGTGCTCTCCAAACCACTTGGCTGAGCCATCTATCTCCCTACGGCAGAGTATCTGGCCTCCTGCATCCTGCGAGCGTTCTGTTTTATTTCAAGTCAAAAGTTCTGGAAATTGTGGCAAACTTCACTGGCTTCCATCATGTTATCCCTTAAAGGCCTTCTGAATCCTGCCCCGTCCGGCGAAGAGGATGCTTCCCCTTTCTGTCGACCAAGTCCCACGCCCGAGTTTCTACCAGTCCCGAACAACGGAGAGTCTTCTAATCAAGCAAGAGATCGTTCTATGCTATCTAGATTCAAGGACCCAAACAACATGGCCAAGTCAAAGCTGCGTGGTCAAGTCAGATTTTCCCCTTTCGAAAACCTGAACGAGGTGGCTTTGCATGAAATTCACAGATTTCGAGTCACCCCGTTTGGTCACATCCAGGAAACATGCCTTCATATCCCATATAACAGTGGCAAAAAGGACTTCTTCGAAAAGACTGGGCGAGAGAGCTTTGAGGGTAAGTCTTTAGTGCTACTTGGCCGCCGGTGACTGATTCGGGGTTTGCAGTCTTCAAATACGAGTTTGCTCTTCCCGGAGAGAGCGCTGAGTATCCTGTAATGTGGGATTATAATATTGGTCTTGTTCGCATGACCCCTTTCTTCAAATGTCGCGGCTATGGAAAGGCAAGTAGAATGGAAAAAGTTGGAGAACAGGTGTACTGACCATGGAACAGACGATGCCAGCGAAGATGTTGGGCCTTAATCCCGGCCTCAAAGAGATTACACATAGCATTACTGGAGGTTCTATAGTTGCTCAAGGTATGTTAAAGTTCCCAGGACCGTCTACTGCGTCGCTCACCATTCTAAATAGGCTACTGGATGCCATACCAGTGTGCCAGAGCTATCTGCGCAACCTTTTGTTATCCCATCGCTGGGGCTTTGATACCCATATTTGGCCCGACGTTTCCAAACACTTGCATCCCTCCCAATAACCCTGAATTCGGCAGAATGATTATCGATCCGCAGTTGATCACCGACGCTACGCGTGAAGCCGAGATGGCTCGGCGTATGCACATGAATACAATCCCACCTAGCTTCCACGGCGCTACAAGTTTCCCGAGAAACGATCGGAGTATTTCTCAAGGCATCCATTCACAAGAAGAACGCCGGCATCAGTATAGACCGCGTCTGTTTTGTGACCCAGCGTGGGCGGTGGAAAACGACACCGACCACCCCTACATGTCTGCCCCTAACTCGGCGTCGAGTAACGGATCAGGGTTACCTGGATACATGATGACATCTCGACCGGGCTCTAGCTGGACTCCTGCGAACCAACGGAGTCCCGAGCCCAACCCTTGGCTCAGTGCCATACCTCGCGATACGCATTCGCAGCAAGAAATAACTCTTCCCACCGCTGCGTGGGGGCCTAAACGCCGATTCGGCGATGAGGACTGGGGATCTAGCTATAGAGGAAGTGCCAGTCCCATTGTCAGTACAACGTCTATTGTCATGACCCCGGAAGCCAGCCCTGTGACAGAGCGAGTGATCAAGGTGCCTACCGCCGCAACAGATATGGCCCAGAAGAACGCGGCCTTGCTTCTATTAAATCTCAGCATGCAGGAACAAGGACCCTCCGCTCCTAATACCGTCGGCTCACCTCCAACTGTCCCCATGGAAGAACCGGCGTTGGGAGATGAACATCGCAGCAAAAGACACCGAGCCACACCATTTTGAGTCTGGGAGGAGACAGTTGGATATCATTTCTTATCGGGTAGAGATCTATAGAATGGAATAGCTCGGGCATTTGTTTTTATCTCAACCTCATCGTTACTACCATCACCATCCCACAGTCTTTTCGTACTGGCATATTTGGGTATAGCATATCATCAAGGAAAAGGGGGAGATAGTTGAGGGAAAAGTTAGTAATCATAACTTCGTTAGCCAACCACACAAACACTCTTGTAAAACATATTCAACTTTTTTTGTTCTTATCCTCCATCTACAATCATTTCGCTTCTCCCTTCTCAGCCGCCCTCTTTGCCTTGTGCTCCTTAGTCCACGCCTCCGCCTTATTCTTGGGCACGACAAAGATCCTCATCACCTCGTCTACCACCTCAACCTTGCCCGTGCCCAGGACCTTGAGCAGAGGCACCCGCTTGCCCATCTTGAGCAAACCGCCCTGTGCAGTTTCCACAAACGCCTCCACGTTTGCAGTCGTATACGCACCCTCCTTGTCCCACGGCAGAGGGAAGATGTAGCTCAGATGATCCTCGAGCGAATGTGTTTCCTCAAAGGCCTTGACAAAATCAGACTCCAGGTGCAGAGGGTACAGCAGCACCGTTGGGAACGCAAGCGTGCTTCGTGGGTCATCAGGGTCAGGGAGGAGTGCGATTGCTGCATCTTCCATCTCTGGCGGCTGCGCTGTTGTGCGCGTGGGGATATTCCTCGCCCGCAGAGCAGCCTTGATGAGCAGCGCTCTTCGCTTCACCTTAGCCTCACGCTCAGCATCCCTTTTCTTCCGCGCGTCAATCTCCTTGGCTCGCTTGATAATATCGTCCGCCACAGCGCGCAGCGACGCATTTGTCTCGTCTAGCGAAAGACCGCGGGCGCAAACATCATCAGCCTCTGCGATGCGATCCACAGCGAGAAGGGCGCGCGCACTGCGGAAGTAAGCCTTGATGTTCCGCGGGTTAAGACGCAGCGCCGCAGCACAATCCAGCCAGCAGCTGCGGTAGTTCTTGACAGCGAGATGGCACGCAGCACGGTTAACGTACAGCGCCTCAAGAGTCTCGCGCTGCTTCTGAATCTCCTCTTCCGTGTCAACGACACCCTCCTGATTCTTGGTCTGCTCGCCCCTAGCGCGCTTGCGCTCTTCACCGGCGAGGATAGCAACTCCTTTCCCGTAAAACTCCTTTGCGTCAACGTAGTTCTTGATCTTGAAGTACTCGTTTCCGCGCTCCTTGAACTCCTGGCCATTCTCTAGGGGCGTACCCTCATAGGCAAGAGCCTGCAGCGCAGCGAGGTCGACATTCTCCTCGGTATCGTCGAGCTCTGTCATGAAGAGCGGCGACTTGTTGAGGTCCTGCCATACTTCATCGACTGTCTTTCCGCTGGTTATGGCGCGGGCTGGTGGGAGTTCAGGTTTTGTCGCATCTGCTGCGCCGGGTTGAGATTCCGACGAGGCCTGCCCCAGGTTCATGGCCTCTTCTATCTTGTCGGTGATATCCTCGATTTTCATTTTTGACTCGTTTTGCAGATAACTCTGCTACTTTTTTCTACAAAGAATTTTGCTGTGAGTCTTATGCCTCAGATGTCATTAGTGGGTCAATCTGAGGTGACTTGATACTGTAAAAATTCGGGCTTCTCCAACTTTTGGTGGGCGGCAAAATTTAATTGGGCATAAACTCAGCACATCTTCCCTCACAACATAAATATTCAAGAGCCATCAGTTGCAAGTCAAATGGTAGAATTACCTTTTCTGATATAACTAATTCCCGAGTCACAGATATAGTAGACAATAGTTGGTAAATAACTTCTATTTCTATTTCTCATTCTAGAAACCCTATCCTATGTGTATCTTTTGTCGTGGTAACGAATCCTTTTCATGACCAAAACGCACACTGGCACACTTCCTTTTAGTTGACCAACTCCTATCTCAAACGAAAAAGCCAATTCCGCTCAAATCAACCGTTATGCGTGGGGATATATACATGACTTCGTAAACAACGGTCATAATAAAAGCAAGGCAACATCAAACTCCCTCTCTATGCAGATATATCTTCATAACAAAACCAAAACTCCAAACTAGTGTGGCTGGCAGAACGGGAAAAAAGTAATATTACTTGCTCGTAAGCAAACAAGTCTCAAATATGTGTCAAAGAAAATCCAATATGGATTTGGCGTTTAGACTGAGTTGAGTATACGCTGTTGTCGCCTGTTTCAAGACGAGTCGTAGAACTCGGTTTCGGTGACCTCAACAGTCTGCTTGCGAGGCAGAGCGGGGGCCTCCTCGGAAACAACCTGGTTGCACTTACGAGGCACCCAGAAGCACTGGAAGGCTCCAAAGATAGCAACGACAGCACTGCCATACCAGGCGAGGGCAGAGCAGTTAGACTTGCTACCAACGGTCCACAAGAATCCAGCAACAGGAGAGGCGACCATTCGGCAAGCGGCGCCAGCGCTGGCAGCCAAACCGTTGACTCTACCAAGAGCGCTGGCACTGGGTGTAGCCTCCTTGATCAAGATCAACAAGAGAGGATAGAGAATGATGGAAAGGATGTTGCGAACGATAAGGCAACCGTAGATGGCAGGGTATGTCAGACACTCAGGGACAAGAAGCAGCATGGGCATCAGAATGTAGATCGTCGGGTGGAGGACCGTGACAAGGAGGAACAGGCGGTAAGTTCCAACCTTCTTAACAGCCCAAGGGAAGATAAAGACCTGGATAAACAGAGCAATGCCTCCGTCGAAAGCCATGATCATTCCAACATCTTGGAGAGTCATACCCAGACCACCGGGAGAGTAGAAGGGGAAGATGGAGACGCCCTTGATCATCTCCGTGACGCTGGCGCGATCCGCTTCGAAAAAGATTGGCAGGAGGTGATCGAAACTCATAGAGTGATAAGTGAAGATGGACAAGGCAACGATTAAGCCCACAACGCGACGGTTCCAGATCTTGGAGGGGACAACCATTATATCCTTTTCGTTCTCGATGCAAGAAGCATCCCATGCCTCGTTCAAATCATCACCGAGGTTCTCGATAGCACCGTAGGCTTCAGGCTCGAGCTCGGTTGCCATCCTGTTCGAAGATACAAGCAGAGGTGTTTCCTCGGAAGGACGGTACTCGGAGACCGGAACGTGCTTGGTTTGCATATCGGGATGGGTCTCCTCAAGGAGAAGTAGGCCGAGCACAATGCTCACGAGCAGCAGTCCTGAGCAGATGAGGTTGGGTAGCAAGTACGGATAACGGTAGAAGAAGCTGCTGGTAGGGAAAGCTTCAGGCCAAGTATCGTGGGGGTGCGCAAACATGCCGCCAATAGAAGGGCCTACGATGGTTCCGATACTCCAGACGAAGGGCATGATAGAGAACGCACGTGCTATAAAACGTTAGTCAGTTGACATGGAATAGTTTCGTGGTAGAGGGTTAGACTCACGCTCGTGTTCGGGCTTGGTAACCAGCTCGCCGACCATAGTTTGGATGACGCCGATGTTCCCGTTAAGCAGACCTCCCAGAGCACGACCAAACAGAGCAACGCCAAAGCTAGGAGCCATTCCCATCATCAACATGCTAATCATAGTACCAACAGATCCGATGATCAAAACAGGCTTTCGGCCGATGCGATCGGACAGAGAACCCCAGTAAGTTCCCATGACAGCCTCTGCAAGAGAAAAGGCCGAGATAAGGATACCGGAGTAGAATGAAGCATCTTCCTCCTTACCGATATGGAAGTCCTTGACGAGAGCCCAGGCGTAGGGAAAAATGGATGTCAAGGCAATAGGCTCGGCTAGTCGGACAATGGCTTATAGAGAGTTAGCACATGATACTGAAGAAGTTAACTGTTGTCGTTGTACTCACCCAGCAGAAAGAGCTGCATGGCGGGGAAGGCATCCGGGTCACGAGGACCAGTACGAAATATAGCCATGGCGGTTTGTGTAATGGATAAGGGCTTGGATGGAATAAATGCCTATCGTTGAACTCAATTAAGAGGACAGGCTGGTGGGCTACACGACTAAACTCGTAGGCTTGGACAAAGCGACGTGCCCTTCGATAGATGGATCAATGGAAGGCGAGAGGGATTGCTGGCTTTGTGAGTAGATGTGAGATGAACCCAAAGGTCAATGGCAATGTGACGATAACCCAAGGCGATGGATGGATGGAGAGTGAAATATGGCCTCGTGCTCTTTTAGAAATGAAGAGTGGCTTGCTTGTTTGCTTGGAGGGGCAAATAGTCAGTGGGGTGTGATTTCACGAGGAAACCGACAGAATCACAACAGTCAAGATGGAAGACAGCCCTTTAGTGGAAGGGAAGCGATTCAAAATTGAGGATTGAGTTTGGAGGAGAGAGAGTTAACTGAGAGTAAATAGAGAAAAGTCAATCACGAAGGGGAAGCCCGAGGGTGGGAGACGAGATATTTCTATTGAGCAGGAGGTCCAGTCGAGCAGGAGTACGGAGTAGAGTTGGAGGTAAAGGGAAGGAACAAGCCCCGTGTAAGTGCGGCAACGCCTGTTGGTGGAGACCGACCGCGACCGCAATCGCAATTAAGCCAAGTTTCCAAGCTTGGAAGAAGCCCAGAGCGCTCCTCCTCCACTGGGCCCTTTTTTTCTCTTCTCTTTGCCCTGGCTGATAAGGTCGACTGCCTACCTCGGGCGGAAAAGGAAAAAACGGCAGAGAGGGAAAGAGAGCCTACCAAGGTAACAGTAATACCAAACGCTAACCCCCCAGCAAGCGCGGTAGAAGCTTCGTTTGCAGCATGTGGGGCGCGTTTCGGTTGTCCTTGTTGCTGGGAGTTGCATACACCATCAGCAGAATTTGGACCAACGGCTGCATACGACAAGTCCGAGAAAAGGAAGATTCACGGGTAGAGCAACACCGGGCGCGGCCACAGTGAGACAAAGTTTTTTGCCTGATCTCGGCTGCTTTCCTTGTCTTTGCTTGGTCTTGGTGTTGTGTCAGGGAGATAAGAGGATGTGAATTATTTGTTTCTATGTAGCAATTGCCTTGTCTTTGGTGTTTCCGTTCACAGCCGCAGCAAAAGTCGATGCACCTACCTCTCGTAATGCGAATATCGATCGACTTGGTTCATGGTTCATCTGTTTTCAGTTTGAGACACACCGAGATAAACCACACCGTTTTCTTGGTCCCTTCTTGTGCTGCTGGCGACTGCAGACCAAAGGTGTCTCGTGATACAGACCAGACTTTTGCTCTGCGGACCATCGCTGCGTAGAAGAATGCCCGGGCTATCGGCAGGTGATCACTTGGACAAAGCGAGTGAATGGAGCTCTCATCGTGGGACGGGGACCGATGGAGACACGACAGAGAGACTCACGTTCGTGTGTTCCTTGAGGAGCCAGCAACTAACTAACGTTAACGTCTTGGACGGGGGTGGAGGGCGGAGGGGGGCCATCCTCGGGAGCGTCCTGGTGTCCTGGATTTTGCATGCAGCTAAAGAGAAGATACGACTCGTGATTGGACGGCTTGGCCGACAGTGGTCTGTGTCATAACTCTCCATCCTCAACCTCGCATGCATGTCGATTGCCGGTGGGCCACCACATTATCCACATTCGAGGCCAGTGCTTCTAGCGTATGACTTTAACGAGTATGTAAGGATTGACCGTATGTAATGATTGGCCAAGTTCTTTGCTGTGAACCCCGCCACCATTGCAGAGTGCCATTGAAAATTCTCACTCCTAAGTTGTCGTTGCATTCGGAGCCGATGACCGGGCATCGACTACTAATCAAGGGCTGGCTGGCTGTGCTCTTGACTCTTGAACCATTCTTTTCGTAACAACAACTGTTAAGCGCTATGCAACGACTCAAGACATGGCTTGGTTTGGATGAGAACTCAAACTACCGTGCCTCAGCCATCCCGGGTCCATGGAAATGTATGAATAAGCCTATGACAACAGCATTTGGGGTAAAAACCCCCCATTGATCAGATTTTGGAATGCCACTCTGCACCACCATCACGATGATGTCGTTTGATTCATGATTCTCTTTCTCCATATGACCCGTGTCTGTAACCCTCGCGTATCCAACTCATAACCTCTCCACCTCCAAAGCCTTGGCTGAATCCCAGTCATCCAGATGCTTCCATGCAACCGTGCAACCCAGCATTCAACAAGGCCCTTGCTTGAGGCCACGGTAACCCTGCGCTTTACCGGCCAAGCTCCGCTACTGGTGGACTCAAATGTCCAACATCCTATAGCGCAATACGAAATAAGTGCGGCTCAACAACGTCAGTGGCATGTTGGGTTTCAGATGCCAGAATCCATGGCAGGCTTAAGGCCGAGGTGCCATGGATCAATAACTGCCATTCGCATCAGTGGCGCACTACCAAATCGTCAGAGTCAACAAAGGTCTGAAAAGCTTCGAAATGGATGTCAACAGAAAAAGGACCCTGATAAGATGTGCCGAGGACCGGCTGCATCCAGTCGGCGGATAAGGGGACCTTGAGGCTAAAGCAGAGAGAAGGAGATTAGACGGCTGCAGGTGGAATCAAAGCGGAAAAGCTGGTGTTGCTGCAACGTGCGACTTTGGCGACTTGGGTTTGGCGCTGGCGCTCATTCCACCTGGTCAAGCTGCTGTTCCTTAGCTGCTCTTCATCTGAGATGGTGGGAGTCCGTGCTCTTACGCCCGCTGGTTCCATCTGAGACGGTGCTCGCGTAGTGAGATTCCTCGGAAACTCTTGGTCCATGGATGGGAACATTTGACATGATATTTGACATTTGATACTGGTACTCACACCCTCCCTCCCTCCCTCATTTGGTTCTTCCCGTCTCCAGCACACTCCTCGACGTCGTGTAATTTATCAATTCCCATTTTGTCAAACATGGTCATTTGCCGCCGCCTGACCTTGAATTGCGTATGCGTATGCCATTTGAATGAATTGCTGTGTCGTCAGTAACGCTTTGTCCTCTTTTCCGGATATCAAAGCCGTTACTGCATCCATCCATAAAAGGTTGCTCGGCTTCGGAAACTTGTTGTAGTCAAATGTGCTTTGCTTATCTCGCAGATCACTTTTGGCTGTGCGACCCACCAGAACGTTGTTGACCTGCAATGCAAGCTGCTGCAGTTATGGTTCCATGCAATTTCCATGAGCAGGCGCATATTGCAGTTGCAGGTCGCAGGATAATGGTCCATCGCCGATAGTGCTCCGTCCCGAGTCACCAGCTCAGGTCTACCTTAGCTCATGGCACACATAATAGCCCAGTCTCCGTCTGGTGGTAGACAGACAGACAGACAGACAGACCCAGCCACACATAACAAAAAGTAGCAGTAGCAGCAGCAGCAGGCGACAACGCCCACCGCCTTTTGCCAATCCCACCCTTTGCTCTCGCCCAAAGACATTGAACTCTAATCGACTGTCGAAAGAAGCGCAGGGGCTCTCTAGTGAACAAATGCTTAACCTTTTTAATGCGGGGGAATAGCACCTTTCGCATCGCGTGGTCTATGGCTCTTTTTGAACCTGGCCTCGTGCCTTGAGAGAGATTCTGCTTTCTCGTTGCGCTAGAGTGGACTCAAAGCGCCGAAATCGACCTGCCTAGGCCCCGCTGTCGCACTGTCGACAGGCCTGCTGCACTAATTACCCACCGCATCTCAGCGTATGCATATAACGAAGCGGCTAAAAACACTTGCGCTAGTTCCCGCCTTGTGCTTGAGTCCTTGACCCCACCAGGTATCCGTAATTGAACGACTGTCAACGACACACCATTAACGCGGCTGCGACAACGGCAGCTTGAATCAAGTGCCAAAGAAGAAAGAAGACGCTTTCAGGCTGATCTCTTTCTTTTGCATGATACAGCTTGATGTACTGATAAAGGTGAAACAATTCACTGAATTTGTTCGCGTTGAGAGTTTTATTCGCTATCGAGTCTTCATCTGGTTTCAGACTCTTTTTACGGACCATCGGCTCGTTCACCGACCCGATACCGCGACTCATGGATTCTTAGCCTGATATTTCCGACAGTGACTGAGACTCTTTCTCCTCAAAACGTCCCGATGGTCCGCAACTACCAGACCAGGTTAAGCTCTTAGCTACCAAGCAAGGGCATATGACCCAGACCACGCTCTTTTCATCTCCCCGCACTGCGAAACTGGCTCGTGTTATTCCATGTGGAGTCAAATCCGTGGAATCCTGGTATGTTCGTAAGTAAGCAAAAAACAACAGCATTAGTGTGATTTGAACCCGAGCCCACTATGGATACTATCCCCAAAAACCTCATTTGGCCTATCCCACCTCATACTCCCACATGTCTCGCGCTGTTACTCCTCAGGACAGATTTTCTCAACTTGCCGTGCATAACGGACGATCGCATGTCTCGGCCTGACTGCATGCATTAATTTGCCGCAAGATGGCTCGGTTGGGGATGCATTGGGATCTGTCGTTGGAGGCTTGCATTAAAGGCTTCGTTGATGTGTGTGCACAACACTACCCTAGTTCAGTTGCTGCAGAATACTCATCACATGTTATTATCGTTTTTTGTCCTCTCTTAGCCCAAAGAGATCTTGAATAAGAGAAGGTTAAGTATTCAAGGTACCCTACAATCCCTGCATATAAGTCAAAGCCACCCGTAGACAATTATTCAGAGTGTGAGCTGCGCTGAATACCACCTCACGACTGTGCGGCCTGTGCTCAGGACCCCTCAAACTCATCGGCACAACATATCAAGGATTAATCTAACTTTAGTCCCCTGGATTGGCTCTCCTGTTGGGCCAATTGAACCTTCTGACCCCTCCTCCATGCTTGGGCTACATCGAACATAACGTAGCTAAGCCAGAAAGGTAGTCCCGCCATCCGAACTCTTATCTCTCAGATCAAAACGTTCACGCCTCCCGGACCAAGCGGGGTATGCCAAGCTGTGAAGCCTATCTCTTTCGGTCTGGACCTGGACGCAACATCGATCAACATGCACACAGAAATCCTCAGCAGTGGCGAAGAGCTTCAAGATAAGCCATTGTCCAACATGGGCTCGTGGCGTTGCGGCCATCAGAGATAGCACATGTTCACTGGTTAACCTGCAGTAGTATGCAGTATACATAAGGGTTAGTGCATTTCCTGATTGCAGCATATAAGCAACGCGTACCCTGTGCGATTCGGGCCGCCGAAGCCCTTCTGTTTGTATTTGATGTGATACATTGCTCCTGTTCGTACTTCAGTAGCTGACGTGCTTCACTCAGTTATGAGGTGATCTACATCTTATCTTCATTTCTGTATTCTGAGAAAGTTTGATACCGGGCCAGTTACATCCAGCTCAACAAACCGCCACTCTGTGAACGATTCGCTTGCGCTCGGTTCGTAATGTACTGTCGCGACTCTTTCTGCTAACACAAGCTTGTGACTGGGAACTGACTAAGTGCATGTTAACGGAGAATAGCAATGGCAATGCAGATTTCAACTCCTCGCTGAGCCTTGACATCTGTCAGTATTTCTATCGATTGTAACCTGATCTCTGTAGTTCACACAGCCTTCCGCCGCAATTATTCAACACCCATCTCCTTCAGAATAGCTTTATACCGTTCCGCCTCCTCCGCCATCGCCTCCTCACTCCTAGGCTTCCGATCCTCATCGTCTACCCTCGTCAAACCTCCACCCGGCTGCGGCCGAGCACCAACCTCCCTATCCCACAGCGCGCCGCCCACATTCCCCTCCTCGGCCGCAAGCTTGACATACACGGCGTCTGGGCTTCCCATATCCCCCGCCGTTCGGGGGACGATATGCACATGCACATGCGGCACCGTCTGGCCTGCGTCCGCGCCGTCCTGCACCGCCACCGAGAAGCTGCCGGCTTCAGGCTCGGGGGTGCGGAAGTAGGCGCGCGCGAGGAGGCGCTGCGTGAGCTGCACCGTCGTGAAGAGGTCCGCCGTCTCAGTCGGCGTTAGGTCCGTGAGGCGTTTGTGCGGGTTGTGTGGACAGACGAGGACATGACCTGGGATAAGAGGCTTGAGATTCACCAGGGCGAAGGAGTGTGGTGTTGTGAGGAAGACCTGGGGTTGTCATTAGTACTGATCGGATATTTGAGCGGAGATAGGCCCAATCGATAGGCGGGATAATTTTACCTGCTTTGACACCTCAAAACGTCCAAATTTAATCTTCCGTCCGGCTGCTCCAGCTTCAGTCATGATGTGCCTTGAACGACTCTTTGCAAATGACCAAACTCGAGATGCAAGCATGCTCCAATTATAAACAACACTTGGGCTTCAGCGTTGCGCACCTCTCAATTTCGCTAAAAGCAGGTATATCCTTCAATTGAGATCGAAAAGAAATGTCTTGGTTTTGTTTGGTTGTTGACGGCCTGTATATCATGTCAAGTGAAAATAGTGATCTGATGTCATGGATGAGCTGGTTTCCCCTGTGAGAACTTACGAAAGGACCCACATCTTTTTGAGCCAATTGTCTAACACTGCAGATAAGCTTCCTAATTATACCTACAGCCTCAAGTGGGAGTACTTTTTGCTTTACATGGCTCGAGGATGGCATTAACGGGGTTTACATGGGTTCTAAGAATATTGAAATGAAAGGTTTGTATTCGTGAGTTACTTTGTGTATATTCTATGACCTCAAGTACTCCAAATGTGACCTAAAAGCTATGGAACAAGTGTTATCATACCAAGGTGAGCCATGCACCGTAAATAGCGCTGTAATATAAACCCAAAAAATCGTAATGTGTATCCAAAAGTGATCACTTATAAGACCCGAACTTGATCTTCCTCATCAAGAGGAAGCTGTCCGCTTGAAGCGCCGAAAGCCTCGTCCATGGTATTGGCAGGCTCCCGTTCCTCCTCTGGCTCATCTTCCCATACAACTACAAATTGTTAGTTTTTCCGTTCACAACAAAGATAAAAGAGATTTTACTAACCGTGGGGTCTAATGGTGAAGCTCATCACTAGAGCGAATCCAAAGAAGCTTACTAACAAGACGAAAATAGCCTGGTCAAAATATCCAGTCGTTAAGGCGTACAGCCCATTGAACAAGACTGGTCCCAACACACGTGCCAAAGCCTGCAGCATGCCAATCGCTCCAAGCAGCTGTCCAACTCTTTCAGAGGGGACGTGTTTGGTGATCATGGCTTGGCCAATTGCGCCGCCGAGACCACCAATAGCGGTCACAACACCACTTGCAACGAACAGTCCCGAGGAGCGGGCGAAAACGTATCCGAGGCCTCCGAGAACATCAGACATCAAAGCGCTTCTGAGAACCAAGAGATCCAGTTTATCAGCTCCGTTGTTCTTCTCGACCGCAGCCACGCCAGACTCGCGGCGACGTCGAGCTGCTGGGCGAGTGCGGCCAAAGTAGTTGATAACGGGGAAAACACCCAAAAGTACCACAACCCGAACAAGTGATATAAGAGACACAAACTCAGACTTTTCCAATATGCCCCAGTCGAATGTGACTCCAGTATATAGAACGATGACGGCACCTGCGGACATTCCCGCTCCCAAGATGATTGTGTCGTTCATAGCAAGCGTAACTAAATTGCGACGAAGAGCAGGCGAAGTTCCCGGACCAGTAGGTCTGAGAATTTTCAGGGGCGCAAAGATATTCGCGGTTTGGAGAGCGCTAATCCAAGACGAGGAGACTGGTGGCCGCATCTCCATTTCCTTCTGATGCTTCTCTCGGGCTGCCAGCTGCTTTCTCATAGACAATGACTCGGGAATTACGAGCAAGACAAATAGCATAAAAGCGATGTGACATCCCATGACAACATAAAACACGGATAGCAAACTACCTGTCCATTTGGCAAAGAAACCGGAAAGAAGAGGGCCAAATGCGATTCCTGTGAACAAACAAGCATGCATATAACCCAAAGCTGCAGCACGCTTCGAAGGAGGGGTTGAGTCGCTTGCGTAAGACTGGGTCATGATACCTCCAGCAGTGAAAGATCCTGTCATGCCATCAAACACACTGCCTAGAAACAGCCAATGATAGTCAACAGTGTCGGGATATCGAGCAACGAGGATGGTGACAAATTCACCCAAGACTCCACCCACGGAAGCGAGAGCCAGGAGTCGTGTTCGACCATATCGGTCTGATAAGTGTCCAATTTTGGGGGCGGCAATAGCACTCAGTACACCTGTGAACAAATTCATGACCAGCATGAAAGTTGCCGCGTTGGCTTGAACCTCTGGGTTGTTACACTGAGGGTTATTTGTCCCGAGCACGATGGGAGCAAAGACTTTATCGGGATTATGGCTATGCTGGTCTGCAAAATACTGCTTACAGACAAGATCAAGAATCCTAATCAAACAATCTGGGTAAGCTACATTTATACTCATATAGTCAGGAGGAAGGCTTACAGTTCAAGTTTCGGGACCAAAACACCTCCAAAGGCAAGGGTGAAGATGACATATGGACCGAGCAGCCAATAGACCTACAAGCAAGGTCAGAGCTGGGCAAGACGGCTTGAAGCAGCGCCTAAGGACATACCGAGGGTCGACGCCACCACGGCAGATGTTCAAAGTCTTTCAGGCCATCCCAAACGCCTATAGTTGATACTGTTTCACTGTCTCCATCTCTGGAGTCTGAGTTCGTCGGTAGCAGGTGAGTTGCTTCGTTTGCGATCGCGGCCTCCTCCTCGTGTATACTGTCGTTCTTTGACATGATGTCTGGAGTTTCTAATGTACGTGCGCGCGCACAGGTTTTGTCGTCGGTTCGGCTCGGTTGTGTCTGGTTCGATAGCTGCGCGCAGCAAAAGAGCGTAGGCTTATGAAGCCTGGAGATCAATCACGATGTTGTAATTGCTGGGGCATGGCCAAGTGAACCAAGAGATGGGAAGGACGCGGGAAAAGGTTAATAATATGCAAGATAACGGTATCGCATATCTCGGCAAACAAGCGAGAGGGAGAAGGAAGGTGGTGTCTCTTGCAGCTGGAATGAGATAAGTGTGACGACGATGAGAGATTCAAGGAAGGATTAATAATGCTCTAAGCGCATTTAGGGAGCTATCTTGCGGATACATGATGAGTGCATGGACTGGGATGGTGGTGGAGGTGGAGACGATAGATCCATGTCCGTCCGTCCAGACTCGAGGCGTATCGAGGCGAAACACGATCGTCTAAGACAACTGATAAGCCACATTTTTGCACACTGCAGTTTTAAACTTGTTGTCAGCCTCTTATTAGTTGGTCTTGCTAGTCTTGTAAAGTAATTCATGCCTTAATTATTTTACTGAGCCACGTTGCTCTGGCGCATCAGAAGCATTGCATCATTACTGTCAAGTTGCTTCTTTGACGATAACTGCTGTATGCACAGACAAATGAATGACGCATTCTGCAGTCTCCTCCGCATACCATGCAGCTAGGATCTGGCATCGCTGGCGTGGCTCGTGGCCCTCTCGTTGGCTTAGCCTGATAGGCTACGGTTTTGGATGTGTGGCATCGTTGTATAGCATCGGTTTTCGGACTTTGATCCTACCGACTCCGCAAAGTCCGCCATTAGTCTAGCTTATTAGCACCTAAGGGGAGAAATAAAACACCGGCAGCGACTCTGTCATAGGATATCTTTAAAATTAAGCTGAATTATTTCTTTCTAATGTAATATACTGTAATTATTACTACAGTTTCTTCTAAAATCCTAAAGATCTTACTTTTTTTTTTTATTAAAATAAAACTACTTTAAATATTCTACCCAGAAAGTCTAAATGTAGGAAATCTCACATCCGGTGTTTTATTTCCCCCAAAGGCTATGTCTAAGTATGAGTCGAGAAGCGCGCGGCATTCGAACAACAAGTTTGGTGATATTATAAATCTGTTTTGAGTTTACTTAAATGACTACGTGTGTCAAGTTGCCTGCTGATCTGCGTTTTAGTCTGCTTATTTCTTCCCTTAAATGCTCACCTTTGGTCTCGATATCCAATGCGGTTGAAGAGAGCTAGACATGATAAATAAGCGTAACTCTAGGTCTAGATCCAACATGTTCTTACACACCATTATACTGAAGAAAAACAAACTAATTTTACGATGATCAGGCACTTTTTCAACAACACATTGTAGATACTTGGTTGGTCCGGATGGGTCAGTTTAAGGGTGTAAGCTCAGAGATTGGGTATTAGCTTCTACTCTACCTAGGTAATCAGATCAATTCTATCGGCATTTCTGCCTCTACTATTCTATTCCAGTGCTTTCCTCTTAACCTGCAGCATCAAACATCATAGTGGTGCCCAATGATTGGATCCGTGACTTCACTATCGCCATTTTAGGTGGGGCTTCAAGAGCTCTGAAACAGCCCAATCATAAGCTCAATTTGCATGACTCAGCACTTACTGCGCGCTGCAGTTCAACTTGGGATATTTTCAAGAAAGCGTGTTTCGCAGCTTGGTCAAGGCTCCATCGCTTTCAACCCCATACAACGCGCCTTCACCAAATATCATCACGATGCCCGTCGTCAAAGGAGGCGTGTGGACGAACATCGAGGATGAAATCCTCAAGGCTTCAGTATCCAAGTATGGTCTTAATCAATGGGCGCGTGTCTCGTCGCTGCTGGCGCGCAAGACGCCCAAGCAGTGCAAGGCTCGATGGAACGAATGGCTAGACCCCAGCATCAAGAAGATCGAATGGAGCAAGGAGGAGGATGAGAGACTTCTGCATCTTGCTAAGATTATGCCAACTCAATGGCGCACCATCGCTCCTATTGTTGGCCGAACCGCGAACCAGTGCCTCGAACGATATCAGAAGCTCCTCGATGAAGCCGAATCCAAAGAATCATCCAGCCTTGGCTTGATGGGCCCCGAAGGAGGCGAGACGCAAGCGCCCAGTGCCGATGATGTTCGAAGATTGCGACCCGGCGAGTTGGATCCCGATCCTGAGACAAAGCCTGCACGACCCGACACTATCGATCTCGACGAGGACGAAAAGGAGATGCTGAGTGAAGCTCGTGCTCGTCTTGCCAACACACAGGGTAAAAAGGCCAAGAGAAAAGCTCGAGAGCGTCAGCAGGAGGAGTCGCGTCGTCTTGCTGCCCTTCAAAAAAGGCGAGAGCTCAAGACAGCCGGCATTAACATCAAGGTCACGAGCAGAAAGAAGGGTGAGATGGACTATAACGCCGATATCCCCTTCGAGAGGAAGGCATTGAACGGTTTCTACGACACTGCGGAGGAGATGGCACAGAACGAAGCGCAACGTGCAGCCTTCGATCCCCGAAAACAACAATTAGCCAACAAGCGCAAGGGCGAGGGCGAAGAGGACAACGATCGAAAGCGAAAGAAGACCGATAAGGAAGGGGCGTCAGAATCATACAAGGCCGCCCTGAAGGCTGGTCAACTGCAGAAAATCCGAGAAGCTGAGCAGAGCAGCAAGCGTCGAGGATTAGTCTTGCCTTCTCCCCAAGTCAGCGAGGGCGAGTTGGAGGATATCGTCAAGATGGGCAGAATGGGTGAAGCTGCCAACCTACGGGCAAGAGAAAGCGAAAATGACGCTACTCGAGGACTTGTCAACACATATTCTACCCTCAACGCGGGTACCCCTATTCGAACACCAAAGGCACCTGAGCAAGAAGATCACATCGCCAACGAGATTCGAAATATCAGAGCGCTGAATGACACAAATTCTGCCCTTCTGGGTGGTGAGAACACTCCTCTCCATGAAGGTACATCATCGACTGGCTTTGATGGTATCACTCCTCGAAGACAGAATATTTCCACACCCAACCCAATGGCTACTCCTTTGAGAGCAGATGGAGTTGGAGCTACGCCCGGTCGACCGGGACAGACGCCTATGCGAACACCAAGAGACACTCTGTCGTTGAATCAGGATGGGGGCATGTCAATGGTCTCTGCTACTCCCAGGGACCTCAGATTGAGAGACCTGGCTGTGCGTAACCAGGTCAAGTCAGGCCTAGCTTCTCTCCCCAAACCAAAGGATACCGAATGGGAATTCGATATTCCTGATGAAGAAAAGGAGCTTATGGAAGTTGACGAAATGACCGAGGAGGATGCAGCAGAGCGGGATCGTCGGGAACGCGAGAGGCGGGAAGCAGAAGAAGCCCTCGAATTCCGAAGACGCACCCAGGTTATGCAAAAGAACCTCCCTCGGCCAGTCCGTGTCGATCTACCAAGTCTATTGAAACAGGCCAGCAGCATCACCGACGTTGCTGAGTCTCTTATCGCTAAGGAGTCAGCGAACCTCATGGCCAATGATGCGATGAGGTACCCTGTCCCTGGCGGCCAAGTCAACGGTGCCCCCAAGCCATTACAACTAATCGATGACGACGCCCTCGCTGAGGCTCGTCTGTTAATTTTGTCGGAAACCAAGCCCCTTCCCAAGTTTGAAGATGTCCAAACTGCTTTTGAAGCACGCGCAAGCAGCTCGTTGCTCCTGGGCCTAGGCTGCTACAATGACGATGACGAGGAAGAGCAAGGGGCAGTTATGAAGCAAGCTTTTGATGTAAGTTGATTAAATGAGTTTTACTATTGAAGCGATATACTAACTTTGACTCAGGCTGTTCAAGATTCCATCATGGCTTCTGCCGAGGCAGGCGCCAAGCTCGAGAAGAAGTTATCACTTCATCTGGGCGGTTATCAGAAGCGTCAGAAGATGCTACGCGACAAGATGGGCGACGCATCCGACGCTCTGGAGAAGGCACGTGTTGCTCTGGCTGGATTCAAGACACTGGCTATTTCAGAGGACGTGGCGATTGAGCGACGACTTGGTGCTCTTCGTGAGGAGGTAGGATTTGTGAATAAGCGTGAGAGAGAAGCACAGGAAGACTACAGAAAAGCTAGGGAGGAACTGGACGCGCTCATGGCCACGGGAGTCAATGGGGTTCATTAATCGATGTTATTTTACGGTGTATAATAGATAGGAGCTTATTCAAGGCTGGCTTATTCTGGATCCAATCTACCAATCTAGCCTACCAGGTTTCGTTACGTTTGCATACTTACAATTTATTATTCCTCCTTTTATCTCATCTTTACTTGACGATATCTGCCACGGCAAAGCGGCCTGGGCACCGTCTATAGTACCTTGGTTAATTCTCTTTTGCATCAACAAGGAATCACCCTGTCCACCTCAACTTATTTGTGTTTTCTCACTCCAAGACGGGGCAGCTTTATAGGCACAATCAATAAGACCGACACAAACGCCACCATGATGGAGCATATGAAAGTCAGCCGCAGCGCCGCTTCGTAGCTAAGAATGACCTGCTCACGGTACTTGGGCTCAAGCTTGGCAACCTCCTCAACGGACTCTCTCACGCGGCGAATGATTTCGTCGCGGCCTTCTCCTGTCACGTACTGGTTGAGGTAGTGTTTCAGTGCGTTCTGGACGACAAGTGAACTACTGGCGATACCGAAGATCTGGCCCAGGCTGCGCCAGAGCATAAGCGTGGATGTGACCACGGCTTGTTCGGTTGGTTTGGAAGCGGCAAGTATGGCCATGAAGGTTCCGGGGAATTGGAAGCCCTGGCCGATGGATGAGGGGATCAGGATTAGGAGATATACCCATGAGGGTAGGTCTCGCCTCAACATGGCGAGACCGATGGTTCCGACAAGGATACAGATGGTGCCGCTCTGGACAGGCCATTTGAGTCTACCTGTGTAGGTAACTGCGAATCCTACAAAAGTTCCTGTAGCAGAAGCTGCGATTGTGGGAATGATCAAGCGAAGGCCTGATGTGGTAGCGGTCGTAAGGAGAACGGCCTGGAAGTAGAGGGGACTATAACAACATTAGTAATTCTCTATGAGACTGGATAGGAGATTGCCTGACATGTTGAAAAGGATCGAGTTTGCTATCACTGCAGCACCGACATTACTAAAGATCAGATTGGCGCGTGGTGATCGGTTTAGCAGATGGAGAGGAATGATGGGCTTGTGAACCCAGGACTCAACCCAGAGGAAAAGGGGGAATGAGACGGTGAATATGATGAGTGAAGAAATGACGAAGGGATGCGACCCTGGAGGATGTTAGTTTATGTTTTCGCACGTTTAGTAGGATTTGGGCTTGACTTACACGGCAGGACATTGCCTCCAAGGTTCTACACCAAGAACATCAGCATAAAGTCTTTCTTCACAATCATATAAGAACTTACTAGTCCCAAAATGACAAACGTGATAGCCGTAGTCAACAGCAAAGAGCCCCTGAAGTCAAACTCTCTCAGAGCCTGCCACACACCCTTCCTCTCCCCCTCTATGCCCAAATCATCCGGGATAGCCACCCACGCAACTCCCATGCAGATAAGCAGCGGTGGAACCTGCACCATAAACTCCATCCTCCAGCCGAGATAGTCTGCCATGAACCCTCCCGCGGCCGCTCCCAGACTCGACCCTATCCCGTAGTTGATGTTGATGTACGACTGGTAGGCGCCGCGGTTCTCAATGGGCACGAGGTCGCTCACTATGATGGATCCAAGCGTCATGACGCCTCCTGCGCCGATTCCGCAGAACGCTCGGCCCACGATGAAGCTCTCGATGCTGCCAGCCAGACCGCACCATGCGATTGCAGCGGCGAAGATGCCCAGACAGAAAACGAAGAGTTGCTTTCGGCCCAGCGCGTCGGAGAGACGGCCTAGGAGGGGCTGGAAGGCTGACGAGGTGAGCAGGAAGGCGGTGGAGAGCCAGGAGGCTGAGTTGGAGGCGTTGAAGTATGAAGTTATGACTGGGTGGCTGCTTGCCATGATTGTGCTGTCGAAACAGGAGATGAAGTACGCAGCAAGGATCTGAGAGAAGATGAACCAGAAGCGTGCAGGTGAGACGCCGTTTAAGTATGGTGAGTAGGACGTATCAGCCAAAGTCGAGGTAGTAGATCTCGCCGTGATCGAATGGCGTCGGGAATGGCTATTGTGGTGTATAAGAGGAGTTTCCTCATGAGGACGCGGGTTATCCATATCCTCTGAAATCTCACTCCCATCCTCCGTCTCATCTTCATCTTTATAAGAAGACGGCCTCAGCATAGCACTCTCCAGCGACTCGGGCTGCAAGAACTGCGCACCGGTCGTCAGCGACCTCGAAAGGGCCTCGAACTCAGCGCGGTCAATGATATCCTCTTCACTATCGCTGTTCCGAGAAATGGTCCGGGCCGGGACGGGCACCGGAACGGGGCGGCCTTCCGAGACCGGAGGGTTAGACTTCGGACTCATGGCGGCCTTCCGTGTAAGATTATATGCAGAACAATGGATAATTAAGAAAAAGGAAAGGAAAATAAAAGAAGACAAAAGAGAAAAGAATTGCACAATATCCTTAAATGGAAAAAATAGACTGGGGAAGGGAGACAGGGAAGAGATAAAGGATGCTTGGCTTGGCTGGGAGAGTGGAGTAGGCCGCTGTCGTGATCGCAGACTTTGCATGGGAAGCACCGCGAGTACGGCCACGGCCCCGCAGATGGAGAGATCCACGGTAACAGGCGCCATATTCAGTGACTGCAGGTCATTTTGGGTGCATTTTCACAGTGGGGGGGGACATGTTTTGTTTGGTGTAAGTGCGAGTATAGGAGGTGTGTGAGTCAAACAAACAAACCTATTATCGAGGCCAGCTCGTGTATGGGATGTCAGCATGTAAAAAGAGAAGAAGAGTCACCTGCGCACGCGAGCGGCAGGGAGTCAGGGACTGCAGTTGAACTAGAGGGGTCTATCATGAATAGTTGAAACTGCAATGTAAGCTGGTATCATGAATCAACTTCAATTATAGGGTAGATACATCCCCAACTGTAAGCACTCAATCAATTACAACTCAGAACAAATACATACAAACTCAACTCGTGAAGATAATTCCCATTCTAAGGATATAAACCTGTCAACCACCAACCACCTTATCTCCTCTCTTTTCCCCTCCTTTCAATTAACCCCGGCTTACAAGTTACAGCCATCCCCCCTCACAATACAACCCATGCATGCCTCAAGAATGTCCCATCATGTGGGAACAGATCTATTACCGAAGCGGTCCAGCCGCGCGCGCACCCCCAAAAACACCCCAATATGTATGCAACCCCTCTCTCTTTTCTACCTCTACCGTATCTAGTTATCTATCGTCTTGCTCTGTGAAGCTGCAGCCACAAGTATCCCCGCTCCCGTAACGCCTCCGTCGTGACACGGGCTGAGTACGACTCGTAACGGGTTGTCGTCGCCGAATCGTTGCTGCAGAAGTAGGTCTAGAAAGCGCTGGCAGTCGATCAGGTAGTCCTGGAAGTGAACGATGCATCCTCCTGTGTAACCTACGCCGAGTTCATACTTCTGGACTGGTGGTTTTGATCCCTCGGCGGGAACATCTCCTGCAAGAGTGAGCAGAGCCAATGTCGCTGCTGCCACGATACCAGCTGCCCGAACCTCAATGGCCTTGGCGATTCGATATACGGCTGTGGCAATATTCTCAGTCCATACAAATGTCGGTGATCCTGATGACTCGGGAAACTCGTGCTGCAGACTGGCTACAAGATCCGATGGCCGGAGGGGCTTAAAGTGACTCAAGAACGTCGTCGTTAGGTTGTGCCGCTGCAACAACTTCTTTGGCAAATCTTCTGACGCAATACCCTTGTGCTTCGTCAAGTAGTCGACCAGCATAATCCGTCCCAGCTCACCCAAGTAACGTCCTGATGTGAGATACTCCAGAGGCTGGAAGCCGTGTAGCTCGCCTTCAGAGTCCAGGTCCTTGTCCCATTGGCTCACCAACCCAACTTCATGCAAGGGCGGTGCAGTACCATTGATGCTCCATTCAGTATTGATCGCAATCTTGACGTCCTCTGCTCGTTCTTCCGGTCGGGCAACAACGCTCTGTGGACGCTTGGAGAGGTTCAGCTGGCTCAGCTTCAGAGGAATAGTTGCGTTGCACCCTGTTCCGAGGATAAGTCCAAGTGATGCGCGTCTGTTCTCAGCTTCGTCGAAGTTGAAAATGAAGGATACCAGCGTTGACACCGAGTCATTGGCGATTGCTTCGACTCGAATGGGAGGTAGTTCGGGTGACTTTGCTTGATTGTATCCATCCGTGAGGCGGTCGCCTAGGTCCTGGTCGGAAGAGATGGCGAACCCTTTGCCCATGGGCATGAGCGTGGCCTGTGAAATGGAGTGCTGTACCATGGGAAAACTAAAGGTTACACCAAGCGGCATCGTTTGGTCGGCCGGTAGATTGAGCGTCTCACATCCATCACCGACGACCTCAGCGATACATTCCCCGATCCAGAGAAAGAGGCTATCGGGGTTTTGGTTCTTGAGGTGCTCGTCGATGGGCCAAGATTTCTCCAAAAGCCTTCTGATATGTCGTTTGGATGAGTTGCCGTCTTCTCCATTGATGGCATGGCCGTTACTTTGGTTAGAATCGTTGCCAAGTTGAACAAAGCCCACTCTCAGGTTTGTACCGCCTCTATTTATATGTTAGCTATAAGAAAGGGATGGCTGGATCGGGTTCAACGGACATATCTATGGCTAAGTGACTACGCCCAACGTCAGTCCAAACTTCAACTCCTAACCAGATAACAACCGAAAGACTCACCATCCCTGCCGTCTCTTGGCCTGTGGTCGAAGAATAGCTTCAGAGATAGGCGTAGGTAAGAACTGGTTCTCAGAATCGGCAGCGAGGTTCTCAAACGTTTGCAGAAAGAGCCGAGACAGGCGGTTGATCTTGTCGATGTCGACGGACAAGGGTTCCAGGAACTCTTCAATCGACAGAGATGAAACCATGGCTATGACGGATATCGTGATCAGGTCAGGTTGGTGTTTTGTTGGTTTGGTGCTGGTTGCTGTTTAGGGTATCATCATAACAGTTGATATCGGCCAGATACACAGATGTATTATGGTGGTGGCAGGATAGAGATAGAACACTGAATTTTATGGTTAGAAAACGAAAATGATATAATTCTTTTTGTAGAAGTATGCCCGAGGCAGATAAAGCGTGTCGATAAGCAGTGAATCTGACTGAGTCCAATAGGTAAGGTATGAATCACAGTCTCTGAGAAAGAGGTTACAACCTTGACTCCAGCACAATGACAATGACAGGGAAGAAGGAAGTATGCATATCTCACCTTACCTCAGGTGGCTTAGATCCCTAAATCTCAGTCTCAATCTCAATACTTGTGCTTATATATGTTCCTGATAATAAGAGAGAGCTTCTCCTACCGTGTCATTGCCTCTCATCCATGCAATCAAGGAATTGATTGATAAATTCACCACGCGATTCCCATCCCATCTGCGGGGTTCGCTCTCAGCGCCCCACTGAACCCCTGAAACGGTCGACTTACAGCACGTCAGGGTCTATACATGCTGGTTTTATATACATACCTACTGTAGGTGAGCATGAAGAGATATCGAATAAGATACTACAGTTAAGAACTACTTATTCAAAAATATAAACATTCAACTATTCACATCGTAAGCTCTACCGTAGCTAGGTACAGACGTATCACTGCACCCAAGCTTTCCAATCTCCCTCCCAAAAACAGCCTTAACCAAACTCGGATAAACCATCCAGCCGCATGTGATGATGGCGCATTGCATTCCGCTGCCCTGTCATAACGACATCTCTTCGCCCCCCTGGCCTGGCCTGGTCTCTCCACCATCCATCCAACTATCTTGTAACTAATCCATCGCTACTCAATATGGACGAGAAAAGACCCTTCCAGCAAACCATGTCCTCGCCTCGCTCCTTTCGCCGCAGTCGACCTGCCGTCTCAATAGCTTTCGTCATAGCCATCCTATACACTTTTTGGCTATGGCAGCCGTTCAGGCCTATGCTGAATGAACCGATCATTGAGGTCACAAGTGATGTCCAGACTACTGATAGGCTTGTGCCTTTGGAGGCGCATATCATGAGTAAATGCCCTGACGCAAAGGTAACGACTTGTTCTGTCTCAAATTATTTACTGCAGCAAATGCTCATTATCTACAGGAAGCTCTTGAGCTGCTGGTGCTACCCGTCATGGAGCGCGTCCACGACAAGGTCAACTTCACCCTATCTTACATCGGCCGGTACGCTCACACTAAGCCCCTCTCCAACCAACGTTACTAACACCTCTGCCTTAGACCAACTGCCAACGACGGCGTCGACTGCATGCACGGCCCTTCAGAATGCATGGGCAACATCATCGAGCTCTGCGCGCGCGAACTATACCCCAACCCCAAGATCAACCTCGGCTTCATCATGTGCCTAAGCCGCGACTACCAAGATATTCCCGAGCGAAGCCTCGTCGAAGATTGTGCCCTCGAGTCCGCTATCGATTTCCAGCAGCTTAACGACTGCGCTGTCAAGGAGGATGGCGCATGGGGCGTGGGCCTCTTGCGCGACAGCATCAAGAGGACTTCGGACGTACGGCGAATCAATTTGAGTGCAATGAATAACACGCATGCTAACATTCATACCAGGCTGGCGTGACAAAAAGTGCCACCATTCGTCTCGACAACAAAATCTACTGCATCCGCGACGGCGGCGAGTGGAGCGACTGCCCCAACGGCGACGGCGTCAACGACCTCCTCATTGCGATCGAGAAGCTGCGCCGCCAGTCTTGAGCGGCTCAAAGATCTCGGTCCACAGTTCACTCGCCTCTCCTAGCGTATAGCTCATAGCAATGCCATCCATGCCCGCCTCCTCGTCTCCCGCCATCGCGCCCAGCGTTTCCACGATGCTCTCGAACCCGACCGCCTTGCCCGTTGCCTGAGTGGCCCCCGCTTCAAGTTGCACATGTACGACGTGGATATGGAAGTGGTAGTAGGTCGGCTGGTAGTGTACGTAGAGCTTCAACTGGTCGGGCTCGATGGAAGGGTACGTCTTGACGGTGGCGTCGATGAGATGGGCCTTCATGTGCTGCAGCCAGGGAATGTGCTTCTTGCGGAGGTCCCTCAGCGACCAGATATCCCGTCGCTCGACCAGCGCCAGCAGATGCAGCGCGTCGAGCGTCTTGCGGTCCCAGTTGAGATCCGGCAGCATAAGGAAGCCCTCGTCACCAGCCTCGCCCAGCTTCGTTCTGTAGATAACGTCCTCCACCTCTTTTCGTCCTTCAATAATGTTGAATACCCAATTAAGTCGGCCCTCTTCTCTCTTGCTGAGCATATATGGACGAATATGATCTCTGTAAATCTCCGGTGTCTCCGTGACGAACCGCACGCCTTGCTTGCTGTATTTCTTGACATGTGTTTCCGTGCAGGGGTAGATTAAGTTGATTTTAAGGTCGGCGAAGAAGTCGGTGTCGTCAGGCTTGCTTGTGTCGGCGCCGCTACGGCCCATATACCAGTGGTAAATATCGTTGGCGCCCAGATTCTGCACCCTCGCGAGCTGGGCAGGCACATCGGCGAGATATGTCTGTGACGTAGGAAAGGGAGCACGTTCGAGGACCAAAAGGGCCGGTTCGTTGTCAATGGATCCATAGAGAGAGATGCGACGACCTGCTTGATCTGGGGAGCTTCTATATCAGCTTATCGAACGAGGAACAGCAAAGCGGGAGGCGTTAGGTATTCTACCTTGATTGAGGATGCGGTCGAGCTTGAATCTGGGCACCAGCGCCTCCGCGTTCGATTTGACGTCTGACATTTCTGAAGTGAGAGGCTCAATTTGGTCTCAAGCAAAATAAGGGAGGATGAAGTTGAGAATCACAATTCTGCCCCTCTTCAGCAGTGGGAGGAATCAGGTACACCCCGCGGTGGGGCTTTGTCTACGTTCACTCCACACGGCAGCAGATCAACCGCATTCCATTAAGATGGGTCATCAAGATCATCTAAAAACCCCCGAGACATCAAGCCTAGCACTCCCGACTGGAATTCAACTATTCAACGTCACTCATTCAAACAGCTCACACATTGGGTCCCAGTGTATCATCAATGTTAATAAAGTTAATTGCAATATCGCTAAAATAAGTCGTCAGACGTCATGCTTGTCTGTTGAAAGGGCTCGTTCCATGATACTGAGTGTTTGTCTAACATCATCGTCGGAAGCCATTGGGCGTAAGGAATGTGGTGCGGTTGCTTCGTTATGCTTCGATCTGTTTTCTCCTACTCCCCTACATCATATGCGTTGCTTGAATTCGGAAATATTCAAGCAACTGCACAATTACTCGACCAACTATCGTTCTCGATCCTGCAAAACAACAATCCTGGGTGGTTTCGCACCGGGTATATAATTCCGCGCTAGAAGTGAAAGTAAAGAGACTTCAGTCCAAACTTCGTCATAATTCGGATATGGAAAAGGACGGGTAACGGCGTGTTGTGGCGGAAGGTAAGCTGATCGGGAGTTGAGATATCTAGCGATGGAGTGTGATGAGATACTCGATACTGTGAACGTGCGGATATATCTGATGAACCTTAGGCTAGCAAAGCAACAAAATCTGCCCAAAGACAGAAACCAGAACGCCGTAAAGATGCACCGATGACTTTCGCCTTCCACGGCCGTATTCAAGAACAGAAGTGCCGTGATTGTATTAATCATGAGAATGGTGGTGGCCCACTGAGACCGTGGGACCCAGACTCCGTTGATCCATCACCCTCTATCGTCTTCCTCCAGTGCTCAGGTCGACAAACACAAACAAGGGGGAATGCTTTGATCTCGCCCTCTGCTGCTGGTGAGCTACCACGGCGACCCGACGCGTTCGAGACGCCACTATCGCGTTGAGCTAGTCGTCGAGCCTCCCACTCATCAGCCTTATCGTTGAGCATCACACCAGTCGCCCAGCCATCATCCCAGATACCCACAACCTTGAGCATATCTCCACGTTCCAAGGAAAACTCGTCGTTTGCGCGAGGTTGATATGCCCAGAGGACAGCAATACGGTCACCGGGGTGGATATCGTCCTGAGAGTAGTAATCCTTAAAGAAGGGCAACTGCTCGGACTGCTGGCTGGCAACGCCCTGTGGTGACGAGAACCCCCCAGCGCTAGATGGGGACTGCGGTACAGAGCTGCCAAGGGCCGAGTTGCTTGATAAGGATGCATTTCGTCGAGGCTTGTGGGGTGGTGGTCTCAGTACTCCGCTCCGGGATTCTGAAGAGGGTGGGCTTGAGGTGAAATCGTCAGATGAGTGCTCGGCACCTCTGTTTCGGAACGCTCCTACAGCACCAATTCCTCCAGCGGCCGATGATGTGTCGCGATGGTGTGAAGGTGAGTCACCGGAATGGCCTTCCAGGGCGGACATGCGTGCTATACGTCCACCCGGAAGTACCTCGTAACCCTGAGGAGCGGCTGGTGCTGCCGCTTGTGCCATTGCTGGCGGGCCTTGTCTGGCAGGCGCAGGTTGATTAAAGATGCTGCCTTTAGGAGTGCTCGGCCTTCGTCTCCTCCTAAGACACAAAAGAAGAGCCAGTGCGAGCAGCCCAAGGCCTGCCAGAACTCCAATAACGATTCCAGCAATTGCTCCACCACTCAACCCGCCGCCGCTTTGGTCGTCATCGGCGCCTTCGTCGTCATTTCCGTCATCCGCTGTGCTCGATTCGGTTGCTGTGGAACTTGGTGGTACTCGTGTAAAGGTCATCGTAGCGGTCAATGCTGGCAGCTTTACGTCTTTACAACGGTCTTCGGCCTTGGAATTGTAGCAGCAAGTGTCGGTCGAGTTAAGGCCGCCTGAGCCGCAATAAGAACAGAGTCCCACAGTACTGTTGCCGTAACCACAATTCTCAGACTCGTTCTCGATAGCTGATATACATGTTGAGGTGTCAAGAGAGCCTCCAGGAAGGGCGCAATTAGTGAAGTCTGCTCTGATCAGCTGGAGCAAGTTGCTTGATGGTTTCGAACACAAGTCGTCATCCGATGTCACATACGCCTCGCTTTGGGCGAACTCGGCACAGTTATCGGCGCAGAGGGGCCGTGATTGTTGTTCGGAAAGGCCACAGGGTTGAACGGAATTTTGAACAATAGCATTACAAAGCACAGTTGTCGTAAAGCGAGCATACAAGTCACTGGTGTTGCTCAGATCAAGGTTACTGCATCCGAACAGCGACTGATATCTAGAAGTTGTCAGTATTTTGCACTTGGTTAAGATGTGATTATTGTGGTGAACTTACTGCCTCTGTGCGTAGTCTCTTTGAACATAGCTGGAAAGCTGACTGTCGAATGATGATCTATCAGAAACATACTGCAAGAAAGGACTATTTCATGTTAGAACAATCTCATAACGCAGGAAACCAACTCACAAAATCTCAACCAGGCTATCTTGAGTTGATATAGATGCAGACTCGAACGCCGGACAAGCTTTTGAGTCTTTCAAGGAGATACAGTCCGAACCCTGAGCCGAAACCAAGACTGACGAGGTGGAAAGTAAGGCGAGGACAACACCTTTGGAGGTGAGATGTTTCCGCGATTGACGAGCCCTTGAGGAGCCCGCGGTTTGACTGAGCGCATCCATCTGAGAGATTGAAGGTGAGGAAGCGGTCGCGATTTGGCAAGCGGATGCAGAAATCGGTGACGTCTTGAGCTTCAGTAGCGCCTATTTCATGGTCGTCGGGATAAGAACTTGAGATGTTTGTCTGAGTTGTCGCTGAGTCGGGTCGAGGCCCGATGTGGTGGATGCAATGGTTGGTGGAGAGATGTTGGGCGGTTAATAATCGTAACCAAAAACTGCTCTCCTGAGCAAAACAAGCGAGTGAATGAGTGAATAGTTTAAGCTGAAGAAGTCGACAATTGGCGAGAGCGCAATCGATTTCGTGATGCGGTAAAACGATGGTAGCAGTTGGTGAAAGATTAGGTAAATTACGATTAGTGTAGTTATTTTCCACGATAGAAAGAGCGAAAGTCGTCAATCAATTAAGGAAGGTGCAGTTGGTCCTCGGAAAACAACACAGCCCGGCAGCTCGTTCCTTTCGATTTGTCGTCCAGGTCGAATTGATTAAGCGTGCAGTTGAGAGGAACCAGGCGATAGAGACGCACACGCTGGCTGAGCACGGATCGAGGATGAGGAGAGGAGGGAAAGGGAAGAAAAGAAGAGGAGAAGAAACTGCGACACGAAGCGAAGAGATCCCCTGCGAAGCCTTGAACCCCAGTAGCGGACGCGACAGGATGGTGGTGAAGACTGACGAGAGGTGCTGGGCTAGCCTGGTCGGATATTAGGGGTTAGTGCCAGGGCAGTGTGAACCGCCTTGGGGAGGATCGTGTGAGAGCAGGATACCACGGTTGAGTGCCGAAAAAAGCGAGGATATGGGAGAGAGGAGGAAAGAGAGCAGGGATTGTCAAGAAATAAGAAACCTGAGGATGATCAGTGAGGAGCGAGTCGTGGCGCTGACGCTGGTGCTGGTGCTGGTGCTGGTGCTGGCGTCTGGTGTTTGGACCCCATGCTTTTGCTGTCTCTGCCAACAACCCGACTGACTGGAGGGGGAAATAGTGATAGCCAGGGTTGAGACTAGGCGTGCTAGGCCTGATAAAGTCTAGATCAGGTCCAACTAGCGACAACGGCCCATCATTGAATGTATCTTCCCACCACAATTGAGTGCTAAGGTACCTTTGTGCTAATCTCAGCTGTGTCTGGGCTTGTTTAATCTTGGGGGACCAGGATTCAACGGAAGCCGAGCAGGGTCTGTCTAGCGTCATCATCCCGTCCACCACTTAAATAACGTCCTTCACAGCCCATACGGGCCGCTAAGGCCAGTAGTTATCGCTAAATAATGATCCCCGTCACTTATTTAGCATCAACACCACGTTGCTGAGTATCCATCGCTTAGAAGTCTTTTTATTATTGAAACTTGAAGCATGAATTATACCTTGGCTCTAACAATGCGTACACAAGCTCAGGTCTTCTGCAAGGAGGCACTCGTTTCAACAGCTGCCTCTTACAATAAACCCACAGCTGCAACCCATCGTCATTCTCTTGCCCCCTCACATCAAGATCGCGACCCGTTTAATGTCTCTCAAGTCCAACGTTTTGGTGTCTTTTCTTGCTGTTAACTCCTCCGCGTTGCACTAATCAGAGTCAGATTTTATGAAACCTCTAGCCCAGTCAGATCTCATCGGACGCACGTTGTTGACTCTGGGTAAACTCCACCCAAAACAAAGCCTAAATAAATTACCTCCCTTGCATTGGCAGTTTTGTTGTTTCTGTTGCACAACCGCGCACAACCGCTGGGCGAGAACAGGTTTAGATCCGATTTGTTGCCGCTGTTGACTTCTTTTCGTCGGCGTCTGCACTGTTGTCTCCTCTGTTATCCATCGCACATGATGTACGGGATATGCACGCTGTGTCGCGCGCAAAGTGGAAAGCAAAAGACACAGGCTTGGTGACAGAATGCCGCAAGTCTCGGCGATTGCAGATGCTACCACAAATGGAAACATTCATCCAGAAATGGAACGAGAACAACAGAAACGCATCGGGTGCAACCCTCTCACCGTTCTGCCATGCAGATGCAGCCACCAAAATCTCGGCCGACGATGTGAACTACCAATCGCGACAGTAGATGGACTGGCTGATACAAGCCCTTGCTTGGGTTTTGCTTTTCTTTAATATGTTTTGACCTTCCAACGTTCGCCCGTCATCTCATCTTTCCAGCTGTTTGTGTCAACAATCTACTCCAAATAGACTTATCGTCCCGCGGCATTGGTGCATGGTTACCATTCCACTCACTGGTGTAGCTCACCAAAATCGCTCAGCAGTGTGTGTTTCGAGGTCACATCGCCGTTCAGCGTAACACCATAGTGCCTCTTGCGTGCTTTAGCATCTTTCGCATGGATTTCTATGCGTCATGTTTGGTTAGGAGGCGTTTAATCGCAGTGTGCAATGTTTTTGTATAACTTAATCTGCATTACGCAGATGTCCAAAGCGCATGATACAATGCAATCGATGCCAAGGATCGAAAAGCATCACGAACACCTCCACTATCAGACCCGAATTGAGATGTGCTCCCCGGCTTCGTAACATGGACCTCCTTGCTTGCAAGTACAAGGTCACTTGAGTAATCTTCACACCAAGTTATACAGCCCCATTTATGCAACTGATGGCAAGCAAACGAAACAAAAAGGCCCCAGTTGTGAATGGATACATGTCGCAATATCAACAGGATGTGTACGTATCCGTACAAGCTCGGGTTCCTGCAGGTGTAATTTCCCATCCTTGTATGGATCCCCTGCCTGCTCCAGAAGCGCGTTTCACTCGGGCCACCGACGGTTTGGATGGTGACTTTTATCATGCAGTAAAAAAAACATTGTGACTAGATCTGGCTGCCGTCCAGACCGCCGTCGTTGCTCTCTAGGTGTCGAGTATTGGCTGAACTGCCATGCGCTATCGTGGGCTAACTTTGACTACCAGACAAGCGAAGTGAGCTGAGGTCGATCAGCACGGAACATTGTAGAGTGATAGAGTGAATATGGAGCGAATGCAGTAAGCGTGAAGTTTTATTGTGACTGAACGTCAATCACTTGGAGCATAGAAAAGTCTCAGTGTCTGTTCTGATAACCTAAGAACTATCAAGGTCCCCTTTCAATAGGATTGGCTGTGTCTTTGTCTTCTCGGGACCTCTTGTAAGATATAGTTCTGCTTATTAATAGACCGGCATATCATCATCTTATTCAATTATCTCGCAATATGTAGGACGTCATTGCAACAAAAGATAGTAGACTTCGCTGCCAATGGCCAGATAATATGGGCTTCGCCGCTTGTGTGCTCCAACTACTCTGTCGGTGAATGTATACAAATCATTAACGTTATGCCGAGGCATTTGCGGGTTTCATGTCGGCCCAGCTGTTATAAGTATGGATAGTCTTAAGAAACCCCTCTACACTTAATCGTAACCACCACAACTCGACCTCAATTGGATATACACGATGGCAGTCAAGGAAACAACAAAACTCTTTAGCCCAGTCAAGGTTGGCAGTGTCGAGCTTAAGCATCGAGTGGTGCTTGCTCCGTTGACACGGCTTCGTGCGGACCAAGCCACTGCTGTCCCGGCCACTTATGCCGCAGAGTACTACGCCCAACGTTCTTCCGACGGCGGCCTGCTCATCTCTGAGGGCACTTTCATCGCTCATGAAGCTGGCGGTATGTCTCGTGTTCCAGGAATTTATTCTCCAGAGCAGATCGCGGCGTGGAAGGTTATTACGGACGCAGTTCATGCCAAAGGAGGTTACATCTTCGCCCAGCTCTGGGCTCTAGGGTAAATGCCTCAACCACCACATCCAGTGCCTGTATATACACGAGATACTGACTGCGACGACAGTCGAGTTGCAGACCCTAAGCTTGTTCCTCATGTCTGGAGTGCGGGATCTAAACCCTTTGACAAAGGCACTGGTGCGGCGGAACCTCCTGCCAAGTTTACCACCATGACCGAATCTGATATTGATCGATTCGTGGGCCATTACCGACAAGCTGCTCTCAATTCTATCGAGGCTGGCTTTGACGGAGTTGAGCTTCATGGTGCCAATGGATACGTGAGTCTCTATAGAACATTTATATGAACTTCAGATGACTGACCTCTCTACAGCTTATCGACCAGTTTGTAAGTGTACAGGCCCTCCTCCAGAATTGAGGGCTAAGACATATAGCTTCAAACCAACAGCAACGACCGAACAGACTCGTACGGCGGCAGTCTGGAAAACCGCTTCCGTTTTCCTCTCCGAGTTCTCGAGGCTGTAACCGATGCCATCGGCCCCGAACGAGTCGGTATCCGCATGTCACCCTTCTCCCGCTTCCAGGGCATGCGCGAGGCCGATCCTCTGAGCGTCTTCGTCCCCTGGGCAAAGGCTATCATCAAGGCTCAGCCATCGCTAGCCTTTATCCACGCTGTTGAGCCGCGAATCTCAGGCGGAAGCGATGAGGCCGGCCACTTCCCAAAGACAGAAGATACACTCGAACCCATCAGAGAAGTAGTCAGCAACTCTGGTGTCAAGTTCATTGTTGCAGGTGGGTTTACTCCCGAGACTGCAGTCAAGCATGCAGACGAGACCGAAGACCTGGTGGCATTTGGACGTTACTTTATCCGTAAGTTCCTCGTAAGAAAGTCGCTGGGAGTGGATGTTGACCCCTGAACAGCAAACCCGGATTTGCCTGCACGAATCCAGAACGGCTGGCCCTTGACCAAGTATGACCGCTCGCTCTTTTACACGCCGGATGAGAAGGGTTACACAGAGTGAGTGTTGGTTTCTTGTCTTCAACCCTTGACTTTGCTGACCGTGGTTCGTAGTTATCCTACGTATCATCCCGATACGTCTAGACTTTGATAGACGAGACCTTGATAGTCCAATGATTACTAGACACGTAGAGATAGATCCATGTCAATTTCATTTCTCATCCAGTTGTTTATCTTAAACAAGGTTTGTTGAGGTGGACAGCTGGGGATCAATAGGCAATAAGCTGCTTGTGTAATGTTTGCTGTGAACTCTAATGGATTGGCTATTGTGTTATCGGACAGAGGGAAGTGTATTTGGGAATCCGAAATTCTTGATTATTGGAGCTAGGTATAGATTCAAGCCAGTGATGCAAACAGAATGAATGAGAAAATGATTGTTTGCCTATCGAAAGGGAAGCCAACCAGAGTCTTGAGTGGTATACACTTTACAGTACAGTTCTCTATTCACCCTTGCATCCACATCCGCACCCATATACACCTCAAAAGCCCAAGCCATCCGAACCTAAAAGTGCATTTTCCCTTTTCTTAGCCCTTGTGTATCGTGTATGTCACGGGTCAGATAAGTCGATGCGGTGGCAAGAAAACCCTAAAAGGGAATAAAAAGTACCTGTCCCCCCTCGCCCATGCTTCACCTCTCAGATTAATGACACTTGCACATCATCACACGACGCATAAGAAGCTAGATTGCGCGCGCTCAGGTAGATAGTGCGTTATCTTCACCGAAGATCGACACAAGTTCACTGAGGGGGTTCGTACCTGGGGGTTAGATGACCTTCATCTGTGATGAGACATAGCTGGATATGTCGAACCGGGCTTAGGCTTGACGACGACGCAGTAGCCTATACGCCTCTGAGATGATGCAACGGAATGTCGTGATAGGGGCCAAGGAGGACAGCAAGGCAGAGAGGACGATCAACAGCCCCAGAGTGGGGGACTGCTAGTTAGTGTTCTGTTGTCTGTAGGTTGAGAATAAGCTGTGATAGAGCAGTCCAACTTTTCTCTATCCATACCTCATAGATTATCTACCTCTTACCCTTGGAGCGACGTGGAGACTATGTCCTAGACGTATGATCTAGATCCAACTAGATTCAGAGAAGTCGCAGTTTTCTGTTACTCCTTTTCTGCCAGTACTGCAACAGGTAGCCAAGTACTTCCGCACTTGAAGTCATGTCCCTTGTCTTTTCACTTACAGGTGGAACTCGCAGCCTCCTTAGCAGAGGGAAAGCAAAATCCTGTACTGCATCATTATCTATCGTTCTTGTGCCGGCCATGCGACCTCTTCATCATCTTTCTCCCCAAATCTTACTCCCTATCTTTAAAATAGAGGTGTGTGTGTCAGGGTAATGACTCTGCGTGAGCAAGCAAAGGCATTGATTCGGCTCTAGGATCACTTTTACATAAAGTTGACGAGAAGATAGGCACTACAAGAGTGGCCATTTCACTTGGCGTCATTGGCTCCTTTGTCTCATTACAATTTTCAATGCTTCCTGTGATTCCTCTGCACAGCTTCATACTTTGTGGAGGAAATGGACGAAGTTCATTGACTCATTAATCCAATCGTCGAAAGTATACTTCTCTCTAGGCAGGCTTAGCATCCATATCTCCAACTCACAAGTATGTCACTTCCTTGTGCCTCGGCACAGCCAGTTGCTACCTCAACTCACTCTGTTCACATTGGCCACGCAACCAGCCGTAGAGCACAATATCCACCTGTATCGTGTTCCAGGAACATGATAGGAAGAAGCGAATCAAGAGTATAACTTACCTAGCAAGTAGGTAATACGGTATCTAGGCTACAGAGGCTACAAGGTGAGTGAGCAGACCATAGCTTGAGGCTGACAGGTTGTTTACCTATCTATGTCGTCGCACTTAACTGGCATCTCCATTATGTCACGACTTCACGTTAAATTAAAGTCACTTCTCCTCCTTACCAGAAGTTGGTCAGTGGGTGGCCGTCCTGCAAGCAATGAAACAGATTTTGAAGAGACTATGTACAGCCCGAGCGAGGAGGACTTATAGTTCTAATTTTCGAAAGAAAACCAGTATGGGTTCCCTACGGGATTTATTGACTAGGTCTAAACCGCCCCATTCAGTGATCGCGCACAACGTATATGTGTAAAGTTCGATCTTTCCAGAGAGTGAAAAAAGGATCTGCTATCGTCACTGATTGATCTTTATTGATACCACTGATCATTGGGTTCATCTATTCGCTATCCCGATATGGTCTCTTCTGGTATTCCTTTTCTCTATACCTATATGGAACGGGTAATGGAGGAAGACGAATCACTAGGCCGAAGAAAGGGAAAATCGTCGCACGAAATCAAAACCCTTTCTTCTTTGCAGCCATAAAACCCTCCCCATTGGTGTCGGTCTGCCACATTGACCAGTATCAAGGCACCCAAGGCTCCACCAACCTGTTACAAGGTGAACGAAGAAGTAAGAATCGTACTCCAGAACAAGGGCATATGCATGTGGCTTCAAGTTGAGAAAAATTGATCTGCCAGCAAAGATTGGTCCTCTGTTTCGTGTGGCATCAGATTGTATGGCGCGAGTGATCAAGCTACAAATAGGGTCAGAAGGTTTTATCATGGTTAGAAGATACTTACCTGTTTGGAACCTAAGTGGCGTTGATGTTGAAGCAAGGTTCGGTGTGTGTCGAGAATGAGAGTAGGACCGATGTTTGACAAGCATCCAGTGATTGAGAGGCTTCGCTAGAGTGGCTGGCGTAGTTGGTCTGCCCCAGCGTAGTCATCCTGAAGTTACTTCGGGGCCATTGCCGCATATGTTGTAAATTTGAGGTGCATCTTCCCAAGTAAGGTTTGCGATCTTGCTGTCGAAGAGAGAATTCATAGCTGGGATGTTCTCACCAAGGCCAGGGGTTTTCGTTGGTCGTGAAGATGTTGATAGTATTTGAGGTTTGGTATCGGGGTAGATAGTTGGCACTGAGGGTGACGTGGTAGAGGCGATCGGGTCGTCGACCTAGGGGAAATTTCCCGGGAAAGTGTGCGCGTCAGCTGGTGTGTAGAGCAACTGACGACTTATACGACCCCTTCTAACTGTACTTTCCAGTATAAGGGGTCTTCATCGGGGGCCAAGGGGTTCAGGCCTCTAAAGCCTGAACCTCGCAAGGCCCCCTCAGATGTTGGAGTTTTCATTAGGGGACGCACCTTAAGAACAAAGTTTAGGCCATACTGTTGTGAGCCAAAGAAAATTCGACCATAACGTCGTTCAAAGACGGGAATGTTGTCGATGTATGAAGACGTCGTGACCGTAAGCGAAGTGTTTCCCACGAACAGAGGGATATGCTGGGTGTAGGCGATACCGGAAGTTATAAGAGGGGGGAAGGAGATGAGATAATGAAGAACAAGAGGATCATGGGATCATAGAGAAGGAGACGTGTATAAGAAGGCAAAGAACGCTGACTGGGAGAAATCCAGGAAGATGAATATGGGAGGACAAGGAGGCGACGAAGACAGAGACGGGGATACGTGTGTATAAGACGAGAGGAGAAGAGGATGGCGATGAAAGGAAAAGGAAGAGAGAAAAACGACGACGCGGAGAAGATAGATTATCTATATCTCTGGAGAGCTCACTCCTGCCCCAAATATCAAGGCTTCATTTGTTAAGAAGGCACCTCCAGCCATCCTGTTGTAGTCAGGAAACAAATAGTTGAAGTAACTGCCATGCCAGATATCAAATAGGCCAGGCAAGACTGCCTCAGATCAATTGGAACAGCACTGCTGCCTAGGTGTCTAGATACTAAGAGCACGAGGCAGGATGACACCAGTATACAAGCACATAAACAACTCTGATGAAAATGGGTTTATTGTAAGCTACAATATGGTTGAGTTTCCTAACATGGGTACCGCGATTATTCCTGGACTATAGTGACTACGTCTTAGATAACTCGCTTTGACTCCATAACTAAGTATGTTTATATGGCTGTATATTTCTTCTCATCTGGCACGAGTAACTCTCTCCCAGGTTTATCAGTTGGGAGGGCACTTGCCACGACTTGTAACCATCAGGTGGAAAGACCTCAGTTCACAGATTGCATCATTGACAAGTGTAGAAATCAGAGGAAGGCGTGAAGCGCTCCCTGATGCCGAGTGTTCATCATAGGTCACCTGGAAAGTACAGTCCCCGTGTCCCCGTATCTGTGTGTAAGGAAAGAGAGAAGTAGAAGGGTTGGGTACAGCTGGCAATTTATACCACACACACCGTGTGTATTGATCAACTGGCACTGTTAAATGCACTGTTATCCCAGAGAAACATTTGATGCTTGCGAATAGACATTATGGAAAAGGCTGGCTGAGTTAGCAACTGGAACCGTGATGAAGCCTCACGAAGTAAAGCTTTTGTGCTGATGTGTAAAGTTGATGCAGAGGCTTGTTTCTGAGGAACCGAAAAATGAATAAGAAAGTAAAACAAAAGCTTAACCACGTCAGGTAGCATGTCTGCCTGTCCTTGGAATAGTCAACTCTTCTATAACTTTAAATCAGTAGAGTTATATGGAGAAGACATAAAATCAAAACTCCCAGACCTAGCCAGTATTTCTGTTCTAGTATACAAGTGCTTGACGTAGTTAGTGAGCCCACGTGAACTAGCTTTGATAATAGTCAGGGGAATGTTAAAGGACCAAGATGAGAATAGTGCCACGAATACCTATGATGTCCCTAGGAAACGAGCCCATTACTACTATTATTTCACTACCTAGGTCTAGGAATACAATGTCTTGATAAGAAGCAATAAAACCTTATTCATCGTATCTATTCATCCATATCAACCGCGCGCGAGTCTCTTAGCTCCATGGCCGTATCATAACTCCGTGAAATCCAAAGGTAATTAGTAATTACCACATTGTCCGTTTAGTCTAAGTTCCAATCCTTCCCCAGGCACTAGCCTATTAGTGACCAACCTCAGGCTCTCTCGCCAACCATATCCACCCTCGCTTCTCCCGCGCCCATGGTAACCTCCGATCCCCCGACCTGAGCATTACCCAAAGAGGAAATGGGCTGAGGACGATCTCCCGCTATGTCGGCATTTTCGCTTTACCGATGGCCGACTTTTGCTGCTCCCGTCCGTTTCATACTATTGGTATTGGCGAGGGCACGAGAGGGCGTCATTGGAAATGTGTATATATTGGGTGATGCATGTGTTTTATCGTATGATCCTTCTTGTTCATGGATAAGGCAAATCTTGGTTTTACTTACATCTTCAGAGTTGACAGCTACTGCTCTTCAATCAGTTGAGCCTATTCAGCATCAACATACTGGTATACTTGACTACACTCATCACCTTAATTACACATCATTATCACGACCACGACCACCAAAATGTCCTCACAGAATCCGGGTAATATGCCTCCCCAAGGCCCTCCCTATCTCCCCAAAACAGCCGGTCTGGGAGGCCGTCCAACAACCTCGGTCGACGACCCAATCAGCGCCGTATTACTCGCCTTCTTCGTCGCCGGCGCCGCCCTCAACATGACCATCCTGCAACTCAACCGTCGTCGCTCCCACAAGTTCATCCTCTCCGGACTTCTTTTCGGTTTCTGCATGGCGCGCATCACCGCCAACGTGCTCCGCATCGTTTGGGCCTCGTACCCGACCAACACGAGTGTCGCTATCGCAGCACAGGTGTTTACAAACGCCGGTGTCGTTCTCCTTTTCGTCGTGAACCTCATCTTTGCGCAGCGCATTCTGCGGGCATATCATCCACATATCGGATGGAGCAAGCCTGCTTCGCTGGCGTTCAAGTTCCTGTACTTTGCCGTTGCTGCGAGTCTCATTATGCTTATCACGGCTGTTGTGTATAACTTTTACACCCTGAACCCACATACCAAGCAGCAACTCCGCGATGTACAACTCACCGGCAGCACATTTCTCGCCATCCTCGCTTTTCTTCCTCTGCCCGTGGTCGGCCTCTGCCTCGTACTTCCTCGAAAAGCACCCATGGACAAGTTCGGACAGGGACGCATGCGAACAAAGGTCCAACTCCTCACCTTCACCACCGTTCTCCTGACCCTCGGCGCCGCATTCCGAACTGGCGTAGCATACAAGATCCGCCCAGCCAACGACCCAGCCTGGTATCACAGCAAAGCATGTTATTACTGCTTCAACTATGTCATTGAGATCATTGTTGTCTTCTCATATGCGCTGTCTCGATTCGACCGACGCTTTCACATTCCCGACGGCAGCCATGCCCCTGGCGATTACTCTGCCCCCAAGTCTGAGGCTCAACAGGGCATGTATCGTGTTAACACCGAGACCGAAGTGTTCGGTGAGGATGAGCGACCACAGACAGCGGAGCAGCAAAAAGAGCAGCAAAGACAATGGGAGGCAGGCCTCAAGGACGAGATAAAAAAGGAGACCGTCTGAAGTTGAATTACCTTTCAGGAATGTGTTACACGACTGTTTAATTTGTATTACCTTGAGAAAATTGTGGGGGTACAAGTGAACGATTATGGGGTTTGGTACTACCCTCATCTGGATCATGGCGAATGGTGTTTGGCTAAGATACCATAACGGGTGTTGTCCGCTTGGACGAATGGACTGTTGACACTCGTCATTAATTAATTAGAATAATTCCAAATATCGTTAACATAATGCAACATAATGCAACATGACGGTATTTGTAACCATTACTTGTTCTTTGCTTGATAAGTTGATTTAGTACTGATATACTTTTTGATATAGTGCAGCCTATATGCTTCCTGTGCTAACAAAGTTGACTCTTCCATGCTCGACTCTTTGACAATGAATATTTATACATCACGACGATGAGGCGAGTCAAAAATTGATCATGCATGCGTGTTTCTTCTCTTACACCGCGGAACTCAAATATGCGTATCTAAGCAGCCATAAGATGGGCGCCGCAACGAAGTCTACCAAGCCCTTGCAGTGTCCGTACAATCCCTGCGCCATAAAATTTTGAGTCGTTCGATGATCCGTCGTGTGGAATTGTACAGGGTGGAGCTGCAATATATTTGAGGCTGGCGCAGTCGCCCCAGTATGACTTTCCGACGTTCGCGGACTCGAGCTTGGTGAGACGTGGGTATACGTGACGAGATTAGAGGAAGTAGTCGGGAGTCCCTGTTATGGTGTTAGCTATATTCAGCCCGTATCGCTGTCATGACCGTAAAAACTTACGCCTTGATACCATAGGCTCGCCAGCTCTGGGGCAGGGGTCGAATTGCAAGCTGGTTCTGGTTAACTCATCGTATCAGATAAACACGGGCGCAAACTTACAAGGTGTACTTCAAGTGCTCATCAATCTCCATGATAGCAGCTTGGTTACCACATCGGTAGCAGTAGTTGGGTGCTGCACTCATGTTAATTTTATACCAAAGCTTGGCGTCTTGAATCGTGACATACCTGAGAAAATGGTGACCACATTTCGGTCTTGAGACCAATTGTAACCCTCCATGACAAGTTGATGAGCTCGAGCGATCAGAGTCAAACCATTGTTATGGTTGAAAGCTTCTGAGATATCCTGCCCAAATGTGTACCCCGCACCACGAGGAGAGATTCCCCAGCCACATCGATCGTCGGGGTCTGACCAGAGAAGATCACACATGGGACCTTCGTGGGGAACCTCCTGGATGCGGTCCAAAGCTCGGATGTTGTCCAGAGTGTCGATGCTGGGAGAGAGACCACCGTGAAGACAGAAAATTTGGTTGTCGATCAAGGCAGTGAGGGGGAGGTAGTCAAAGAGGTCGGTGAAATACTTCCAGACATTAGCGTTTCCGTATTTGCGAAGACATTCGTCGTAGAAACCGTAGACCTGGGTGATCTGACGGGACTCGTGGTTTCCTCGGAGGATGGTAATTCGCTGAGGGTATCGGATCTTGAGGGCGACGAGAAGGGTGACGGTCTCAACAGAGTAGTAACCTCGATCAACGTAATCACCTATCGGGAGTAAGTATCGACCATGTAAACGTAAAAGAAAATTGAGGCGCACCCATGAAAAGGTAGTTGGTATCGGGGTTGGGTCCACCAATCTTGAAGAGCTCCATCAAGTCGTGGAACTGGCCGTGGATATCACCACAGACGGTGACGGGGCATTTCTGGCGGGGAATCAGCTCAAGCATCTGGCTCACTGGCGCATCGTTAACATACCACTGGCTGCACGTTCGACTCCTCCTGTAGAACTTCTCGTGCCTAAGTTGAAGGTTAGCGTTTGAAAGTCAATCACGCAAGACGTGGCAGAGCTTGTTGAGTGATGATGAACGTTTGACACGTTGAACGCGACTCAACCGTTTTATGCATAACGCATCCAACAACAGCTTCATTACATCCCGCTTAATTGGCAGCCTGCTCACCTTATCGCACAGTCTCTGAACGTCAGGTTCGGCCAGCTGCTTGCAGGACATCAAGCTCTCGATCCATCCATCGAGAGTGGGGATAGTGGTGGGCTCAAAGTTAAGCACGGGCGAAACTTCAGCGGGCGCTCGCCCAACATCCTCCATATTGGTGTCCATGACTTAAAGTTGTAGATATCGATTCGGATGTCGAGATGTGTTTTATTGCGGGAGTGAGGTTGAAATGACGTTGACGTTGGATGCGGTCACGCCTGAATCGCGAGCGGTGGGGCACGAGGCACAAAGGCGGCGGTCGTCAGGGGAGGAGAAAAGGGAAACAAGGGAGATGAGATAATGAGCAGCCACCGACAGCAGCAGCAGCAGCTTCTGTCGCTATAATCGTTCTATCGCGGGGAGTGACGTGAAGAGTGAGGCGCAAGAAAAAAGCCCAGGACGAAAAAGGGCACGCGAGGCTCGTGGGTGAAGAATTTTTGGTGGGTGTTGTTAGGTGTGATAGATGATGATGGAGGGCGAAAGGAGGAGGGATGGATGATGTTGGTGGTTAGCAGCCCAGGCCCAGCCTAGCCCGCCAAGTTTGGGGGGGCCAGACACCCGCAGAGCTCAGCGCCAGCGCAACGCCAGGCAGTGTCGCCCCTCCCACTTTCCAGCCTTGACCTTGGAAATGGAGATTGCCAGGTGCGGTAGGTAGCGCCTCATGTGGCGTAATCGACAGCTAAGGTGTTTGGCGATGTCGGGTAGTATCCGTGCCTAAACTCAACATCTCTTAACTGTAAATTCTGTATTTAAAGAACATTCTCATCTTTATTAACCGGTTAGAGATCTTGTGAGTTAATCGCACGGCACATTTGCTGGTAAACTTAACGTTCGTCTATTTCGTCATAACAAACAAGGCCCTTGGTTGCATACAAAGCTTATCCAACACGGGTGTGGCTTACATACCACTGTATCAACACTCAAGAGCCTAATAACATCATAACAGGCTTCTCACTTGAAATCATATCATCAATAACTGTTACAATGGCTCTCCAATTCCAGCCTGGGTATTGCCATACGAGTAAAGCCATAATCCATCGATGCTGACGAGGTAACCAAAACGTTGCCAATCTCAGCATCACTAATCATCCCCCTAACGCCTTAAAGCTTCATCTTTATGACAGCCCCAGTCCGACAGAAGCTTCCTGCTCGACCGGTTCAAAGTTCATTAGATCTTTACCGACCAAGTTCTCAAAGTCGAGGCCAACTTCAGATAAGAACTTGGAATGTTCCTTTGCTCTCTCCATGCACTGCGTCCAGACCTGTCCTCCAGGCTCCGTGCTACTAAGTTGGCGTGCCAGGATAACGTTAAACGCGTCGACCTCTTCTTTGGCCCATTTGACGCATACACTCATCATGGGCGGTGGGAAGCAGGACTGGAAGCACTGCACTGTGTTGTGGATGACCATAAAGTACACAAACGAGAGCTCCCAGATGTATAGATGCAAATCTCCTTGGAAAATGCATTGCCTATGACTTTGTTAGCAATTGTTCCGATTCAAATGCTCATGTTTACTTACCTGGCTCGTTTATGAATGGTTCCACTTCTTGCTGCTAGGTACGATTCACGGGCACTGTCTTCAAAGCCCAGCCTCGTCAACCAGCTGACATTGCGTCTTGTCTTTATGTTGTTGTCGTGTGTCAATTCAAGCTCATGAACAATCATGCCGGCTAATTTAGAGCATCGCTCGTTCACCTTGAAGTTGATGAAGTCCTGGGCGATCGCATGGTTCTTCAGTCCGCGAGCAATTGCCTTGAGCTTCTCCACGCGAACCACAGCGTCTTCAAATCTCTGCATGGCAACGTCAATGTCGAGATCATCCATTTCGCTCTCAACCCAGCGCAAGTTCTGCTGCTTGCCATCCACTTCAATGAGCATATCTTTGATGTCCGACAGCGTTGCTAGGAGTTCAGTCTTTTGAAGAAGACCAGGGTCGCGAGAGGCAAAGTAGTTAATCGTCTCACGGGCCTTGTTGTTGGCCTCCATCTCCGATCGGAGACCCTTGCGAAGCTCTTCTATAGCTTTGCGCACGTTGAGGAGAAGCTGCTTCTTTTCTGGGTCTTGGGGTTTCTCCGTCCGATAAATGAAAGATTCCTGACCAACACCTCGTACCATGATGGCATCCGCAAGCTTATTGCGCCCGCTACTTGACGATTCTCCGGTGCTTGACATGTCTACCACTTCGACATCCAACAGCGGCCAACAACGATCCGCCACCAGTTTCATTATAGGCCCTCGTGCGTCGGAACTTGGCGCATCTGCCTTTCGCTTCTTACGCGATGCGATGAGAAGGTGGTCGTTAAGCAGGAAGATTTGCATCGCTCTGCGTGATTTATATGTAGCGTTGTCGAGCTCGATCCAAGGGCCTGCATCTTGGACAACATGCCGTCCCACCGCATTAGGGAGGAACTTTTGCGACCCTTCCACTCCCTTATACAAGGCTTGCATTTGCGAATTCCACATTGCGCTTCTGTCGGCGATAGAGGTTCGCCTATCTCGTCTGCTGGTAAGACCAGGGGCGCTCGCAACATCTCTAGGCATAGTTTCGTCGTTCTTTGCGGCAGCCGCTCTCATAGCTGTCGTATTGACCTTGAGCTCCGACATGAAGTTCTTGAGGTTCCTCATCTCGCTCTTGAGCTTCTCCGCCTCTTTGCTGATCTTGATAAATTGTGTCCTGTTCTGCATAACGCTCTGTTGTAGATCCATTCCCACGCGTGTTTTGACCTTGCGCAACGAGTCTTCGAATTCACGGATCTGATCCTCGGTCGCATCGCTCAGGGCAGCTTGGACATATCGATCTGGCTTCAACTTCGCATCTAGAAGCCCCTTAATATCGACAACTGGAGTGGCTCCAGGGCCCGCACGCGAGGGAGGTTTTCTAATGGCGGCACTGGGGTCTCTGGACTCGTAATTGCCGAGCGAGGGCATCTGCGGCATTGGTGGTACAGCGCCATTAGGACCGGCAGTAGGTTGGTTGAATCGTGTCGAGTATCGTCGTTTTACAAGATCGGATGTCTAAGTAGCTATGTGAGCATGACAAAACCCTAGATAGCTTCATGGTACAATGTTACCTTTCCACCAGCCATCGGGGGAGGACGCGGACGAGGTCGAGCCTGGCCTTGGTCGCCAGGACTGGGAACGCCAGGAAGATGTGGCCTGTTGGAATCATCTTGAGCAATTGGACCAGAGATCTGACGAGGCGCGCTGATAGTAGGTCTCTTCTTTCTCTTGCCGCTGCGGAGGGATATCTTATTGCGATCCTCCATACTGGGCGAGTGCTAAAGCTATGGGCCGGCGCAGATTGGGGATTTGAGCTTGGTAGTCGATGATTGTGCCGAGTTTGGAGCTATGCGATAATAAGAACAAGTACGATGCCTCAATAGAAAATAAATGCTTGTCTGGCTTTTGGCGCCAGCCGAGCTCTATTACATGAGCTAGATGAAGGTACGTGTAATCGTCGGGTCGCTCCAGTGAAGCATCCACTGGCGCCTGGAATGGGAGTGCCAGAGTGCATCAGGAGGTGGGGTACGTACCTAGCCTCTCTGCCTCTCAGCCGCGTCCAGCTACGTGGGCTGTCGACATGGAGGTAGGTCATTGGACAAAGGCTTTGGTTGGGGAATAGTTTCAAGAACCTTGGATGTTTTACAATTTTGCTAGGACGAGATTCACTATCACCCCAGAAGATTAATCTCATTAAAAATTGACTGCCTTCTGCTCCAATTGGTATATAAATGCACTGATATCAAAACCACTACGTAGTTGGTTTTCTCCCATGCTGAAGCTTCCAAGCTCCCACCAACCCTAAATAGGTTTAGCCCCATAATGTGATCCGGGTCATTGCAAAAATTGGTTTCCTAAGGTAATCGCGACGTCTTGAAAGCTTGACGCTCTCGACGCTCGAAACAGAACGTAAACCATCTACGAGCATTGACGACGTAATTTTCCTCTGTCTCTCGGTCTCCGATAATCGTCTGAAAACGCCTTGAGCCCCCGAATTTGCCTATTGTCGCAGCCAACGGTGGGATACCTTTATCGGTCTTCGGTTTTATTCTGCGTGCCCCAAGCTTAAACCTCCTCATCTACATCATCGCCAAAATGGTCCAGTCATCAGCCCTGGTAACGGCGTCTGTCGCTACCGCCGCCGCCGCCATTGTCGGTAAGAATGCGCCTTTCGTATTTGTCTACAACTACGGCGATTGCTGTTATGCAATGCAGCAACCGATCGAGTTTACGAAAGCCCGAGGGGGAAAAAGTTACGCACAGATTTTGGCTAACGCAGATTCCTTCTGAGTAGGTTACGCCGTCTACTTTGACTACCAGCGTCGAAACCAAGCCGAGTTCCGCCGAAACTTGAGGAGGAACGAGCGCAAGCAAGCCCGCGTCGCAAAAGAGGAGGCCGAGGCTTCTACCCAGCAACAACGCCAGTTCATCCGCGTTAGAGTCGAGGAGGCCAAGGAGGAGGGGTTCCCCAGCGGTGTTGAGGAGCGGGAAGCTTTCTTCAATGAGCAGGTTATGGCTGGAGAGATGCTCAGCCAAGATCGTACGAATACCCTTCCTAAAGAGAGTGTTTACAGCTTACTGACTGTTGTCCTGCTGCAGCTACCAAGGCTCTCGAGTCTGCCCTGGCCTTCTACAAGGGCCTCAAGGTCTACCCTGCTCCTGGCGACCTGATCCGAATTTACGACAGCACTGTTCCCAAGGTAAGATCATAGGTGGAAGCTATGACAGGGCAACCAATTCTAACATATATGCAGCCTATATTAGATATTCTGGCCGAGATGATTGCATACGACTCATCTCTTGACATCCGCGCACCCGCGGCTCCCGCCGGCATCAACCTCTCCGACATCCCTAACGTTGGTCTCGATTAAAGAGGGATATGCCCTGTCCGAATTTCCTCTCCGCTCTTGGCACATATATACCCAGACGTTGGAAATGATCTTGAAATAACACCCTTTACCCCCGAAATCTGTACCATGGAAAGCTTGAATAATCTCGAGCTTTCAAAAAGAAATGTCTAAATGGAGACCTGACGGCCTTCGATGTACCATAGTTCCGCTCTTTCAGCTTCCATAGAGCTTTGTGTAAACAGATGTACGTTGAAACGAATGGGTTTGAAAACGACAATTGCTGGTAGTTTTTCGGCAACAAATCATGAAGTTATAATCCTTTCAAGTCCTTTTTACTTTTTTCGTCTACGGGGACCTATGACGCTTCAATCTTGCGCCCCTTTCTGTCTACTCTTTCGTCCTCCGGGTTGAATCCACCGTTCCCCCACAAAGCCCACTCCGGCGTAGCTTCTCCCATGTATGACTCTGGCGTAAAGTCTCCATCTGGGTGCTCCTCCAGCAGCTCAAAGTATCTCTTGTAATCGATCAAAGTGTGCCACTTGCCATCGACATAGAACCTCTCACTAGCCAAGAGGATACAGCAGCTGTGTGCGTGCTCGGCAGCAATGCCGTACTTAAGACCCTTCTCCTTCAACCTCTTCTCAAGCGCCTTGACAAAGTCGCAGACTTCCCAGTAGAAGGGGACGTTGGACATGCTCAAACCGGCATTGGAAGATGTCGATGTACCGCAGTATGTGACACCCTTGACCTCGACGAAGCAAGGCAGACCCTGCTCCACGAGTTTTGCGTATCCTTCAGCTTCCTCTTCCACGTTGAAACCCTTAACGAGTGTCAAACGGAAGACAGTTCGGTGGCGGAAGCGCTTCTCGCGGAGGATATCGAGACAGCGGTTGAATCGTTCCCAGAAGTCTCGGTGAAGAGGTCTGTCGATCCTCCTGAGTGACTCCTTGTCAGCTGCATCGATAGATACATAGAGTTGAGTAACGGCCTTGAGAGCAGCCAGCTGTTCGGGGTGCTGGGCATTGCAAACCAGGAAGGAAGAAATGCGCTCCGCATGCAGCATGCCGAGGAACTCGTTGATATAAGGATAGAAGATAGGTTCTCCGACGAGTGATAAGGCGCAGTGCCTAATCTGCATGGCCTCGGCGAATCGCTCAGCGCGTACACCAGGCATACCGCGCAGCATCTTGATCTTTTGGTAATGGTTCTTTTTAACTCCTTCAAAGATCAACTCAGGAGGATCGACAACCCATCGCCATGTTGTTCCGACGGGATTTGTGCCGTGGCGCCAGCAGAAGACGCACTTGTTCGAGCAGGATAGAGAAGGGGTGGTTTCCATGCACAGATGGCTCTTGATTCCGTAGAAGCTGAATTTATAACATGAACCCCTTCCGCGAAGGGCAGACTTTGTCCATCGACATGTCTTGACTCCGGAGTGAGACCCGACAATAGCATAACCTTGTTTGGTGAGAGCTTTGTATGTAGGCGATTCCTTGGCGACCATTTCCTTTGGTCCCTGAGGAACAGATTTCTTTGTGGAGGAGCCGTAGGTAGTGAAGTCAACAGCGAGTGGTGCTTTTTGAACGGTGGAACCGTCATCCTTTCGAATCATGCGTCCGAGGTCTTCGACATCGTCAAGACTTGAACTCTTGGTCTTTTTCTTGGGCTCTTCATCCTCAAAGATAACTTCGCCGTCGTCTTCGTCTTCGGAGATTTCTTCAATATCGCTTTCCTCTGCAGCTCCACTACCGGGAAGTCCTTCGCCCAGATTTCCAGTGCGGGCAACATGTTCGATAACCTCCTCAACTCCCTTGGTCCATTCGCGGAGACGTTCTTCATGATCGCCCTTCATATCGCCCATTCCAACCGGATAACCTCTCTTGCGAGCAGTAAGTTTAGCCATCCACTTGTCGATTTCCTTGGCCTGGAAGCAGAAACCATCTGCCTCGGTGGGCCAATTCTCGGTATCACCAAATCCGAACACAGAGTAGCCGAGGATTCCAGATATAGGCGCCGTGTCAATTCGGAAGTCATGATGTGTCTCTTGGAGATGCTCGAGGAAAGTGTCGTTGATGGTATCGATGTTGTAACTGGGGATCAGGAAGAGGTAGAATACGTCGGCATCGCCCTGCGCCTTGTAAGGGGTGAGGAAATAATCATCGAAGTCGATCTCGGTAAGGTCTCGAAGTTCAGGCTTGAGAAACTGGCGACCTGACTGCTTGGACACCTCGTCTAGTTTTCCTCCGAGGTCCTCCGTGTATGCCTCCGCTATTTTGGCAGTTTTGGTTGTGATGGACGAGAAAAACACTACAGGCAAGACAGGTCGAGTAATATCATTTACTTCCTCCTTGTTCTTTGAAGGTTTCCTTGCCAGACCACCCTTGATTCTTCGTGGTCCTTGAGATTTGACATTCTTTTTCTCTTCGATCGGTTCGATGGTGGGGGTCTTTTCCTCGACTACCACCTTTGGCTTGGCGGGCTCGACGGGTTTCTCGTAGACTTTCTTGAGCGCAATAAGTTCTGTTTTCTGCCCATTGAGTTGAAAGTAGAGGCGAACGGCGATAAGAATGAAAAACACGGTGAAGAGAATTGGAGTGCGATGGATGTGCCAGACATCAACCAATTCTACCAGAGCCGTAGTCAGCATTGCGACAGCGGAAATAGACAGGACATTGCTTACCATCAACAAAGGCATCGAGGCGCGAAGGCGACGAGTAGTTTGCCCAATCCATGGTGATAACCTGCCTGCTGCCAAGATTATCCCTCAATCTTTAGGTTGTGAAAGGGAATAATTAAAACACACATTCACACAATAAGAACTTAGGTTCTGGGGAAAAAGCAGTTTGCCCCGCCTTTGCAGTTGAGAATTTTAGTGGAACCTTGCGCTATCGTGATTTATCACCAATGGAGGGGCAGCGATTTGACAGCTTGGGCTTACACCAGAAAAAGCCATGAGAAGATGCCCGTGATATTATGAGTAAAGGAAATAACATGTGTATAGATGTAGCCTTTAATATTAACTATTAAGGTTTTACTGTAGACATCTTAAATAACCTCTCATTACTGAAAATATGTATTGTTAGCTAGATGTGACATGCACGCAGGTAATGGGCTAAGGCGAATTAGCGAACCATGTACAAAAGCCGACGTGATTGAGATGGGGAGAGTTCTAACATGCTGTCTAATCTATTCTAAACTATAATACAATTCTAAGGGTATGGAACTTTCTGTCTAAATGTCTAAGCTTCTATGTATACATAAATGGTATTATTTACCAGACTCCCGTGCTGTGTGCCCGATTATGCGTATGCATGTTCTTGTGCGAATCCATCTTACAATAAGAAAATTATTGGTGTATGAGAACGAAGCCACCTAGGCGGTTCTATCGATTCCTCCAACTGGCGACTTTCCTTGAATGTCCTTCAAACAAGGCGCATGGAACATCTCACCCGTAATCGCGTCTGTTGCAGTCATAGTTGCAACAAACATCCACAGCACTATCACTGCAAGGGAGATTATCTGCAGTAAAGTTAGCACATATAACTCAGATCATGGTAGGTTCTCTCACCATTGTAGCAACTCTAAAAAAGTCACTGTCGAGGGTCTCAGACAAGGCATTCGCGGATGTCGCCAGTGTGCCGAGAGGGAACGTAAAGCCCCAGTATCCCATATTAAACCTTGGACGGGTCGTGGCGATGCTAATGAGGGCAAACGAGAGCCAAACGAGAGCAAAGCCATACATTACCAGGGCTAAGAAGACACCCAGAACATGCAGCACCTCCCCGGCTCGCTCACCAGCTTCGCCAAAGGCATTGGTCTTAGGGATCAGGTGCAGAGATACCTTGCCCAGCTGCTGGATGCCGAAGCCACCCTGACCTAGAGGGCCTATTGGTAATAATGAGCTTACAACAGCCTCCTTGGGCGGGATGGAGTGGATGGTAAGTCGATGGAAGTACAGCGCTAGCACACAGGCTGTGAAAGATGTGCCGATGCCCCAGAGCACGTAAGAAACGATGACAGTTGTGAAGGCGTGGTGGTGGTTGGGCAGTACTTCGGCCACGATGCCTCCCGTGCCAGCCGCAACAACAGTTGGAACGATAGGGAGAAGTAGAGTCGCGGTGATGTTCTCAAGACCGGGACGGTGGCGGTGCATGACAATGAAGGGCATGCTGATGCAAGTCGCAATTGACAGCCAGATGTCCACCCACCAGAACGCCCAGGCGACATAGATCATCCCATCTCCCCACTGCTTACAGCACAACACCATCATGTTGATGATAGCTATCAACGTCAGCCAACGCTCAGCGAGCGCAGTGGTGGTTTTGCTTACTAGCAAGCGCCATGGGAAAACACCCGAGGAAGAGAGACTGCGCCGGGTGCGCTATCATGGCAGTCCATATCTCAGGATAGAGTGTGTACCGGGCGACAGATATAAGAGTAAAGATAACAAACAGAACGACATTAAGGCCAAAGAAGATGTACGATAGGTATTGAATCCATGGCGCATTGTAAGGGAGATTGTGCAACAATACCGAAACCATGCCTGTTCCCATACAGACAGCGAACCATCTATCGACCGTGTTAGTGATATTGGATCATTGTGTTGGCCAATTAGAGACTAGACGCACGATGGAGTGAAGTTCCTCACCACCCTTCTCCAGCCGGTGTTCTCTTTGCAGGGAACACTGAACTCGCATGGCTTCGGCGTAGAGCCGCTGTGTACCGCCGTGCCATTGCTGTTGGACACGGAGTGCGACATGCTGAGTTGGCGTTAGGGTCAGATGTGACGTGAGCCTGCTGATCAATGTACCGTAGGATGGAAGCTAATCGAGTCTAATACAGTGAGTATCCTTTGTCTTCCCAGGGTCTACTCTGTTTCCCCTTGGCACATGTGGTACAGCAGCACATCAAATCAATCAAGGCTCATCAAGTGCTTATAAAAATCTTTTTATTTAGGTATTTAACGAAAGTGGATCTCTCGTACGGCTCTTCCTACTGAGTCCGTCATCTGTAACCATGTTTATAGATCGAGCATCCATAAAGATCCATAAGAATTGGGTCTGAAAGGACATTTTTCAGCACTGACTCACTATAGCGGCGTGTGCGGCTTAAACAATGGCCGCCAGAATGGTTCAATGCCGAGATTCGTCCGCACCTAATCTCGTGTAATAGCGGGTCCACAGAGCAAGTCTTGATAATAAATAGCTTGTATTCCGGCATGGTTGATTGCCCAAGAAAAAAGGTATCAACATACATATAAACAAATTACGCATAGATGGAAACACCCATGATACCCCGAAGCACATCCCACAGCAACCCTTTCCCTCACCGTATCTTCAGGAGCCTGCCTCTTTGTCATACCAACAAGGTAGCGCCCCAATTCGTATACCGTAGAGTACTTTGACCAAAGCCCGAGGGAGGTTTAGCGTCGCTACGTCCAACCAGAGCCTCCAGATCAGCTCACAGGGCCATTCTGAGTCGCCGATTGACCTGTGCCGCCCAGAGATATCCTGTCGGTCGCTATCTGCGCCCCACAGCGAGATGCGAGATGTCGGTGATACTATCTACCGGCTTGTCAGAGTTGAATCTGACCGGTAGCAATCGGTGGTGGAAGCGGATGTACATGTAGTTGGGCATTCCCCGCCCGAAGTTCCTGTAGTCGTGTTATCTTCCTCTCGGAAAGCCCCTTAGTCCTAAGACAAATTTGAGTGTAAAGCATCAATACCATCAATACCCAAGCATAGCATCGACACAATCATGGCCGTTGGTATCTTCTCCAACCCTACAGCGCTGGGCGTCGGCCCCAGCATGTCCCCCAACGTCGGTCCGCGCCAGCAGAATCGTTTCGAAGAACTCGTGCAGAGACTCAAAGACGCCCTTGGTCCATCGTCAGGGTTGACCTCGGATGATGTCGACGTAGACTATCTCCAACAACTGATGGAGGGCTATGATAGCTCTAATAATTCGTGGTCCAAATATGCGTTTGGCGATAGAACCAGGGGCTACACCCGCAACCTCGTCGACGAAGGCAACGGCAAGAGTAATCTGGTAAGACATTCAAGTCAACTTTGACCCATATCCCAATTGCTGATGCCTTGCATAGCTTGTTCTTGTATGGACTCCTGGAAAGGGGTCTCCTATTCACGACCACGGCAACGCCCACTGCATCATGAAGATCCTGCGCGGCGAACTGACCGAGACTCGATATGCATTCCCAGAAGAGAATGAAGAAGAGGGACCAATGAATATCATCTCCGAGAGAACATTTAAAGAGAACGCCGTTACCTACATGGCTGACGAGCTTGGGCTCCATCGAGTGACCAATCGCGGCAGCAACTTTGCTGTCTCATTGCATTGTAGGTCACACCGCCGACGACACTTGTCGCAGTAACTGACCAGCAACTCTGCAGTATATACTCCTCCAAACGTGGCAAAGAAGGGTTGCCATATCTTTGACGAAAAAACAGGACGGAAGAGCCATGTGCCGGGCTGTCACTACTACTCGGCATATGGGCGACTGCTCAAGGAGTAGTTGATGCGGATATGGCTTCAACAGCCAGTCTTGATGAGATATGACTTTTGTAATTAGCGCCTCAATGAAGTGCATCATTGAGAAAGCGCTGTTTTGGTTCCAGATTGTATCTGCTGGTGTTTTATATTGTTTTGAGATAATGGAAGTTGGTCTTCGTATAGCAGGATAGGTATTGCAATATCAGCATAGAATGAACCGCCATGATCCAGATGAGACCCGCATTCAGTGCAAAGACGTGAAATAATAAGGATGAAGGAGGAAAACCCACAGGCTTTGGTCTGGTTGCTTGTCGTTGTGCTCTTGATTGCCCTTCTCATCGAGCACGCAATTGACGCTTTGTCCCGAAACGGAAATTGGTGCGAGAGGCACTGTAGAGCACTGTAGAGCATTGTATTTGCAATAGCTGCCGAGCCGTCCCGAGTGCCGTTTTAGATGCTATAAATGGTGATGAGATTGAGGGAAATGGGGTATTTAAGCTGATGATTTGTTTTTGACGTACTTGGTACATATCGACTGATAAATCCGCATCTTCTCAGTGTCTTGTTAAGAAAATCTGGCATGGCGTTGTTACACCGATAACCGAGTATTCCAGCATGCCCACTTGCGTAATTGAGCTGGCACAGAACTGGAGAGGAAGACGACGAATAACCTATGACTGGAAAGCTATTCTATTGGTCTGATAATACTATACTTAAATGTATTCATAATTCTATTTGGCCAATTGTATGGGACGTTGGAATCCTCAAGCACTCGAGGTATCTCGTCTGGTAGGCCTTGTGAGAAGTCCGACGGTCCAGTCTGTTCCACACTCAAGGACTGAGTTACACTTTACTTCCAGCTTATAAAACACAATGATACTTAATGGAGCGTACAATCACAAGCTTCTATGTATACATCCCACATAAGGACAACCCTTATAAGTCAACCTATGAGCAAGTGGATAGGAACATCATTCGGCCTGGCCGTGTCGCATTCGCCAGCCGCTCCAACGAGCCTACCCAGTCAGCGAGTGAATTGGATACGAAAGCGAGGGAGCATGACTTTTACTACAAATATTACAGAGTGAATATGAGATCGTTGATTCATGAATGTGCTGAGCTGGACCCAACCCCTCATTCGGTTATGCGCCGCCTATTTACTGGAGCGCTTCAGAAATAACGTTAACATGGGTGTCTGCACCGACAGATCGACACACGAAACACCAAGCGCCGTCTCCTTATTGAAGGATAATTCTTAGTAAATAACATAGCCTTCCCCAGATTTCCTTGTGTACTTGCGGGGAATACATGAGATTGACTGTTCATTTTATGTGACTAGAGCCTGTATTTCTTGTACCCCCAAAGTCACGATGATGTACCCGTGCGAAGGGCTAGCAGCTGATCGTTCGAGGAGCCAGGGATATGCCAATACTCTAATTAAACACCTCGGCTGCCACCAGATGATGATGCAAAAGGCTGGCATTGACATGATGCTTTGAGAAGTGGTAGGCTACTTATATGTTGGCCATTCCCACTCCCAATCGCTCAGATATCGTGTTCCTGGTCTCACCAACCTCAATTCCATACTATCGATCTCGCATACTTGCATCATGCGTGTCTTCACCCTCCTGGCCACCGCCCTCTCGGCATCTCTCACCGATGCCTTGCCCGCCAATGACTTAACTCCCAGGGCAGAGACCCAATACGTCGGATACCTCATCTCAACCTTCAGTGACCCAACTCCCCAAGTGCAATGGCATCTGTCGGACGGAGACTCAGCGTCTAGCTTTGAGTTCCTGAACGACGGAAAACCTGTTTTGACCAGCAACGTGGGCACTAAAGGTGTAAGAGACATCTTTCTCACTACGAATGCTGCTCGCTCTGAATTCTTTACTATCGCTACCGGTATGTCATCCACATAATTGGACCGGGAATATTACTGACAAGTTTGTGGTAGACTTGGATATCAATGATCCCGATTTCTCATGGGATAAGGCAACTCGAAAAGGCAGTCGAGGTCTCGTTGTGTGGTCTTCCAAAGATCTTGTGAACTGGTCCAAGCCCTCCCTCAGAATGTAAGTCGCCACACAACCACACGCTTAACATCTCGCTGATATCTACAAAGTGTCGAGTCTGAAACGGCTGGCATGACTTGGGCTCCCTCTGCGGTTTGGGATGATGCCAAAAAGCTCTACTACGTCTTCTGGTCAGCCAGGCACTACGCTACTTCTGACCCCGAGCACACCGGCACCGCAAGTCTCGATCGCATCAGATATGCCACTACGAAGGACTTTGTCACATTTAGCCCTGCCAAGGATTATCATGCCCCCAAGGACACGGGTCTTATTGACCAAGAGTTCCAGTACCTCGGCAAGCCAGGTCATTTTGTACGCTTCCTCAAGAACGAGACTGTCAACCAGGTATACCAGGAGACTTCAACAACAGGTCTCTTTGGAAAATGGGACCGTATTCCTGGCTATGTGCGACCCGAGTCGCCGCTTGAGGGGCCGGGTTCATTTGCTGATCTTCGCACCCCTGGGTTATACCATCTTCTCCTCGATGATTACACACAGTACATCCCTTTTCAGACTACTAATATCCTGTCACCAAAATGGGAGAAGTCTAACTATCCGAACTTCCCCAAGGGTTTGAAGCATGGTTCGGTAACACCTCTGACAAAGAAGGAATATGATGCGGTTGCCTCAAAGTTTGGAAAATAAGTTCCTGTCAAAAATATGTACCAGACTAGCCATGGGATTTCTCATAATATGAATTTAACAACGCAATACATAGACCGACCCTATCTGATAGCATGGTGACAAATGGAAACTCTTGAGAAGTCTGCTGCTAATCAAGTTGTTGAAGCAAGACGCGACAGTCAGCTCCAAGATCAGACGGAATTATGATTACAGACTGTGATCATGTGTATCAAATCTAAATAAGATTTAATTCGGTCCGAGTGGCAAAAAACTCCTAATAGCCAAATCGACAGAGTCCAAAGTCTCGTGACTTACAAACCTTGAGTATTAGTTTTTCCGTCAACTATAAAATCCCAGCAGACACTTCTAATTTCCGCTCCCCATCAACCACGGATTTGATCCTTCGTTATAAGATGAACCATGATTTCACCCAAAACAGCCGTCTGATATAGGCTATTTACACTGCACCGTGGTTGATAGGGTCTGGGGGTTCTGTGTGTTATGACAGGTGTTGAGCCTGCGGCAGAGAACAGTGATGATGCAAACGAGACGTATCACACAAGCAGTGCATTAGGTCCTGACCAGGCCTTTTGAATAGTCGCAGCAATCTGAGTTCTCTCGGGCATAATATGTTCAAGTCGTTCATGATATTGGTAGTTGGCGCGATTCCTGTTCTGCTATTGGATATGTTTTTCGTTTATCTTAAGTAAGAGCGTACATAAGAATTTCGTGGATTTCTGCCAAGGTGTTAATGGCGCTCAATATCAATACAATTTCAATATTAAATAGGCCACGGAGATTATAATTTGTGTATTGTCCTGCTTGAGCTTCTCTTAATGGTTATGCGGATGGATTTTATGTTACTGAAAACCGCTTTAAAGTAGATTTGACAAACAACAAACGAACCATGGTGTTAGTAGGTATGATGTTGGCACTACCTATGGGACAAACTCATTTCACCTTTATTGATTTGTCCAAGTCAGTCTTCATAAACACTCTTCAATACAAAGGATGTAGGCGTATGATGCTTATGTAAGCCGGAATCCGGTGATCTCCGGCGTTATGCGGGATTTTCAGTCCGCTCTTATCAACTCCCAACCAAACGCTTTGAAATACGTCCAATAATGCCTGGTAAAAGAGCAACTGAGAGTTCCGCTCAAGATACCCCTGAGGTTCTAGAGCCTACGCCAGCAGTTCCGGGCGAAAATGAACCCTCCAAAAAGCGACGCCGTCGCATCCTCTCATGTGACCCGTGCCGACGCCTCAAGTGTAGATGTGAGATTGAGTATGGCTCAGACACTTGCTCGAGATGTCGAAACTTACGGTGGGTTTTGGAAGATTTTTCCTGTCAATTTACTGACTCATAGTGTAGAATCACTTGTTTGAAAAGCGATAGCCATGATCAGTCGTATGGAACACATGAGACATCTCAACAAGATCTCGTCAAAGAGTGAGCAGCTTATTTTGCTATAAGCTCAGCTTCTAACTTAGCGATAGGCTACATAAGAAGGTTATGAACCTAGAAAGCTCCATGCAAGATATGAGAACTCAACTGGCAAGAGTCCAGCCTCAGAGGGGGTCCGTCCAGAGGGTTGAAGAGCAACAAACTATCTCTCCCGAAACATCAATCAATGACCGAGTGTTGATTGATGAAGTCGAGCCTGCTGATCAGCACGTCCATGCTGCCCCTGCCGAAGTCATAAGAAGGGTCGCGTGTCAAGTAAGCGGGGACTTCAGAAGGACCTTCAACACGAAAGAAGATGTTGTGTCAACGGGCATGTTAAGTGCTGTCACTGCCGATTCGTTGGTTAAAGCGTGAGATCGATCCTTCATGCTCTATCAAATCCAGCTCTAACAAAACATAGCTTCATCAAACGGCGGCGACATGTTCTTTTCATCAACAATGAGACGGACCTTATCACGAGAGGAACTCTGCTTCAGACATCACCGTTTCTACATGCTGTCTGCTGCACACACGAGATGAGATACACCCACACGAACCAAACCGACGCGTTGAAGCACAGGGAAGTATACGAGCATACCCGAGGTATGCTTGGTCAGGTCATGCTCGGGAGTCCCTTGCACCTGGAAGAAATCACTGGTGTTCTTATCAATGCGCTGTTTGCAGGGTCGCCATCGGTAAGTCAGCGATCTTATCATTTCCCCAGCTTGGTCGCCTGTAACTAAGTAATAATACAGTGCGAGGCAGAGTATGTAGATAGCTGGCTATTAAGCGGACACTGCGCTCAGCAAGCTATGCTATGTATACAATTCTCAGACATACATCAGCGCACAAATGCCGGGACTTCGACAACGATAGATCTACGGTCGATGAGACTCTGGGCCAACGTATGCTTGGTACACCTCCAGTAAGTTACACAATATCTTCGTTACACACAAATGCTAATCCTCTGCTTGGTAGTTGGTCAGCTACTACGGGAAGGCCGTCTATCCTGCCAGGCTCCTATCTCAGCCAGTGCCGAAACCTTCTAAACTTTGAACAAACAACAATGCGTGACGCGATGCTTTTCGCTGAAGTTTCTCTATACTGCACACTTCAGCAAGATACTTGCGGAATGCCTAACTTCGCAAGTGACGGGGATTGTGAGAAATTTGCTCCTTGGAAGCAGAAATGGGGATACTTACTTGGTGAGTAACTCTTTGATTCTATCTGGGAGGTTTCTTGTTCTGACTTTTCTTAGAACTACCCACTGGTCTGATTTTGAACCTCAGCTACTACATCGCGAATGTGATTTTGGCCAAGAGATCTCTGGATCACATCGAAGCGCGTGCGTTGAACGCAAGTACGTCCGTATCTCCACAGACACAATACGGATCTACAGCACATCTACAAGACTCCTCAACGAAAAGCCTGCAGGATCACATCTACGAGCTCAGTTTCCGAGTCACAGTAGCATTCGTGGCTATTCCAAGTTCTAGCTCTGGAGACTTACCAGAATTCCACTCACTCTGTGTTGCGTATTCCATGCTCATTCTATGTCAGTACGATGAGTTGCCTTCTTCCATCCCCCGCGATGAGCTCTCTGTCGCGTTGCAGGAGGTGAAGCGTCGATGTAACGAGTCTAATGCGTATTCGGTGGCGGTCCGGTTCAGTGTTGAGAGAGCTTGGGAGAGGCTGAGGATGGATACCGCTTCTTTTGAGTCAACAGGGGATGTGGCGCAAGGGACGCATTTTGAGAGTCACTCTGGTGCTGCTCATAATGGCAATGCTACCAAAGTAGCTCAGAACTCTATGAATGGTGGTCAGCCAGGAGGGGATGGTGGTCAACTTGATAATATTGATTATTTCTTCAACGGCGGGTACTTGGATATCCTAGATATTGACAACTTTCTCTTATAATAGCTATTTTCTTCATGGAAGTTTTAAATCCGAACTAGGTCAACTTTTAAACTAAAATTGCATTTTATAATATTACAGATCTGTTTCTAACGACTTGACCTGGCGCATAGCACTCCAGTTTGCGATCCAAGCCATCCGAACCGTGTCTCATACCTCTCTGAGTACTCTTACAATTGAAATAACCTCATACCACCATGTCCCTAGCCGTGCTTCTCAGATATAGTAGTTACTGAAGACCTTGGTGCAAGCAGAGTCTCCATCGCTTCGTCTATTAGACAGCACGTAATGTACGTGTTATCGGTCCACTGTTCCGTCAAAACAGGGTCTCTTTCCAACCCTCTCGAGGTACGGTTGACTTCATGGAATAAATGCCAGAGTGGCTTCGGCGAGTCAGCGGCGATCCTCTCACGGGCTTCGTATCCGTACAAGGTATCAACCGAGATATGGCTCATCCAATCGAAGTTGCTAAGCTGGTCTTTCGAATCACACCACACGTAGGCGACGACAAGCCACCGACCGGTGAGATACTTTGACGAGCGAGAGACTTCGGAAAAGATGATTCTACGACCGTATTTACACAAAGAACGGCAGAAAAACGTCTTGTCGCTCTTCACCGCATCCCTCGTCAAGAAAGTCGACACAGGAAAGTCCCGCCACGCTTTGATATTCCCATCCTGAAGTTCATCCTCCAAATCAATTGCCATGAACCGGAGACCGACCTCCCAGGGTGGCTCAAACTGTATATCCTTGGGGTGGTATTCCTTTGGAGCATGCCAGGTCTGGACGACCCAGTTAAAACCACGCTGCTTCGGCGCTACGAGGACATTTGCCGGCAACAAAGAGGGCATTGTGAGGTCCTTGATGCAGCGGATAGTGTGCTTTAATCGCTCTGTGCGGTTTCGGCGCTTGGTTCTGTGTGCGAGGAATTGGTTGTCGTCTTCGTCGTTGTATTTCCTCAAGCAGCACGTTTCGCACGGACGGCTTTTTGTCTTTTGGGCTGTTGTGAGACCGGTGGGTACGTATGGCTTTGAGGAGCCCATGGTAAGTGATTCTTCTGAAAGGGCTGTAGAGAGTATTTCTGGAGTGTGGGAATGCATTGGCGAAGTAATGGTGTGTAAGTGGAGGCAGAGTGAGTATGTTGAAGATATCAGGAAGATGAAATAGCAGAGGAGAGTGCTTTTTATACACATACGGGGACTCTGGAGAGTAAAAGTTTGTCATTTAAGGTCCCTATGATTTAAGTGGCTATATAAATGCATATACGAAGTTACTTTCCATGATGAAGCTTCCACCAATGCAGACGAAGTGTGAAAGTTTATATTAGTCCATAGAAGGTAGAAATAGAATTGTGAGGTCGGTTTTGTTGGCTGTTGATGTAGCTAAGTTTGTGTATAAATCTATGTTGCTTGTCGCACCTGTTCTTATTTTGATATTTCACAATCGCATCTACTTAGAAAAGAGCTAAGCCCATTAACAAACCGAGTTCGCCAGTATGGGAACCAGATACTACTTGTGCATTATAATCATGTCAACTGAGAAATCAAGAGACAAGTTCATGTTCAAGAACAGGTTCTGTTGAAATCGAAGAATAGTCCAGGACCAAATATTATTCTAAGAAAAAGGCTATCGTCATGCCAAACGGGTATACTATAAATTTCTTCCAAGAAGAATCAAAAAGCGAAAAGAAGGTCAAGCCGACATGAGTCCTACAGTAAATTCATTATCGTCCAAATCTTCTCCTCATCCTCATAACCGCCGGGGTCCAAACAAGCGCACCCAACCGATCCCTCAAATGATGATTGAACCCATACGTCGCCGCATTCGCAAAGCCGATAAACTGCGTCGACATATTCAGCGCAGCGATGGTCGTTTCTGAAACAGGCGTCCCGAGGGCTTCGAGGAGTCGGTTTACAAGCCCTGGCGTCCAGAGGAGGACGTACATGAATGGGTATCCGTTGAGAAGCATCATTCTCTTGATCTCGACTTCGACGTCTCCCGTGGCTCGGCGTTGGGGGAATTCGCTTGCGTTTGTTTGGAGCATGTTCTGTTGGGCCTGCGGTGGTGCTTGGGGGTTCGGGTTAGTAACTGCTGAGTATTTGACTTCTGAGCGTCTGGATGATGATGGTTGATGGTGAATTCGCCCTCCCATTGTTCTTATGTCCACTTCATTCTCACCTTCTCTTACTCCCATATCCTCAATCTCATCCCTCTTTTCCCGTCGCCTATCCCAGTCAAGTCCCTGCTCGAAGATAGTGGGTGAGCTAAGTGCATCAACCTCTCCACGTCTCGTCCTAAAAGTATCAAGTTCGACTTCATCCTCTTTCATAACTCGAAACCCCGTATCCTTGGAACCCTTGGAAAACATAGTATTGGTGTTGCGTGTCGAGAAGGAAAGCGTTCTTCCTGAAGATCTGCTCTTCGTTCCCAAGTGCTTTCGTAGATAAATCCATATGTATATGTAGATGATTATAGTACTGAAAATGACAAAGAATCGCCAGCCGTGGGTCATTCCGTATCGTAAATCAGGTCGAGTGGCTGATATCCAGCACCAGTTCCCACCAACTGGCTTCATCTCACCCGCAATGGTCGGTATAAGGCTTGTGATGAGCGGCATGGTCCATACTGCGACACAGATAAAGGCCTTCCGAGCTGTTGATGTGCTTGGTATGTACATATAGCGTGTGACGGTGAGAAGTGTAGTCACTGAAATAGCGAGGACTGAAAAGTCAGCTGCTGATACTGAAAGCTGTCCGATGAATCCATTGGCAACACATGCTGCTCCAGGGTGCAGTTGGCCTGTGTTTAGAAAGATGATGCCCGACACTGAATTATTCAACGTGTTGATAAATTCTAGCCAAGCGTATTAGTATGTTGATTTCAATAATAAGAGACAGCCATGCATACCAGCCAGCATCAGATTCAAAACAAGAACATGGCGGAAATTGCTAAGATGTCGACGATATATGGCAAAAGACGCCAGAACACATGTAGTCGCAACACAGGACAAGAGACTTCCCGCCAAGGTGACGGACGAAATCACCTTGTCGACCTTGTCTGTCATATTGGTCGGATTCTAAAGGTCATAGCAGCCATTGACTAGGAGGCGCTTTTTCGTGAGACAGACAAAAGGAAAAGGGAGAGGTACAAATGACAGTTATATCCCATCTCCGTGCTGGGTCATGCGGCCTGTCATGTAAGGCCCCCCGTCGTTTAAGGGTGAGACCGGGGATTTGAAGCCCCGTTTTGGGGAATACGGGTCTAGTCTTGGCGATTGATTTGGATGTGGTTTTTGGATATAATTGTATGTGAAGAAAGGTTGAAGTTGATCTGGAAGAATTACCTAATGAATACTCACCACAGCTATACTACAATCGCAGACACACATACAAAGGATTTTCAACTGATAAGTACAAATTCATCTCGACTCCAAAAACGACTCCCTAACCAACACAAAATAGAGTTCAATCGTGCTACAAATCCCCCAGCAAGCGAGTTTTAGACAACCAAAAACTTGCAAGGATACCCATAGAATCAATCAATCGGTGAACCCACAGCACAGACTAGGATCGCACGGTTGCGCCAAAAGACCGTTGCAAGACTCTGGTCCGGAACTCTAACTGCCTGCCCTACAAGGCTTCTCTACACGATGAGATGGGTTGGGATGATTAGGAGGAATGTGGGGGTTTGACTGGAAGCGAGGTCTCGGCTTGGCCGATGGTTATTGTGAGGGTGATTGGTACGGGTATTCGATTTTGTACACCGTAATGTGGGATGAATCCGAGGATAACAGAAGATGCTTCGGATAAATGCGAGATGTGTCTAGGCTGATCGTATTCTCGCAATGTATGTTACACTATCCGTATAGTACTAACAGCACAAGGTCCCCAAGATTAAAGGATAGAGACCACATCAGCTAGTCCTAGCCATACAGTTCCCGAGCAACCTCATAGCTATTAATATACTCAATCCCCTCTTTCCTCCAAGTATCATCCTCAACCCAGTTCCTCGTTGCGTTCAGAACCATATTCTTAGGCTTCGAAGTGCTATACTTTGGCCATTTCGGAAGCTTGCCCTTCTTTGATCCGTTGGGGTTCAGATCATTAACGAATCTCACATAAGCTTGTCCAATAGTATTGGCCAGTTCAGCGTGACTATCGTACTTGGGACTGGGGCCGAGTAATCCAGAAATATTCTGGAAGCTGTATGCGACATTATCGAAATGCTTGACGCCGTCCCATTCGGCTCGTTGGTACCATAGTTGGTCGAAGCGGTAGCTGTAGACATCTTCGCCAGACTCTGTGAATAGCTCGGCTAGTTTACGTCGTCCAGAGATCATGGTGATGTCGCTGCCTATCGCACACGCTCGTCTACCCTGGTAGTTCCCCGCAGGTCTAGAACAGTTCGTGATCTGATACGGCGGTTGATGGCACGGATCATCAGGGTAGAGCTCCAGCAACTTCCGAGCAGTAGGGGCACTGAGGGCATAATTCCGCCATCGGAACATTTCATAGAAGAGATCCTCCGTCGTGTTGACTTTGGCGATACAGAAGGTCTCGTCTGTGTTGGCGCCCACGATCATTGGTACGCTGTGGAATTTGTTCTGGCGAATGAGTTGGCTTGGATACCCTGTCAAGAACGTCCCGTCTATGAGAGGATTCCACGTCAGGGAGGGACGTGCAGCGTATAAGGCTTTTTTGTCTAGGTCTCGAAGACAGGCTAGTTGGTCTTTCTTGTCCCAGCATCCGACCGTGCGTGTGAGATTTTCAAAGGCGACGTTGTAGTAACTGAGATCGTGAATCTATTCAGCCCCGTTAGTAAAATTGTAAACAATCAAGTGAGATCTCTTACCTGAGCACCTGTAATACCACCGCTTTCAAGAATCGCTCCACGATACAAGCCATCGTCCTGACCGTCATAGCTGAACATGTGGTACGCCAAGCTCTGAGCTCCCGCACTCTCACCCCACACGACAACGCGATCTGGATCACCTCCAAAGGCCTCGATATTCTCTTGAATCCAGCGAAGAGCAAGTCTCTGGTCCAAAAGACCGGCATTGGCGTTTCCTTCTTTGAGGAGGTTGAAGTTCTGGAGGAATCCCCACATGCCGAGTCTGTAGTTGAAGGATACGGCTAGGATAGGCTCGTTGATGTCTTGGCTGACTTTGACGATGCCGGATAGATTATACTGGGGATCTGCTGAACTACCAGCGTATAGACCACCTCCGTAAACCCAGACTCTAGGCATTGTTAATTCACTTTGAGAACATTCACTACGGGATATGGACTTACAAAACGGGGAGAAGCTTCTTGGGCTTGCCAGCTGGCCTAATGACATTCACGGAAAGACAATCCTCAGACATAGTCCAGTTCTGGGTGTACTGCATACAACTGTCACCATACTCTGTCGCCGTGCGTTCCTCGTCGAATGCAGTGTTCAGACTCTGCGGCCATTTGAATCTCAGGCTTCCTGTGGGTGGCTGAGCGTAGGGGATACCGAGGAAAGCATCTTGGTCCCAGCTGGAGAGATACTTTCCAACGTATGTGCCATTAAGGGTTGTGGCTTTTGGTGAGTCGGCGGTGATTGTCTGTGCGAAAGTTGCTAACAAGAGGATGTGTAGTACTGAGAACATGTTGGAGTGCATCATCTTGGCTCACTACAACGTAGTAAGAAGTTCACTGTCCAAGACGGCACTGCTACGCCCAGACCTGGCTTATAACTCACAGTTCCCCTTACACTTTTCCCATTCCCCAGACTCACAACCTCTCAATGCAACTCATATTAGGGCTGGGAATAAGCTCACCTCCAAGCAACGGAGTGGCTAATTCCACCAAGGATAAATCACAAAGCTACACTATATTCAATGCAGTTGCATCGCTCGGGCTTTACAAGGGATGAACTAGAGCATCCCCGCGGGTCTAGTCCTCGATCTGCGGGTGCGTAGTGTGACTGAGATTGCGGGGGACGGACGCGGGGCCGTGATGGGAAGGAGATGTTATCCTTGTCTGTGGTAATATAGTCTAGTCTGTACTTGTCTATACCAGACTCTTAATATCTGATTTCTTCCCGTTCTCTACTGGTAGTATCTCTGTGTTGTAGAGTAGAGATGCATATACTTCGCAGGAATATTGAACTTTCCATAGATGCAGATCTGAAATGCAGCTAAAACCAACAACACGTACAATACTACTCGTTCTCAATACTGTTACCTCGCTTTTAGGCAAATTACCACTTTGCACGGAGTAGCCGTAAGGTAGCACCATATGCATACGTACAGAGTACCTATATAATGATACCTTGCCTTCCACCACTTAGCCTCGGAAAATCAAATTACCACCAATCACCAACCTCCATCATGTCACTTCTCGACATCAACCTCTCTTCCAAACAAGACTTTCATTCAACCACTGCAACCACTGCAGCAATTACTACTCTATATCACCCCAGCTGGGCGTAGCTTGAAGTTGAAAGTCACCTGTCCCGTAACAAGATTCATAGTATTCCGGCGCTTTAAATGCCAAAAGATCTCCAGCGTCTCTCTCTGCTCCCTCGTCCCGATATCCAACTGGTCGAGAATCTCTGCTACAACAGCGTACAGAATCTCAATATTGCCATCTTCCACTTTTGCTGCAATGCCAAGAGCGCCTTTCGCACCGAGTCGTCGCGTGTCGTCGCTCTCTCGAACACCCACCCCGTAGCACGCATCGGCGCCGATTTTGCCCATCAGCTGACCCTTATAGCTCTGCATCAGTATGGTGCAGAAACGCCCTGTTCCGCCAACTTGCTCGGGGTGGCGCGTCATGGCGTTGAAGACGCGTGCGAGGTTTCGTGTGCGCTGTGATGTTGGCGCTGAGTCCACGGCTGCTGCGAAGATGGCGTAGGTGCGCGCGAGGTAGAAAAGAGGATATGCTGCCGCTGGGAGGTTGCAGCCGTCGATACCCCATTCTATTTGCTTTGGATCAAGGGAGAGATCCTCAGTAACCTTCTTGACTGCAAGTTGCATAGGATGATCTGGGCCGTGGTAATCGAGAACGTCAGCGCCCAATGCCTCGGCACCCGCCATCATGGCAACATGCTTCCCCGAACAGTTACTATAAATCCTCGTTGGTTCAAAACCAGCCCTTATCCAAGAGCGATTAACATCTTCCGAAACCGCAGGATGGCCACCGCACCGAAGATCATCCTCCTCAGCTTTGATTTTGCTGAGCATATTCCTCGCGCGCGAAACGTGAAACTCCTCGCTGCTATGCGAGGCGCACATGAGAGCTAGATCAGTCTCGTCGAACCCGAATTTATCAACGGCGCCTGTTTCAATGACGGCAACAGCCTGAACGGGCTTCGCTGCTGAGCGGGCGTGGGTGACCCGGGAGGGATTTCCAACTGAGTAGAGGATGTTTCCCTCTGTGTCTGTCACAGCGACGTGTACGCCGTGGGTGTTTTCGATGATACCGCCTCGATCGGTGACGACGCAGTCTCGGTCAAGCAAAGAAGTTCGAGTCATGTTGAGTTGAGTTGAGGTGAGTTGAGAGGAGTTGATAATGTTTTAGATGGGATGAGTTATCTTTGTCTACTCAATTATCATTCAATGGAGTCGAATTGGGCTTATAAAGATAACGATGATTATGAGTCGAAGACCTATTTTGTCTAGCTTACTCACACAGCCAATCAAATACAGCGCCCAGCCCAAATCCGTGAGTCAGAGAGATCGACCTTGCAGTGAAAGGAAGGCCGTTGCATATCAATGGAAGAGGTCGTCCAACAACTCATTAAGCGATTCTGGATATTTCCTAATCAGGAGAATATGTGATAACCAAAAATGCTACGACTGAGAACCAACACCTTCTCGTGCCCGATGACCTTGTAATCGATTGGGATGACTCCAGGGAAATGAAGCGGCCAGTATCGATAATTGTTGTCATTTATTGTGGGGTGTTCATACCTTGAAAAGACAGACTTGCGAAACGCGGGGCTGGAGCATAGAGATAAAAGCTAGGTATGATTATGACCGCATCGTGTATAGGGGTCTGAGGAACTTCAATACAATAATATGCCTCGGCGAAAACCAATACTAATTACATAAGCGCAGATTATATCAAGAATTCCCAAAGACGCTCAGCAGGAATCTACATATTATCTGTCATCGTACAGTTAGCGAACGACGATAGTTTACCCTTTACGAGAGATGACTTACCAACGTATCATCAAAAGTATCTCTTCTCGACGTTGGGATCGATGTGCAAATTACACAACTGTTATAATATCTAAACCCGCACCTCAGACAAGTGCCAGGCGGAACACTGCCTTCGTCAGTATCTAGTAGTTAACTACTACCTAATTAGGCGTTGGAGAGGGGATACGTCTATGAGAAATCGAGTGGTGTTTGAAAATAGGAAACTTGGAGCGAAACGCCATCTTCTGAAGATCATAGAAGTCAACCTGGAAGCGCCTGATTGTACATTGCTGAATGGTTCCTTAGACAGAACCAGCCGCTGTATATGCGATTTGCCAAGTCGACTAGCCAGCTAAAGTACCTAGATAGCACTGAGCTCTCGCTATCTTCGCTCCAATTCCGGATATTAAAGCTTTTCTTGCCAAGTACGATAATTTTCAGGGGTATGTATATGGTCATGACTTAAAGCTTGATTCTAATTATAACTAAGTTAATCCCAGTAAAATCATGGAGCTGTGGTCAGTAAGGGACCGGTTTCTATATTTTGAAGTCGAGCTATATCACCGGGGGTCTGGCAATAGTATGTCGTCATTGGGAAATGCATTCTACCGGCTTGATATCCTCAGCGATTAATATTAGTGGCAAGATGTGCAAGGATGGGAGCCATGAGTTCTTTCGTCGTCTGTTGAGTCTGATTGTTTATGAGCCATGATATGAATACCTCGGTAGGTCTGGATGTACAGCATTGAACCTCAAGCTTTAACTTACCTACCCTCCATCGCAGTGGCTCATAGCGGCTTGTAGTGGAGGTGCCAGTGGATTGACCGCTACCGTTAGAGGGACGGATAGCGTGTTTCAGATTTCAGTCGCCATCTTCCAAACTCTATCCCCACGTGACATCCCTCAAGTCTAGAACTCTAGATCCTCCAAACAAGAACACCATTGTCAAGTCCATGGGTTCCAGAACTGACGCACCGATATCCAAATCGGACAATTAATTCTCAAATGTCAAGTCGATCCCAGGGTCCAAAAATCTAGGCATTACACGGGCCCCCTCTTTCGTCCCTCTTTCGTCCCTGTTCCTGTCCCCGTACCGTTCCAGCCACATTTGTTACGTCACATTCAGCAATCGACAGGGGGGTTCAATACTGCGGGGGGGTATTAACCTGTTTTTGACGGGCTTTTCATGGCACAAGTCGTGTTTATGACGATTCGCGCGTCAGCTTCTCTCCAATCTCGATTTCCTGTTTGAGGGGAGAAAGCAGGAAATCCGGTCACTGGGGTAGGAGTTTTTCTTTATTATAATATTCTGGTGGAGTTTCCTTCTTTCTTTCTTTATCCTTTCTCTCTACATCTCTCTCACTCACCTCACTCCTCACCACACCTTAAACATCCCCCAATCTTATACCGGAGCCGGAAACATGTCGTCATCATCCGTACGTTTTACCCCAACACTACAGGTCCCATCTTCCACCAGCCACGACTAACAAACACCCCCAGGCCGAGCAGAAGAGCGATATCGATGAGGAGCAGATCGAGCAGAAGCCCCGCAAGACAAAGACCAAGAAGGCAAAGGGCGAGCGACGCAAGCGCCGCGCACGCTTCGAGGACTACGAGGATGAGCAGGACAACAGCGGCCAGCTTGCCGCGCAGCAGCGACAGCAGCAGCAGATGGCCCAGCAGCAACAACAGCAGGGCGGCGGCGGCGGAAAGAGTGATGCCCTCAGTCTGCATCTGGAGTTGAACCTCGAGATTGAAATCCAGCTCAAGGCGAGAATCCACGGTGATCTCACCCTTTGCTTGCTGTAAGTTCTGACATGTGATTGAGGCTTTGAAACACTCGCTGACATTGACCAGGAACTAAACGACGACTACACGCAATTGTATAATGTAAATGTAGTTGCAGTTTGAACGACACATGACTCTTTGGGATTCAAGGCGTTTTGGGGGCTCACGGTTGCATTTCCTAGGATAAATATATGTACTCCAGTATTCTTTCGGTATGTCCAAGACATAGCCGTACTATTTTATATACTTTTTACCATTTCATCATCATATGCCTGCATACACAAGTGGTTCACGAGAATAAACTCTCTCCATTAAATAACACCATCTGAACCGTAGTTAAAAGTTTATAACATGGCGTGAGCTAGCGACCGTTGAGCGCTTTGACGTAGGCTAGTTGAAAGATTGGCGCGATAGCTTCAGATTTGCGATGCTAGCTTGAGCCGTGGCGTAGCGTAGCGATCGACTAGCGCTTCTAAGAAAAGACTGATCTTCACATCTTTGAGATGTGAGACATTCTGAGGTTGCCACGCATCAGCCACGTTAGCCCCGTCGTCTTTCACGACAACTCCACATTCACGTCATGATGGTTTTGCGAGATGATGCATAACACTTTGATCATTATCATTGACAAGAGATAATTACCAAAAAACCTCGTCAAGGTTGGGTGGCGTCTTATGCATGCTAAATACTATAACTAGCCCCATATTCTAGTCATAATCAAACACGCAATTCATTTATCCTCTTGACCAAGTTCCCTAACCGCTGCTTCTCCGGTTCTATATCAATCCGCTCAATATCGATCGGCCACGAAGCTTGCACCTGCTCTGCCACCAGCAACTTCTCCTCTTCGTTTTCTTCTGGCAGGTCTTCAATCTCCTTCAGTAGACTCTGACCTTCGACGCCCATATTGCCTTTCATGACTCGGAACACTAACCCAGCCACATAGCAATTCCGGCTCTGGTCACGGAGTCCTTGCGCGGTCAGTGCCACTATCGACCGTCTACTTTCGACTTCTATTGCCTCGGCACCCTTCAAAGCCTTGATGTGTATGAAGCCTAGGAAGGATAGGACGCTGACCATGAAGATGTCATATGACTCGTAGCCGTGTCGGAGGTAGTACAACCGCAAGAGTGTTTCCAGCCGAACCTTTGCGCCGCTCAGTGTCTTCTGGACGTTTATGTCGTAAGTCGCAGGTTTGGAGATGATAGTCAGTGTTTCTAGAAGATGTATGCTCAGATTGTGGTAGTGCATACTAAAAGGGGTTAATATGTTTGAAGTTGGAGTGAATACACATGTGCCTCACTGAAGTTTGAGTTGCCACGGAAAGCATAGGTTTCTTGCTGTAAGGTCCGCCGGAAGATTTCGATACCAGTCATCAAGCTGAATGCAGAACATTTGGATCCTATGCACTGTGGCGCCCGAACCTCTGTTAACTTTGCTGAAGAACGCTGCAGCAACATCGTTCATAATGCTCCGGAAGTCGGCAATGGCTTTAAAGGTATTGCCATAGCTTACCGGCACAGGTTGTCTATTAGGCGGGTACTGTAGCCAGAACTCGCCGTAACAGTTGGAGCTTTCGACAGTAGAAGGCAATGCGATCTTGGGCGGCGCGTCCAACAATGGTGCTTTGAACTCGTGAAAGCTATGGACACTATTTCCCTGTCAGAGTTTTACAAGACATTATTGAGATGACTCACGCTTGCACTCCGAACAATGCCCACGCTGTGATGGCTCTCGCATTACCCTCAACGTGATCAATAGCTTGCGTTGGAGGGGAAAACAGCTGGATGCCATGAGCCGCTGAGACAGCCTGCGTCAGATATGACTTTCCAATCTTGTCGTTTCCATTCGCGCCATGCACGATTGTCATCACAATTGCGGCCTGAATGGTTGTAAGTTGCGCGTTTCCGGCCTCGAATTCCCACAGTCGGCGTGCTTCTGCTAAGAATTGGTAGCCCAAAGTCCGTGGGTTCCAAAATTTGGCACGATCCATCGTCTTGGAATTGCCATGCTAACAGGATTTAGAAAAACGGCCGTTGATGCTGGGCTATTGTAATATGGTACTACCCACACAAGCTGATGCAAGAATCGCATTGACTAAAAGGGAGGAGCAATATTGCTTGCGGCCAGCTGCCATGTCTTCCAGAAAATAGTCTTTCTGAAAGGCTGGATACCAAGTGTATTCTGTGAGGAAATAAATTTGCAGAAGCTTACTGAGAAGCTCGTCATCGTCGATAATCATGGTCCATCTCTTTGCCTTTATTGTGTTGAAACGGGGATCGACAATTTGAGCAGCATGATATGGAACCTGGTAGATAATAGGATCCTTGGTCGGTAACTCGATTTGATTGTGCGGCTGCTTCTCAAATGAGGAGTACTTGTACAACCAAGAATCAAGGTAAGAATTTCCCTCTTGGATTAGGGATGCGGGCATGGCTTTGGAATAAGGGAACGAATACTGATACTGGGCATCCGGCACGACATGAAGCTGGAGGAGAAGGTCGGCATCTTGGATATGCCGAAGCACCTCCTGGACACTATGCCCTCTTCGAATCCTGCCGAGAACCTCTGTAGCCTCTTCAATTGTCCTAGTGGCGAGAAAATGGAACAGCTCTTGGTACGCGTTGAGGTTTTGTGATACACTCTCCTGATACTGACACACGACGTTGAGCCTCCGGCAGGTCAAGCATTGCGGCCGAGCACCATCGCACTAGAGAGACACATGTTAAATACATGGCGCTTCACAAGATAGAACGCTCGTAGCCACACACTCGGGTCTTACGCAGGCGGCAGTGCTTGCAGGCCGTTGCAATCGTCTTTTGTCTTCGTGCTGGATATTTGCTGGATATCGTAGCTGTGGCTTTAGGACCAGGTTGCGAGTGATGATGAAGAGGAGCTGGAAGAAGCGGACGGGACATGATTATGACTTATGGATAGCTTCCTCGGGCCTTTACCGAGAGTAGCAACGCGTCTCAGTAGCTGAGCTGTAACTTCCAATAGTGTTGAGCCTACGAGAGGGGTTAGGCCAGCTGAGACAGTGATGACATAATATCACGGTCACCAATCAGCCAGCTGCGTTTAGGGATGCATCGAAGTGTATTCATACTGCTACCTTACCTGTAGGTAGTATAACAATGTCTGATTATTAATCTCGGAGAAGACCAATGGTTTCCTTCTTGTTTGGTCAGTTATGTGACTTTGCTAACAGTACCTAAGTCAGGTAGGTAGTGTAAACATTACAAACATTATATAAGCCTCTCGGCCTAACTTATATTTGAAATAAGGATAATTAGAGAAGCACATAGTAGCTGGGGAGGGCTATTAGGGAAGAGCTTTAACTAGGTAATAAAGATGAGGGCTTTAATCAATGATTGAATGGAATCGATAGCTTAGGGTTCCAAGACACTAGACAAGCGCTACGGTGATGGAAAGTCTTAAAGCTTGGTCCAAAGACGTTGTTAGAATTCATCACGTCCAGGAAATTCCAGAGTCTGATAGAGTGGCTCTGTATCGGTGTGTTATTGTTCCTACATGCAGACAGGGTCAGTCTGTGGGGTTGGAGGTGGATATAATATTACGTACATGATAACTAAAGCTGAATACGATATTCTATCCAGTTCATGTTTGCTTTTGTTTAACACCAGTGAACAAGTCCCTCACTTAACCGCTGTACTGGCTGTTATAAGAAGCTGAGCGAAACAAAGCGGAGTGGGGTTGCTCATGTCTTGGATACATCATACATCCCGCCCTGTTAATCTCCGCAGCTGCATCTTTCACCCGGTCTTGACGGCTCCGACGCGGGAGATCCCATATGCAAGTCAGAGCGGCTATGCGGGTACGGCACGGGATGGGATGGGATCATGGGATAATTCGACAGGTCAATCTTGAGATGGCGGATGAGGGACTGTTTCTAAAAAGGTCCAGCCATGGCTGAGTATTGGGTGGAGTTGTGGTCCAGAATAGATTGAGGCGCGGGTCCGCTGAGAGACATTTTTGTTTATAGTTTCTTTTGATATCGAGGGCTCAACTTCCAGGTAGACCCAGTATGTTCTCACATTAGGTTACACGGCAAACGCTCTTGAACGTACGGAAGATTTCGGATTGGCGTACAGCTGTCTCACTGCACTGCATAACCGTATGCCCGAGACTCATTCTAGAACCTCCCCAACCTCCCCCGGCAGTGGCACTTGGACGCATCATCCCGGATAGATCTCTTCAGATCCTAGTCCCTGCATCTTCCCTTCTTCCCCCCAGGCGTCCGGGGAAGAAATCTCGATGCCCAATCGTGGCGTTTTCAGAACGTTACATGATCTGCCCTCCATTTGCACGCCATGGTAGGATCACACAGACAAGGGTTTACTACGTGGAAGAAACCACCTGGTGTTTGGCGCTGCGAGACAGGGTATGTCGCGAGGTTTATTCTGAAACGTATCGACGAGAAATCGAAAGATTTCAAGATATCCTCATGTGTTTTTTTCTTACTCCAAAACAAGCAAGAAAGAACGCCGTTTGGGAATTAACTTCACAGTTCTCGGCTCGGGAATGTCTGTATGATCTGACATTGGAGTGAGGCGTGCGAGGTGCAGCTGATACTCCTCCTGCAGCATGTAACCCCCAGGTTTTCCAAAGTGCGTTGCAGGAGGTAACCTTGTCTTGCAGGCCCATCTCGAAGGGTATACCTTGTTCATGGCGGGATTTTTGGGACTGGGTGGGAGACCGGATGCAATACAACTCATCGATAATATGCAAAGCGTCGATCATGAGTCGGGTGATAAGACAGGGTGTGGATTCATGAGTCAATTGAGGATGAAGAAAATACTGGACGTAAGGATCCATTGTGCAATATCATCAAAGTGCGTTTTTCAAGCAGTGTTTGAAATCCCCATCCAGAACCATGACCATATGATAGTACAGAATAGTCCCTTTGATACCCTGCCTTTCCAGAAACGCCAGCAACAAACATCTATACAATCTCCCTAAAGAACAACTCTAGCCAGTCGTAGCATCCTCAACTGTAGGCTTCTTATACGGCCCAGACTCACTCGCGCCACCACTCTTCTTGTTCTTGTTCTTCTCCTTCTCCCTCTCTGACTCCCGAACCGAACTAGCCACCGTACCCGAGTCATCATTGTTGGTACTCTCCGTCATCTTCTTCGCCAGCGAGAAGATGGAAAAGTCCTGACTAAGACTCGTCATGATACTCTCCTCGGAATTCTCACTCTCGGTGGGACTGTTGAGGTTGAGACGCCGGAGTGCTTCCGCCATGCGCTGTCGCTTGGCGGCCTTTGAATCTGGCTCGAGGAACGTGGTTTTCTTCTCCTCGGGTTTATGCGCGGGCGAAGGCGGCTCAGCGCCAGGGTGACGACCCGTTGCGACGAACTCGGCCCTCTCGGCTTCTTCTCGCGCAGTCTGCTCCTTGTGCTGCTTCATCATCTCATCCATAGTCTTGGGTGCTTCAGGATCAGGTACAGGTTTGGGTTCTTTCTTCTCACGCCTCGTGAGCTCGATCTCAAGCACGCGAGTACCCATGGCGACCTTTGACCTAAGGCCGTCATCGTCACGATCGTAGTAGAGGGCCCAGACGCCGGGGAGTTCTTCTACAGCGCAGAAGCCCTCCCAGCCTTCGCAGGTCATGCGGCGGTCTTGCTTTGTGCAGTCGAAGGGGCCGGTGATGTGGCCTTCTGTGTCAGCACGCACGCCATACTTGACCTCGTAGGTTTTCTTGTCCACGTAGATCCAGTTCAGGAAGTTTTCATCGTTGATGCTTGTCACTAAACCCTCGTACTCTGCGTCTGGGAAGGGGAGGAAGTAGCCTGAGAAGGCATAGCCTTTGCTGATGAGGTTCTTGGGGTCGTGGTTATAGAGAGGGTGTTCATTGGCGATGTAGAGCTGTTGGGACAAGTTAGTTAAGGTGCTAGATTTACAATAGGGAGGAGGAACTTACCTTTGAATCTTTCAAGACAACCAACTTGTTGTTGATATCACGGCTTCTGATAGACGGCTTCACACAAGAGACAACCAAGTTACAACGTCGACCACGATGCTCCTCACGCTTCGATTTTGCCTGACTCTGCCTAATCGACTCCTGCGTACCCAGCATAGCAGGGCAAATGGTAAGAGCCAGAAGCATAGGAATCGCCATGATGACTTTCTGCGGGTCGTCTTTCTGGACAGCCTCCTTGAGTTTATCGACTTCCTCTATGAGTTTCTGCTTGCACAGGCTGCGTACGATATGCTCGAGAGGGGCTTGGGTGGGATCTTGTTGGGGTGAGGAGTCTGTGTTGGGAAATGAGGAATCAGGTTTGGGGGATGAGGAGGATGGGGACGACATTGAACGTCGTCGGACAGGTGGCGATGATCACGGAGGCAAAATGAGAGTAAACAAAGGCAGGGAATGTGTAAGAGTAAGGTCGGCTGGGCTGGATGCAACATGCACGACGTGACGAGGGGGAGTGTGATCCAGGATAGTCGAGGTAATATGTAAGAGAACTATACAAGTATCGTACTATATATCACGTACAGTTACAATGTACCTCATTACAAAACAAAATAAACTACTACGTAGTAGAGGCGAGAGATGTCTGTCTTACAACACACCCCCAGTCAAGTATTTTTCAAAAAACCCATCTTCACCAGGATGATACATATCAAAAGAAAAGGTCCATGTCGGACTGCCGGTGTTTCCCGACAGAATCATGCCATCCTTCGATCCGGCTGCAACGCCGGAGTTTAAAGACAAGAAAAAAGAAAGTTAATGACAGGGAAGTTGATATAAAAAGATGATCCCTGGCGTTATTCTGTGGGCCGAGATTGGATGGAGGTGCAGAATGTGAAACATAACTCAGGCACGGATATCCCTGCTTCCCGTGAGTGGCATGTACTCTAAAACTTGGGACAGGGGGGGCTGATGGATGTTTAACGTTAGATGGAGGGAGTGAGATATGGTATGTGTTGGATGAAGGCTGTAGTGGTAAGTTGAGATATATCATCATATACAAGGAGCATTTACGTGTATTCTTCTTTTTATTCAACAATCTAAGCAGTATTAGTCTATAACATGTACTACGTACTATGTACTAAGTACTACATACACTCTTTATCAAGACATCACCAGGTGGCCCATTCTTGTTTCTCAGCTCCCCCTGTTTCCCCAGGATAGCATCTGTAACTAACCTTGCAACAAGCACGCACCAACATCAGATGATGTTCACCCTCTCCCCAATAGGCCAAAGCTGAGAAACAGCCCATTCTCCATACCGGATCTAAGTATCCGTAACATCTCAGTTGAGCTCCCCTCCCCTTGCTCAAGGACCCTGAAAGTTTAGTTCTAGACTTTGCGCACACTTGCGGCTCCTAGACTATACTGTACGTACTCTTTTTTGCCCAAGAATCTTATCAGCCGTACGCACAATCCTAGAACCTAGATGCTATAGTGTGTCCAAATGTGAGACAGCGCGTGAAGATTGACAGCTCATCAACGTCTTGGATCTGGACCGGGACCGGGGCCGGCTAACTCGTGCGTCGGGATGTTTCGCCTGCAGATGCAGATATCGCGACTTTGATATGAGGGACAAAGGTTGAGAATGGTCCCCCTTGGTAGAGGTCGGATCTTCTATATAAGATGGGCTCTTGGTCGTCTTGGTTCTGTCTTCATTCCTCAGCACTCACCATCCAAACCATTCAACAATCATCTACAAGCCCCAGCTTCGACCACCACCACAACAACTACTCTTACAAGCAACTTTTGACAACCTTTGTCCAACACTCTATCCAGCACAATGTCTGCCCCTACTTCGTAAGCACTCCTTCTTCTTCTATCCCCTCGTACATATCCCTATCCCTATCCCTCATCACAGCAATGGCTTCACAAATCTCATTACCACAATCTTGGTACTGACAACTTAGCACCACTTCCCCCGCTCCCACTTCTGATCTCCCCTTTGCCAACCTTCCCTCTTCACCTGCTCCCGCTCGTAACTCGACCGCGTAAGAACACTCATCATCCAGTCTTTAATCAATAGCTAACCATCTCTGTCACAAACAGTCTCTCCAAGCCCGCTTACGCCTCCGACTCTGAGTCCGATGGCCAGGCTCGCGGTGGCCGTCGTCAGCAGAAGCAGCAGCAGTTTGTTGTTCCTCTGCCCACCTCCACCGGTCTCTCCCAGCCCGCTGGTATGTATCCCTATCACTCTGTCTTATTATTTTGCTTACAATAATACAGGTCAACTCCTCAAGGGCGCCACCGACGAGAACGGTGCTCAAAAGTCCGCTGCTCTGCTTGTCGGTATCAAGCTCGACCTCGAGGCTGAGGTTCACTTGACTGCCCGTGTTAAGGGTGACATCTGCATCGGTCTCTACTAGACGGCGATATTGGCTCCTAATGGGACATTGGGCCCATGTCTGCTGGTTGGTCGCAGGTACGGCTGGTGGCAATGTGATGATATGACGGGAATGGTAAACGCTCTGGCAATGCTCTACATTTGGACGGGCTGGCAAGTGAATCTGGGTGTATGAAAAATGGATGGACTTTCTTATACTGGACTGGGATATATATATTTGTAGCTTTGATAATGATACTTCTTTGCTACCATACATTTCATTTCCTCGCCGATTGTTGAGTTACCAAGGCCACGTCTGGCATTCCAGTATTCGACCTACTGAGTATATAACCGAGTATCAACGCTTTCAGCTATCAATGAACATACTGATCGTTAAAGTCCTTATATCTGCGCAGAATAACCTTATCAACAGTGACATGCCCCCATGCAAAGCCAAGCCTTGGTCTCAGGTCTGAAGGGTCACATCTGGCCACTTTTCCGGTCGGCTCAGAAAAGGGTTGCATCGAAACCCTTTGGTCCGTACGGAATGTATCACAAAGACGTTAGAGTGGCCAGTTCAATTAATTCCCCGAAAGGCTACAGGTGAAGTCATATCCACGTGGTGTAGCCCTATTAGAGAATAGCTGTGCCGCGTCCCTGCTTTTATACCAAAAGACAATAAATTCATAAGGAGTCTTTCATAGCTCGTAACTTCATGGCAAATAAATTCTGAAGATAGTTCTCATGTTTGTGTCGCATATCTCAAATGAGGAAAGTGTAGATTGAATCAAAGTAAAGCTACAGGGTAAACTACTCGTGCTCTTTTGAGGTCTCAGATCTCCAGGTTCCAGATCCCCTAGAACTTGTCGATCATAACAAGCAAAAGACGTGACAACAGCTCCAATCTCTTTCGCGCGTAGTTACGAAAATAATCATCTTGAAACTTAGCAACCTTTTAACTTTTGAGCATTTATCCGCCCGCTATTGCTTCATTCCATCCTCCGGGTTATCTTATTGATCCGCACCGGTTCAAAGAAGCAATTCCGACGCGCCCATTCAATACCAGCAACACGGCAAGAGAAGCGCAAACCTGAGGGGAAACATTTCACTTAAGACATAAAAAATAAGAAGCAGACAATAACTCTCACCTCTCTCTTTTTTATTTCTTATTCGGCCATTTACAGAATCTATGAAAAAATGCCTAGAGCAGCCAAACGCACGCATGATCTCATCGACCTAACGGGTGATGATCAAAGTGAGACGCGTCAAAAGCGGCCCGCTCGCAACGGCGCCCAAAACTCCCCTGCACGAGGTGGAACAAGCGTATATGGGGGGTCCTCGCAAGTACCATCGTCTACAGCTGACCCTGATTTCTTTGACTTGACTCAGGATGATGATGGGCCTCCTCTGGAACTCTACGGTTCTTTTGGTATGCTCCATACATGACTTATCGCTGCTCCTTCTGACGTGCTGTAGCTGGGAAGATTGTGGGAGTGAGGTACTACAGAGGCTATGCTTCACCAGGTGGTATGTCCCTTCATTCTTTATAATACACTTCAAAGACTTACAAGTACGTAGAGGCTGTCCTTTGTAGACGAGAACCCAGTAACTCGGTTCGTACTCACATCTTCTCCCAACCCACCGCACGGGCTGGTATCAATGTCTAACCTGCTGCAGTACGACCCAAACGCCATCCGTGTGGACAACGTTGTCGGTGATCAAATCGGCCATCTTCCTCGCAAAATCGTCGAGAAAATCACCCCATACGTGGTAAGTCTTCATCACACACCAATTACCACCCCATATCTGACACAACCAGGACCGCGGCGATATCGTACTCGAAGCTCAGCTCACGGGTGAGAAAGCCTTTTATGACTGTCCAGTTAGGCTCTTCTTCTATGGCCCCTGCGACCCGACTGAGCGTTCCAGGATCGAGGACTCGCTCAAGAAAGACAAGCTGGTCAAGGCTACAGAGCTCAAGAACACTAGAAAGGAAGCTGAGGCTCTTAGAAAGGCAGCAATGGGTCTGACGAATGGTAGTTCTACGCAGGGAGTTGGCCAGGGGCTTACTATCCCCCAGAAGCCGGAGATCACTATGGATAATGTTCTCGAGAAGAGTCAGGCGGTTGAGATGCGCAAGGGTGGCGACGCTATCAAGTCTTTGGCTATTGGCGAGGATGAGCTGGAGAAGATGCCCATGGCGGACCAGCCTGAACAGCTAAAGGCGCAGCTTTTGCCTTACCAACTACAGGTATGTCTCGATCGACACAAAATGGACTTAACTGACTTTTCTAGGGTTTGGCGTGGATGGCTTCCAAAGAGAAACCTCAACTTCCAGCCGATGGCTCCAAAGAACCTGTGCAGCTCTGGCTACAGAGTCCCAAGAACCGCTTCCTCAATATCGCATCCGGCTTTGCCACAAACACGCCCCCGAAGCTACTCTCGGGCGGTATTCTCGCCGACGACATGGGTCTCGGCAAGACTCTCCAGATAATCAGCTTGATGCTCACCGGTGGCAAGGGCCCAACTCTCATCGTTGCACCTGTTAGTGTCATGAGCAATTGGAGCCAGCAGATCAAGCGACACGTCCGCGGGGACCATCAGCCTGATGTCTTCATCTATCACGGAGGCGAAAAAGCGACCACAGCGCAGCTTCAGAAACATGATGTCGTCATTACCAGCTATGGAAAGCTTGCTAGAGAGCGCGATCAAGGTGTGGATAGGGCTTTGACTTCGCAGCACATCAAGTGGCGTCGGGTTGTGCTCGACGAAGGCCATACGATCAGAAACCCAAAAACAAAAGTGGCAGAGGCTGCTTGCGAGATCAACGCAGAGTCCCGATGGGTCCTAACAGGAACTCCAATGTAAGTCTTCACCCTCATATATCTTGCCCAGCCACAACTAATCAGTACAGCGTAAATTCGGTCAAGGATCTTCACTCGCTTGTCAGGTTCCTCCACATCACCGGCGGCATCGAACAATCCGAGATCTTCAACGCCCAGATCAGTCGCAAGCTGGACTCGGGGGACAGCCATGGTGAAAAACTTCTTCAGGCGCTCATGCATGACCTTTGTCTGCGTCGCAGGAAGGATATGAAGTTTGTCGATCTCAAGTTGCCGGCCAAGAAGGAGTATGTCCACAGAATTGCCTTCCGCAAGGATGAGAAACGCAAATACGATGCTTTGCTGTAAGTTTACCAAGGGTTACGATATTTTGTCTGAGGCTGACAATAATAGGGATGAGGCAAGAGGTGAACTTGAGCAATGGCAGGCCGGCTCCCAATCAGGACAAAAGGGACGCTTCCAAAACGTGCTTGAGCGTCTTCTCCGTCTCCGACAAGTGTAAGCCCACCTCTCCCCTCCTCTGATCTTTTACTAACCCATCTAGCTGCAACCACTGGACCCTCTGCAAAGAACGCGTCAGCGACATCCTCGATCTTCTGAACGAGCACGAAGTCGTCCCCCTGAACGACAAGAACCGCGGTCTCCTACAAGAAGCTCTCCGTCTCTACATCGAGAGCCAGGAAGAATGCGCCATCTGCTACGACAACCCCGCAGAGCCCGTTATCACAACATGCAAGCACGTCTTCTGCAGGAACTGCATCCTGCGCGCCATACAGATTCAGCATAAATGCCCTATGTGTCGCAACAAGCTCGACGAGAACGCCCTGCTTGAGCCAGCGCCTGAAGACGCGGGTGACGATGACACGGCTGACTTTGACGCTGAGTCGCAGAGCTCAAAGACAGAGGCCATGATGCAGATTATCAAGGCGTCAATGCGGAAGGAGGGCTCCAAGGTCGTGGTGTTTTCTCAGTGGACTTCGTTCCTCAATATTGTTGAGGCGCAGCTCAAAGCTGAGAAGATGGGCTACACACGTCTCGACGGAAGTATGAAGGCTGATAAGCGCGACAAGGCGATAGAAGCTCTGGACAACGACCCGGAGACACGAATCATGCTTGCCAGTCTCTCCGTCTGCAGCGTCGGCCTCAACCTCGTAGCCGCCGACACCGTCATCCTCTCCGACAGCTGTAAGTCACCCTCCCCCTACACTCTCCACCGTCTGAACTCCGATCTTACTAACACTCTTGCAGGGTGGGCACCCGCCATCGAAGACCAAGCGATCGACCGCGTACACCGTCTCGGCCAGACGCGCGAGACGACCATCTTTCGCCTCGTGATGGAAGGGTCCGTCGAGGAGCGCGTGCTGGACGTGCAGGGCAAAAAGCGCGAGCTGGTTACCAAGGCGTTCCGCGAGAAGAACGCGCGAAACAAAAAGCGTGAGAATACACGCGCGGCGGACATTTCTAAGCTGCTGAGCTAGAGATATATACTCATGTCGCAGGTTAAGGCGTTGGGATTTGGTAGGGAGTTGCTCGTTGTACAATACTCGGAGTTATAGCACCTGAAAAGGACGGCTTAATGCCCAGGTGGGAAGTGAGGACAGGGAATGGTATCTTATAAGGTATTCGTTCAATGGCTTATAAAGAATTTGGTTTAAAATCCTGGCTCCTCTTTCATGGTGTCGAGAAATCGCAATTTCTGCTCACTTGGTATTAACACACACCTGGTCCTATGGTAATGACAGACGCTTTGCACGTATTCTACACATCTGAAGGGCCCGAAGTCAATAACGTTGAGAGAGAAATGGTACATCTATTCGTGACTCGTTTATGCAATCTAGTTATGTGTATGAGTACATTGGTACTGTTTGTGCACGCCAAGCAAGGGCTAGTATACATGATATCGTCAGACCCATAACAACACCAGTCAAACAAAGGTTCTAGTGAAGCCATCTCGCATAAGCCCACCGAATACGCTCCAAAGCCCTAGTCTGTAACTGAATGCCCTTCATGTTGGACAGGTCGTCCAAATCTTCAAGGAACTCTCTGGCAACTTCACGGGGCATGAGCCTATCAACGAGATCCCTCAGGATATGGACTTCAGAGAGCAAAAGACCATGATCCTTGTACGAGAGAAGATTGGTCTCTGTGGGTCGGGCCTCAGACAGAATGCGGTCTACGTTGCGGAGAACACGGACAGCCTTGCCACCCTTGCGGGACCGACTTCGACCATAACGACCACCAAAGAAACCACGAAGGTACTGCCAGATGCTGTATGAGACGAGGACACCGGGAGTAAGACCAACAAAACCGAAGACCAGCTCTTGGCTCTTGAGGAGTGCATCGATGCCAGTCATCGCAACCTCAAGGTCAACCTTTGTCTTCTGAACTTGGATAAGGAGTGATCGGACCAGATCTCCACGCAGGGTACCCATGAAAGGGCTTCGAAGATCTTTTTCAAACGCTCGGAGTACAGGGGTAACATCACCTTCAGCAACCTTGTGCCTGATATCAGCAATTTGTGTATCAGATAAGATGCTTCCAGTTTCAGTGGCGTAGTGTGGCTTGTCGAGGGAGAAGTCAACCACCATGCGTTCGAGGCTCTCGCGGTCGGCCTTGAGGCTGTCCCTACTCATGATGGCAATCTCACTGGTTTTATCGTGTCGAATAGTTGAGATGATCTTTGATGTCGGCTCGACAACCCAATTAAACCAGAAATCCCGAATGGTGGTACCAAAGTCAACAAACCACTGAATAATATCAGCTTTTCGGTTGACGAGAATACGCAGGACAGTTGTCGAAGAGAGAAGACCAATGGTTGCAAAGAGCCAGTATCGAGTGTAACGACTGGGTCGACCGTTTTCCTGAGCCAGAGCATACATAGCAGCAAGGTGTTCAGGAAGAGATTTGTCAATGATGGTGAGTAGTCGCCGGGCGAGAATTGCAGGTCGGTCTGCAGTGTTATTTCCCTCGACATGAACAGAGAGCTCGGGATCTTCTTCAACACCGGCGAAAACCTTATCCTCGAAATCGCTGATGTTAACATCCAGAGTAGAGACTTCTTTTAGAACCATATCAATGAGCGCAACGCTGCGTTCGACGACACCCTTAAGATCGTGATGGTCTTGAAGCTCGGCTTTATCATCATCAAGACCAAACTGTAGACCTTCGTCCATCAGTACACCAAGACCGCTTGCTGTGATTTCTCGCAGCTTCTTGAGTTGTGCCTGTTTTCGACGAGCCTCGGATCGGCCCAGAGCAACAGGAGATAAGACTCTCCGTTGAATATTGGCAAATGACCGTTCCCGAATGCTGTCCTGCACGATACCATAAAACTGTTTCCACTGCTGTGATACGCCCGACGTAGTAGAATCTACAAGTTCTCCAGGAGCATGTTGCAGGGAACCTGCTTGGACACGTTGTTTTGTTGCACTGTAGATGTCTTGGGACCATGCCCAGACACGTAGAGGCGAGGTCTGAACAGCATAGAGACTACTGTAGGAATACGAGCCCAGAACATCATCCCAGTACCAGATGTCATCATTCAGAGGAATGATTTGATCCAAAAGTGTGTTTAGAATAACACCGTGAAGCTGAATCGTGGCTTTGCTTACGAGCAACCACTCAAGTTCATTCTCGTAAGGACTTTTGACACCATCTGGAGCCTCTTTTGCTGAAAGGCTTACAGGGGCGGGGATGTCGGATATAATGAGGAGATTCCTGATACGCCAAACTGGTAAAAGAGGTTGTGACGAGGAGGTGGTGCTCAATGATTGAATGGTACGAAACAGATGATCGAGACGAGGGGATGAGAGAGCATTAGTCACGGCAAACCCATGCTCGTCAGTCTCGGACTGTTCGTCCTCAGAGACTTCTTCGGATAGAACTGGGAGACGGTCAAGGTAGGCATCAAGCCGCCGTACTTGACTATTGCATTATTAGTGACTGGGTGGTATTATTAAGATATATGATGATGAATGGAAGAGCCATGTCCAAGTGGTGAGATGTCGTAGGACGAGGAAGAAAGTGTCAAGGATGGATAGGTAGACGAACTCGGAGACAAGCGACATGGTAAAACCAAGGGTGAGCTTGTTCAGATCTGATAACGACGAAGCTGACACGTGAGGGAGCACAGCATCAGTCAGCAGCTCAAGGTTGCAACTCTTGGCCGGGGATAGCTATATTGGGAGGGGTAGTAGTCCCGGGCAATCGGTGGAGAGCTCGGCAGACAGGCCCCGGGCGGGCAAAGAACGGCGGCAGCGGTAGAAATCTCTCGGCCGGAGGAGCGCCGAGTCACGGGAACGGACGTTGAACGCGGAGCAGGGCTGTGCCGCTGCAGATTGTAGTGGGCGTCGAATCGCGTGAGGGGACTGCGATTTCGAGTGCAAGTGTGAGAGCTGAGCTTGAGCTTGGAGCTTGTCAGCAGAGCTCTAAACACGAATGCGATGGGGGTGATGACGAATGTGGGGTAGTTATCGTAGTTTACATCATACCACCCGATCAGGTGAGATGATAAGAGAACGACCAGAAACTGTTGGTCTTGGACTAAGAAGCAGACAAACTGGGACTGTAGTGCATGTACGGATAAGAGTCCGATTTTTGCCAGCTTTGCAATGATCATACACTGCTTTACAGTAATGATGCGATGCAATGCAGTGGTAGTCATGACCTCCTGGCCACGACTGGTGACGTTTCTTCTCGATCATGTCTCAAGGAAGGTGCGAAGGCAATCATTGTGATGTTCTAGAACTCTAATATCAGACACAATCTGTATTTCTATTGAACCAGTATGGCTTGGGCTGTAGGTTAAAGGCATATTCAATATTGTTCTTATCTTTGGGATGTTCGGAATTAATATCGAGGTTAACCTAGAGCTTGGTTTCTACGCCGTTTTGAAACACCACTGTTTTAGACGGTGATACAGAGACAGAGAGGCTCGTATTCGGGTGGTGCAACTCGCCTTAGTGCTTTTCCGAGTACGGGAGTACGACCAGTCTCAAATAGGTATAGCTACATGGTGCTTAAGTGCTCGGAGCATGGAAGGGAATGAAGATGGATGTGAAAAAACACAATCACGCGTTTATTTTCCAAGACAGACAAATGCCAATTGCAAGGGCTGCAATTGGATGAAGTGGAATACATGTGAAGCAATAATCAATTAACGCTTGGTGGTGGAATAGAATACTGGTAATAGCATGCATCATCGTGTTAGCGAAGACGAGCGGGAGAGGCGTAGAAAAAAACGGGGCAGATCTCTCAATCAAATCGAAGCCGAAAACGAAAAAGAGCTGGAAGTGCACACGCACACACTTATGCAGGAGGGGGGACGAATCTAGTGCAAGGGCTGGTTTTGACCCAGTAGATCGGTTGATAATCCGATACTTTGCCCCTTGATGGGATCGGCTTTCAGATTGTGGGTATCTACCTATCTAACTCGACATTTGCCGCCTCATCAACGCCCCTCCCCCAGTGCCAGAAACACACCACTTCTTGTCTCCGGGAGAGCGCCATCCCGACTGGACTTTTTCAGGGACCTTCCCACTGAGATTCTGATGAGATCCTAGACTGGAGACCCCTGTGCAAATGTTGCCACTCGCTCCATTCAGGACGCGGGCGATGTAAAAGTCGCCTGTTGTTCTGGAGAATAGGGATAGGCGAGCAGCAAGGATGATCCAAATACTAGGCCATGAACGCTATGTGTATTTTTCAGTGACTCGATGACTTCTATATCAATTTAATCAGGGTGAAAACACTGTACATAGACCAATCAACAGTCGTGGCAATAGCTGAATCGGGTCTGATATACATCCTCACCGCTTTCAATTAAGGCTTGTAAAACAGGCGGACAATCCCATCATAACAGTTTGAACCCTTGACTAAGAAAAAAAAAACATTCAACAACACAGGGTCCGAGAATGATTTGAGAACATTCCTCAAATTCCCGTCAGATCCCCGTAGAGTCAATAAACATTCATACGATTTTTGTTTAAGCGGTGACTATGCCAAAGCGAATACATATTCGCTTTGACTGGCTCAAATGTTTGTAGATGGACCCGGATGCCGGAAGGACAATTTGGCAGTGGCCTCATTCTGGAACCATTTTCTTTTTCTTGCTGCCATTGAGTGCTGTATCTGGCACGGGCCACCTAACACCCAGGGGTTCTCTGTTCTGAATGGCTGGCTGTCACAGGGTCTGGAGATTCAAGTTACCCTTTCTGGCTTTAAAGGTGTGTGAATGCACAGTTCAGGTGTAATTTTCGCAACGGTACGTACCGAAAAGGCAATAGCATGTGGTCTGTTTTGCTTTCTCTCGCAGTAAATCTCCGTAAAGTTAGAGGAGGTGAAGCCTTTTGACTGTGAATTGTCTGGGGCGTGCGGCCAAGCCCAAAGCCCACCATTTAGAATGGGACCCCCCTTTGAGATTCTTTGGGCCGGGCAATCGAGGAAATGATAAAACCTCCCCAACAGCCACCGTCTTGTCTCCTTTTCCACCACCATCGCCATCGTCAATCTTTGCTTCCTTTAACAAGAGCAGCCGACTCTTGATTCGACTCGGTGACAGTTGGTGTCTTTCTCTTTTCCCTAGAGGGTCTTTTCTTTTAGTCTACTCTGCTATAAGTCTACTACCTTCATCATGGATGCGCTGTGAGTAGCCTCCCTTTGATCGCCTTTGCGAAATGCGCCGCTGCTGCGAACAACCTTTTCTAACAGACCTTTCATAGAAACGCGACCACTTTCGCGGCCTTCAACCAGACCAAGGACTACTTTGTTGTTCTTGAGGAGGTCTCCAAATACAATGTCCAGCTCAACATCGTCGAGAAGCTCTGGGCCGTATGTCCAACCCGATCCCAATATCGCAAAAAACAAACAATACTAACTTTCGACTCAGGCTTGGTACCTCTGGATGCAGAACGACACCCTCGCGACCGGTATCATGAGTTTCTTCCTTCACGAGTTTGTCTACTTCGGCCGCTGCATTCCCTTCATGCTCATGGACTACATCCCCTATTTCGAACAATTCCGAATCCAGAAGCAAAAGGTCCCTACTCTTAGGGAGCAGTGGGATTGCGCCGCCATTGTCCTCATCAGCCACTTCACCGCCGAGCTTCCTCAGATCTGGTTCTTCCACCCTATTGCTACCTACTTCGGTCTTGACTACGGTGTGCCTTTCCCTCCCGTCTGGAAGATGGCTCTCCAAATCGCCATCTGCTTCGTCATGGAGGATGCTTGGCATTACTGGTTCCACCGCGCTCTGCACTACGGTCCTCTGTACAAGGCTATCCACAAGATGCACCACACCTACTCTGCTCCTTTCGGTCTCGCTGCTGAGTACGCTTCGCCCATCGAAACCGCTCTCCTCGGCATCGGTGTCGTTGGATGCCCTCTTGTCGTCCTCGCCATTACTGGTGAGCTCCACCTTATCACCATGTACACCTGGATTGTCCTCCGTCTTTTCCAGGCCATCGACTCCCACAGCGGCTACGACTTCCCCTGGAGTCTCCGCCACTTCCTGCCCATCTGGGCCGGCGCCCACCACCACGATCTTCACCACGAGAAGTTCATTGGCAACTACGCCTCTAGCTTCACCTGGTGGGACTACTGCCTGGACACCGAGGCCGGTGCCGATGCTCACAAGCGCCGCCGCGAGAAGAAGCTCGCTGCCATCAAGTCTCAGAAGCAGCAATAGAGTGCTGTGGAGAAGAACAAGATCGGGCACGACGACAGATAATCGATTGCGGTGAATCGAGTCCGCAACCCGACATTTCTACGACCGGAGAAACAAAAGAGAAGGAGAGTTGATCATGATGAAGACTTAGACTGTTCGCTCACCGGGCATACATCGTCTCGCTAGACTCGCGACTCGAGCATTTGCATGGCGTTTGGGATGTGAACTAAGAACGACTTTTTACGCTTGTATATACAGAACCTTGCCCTGGAGTGGCTTTTAGACATATTTAATATCAACATCGTTCGTTGACTTCTAAAAAACTTCCACATTGCTGTGAACTATGCTATCTTGACACATGTCAGCATGACAACCACGGGGTTATAAAATTTACCACATAAACTAACTCGGCCACAAACTTAACCAGTCTGGCACATTCTGGAAGACTGCCCTTGCCCTGTAGCTGTAAAACTTTCTTTAAGTTTGACTTTAGTATAACATTTGTATAAAATACAACAGCCTCTCTGCCCACATTATATACTCTTCTTGGGCGTGCAGCAATCTCCTGCCGCTCCGGCAGCTCGATCCGCCAAACCACGGATCGCACAGCTCTGGTCTTCAGTCTCGGCCGCGGCTGTCGGCTCCGGCTCCGGGGCCAGCTCGCCTAGATTTTTTGCAAGAACGTCACATTGGGCAGCCATGGTGATGTCCTTGTCCGAGAGACCGGCTGGATTGTGTGTTGTCCAGCGGATGAAGGTTGTGTTGTAGACCTTTCAGCTAGTTAGATGGAAGTAACGAGTAGGATTAGGAAAATTTACATTTGACCATTCTGGGTGATGATTCTTCATTTTGCACTCAAGAGATACTCCTGTCATGAAATCCTACGTCGAGTTAGTTATCATGCCACTCGTTCATATTTTTACATCATAAGCGAAGCCGTGTCGAACAGCAATATAAACCCCACATCTTGGCTCAATTCAAGACTCACCCATGTCTTTGCAAAAGTCTTAAACTTGAACTGTCTCTCCAGAGCCGTGCCATCCTTGGCGAGCGTCCATCGTCCACCCTCTGAAGTGAGCAAAGCATTAAGCGCAGGCGTTACACTCGCGGTGTCGGTGCCGGCAGAGAATCGCGGCTGAGACATAGTTGAAGAAAAACGAAATAGAGATGGAATGCGAGTTGAGTGAAGGAGGGGCCGCATCGTATGCTTGGAGGGAGAGGAGGTTGTAAGTGGTGGTGGGTTGGAGATGAGGCTGAAAGGATTGAGCAGTGAGAGGCGAAAGAGGAATGAGAGGCGAAGATCGCTGGTACTTTTGGCTGATGGTTATACTGGTCGATGGACAAGTACCCACTAACAGTCGCTCTCGCAAGAGCTCTGTTAACATCAAATATGAGATATTGTCTCTTCATAAGTTAGTATGAAGCTAGGAGATGAGGATAATACTTTGACGTTCATTATTCCACAGTGATTGTGCTACGAGTGGTGAGCTGCTCCTTGTGGTCGCATTAAGGTAGTAAGTTGGTATGACTAGACGACTTCTTTACAAGCTACCACTTTAGCAGCTGCGAGTATGTACTATTCCAGGCTCAGACCCATTATTCATACATTTCTGTCAAGTCACATTCCGACATGTCTGGAGGAAAGAGGTCGGGCAAAGGCCACGAGGTTATACATACTGAGGAATGGTGATAGTACCAGATACATGACCACAGACTAGTGCACACCCTCAATGGATATTAACAAGCGCCTATAGCGGGTAAAAGAGTGTTAGTCATTACATCCACCGGGTTTTATGAAAATACAGCACAGAATTCTGTCGTTTTAAACCAAGTCAGACGGACAGCGTGTATTCGCACATACGGTTAGTGTTTTGTTTTCCTAGTGCCACTATGGAGTAGAGGCCGGAACACTCGGAAGTGACTCCGGGTTCTTTGAGTAATCTTAGCGACGTGAACATGCTCCAGAGTTCTTGGCTACCTATCTGGAAGTCTAGGGATGTTTTTACGAAGCTGCAGGTATTCCGTATGGACTAGGGGATATTATAAGGTGGCTGTAGAGTTCAACATAATTATTTGTTACAAGCGGTAGAAAAGTATCGGCCTCTTATTCCCGAACCTTGTACATACGAACAAGCCAAACGGGTTGTTCAATATGGAGAAACATGAAGAATCCCTAGTTGGTGTTACAGGTGTAATCGGCGACCTCGACTTGGTGGCTTTGGATCATGTACCTTGAACTCAATTAGTAGCTCACTTTTAATTTCGATCATGCCTATTTTCACCGCAAGATTCGAGATTTGAGGTAGTATTATGTGATTATGGTTAATATATTTCAGGCTACCAACGTCAGATACAACACCTTCACATCTGTCTGAGGTCAAATTCCGTATTAGGATATGTATCTTGTGAGTGGGTCTTTTGCGCGCTCACGAGGAAGTGGAAGGTGGGAAATGCGGAAGGTGCAGGCGCGCATGACGGAGGTGGTCCAAGCTCCTTGCTACTGCTGCCCTGTCTTCGGCTTCTCTCGCTGACAAATATTTTCTCAACTGCATCCCCTCCTCATCAGTCAGCAAAGCCGTCCAATCTATTCACTCGGAACTCCGTCGTTATTCCCATCGCGCCAGTATCAGAAACGCTGGTGTTGAAGACAAGAAGAAGAAAAACAAAAATAGAAAGGAAGAGGAATTATTAGACACGCAGTTTTGAGACGGGGCTGATTTCGCACTTTGGACACTCGCACTCGTGACCTGGGTCCTAAGGCGACGCGTCTTTGTTCTCCGAATTAAAGCTTCAGCAAAACTACGACTGAGACAGTTTCCTTTGGTCGTCTCTATACTTTCAGCAGCGAAATCCACGTATGTTTGTTTTTGAAACTTTCCGCAATAGCCGCAGAAATCGTCGTCAGCGTATCGCGTTTGCTTCAGTGAGCAACACAATTGATCCCCCTCCCAAGAGAAGACCACGGCTCCGAGTTCCGTACGTACAGTAACAGCAGCCAAGCTTCGCGGGTCGAACAAAGCAAAAAGCAGAAGCGAGCGAGCGATAAACAATTCCATACTAACTTACCCTAGCTTAGATTTGCTTAGTACGTCCAGTACAAGCGGAGAGAAGAACCACATCCCCCGGCCCAGCCACGCCATTTTCCAACTTGATCACCACTCACCACTCACGAGCTCGCACTCAAAAGATCCACGGATCCAGACGCCAGGTTACATAATCCGTCCCCCTTCCGCCGGCCTCTCTCCTCACTCGTCTCTGTCAGTCAGCGTCAGGTCCCCCCCTCGTCGTAGTAATAATCATCGCCCTGGGTCACTACTACTTGGATGCTGAGTCAGACTCTCCTCCCCCAGAGCTCAAGCATGCAGAACTCCTCAGCCAGCGGCGCCAATAATCAAGGTTAGTCAAGACAACTCTTCTTCTCTCTTTTCATTTCTTGTTCTGTCTTGTATTTTTCATTGCCTGAGCGCGTCTTGGTTCCTGTTCAGAACCTACAGCTCTGTATCCGTTATCTATACTGCATCTCGCCTCACTTAGGCCTGGTGTATTGCGACACTCATAGAGCTCCTTGCGTCTCTCTACTATCTGAATAGCATCCTGTCGCGTCTCGCGAAATCCCATATACAATACACTTAGAGCTTCTTGACTTCAACGGTTGAACCCAATTCTCGTTTTTGGCCTTTTCGGCTTCGCGTTTGGTTCAATTACTGTTGACGTAGCTGCTGAGCGCATTGGCTAACACCGACCCCTCCAAACAGAGCAGCATCTTCGCGCACAGCTCGAGCTTCTCAAGAGCCACGACGCGACAGGCTCATCCTCGCCGACTCCTCCTGGAACTCGCGATCCCAGACATCACCCTTTACAGCCCGCTCCTGCGCGGCCGTCGAATGGATTCGATCATTTGCCTAGTCCCCAAGATCAAAACCGACCTCTAGCCGCTAAAAGCGAAGTGGAAGCTCATATCCATCCTGACCTCCGCGCTCGAGCTGCCCTCGCGCCTACCGCAACCATGATGCCAATCGCCCCTCCTTCTGGGCACAGTCCAGGCGCATCTGCTGGTCCATCTTCCGCCCCAATTGCTCCTGCGCCTCCATCAATGTTGGCAGACGATCATCTAGGTGAAGGCCGCAAAGCAAAGCGGGAGTTGTCCCAGTCAAAGCGCGCAGCACAAAACAGGGCCGCTCAAGTAAGTCGCACATAGTGGGATGCCAATTAGCATGACCGCATTGTTATCTTGGGTTATGTAGCTAATGATCTATCAATAGAGAGCGTTCCGACAGAGAAAGGAAGGTTATATCAAGAAACTCGAGCAGCAGGTCCGCGATTATATGGATATGGAACACACTTTCAAATCGATGCAGTCGGAGAATTACGCGTTGAAAGATTATGTCGTTCATTTGCAATCGCGACTGTTCGACGTGTCAGGCGAATATCCCCCTCCACCTCCGAACATTAATCTTGCCCAACCCGCGCAACAAGCACAGGCTCCAGCCGCGACAGCTCCTCCCCCTCCTCCCGAACCAGCACCTAGCAACCCAGCTGCGGGAACACCATTGGAGGCTGTTGCACAAGCCGTGGCCGGTCTCGCGGCTCAGGAGCAAATCGAGCGACAACAGTATCCAGCAGCGCATTTTAAAAATGAAGCGAATGCCGAAGATACAAGGACTGCTGATGAGATCAACAAGCAATTACAACACTCGGAGGAGCCCCCAGCACAACAACCAGCGGTCTAACCGCATGATATCCCTGTATCTGCTGGAGGCTTCCACTACCGTTACTATGGCGTTAAGGATTTGACTGTGATTAATGCTTATACAAGAGAGGCGTTTGGTTGTGTTACGTAGCGAAGGCCCTTGATCTTGCAGAGTTGTTACCCTCTCCTGGCGAGTTTTGCGGTGTCCTTACGCCCTGTTAGTTTATTTAGGGACAAGTACGGGAATTTGGGGAGCGAGACGTGGCAAACCAGCTTCCTCTCACTGCTTGATATAAAATAGATATCACGGGTTTTGCCATCTTGTGCCATGCCCGGTCTACATCAGTGCTTTAGCTTCTGGATGTGTCAAAAGTGTTTGGCGTGCATTCTTTCTTTGATGGCTAAAAAGAGACCCTCGATTAACGCAACATGTAGAAGTAAAATAACATCCCGATCTACCATACATAAAGCAACCCGCTTTTGACTCCTTGCCTCGCCACTACACAGTTTACGCATATGAGTTGCCCATGTCGTGTTCCTGTCGCAAATTAGTAAGAGAACAGCATCGACATATGATTAGAGATGACTTACCTTGATATATTCCGGTCCCTTTTCTTGGTATTCTGCTTTGGAGATCTTTGCTGTCTTCCAAGCAGACGATCCTGCCCATCCAGCAGCACCCTTCCAAGCATCTAGCAAAGCATCTTCGGCGCGACGCACAGACAGGGGTGAATCGGCGGGGAGTAGAGCGCGTAAACCGTCACGGACGCGATCATCAAAATTCTGGAACAGGGTGTTACCGCCTGTCAAGAAGATATCACGGAGGAAATCATCACGGTTGGGAACGCTGCCAAGACGCTGGTTGAGGATGTCGCCGGCAATGTCGATAATGCCTGACTGGTCAACGCCAGCAATTGAGGGCCTGAAGACAACCTCAGGGACACGGATGCGCTCGACGTTGAGATGGATCTGACTGAGCTCGGCTTGTGATGAGGGGTCGAAGGGTCGAGGTCCTCGCATAAAGGCATGCAGGAGAGATTTGGACCAGTCGGACTGAGCGTCATGGGTGTTCTCGTACTCGAAGTCGGGGTCGTATCGCAAAAGGTCTTGCTCTAGCGATTTGAGTGTCGAGTTAAGATCTTCCTCCTCGTGCTCGTCGTCGCTGTTATCTCCCACGGCAATTTGGCGATAGACACCCCAGTCATCATCGTCGGCACCGAAATTGTCGTCGTCGCCGCCACGCCGTCTCTTCTTGGTAGGCGCATCCGAGGCTAGGTTGGCAATACTCTTCATGCGGATTTGCGAAGCGAGTGATTTGCGGTTACCAAGGTCCTGCTTTAATCTCTCGCGCTCTTTCATCTTCTGCAGGGTCTCGGCGCGACGTTGGCGCTTCTCATCGAGCCAGTTCTCGAGGTCATTCTCTCGTCGTTCAGTGTCGGCACGCTCTTCTTCAATGACACGAGCCTTCTCAGCCTCCTTTTCGGCCTTTGCGCGGGCACGAGCCTCGTGGTTTGACTTGAGTAGACGCTGCTGGCGTTTCTGCTTGATCTGGGCTTCATCGAGTTGATCATCAGGGATATCGAGGAGATCAAAATTGGGTTGTTCTTGCTCTTCTTCTGGGTCGCCACCAACATCCTTTGTCCGGGCCTTCTTGATAGCCTTGTCTAAATCCTTGATGATCTTTTCCAACTGATTCTCGTCCTTCAGGTCGTTACTGTCAAGCTGGCGTCGGATCTCCTTTTTGGTTGCATCTGTGATGTTTCTTTGAACACTCTTGTAGTATTCCAGATCCTGTTCTTTCTTCATCAGCTTCTCCAGGCGCATCTTTGCCGCCTGTTGTTGTAGTCTTCTACCACTCTCCTTCTTGCGCTCCGCTATCCGAGCTAGCTCTTCTTCGCTCTTCTGTATAATCACTTCTTCTGTAAAGGGATATTGCATGACAATATCACGATCCTCTAGGCCTGTCCAGTCGAGATAGCTAGCGAGTTCGTCATCGTAATCTTTGGATACATAGCCATGATCTCGAAGCATGTGTTCTGCTTGTGACACGTTAAGCTTGCCAGCGAAGGCTGGGTATTTGAGTCTTATGAGCTTGAGAAGGTACTCGGCGTTGTGGTAACCTCCCCAGTTCAAGCGTGTAGCCTGGCCAAGGAGAGCTTTGGAGTTGTAAACAGGAATAACGTGGGTCGATGTGTAAGATGACGAGACCACAAGACCGGTCTTGCCCTTGTTGTGCCTGTATGAAAAGAGGGAGTCGATTCCGTAGGCCAGCGAAGGCGCACCGTAGCACTCGAAGATAATCTCGGTCATAGCTGAGAAGGTCAGTCTAAGTTTGCGCACATGTACCATTCGACCTACATTTCCTAGAGTACGGAAGATTGGCAACAGCCTCTGTCATGACAATGGGAACTTCAATGGCACCATCCGCATCATTCATGCCCAGCTTGAGAAAGACATAATCGAGGACGTGCTCCATCACATCCCAGTTGCTAACGATTCCTGTACCAACCTCAAATGCGCTTCGAATATGGCCTCGTGCGGTCGTGTCGGCATAGCAGTCGGACCCGGCGAAAGAAAAGGTCTTGCCCAGTTTTCGGTCGCGATACTTGGCCATAATCGGAGGGATGCTGAATCTTGGCTTCGAGTCAAATGACCAACCGGCGCGCACGGCGGAGGATCCTATAGATGTGTGGTCAATTCCTGGCTGTCGCAAACCCCTTGTGCTCCAAGCTCACCATTATCGATGACGATGGCCGCGCCGTCGGACTGCTTCAATGCGCGATCCCGTCCATCTGTTGAAGGTTCGATAAAATTCTCGAAGCGCGTCTCCTTCACGGGGAAGATTTTGGCGGAAGGGTATGTCTTTTGTTCAGGCGCCTTGATGGCGGGCTCGTCGATGGCCGAGGGAGCCATGATTGCGAAGAGGATGGTAGAATGGAGGTTCAACAAAGAGAGATAGATAGCATGATGGGAGAAACAAAAAAGTTTAGGTCAAGTCGATGCCTGACTTTAGTGGCCAATTGCTGTAAGACGCAGGAGCTTGGTTGTTGGAAGGTTGAGAAGGTGCGAGGCTACAAGGCTGATCTAGGCCGTGGCATGCAGCAATAATGGGGATCCACTTACGCGACGTAAACTGATGCCGTGAGGAAGACATTAAACAGCAATATACTCCTAGTATACATGAAGAAGAGATGATACTTTTCTGACTTTTTTCCTTTTCTTTCTTCCCTTCTTGCTAAATCTCAAACTACAACTTACTCTTAACTAGTGCGAATCGTTTAAGCACATTGCGGACTGCCTGACTCCCGCACCGCCAGTTCACATTGAAACACTTAACATGAGCATCAGCAGAGCATCTCCCTTGGAACTCGGGGATGCTATCTCTTGGTACGTTTTAATTCCGAATAATAATCTCTTGAATAAGTGAAAACCGGCCAAAAACATCATCAGTTCATGTACAATCATGCGCCATCATAAATACAGAAATTCCAGTCTCACTCGCCCGTCTCACTGCTTAGTTCGGAGGTTTCAGGTTATCCGTTGCTATTGGGAATCGTTAGTGACCAAAAATATCATCCTCGTGCAGGAAACTCACCCTCTAGGTGGAATAGGACGTTGGATTGGTAGTTCTTGAACATTTGCGCAACTAGCTCAACGTTCATGTTCTGGATGTTTATATCCTAGAGCAGACTATAAGCATACGATACAAAGTAAAATTTGAATTGACGCACCTGAAGACTCTTGTTCATAACGACAACGGCCTCATTGAGTTTCTCCTGTATGGTGTTAATACCATTCTTTGAGTGACTTGTATTTGGTATGACTTACCACGTTGGTGATGATACGGGAAAGCAGTAGGTTCTGCTGATGCTCATGAGGACTCTCCTGTATATGGATTAGACTAGTGCTTAGATGTACATCTTGCTGAATCTCATGTAATCCTTACCATTTTTTGTTGTTTATTTGGTTGATGTCAATGCTAATATGTTGTACCAGACTCAGAGCATAGTGGAGTCCTCTGTTTACTTTGAACCCATCTAGGGTGCCTTCCTGTACCTAACGTTAGCTCCGAGCATGATGAGTACGGTGAAGCGCGGCAGAATCCCTGCGACGCGATAGCTCATGGCCAGCGACATCCAAGAGGCTTTGTATCATCTGTTGCTCTATCAGCAATCTCACTACGAAGCAAACCCTTAGAAAAGCACAGCACCAAGTTCTTACCTCAAACAGCCTTCTGCTTCCACTCGTCAAGAATCGAACAACGATGGCCGCCCCAACCGAGGCGCAGATCGCCCACCAGGAGCTTATAGAGAAGCTCGACATTCACTCTATTCACAAGAACTTCCGCAGCTCAGGCTGGAAGCCCAACCAACGCCGAAACAAGAACCTCAAGGCCATCGTCGGTGATGCTTCCCGAAGAGAAGCCTCTGCTCTAGGCACGCCAATGGACGCCAGCGGCATCGCTACACCAGCCGACGATGGACTCTCGACAAGCGGTACCAGCACACCTGCCACCGAGAGCGGCAAAGAACCCCCAAACCTTGCGCAAGCATCACGGAATCTGTCCAAACTTGTTCTCGAGAAGAGTCTCAAGCCAGGCGGCCCTGCATCGGCTCCAACCGCTACGTACACCAACATCGAGTCGGCGCCTTCACTCGCGCATAGCAAACATTACTGTGACGTGACGGGCCTGCCAGCTCCCTACCTTGACCCAAAGACGCGACTGCGCTATCACAATAAGGAAGTGTTTGGCCTCATCAGGACGCTACCCCAGGGTGTCGCTGAACAGTTCCTCGAGGCTCGTGGCGCTCACACGGTCCTCAAGTGAGCGTGGATACTTAAGCTGGATATACCCATATAATGAAATGACGATGACTACAAACCCAAGAAAGCTAGGAGACTACTCGTCCACTCAGGTCTAATGCAATAATCACAAAACTCATGCACGTCATACAGAGATACTACTTGGGAGAGTACAAATTGGAGTGTCCGACCGACAAAGTCAAGCCCCAACTATGCACCCTTAGCCTTTAGGCCAAGGGATGGCAATTGACGCTCCGGCTTAATCGCGATCATGTACTTTGTTCTCTGCCTAAATCGACAGACTACCGAGAACGTATGGGGAAGAAACGAGTCTCAGTTGCCAGGGCGAAGAACGCCGCTGGCCGTCGCGGCATGGACAGATGGGAGGTTGCCACCTGCCAAATAATATGTATAGCAAGCTGTTCAATAGAATGAATCTAATGATTGTTGTGTCCTCAACGACTTGCTGTTTCGAGTGTAAAGATTGGATGCCGCCATGCAAACGGATATAACCTTTATACAGCGATCATGTTGGATTGCTGTAGAGCCAGAAACAGCTTATCGTGAGTAGTTTTACAACTCAGAAAGTGAGATGAAGGAAGATGCAAGTCTGGTAAAAAGAGTACCGCAGCAAAATTTCAAGATAACCCACGCTCGCCCACTTTCAGCCGACTCAGCCAATAGCCATACGGCAGCCTCTAGGCACCTCTAAACCCTCTTTGGCACAGCCCTGTCCATCACCGTTTACAAGGCATGCAAACCCCTGGAACGTGTCCTCGAGGGAAAGCTGGTGACGAGAAAAAGGAAAACATTCAGTAATTTGTCCTCTACAGCTTCTCCCTGCAACCAATTTCGCCATATTTTGCCAATCCAAGTTTCATTCTTCCAGGTCGCTACTGATATTGTCAATTTCGATCCTCTTTTTTCAAATAAACCCGATATTTACTGAACCGCCAAGATGTCGATGTGGTTGACAGATACCCAAAGTACGCCTATCTTTATCCCTGCACGCGAGTTGCGACAATGAGGTCTACGATGAAGCGCTGCGCAACGATGGGGATTCTGGTCGATTTGGATAAAGGCTGACTGTCTGCGATAGAAATTGGAGTTGTCTTTTGCTCCGGCGGTACGTATGCCCCTGCGCAAGCTTGCCAGTCATGTTATATCGTGGGCTATAGAGGCTGACGTTTCTCACAGGAGGCTTCTTCCTGATAGGAGGTGTGATGCTGTTCTTTGACCGATCCATGTAAGTCTCCGCCCATGTTATCATTCTGGTAATTTGTCTTTTGCTAACCTGCCCTGTAGGCTTGCTATGGGAAACGTATGACGACCCCTCCTCCTTCTATCCAAGCGAAACGAGCGATTGCTAACACGACCGACGTACGAAACAGATCCTCTTCCTCATCGGCCTTACAATCATAATCGGACCTCAAAAGACACTCCTCTTCTTCGCCCGCAAACAAAAAGCAAAAGGAACGGCGGCGTTCTTTCTGGGCTTGATCCTTATCTTCTTGAAGTGGACCTTTATCGGTTTCCTTGTAGAAGCGTACGGCATAGTGGTCCTGTTTGGGGATTTCCTAGGGACGATTGCTGGCTTTGCGCGAGGACTGCCTGTCGTGGGACCATATATCGGAATGATTGTCGACAAGATAGGCCTTGGAAGACGAAACGCCGAGCTCCCTGTTTAGACTCTCGCCAGAGTTTTTATAGAGGGGCATGGTGATATGGCCTGCTCGAACGAGGACATGGTATCATGAGATTGTTCGAAAGCCACATGCAGAGCAAGAGGCTGAGTTTACGAGAACATATTGTTTGGAATCGGCGTTAATGATACAAAGAAATCACGAGAACTAAGTATGGACAAAAGCACTGTACATGATGGGATGAAAGGCATACAAGGCAAATAGAGGCAGTTGTAATGGAAAGTCGAGCTGGTTGGCCTTGAATGATCACTTTACAAAACTTTGGCACACACAGGTGAACAGGATCTGGAGGGCACTTGGATTGCCTATATGCAGAATCGTGTGGAAGCAAACTCGTTTGACCGATCTCTGGCCAAACAAGGAAAATGTCCTCTCCAGGAAGGCACTCAAGCCCACAGCCCAGTGCTCTAAAACCAAAGCGCTTCTCTCAGCATAAGCTCGTACAGCCGCGTTAACTATCCGCTCTACGGACAGACAGCTTTTCCCTTGCACCCCTTACAAATGGTTTCCGCCCAAAAACATCTTGCCTTGCACGAACCGGGGTCTTAGTAGCCCTGCTTGATGAGGTAGTCGGCAAGACCCTCAACGGTGGAGGTGGCGTTACCAGCGATGGCGGTCTCGGGGTGGTGGGCAATGATGATGGCCTGAGTAGTCTTTGCGACGGCGAGACCCTTCCTGCCCTGTTTTGAAACAAGGTCATTAGTATGACGATCAAGGATACAACTTGTAAGTTTGGATATCATACCGATCGGGCGTAAAGACTTCGGTCCTCAGCTCGGGCCAGAACAAATCGCTCGCCAGCAACGTAGAGACCTTCACCGAAGGCCTTGTCCTTGGCACCTTGGTTACCGCTAACGATGGCGGAGATGGCCTTCAACTCATCGGGCTTGAGCTGTAGTGGGGTTGCAAGTCAGTTTTTGGGTCGTTTGACGAGGGGGGCTCGACAACCGAGTCGGGGAGAATGTGTCGGTGAGGAAGGACTCCGTACCTCGAAGCCAGTAGAAGTAGCCCAGACACTGTCGCCAGCAGCACTGACGAGGGCGGCCTTATCGATGTGGCCGGTGCCGACGAGGCTGTTGAGATTAGATGGTCAGCACTTGTTCGGTATTCGCGCCGGGGATCACGATAACAGCTCGTAGTTGTGACTGTGAGATATGGATGGTATGTACCTTGTGTCAACGTATGCTATATCATTGCAACAGGCAAAATGTCAGCTTTGTTTTTCATCCGGCTTCAAGTTGTTGTTTTCAAGGTGGGGGGAGGCATTTGGAGGCGGTGATGAGCAAACAACACGATGGAGGGGGAGGGGGAAAATGAGTAGCGGGACGGAGTAGTGTCGGAGAGTCGAAGAGGGGAGGGAAAAGACTGACCTTGCCACGACATGATGATGTGAGTTATGTGAGGGTTGTAGGAAGTAAAGTTCTTGCGAGTAGGGACGAAGTATCCGTAGGTGAGAATGGAAGGTTGGCGACGCGAAGATTTGAAGGTTTAGAGGTGAGGTTTGTTTTGGCGGGGGAGGTTTGTCGACTTGCTTCTGGATGTGGTGATTCTTTTGGAGCTTTGCCCCTCCAGGCGGCCAGCAAAGTCCCCGCCAAAAAAATGTCATCAAAGCTCCAGTGCTGTCCAATGAGTATTGGATACTTTTGCTGGCGACAGCTCATAGGTGCAGCGGCCTTGTACTCGGTACCTGGAAGCCCAACTGGTTCTTGAACATGCGGTCGGCATGATCAGCAGGGTGCTGCTTTCATGTCACGCATTTTTCTCTCTCTGCTTGCTGCATCCTCGGATTACTTGCTTGAGTGACGTTTTGATCCAGGCACGACACGGTAGAAGGATGTCAATTCATCTACCAATCACGAATCTGAGGCTGAGCTGCTTAACCTACACCCAAGCATGATACGAGAGATCCGGCTGTTAGTCAATACTGGTTCTCTTTCTTAACGCCCGACGTCACTAGAAGGGTCCTGATTATTTCGAATTGGCGTCGGAGCTAGGGAACTCCAACACGGCCCGCTGCTAAGAACGGCAATATCCGCCCAACCATATCATGGTTTTGCATCCTTCTTTACATTGAACTAGGACGTAAGTTTAAACTCCTGACTACTAAGTATCGCAATAATACCCGAATATAGTAAAGCTTAGGCGTAGTTGGGCATCCGTCGTTGAAGAATTTTGAGCATCGCAAGGCTATTTGGTCCGGCTTGGAAGGGCGTACTAATCTGCCCGTTCATATCACAGGCGTTGAAAGTTAAGCAATTGAGTTTTAATCGAGATTGACCATAACGCTTATTCTAATACTCCGTACGGAGTATTGATATTATAATTCTTCCTAGCGTGAGTTAGCAGTATGCTATACTCGTTGTCATGCGTGGTAGGAGATATACTGCTCAAGAAGCAAATCATATGGCATTATCTCTCAAACGTCAAAGTCACAACGCGACAACAACCACCATTTGGCTCCCTCCATCATGATTCATGTCATATGCTCTGATCCCTTCGAGTATATCCGCAGAGACAAGTATATCCGACCAAGCCGAAGCTCTTAAATGAGTATATGACGGCTATTTAGCGAAGCACAGGTCAGACATTGGATTAGGAGTCTTTATGCTTTGGCTCAAACTCACCTTGTGGAGCCCATCATCAAAACCACTCGGGGATACAGTGTTTTTGATACCACGTTGATCCTTGATGTTTCAAGTCTTAATGGACGTGATAAGACTTATAGCATTGTCGATAATATCGGGGAGTGCTTGTTGCCCGTACGCCGGTGAAACGGTCTCCAATTCTTTCATGATGGGTCATCACATCATTGGCAAACCGGAGAGCGTTGAGTGCAACTCTGCTAAATCATATCTAGCGAAACCTAGGATACAGCCGGATACTACTGTATGAACTTGCAGGCTATTAACTTCTCTAGGGTATGCGAGCCTGGGTTCCTCTCTGGTCTGTGCCGGTGTGCTGTGCGACCCATTGGAAATTAGCAATCTGAGACGAGTTGAAGAGACCCTAGTCAGAACATGAAACGGCGAATTGAATTGGCAGGTAAAACCCCTGACAATTCATTTGAGTCAGCCTTTGCTAACATACACATCACAAGTGCATCTCCCGTTGTATCGTAGCGATCCAATCAAGTACAAAGGGTACCTTTTACTACGAACTTTCCATTTCAGGGACTTGTAACCATCCAATGTTACTGGGCACGACCCCTGGGCTTCAGCTTGGCAACCAGCCCTAAACCGAACGTGTCGGGTGTTGATTATCGAAGCTCCCGTGTCTAAAAGTGTTATTAGTGAGATGAAGGACGTTGAACAGACGCCGGTGTGACCGGGTGAAGCGGCCGGTCCACAAGCCGAGCGACTAAAGAGAGTTCCGTGCTGCCACCTGAAAATTCTAGAAGACGACGATCAGCCACTTAATTACTTACTTGCAGCTTTATTGAGTTTGTTATTCGAGGTAGATAGATAGATGGCTGCATGACTTGCAGTGGAGGTTTAGCCTTTTGCATTGGCCCCCCGAAGTGGTTGTGTTTCACACATGCGATGCGACAAGGTGGATAAGTTTGGGAGCACTTGATGCTTTGTTCCTCTAATCTAAAAAACCAGCTCAACGCATACCCCGTTGTTGTACTTCATGCAAGTGCCGTTTAAGCAGTACGGCGTAGTAAATGAAGCCTTGAGCACGAGAACAGAGACCCTGACCCCATTGTTACTGGGCTAGCCGAACTGGCCGGAGGATAGTCTAGACTCTAGAGGGTTACACTCGCAGTGTTGTAGCTTGTATAAGTCGTGAGTCAATTGACTTTGAGTCTAGACAACGAACCACAACAGGGATGATATCTTACTTTTGGTCTTTTCTTTTTTTCTACGGAGTAATACCACATTGATAGCTGACAACGATCGAACGCCCAGAATCATCCACATGAATCGGTGTCACATTGAGTTTGACGTCTGTGAGTCTTTGTTGTTTCAGAGCTTACCAAGTTCGGCACCCAAGTCCGGCTGATTGTGTGTGTACATCGGGATCAGCGTTGACGGTTGAAGATCGCAGCACGTAGCAACCGCGTACCTTAGATAGCCGCGTTCGCCTGAGACATGTACTTTGTACTGGACGTATAGTGTATGGCGTTTAAGGCTTTGTTGCTATTAAAAGTACAAGTTAAGGTTAGTGGCTTTTGGCCCTTCTCTCGTACGTTAATGGCGGCTAGTTTCCTACCAAGCACCACAAGCAGTGAAACCTCAACTAGACGACCGACGAACGAGATACCGCATAACGATAACTCCCAAGCATTAATTAAATGAGCCTCCAGGTTTTCTGCTAGTCTGACACACGACACTTGGTCTCTTCGGAACCCCAGGCCCCACTTGATGATTTGTCCTCGACAAGGATATACCCTTGTTGAGATGGTTTGGCTCTTGGCTGTAGCCAAAGGACGAGGTGAAGTAATTAGGCGATCAATGCTCATCGGAAAGTTGTGGGTTTGTGTTGTGGTTGTGTTAAAGATTTCCAAACCTGATATTCAGGAACCGTTTCATCAATCTCAGACATGCCACCAACTCTTCCTAGCCTGTTCCCCAAGACTGGATCCCCCTGTTGATAGTAATAACAAAATGGCAAATACTCTCAGATTCTCTCGTCTTTGGACGGTTGGTTGATTAGTTGACATTGCTTCTTCTTCCACAGCTCGCCTGCATACATCTCATCTTCCTTCATTGGAGCCGTGGCATCCAATCCGGGGATCGGCTCTTCAACGTCCAAATTGCTCTTGCGCTTATTACCTTCTCATCCTTGCACTCCATCGTCATCCAGGACCCAGTTCCCTGCTTGTTACCGGCCATTTAACCACATTCGTCCCGATTCTCATCGACGGCTTCATACTATAGGCTTCCGTGAAAGGCGGGGTGGTCCCTGTGAGACGAGGGTGTACGGATACTCTGTTGTTCAAATCGCAGTAACTTAGTCCGTCCTCTCTTTCAAGAGTATCCCGGTACCCTGGGAAAGGCAACTTGGTTCCTGGTGAACCATCTTCTGTGTCAGACCCTGTCGGTGCAGGGAACTGTCATTCAAAACAAAGGCCTCTTGCCTCTTCTTAAGCCAAGCAAAGATCTCCCCCCGCGCTGCGCTGTGCTGCTTCACCCACTTTACTTGAACCAATCTATTCTCGACACCTCTCAGAAGCCCCTCGCGTGGTTGCGAGACACATCTCAAGCATGGCTACAAATCTGTCAAGGGCTGCTACTGTGTCAGCTTCCTCTGGATATCATAGACGTAGAGGAAGCTTCACCGCAGATTGGACAGATACAAGTTCCTTTGCCAAACATTCCTTCGACAAGAGAGTTTCCAGAGACGACCTTGCTCTCATCCTCAAGAGCTCAAAGAAGGGCAACAACGTGACGGCGTTTCATATCCCGATTCATGGCCGATTACCGTCTCCCGAACACAGCCCGCGGACATCGTCAATAACGAGAACGACCTGGGTGCGGACATCAACCCCGGATTCCGTGGAAGACGGCCCTCAGACTGGTGTGATTGCCGTCGGTATGGCGATAGGAAGCCCAACACAGATGGGAGACTTTGCGCCGGTGCAGTGGTCACCTCGGAACATAGCCATGAACGCAGTGATTGCTTCACCAGAACCGATACCAGAGGCTATCCCAGAGCCTGTCGAGGATACTCAGCAGAAGAGTCGGAAATGGGGTCTCTTCCGATCAAAATCGAAACGAAGCACGCGCCCGACCCAGCCTCAGCGAGCCCTGACAGATACTGGCAACGTTTCGACAATATCGTTGACTTCGTCTGGAATGCCATCTTCAACCTCAACAGACCACAGTTCACGAAGAACACCAAAGTACAAACCCATCGTTATAAGATCTCATACAGAGCCACTCACAGCCGAGCCAGCCGAGCATGTTGATGAAGCACCCTTGACAGCACCAACGCTGGTCGAGAGGCCCTTATCACCGGGTAGACTAACAAAAGAAAAGCCATCTCTTCAGCGAAAGGCGTCAAAGGAGACGAAGCTTAAAGAATCGGCACCCGGAGGTCTGGGTCGCAAGATGACACTAAGAGGCCTTCGAGGAGACTCCAGCAAGAAGAGAGCGGAAAAGGCATTCGTTCCACCACCCTCTTCACCGCCCCCAATTCCTGCGATTCCTCGTTCGCTCCTTGACGTCGAGATTCCTAGCATCAAGATGGACCGATATAGCGTTATGTTCAACAGTGTACTACAGCCACCTCAAGGATCAGCCTCTTCACTTCTTGCCCGACGACAAGCAACTTTGGATCATCTCAAGACAGTCAAGGATGCAATCACCGAGAATCGAAATGATACTCATCGACCTCGAAGGGCGACTTCTCCTCAGCCTTCACCATCTTTTGCTCCTCAACCGGACACATCCAAACCACTGCCTTCACCTCGATTCAGAGCCAACACAACTCCAGCCTCAATAGAATCTCCCACAGCTCCCTTCTATCAACTGGATTCGCCTACCATCGTGGCTCCTACCCCTAGGGTTGTTGAGGTCTCCCGGGCTGTATCGCAACATAACAAGTTCGCATCGCAGGCTTCTCATTATCAGCCTGCTCTTGTGTCCAAGTTCAACCGACGCCCTAGTGCTCCATCTACTGAAAAGGTCAGCGTTGCTGTCGTTGGACAGGTATCACCGCCTGTGCCTGTGCCTGCACCTGCGCCGGTCGCTTTACCTACCGCTCGCTCCAAGTCAACTTCTCCTTTTACCCCTTCGCACAAGGCCCCAGACTCTCCCGAGCACACGGATGACGAAGGAGATGACCATACAGCCAAGGGACAGTTCTCGTCCCCTTCAGGTCCTTCAGGACAAACGATCTCGCCTCCAGCCTCCATCACATCTTCACTGGCATCTCCCAAGGCACAAGCCACTGAGTCTGACCCACAGGAGGCTCTACGAAACGCCGTTGAGGTCTCCATTGCTCGCCAGATTAGCGTCTCGCGTCAGCAGCGCAAGATGCTGCATCCTCTGAAGAGCAACCCAAGCGTGAGGCACAGGACGAACGGCAGCCCTCATGGACCGGGCTATATCCACATCGAGAAAGACGAGCGCCTCGCCGAGACCAACTCCTCTACCCCGACCTTGGTACACCCCAGGGAGCTAGCTCATTCTCCTGATGCCTACCAAGTGCATCGCAAGAGTGAGATGGTCATTCTCGAGGAATCTTAAACCACCTACTGCTTCACTTTGGCATTTGAGCCTCATTCTGTCTTTGCTTATTAGCAACTGTTTTGCCATACTCCTTGATCAATGCTCTGGAAGTAATTTTCATAAGCAATTTCATAAGCGTTCTCAACTGGCTTGAGTCGCTTTTACATACCACTGAGGGCATCTTTCCCTCCCACGTTATTATTTCTTTTGTATACAATACGTTCAGTGATGGCTACGCTTCGATGTTATGGATTACGGATCACAGCAAGGCGCAGGAGAGGCATTCGATGCGTAAGAGACGGGACAACAAAATGGTCCCTTGGAGCATCTCGTTGGAGTTTTCTTTTTTATTACTTCTTCAAAAGGAGAGTGACTTTTCTTCTTCTTTTACGTTAGGTTTGGAGATGAGTGAGCATTCTCACTGTTGTCCACTTTTTGGACTTTATATATATGTCAAAGAGAATGATTTTTACTAGTATCCATTTGAACTGTTAGTCGTACGTAGTGTGCATGATGAAATTCTTCTACCTTCCTCCCTGACAAGTCTAAGCTGTTGTAAAGACATGGTCTTGCGAACGAATGATGGACAAAACGATTGGAAGTATCTGCGCCACACGAATAACCAATCTCACTACCGACATCCCTTATATGCTGAAAAGAAGCCAGGTCCAACGCCGGAAAAACGAAATGATCCATTACATCAAAACACAGCACGAGTTCTGCTTCTTGGCTTGCTCTGTTCCGCGGGGTTAGTTACGTACACATGGGGATAAGCAGAGGGTGACATACGGTAAAACATCTTGCTCTGGGCGCTTAGGCCATCGCTCTTAGCCACCAGATCGTCGATCTTCTCTCCACGCTGAAGCACACTCTCAATGGTCTTGTGGAGAACAATCTTGGTCTCGTCAAGCTCCTTCTGGATCTTGAGGATGCTGTCGGCCTGCTGGGGGTCCTGGTACTTGGTAAGGTAGTCCTTCAGCTCGGGCATGGTAAGGGTGGGTGTGCCGCTGTTCCAGCTGGAGCGGGGGTTCTTGGAAAGGAACTCGTCGACGACCTTGCTGAGAAGCTGATGCGCCACAAGGGCAGGGTACTGGTGGTCGGAGATGATGATGCCGCAGACACCCTCGGTACGGCCGTAGGCGTGGAAAGTGTAATCTGTAGGATGCGCGTGTGAGCTAGCGATGCCTTCAAGGATTCGGGTCGTGTATACCTTGCTCCTCAACATCCTGTCGCTGTCCGGGACGGGTGCGCTCGGCGACGGTCTTTGCGAATAGGGTCATGAATTCGCCATAGCTGTTCAAGTTTGCGAGTCAGTCCTCATGGACCGTCTGGATACGGGCTAGCCACCGCATCGATAGAGTATGACTGACTTGTTACGGGTGAATCGTGAGTAGCTGCTGAGCTCCTTCTCAGCGACGATCTCATGAGCTGGCTGGCTCTCGTTGCGAAGGACCTGGTCGCAGCAGCTTTGTTAGTCCAACTGGACGAAGCGTCTCGATCGGTCGGTGAGGGGCACGGGGATAGCGTACGCCGATATAATGCAGCTTCATGATTGCGGGATCGAGACTGCAGGGAGTATGCGATTACAGATCGGATGCGGAGGGCGACAGCGTGAGCGGGCGAGAAGAGGTAGAGGATATCGCAGAAAGAGAATATCTCAAGTTTGGGGTTGGATGTTGTAAACCTCCGTCACCGTAAGTAGGACTTGAGTTTAGGGGCGTCACATGTTCCCCACGACGCAGGCGGGCTCTTAGACTAGACCGCTGATTTTCCCAGGGCAGTTTAGTGGCTGTAAGTGCTGAGAACTCTTTGGCGGCTGGGCGGGGGCTTGTTTAGTGGGGTAGGTACCTGTTGCAGCGGTATGACTCTTTGAAGAATGATACATCCACGGTCATGGACCAATCCTCGACAAGCAACTTCAGTCAACGTCAACGTCAAAAAGGACGCTGTTTGCCTCTTGGATAGGCAACAGAATAACGATCCTTTTGCATCAAATTATTGTGGTTGTATCAGGAGATACCGTTACTAGGCAACACAGCGAAAAACCATTCGAGGATAATTATCGATTACATCATGGCATCCTCACAGCTGAGTGCCGCCGAGGCGCAGTGGCGGGAACAATTTACGGCTATGCAAGAGGCTATTGCGAATCTCAAAATTCCCCAGGAGAACGGATCTGTTGACGCCGATGTCGACGAAGACGAGTTTGGCGGTTATTCTAGCGGAAATAGCGGCCAAGATGTCTGGGACTTTATCTCGGATGACGACCAGGAAGCGTTGAGCAGCGATTTTGTTGAAGGAGAAGTCCTTGATGGATCAGGTGCCGCAGATTATGGCGCCGAATGGTTCGCAATCAAGTGTTCAGCGATCGCAGACAAGAACGGCCTCTCGGCTGATGTCTTCGAGAGTCAAATGATGAGTGTGCTCAACTCTGATCGTTCTGATGAAGAGCTCCAGATCCAACTCACCGACTTGGTTGGCTTTGACGACTTCGACTTCATCATTGAGATTCTGGGCCACAGAAGTGAGATCGTTTCTGCTGTCAACAATCAGAACCAGGCAAGCTCCAGTGGTCCTCGCCTCCTGAGCAGAGCCCAGAGAGAAGAAAACTTGCGTCGTCAGGACCAAGCACACAAATCCGCAACACTTGCTCCGGCCCATGCAAAAGAACCACAGTATCCTCACGTCTACAAAGCGTACAACGCTGGAAACACGCTGAGCTCTGCCGGAAAGAAGTACGGCTTGCCAGTCGGAAGCGAGCGACTCTCTTTTGACAAGTATGAGGAGTACTCTATCCCAGCTGGCAAAAAGGGCACTTTGGGGCCCGGCCAGCGACTTATCCCTATTAAAGAGCTTAATGGATTGTGCCGGAACACCTTCAAGGGTTACAAGACACTCAACCGCATGCAGAGTCTTGTATATCCTGTTGCTCACAAGACCAGTGAAAACATGCTGATCTGCGCTCCTACTGGTGCTGTAAGTCTTTCTTGTACCGACATGTATGCATCAATACTAATGTGACCAGGGTAAAACGGATGCTGCCATGCTTACGATTCTCCAAACAGTCGCTCAAAATGTTGAGCCCAATCCCTTTGAAGACCCGACAGCTACTGAATTTGCTGTTCGCGCTGAGGACTTCAAAATCGTCTATGTTGCCCCCATGAAGGCTCTGGCCGCTGAAGTTACAGACAAGCTGGGAAAACGCCTGGCCTGGCTTGGCATCAAGTGTCGAGAGTACACCGGCGACATGCAGCTTACCAAGTCTGAGATTATCCAGACCCAAATCATCGTGACAACCCCTGAAAAATGGGACGTCGTAACGCGAAAGGGTACAGGAGACACGGAACTTGTGCAAAAGGTCCGTCTTCTCATTATTGACGAAGTCCATATGCTTCATGATGAGAGAGGTGCTGTGCTAGAATCTCTTGTGGCCCGAACAGAGCGACAGGTTGAAAGCACACAGTCACTTATCCGAATTGTTGGTCTCAGTGCTACGCTGCCCAACTATGTCGACGTCGCCGATTTCCTCAAAGTCAACAAATATGCAGGACTATTCTACTTTGACGCATCATTCCGTCCTGTTCCTCTCGAGCAGCACTTTATTGGTGTTAAAGGAAAGGCTGGATCAAAGCAATCCAAGGATAACCTTGATCAAGTGGCCTTTGACAAGGTCAAGGAGATGCTCGAGCGTGATCATCAGATTATGGTGTTTGTTCACTCGCGAAGAGATACCCAGCTTACAGCACGTATGCTGCATCAGAAAGCCATCGACGCCATGTGTGCAGATTTGCTTGATCCGAGCTATCATCCTGGATTTGAGCAGGCTTCTCGCGATATCAAGCAGTCCAAGTCCAAGGAGATTCGTGAATTGGTATCGAAGGGTATTGGTGTTCACCATGCTGGTATGGCAAGGTCTGACCGAAACTTGATGGAGAGGCTATTCGGAGAAGGTGTTCTGAAAGTCCTTTGCTGTACCGCTACTTTGGCCTGGGGTGTCAACTTGCCCGCAGCTGCAGTCGTCATCAAGGGAACGCAGGTTTACAGCGCCCAGGAGGGTAAGTTTGTCGATTTGGGCATCCTCGACGTGCTGCAGATCTTTGGTCGTGCTGGTCGTCCTCAGTTCGAAGATACTGGTATCGGCATGATTTGCACAACCCAGGATAGGCTCAGCCATTATCTGACCGCTGTGACTGAGCAGCAGCCTATTGAGTCCAAGTTCTCCACCAAGTTGGTCGATAACTTGAACGCTGAGATCGCACTGGGAACCGTCACATCCATTCCGGATGCTGTCCAATGGATTGGATACTCATACCTGTTTGTGCGTATGCAAAGGAGTCCAATGTCGTATGGTATTGAATGGTCAGAAATTCGAGACGACCCGAACCTGGTTCAAAGACGTCGCCAGCTTGCTATTCAAGCCGCCAAAACCTTGCAGCAGTGCCAGATGATCATCTACAACGACAGGACAGACGAACTACGCAGCAAGGACATTGGACGAATCGCCAGTCAATACTACATCCTTCACACAAGTATCCAGGTGTTCAATGCTATGATGCAGCCCCACGCTACCGAAGCAGATATTTTGAAAATGATCAGCATGAGTGGAGAGTTCGACAACATCCAGTCCCGAGATAGCGAGGAGAAGGAGCTGACTCATCTGCGACGAGAAGTTATTCCCTGTGATGTTGATGGCGGCATCGACACTCCTCAGGCAAAGACCAACATTCTGCTTCAGTCTTATATCTCGAAGGCTCAACCGGAAGACTTTGCTCTTTCGAACGACATGAACTACGTTGCTCAGCAGTCTGGTCGTATCTGTCGAGCACTCTTTATGCTTGCCCTCAACCGCCGATGGGGTCATCAATGTCTTGTACTGCTGACACTGGCAAAGTCGATCGAAAAGCGCATCTGGCCATACCAGCACCCTCTCCACCAGTTCGACCTTGCGAAGTCAGTTCTCAACCAGCTTGACGCTAAGGATAGTTTGACTATCGAGACCATGAAAGATATGGAGCCTGCAGAGATCGGAGGCCTAATCCATAACCAAAGCGCTGGAAAGAACATTGCCAAGATCCTAAACAACTTCCCTACTGTTCACGTGGAGGCTGAAATTGCTCCTCTCAACCGAGATGTGTTGCGCATCAAGCTCTTTGTCATCCCCGACTTCAGGTGGCATGACCAGATTCACGGTACTTCAGAGTCATTCTACATCTGGGTTGAAAACTCTGAAACATCGGAGATTTACCATCATGAGTACTTCATTCTGAACAGGAGAAAGTTGCATGATGATCACGAGCTCAACTTTACGATTCCACTTTCAGACCCTTTGCCTAGCCAGATCTATGTTCGAGCCGTGTCAGATAGGTGGCTGGGTGCGGAAACCGTTACGCCAGTCTCTTTCCAACATCTCATCCGCCCAGATACGGAGAGTGTCTACACTGAACTCTTGAATCTGCAGCCGCTACCTATCACTGCTCTCAAGAACCCAGCGCTGGAAGAGCTTTATGCTCAACGGTTCGATTTCTTCAACCCCATGCAGACACAGATCTTCCACACCCTTTACCATACTCCCGCCAATGTTCTTCTGGGATCGCCAACTGGTAGTGGAAAGACTGTAGCTGCTGAGCTTGCTATGTGGTGGGCGTTCCGTGAGAGACCCAAGTCCAAGGTTGTCTACATTGCACCAATGAAGGCACTCGTTCGCGAGCGTGTCAAGGACTGGGGAGTTCGGCTGGCACGACCATTGGGCCTGAAGCTAGTAGAGTTGACTGGTGACAATACGCCTGATACTAGAACTATCCAGGATGCTGACATCATCATCACAACCCCTGAGAAGTGGGATGGTATTTCTCGTTCTTGGCAGACAAGAGGGTACGTCCGACAGGTCAGTCTTGTCATTATTGATGAGATTCATCTCTTGGCTGGAGACCGAGGTCCTATTCTTGAGATCATTGTTTCCCGAATGAACTACATTGCTTCTTCGACTAAGAACGCTGTCCGTCTCTTGGGCATGTCAACTGCTTGTGCCAATGCGACAGATCTTGGCAACTGGCTGGGAGTCAAAGAGGGTCTCTTCAACTTCAAGCATTCTGTTCGCCCAGTTCCTCTCGAGTTGTACATTGATGGATTCCCTCCTATCAGGGGCTTCTGCCCATTGATGCAGTCCATGAACCGGCCCACTTTCTTGGCCATCAAGAATCACAGTCCTGACAAGCCTGTTATTGTTTTCGTCCCTTCACGACGACAGACTCGTCTGACTGCAAAGGATCTCATCAACTTTTGTGGTATGGAGGATAATCCACGACGATTCCTTCATATGGACGAAGAAGATTTGCAACTCAACCTTTCTAGAGTCAAGGACGATGCACTGAAGGAGGCCATCAACTTCGGTATCGGACTGCATCATGCTGGTCTGGTCGAATCTGATCGTCAACTCGCTGAGGAGCTCTTCTTGAACAACAAGATCCAAATCTTGATTGCCACTAGTACCCTCGCCTGGGGTGTGAACTTGCCTGCCCATCTCGTTGTTGTCAAGGGTACACAGTTCTTCGACGCCAAGATCGAGGCATACAAGGACATGGATTTGACCGATGTGTTGCAGATGCTGGGACGAGCTGGTCGTCCTCAGTTTGACAACTCCGGAGTTGCTCGTATCTTCACGCAGGATGCCAAAAAGGACTTCTACAAGCATTTCCTGCACACTGGTTTCCCGGTTGAGTCTTCGCTCCACACTGTTTTGGACAACCATTTGGGTGCCGAAGTCTCGGCGGAGACTATTCTCACAAAGCAGGATGCACTCGACTATCTTACTTGGACATTCTTCTTCCGACGACTGCACAAGAACCCGTCATATTACGGCCTTGAGATCTCAGCCGACGAACACAACAGCATCGCCGCTCAGCAGCTTGCCAATGACTACATGATCGACATGGTTACCAAGTCGCTCAACGAGCTGGCCGACTCTAAATGTGTTGAGGTGTTCCCCAACGGCGATGTTGACTCTACACCTCTTGGAAAGATCATGAGTTACTACTATCTGTCGCACAAGACAATTCGTCACCTTGTCAAGCACGCAAAGAACCAAGCCTCGTTCCTCGACGTTCTTTCATGGATGTCTCGTGCTACCGAGTACGACGAACTTCCTGTGCGCCACAACGAAGACCTTATCAATAACACTCTGTCTGACAACTTGCCGTTCCCCGGCAATGCATTTGGGCTGCCCATGTGGGACCCTCACGTGAAGGCATTCCTATTGCTCCAAGCACACATGTCTCAAATCGACCTACCCATCACTGATTACGTCGGTGATCAGACCAGTGTTCTTGACCAAGCTATTCGTATTGTCCAGGCTTCTATCGATGTTCTCACTGAACTCGGCTACTTGTCCAGTTGCTTGGAAATGATGAGGCTTCTGCAATCTATCAAATCAGCTCGTTGGCCCACTGATGCACCAGTCTCCGTCCTGCCCACGATCGAGCCTGACGTCAAGAACGATACACCTCTTTCCAAGATCAGCGCACTGACTAGACCTCAGGCGATGCAACTTGCTAAGAAGCTTAATGTGCCTACCAGCCAGCATAACCGCTTCGCACGCGTTGTGTCCATTCTTCCCAATGTGGAGGTCTCTATTGCCGAGGCTACAGCACTCTCAGTTACGATCAACCTTAAGCGTCTGAACCAGCTTGTGGAGCGCGAAGCACGTATCTACGCACCCAAATTCCCCAAGCCTCAAACGGAGTCCTGGTTTGTTGTTGTCGCGGATTTATCGCGTGATGAGGTTATTGCTGTGAAGCGTGTTGGCTGGGCCTCTGGTCCTAACCGCAAGCTCGAGGCTGGTGCCAAACCTTCTGCCAGGACGAGCATCAAGCTTCCATCAGCCAAAGAGGCCCGTAAGTTAGATGTTCTTGTTGTTAGCGATGCCTACCCAGGTCTTGAGTATCGGGTTGAAGGTATTGACATCCCTGCACCGCCGAGCATAGATGATGAAGTGCTGTCTAAGAAAGCGGCTGCATCGGGATCAAAGTGATGAGGCTATTTGGAAGGACTATTTCTGTAAAACCTGGAGGGTTTTGTTGGAACAATACTGTCGATTGACGGGAGATAAATAGTTTAGACCAAGATAGATAGTCTGGTTGAACAGGACAAATGAGTAGAGTCCTTCGAAATACAAGACTTCATGACACTCCAGAAACTAATCTGTATCCAAACAAACTACGCGAACTCTGATGTTTCAATCGCGCGAAGGATTCGAGCTTATGGCTTTAGCACGGCTGTCAACCATGTTAGAGCTAGTTAAGATGCAGGTCCCATCTTATTCCTTGCTTTCAATTAAACGTCAAAGTCAATGACACCTACATTATGGGAGGTTTGAGGGGAGCGGTCAATGATGAACATCGACCCTGATAGTCTAGAACACATTAGATGTTTGCTGAAGATTTCAGGGTCCTTTTACTAGTTAGCTCTTAGACTAAATATTACAAGTGTTTACTTTTATCAATCGTGTCAATATTTTGTTTAGTCTTCCTAAACTTCCTAAACTCTATTTCTCCATCACCAACATTAATCACCTTAATACTATCCACATGTCGAAACTTCGAGTTCTCATCTCGGGCGGTGGCATCGCCGGTCCATCCGCCGCCCTCTGGCTCTCCCGTCTTGGCCATTCCTGCACCGTCCTCGAGCGCTTTCCCTCGTTGCGCACTGGAGGACAACAGATTGATATTCGCGGCCAGGGCATTGAAGCCGCGAAACGTATGGGCATTTTGGAAGATATTCGCAAAAACGCAGTTGATGAGGGCGGTCTGCAATGGGTTGACTCAGAAGGGAGGCAGAAAGCTCTGCTGGCGCGGAATGACTCTGGGAAGGGCAGACAGTCGTTTACGAGTGAGTTTGAGGTCATGAGAGGTGATCTGTGCAGGATTATCTATGATGCCACCAAGGAGAAGACGCAGTATCGCTTTGGGACGTCAATCGAGAGTTTCGAGAATGTTGGTGATAAAGTCAATGTCAAATTCAACCAAGGCGCTGATGAGAGCTACGACCTTCTCATCGTGGCAGATGGTCAAGGCTCTAGAGTTCGGAGGAAACTCTTCGCAGATGACCCCGAAGCGGTTCATGTTCGCGAACTGGGCTTGAACGGGTGCTACTACAACCTCCCGCGCGAAGCAGGCGACGAGAACCTCGCAACTGTGTATAGCGCACCTGGCCGTCGCGTCATATCAACGCGTTGGCATTCCAAGGATAGAGGCCAGGCGTACTTGATGACCATGTCTCACTATGACGAACTCAAGGAAGTCATGGGTCAGGATATCGAGGCGCAGAAGAAGCTGTTTGGCGAGATCTTCAAAGACGCAGGCTGGCAGGCGCCGCGGCTTATCAAAGCGATGAACGAGACGGAGGATTTCTACGCGCAGGCCTTTGTGCAGATCAAGACGAAGACGTGGTCAAAAGGACGAGTCGTCCTGCTCGGAGACGCAGGCTATGCGCCATCAGGATTAACAGGCGTGGGAACGACACTCGCCATGATAGGAGCGTGTGTCCTCGGCGGATCGATCGCGAGACATGGACATGATATACCGAGGGCGTTAAAAGCGTACGAAGACACGCTGAGGCCGCATGTTGAGTACTCCCAGAAGATACCCTCGTTCATCCCTGGTATTGCGTATCCCAAGACGAAGTTTGGGATCAAGCTGCAGTATTCAATCATTGGGCTTGTGACGAAACTCAAGATTGATAAGGCGGTGCTTGCTTTGCTGCCGGAGGATAGGGGGGCTTGGAGGATTCCTGCTTATGAGGAGCTTGAGGGTTTGAAGGGGTGATTTATCAACAGATAATTAAGATTTAAATGGTCACGTACAGTAAGTATGCGAAAGTTTCGATAACTTCTATTTATCTATAACTTAAATATTCTAATTATTATCTATTATATATATCTATACTAATTTCTATATTTCTAGTTACCTCAGTATCGGAATTCTTATACAGGACTGTGAACTATAGTTAGAAAGTAAGTCCAGTAATATTAACCTCTATAGCGCAATTTATTTAACTAATAAGCAATTCTTCGTATTTTTCTTCTTCTCTTTTTGCTTTATGCTTCCCATGAGTGAGGACACTCATACATATGAGAGTATGCTTTCAACATGAACTCAAAATAACCATCCCTACGAGATCAGTCACTCTCATTAAAAGGTATATAAAGAAGTCTTTCTGCTTTGGCTGGTCATTCAGCTTTTTTCTTCCTCGGTCATCAACCACCTGCATCCAAACCTAATTTTTCTCACTCCTCAACTACAGCATCCCTACCTGTACACCATCTCTCATATGCAATGGAGCATCCTAAGCATCTACTGCTGCTCCCGTACGAGATCAGGGACATGATATGGGCATGTTGCTCTGCAACTGGAGATGCAAATGGACTGCTACGATGCTGCCGCCAAACGAAGGAAGAGTTCACTCGCTACTGTGTGCTGCCCAAGGACGTCTCCCAGCTTGATAAGCTCAAGATACTGGTCGACTCAACATATGACCATGGAATCTGGCTCAAGTTCGACTACACTTGGCAGCAAAACGGACACACCCGTCGTGCTGTGAGCGCCGTTCGACACATGAGCGAACCCATTGTTCGGCGTGTCGCCAAAACGATCAAAGTCAACGAAATAACAGTACATTTACATGCTCCCAGGCACGGACACTTTGTCGGAGCACTTCTCATGATGTTGGCAAAGGCGGATGATGCTTACTATTTTATCTATGCCATGTCGCGATACAGCAAGTTCAATATGGACAATCCGGGCCGCATTGCCATCAAGTTTTCCACCGAGATGTTGCAGCCGGGCCAGTCAACAAAGGAGGCAAAGAACTTTTGGGAATGTCGTGCACCCAAGGTATTGGAGGACCCTATGAGAAAGTATCTGAGCCATCCAGGACAGATGCCTTGCTTCTATGAGTACTTCTTAAGGTGTTTTCGTACGCTCCCGAGTGTGCCTGAGATCGAGTACAAAAGGTGGCCACGGAAACATGTCCACCGAGCTTACAAGATGCCGGATCCAGATGATATTCTACCATACATGACTGAATGTTACCCAGCACTCCTCCCGGATCTTCAAAAGCACATCAAACAAAGAGCTGCCTACATAATGGCAAACGGCGTGACCTCGCTTGACGAAACATCGTTTGCCCACACGGGAGACCCAGTTGATTCCAGCTGGGAGCACATCAACTACGACACCGTGAGTTTGGCCTGTAGGTATTTCTTTTTGTTGGATAACCTGGCTGGTCCCGTTGGAGGCTGCCTGGACATGTTACGCTTGCATCGATTCAAGACCATGGATGCAATTAGTGTGGACTACTTTGCTCGTGCAGAAAACAGGGCCGGGAACGACGACGCTGGGTTGTTTGGGGCATCGAGTAAGGTAACTCGACAACTCCGAGCACTGTTCGAACCTCTAGCAACAGATCATGTCGTTGGTCTGCGAAGCACTTGTCCGCACCTCCGTGTGGTGGAATGGCCTACCACTTCTTCCAGCTCTCAACTTTCGTCCGATGCCAGTTCTAGGTGGCTGGAAAGCTACCCTAATGGCATCCGGTACCACTGGGGCGGTCGGAATCTGGTGGATTGGAGGTTCGGGTGGGAGGCAAAGCTATTAGGGGAGCACTACAAGCCGCATCGGGATCGGGAACCAGGGCTATGGGTCTCGTGGATAAACAAGAGCTGGGAAGGCAGAGGATGCTGCCAGGATTCGATTCGTTGGATGATGGAGCTCGGCAATGTGCATGACAGACGCCGCTTGAGGAGGCTGAATGCGCCAGGTAAGGCTCGCCACTTTATCCTTAGTAGCAATACTATCAATCGATATGCTTCGGAGCAGGAGCAGGAGCAAGACAGACCGATGCTAGGCCGAAGGGAATGCCTTCGACACATAAGGCCTAGAAATAAGGACCCGTTTTACATCAGATTCTGTGGCTATCGGGAGCTGGCTTTTGAATGCTCATCCTGGGCTACAACGTCGCGTGCTAAAGAGACCCCGGGAAATAGGAAATGGTGTGGCGATATATGCTCTGAGTATTCGGCTGCAGCTCTGCGGGGAGATGTTGCTAATAATGGTTGAAAACAACGACACCTTCAGGTTGGATCTTGAAAATAGATAGTACCTACCTACTAAGATAGATACATAAACTGAAAGTACTTAAAAGTCGCAACTGCCTCCACCAACCGCGCGCTTGAATGAACTTGAATGACAGGCTCTTTCCATTCGTATCTGCCGTACTTGATCCGTGGAGGTCTTACCGTGGCAGTTATAACTCTACATCTACAGTGGCGGTGCAGATATTTAATCTAGTGAATTTACGAGGGCAATGCCTTCGGACCTACGCTAAAGCGTCAAACACTACCCATGACGCTTCTAGTTCTTCCATTACGATACAGAAACGTTCTCGGCAGTGACCCAAGTAAGGTCCTTCTCCCGCAACCATCTTTGCATCCTTTTGTCATTAGTAAACAGTAACCTAGCAACAATATCACGAGGAAGAGACCGGACAGACATATCCCGAATGAGAGCTACGGGTGATGCCCCTGAGGGCGTGTCCCTTTGAGCCTTGACCCAGAAAAGAGTATTGTTCACCTTTTGGAAGAAGTAGGCGCGCTCAGGCTGTAGGGTCCATGAACCAGTGCTGGCCGGGCAGTGGACTGCAGTCTCGAGTAGATGAACTCGACCTTGCCAAGACGGATCTGGGCCACGACATTTGAAGCTTGCCACTTCGAGACAGGTGTTGGATATATACGCAAAGGTTGCACAGTCGGCCGAGTCCGCCAGCATCGGCATCCATCTGTTGTGTTCGTCTACACAGATCCGGAAGCACCGATTAACGAAGCCAGTCTGCGGCCATGCAACTGAGAAATGCTTGCCATCTGGACTCAGACCAGTGTCTTTGAGGGTTTCGAGAATATGTCGGATAAGGATATGTACAAGCTTCCTGAGATCCTCAGGCAGATTCTCAAGCCAAACAGAGAGAGGTGTTTGACACGAAAGGATCCCCTTGAGCCTTTGGATGATTTGGTGTTCTGGTCCAAGTAGCTTCGCCCACAAAGTCCTGGTAGCCTGGTTGGGATAGCACTCAGCGAATGCAGGAAGTAAATCAGCCACCAGTTCTCTCAACAATACGCGCTGAGCCACACCGGTGCAGAAACTAACCCTGACGCCCCAGTAAAACTCCAAAAATGACAAGGACATATATGCTTCGGTTTCGAAGGTCTTATCCTTGATTGTTCTGCCCCGACGTTTCGCCCATATCACATTACTGGTTATTGCCAGGTGGTCCCAGCCAACTTGGAACCCACCCTGGAGCTCAGAGACTTCGGAGTAGGAATTGTAAGTTCCAAGTTCATTGAAACCCCGTGATGAATCTTGCCAACATTTCTTCTCGTTATTGCTGCAGAGTGGGTTGTCGGTGACAAGGCTCCCGATCACCATCTCCTCGTGCAGCTTTAAAGGAGGTGATGGTGCAAGCAAATTGGCAGAACTATCCCAGTGATGCTTCCCGGCCGTGTCGTGCTGGGAGGGTGGGCATATGTATCCACGGCCTATCTTGATGGCCAGGGGGGTAGCTCTGTCCATTGATCCATACACGAGCTCGCCTGGACCCCAAGTGTCCAAGATATCTTCGGGAAGAGCACGAACATCATATTTACATGGTTCTTTTGTCTCAAAGCCGCCTTCAAGACTTGGACCGCCAAAAGCCAGAACTGGACCCTGACACATGCCGGAAAGACAAGTCAGTTCGACAAGTTCGGCTTCCAGGAAGAGTTCCGGTGTTGCCGCGGCTTGCGTACCAAGAAGTATGATACGTCGAAGCGGTGGGTCTAGGAAGAAAGGGTGCAACATGCCAATATGGGCTTGAGCATAGGAAAGAAACCCTAGGCATAGGAACTGGAGAGCCAAAGAGGTCAGGTTCAAAACTTCTTCCGTGGCTCCAGGGCCGTCCAAATTCCTTTGGCCAATAGCGTGAGTCAGAACGGCTTGGGACACTGTCCGCAACTCTTCCATCACCAATTCTCGCTGTGGGCCATCCATCCAGACCCTTTCAAGAGTGCGCAGCAGGACCGTAACTCTCCCCGCCAACGCGAAGTCTACTCGTGAAAGTTGCAGTTCAGGGCAGGTGGCCTCCGACGGGGTGGTAGAGATTCTCAAAACCGTGAACGAATCGCAACAAAAACCAGCGTTCTGGACTGTGCGTACAGCAGTGCTGAAGTTCTCAGCCACCTGGATCAGCCGAGATGTTGTGTCTTGGATTGAGGTAGCTGAGGACGGCGGTGCTCGATGACGGATTGACACAACTGAACTTTTCTCTTGAAAGTCAGCTATTCCATTCCAGCGGGTTTTATCTCGCGAAAATGGGCTAATACCACCCAATCCGCAAGTTTCCTCGATTCGTCGTATCACGTCCCGATCTGACTTTAATGCTGGCGAGGGACCCAACATGCCGCCAAAAGAGGATATGGGCGAAGGAAGGAGTAACTGATGCACGCAACCTCTGATATGATTGTCAAGTCTGATTTCAAGACACCCAAACGTTTCTGGTTCAAAATAGATCCATGGTGAGTCGTTGGCTTTTTCGTAGAGAAGCTGGGCGATCTCAGTACTATCGTATCCGATGTCGTTCAGCTCCGCAATCCAACCATAGTCGCCACTGGAAGCTACCTCGAGTCGGTATTTCAGAAAGTGCGCAAACACATCAACATCATCATGTGCTAATGCCCCCGCCAAGCTGTTTGGGAGGCCACAGATTATTGCATCTTCTTTGTCAGCCACATTGTTCGGGATTTCCCCGCTGGTTGTGGGAACCTCTGCGTCTGGCATACGAGCCGAGGAGAGTTCGATCATGTTAGCATGCGCCCCAGTAGATGTTGGAAGGCTTGCTGTCAAGCTTGGTCCCGATGGAGACATAGAAGAGGGAATCGGACTAGCCTGGAGTGATGTGGCCGGCTTGTAAACCTGCGTAGTACCAAGAGATTGTAATCTGTGGTTATGCTCCTCTCTCATATGATAGATCTGATCGATCGCATCATGCATCTCGCTGCAAGTCCGCTCAATAGTCGCATTCCGATTGCCCTCCCGCTGCCAGCGCTGGATATCGCGGTACATATTATCATACCGGCGTTGTTTCTTCTCAGTATCGTGGCAGAGTTTACACACATCGTCTTCCGTCTTGGTTTCGTAGACAAGTTTTAGACCGCAGGTTTCGCCTATACGGTACTCTTTATTGCAGTGCTGTCGGAAATAGCCCCAACGCCAGTACCCGCATGTCCAGTAGGTCTGATCGAAATAGCACATTCTGATTACCTAGGCAACGGTGAAAGGTTTGGGGAAAAGAGATAGAGATATCTCGTAGATCAATAAAACGATTCAAGCTTAAAAGCGGTAGTACAGGAAAAGAAGAAAGGCAAGCCGCGACGGATAATATCACCAGGTTTCGGCGGAAGGCAAGTAAATCGCGAGAGCTGAGGCGGGGTGTCCGAATGTGCATCAGACAAACCAATCCTGGCCATGACATTTGCCAATCAATAAACCGGACTGCGCAGGCAATACCACGGCACGTAGACTTCCTCAAAAAGTATATAACCAATCCCATTGCTTCAGCTGGGCCGAGTCCTGATAGGGCCCAGATTTGTGAGTTGTTGGAAGGCTTACGTAGCCTGACCATAGGTAGCTTAGAGATGGCCGCCAAACACCCACCTATGTGCGATCACCTCAGAGATTTGGAGTGTGTACAGAGTGAAGTTTATGGATCCCCAGATATATTCATACCAGATAGCGGGCGGGGGGGACTAGAATACTTTGAAAAAGCGAAAAGAGATAGGAAGAACGAGTTCCTGGAGGCTAGATTGACCATCAAATATGAAACTTATCCCCATCTTGATTGCTAACTATTTAACAATTCTCACCCGCCAATTTAACAATTACTCTAAACTTTACTTACAGAAATGGCCCGGCGAGAAATGTGATTTAATTTAGATTTTCAATTGGTCACAGTCTCCATCAGCAACATTGCTGCGACTTGCATCGAAGCGCCATGGAAATTGGGCTAATGGAAGCTTTGGGTTGCAAGAGGTATGTATGCATGTCCACACATCTCACCCCATCGACATATATAATCACCTTAAAGTTTCTGGATTATGTACACAGTAACCGTGCAACTCCTCTGGTTGGTAATATCATTAGGCTGAACTATGGCGTAATTCTACGCGATCATTATTGCAGCGCGTGACACGGCGCGAACCATCGATCAACGTCTTCTCCGCAGTCATGGAAGCCTCCCCGCACTGAATTCAGAGCAGAATAAGTTTCTATAGAAGGACTCACTCTAGGAGAGCTCAATGCTTAGTTTAATGGTAACATCTTATCTAACTTTACTAAATATCACTAAAATCATATCATTTAATCACTTATACTCAACACTTAGAAGAAGTCTTCCCATTACTCCACGTAGTGTTCTAGGGTAATTACATACCTAGTCACTCATTTCCTTACCGTACTTACACGCAATACTAATAGAATATACATCTTCAAAAAGGTAAAAGTTGGGTTGCCCTATAGATAACACAGTAGTTTTTTTAACACAATAAGAGGCATTATGCACAATGCCAGATAATACAGTAATTATATGCAATACATTCAAATGATTTTATACCACAAAAGACCAATGTAGTCACTAACACGAACGTCAACTGCAGGGTAACATTCGTATCATGAAGAAGCATCTCGGGAAAAGTGGGACGACCTTAATGTCGAGCAGGCGGCTCTGCGGCTCGTTGACATCGAAAGCGAACAAACTATCCTTGCTTATACTTATATACACGTCGGAGATGTCGGGCCGTGGTACCTGAAATGCCGTTGCACGAGTAATGCTTGATGTTTAATGATGGTGCATAAAACTGCGTATGCTCCACCGTCTCCTTCGTGTCGTTGTTTGCGTCCTTGCAGAGTAAATAGTAGTCTTTCAGATTGTTGTTCTTCATACCAACACGGCCAACTCACTTTCATCCCAATAAATAAACAGCCCTATTGCCTCTACGATATCCAAATTGTTTCTATAGCAGTAATCAATCAATTATTGTTCAATTCCCACGTCGTAGCCCGTCATGCCATGCCGATCTGTAGGGTAACACGCGCTACCAGCCTCAAACGCGATGCGTTGCAGACAATACAAGGGTCTACGTCGCATTGAGAGATATAAGCTCAAACAGCCCCTGGTTTAGGTTGATCGTTTGTGCACGTACTTTTCTGCTGTCAACCAAGGCCAAAAGTTAAGCTTGGATATAGTCTTGGATTTTGCATTGTATGCTTAAAACTTAATGCCGAGTGCAATTGACGATTGCAGAGGGGAGGGTATTGCCGGCACGTTGTCTACGATATACACACTATACATTGAAATAGACACTATACATGCATACGACTAGCTTTTGGATATTCGCTTCTTGACCGTGATTCACTACGATAATTCATTTCTACCCGAAGAAAGCGCTTAGCACCACGATGGTTTGATATTTATTACCATCTGACAGACAAGAAACACCCAAACTTTTCGAAACACAGTTGTTTGAATCATCGCGATCTCGTCCAATGTACACAGGAAACAACAAAATAGAACAGGCGACGTCGTTTCACGAAAACGCAACTCCCCGATGGCAAGTATTCTCCTATATTTTCCATCCCTATTCATCTGGCTTGAAAACAACAACCCCTTGAAACCACACTCCCAGATACGAACCCATGCTGGGCGAATTTCTCCCCCAGTCGGAGCAAGACGTTCAGATTCTCCAGGTTTCAGGTGAGGAACACAAGAAAGAAGAAAAGAATGGAAATAAGCGGACGGGGGATCTGCCAGAAAAGAATAAGGTCTCCGGGTAGGGATGGATTAATTAAATAGTGGAGGCACTAGACGCTGGCGCTACCGCTCGATGCTCCAATGGGGTCTCCTCCGATATTAAAGGCGTCGATTGATATGACCCAGGGGCAGTTTTACAGTTTCACCGTTAGCATGAGATCTGGCCAATAATAGCCTCGTATTATGCGGCTCTTAGCCTAAACGCCTTAGATTTCGTACCCGTTGACAGGTGAGACATGGGCGCAAGGCCGTAAGCGAGCCAAATCTCGGCTATCCTCTCGCACGATGCCTTCTATTTTTCCGTCTATCAATGTCTATATCGCTATGGAGTCCCTGGTCCTCTCAGCCAGCAAGAAGAAAGGGCGAGACGCTTATGCAAGGGGCAGCCCCCGCTGTGGACGGTGAGAATCCCATCAACCTGGTAGGCCCTGCATACGCTCTCTTGAAGAGAATAGATACGCGTACATACGGAGTAGACTTGGTCTAGCTGGTGTCCTTAATCTGGGATCTAGATTGTGTCTATGGTGCGAATAGCTTACCGCTCGACGAGTCTAACAGACAAGGGCATTATGCACATGGGTCTTAGCACACCTTGTTTGAGATTCTGGCATGGCTTCTCTTGACGAGATGAACCAAACTGAACTGAACTGAACTTGCCTCTATTCGTATCCTTGTTTCTCGTTCCTGTTCCTGATATTGTGGAGACTGAACTGGTTGTGGGATCATGGCCATGACCATGGCCGTGACCTCGAGATTCGATATATAAGTCTCGTCAAGTCGTCTCCTCAACATTTTCTTTTCCTTCCCTCCACACTCGTCGTAGCAGAATCAAGTCTTTCGTCCTTTCTTCAATCTTTTATTCACTTTCTTTCAATTTGGCTGTGCCAAACCTTCATTCTTTCAAACCAACCGAAGCCCGAAAACCACTTTTTCAAACCTCAGAACTTCCAGCTTCATCCAATCCTTTAAACCAAACCAAACAAACCTAAACCAATATCATTCAAGATGCGTTTCTCTGCTACCGCCGCTGCTCTGGCCATGGCCACCACCGTCTCCGCCCACGCCCAGGTCTACGGCCTCTGGGTCAACGGCAAGGACCAGGGTGATGGTCGCAGCACCTACATCCGATCTCCCGCCAACAACAGCCCCGTCAAGGACCTCTCCAGCCCCAACCTCGTCTGCAACGTCAACGGTGGCAAGGCCGCTCCCAAGTTCGCCAAGGCTGCTGCCGGTGACGAGGTCACCTTCGAGTGGTACCACGACAACCGTGGCGACGACATCATTGATGGCAGCCACAAGGGCCCCATCATCACCTACGTCGCTCCCTACACCGAGAACGACGGCACTGGTGCCATCTGGACCAAGATCGCCGAGGATGGCTACGACGGTTCCGAGTGGGCTGTTACCAAGCTCATCAAGAACAAGGGCAAGGCTACCTTCACTCTCCCCTCTGCCCTGAAGGCCGGCAAGTACCTTGTCCGCCAGGAGATCATCGCCCACCACGAGTCCAACGATGCTTACAACGTCAACCCCGCCCGTGGTGCTCAGTTCTACCCCTCGTGCGCTCAGATTGAGGTCACTGGCTCCGGCACCGCCGTCCCTGACGAGAAGTTCGACTTCAACAAGGGTTACACCTACTCCGACAAGGGTATTGTCTTCGACCTCTACAACTTTGCCGGCTCTTACTCCATCCCCGGTCCCGCTGTCTGGAAGGGCACCTCCACTGGCTCCGGCTCCAGCTCCGAGACCAAGCCCGAGACTCCTGCTGCTACCTCTGCCGCCGCTGAGGCTCCCGCTGCTACCTCTGCCGCCGCTGAAGCTCCCGCTGCTACCTCTGCCGCCGCTGAAGCTCCCGCTGCTACCTCTGCCGCCGCTGAAGCTCCCGCTGCTACCTCTGCCGCCGCTGAGGCTCCCGCCCCTACCCCTACCTTCGCCACCGTTGTCCGCCCCTCTGCCACTGCTGCCCCTGCTGAGACTGAGGCTCCCTCTGCTCCCGTCACTCCCCCCAAGACTGGCTGCTCTTCTCGCCGCCGCCGCGCTCGCCGCGCTGCCCGCAACGCTCTGTAAAGAGCTCGAAAGAGTTCTTCACAGTAGGGGACTGAGTTGTACGTGATACGTCCGTGACGTCCACATCTTCCATACGACTACCGCATTCGCTTCTCCCTAGTGGAAAGCGATGGAACTGCATCTTTGCATATGGCTTTCTGTTTGTAAATAGATCTTGTTTTCTGAACCTTTTTCTCAGAAGCATATCTTCTGTATAAATTATTTATTACGACGATTCATCTTGATTGTGTACTCATACCTTGACTACCATGTGACGTGACTGTTTCGTGAGAACGCAATATATTTGACTAATAGTCATCCTTGACAGTCATTTTGGCCAAGATTCGTTTTGTTTCTTCAAAAAGGTGCAGTGGATGAACATCACTCCGACTGCAAAGTGAAAACATTGAGACAACGTATACGGAGTACAAGCTTGACTGTTGAAGTTCGAAATTCTGTCAGCAAAGGCTGATGAGAAAGCAAGAGTCCAGCCCTTAGTCCTTTCTCTAGGCTAGTGGGTGGCCACTCCAAAGGTCTTGGTGTGGTGTAACTTGCACGTCATCGCTAAAGTGACAGGCCAAGACGTACAAAAGTGTCGAGCAATTGACCAATACACGGGAATACCATCTCTTTGAACGAATCGTGTGAATGTATATGCCTAGCTCGACGCAAGGTTCCAAGCCTTGAGAGTGTCCCATCTCACCATACACCTAGTATCACGGCACTACCGAATCAGCCAGTAATTGCATGGAGTGCACTCCGTACCCTTCAGGCATCAACTGTTGAAGTGATATAGCATGCTGGGCTTTCCCTGTATGTCGAGTAATAACTGCTAAAGTTAGCAATCACCGAATCTTCGCACTCGAAACCTAGTCCCTGGCCAGTCCACACACACTCGCGCGCTTGTGCAGCATATCAACAACACGCAATGGCATACTACTACATGCACAACTCACTAAGAATATGTGAGCTCTAGATATGCAATGTCATGACACTGGGCCTGATTGGTCGTTACGTCAAGAGAGGATTTGACAGGTCGACATGGGTACGTAAGTGAGGCTGACGAGGAGCAAAATCCGCCTAAATATTCTCGACTTCTCGAATCAGCGTTGCGGATGCCCTCAAATGTTGTCTTGAGCGTTCTATTCGTCTACTGCTTAGGTGCAGTGATAGTGAGTTGCGCGCCCGTTAGAGTTTGATCTGTATGGTTCAGTCATCAATGGCTTTGGTAATTGCAAATCGATTGGTTTTCCTGTAACGGCCCAACACGTTGGGCTCATCATGCTCATTGACGATTGGAAAGAATATATCTGATCCCTACCATCAGCTTTTCTTAATGATTCCGTAGGAGTTCAATGTTTACGAGAACCCTAGTTAAGCATAGTTCATCTGATCGGTTCTGTCGCCGTTCCAAGCCCGGCGATGGCGTGTTACAAAGCGAGTAACGGCTCCCAGACCCGATCACGGTCGGTAGTCAAACTGCCATGGCTTGCCACGTGTCATTCCCGTCTCCAGTCCTAGACGCATCATATTAGTGTACCGGCATGACGGGGATCTGCGGACGATAAACGACGAAGTTTAGTACTGAGGCTCCGCGCCTGGCTAGCCAATTGCGAGTCTGTCTGGACGTCACATCACGTTTTTGACGTTTGAAAAGACCAAGCCGGCCTAGTTCTTTGATTTTAACTTTCTGGATGTTGTATGATATCGTCTTTCGACGATCATTTGGCTGAACGTCGTAATGGACGGATGGCCAGAGATGACTGCATTTTGGGTCTTGTCGCTTATGGTTCCAGGACAACACCTCAAACGTGCCGGATAAATACCGACACAGTTTGTGTTATTCGGGATTTGACAGCAAACTCGTTTGCAAGTAATATGCCAATTGTTGGAAGACGGGCTTGCAACGATGGCGCAGCATATTTTGAGCTTTGCGTGTATTGGTTGTACGTGAAGCGCCCCTGTTTCTGATTGCCGAGTTGATCAGATCCCAGTTGGTTGGCTAAATTGGCACAATTGTCTTGTCAAATGAACGAGCCAAGGCCCCGAGCACTTCCGAATTACCTGAGGCAATTGACTGGGAAAAAGTACGTAAATTGGTTGCCTTATTTAACTTGTAGTGATACCAAGCCGGACACACATTTTCGGTACTAGAACTGAACTGAGTAGGGGCGCGGATGATGACCGAAAGCCATTCCTTTTCCCTTTTCTCTTTTTGCCAATCGCTCGTTGCGCCTGGCTCGGACATTGATGTGCGGGCCATGTGATCGTGTGTGTTTCTAGCGTTGGTGTAATTTTTGTTGTTGATCATTGTTCATGTCATCATTGCGAATCAACGCAAGGTAAAGGTCTAGAATGTCGTGACACGTTGGAATACGGGTGGCAGTGATGAGAGACAGCTGTCCAGCATCGCGTAGTTGTTGGGAATACCGACTCAAAACTGACCACGAGGATGTCGATCCGACGTCTGAAAGCGACTGCGGCGATGAGATGGCGGCTATAGATGTGTGTAGTGTAGCTTGAACCGTGGCACATTGCCCAGCTTACCACGCAACATTATTACTTAGCCTCTCGCACTGGGACCCAACTCGAGTACTCTCGATATTCCCAGCTCACAACAGACACCAACGTGGTCACTGTCTAGCCAGTCATCAAGCAAATTCAGGCAGGGCTGTTGTTGACCATGCCAGTTGTAAGTCGCAGGAGGAGAGGGCATGCAAAGGATGAGGGCCATTGATGCATAGGCTATGAAGTGAGAGTCTGAGGCCTATCCCAGCCAAGACTTCAGCACCCGGCTATGCAGCAAAGGCAGTGTGTGCTTGTTGGGTACCGAGTGGTTGCCCAGCAAAGTAGCTTCTCTAAAACAATGCTACTTTTCTGTCCAGATACGTCAACAGAAGGCTGAAGACAACTCCGATGTGGCTGTGATTCAGCAGAAAAGGCAGTGTAGGTCGTACTCGTCCTTAGTCCTGATATTTCCGCCTTGTCTTTCGAGGCGCAGTGCTTTTTAGAGTTGTTCTCCAGTAGATACAACGGCAAAGGTCGTCATAGAGGCACACAAATTGGATCGTGAAATAGATCAGTTACAGCCATCCAGTGATTTCGGGCATGAATTCGGGCACCTAACCTTAGTGAAGTGTCAGAGTGGTTGTTGAGCCGCATCCCATGGCCCGAATATAGAAAGGCCTTGAGAGGTTGTTGATGGTGGTAAATGGAGAAATGGTCGCCATCACACTTCTCAGCATCTCCAGCCCGAAAAATCCAATCTTCTGACACCGTCTTCACCAGCTAACGTTAAACGTTCACCATGAGCAATGAAGAAGGAGACAGGGGCCACACCAGCGCATCCACCTGTAGCCCCCGGAAAGAAAACACCACCTTCTACTACTCTGGGAACCAAACTCGATCGACCCAAGTATGGGCTTGGTTATGGGATGCTGATCGCCCTTGGGAAGGGTTCAAGCCTCCTAATACACCAAATTCGCGCACCACAAGAGACGACAATATGAATACCAACGAGAACGAAAAAAAGGACGAAGCCTCTTCTTGTTACCAGAAATGACAATGGGCGGAGAGACAACAGCCGCGGGTGCCTCCCGATTGTCCCGTCTGTATCTAAATCCACATCCGGGGAATGGTAGGGTAGACCTTCAACCCTTCGCAAAAAAACACAGCAGTAAGCATCGCCCAGAGCCCAACTAAGTTTGAAGTTGTCCTGACATGTAGCTATAGATAGCCTGCTTGGATCCTAGTTTAATCTCCGGGATAAGATAGTGTCTGTTCAAGTCGAGACATTGACACAAAGAGTCGAGGGCCAGTCCTAAACATTGAGTTGAACATGGTCGTTGTTCTCGACCTCAATGCCCATCCCATCTCTCAACCCCGAGTTTAGAGGAGGATTCGAGATAGCGCCATGCGCCAAACATCACGCCATGTCTCATAGACTTGAACATCATTGGCGGCAGTCTCCATGCACATTGGTTCAAGCTTGATTTTGATGTGACGGATCCAAATTTGCCAGCCTACTCGAGCGGCTGGGGCTGCGGCATGGGGATAGCTTATAACAGCCTTCGGAATACAGACCAGGGTTGTTCAGCTTGTGCTTAACAAGCAAACCAACACCAATCCTGCGAACAAGGATTTTGACTGAGATGAGGGCGGGGTATCCTGGAAACGGTGTTGTGAATGAGTATGTAGATTTGGTACCGTTTTAAAACCATTCTTCTGAGCCTGTACCTATTTGCTACTTGTTTTCTCTTTCAATGTTGATAGTCGGAAAGTGAATTGGTAGATCAAGGCTGAATCAGGACGCACAATATAGCGCAGGGACAACCGAACCCCCCCAGCCTTCGCATTCACAGCATTCGATGAATGTCAGGCTTGCCAACCTCAATCTAAGGCTACATCTCTTGCCCGACGTCCCCGTCATCGCTCTGAATGCATGTTCGGCGGCCCCGAAAGATGCTGACTGGCAATTCAATCTGTGCCGCAGTTGAGATATCAAACGCACACTGTGACACTCAGCGGGCACAGTTAACTAACTGCCAGAAGACGCGAAAAAGCAAACATGCATTGCAGGTGACCAAGCTCTCCAGCGCTCCGTTAGAACCGATTACTGGCCCGTTGTTAATGATGGCGTATTCTGTACCGTTTGGGCGATTGCAGACCATGCAGGATTGCTGTTTGACGCGAAATGCTACACAACTGGAAAACAGTAACTCATTGCGTAAATGTAGAAGAATGCTCAGCCGTATTTGCAAATGATTGCTGTTGTCAGCAATTGTTGACCTCTACCACCCTCTGCTCGTCGTCGTGCTGTGTTCTTTTTCCATTGTGCTCTTGCCTATTCCATGGAACCGAAGGACGTGGTAAAACATGAAACGACCAATATCTCGCCATGGATTTGAACATCCCGTGGCTATGACCAAGCTCTCGCTCCGTGAACACTTTCCGTAAGCCCTATGCCATGTCTTGTTTTGACACACACTGACTGAACAGTTTTGATCCATGTTTCTCATCATCTTGGTGTTTCCTTCGAACAAATCAAACGATCGCAAACTTAGCAGACATCATAGATGCTCTGATACGCTGCCTCCTCGGCTATCGCTTCATCACGGCGCCGGGGGTAAACAACCGTGTGCCATCGATCGCTGCTGCTCATATCCAGTTGCCTTTTGCGCACCAAGCGGACCTATTTCATCACAAGTACGATACTTCGATGATGACAACTATGCCGTAATCCCTTTAGTCTGCCCAACATTGCCCTTTGCCGCCCAACAAAATATTTTGTGAAGAGGTATGTCCCATGACCAACAATAGCAGCAAATCGTGAAGTTGAGGCGAGCAGTGTTATCATTTTTTGCCGACTTGACTCATGATATTTGTGGTCATGAGTGTCTTGTGTCGCTCAAGCAAGGGGATTTCCTTGCAATGCCCCCTTAGGCTTTCTGACATCGACTCCAATCCCCAGGCAGCATTGTTGTGGTATGACGTTGCCAGAACGGATGGCAGCGGACATCTGTCGAATCATTTATACTTCGCCAACTTCAACCCCTGAGCAAGAAACGCACCACGCTAAAGCTGGTTTCACGAGAAGTCGTCCTTTGACATGGGATCAGCCTTGCCTCAGGTTGCCACATACACTTGCTCTTGTATAAAATATGTGATCCGGTCAACATCCTGCCCAGGCCCATTTGCTGATACCCCGTCGATCAAGACTTTGCTTCATAGCTCTTTCATCAGTCAAACAAGACTACCGGCGCGTCTTATCAGCAATATCTTCAAACGCCCTCGGCCAGTTAACTCCACCCCCTGATAACCTAAACTTGGCAATCATGAGTTCGTCAAGAGATTCCAACGCAAGGAATGTGGATGGAACACATCGTCCTAGGACGAACATGGGCCAAGGGCACGCACGATATGAACGGGATGCACAGTACCCCCCTATTGCATCCCATGAAGCTCCCGGACTACCTCAATACTCATCCCCGACACGACAGCATCCTCCAGCTGGCCGTACGTATCAAGTCAGTGGGCAGAATCAAACATCGGCATACCAGGACGGGTATAGGGACGTCTATGCGCCGTCCACCTATACCGCCCATCAGGGAAGGTATGCAGTACATATGTCTTGTAGACGTGTTGTTCATTTACTGACAAGCTTCAAGTAGTCATGATATCCATCAATACGACGAGTATGCTGGAGCATATAACCGCGCTGATTTGCTCGGATATCAATATTCACCTGGGGACTCCTATCAGAGGACTACCGATTTTGTCGACAATGGACAACAAAACCGTGCAGGAGGTCGTTTTGCATATTCGGACGAGGCCGAACAAAGTGGTATGGATAATGCGGCTGAAGCAATACAAGACTTTGACAGCCGATTCTCTGGAACCAACAATGCCAATACTATAGCTCAAGGAGCTCAAAGAGGCAACATATCGTCCACTCGTGCTCAGCGAAACAGACCCAATTATGCCTATCCCGGGACCATTGATTATCCCACACAGAACGGTGGCTCACGTACCCAACGTTAGACGTTGGCAGATCGGCTTGGTTCTCTTGACAACACCCTCTTTTTGTTTACTTTGTGTAGTGGCTTTGCCATATATGACTTTGGTGTTCCGGCTGGTGGTTGCTTCGGATGTTATGGCTAATTCGCATGCTGGGATTCTTCTGGAGTCTGATGAAGTTTTGTGCGCATTGCGTCAAGTTTGTATTTATCGAAGAAATATTTCTTATCAATACTATTGATCTTCATCCGTGGTAGTCGTGATAGATGCTAACAAGAGAGCGGATGACCGCACCCAACTCGTCCGGGGGGGAAAGCTGTTGGCTGCAGGACGAGTCGATAGTGCGGCACATCAAGACATGGTGCATGCAATGTTGTATGCGCAGTCTTGTTTGGCGTCTAGATCATGGCCACTGTTGCATTGAGCATCACGCTATACACCAATAGAGAAGGCTGGGGAACCACCTAGGCCAAGTAGGAAATATTAAGACGCCACTCAGCTGCATCTGTCTCAGCTGATATACGAGCAAGATAAAAACATATGTATCTGCTGTAACGGCCTCAAAGTCAGATTATACGACAAGAGAACCAGCAACGCCTCGAACGTGGATTTATGTCGTGTTAATCTGGTGGGTAATATGTTGGTTGCGATTGTTGCCAGAATAAACCCACATGCCCCATAAGTAAAGGCCTGCCTGACTCGCTCAGTGCAGTCCTCAGCCTTGTTGTGGGCTTTCGGGACCGTAGTTGCCTGCCTGGAGAGGAGACGATTTAAATAGTAATCGCTGCCCTACAACTTCAGTCGCCTGTATAGGTCATCCGACTAGGGAACGCTGAAGTGGGATGTGGATGTGACAACCATAGCTTGATTGAAGATGGGGGCTGAACATAGAGAGATCAACAGCCCAACATGCAGCTGAAAGAAAGTCTGCTGCAGTGATAACCACCACCAACAGTGTAGGAGGGTCTCAGCCGATCGCCCCCATTCCTGGCGGTTGCAGCGGTTCAGCTTTGAGGTAGGTATGGAAGTGGCTGAAGGGAGATAAACTTAAGTAGTCGCACTGCCGCTGCTGCATTATCTGGACCCTCTTGCTTCTTTTTAAAAGATCTCGGAAGTTTGCAATATGGTTTTCATGTTGACTGATTCGTCGTTGCCGGCTATCAACGAAGTGAGGTTGATACCGCGACAACAACCATCCTAGACTCTTCCACCAATATGGCTCTTTGGCCCCCTTCGTCTCGCTTTTGTTTCGTTTCGTTTCGTTTCGTTTCGTTTCATTGCAAGTAACCCAAAATGATCCGACACCCCTGTCTCGATGGAAAGAAGCTATTCATTCATAAGCCTCCTCTGTTGCAGGATGCCTCTCGGTGGCACTCCTGTCGGTTGATGGGCTCCCCGAGGCTGCCTTGCTACTCCGGTACTGGCTATTGTACCAGGTACCCTGTGTCCACTGACTGGATGCCGCTCTCAGGCTTGTTGGCCTCGAGACTGACAACTTGGTCCATCTCATTCAACCAAGTACAGCGATTCTCTTTATTTTGCTTCGCATCAGACCTCTCCTTCTCGGTTCGCCAGACTCGAATACTGTCGACAAGTGCCCAAAGTCTTACGCAACGATCGACTTCCGTGGTACTCGCCGCCAGCACATGTAGCTAAAGACACCCTTGTCGCTCCTCCTAGCCAGTCACGCGGCGGGTTGCCTTTCTTCCACAACTCTCTTCCTCCAACACTGCCTCAGAAATAGCAAACTCCATCGACTTGAGCTGCCTATCGTGCTCTGACGTTCAGCTGACATCAACAACTAACTCCTGGTCGTTGTTACTCTTGTTCTTGTGCATGATAAGGAGTTGAGTGTAGCAGGCGAACCACTTGGCCCAAGGTCGACAGCATTCTATAACTTTTGCCTGCATCTTTTCATCTCTTCGAATACCGACACCGCCTGTGACTGCAAGAAGCTCTTTGGTAAATCGGCTCGTTTTCCTTTTTGGCAAGCCAGAGTGCAACGACGAAGAGACGGTTGTCGAACCCTCAGCGAGAGCGATTCCCCCTGATCTTTCTCTACCCCGCTTGGTGACCTTGAGTCTGAAGAGACCTGAACGCATCGGGACCGGGAGGGCTTCAGCTTCGACACGATCTTGGTATCATTTGCTGTCTTCGTTGCAAACACCCTTCGTTATGGATTTCAACGCCAAATCCGACTTGGAGGGCGCCGATCCTAGGTGCAGACTCTGCTCCTGGTTCCGTACAAGAGTTCGTGGCGGCTGGTTCTGCAACAGGTGCGAAGCCCCCTTTCAGCATCGTTCACTGGTTATCGAGGATACTTCGGCAGACAGGAGTGTTACATCCACAAACACCATGTCTGGAGATGAAAACTCCAGCATGCAAGAAATGGACGTTGAGGTATCCACTGGTTCCCACTCCATAAACGCGGGGGACGAGGATGGTATTCCAAGCCAGGTGTGTTGCAGTAATGCCAGTTCCTACCAGGGACCATGCTAACCGATGTAGCATTACCTGAATGGCGACGGGGGTAGCCAGACTCAAGACAACGAGGGCTCTATGTCTCTGGTCTCGCATATCGTTGCTTCCCGGGACAGTAGCAACATGTAAGAAATTGTTGCTCTCTTCGACAGTGGTAGCGCTAATGACAAGATAGGGTTGACGATTCGGATTTCGAGAGAATCGCCCTCTGCTCGGAGGGAGCTGGCTCCAAAGAAAGCCCGGAAGTAATGGGCCAGGATGAAATTGACGAGGAGACCACCCAAGGAGCGACACAGCTGTGGGTGCTCGGTCAAACCCCAGTAGGAATGGGTCAGAGGTCGAACGAATTTCAAAACGCCTTGGGCCTGCTCGACAGATACAACATGATCCCTCGTACCCACTTGGATAACCCCGTGGCAGAATTGGAGCTCGACTTCTCAGATGAAATGGATATCGATAAGTAACTCAAGAGTTGCTGGTTTCTTGTCCGTGGAGGCCCTTGTTGAGGACAGGAACCATCCATGCCGGGCTATCGAATGTTGATAAAAGGTGAGTCGTACCCCGATAAGCCCACTTTCCCGCTTTGTTCTGTGCTAACCTAATCGTTCCTTCCAGCATTTACACGTAAACGTCGATCGAAGGGCAGGAACCCCCAACTGCTGGAACTTACAACAGAATACTTGGGAAAGAACGATGGGCGCAAGTGGACATGATGGATCGGACGATCGCATGATAGATGGAAAGAGATAAAAAAAAGGACGCCTAGGATGTACCAACATAAAAGTTAGACACCTTGACACCCCAATGTTTATGATGGATGAGTAGGAGTCTATGGTGCTTGATTAAGGGGTATGTTCTGGGATTTCTTTCCTCGGCGTTTGTTTGCTCTCAGATTGTCGAGCTTAAAGGGTTTTGTTTGTTTCGTGTTGCTGATTTATTTGAAACGAGCCATGGTAAATAGTGAGGGATTGGTCATGTAATATGAATGCCACTTTCTTCCAAGTCTTTGTTCAATTCCTTCATGACTCCAATCCCACCCAACACAACTCCCACCATCTCGCAGACAAGCATGCGCAGATAATTCGTAAGTTATCAGGGCTGTGCAAGAAAGGTTGGATGTCGGCATTTCTCCTCGGCTCATATAAATGACCGTCGTTTCAATTGATTGAGGCGATTGGCCAAGATCGCCACTGCTCCAATGCCATGCTTCTGGTCTCGATCAGGCGTAGCAAGGTTGCACTATCATCCAATCGCTCTGCAAATGTGGGAGGCGATCTTTTCTTTGAGGCTGAGGCACTGGGCTGGGGGTGACCGGGATGGTGTAAGTGGCCTCTTGAAGTTTCTTTTGTGATCATGCAGTTGAACAAAACAGGCTGATAAGGCGAACAGGGAATGAAGGAAAAGGCTTCAGAAGAAGAAAAATCGAAACAGGGGATATTAAGAAATGAGATACATTCTGTGAAATGATTTGGCGCAATTAGGAAAGCCACCTCGGGATAGTCCCCGGTAGACTACCAGGCCCGGCACGGGAGCGGCCCCACTCGGAACATCCCCTCCTGGATTTGCATTGTCCTCAAGTGACCACTTGCTTACTTTACTCCGACAAACACAAAGGAAAGACATAAAGTCGGGTGGTCGGCATTTTATATATGTTCTGTCTCACATGGAAGCCAGTCGATGCAATACGAGAACTGACCGGAACTTCGCCTCATCCGAGCTTCGGAGTTGCCGTCAGCCATTAGTCAGTCGACGATTCCAGAGCAAAGGCCACTTGGATGTCTGGTAGTCGTCCATCAGCGCATCGTTATTCTGTCGTAAGCAGCTTCAAGATTTTCGCTTCCCCATAGAGACTTTATATTCGGAGCTGAATCTGTCCTTTACAGGGGCTCTGTTGCCTAGCCCTGCATGATCTATTAGCTCACTCGGCATGAGTCACTAAACTTTCAACTGCACAGCTGCATAACGTATCGCCATAACACTCATATAATGATGGTAAGCAGATACTTTCTCCAGCAGATATTTCCTCAATATTCACGGTGTCTTCATTGCGGTACAAGACCGAAAATCTGTCTGATCCGACCATCCACATCCACATCCCGACCTATCAAGTTCATTTTGCCACAAGCTTCGCAACCCTTCAGCACAGGCGACAGAATGAAGCATGTGGAACTAGACGGAAGGACAGGGGAGGGTGGTGGACAGGTTGTGAGAGTCGCCGTCGCTATGGCTGCCTTGACTGGGCAGGCCGTCACCATCACCAACGTAAGGGGAAACCGGGAGCGCGGCGGTAAGTGATGCCTGGACTTGTATCACAACTCCACCGGCTAATAACCCCAGGTCTCAAGAGCCAGCACGTCACAAGTATCCAGTTTCTCGCAGAGATAACAGACGCTGATGTCGAGGGGTTAAGCGTTGGATCCAAGACCGTCACCTTTGCTCCTCGACGAGGGCCCACGGAACTGTACCAACGCAATATCAACATATCTTCAGAATCGGGTTCTGCTAGCGCTCTCCTGGTCTTGCAAGCTGTTTTCCCATTCTTGATATTTGCCGGCAATGACTCCAGTGAGCCAGTAAAGCTCAATCTCTCTGGCGGCAGCAATGTCTCCTTTTCGCTCAGTTTCGAATACTTAGATCAAGTTCTTCTACCCACACTTGAACAACGATTTGGTATACAGGTAGAACGAACATTGGAGCGGCGTGGGTGGAGCATGGGACCCCAGTCAAGAGGGCAAATATCTTTGAAGTTTCATCCTCTGAAGATTGGCCAGACTTTGCGATACAAAGCCCCTGAGCAACGCAAATACCCCGAATCCTACGAAGTCAAGAATATCGACGTCAGCATGTTGGTGCCTGGTACTGTGCATGAGAAGCTCCAGGCATCACTGTCAAATGACCTAGGAGTCTTGTTTCCAGGAGCTGATATCCAGTTCAAGTCGATTGAAGATACAAAGCTGGATTCACGGTGGTACATACTTGCTGTAGCTCATTCCGTATCTGAAATTCTATGGGCCCATGACTGGCTCGGATCGATGCCGAAGAAGACCAAAAGCAGGGATCGCTTTACGGATCAGGTGTCAAGTAAGTTATGCCGAGGTTTGTACGAGGAGGTTTCTGTTGGGGGCCAGGCAGATATTCATCTTCAAGATCAAGTGATTGTTTTCCAAGCACTCTGCGACGGGTACTCGTCGTTCCCTCGTGGGGATACCCCAGATGACTCGGTTCCTGGGGTGTTGATTGATTCCGCGGGAAACCTAGATATCAAGGATGGCAAGTTGAGAAAGGAAAAGACTCACGAGCCTTTTGGACACGGTTCTCTGCACAGTCAGACGGCACGGTGGGTTGCGAGCTCTATGTTGCCAAGCGTGGAGTTCTACAACAAGGGTAATCTGGTGAAAGGTGCAGGTATATCAATGAGATAGAGCTCGTTAGGCTCGAAATAAGGCATACATATGAGTCAATGTGGTATCTGATAAACGAAAATTGGCTTAATTAAACAAGGCCAAAACCCAATTAAAGTGCCATTCTTGTTGAGCGGTGTGGATTGAATACGACGTGGCTGTTGAAGGCTGGCCTCACGGCTATGCAGCTTGCTAACTGGATTAGAACTACACACACTTTACCACTAGGTCGTGAATTTGGGTATAATATGGCGTCCCTCCGTCGACCCAAACTTGACCTTGGGCTTTCATTGCAAAGATGGTGTCGCCTTTTGGCAGTCTGAACTACTATACAGACTGGCCTCATTGTTCTCTGTGGCCGCACAAATACACCAAACACTTGCAAAACAACACCAACTAAGATGAAGGAACATCGCCAAACCGAAACTGCGACCAACCGAAACTACCCTCATGCAAAGTCCATGTCTGTGTTCCTCGGTCCTCACCCGCAGCGCCCGCAGTGATGAAAGCAGGCATGAGATGATCCATAAATGGGTGTGCTTGCTTCGCATCTCCTCGCTTACAGATCGAGGCCATCTTTTCCTCGCGGACAGCAGGGTCGGCCTCCACGGCTTCTTTGAGGGCGTTGTCGAAACTCACAACGTACGGGAGTGGCTCTGTGTTACCCTCAAACATATGATGCATGTCACGCAAGTTGTGTACCGACATTCCAGCACCAATGATGACTATTCCTTCGTCCCGAAGTGCAGAAACAGCACGGCCAAGGGCATAATGAGCATGGGGGTCCTCGCTTTTGAACAAGGAGACTTGTACCAAAGGAACGTTCAGGGGATTTGTTTCCGGGTTGAAGGCTGTTGTTGTTAGTACCTCTGATGGAAGAAATGTTGGAAAAGCTTACCAACGTGGAAGCCAGAGAATACACCATGGTCAAGGCCGCGCTTCATTCCATATGATTGGATCCCAACCTCTGAGAGCATCACCATGATCTTGCTTGCAAGTTCGGGGCTTCCCTCATTTGGGTACTTGGCCTTGTAGAAATGATCAGGGAAGCCATAGAAGCTGTTTCAGAGTTAACTAATACTCTGTATGTGGAATTTTTGCAGTGTAACATACTCGTATATAAGGTCAGTATCAATCGCATTGTTGACATGGATGGTGCTCTCCTCACCCATCCAATGAGCTGAAAAGACAACTACAGCCTTTGGCTTAACCTTGTGTGTAATTTCTTTGCCAATCTGCTGAAGTACTGGATAGACAGGGTGCTTCGTGTTGTATTGAACATCGGGCTTCATTTATGTTAGCATGGCTATCCTCGGTGTCCATCAGGAGAGAGACTCACACCACCATGACTAAAGAAGTAGACTGGTGTCTTTGTATTGGGTCTCTTCGTTAATGGGACTGTGGTGTTCTCGAGTTGGTTCAACCAATTGAGGCCTGCTCTCTGTAACGTTGATGAGAATGCTTTAAGTGGTGATGCACCGAGCAAAGCAACCAAGGCGACAGCAATGGAAACAAAGCCGATGAATGCTCGAAAAGACAAGAGCTGTGCCATCTTGAATGAGAAACGATTCTAAAGGATTACCGCTCTTGCTGATAATTATTCCTAAGGTTAGGATGGTATGGTCTCTCTTTACATGCAGCTACAATTATATATCCGAATATCCATCCCGGAAGAGGCCGATCCTAGGAGATCCATCGGTGGATCTCTGTTCAGCTAAAGTGGGATGTGATTGATGCTGAATCAGCTCATCATGACAATCCATGAAAATGTTTTCTTGTTAAAGTGAATGGGCTCAAGGCATACCTAGCCAACGTGCTTGGTCAGCTTAAAATGCTTTTTAGCATTTTCTATATGGAAAGAAACCGAAGCCAATACATACATACCTAGGTATGTGAATGGATAAAACGGCTGGAGGTAGAGCAGTATGATGTAGACATCCAAAAATTCTCACGATTTCCTATAGATCTTTAAAATTATAGTAGAAATTACTTAACTTATATATCCGTATTAAATCTTATCCTGAATACTTACCAGAATTTATTTAACTACTATAGATTAAAGATCAATTCTTGTTGTTATTTTTCTACCAGAGCTTAGTATATCCCGGTTGTCAACTTTTATATGAAACTATCGAAGGCTATTCTAAACGATTTTAGAACCAACTGCCACTACCTGAAGATTGGAAATGCAAACACAGGGACTGATACTGACTACCTTTCATATGAGGTTATCTTGTTAGTCAACTGGGTACCAATTAAAGGCCGTGAAGAGTTCTCCAGCTCCTAAACAAGTAGGAAAGAATCAGTTGAAGCTTGATCTGAAGCTCTAAACGGAACCGGATAAACTTGCCCCACAGGGAGAATCCAGCTACCTTTAGTGGTCGGTTGCACAGCAACTGCCAGATTAGCCCGCCAAAAAGTCAACTTCAGAAACTGCGGTTGGGCATGTGAACAGGTGAAGCATTCGGCCACCAAATTTCTCTGTATCCGACAATCATCGCCATCTCGGGCTCGTATCTCTCACGCCATCCATACGACCCAGCTCTTCAATACCTGCTGCCATCGCCCTTCTCAGCTTCATCAGTTGCATCGACCTCCAGCATGGCTCCTCTCATCCTCCATAACGTCCCTGACGATGAGTGTTATGTCGGCGACGATGGCATCAAGCGACCGTATGCCATGTACTTTAACCAGTATGTTTCATGCTCACTTCCACTCGGTGGCAATGCTAACGTAACGCGCAATTAGACAAGATGCACCTCAAGGGAGCACACGATCACGTCGCGGCGCCGCTGAGTCTGGCTCATTCGGAAAATCCACTCGTCGTTCTCGATCGCGTACTGGAACGCCCGCCCGCAGTCGCGAAAATCCCACTCTAGCTGCTGCAGACAAGCTCTTTGGTGACTGGGTATCGACACAGGCAGCCACCGCACCAGCTCAAACTGTCCAGCGTAAGACCAGCGGTATGATGCAGGAAGAGGCTGCCGCGCAACGACCCATCACATCCACACCAGTCGAGCTCATCCTCCGCGGCTACCGATCATACACCCATCAGTATGCTGCCATCTCCCACTATGAGTCCCTCGCTGGCACGATCCTCGAGGACTACCCTCGCGAACCCCCGGCCAACCAACGTCGATACAAGTCGGAACTACGCGACCCTGCGTTTACGCGACGACGCAATCTTTCATCAGATGAGCGAGCTATGGTGAACCGAGCAGATGGTGGAGAGCACTGGGTCAAGATCACCTTCGAAAGCAGAGAAGCCGCCGAAGCTGCCACTTTTGCCAGCCCTCAAAGGATATTGGGACATCTTGTCTACGCCGAACCATACCGAGGAGTCCCTCCTGCCAAGGACGAAGCCTGTCCAGATATCGAGGTTGTCCCCGATCATTCGCGATCACACAGCATGCCTGCTCTTCCTGTTGTCAAAAGCCGCGGCGGCTTCAATGGACCTACATCGTTCAATAGTCGTCTCCTCGATCTCTCGCCGCCTCATTCGCAGACATCTAGCCTCACCATGGACACCGGAACTATCAGCAACTCACATGCGTCTACCGCTACAATCACCGAGCCGATTCCTCTTCCCCTTCAAGCTACCACTTCCAGCATCGAGCCTATGGAGATTCATGAGGTAGACAGTGTTTTCTGTCGCCGCATCCCTACTGCCCGTCGCGCAAACCTTCTTCCCGCCGAGCAAGCCCTCCTACCTCAACAGACCATGATGCAACGGGTAGTTAACGCGATTCCTATTGTGAAGTGGTTCGGCGGTAGCATGATTGGCAACGAGGTGCCACGAACCGAGACCGGCGAATTTGACTGGAGCAAGGCGAGTTTGTACTGGAAGCTCATCTGGTGGCTCGATGCTACTTTTGGACTTTTCAGCGGTGATGTGCTCAACGCCGACAAGGACGACTAGAGGACGTTCGGTCGGCGATGGAAGCCAAAGATGTTTCAGACAGCGCAGTCCCGGGCACAGATGTCAATGGGCAGCAGAGTTAGAGTGTATGAGAGACGAAGAATTTGATCATTGACCGCGGCATAACGAAGGTCAGGGCGTCAGGCGTGTTAAAGGGATTGGGACCATCTGGGTTAGTCGCATACTTAATAGACGATGCAAGGTGGAAAATTCGCATAATGTTCTGTATACTATGAATCAAGAGCAAAGCACTCTTGCAAAATCTATTGGCCCCTTGTCCGTGTAGGGAATGTCTTTGAAAATGCCTAAACGCCCCTCGTAGATGATATCCTAACCCGAATGTAAGTCGGGCATGCCATGCGTTAACCTGGACTTTTAGCTTCATCGCCGCTCCATGCAGCTGCAGAACTCGTGTCTGCGAGAAGCTCTGGTGACTTCGCCCTCAGTATCGCCGAGCTTGGTGATGGTGACCGGCCTCTTGTTTCCTCCTCTTGCCCATCCCCGGTTTCACAATCCCCCAAATCATGCTGACCATTTCCATTCTGGGTCTCTTCCATTCCTGCATCTGCCTCCATAACGGGCATAAGTAGTTCAGATATGTTCAAATCCTCTTCATCATTTCTCGGCCCCTCTGTTCTAACCCCTAACGAATCGAAGGTCACATCTGTCGGAATTCGACGGATGGGCTGTGGTGAGAACGGCCTTGCGTTACGGGGCTTGTTGAAGTCTGCTGAAAAGACACTATCGTTGTCGTTCATAACTCCACCGTTTGGTCTCGAATCTGAAGCCAGCGCTGCTAACGATTGATATCGCTCGGTATCCATGAGAAGACTGTCGCCTCTAGCGTGGCTCCTCGATTGCTCAGATCCTGTGTCGGCGAGTATGCTTTTGGGAGGGAGGATAGAAAACAGCTTTGGTGTGTCGCCGCTACCGCCACTGCCCAAAGTTGCTCCATCTTCCTCTGTTGCGAACAAGTCTTGGCCCTTTTCAAGGAGGTCATCCAGACCGCCTCCGCTCCAACCTTTTCTTGCTAGACTTTCAAATATGTCCACTTCTGCACGTACAAGACTGCAACTTGCGTCTACAATCCTTCCGCTCGTCTCTTGGCTTTCTCTTAGTAATGTACGCGCATGATCGCCGTGTAAGGTTGTCAAGCCGTCCAATTTCGTCGTCAATTCAACCAAGTGCGCTCTGAACCGGCCTACATCTCGTCTTCGCTGCTTGTGTAGCTTCATTCCTTCCTTCTCTAGCCTTTTGATCTCTCTGCTTTGCGCCTTGATATTCTGTTTGTATGTCTCCTCTTCGTCGTCAATAACGGTTTGCCATTTGTCCAGATCGTGGAGAAGCGGCACTTCAAAGGATCGGTATACTGTCTCGGAGAGAATCTGTTGATGGTTTGCGACAAGGTGGTGGACTCCAGAGGCAGACATGAGCATATCTGCTGTGCATGAGCCCTTGGTTGTGAAGCTCGCCGTCATGTTTGACGTTCCAGAAGGTCCGATAGGCTCGGCGCGGGCCTCTTTTAGTCTGGCGCATGCTTCTAGAGCCGATCCGAATGTTGAGGCGGCGGTTGATAACGCGGCGAGGGCAAGCCGGTATCCTTTTGCGGAGGACACCAAATCCGAGTAAGCTTGCTGGGAGAGTTCGAGGTCGGCTTTTGTTAGGACAGCATGTGATGATCGAGGAGGTGGCGGTAGCGGTAGATTGAACTGGGATAAGGGATTCGCAGTCGATGCAAGAGAATAGACCGGCGAGCCGGGGACAGGCGGTAGTAGTGAGGGTGTCGGTGACACTGGACGAGATGCTTCGGAAGCCATGTTTGTTTACTTTGGCTGGCAGATCATCGGGGTTGGCTTGTGAGACTAACAGTCGGGGCGCTTTCACGACACTGCTTCGCCTATCACACTGGGCTGGCACGATGGGGAAGCAAGTGGCGTCGATCTCGATATGTCGGCTATCGTTCAACGTTGTTGATTCTGCCAAAGTTTAGTTTTCGGTCGACAAACGTTGGAGAAGATTAGCCCAGGATCCAGGGTCTGTTGTTTCGAAGAGCACCGATAATGTTACCTACCCCACTGATGGAAGCTTCGCGTGCGCTAAAGACTTAGGGCAGTTAGTGGTCCGTCCTTATCATGCACCTCATGCAACGCGGCAGACAATCTGAGGTGCCCAGCAGTGGAGCGCACGTCATTTGGCGGGTACCCATGGATGAGCGGTATGGGGAACTCTGGCGGCTTTGGTATGCATCACGAGATTGCGACGAGCGATTTGGACCACGGGGCATCAGAAAATGCCATGATTCGTCTTTCTTTGACTCGTGGTAGGGTAATGTGATGAAACAAGTCTCAGAGCATAGTGATTAGTCTGGATAGTGTCTATTTTTTCTACCCTTCTATGATGCTTGGCCTTGGAGTATAAGTAATATCGAAGAAATTCTAGGGGATATACTCATTCACCACCCACAGGCTACGTACTTTTTGTTCTCTTCTCTCGAGCTTCTAGGATTTCACAGCTCCATTTTCTTTTATCAGCAGTCCATTTCCAAAAGACTTAGTTCTTGGGGGGCAATTGCTTCTGCAGGAAAGCCTCAACCTCGTCAAGCTCCTCGATACAAGCAGAGTGTTGCATGCCACTGTGTATTGTTAATATTTATTGATCAACAAAAGAGGCAGTTACTTACGGGTAGGTCTTCCACTTCACATCGTATCCAAGCCCCTTAAGCAAATCGGCACTCAGCTTTCCACGCTGGAAAGGAACAATAGGGTCAGCTTCACCATGGAACATCATGACGGGGGTTTGACGGTTGGCATCGGTGGGCTTGACCATGTCGGCAAAGGTCTTTGAGAGGACCAGCCACGATGAGAGGCCGACGATACCGCCCAGTTTGTTGGTACAGGTGAGACCAGCAAGAAGGGACATGGCGCCGCCCTGGGAGAAACCTCCGAGGACAATACGCTCGGGAGCAATGCCAGCGTTGACCTCTTCCTGGATCATGTCGTGGAAGTACTTTTGACTGCGCTTGATGCCCTCTGCATCCTCGTTACGGATGAGAGAGTCAATATCTCCACCGATTTGTTTCTTTATCGTGTTAGAGTATTCATTATAAGCTGTCGAAGAGACTCACAAGGTCAAACCATCCAGGCATTCTCATTCCCATGTTCTGTTCGTGTTAGTCTGGCCTAACTAAGTACGGGTATCAAACTCACCACACTGATGGGGATTTCGGGAGCATTAGGCAGAATAAACTTGACCTCGCTCAGCTTCTCCCGTCGGCGCCAGTTCTCGACAGCACTCGCCCAGCCATTACCGGTATCACCAAGGCCATGAACGAATATGACCGTGGCAGTGTGGCGGGATGCCGCTGGGAAAACAAGAGGAGCGATTCTTCCTGACATGTTGGCTTCTGGTGTGGTTTCTGACTTGACAGGGCTGAAGAAGTTGTTCCAGATGAAAAGAATAACCAATGGAACGGAGAAGATGAGAAGGTAGCGAAGGAAGGATTTAGAAGATGTGGTTGTGTCTTCGTGGCTGGGCATAGCAAGAATGAGTTTGAGGTATCCAATGATTGTGTTGAGACCAAGTGGAGTTTAGTGGCATGCAACATAGAATTTCCAAGTGCGACTGGCTAGGTACCTAGTTGGTTACCCTGTACATTAAAGATCATTTGCTGTAATTCATGAACATAACTATTCTTTTGCTGTCACACAATCATAATCACTGACAGTTGTGAATGAACTGGAGGGGTGGTTTCATCGGGAATCACTTTGTATGTGATGCAGTTGGCCGTCCTTAACTCGCAGCATCTGCTGTGTAACCCAATGCTTGTGCAGACTTACGACGAGCTGGACGACCAGAAGAGGGATCGCCGTTGGTAGACCAGCTGTATTTTCTATGTAGACGCTCGGTCACTCGCAGGTCTAAACATATCTATCTTGGGTTTCGTTACATCTCATGTGATATAGCGGTTGTCATCGAGGCAGCTATTTGACAAATGCTTTCTCTTACACCCACCTAGATGTTGGTTGATCCTCTTTTTATTGTCCCATTCAAACCTCCTGTACTTCGCAGAAACGGAGACATTGACACTCTCATACTAGCGAAAGAATAAAATAGCTCAATGTATTTTCTCTTGCGTGCTGGAACTCGAAGCATATTGTGTCAAATTTTGATTCATAGTAAACTGAGAATCCCTAAACTGCCGTGACAGAATTGCTACCTCGACCCCTTGAAGCTCATATAATCAGCTCTGAACCACACGTTTAAGATCGATTCATAGTAAGAAGTAAAGGCTGAAATGGTTCAAAAGATCTCACTTACTGAGAAGTGAGGATGTAATTGTTAAATGAATTGTATACTTGATTAAGGTTGGCGCTTTACACGAGCCTTCTACCACACCATGGAACTCAAACACGACACTGAATATAAGGTAAAATGCTGACTGTCCAAATCATGTGGAACTTGAGGTATCATATCGACTTGAAGTGCACACGAAAGCAACGAAGTTTACACAAAAAAGTGTTTTTACTATTGTTATCTGATCATCTTATCAATTATCACCACGTCGCGTTAATTGATGGAAAGTTCCAAAGACCCTGAAATGGCTGGCAGTTAATTAGCGACCGGGTGGCTGGTCCAATGGCACGTGCGCACCCAGTAGCCCGTGGAACTGTGGGAGGAGGGTGCATGGCATTTAGTGCGTCAGTGGGGTATTCGAACCCTCCACTGTGTTTCCCATCGTTGCTCGTCACTTGCATCTTCGAGTCAAGTCGCGTTGGACAAGTTCGAGTTTCAGTTTCTGCATAGTTTACAAATCTCTTTCTTATATGCTTGAGTAACCTCAGTTTCGGGCTATCATCTTTATCTCATCGCTTCAATGTCGTCAGAAGAGTTGTCCCTCCCTCGTCTCCCTGCCGTCTCTTGGGACGAGCAATCGCAGACGTTTAGTAACAACCCACGGAAACGCGTCCGCAATGCTGCTTCAAAGCACGCGCCATCCTCTGCCTTCAACAACTCAAGCGATCCCGCCATATTTTCTAGTGACGATGATCCCGCACTGGACAATTATGTAGAAGGGAGACGCAAGAAGAGATACGTTGGTTCTTGGTTCCAGCAGCATCCCACTTCTTCCGACTCAACCTTCAGTGAAATTCACGTCCCTAAGCAGAGACGTCCTTGGACGCGACAGGCGGACAGTGGTGTCTTTCTTGGAAGCGATGGAAATGAGAGCGACGAGATGTTGGAACCTGTACTCGAAGAACCCAAACCCAGACTTCCCCAGCTTGATCTCGCTGTGCGCCGCGTCTCAAGAGCCGAGCAAGTCGCACGCGACAAGGTTCGCGCCTGTCTCGAAGCGGGGGAAGAGACAATTGATTTTTGGTCAATGGGACTGGAAGACGTCTCCAACGATACCATCAGTCCTTTGTCGCAGTTTGCCTGCATTCCCATTGTTACCAAGGATGTTGCTTTTGAGCAGAAGGATCCAGAGCTCAAGATCTACATGGCCCAGAACCGATTGGCGCGGGTCCCTGGCGCGATCTTTGACCTGACATATCTCACAATTCTCAGTCTTCGTCACAACAAGCTCACTGAGCTTCCTCCCGCTATTGCCAAGCTTCGTCATCTCAAGGAGTTGAACGTATCACAAAACCGTTTGAGGCATCTGCCGGTGGAGTTGCTAGATCTCTTTGCATCAGACAGCAAGCTTGACACACTTGTCGTTCACCCCAATCCTTTCTGGCAGCCTGACGAGAATCTGGAACAGACCGAGAACCAGCCTGACAATATGCTGTTCTCATACACAGAGTCAGAACCTTCGTCGACACCACATCTGGTGAGCCGTGCGCTGGGCAGAACTCCTCTACAGTTATCGGATACCACGGGAAGGATTTTTTCGAGCTTCAAGTTCCCAACAGACCATAGAAAACTCATCCTTCCTGTCGACGACGGAGAACCCGAGTTTTCACCATCGTCTTCCGTGTCTTCCATGACAGAGTCACAACGTCTTGAAGGCGCAAGCCATGTGCCAAGTTTACTCGAGACCGCCCTTCGAGCTTGCTACTCCAGTACACAACTTTCAGAGATGCCATATTACATTCCGGAAGGACTGAATCATCTCAGAAAGCTTCTCGAAAGAGCACAGCGGCAAAAGGAAGCTGGCGGACTAACCTGCTCAAAGTGCCGGAAGTTAATGGTCATCCCAACCGCCGAGTGGGTTGAATGGCGAGAAGTCCGAACTTGCAAAGAGATCAAGCAAGAGAACTCATCTGTCGTGCGGATGACACCGCTAAGTATGGCAGAGGGTGAGAAGACTGTGCCGTTTATCTATCGCGGATGCTCATGGCGATGCGGGCCAGGAGAGATAGACAAGGACAATTGGGGTCTGCCAAATGGGAATCTCGTCCCAGTAGTAGACGAGTAAAGTAAATTGCATGATTGGATGAATGGCGTTATGTAGCAAAAGCATATTGAGAGCGTTTTAATGATACCTCATTGTCTTTTTCTTCACTATTGACAATCTTAACCCCCGGTTGTAACTCAAGCGATGCTTTACTACGAAATAACAAATCTTCCGTGAATTGTCATATTGCACAAATAGTCATTATAAGTCCGATGCCCTTTGTCGCTCTTTTTGTCCGTGTCACTTACACGATCAGTCAAGCATATCCCATCCCTGTCATCAAGGATCATATTAGACGTGCATATAATAGCCGGTGTTACCTATGAATCCCCAAATGCTGTTTTTGCACCGATGCAAAGAATTGCTGTACTGTGTACGATGTCTTGGGCTACAAGGTCACACAACCAGTGTCTTGAAGTTTGCTTCTAATATCATGGCCTTGAGATAAAACAACACCAGTGCTCCAGTTGGGATGCAATAACTTGATCATATCTTACTCCTTGTTGCTCTCGCATAGGTTACCAATCATGTTATACTACGTTGAAGGATCTGTTATAAGGATGTGCTTTAGTTGGGTATCAGAGAAGATACGTATGTATGTCATTGCTGTTTGCGCTCTTTGGCGGAAACCTCTTCTTGAATCATTACCATCTGGCCTGGGAGACCTGACACCAACGGCAACGTCTCTTACGGGACACTATCGTGTCAGTGCTCTCTAACTATCCGGCGCCTAACACTGGCTGAACTATCATTTGGATCCCATATCAGGCTGATGAACGATGGGATCAGCGAACCATCATGCTGTGCCAGAGGTCAGACCTTACAGCTATGACATACCTAGGCCAGAGCTATAAGGCATCTACTCTACTGATTCGACATGATAGCCAAGAGTTGTAGATGACATGCTGTGCATGTACCTTATGAGCGACCAGCTTCATCAATTAAGGCTAAATCGCATGCTTCTAATCCCAGTCGTCGTCGTCGCTGTCGACATTTCGTGATCTTCCAGCCGTACCCGTCTTGATAGTCTTACCCGCCAGACGCTCCTCCTCAGCATCCTCAGCAGCCCGCCTCCTCTTGACAACACGCAAATCAGAGTCAGGAACAGCGCCAACCTCGACCAGCAGATTGTCAATCGTTTGCATATTGGTTCGGACGCCCCCAACAGTCGCCAGCGTCACAATTTGCTTGACAATATCTCCCTTGTTGTAGACCAGGATTGTCGGGCAGTTTCGATCGGGGTAGTTCTCAATTGCCTGGCTCGCTCTGATTTCGCAGAACTTGATTTCGCCGTACTCCCTCGCAGCCTGTCTCCATAGCTCAATCAAGACTCGGGACTCGACGTTTGTGCCCATGGAAGATGTTAGGTTGACAAAGACGGGTCCATTTTGTGATGCGTCTGTCACCTCGCGCTGGTATTCGGGTTTCGAAAGAGGGTATACGGTTCCGTGCAAAGCCTTCTTTTGTAGGCCGTTCAACTCGGCCATGCGCTTTTGTCGGTATTGTTCCAAGAAAGCTTCATCTTCTTCATCTTCAAGTTCGTCCAATTCGTCAAGGTCCTTGCCCTCAAGGCGGTTCTCATGCGCTAATCTTCGTCCTTCCAAGATGGCCTCCTCGATCATGGGAGTCGGGCTAGGAGGCTTCTCGGGAATTACTCCATGTTTTCGAAGAATATCATTCCTATGGCGGGGTTAGAGCTACACAGGTTATGGAGGGGTAGCAAGAACAGACCATTCTGTGTCTGCGTTGGGGTCGTCAATGGGGACATTGATGCGCTGATCCATAGGATTAGACATTTTGTAAGTCTGTAAGAGTAACCAGGAGCCGTTCTTCAACAATGCGCCTGAACACAATTTGTATCGCTTGAAAGTGGCAGCCTACAACTGACTCCAGATCAGTGCTTACGTACAGAGTAGGCAGAGCTCTAAGCATAACTTGCACAAACCCCACCAAGCACATCTAACGTCTAACGCGCACAAGCTCCGGCGCTATGTTACACCGAGCTCGATTTGCAATTACTGGGCTTAGTGCAATTATTTTGTCGCGGAACGAGTACAATACCGATAAAAAAGATACTAATTCGAATCCCAGTTTCGCTGTTCTGTTCTTTCCTCTTCATTTTAACTTTTCAAGTTTTGCTATTCATATAAACACCGATTGCTAGGCATATAAATAAGTTGATAGGGGATATGCGCCCCTCGAACGTACCCACACCATAAACAATTCATATTATCCTAACGTGTGCTCCACTTAACTTTCATCATTTGGGGCGCACTCAATCGGTTTATAGTTAATCCTCGTCATCACGTGACACAAATCCCACTCAAGATCTTGCCCTCCCACACCATTTCAGAAATTCACACAAACTCCCACAAGTTGTGCCTCTGATCAGCCGGTTCGACAAGCTTTCCCCTCGCAAGAAACCGATTAGACATTCTCGAGAAAATCAGACAAGATGGTAAGCGACTGCCTTTTTTACGATGCATTCTACGATGGACCGACGACAAGATGGATGAAGGACGACCGCTTGTGTCAATGAGGTGGACATCATCGACTCGAAGGGTACTCGCTGCTCTCGTGGCAAAAAGTATCAAATTCATCGATCACGACCTGGACGACACAACGGATGATGGATGGGACACGCAAAGGATGCATTCATAATGGAACAAGCTGGCTGACTCTCCGCCTTTCAGGTTCTCGCTGTTGATCTTCTGAACCCTTCCGCGGCCGCCGAGGCCAAGAAGCACAAGCTCAAGGTACGATACAACCTCGACAAAATTTTATCACGACATTCGATCTAACTTTTCTAGACCCTTGTGCCCGCTCCTCGATCCTTCTTCATGGACGTCAAGTGCCCCGGTTGCTTCACCATCACCACCGTCTTCTCTCACGCCCAGACCGTTGTCATCTGCCAGGGATGCACCACTGTCCTCTGCCAGCCTACCGGTGGTAAGGCTCGTTTGACCGAGGGCTGCTCTTTCCGACGGAAGTAAACGCCTCGCGGCGGTTTATTTCCTTGGGTACTCATGACTCTTACGGTTCATCTCATGGTGGCCATCTCGGATCTGCAAAACTACAACATCGACATGGACGGATAGAACAACCGACGTTGCGAACATTTACCCAAAACTCTTTGCAGATAGAAGATGGGACACCCAGAATAGGGGCGTTTGGGGTCTCCGGATATCTTGCATGGCACATCATTCTTCTATTGTTTTTCCGTTGCGCGCCTTGTACCAAAGAGTCGTCTCGAGGCAGGAAGGAAAAGAAAAAGCACTGCATGGGTGGAAAGCTGGAGAAGGCCTTCACGAGTGTCTAGACCGGTCTGGCTTGGCCGGCTGCACACAAGGGAACCGCTGGTTGATGATCGCTTCATACCCGGGTGCAGTGGGTAGCGGAGGATGGTCACTGTGCTTTTGCGAAATTCACAATGGTTTCCACATCACCTTCTTATTGACGTGAATGCTTCTAGTCGATGCGATTGAGTTGTGATGCTATCGTGACTGTCGTAGAGCAGGTTCCTTTACTGCTATTTGTCATCATCTTGCCACTTCCCATCAAAAATTTCCCTCCACGATAGTTCATCTTACCACCGCCGTTGCGTTGTAAAGACTCAATGGTGATTGGTAGTGTATATCGTCATCGAAAACTGGTCTCGACATCAAGTCGACTTGCCTAGCTGTCTTCCGCCTCACCGGATGACTCCATCCGGAGAAAGTCATCCGCTCTACGAAAGCCTAAGGCAAATCAGCACAAGGATCTGACATTAGGCATATTTGACTAGAACCTGGGGCATCAATTACCCCACGAATTGACTTGCAACTACGGATATCGCCTCAGTCTCAGCTCAGTCTCGCTCACATAGTAGTTAGTGATGAATGGATGGACAATAACCTCTGTCGAGTAATGGATAATGATGACAATTAATAAACTACCTCATTTCGAGTGTAATAACTTGGGACTCCTTATCGTGAAAACACATAACGACGATCCGGCATATTTGATGCTCGCGTGATGAGATCGTGTGATGATCTTCCTAAGCAAATGCTTCTGCTTCGATGGCAGATTCGAAGTGGAACTGTTAACCAAATGAAAATCCACAATGCCGATCTTGGAAGCACCAGAACTTGCTCTCGACTTTCTCTCTCGCCACCAACTCGTCCTTCGGCAAAGCTCCTCTCGCTGACCAGATAAAAAACCAGATGACTCAGCGGACCAATAACGTAAGTTTCAATTGCCCAATTTACGCGAAAGCGGCACGAGCAGATCGCGCTGAGACGCGGGAATCCAGGGATCCGTAGTGAGCAATTCTTATTAGTTGATTGGCCTGTCTGTGTCTTTGGCTTCTTGGGGCAGAGCAGGGGCTGCTTCACTTCTTGACCCTGATTCCCTCCTGTTCACCCCTGGCAACAATATTGGGCTTCGACCTGTCTCATCAAAAATCGCCCCCTCCTCAAATTTGCTCTTCTTTTTGAACCCTTGTTTTCCCCTCGAACTGCGACGTCATTTGTGCTTTATAACAACTTACCTCTTTTTTGATCTTGTTCTCTGACAATCTCCACTCTACCATTGCTTGAACTCTGTTTTCATACTTCAACTTGTGCGAAGCTTGTTGCTTACTCTGCGATCAATTCTGCAACGTCACCTCATCTCAGCGCATCGCTTCAATCGTTGGTTCTTGAATCAATCCGCTGCTTAAAGCTTACTCCAAATCTCCCATCATGTCGACTCCTCGTATCAAGCGCCAGTTTGCCGGTGCTTCAGCCGACCCTTCGCAGCGACAAATCACTTCCTTCTTCAATGCCAGACTATCCGACGAGTCTGCCGCTGCCGAGGCTGAGAAGCCCCTCCAGCCTGTTCTTCCTTCCACCGTCCAGTCCAACCTGCTCAGTGTCGGCATGCGAGTCCGCAAGTCCGTCCCCGAAGGTTACAAGACAAAGGGCACAAGTGCCTTCAAGCTCTGGACAGACAACTCCCCTGTGAACACTACCACTTCTACCACCCAAGCTCCCATCAAGGGTGCCTCTCGGGAGCTTCTCCCCTTTTGCGGAATCAACAAAGTTGGCGGTCTTGACACTCAGCCTGACTTTGACCGGGACGACGAAGTACCGGATATTGACGCTATTCCCGAGCTTACCATGTCGCAAGAGAGCATTGAATCCTCTGATGGATCTCGAAAGCGATTCTTCGACGAGGATGAAGACGAGCTTGTTGGAAGCCCAGCCATGGCCGACCAGAGCAACCCCCGAGTTATGGCCATTCCTGTCTCACGAAAGGGAGTTGGTTCAAGAGGCTTCGTCCAGGGCAACGGAAACTCAAACTCCGACTTTGATGAAGCCGATTTTCTTGTTACCCCTGACATGGACATGGCCTAATGGCCAAGTTGTTTACTCCATTGAGCATTTTCACGTTATCATGTCAAACAGTGTTATCCTACGGGGTTTGAAAATTTGGGTCAGGCGTTCAGGTATATATTAGTGCTTCAGAGCAGTTGTAGGCTTATTGGATGTCAATGACGGACAAAAGCTCGCTGTATGTTACATGGAATAAACAAAAGGGTCGAAAGTAGACCTATTACCATCTTATATGCCCTCCTACTTACATTCCCACGAATGGCTCGCGAAACTCGAGTAAATCTCTCTGTCCGTAAAACTCACCAGCTACTGTCAAGATCATGTTGAGTGTAGCACGTAGATTCGCCCGCAGTCGTTGTTTCGCAGCCTCTTTCTCGGCCTCTTCGTCCTGTTCTGAACTCGTACCATTCTCGAGTTGACCAAGTAGTCGTTCTTTTGCCGCCTGTAGGTTCTCCTGAGGTTCCGGAGCTGCGACTTCACCTTCTTCAGCTTCCGAGTCGGATGCGATGTCCATAGCCACATCTTCGTCCTCATCTATCTCACCATCTTCTGCATCAGCCTTTAGCGGAGAAGTCATCTTAGGTTCCGTAGCTTTCCGTGTTTGCTCGGTATCCTGGTCATTCTCGAGTGGTGAATCATCCTCATCTTGCTCAGGGCTGACAGCTCCTTCAACCTCCAAATCTTCTGGGTCAGCCATTAAGTCTTCGTCGCTGCTGCTTCTATCAACAGCTTCATGCGCACCCAGTCCGCCCTCTTCCAACTCCTCTCTCAGGGCCGCCATCTCTGCTAGACTCCTGCCTAACAAGACTGCTCTCCGCCCAAGGTCACGAACCCAGCCGATCTCAGCATAGTTGAGCTCACCCCTATCTGGCAGTCTCGCGAGCAATGCCCAGATCCAGCGGCTTGTGCGCTCTGGAAGTGTGTACCCGCGGCGGAGGAATTTGCCGCCAAGAAGGATACGCAGAATGCGTAATGTGGTGTCTTTAGACATGAGGGCGACTTGGAGTGGGTGCGGATCGGTGTCGCGTAGAAGTCGAGACCATGTTCCTATAACAGAGGCTTGGTTGTCTGCCGGCGCTTCGGTTTTTAGTTGAGCCTTTGCTAGGCGGGAGCGTGCGTTTGAAGGAGGTTCGGTATGAAGGATCGTTCGCAAGTGGAGGTATTGGTCCATGACGGAGGCAAGATAAGCTTCGTGTATAGCGACTTCCTCGTCATAATCGTCATCTTCATCTCCAGGATATTCTCCGTCTTCGTATTCGCTCACCTTAGCTACGTTGTCGGGCTTTGCCATGTACGCGCCGTCCTCATACCAGCCTCGAGAGTCGCCGACACCGTCCTCGTATATGGCCCTGTCGGCAGGTCCCTCGTCTTGATCCTGGTCGTCTCGGAGCTCAGCTGGCAGTTGGGGTCCTATTTGAACTTTGGGCGCAACGAGCAAATGGGGTATTCCGTTTGCTTCTTGTCTGTTGTACTCACCATATCAGCATCCGTGCTCTGCAAGTTCGCGATCTTCAGCAAAGGCCATAGGGGCATATAATAGGGGATGAACATACCTGACGGAGTTAAGATATGCCATCGCGTCGGCATCATCTTCGAAATCGGATTCTTCGCCCGCAGGAATCGTTGTCGCATGTTCGTTGCCTGCAAAGACATATTTCTGGCCCCAAGTTGGATCAATGCCGGAATTTTGATGCTGTCGCGTTTTGCCGCCTTGTTTCTTCGGTCGCTTTGGTTGAGGTTTTGATACCTCGCCTTCGTCAAGATCCTCGCGCTCTCTTTTGGTCGCCATTTTGGTATGTCTTTGATGTTTTGTCAACCTTGCGAAGCTTGTGTTAGATGAGATTAAGAACGCTTCAATAAAGCTGCCTGCGCCTTATCGATAAGCAGAGCCAAGCTACCCACTTTCGAACATCACCTTCAACACCTCGAATAATTTATCACAATAACTTCCATGACCAACAGTTCATAATGAGCGCGGCTCTTGTGCGGCAATTGGCTTCTAGGACGCCTCGGTATTGCATAAAAATAAGCCCGGCTGCCCTCTGTGCGCGACCGACTACTCAATGGCGCTCTCATAGCAGCTACAACCACTTCGTTGGTCGTAGTACGTTAGACTCATCTTTCTATATAGCCTCCGCTAACAACTGTAGCCAAACTTGCTGCCACTGACCCAAATGCGGATTTTCTCCCTTTTATGTGTAAAGATGTAAAGCCTTTCACTCTTGCTATCAAGGACAATATCGCAACTTCCGAGTTCCCGACACAATGCGCCTCAGACATTCTCTCCTCTCACCCCTCACCTTTTGAGGCTACTGTCGTCCGCCAACTTCGTAAACGAGGTGCAACTGTGGTTGGTAAGACTAACATGGATGAGTTTGGTATGGGCTCTCATTCGACGAACTCGGTTCATGGTGCAGTGAGGAATCCTTTAGCAAAGGATGAAGATGTATCAGCTGGTGGAAGTTCTGGCGGAAGTGCCGTCGCAGTACGGCTGGGAGATGCCGATATAGCGCTGGGAACAGATACAGGTGGTTCGATTCGATTGCCTGCTGCCTACACCGGAACAGTTGGTTACAAACCCAGTTATGGCATGATCTCTCGATTCGGTGTGGTTCCATATGCGAACTCCTTGGATACGGTTGGCTTCATTGCCAAGCATGTCAAACCGATACATGATCTTATCTTTAAGACCGGGATGCATGAGGAATACGATGCTCAAGATCCAACATCACTTCCCGCCGTGTCTCGGAAACGATGTGCTGAAATAATACCGTCTACACTCCCTGATCTATCAAGGATAAACATTGGCGTTCCCCTTGAGTACAACATCGACGAACTCGATCCTTCTATCCGCGCCGCTTGGACAAATGCGGCATCTGTCCTGGAAGCTCAGGGCGTGACCTTAGTACCCATCTCACTGCCTTCTACCAAAGAAGCTCTCTGTGCTTACTACGTTCTTGCTCCTGCGGAAGCCTCATCAAACCTGGCCAAGTACGATGGCGTTCGTTATGGAAAGCGTGGTGAAGGAAGTGATGCAGTCGGCGAGACGCTCTACTCCGACACCCGTGGTGAGGGCTTTGGCGAAGAAGTCAAGCGACGAATACTGCTCGGCACGTACAGTCTCAGCTCTGAGGCTATAGACAACTATTTTATCCAAGCCCAAAAGGTTCGCCGAATGGTGCAAAAAGACTTTGACCGTGTCTTCCGGCTTGACAACCCCCTTTATGAACCTGCGCAGTTTGATCTTAGCGATATGGCAGAAGCCACTGGCATGGAAGACAAGACTGGCCCTGTTCAGGTGGACTTCATTCTCTGTCCCACAGCACCAACATTCCCCCCACGATTGGAAGACATCAAGGAACAGAGCAGTGTGGACGCATATATGAACGATGTCTTCACAGTGCCCGCTAGTCTAGCAGGCTTACCAGCTGTGAGCGTTCCGGCCAAGGTGGAGGGAAGCCAGTTCCCGGCAGGGTTGCAGCTTATCGGGCAATATTGGGATGATCAAAGGGTGCTCCAACTGGCTGAGAAGCTAAAATCTTTGGTTGCATAAGTGAAATGATATAATTCAAAAGCGATGATTTCATGATATTATTGTACATTAGATCTTAGGCGGCAGTCCTTGTTCCTGAATAACTGTATGACTGCGGCGTTAAGGGACCTTCATGCGCTCTTTTCCTCGTGACATGGTCCCTTTATATGAAGTATATTCTTAAAGATATTTCGTCTTTGGTATAGGGAGTAGCGATAACGGCAATTGCTATACTAAAAGCATCGCTAGTATGAGTCGCAATTCTTGCTAAACTTGCCTCGCCCTCACTTGCTTCACAATGATGGGAAGGGTTGTAACATCACTCGAGGTTAATACTTGGACTGAATCTCTGTTGGTCATCGTTTGAACTTCGTGATCTGCCTATTTAACAGTGATAGAATGGCATGTTTCAGTTCGTTAACTACATTGAACGTGCTGTATACCAGGCGTGGCGGCGTATTCAGAAAAGTGAAAGTAAACAGCCTGGCGGTCTGAGACAACCGATCACGTCACCGAGATCGCAGTCTTTATCTATTCATGCTCAATGCGTATAAACACGTATTGAATTGATCATATCGATTTATATTGAGTATTCAAGTAGTTACCGGCTATCCAGAGCTGGCGATGCTTCGGACAGCCTATATAACCCAGAGTGTCAAACTAACGACGCTACTGTAGAGTTCTAGTCTTTCTCCATGATTGTGTGATGTGTTGTCATGGGACTCTTAAGCTTGAGGAATCGCCTACTCAGGCCATGCGACACTCAGTTGCGCAAGCCATGATGGTGGCAAAGGGTGGCTGCTTCATCCGATTGTTGGTCATGCTTTCGGAAATCTCTTGGCGCAGTAATATAGTCTTTTGAGGGTATGAGAACGGGACCCGCGGGGTTGTATATCGCGACCCGATCCTGTGCGTTGTGTTGCTGAAACCGAGCAGGTAGATCAAGGTGAGCGGCTCCGGCTGCGACTTTGGCTCCGATTTCGACTGCTGCTTCGACTCCGACTTCTTCTCCTCTCATCGCGATCGACATCCATCTCATCCCTCTCCGAAATCTCTCCGGACTCTTCCCTTGTTCCGTTCTCTTTTTCTGCTTCATCCTCCTCCTCAAGAAGATCCTCGAGATCACCAAGAGGACTAACTCTCGGCTCAAGAATCTCCAAGTCTTCCAGCACCTCTCGTTTTGGCATCTTCCATAAACTTGTACCGCAAACTCTCTCTTTCGTCAACAGCTCGTCCACGAACTCGTCCATATATGTCAATGTCACACCCGCCCTGCCTCTCCGTCTTAACTTGCGCCTGTCCTCCAGAAACGGCTCCAGCATCGCGTAGACGTCTTTCGCTTGCCGCGTAAGTCGATAGTAGAAGCACGCAAGCGCGCGCAGGTATTTGAAAGCTTCTCCGCCGTATGTTAGGTACTCCTGGAGCACCGCATCGCTGGGCGAGAGTTCGAGAAGCTTGAAGGCGAGGCATAGGAACGGGCTGGGCTTTTGTGTGACTCCGGATGTTCCGCCGATGAAATTGACGTGCTCGACGACGCGATCGACGATGTCGGCTTCGTTTAGCGCAAAGCACTGTTCCTTGTAAAAGTATGAGTCGACGACGCGATCCTTGACGGCCTTTTCCATAATGGTCGCAGGATTGAGGCCGTTTGGCGCGACCGAGACGTTTGAGCCGCGCTCATCGAGGAAGCGACTCGCATCGGCGTGAACTGTATCTTTGTTTCTGCTCATTGTATGTGAATGTCGCGAAAGAAGTCGCCAATTATCGAAGTTGGTGATGGTGGGGGCTGGTTTAACGCTTGGTGTAGGAAAGCGTTGAAAGCTTGGGAGACGATAAGCCGATAAGGCTTGTTGCTGTGTCAACAGTGTAAATAGTGCACTTACAACGGTCAAGGATGACGACAACCGAGCTCACATGCATATTCTTGGATGGTCGAAGTTTAATTTCTTACCTTCACTATTCTACATCGAAGCAGTCAATCGTAAATATCACTCAGCATGGCCAAATTGCTTCTCTCATCCGGCCAGGTGCAAGTCATCGGATCTTGCTTCGTCGGTAAGACATATCTCAACTTCTCCACCGCCATCCGCATTCCAAGTCGTCTCTAACAAGGCATCCGCCATTACAGTTGTATTCTGCACATTCGCTCTCTTCATCAGTGGCTATATAATTCAGCAAAGGACGCTCACCCAGCTCCGCTCGGCAATCAAACCACGTGCCGAAACTCGCCCATCACCAAAAGTCTACCTCCCCGAGAAGTTCCAAGTCCGGACAAAGGAGCTCGAAGATGGCCGTGTGATCGATATAGATACAGAGGCCGATATTGAAGTACGACGACAGCGTCTTTTGGTTGAGGTTAAGGAGACAAAGCCTAATGCGGATATCGAGGGAGACGAGGCGTTGGCGAGAAACCTCGAGATCATAAAGCAACTACAGGCCAAGGTAGTGGATAAGATGTCGACACCTAAGGGACACGTCGAGGCGCCGGTCCCTAATCACAAGCCTGTTAGCAAGTCAAAGAGGAGGAAGATGATCAAGCAAGAGCTTCAGAAGTCAGCACAAGCTGAGGACGGGCTTTACTATCAACGCAGGATGTGGTGAACGGTCTTGTTTTCAGTTTCGGGTTTCGGGTTTATGTATGTGCACATGGTAATGACGGAATATATGACTGGGATAGTTATGGCATAGATTGGATAGCTTTCTCTGGTTTCAGGGAACACAATGCATTTTGGATAGATTCAATATTTCCATTTCCTTGCTGCAAGAATTGACGATACCTCCAGATGAAGGCATGAGCGAACCACATTAACGCGTTAAATGCAAATATGAAGGGTTGCTTTACTAGAACCTCTTCAACAATTGAATTGTACTGCTGGGCATGTGATGTTTCCGGAGTGTGTTGTTGTTAGTCAATTGCTCATGCTTGATTTGAACAAGCCATCTACTAGACCACTGGCCAAAGTGTTCGGGTCGAATTATTTACACTACGTGCATCAACCATTTGGTGTGACTACCCCAATCAATGCGAAGAATGTAGTAGCCATAAGAATTTCTCGAAATGGCCCAAAGAAGGATTCGTAGATATCACAAACGCAGAACTCGAGTGTGGTGGTTACCCTATATATTAGCAAACACCAGGCGAAGAGCATCAACGTTGCAACCATATCGTTTCCTACAATCTGGATCTGGTACCAGCACGATAAAAATACATTGCCGTGTAGCTTACCGTTAGGGTGATGACTTACATGAAATTCCGGAAGCAGGTTCTAGTAGGGCTGGGTAGTTGAGGTTCTTTACTCAAAGACTCACCACAGACACTCAGCAAGATGAGCACCACAGCACCATACCTTCTTCGTATAAAACAAACAAACAAAAAAACATCCAAAATCACCATTCATATGCATATCGCGGAATGTGACAAGTTTCCTTGTCTTCCTTTCATGTTTCGACTGTTGTCAAGAGAGCCGAAAAGGGAGGATCTGATCCGCAGCAGCCGGGAACTCACTCACATCTCAACAATGGTGGCCTTGATCATTAAACGACAAGAACGCTTAAATTTCGGAGAGAAATTAGTACATCATGAACCATCTAACGATATCAAGCCATAGAGGACACTCCTCAAAAGACACGATGTTGCGATATCCTAAAGATTTAGGATAGTTTGTCCGCTAACCAAGATCTAGATAAACCAGTACCATCGAAAAGGATCGATATTGGAGTTCAGGAGCTACGTAAAAAGATGAAAGCCCTTCAAATATCGCGACTGAGGGTTCAGGGCTCTTTGTGCGGTGCTGGAATGGTTTTCACACTTCCATATGCCAATGGGAGTGATATCAGGACTAAAGACCATGGACCACTTTAACGACGTACAGTAAGCCTTGAATTTTCCAGGCAAAGCTTCTGTAAGTCATAATTATCTCTGAGCCCACTTCATCACCAAGTAGAAGGGTACTTGATGCTACATTCACATACTTCACTGACTTCTTGACCACGGACACTTTGCTACAGCGACTCCTTGGGCTGGGTACAAAACACTGGAAGCCAGTAGAAACTACAGGATCCGATAAAGATGTGAGCAAGGATTGTTGAAGCCCGGCTGTGGAAGGAGCCGGATACAACAAGAATTGCGGGCAAATGATGTTAACCAAGAAACCACCAGCATCGTCCCCTCCCATGAGTAGATCATTGCAAGCTTCTTCTGCTTTCCCCTACGACGCTCGAGTCGCGTGATGGCTTTTACAGTGACTTACCATAATCTCGGCAAAGTGGAAGTGGGAAAGGGGTTTGAATCATGCGATATGATATCTCGATCACAGAGATCGCGATGGTCTCGCTTGTTAGATGAACAAGCGATGTTGCATCTTCGCTTGTGTGATAGGCCAGATGAAGGAGGCGATGTATTCGCCGGTAGGTTGGCTAGCCGGTAGATCGTGCATTGTGAATTCAGAAGTGGTTGGCTGTGAGTCAGCGGGCATCGAGTAATCTGCGGTAGGGTTTTGGTCAGGCTGAGCATATTCCTTGTCCTTGGCATTCGTGAAGAGGCTGCAACGGTTTGTAATCCAAGCTCTCTCTTTTGGCCCATCTTTGACGGACTTGGCTCGTAGAAACTGTGGGAAACAAAAGGAGCCGATAGTCCGGAGTGTGCAGTCCTCTAATGCGATTGGATGCCGAGTTGGTGGGAGGACATGAGGCTAGGATAAACGAACCTCTTAGTTGATGTCAATGAGTGGGATGGTCAACCTTAGTGGATGACTTGCAACTGCGAAGGATTCCCAAGAACTACTGGAGTTGTCCATATTTCTTGGAACATATCGATAGTCTGAAACGACTGGCTCAACCTTTGTCAAGTTTTTTGAGTTGATGCACGTCAAGAAGACGCATGGCACGTCCCTACATGATATAGTGGTGGGCATCACCTGAAGGCATCGTCGTCATCGAGATGCGCATACTCCCAGAAGCACAGTCCACGCGTAGGCACAGCAGCTAACGCTCCCCCCACACTAGCTGTCTGCCCAGCTAACCATTAGATCAACTTGCTACATAGGAAAAAGGCTGCCAATTTGACTTTGAGTGCGGCTCAATCAACCGGTGAGAACCTTGCAGCCTTTCTGAAACGGGCGCGGAAGATTGACATTGCCCGGGAAAGCCATCGTCACCGGCTTCTTGAGCTCGGTACTTCAAAAGGCCACTGCGGATGAAAGGGAGCGTTCGGCCGCAGCGGCTGAAGACAGTTTCCAAGGACAGGCAGAGATCAGGCCAAGGGGTAGTGACGAGTGTCGTTGAGTTTGCTTGGCTACGCCCGTATCTTGGAAGTTCAGGGCACAAGCAAGGCCGCATGGCATGGCCAAGTGTGCGGATAACCTCTCATGACATTCGTCAGGCTGGTACTACTGCCGTTGTACCTGTTTATACTACACGCTGGTGCACATGTAGCTACCTATGCGGTAGGTTCAGTTCGGTTCGGTTCAATGCAATGCAACTTGTCTTCTCCTTCATCATCTCGCAGATACTTTTTGATGTTTATGACGAAATAAGGCTCTACGCTGGCGCTGCATAAACGCGCTTCCATGTTTTGAAACACGTTACCCGCGACCACTGACGTCGTTTGGGCTATCATGACCTGTGATCTACTGATAAGCGCATGCCAGAAACCAGACGGAGTTCGTCTTTGCGCATTTCAGCTGAGTTGATGATCAAGACATTAAGACGTAGACGCGTATCATGCATATATAATTACACGTACACATTCAACGTTGGCAGAAAAAATTAGGGGACTTGAAACATCAACACGCTGAAACAGGGCGCGAACGCTCTCTTCTAGACGTTCATTTGCCGAATATGTTTGCCACATGCCAATTTGGTGAAGTCATCCATTCCTGTCTCGATTTTCATCATCTTTTTTTTGCCTCCCCCTGAATTGATGCTGTAAATAACAACAACTTGGGGATTGTCGTGTTTGATCAGCAAAGGGGAATTGAAAGGGCAAATTGCAAAGGGTCAGTCTGAGATAATCATGTCCAGTCGTTAATACTATACTTGGGCATTTGAGTTTGTGAACAGAAGACCATCATCATCGTGTAACACACTGTATTTTCGCGGGCGTACTGTAGTCACGAGGGCTTCGATGCCCCATGCTGCCGGAATAAACCGATTACGATGAATGACCGCTGACTACATGATTCTGATGTAACTCTGAGGGTTTCCATGTGCGACAGGGAGGACCTTCTGGAAGCTCAGCCTCCTTCTCGGCTATTAGGCAATAAACTCGACCGATTATCAAGTCTTCTGCCCAACCTTTCATCACGCCAAGACCTCAACACGAAGTGACTCATTTCCAATTCCATGGCTTTTGTCATCAGCAAAAAGAAAAGAAAAAAGACAAAAAGAACCTGCGGCTGTGTGAATGTCAGGGATCAGGGCCCGTTGGTTTCGCCGTTGACACTAGCCTTGGCGCAAAGTTTCGCTTATTAGTGCCCAGCTTTGACGCTGATGATGATGAAAGGTGTTGAATTTCCCCAGTACTAGGCAGCCAGGCCAGGGCATGGGCTTCGGTAAGACCGCTCGCCGACGCGCTTTATCGTTCCCCAGTATTACGGATGTTTCACGCTGGAATCACAATCATTTGTGGGAATGTGAATGAGGCTGAAAACACAGTACTGACAACGATGCTTGGACCGCACAGAGATACCTGTGATGAGGTGAAAATAAAGTGGAGAGTTTAGGCTGCGTATCAAATTTCACTGGGTAGAGCAAGACAGGCACGATAATTAAGGCTGCAGGATATGGAGATGGTATGATGTAGTATTCAGCTGAGAGACATCTGTAGATTGTTTGGTAGAGTAGGTAAGAAGATACTGCCGTCCAGTGACAGTGTGAGAGTAATAGTAGAGTAATATGTAGGAGAAAGCTGTGAGATGTGTTTACAGCAAACACATAAGATTCCAATCCGTAGTTTCCATAATCGCTTATCCCATTCCCATAAAAATCCAAGAAAAAAAATCGCTTTTTGTCGCTTTCCCAAATACCAAAGGCTCATGTATACAAAACTCCGGGCCCCTTGTAAGTGTATAAGACATAGAAAAGAAAATACAAGCCCAGTTTATGGGGTGAGGAGGCAGCCGTGAGATATCATTCAATGAAAGACAAGATGTGCTAAGAAAATGGGTATCGGGGAAATCATAACACATGTAAGAAAGAGAGAGAGATAAAAAAGAAAAAGAGTACGTCGAGTGTGGTAGGGAGATGTTTAGAAGCTGTTACGATCTTGTTCGCAACGCTGGTTGTCAAGGTCTTCCTTGTGGAAGACGATGCCGCGACGCTTCCATCCTCCGCGTCGGATAAAGTTGTCGACGCTGTCGAGGGAGCGCATGGGAGGACGCTTGGGAGCCAGACCAGGTCGGGTAGTGTAAGTGGTGTTGATAGAGACAGATTGTAGTGATGAGGCATGACGGGATAGACGACGCATCTCCAGGACAGAAGCAGTGTCGTTCTCATCCTCGTCTTCAGACTGGGTGACTTCGGAGTCATCCTCATCGTCCTCGAAGGTCTGGATGCTTTGGATAGTAGATTCCGACCAGCGAGACTTGGGCATGGGAGGTCGTTTTGTTAATGTGGCGAAGAAGTAATCCCTTGGCTCACTGGCCTCCTCATCGGCGACATCTGCTGGGCTCACATGAGGAGGCAGAGCCATCTCGGTGGGCTGCTGAGCAGCAACATCCTGCTCGACGTAATCCTCCTCGTCGACGACTGCGTTGTCAGTTCCGTAAAAGACAGGCTCGGACTCGTCCATGTGGATGAATGGACGTTCGTAAAGTCTGGGTGGTGCGTGGAAGGCGGGATGTGAGGCGAGAGGGTCGACTTCGAGTCGGCCGGCGATTGGTGTCCTGGCGGCGGGTGTTGAGCTTGCTGAGATGGTGGATGATGATGATGATGAGAGTGAGCAGCCGGATGAGAGTGATGATCCTGAGAATGAGACCTTTCGGATGTGGAGGTCGCGAGGACGGCGAGTCGACTTGCGTCGCTGGCCGAAGCCGTGTAACACGTGCATGTTGTTTATTGTGTGTGTGTGTGTGTGTGTGTGTTGTGAGTGAGTTGGTGATGTAATCCAATTATCGCTTCAAATCCAGGTCGAGGTATTATGAAGCGTGGTTGTATCCGGTCCCAGTCCAGGAAGAGTGATGTTGGTGGTGGTGGTGATAGTTGAAAGAGCCAAAAGGTGGTGGGCGATGGTATGAATATATATAAAGCGGAAGAATTACCGGAGATATTATAATATCGATGTAATACTTTAGATAATTCAAGGGCTGCCAGGGCCAAAGTTGGTTGATGAGAATTAGGGTCCGAGATAACCGGGGGGTGTGGGAGTGGTCAAGTCTATAAATAATGAGAGCATCGTATTTCATCGCGGGCGTGAGTGAGTGCTTCGCCCAGCTACCTCCAGCTTAGACCACGAACGTCATCCAGCAAAACAAAAACCCGTCAGAGCTGAAGTGGGCAGAACATCCCTGCTAGAGCGTGAAAGCGTAGGTACCTGGAGACCTGAACATTGCGATCCTGGTCCTGGTGGGCTACTGAGATCTCCACTTGGATCTTGGTCTTTTCCAGCTCCAGCAGAGATTCCCATTCTCCCAGCGCACGACAGGGGTGTCCCGCTGATCAACAACCCCTGTCTCTACGAGAACCGACAAAGTACCTCCGGGTACCTGAATTGAATGGAAATTCACTGGACTGGGCTTTGTTTCGTCTGGTCCTTGAGAAGAAAACGAAACATTTTCAAGCTTACAAAACACCAATTGCATGTACAAGTATTGTCGTATTTGTCATTGGCGATTTAATAAATACACATCCAAACCAAGTGAACGACACCGCTTCTTCTTCATTTGTTCCCTTTTTCACGCTTCTCGTCCAATATGCCAATGCAAATATAAACCCCAGTATCCATATCGTAAGCCTCTTTTTGCGGTCTGGGCCTTTGCTTGTCCGTTGGAAATTCGGTGCCTGGTGCCTTGCTCACGTTAGCCCGAACGCCGCAAAAGCCTCTTTTTACCAGACAGGTCATCAGGCTCAGCGCCATCTGGTAGCTCCCGAGAAGCTTCACACGCCTTATCACCAATATTCTAATCATCTTTTTGGCATTTTGCTTTTTTCTTCCTCTCCCTTGTCCCCGGCTCTCTCTTTTTCCCGTCTCAGCCCGGTTTGACAGGGCCATCGTGACCGCGCCCAGTTCTTGTCCGGGTTAGCCTAGATGCACCCCATTTAACTTGCGGAGTGTGCGCCTCATGGAAATGAGGATATCGGAGTGGGTGACAGTGAGAAAGAGAATGAAAAAGCAAAACCCCGAAAAGGTCTGTGCTTGAAGATTCCTGTCCCGATTTCTGACTCCCAATTGTATTGCCCGGTCCATGTCCGGTCTGTAACTGTAACATGCAGGGCGAGCGACATGTAGAAATCCAACACAAAAGCAAATTATCGTGAGCGCGAGCGTGAGCGTGAGCTTAAGTCTGAGTGTGCATCCAGGCATGCATGTTTTGAGGCCTTAGAGCCAGCTCACTCATCATTGAGAGCGAATAATTACACGCAGCGCGTACTTCGTAGAATAGACCATGCCATGGATCAAGTGCTGGTATACGAATTGAAGTCTACTGGAAGCTCTTTCACAGAAAAGTAATAATAAAAAAAGTAAAAAGTACTGCCTTGTAGCGAATGGCAGATCATGCTGTCACTGGCTATGCTGGTTTGTTTCGTGTGTACGCCAGCGCTGATCTGTTGCTGTATTGCATTGGCACAACAAAATGTCGTGGCACCAAAGAGGACGATATCTCAACGTCACTTTTTGCGCATCAATTGACAACCTCAGTAACAGATCATCACCTCACTCACACCATGCCAGCGGCCAGACCAGCCCTTTCTTGCTTCGCAGCACACACAATTCAGCAGTACCTCCGAGAAGGAAGCCCCAGTTGTCTGCTTGCGCGCCAGCCGAAACTCTATTGCAGCACGTTTTTTTCTTTTCGGGTTTTCTCTTATCGTGGATAAATGCTACTGCAAATCAATCGGAGCTAACTGCCAACAGCTTCGAATTAATGTCTTCACCGCTCGCTCCGCTCAATGTGACAAGTCTCCCTTGCGTCCCAAGTTCAAGAGACCGGACGAGAGGCGGCGCCGCTCGGCGGAGGGGTTCAATTGTGGCTGCCAAGACGCGGTGGGTGTGTCTAGCTTTGTCTACTATGTACGATCAGGCACCTTGGACGATGAAGCAGTCCACTGGGAGTGTCTTTCAGCTGGTTAGATGCAGGTACCGTCCAAAGATTCTCAGACATTGTGTGAGCTGCTTTGTTCGTGATCACGATGTCCAAAAGAACATGATCGATCTCTTATCTGCCCTTGCTAACAAACCCCTACAAGCTGAGTTCTATACCCGGTAATAATCATTTTACTCCATCCATATTGCTTTTCTACCAAGATCTATCGCGATCATTATGACCCCTCCAAAAACCCCCCATGTACACACTACACGCTACCGTGCGGCACAGAAATCACCCACATGAAATGTTGGACCTAACTTGCGATGCGATTCTCACCTGCATCTTGCATGAGACTACCATACCGTGCACCTCTCATGTGGCCTCGCATCTGGGCTCTTGCTGTCTTTGGTTTTTGGAATGCTGCCCAGGTCAAGCATGTGAAGCAATTCACAGTTGAGGCGATTACACACGTGTGAGGGTCACGAGCGAGGCTGCAGCGCCAGAAGGGTGGAGAGTGAAGGATTTTGTTTCACTCTCACAATTAAGAATTGATTAATGGGTACCGTTCTCACGGCGTGAACCCGTCAACCTTTCAGTGGTCTTTGACTGGCTAATTGAGCACAGGCGGTGAATCTGTGAACCCCTCATCCCACTTAATTCGCATTCACGGTGGATGGCTGCTTATGTACGCTTTATGCTAGCACTGAAGATCAAGGGTCTCCGTCGTGGAGATGCGACTGGGTTTAATGCCTCTAGACCGCACAAGTACACTCGTGTAAAGTCATCACATACGATGACGCTATAAGCGGAGAGAAATGTACGATTCCTGGGAGATATCAAGACTCGCTTCTCGTGCTGCGTCTTGGCACTTGATAAACGAGATTAGAAAGATAGAGAAAAAGGCTCGGCGCTGGGCACCTCCGGCTCCGAGACCGAATAATCACGGGATGGACAAAGAGAGAATTGGCATCTTTAACCAGGCTGCCAGGCTACGGAGTAGAGGAGTCCCCAGTCCGAACGGGATCACAATGGTCGAATAGTGATACCTAGTTATTAATCTCCCTCCCTGCATCGGGAGAAGGGTTTTGTAGTGGTAAGTACCAGTGTCGATCGTCAAATTGTGTTCCTGTCATGGATTTGACTTTCTTAATTTTTCGGTATCGGTACTCATTTGCTTCTTTTTAAACTTCCACTTGTTGCCCGGAGTAGCTGGAACTCGGACTCGTTTTCCAGCTTCTTGGGTTTGGCGCGCTCTGACACTTTTGTATCAATGAAACATACCCCGTAAGCTTATGCTATTGGTCTGTCGTGTCGCTGTCGCTGTCATCGCCGTCTCCGGGCGCAGTGGACAGGTAAGCAAGCTGAAGATTACCGTTGCATTGGGAAACAATTATTCTTTTTTTTGCTTCTTGCTTATTTATCAAATTTCAGAATCGGGCATCGCATAATCTCATCTTGTTGCTGGAGATATCCGGGTTCTGCGACCAGAAACAAAGAAGCAAAACCTGCCCCGACGACGAGGTGCCTACAAAAGCAAACTTGACAGGGCAGTTCAGGTTTTGGGGATTTTCGCTTGGAATACAATGAACCTCCACCCAAGTTAATAATACTTGGTTTTTTTCTTGTCACTTTATGTTGCCTTGGTTTTTGGCAGAGTTTACCTGCTCGGCAGATGTGATGTTACATAGACCTGGGGCACAGTTCGGAGTACCCAAGAATAACCTGCTATACTCCGTAGGTACTAAGTATTGAGCATGCATCTTAATTGCAACATTGTTCAGGCACCACGGGCCATCCCAGTCCAAGTCTGTAGGTATTATGTCTGCCCGTATGCAATGTCTTTAGTTCCCGTCGTCCCAAAGGACACGGGCACTGTTTGCTTCGAACGGTTTTTGTGGCTGATATTGGACGCAATAGCTGGGAACCACCGTTACATTTTCGTAATCCAATTAATTCAGCCCCAGGCGGGATGGAAAAGGGAGTCAGGGAGACGAACGAAAGAAAAAAAAAAAAGGTTGTTGGTTGCCGGGCTTGCATGGGCATGGCTTGGCAATATTAAACCAGATGACCTGTAGACAGGGGTCAAGCAAACTTTCCAAGAGTTGGTCGGGCCACTTAGACGCGAGTTGGCCGAAACACCACGATGCCCGAGTCCGGTTGCTACCCTAGATGACGGCTGTGATCATGAAAGTTTAAAGTGATAGTAAAGTCAGTTATCGTATTCTTTGTCTGCTGCGCCTTTCCCGGGCAGCTCGGATGGCGGAACGATCGTATTGTAATACGACCACACACACACATATATGGGATCGATTGATTATAACGTATGTGCATTGCGTGTACGTTTGTGTGTACCTGCATGTACAATGAATTATACCTTGTATTACTACAACCGTTCCAGGAATTGAAAGATTTGTCGCGATCATCATCGCCTCCGACCGCCGTTTAACACACCGAATTAACTTACAGTGACATTAATCAGACTATCCAACTCTCATTGGTCATGACCCCTCATCTTTGAACCCCTTTCTCAAACGACCGCTTTTATAATCAAGTCGCTCCTTTCCCCATCAATTGCGAATATCGTTATCATAGACCTAAACCTCGGCCAATTCTCTCAGTCTCTCTCAAAACCCATCATCTTATCAACGCCGAAAGCTCACGGCCATGCGTGATAATCTCCTGAAGATCACCAGCTAAATGATAAAATGTCTCGCCTATATTGACGGCCAATTAATGGTAAACCTCAATTCGTCCAATGGACGGTGTGGACGATCACCGCAACAGTTCAACGCGGGGCTGGCGTGGCGCTCTGGCCCCTGTGCAGCTGTGCTACCTTCACAATCGTGAAGCTAAAGGCTAGAGCAGCACCATTTGAAGCCCTATCTACTGACTACGCGTCCTCCCGCCCGATAGCTGCCTCTCAAGCGTGTCTTTTGGCAACCTTTAGCCACTTTAGCCTCGACTTTCCCTTGTGCTACTTATCTTGGCTTCATCAGTCTATGTGATAATCTTTGGAAACAAGCCACTCCTTGGGATGCTAGACTGTGAGGAGACTCGGGTTTGAAGTCAAAGCGTTCTCTAGATCGCCGATGCGGTGCCATGTTAATTAGGAACATTGCGCATTGTGATTGAGATGTGGTATGATGGGAAACCTCATGACAGCGATCAGACATGTACGTTTAGCATCACTCACAAGTTGGAGCTAAGCTTTGCTGATGGATCAGGCGTAGACCTGGAGATTGTGAGATGCAGGACTGCAAGGGGCATTGTGTCAACGTGACCCGATGCAAGGGATAACCAGCAGTGATTGACAGTTTGATCAGCTACCAAGTGAAGATGATATGTGTCCAGGGACGAAGTACTTTGTACTATCGAGTATGAATCAAGTGTCTGTTCCCAAATACGCGTTAAGATAAGGTACCCGTGCGTAGTAGTCTGCCTGCACCCACCGGTGCTTGCAGTCTACGACAAGTTATACTGGCATGACTTACACCTGCAAGTCTCATATGTAAGTTTGGGAGGGTGGAGGTTTGAGTTTCTCGGTCGCTGCAGTCAATCACTCATGCATCCCACTCTCACATCGTCCGCCCGTTTCAAGTCTGTGAAACATCTCGCCCTCCAATAACTTAGAATCAAGATCGAACTTCCATAGCCTCATCGAAGTTCGGTCATTCTGACGTTAGATGTTCTCACTCCAGCCTCGATCCTCGCACAACTGCTGTCTGAGATACCCCTTGACCACGCGGCCGGGTCGAATACTGCTGACGTTACGGCTCGTTCCATACAGCCTCAAACCTACGACACTCCGCCACTTCCAGTCGAAACATTTGGGGGGAAGACGGGCGGCTTTCACTCAAACACGGAATTGGAGACATGAACAAACGCGTTCTCATTCCCAAACACCAAGACGCCTTTGATGCCATTTACATATCGTACACGGCCACCCCCTTGCCGACCCTTGCTTCGTGGTGATTTTAACAACGTCCCTAGCACCGGGTCGATACAAGTGATGACGTTAACGTAGTCGTTATCATGGGCTTTTGCAACCATCTCAAGATACTGATCTTGATGGCATCGATGATTGTTTCTAAACCGTGATGCCTTTCTCATGCATGTAAAGCAAGGGAGCCAGTGCAGCCTCGTTTACAGCACGCCATCATTCTCACCGGGAAGTCGCTTTACACGCTTCTGCTCCCAGTCATCAAGGTCTTTACCAGCAAGTCTCTGTTTTCCAAGAATTAGTCAAATGAGTGTCCCAAGCAGCATTCTTGCTCCCATGCCAAGAGTGAGACGCACGTAGTATTCCTCCTTCATGTCCACCTTTCTCGCAGAGCGGCGCACGTTGAGCTCCTCGTCCTTGGTCATCTGGCGAACCTTGCGATCATAGCGTTCGTACCGGACAGCAGTGGCTGGCGTAAGAACGAAGGATCCGGCAACGATGACACTCACAAAGGGCAGGCCGAACATGAGGAAGGGATGCTTGTTCATGAGGGTACGGTAGCGCATGCCGATGCTGTTCATGTCGGCTGCGGACCGGAACTTTTTGTTTTGAAACGACGGCATCGTGGGTCACTTGCCGGCCGGTAGGGCTGCCGTTGTCGGAGAAGGGGTTCGGGAGCTCCGTGAGCTACTCGGGATGGCGCAAAGAGTCGGCAACGCCAGATGTTTCTACGTCGGTCGTTTCGTTCGTGAACGGATAGTGGAAATATTTCGGTCGTGGCGGTTGTGGAGATTGAAATCGAAGGCGGTGGACTGTGGTCCCAGTGCAATGGATTCGTCTGGTATTGTTCGGTCTGGAGCGAAGTGTGGAGAGGAAAGGATTGACCAAAAGGAAGAATCTGATTTGATTTGATTGTCGTTGTCAGAGGCCGAGCCCTGCAGTGGATGGGATGACCTGACTCCATCACCCATCACCGAGACCCCCACTTTTACCGCTCCGAACGTCTCAAGGCAGGTGCGCGTTTACATTTTTTCCGGGCCGACGACTCGACATTGACGACAAGGAGACTTCCGACAGCCCGGTTCTCCAAATTCAGGGTCCAATCCCCCACTTTGCATGGAAGAGCCGAGACGAACGGCACATTGACTAACAACGAATAACTTCATCAAAAGTCCAACACCAAAGCCCGAGTTCAATTAACACAGACCACCTGTCATTTGCCACTAGCCACGACAGAAATTTCCCTGAAGCCTCATGTTGAGCGAAAAGAAGGGTCCAGAGGGTCTCATGTACCGTCCTGTACCGCGCCAGATGACATGTACGACGTCCGAGCTGTTGAGAAACAGCCTAATCCATGCCTTTTGGAAATAAGATGACTCCATCGTGCAACTGGACCCTGAATATTCTGTCTGGCATATCCTGGGGGAGTCAGTGACACACCTTGACTGGATTGGGCTCGCGTGCCCGCCCCATGAACTCCTTGACGGAGCCTGATATTACACAGACGAGCCCGTGCTTGCTGGCCTAGAACATTCAACAATGCTGGGCTTTCGAATTTCGTTCGAACTCTGTTCTATACTGCTTCTAGTCAGGAACGGAAACAGTCAGCGGACACCGTCTTTCCTCCAAGCATGAACCCTGTCTGTTGATGGATATCGGTGACAACGTTGAACATTAGTCTGCTGAGGCTTTGGTTAGCTGAGTACTAACCGTTTGTCCAAGCGACCAATGGTATTGTTCGTATAAGGGTTTCTTGTTGTTGACCGTTTATTTTAGCTTAGAATGGCATAATAAGGGGTCTTGTTGTTAGTGACACGTTGTGCAGGATTGCAATAACGTCCGAGTTATTGAGCTTGTCCTAGATTTTTGCATGTGTATACTTCAAGATGGACACCTCGAAGACATGTGCTTATCGACAGGTTTGCTTCGGTCACCTGGGGTGTGTACGAGCGAATTTTTATTACACTAGAGTACGATTGTGTTTGATACCAGGGCTTAACGACTTAAGATAATGTGCTTATTCATAGAAATGTACTTAGTATTAATCTTTGAACGAGTGCTGAATCAATGTTAGGACTTGACTGCTCCAGCCCCAAGACTTGGATCATTGGGAATGCAAAGCCTGCTAAAGTATTCGACGTGCGGCTCGCCGTGCGGCTCAAACCTCTTCCTCACGAGCTTGAACGGGGATAACTCGCTGTATACATTTGGCCAATTCCAGGAAATATGAGATACTACAACCAGTACCAGTCATCGCGACGTATCTGCACTAGTACCCATCACCCAAACATCTCTAGATGTATCAGAAGCATCCACAAGCACACGAAAAGTCAAACGAGTTCAGCCAGCTTATTCAATAGAAATATCTCACCTTTAAAAGCCTCTGGCGACTAACACTCATCTGGCTAAATATCACCACTCCCAAACTTCTCATTGTCTTCCTAACAAGGCCATTTTGAGTACCATGAGAGTCTTCATAGCATATCATGTCGCTTTGGCACTGGAAGTTACTGTGTACATCTCGTCATATTCATCATCAAGAGTTTCACAATTCATGGACGCCGTGTTATCTGTTCTCACGCCATAAATATCAAGTTAACCCTGCACACTGTACCCAAGGCTGCCGCCCACAGTGCTCTTGACTTGATGTCAGAAGGCCCAGAGGTAGGAAAGAAGAGCCACATGGACTTTGACTAGTTATCACCACACTATATCAGGCAAATACACAACGGGTAGGAATTGCAAGATCTGCCATTGCCAGCTCATTGCAACACGAGCTGGTGCTAGTTATGTAATGCCTCATCTCTGGGCCGACTGTCACGGCTGCAGAGCTTCTTGGGTCCCTGAGTGCTAATCTAGGCTTGGGCAACGCAAGGTCGAGAGTACTTCGACAAGTTGGTCTAGAAACACGATTGTGTTTAGGTAGATTATGATTTATTGTAGGACCATCACATGTTGGACTAGCACTAACCATACATAATTTGCATGTAGTGCCATGTGGTTAATCTGGGGGAATCGTTCAACCACTCCCGGGACATGATCGAACAAGTATGACTCGACTTGGCTTCTATTTCAATTCCACTTTAAAATCTACTATTTTACTACTCTTGTATTGTCGGCTATTCATGATCATCGCTTGGAACTTCGCTTGACGATTAGTAAGATCGTCGTTAATAAACTCGTACAGGAACCACATAATCCACATTGTCTAGGCATGCCATTTTTGTTTTGGTGCATACTCTTTGACTGACCGGAAGCTTTCCCTTGATGCAATCTTGGCACAGGTGGCTCGAGTATTGCAAATCGTAGGGTTGCAGATCCTGTAGCATCCATCTTGCAGTTCTTGTGCAAGCTTTGTCCAATTCGTCTCCATCTATCAATGCCCTTCAACTTACAACAGGAGCAATGTGGCAATACAGTCCTTGTAGCCTCGCACCTATTCGGGCTCTTTATTGGATAGTCGTCGCGATTCGCCTTCGGGACTCGTGAATCCTGTCTTGTGCCCTCTCGTGAAATTCACAATAAATCCGAGGTTGGGTCCAGTCCTGCTTCGTACGATCCATTAGGCAAAGTAACTCTTCCAGAGCACTCCCTCAAGGTCTTCGAGTTGTTCAGAAGTAAAGTACTATGCAAATGTTAGCTATGCCCTCCTAAAACTTTGGTCTAAGACAAAATATAATTATAACATACCTTCTGGTCAACTGTCCAACTGTCTTGACGAGTCTTCTTGAACTCGCTGAGAATGGCTTTTGTAGCCTTACCCACCACACCAGGATCGGCAGCAGCTTTGCGAGCCAGCATTGCCAACACCTCAGGCATCCATTCGGGCGGAGGAGTGGCATAAGGGAATGCCTCAATCAAGGCGCCTAAGCCGAGTACTGCTGCGTGACGTCTTGTGATTTGCTTGTGAATATCGACGGGGGTATCTGTCCCAGCAAGATGGCGATTTCGCTTTGGCATGGGGTTACGCTCTAGTTCATCCTCGAAACGAGCCTTGAGATGGGTGATCGTAGGGTCACGAATGCGACGAGGCGAGCAGCGGATCATACCAGCGAGGGTAGTAGAAGCGCATGAACGCACCTCGAGCTGCGGGTCCCCAAGCATATCAGACACAGCGGTAAAGAGGGCATCTCTTTGAGCTCTTTGTGTTAGGAAAATGCGTCTGAAATAGATGACCTGCATATTGACAAGTGCTCGTAGCCTTTGATGCCAGCTAGTCGAAGTCTTGCCAATACGAATAAGTGCATCGATGAATTCTGCATCTTCACCGTCGCGGAAAGGAATGTTTGGTAAGTGACGATATACATGATACGCAAGCCTCATTAGCTCAGGATCCTCTTTAACATCCATCATGTGAAGTAACTCTTCCATGAAGGGGGTAGGGAAGAACGGCACAAGCTGAATACACTCATGGGACGAGAGTGTACAGTCAAGCCACATGAGAACAGTCTTAGAACCTGAGGTATAAGAGCTAGGTGTCTGCTGGCCAGGCGTTCTCTCGTGTCGCCATTTCTCGAGGCGACCGAAGACGTCTTTGATAGTGGCTGCAAACTCCTCCGTTGGTTGATAGGGTCTGATACCGATGGGTGAGGCAGCCTTGTTCTGTTCCAAAAGTTTGCTCACGTTCTCAAATGATTCATGGTATCGAGTCTTGTAGATGACTGACAGTACTCGGCCGATGGCTTCACGAACTGCCTTGTAGGGATGATCAATATGAGCAAGGAAGTCATCGAGGATGGGTTGGTCGTGTCCAAAGTGCCAACCGCCATCTGCGACAATGAACTCCAACAGCTGAACCTTTGAAGATTCCTTGAAAGCTGCGTTCGATGTCATATCCAATCGGAATGCTCTAAGAGTATCCACGATTTCATGCGATCGACGAGGGTCCTTGGAATCAAGAACAAGGTGCAGACATGTGAGCCAGTATTGCAGGTTATCGGGTGTTAAATCGTCCGCAAAGATCTTGAGCATGAAGGGTGCAGCGTACTCCCAGACACGGTTTCGAATATCTGGAGGATCATCGCTGGAGCCTGCGAGTAAAGCACCAATGATTTCTGATGTTGCCCGATGCTGGTGTTTGTCGTTACCATCACCAAATACTTCCTTGATCAAGTCTTTGACATCGTCCAACGTAATCACTGTCTTCCCGTAATGCATCAAGTCGAAAACATGCATCAGAAGATAGACATTGCTCATCCGGAATCTATCCGTGGACGCGTCTCGCGGCTCCTGCTTCAGGTAGTCGAAGCACTGAGATAGCCACTCACGATTCAGGATTTGACCCATCTGGGCACGCAAAGCGCTCTCTACTTCGTCGTATGCGTCGAAAGGAAGTGGCTTTGCTCGGTAGGCCGTGAACTTCTTGCCCCATACAAGCCATCCAGGGTGATCAGCATCTACCATGTACTCAGCTCCCTCAGGCTGTTTGAAGGCCTCCAAGAAGTTATGAGTAAACTCGGCATCGCCTTTCTCGACGTTAACTTGTATGCGATTCCTATCGTTTGATTCCTTCTCGAGAAGATAGTTGCGATAATCGTGGCCATAGACAGCTCGCATATCAACAGCTGTAAAGACAGAGGTGAAAGCACTCAAGTAGTAACTACGCAGGCCAGGGTGAGGATCATTCGTGCCTTGGGCGACAAGATCGACAAACTCGGGGGGCGCTAAGGTATGGAAACGCAGACACAGATTTGTCGCAAAGATTGCACACCGCGTAGCGATTTTCCAGTGAGCACCCTTGGCTCGTTGGATCAATTCCAGACCCAGGCTCGACTTGGACTTTTCGACTCGTGTTCGACGTTGCAGGATAAATTGATGTCGGCTTTCGATGGCTGCTGAGACGTCCGCAGCGGGCTTGATTGTATTGACAACTTCATCGTCAACAATGATCATGCGTTCAAAAGGCTTTCCAAAGTCAATCAGCGTGTAGAGCGCCGATGAACCCAAGTTCTGAATCGAAGGCTTGTCGATACCAGCAGTCTCGATGTACAATCTCATGGCTTCTGGTGCGAATCGCCAGTCCTTGAGGAGAGTTCTCAACAATGAAGTGAACAGTAGAGTGTACATGCCTCCCTTGATTCTATCGTGATCATTTGTGGCAAGAGCTTCCTTGAGACGTCCGAGAATAACAGGAATAACCAGAGGTTTGCTACCAATGAGCGATTTCAACGACGAGTCTTGGGCACTCTGCGCGACTCGTCGTACATCGGCGTAAAGCGAAAGGCTGGATTCGGCAAGGTCGAGCAACAGCCGTTTGTCCAGTTCGCTCTTCTGCCTCGAGGAAGCATTGTGTTTACGTCGTAGAAGCTGGTAAGCCTCAGCCCGCTTGATGAGAAGAGGTCGAGGGTAAACTTTCCTGAGGCCTTTGATCTTGAAGGCGGCAATATCGGATTTGTAGAGCCGTAGATGTCTTTCCAAGGGGTGAGCAGTACGCTCAATGCCGACATCGGTAATCCAAGTACGATAAGCAGAGTACAGAGCAGTGAAGGAGTTCACGTCATCTTCTTGATTGGCGTTAAGGAAAGAGTGCGTCTTGGTCAAAAGGTGGCCAAGTTCCTCTCGCAGGTCATGGATCTTGTTATATGCGGGGTCACTGGACTTGAGCGCATAACCTGCCTTGTATCGGAATTGTGGGCGTAGTTCCTCATCTTCCGCAACCTCGGCAAGGGGGTCTTCGTCAATCATCATCTCATCATCATCTTCGCGAGCAACATCATGATCCTCGTCGGTGTTGCCAGTCATGATACCAGCGGCACGTTCGGGGTCGAACATCGTGGCCATGCCAGAAGTAACAAGGCGAATTTGTTGCATAAGACGGGAAACTTCATCGGACCACTCCTTGTTCTTGCCTGTTCTGCTTACAGGTGGGTTGTCGCTCATTAGCGATTCCAATTGATCCTTGGCAGACTTGGTTTGGGACGCAAACAATTCAACGGCGAAGTCAATCTCAGGAGGCGAGGGCTGATGCCATCGGATACTGAGGTCAGCAGGCGCAGTCGTTTTCCCCCAGTCATCAACATCGAGTCCACGTTCGATGACCTCGGGTTCGTACAAGGCGTGGTCGATAGGATAGGTGTGGGTCAAGTTCAGCAGGAGATGATGAATGTAGTTCGAGACTAGAATAGTAGGCAAGCCACGACATTTCTCCTGCATATACTCAGCGATACCCAGAAGCTCATCCTTGTACTTCAGCACTTCGCTGCCAACATGCACGACAGCCATGGCCAGCATACTAACGTACCATACTAGAGCTCGGTCGCGGGGTAAATAGTCTGTGCCACTACTTCGATCTGATGCAGCATTGTTGAAGTCAATCTCATTGCGAATACTGACAACGAGCATCGGGATGAAGACCTTTAAAGTCTTCTCAGGATTGACCTTGCAAAGCGCGTTCAGAATCCATGCCATCGCATCACGTGCTTGGTGAACGACATGGCTTGAAACAAATGTGGCCACCTTGTCTAGGGCCATATCAAAGAGCTCCGGTGAAAGTGATGCGAAAAGAGGCGACAACGCAGCTGGCAAGGCATTGATGACATTGTCTTCAGGGGTTCCTCCGCGAACTTGATTGGCATCAGGGAGGTTCTCCAAGAGAGTGAACACCTTTCCTAGTAGTGTCAAAATGAACTCCCCAAACCCAGTTGTTGACGACCTCAGGATAGTGGCCTCGTCTTCGTCACTAAGTTCGTTTTTGTAATCGAACTTTACGTTCTGTCCTTCACGCTCCATACGATCCATTTGGCCCTGAACCCACTCCATAGCCAATGTAGTGTCATGGATATGGCTACCCTCCTTAGTCAAAGGCACCATGGGGATACTGTAAGCGACACTTTGGATGAAGTTCAGTGTGTATTGGGTTTTGTTGAGATCGTTGGCGTCGATGCCCGGGAGAGCAAGAGCAAGGAGAGCAGTGATGTGGCACCTATAACCCTTGTGCTTGGACATGATGTTGGCGATCATCTGCAGACCGTTTAAGCTTGACGTGGTTCTGTGTACCTCCACTAATCCTTGGAGACTAGGGTAAAAGCGTTGCAGAGCACCTGGCAATACCAGATCGGGCTCAAGGTATGCCAGCCCTTGCAAGGCGCTGTAGTAGTAATAAGAGACACGGCTGCTCTTGGAAAATAGGCCCATGAAGGTCACTTCCTTGAGTGATGTTACGAAACGCTTCTTCAACTCATCGTTGATCTTACGGTCCTCTGGCAGGTCCAGTTCGCCACTTTGCTCGCGGTTCCATCGCGACACGAATGCTTCAGTGAGGTAGAGAGTCAATTGACCAAGCATGGTGGTCCATGAGCCTTGGTTCGAAGGATGGAAGAATGTGTCAATGGACTCCATGAGGCCCTCCAGTTGCGAAATGATAGAGTCATCATCCTTCAGACAAGCAGGGGACAAAGAGCTCACGATCAAACGAGAAATCATGTAGGCCACGGGATACTTTTTCTTATCCTTCTCCACGTAGACACCTGCGCCGGAAAGGTAGTCTAACGGCGTATAGGGGGAGTTGGCTTGGCCCACAGGAATCTGGGTGAGCCTCAAAATGGCTGTGAAAATGAGGTCGGATTGATCTTTAGAGAAAATGCCATGACTACCAAAGGGAACATATGAGCAGGCTATGTGATCTCTGGCAAGACGGGACAGCAAGTCAATGAAGAAGATGTCAAAAGCCTTGGATCGATTTATGATAGACCATAGATGAAAGAGCGTGGGGAAGATATCGGCTGGCTGCGACTGAGGTTCGCTGACCGGAGCGGGGTGACTGGGAAGCAGAGTGTTCAAAACACCTGCAACGATAAACGCGTTCGGTAATTCATTCACGCTAAAGAACGGCAAGAATTCCTCCAACATTGCTCGACGCTCGGAGGGATCGAAGTATGTGTGGGCATGACTGCACAGCTTGAGGAGTTGTTTCGCTGAGCGTTTACGGTTGCTTTGGTGCGCGGGGACCTCTGATGGCAGAACCCAAGCCTTGATCTCGTTCCAAAGGGGCCTCCATTCAAGGACAAGGTCTTCACCCGGTTTCAAATAATGATTCTTCCTGCGTGATGTGAATGGGTGCTCACGAGTTTGAACAACGTACATACCTTGTCAAAGTCAAAACCATGCGCAGGAAACGATCCGAGGCTGTGGCATCTAAGCCCGGAGCGAGCGCAAGGGAGTAGTAGAGTTTAGCTAGCTTTGCCCGCTGTTCCCTGGTCATCTCAAACTTGAGATTGAGCCATCCCTGAAGCTCTTTGGTCCAGTGGAGGGCACCAGGGGAGAAATCCTCTGCTCGAACGGCAATGTATAGCTGTTTAAGAATACCTTGCAGAGCAGCATCGCGCTGGGACTCTTCCTCGACTTCGAATGGAAGCTGCGAAAAGTAGGCAAAGGTTCGGGGTCGATAGCGCTTCTTGTCGTCTTCATCGGTTCCGGTCTTTGGGTAGGGAATGCCGGGGGACGTGGCTCGTGAGATAGGCTCATATGGTAAGAAGTTTGCTAATAGGTTAGAGCTAGCTGTAGACGGTATAGAACCGTGTCCCGAAAGACGAGGCCCAATATTCTCGTCCATGTCGGGCGGGCGAGAGGGCGCTTCGGGGTGATGAAGGAGGAGTTCTGTCGTTAATGATGAGTAAGTTACTCGAGTATCGTCCAACGGCCGGGAGTAGGAGCTCAGCGCAACAGCTCGGGCGGGACGTTTGTTCAGTTAATCGCAAGGCGGGGCGACGAGACGCGGGTGCGCATTGGGATTCTCCTAGGCCCAAGATGCAATGTAGTAATAAAAGGCAAGGTGCGGCGACCTGGCCATAAATATGCGGATAAGAGAGTAGTTGTGCAGAGACGAAAAGTCGAAGAGGGGAGGAGTTGAAGGAATAAGAAGCGGGCTGGAGGACCTTCCCTGGATGATGATGGTACAGCACTGGAGGTAGATGGATGATGCCAGCAGCAGTAGCCTGGCGGGACACACCTACCTCAGACTCTCAGAGCTAGGTATGGATCCATTCTTTTCTGGAGCAAATGGCGCGTACCTAAGTTAGCTTCCCTTGCCTCGCATATAAACCAAATCACTCTGAATCTCGGACTATAAAAGCCCAGAATTTTTAAAGACGAGATGCTACAGTTGATAGGTATAACTTTCTTGTTATTTTTACTCAGAGTTAAGATGAAGAAAGACAAAAGTCCCTCTAGAGTTATACATCTCTTCCACTCGCTTTGCCGCTAGGAGCTCGAATATGCGAAGCGACCAAGCTCCTTTTTGTTGTGAGTAAAAGCTTATGGCTCTCACTGAAATACCGGAATTGAAGTCTAAAAAGAAAGTGCAGAGAAAAGGGAAACATTCCTACCTGAGATAGATTCAGGCATTACCTGGTCACCAGCTGTTCGGCTTATTTCAACGCTGATCACGCATTGAAACCTAGGTATCTGTCCCAACTCGTTGCCCCGTATCTTCCTAGTACCCACCTGGCGGCTGCTTGCATCTGTGGCGTTTGGTTCCACTTTGTTTGTCTGACTCTCAAACTCCAACCAGCAACTAATCAATGACCAAACGTCAACACTATCACAAACAAGAGTGTGCAATGGTGATACCGCTTTGTCCCGAGTACCGACTAACCTATGTTGTTTTTATTCTCGAACTTCTATTCAAACAAGGTCATACAATCACTCTTAGCGTAGGTAGTGAGAAAGAAGTTGGGATATCCAAGGCAGCGGGGCAGCGTTGTCACCAAACATCAATGCTTAGGGGTCCAATAGGACATCATGTAACACGACGTGAAGAGCATGCTTACTCTCTAAGACGGCCAGCGGAAGCGTACGCATGACACCTGGAAGCGCTGTCATCGGGCACCCGAAGCAGTCCGATACCGTAATATAAAACACGCAAGCTCGCTATGCCTGGCCCAGTGGTCTAATGCTTTCCCGTATTTGCGATCACACCAGCTTCAATTACGTCTCTGTCACTGCCTGATATTCCTAAGAATATCCGGCGAAAGTTCATAATTATGTGCCGATGTGATGAGGAAACCTTCATGATGTTCGGCATACGTACATATTAAGGAGCATGCTGATAGGCCCATTAGCCAGTATTTTCTCTGGGTAAGCATTCCTTGCATCCTAACTCTTGATCCGGTCAAAATGATCCCCGGCCCCCACTGATCTTCCGTGCGGGTGCCATTCCGGGCCAGCAACTAACCCCACTTCGCCGAATGTTACGGCTCAGATTGTCCGTTCTCACGGCGGGATGCCGGATTTAGAGTTTATCAACCGGGGTCCCCTCGAAACATTACGGGGAGAGCAAAGCAGGGTCATATGGTGTGGAAAAACAGTCCTTCTGAGGACGACGCTATATTTATATTACAATCACCATTACGGTTCTCAATATTCTAACTTAGAAGTGAAGGCATCTTCAGCCTGCGCGTGGGAGTTGCTCCTCCTGCGGAAAATTTTATCTGCGAAATTTCTCATAGTAATGCTCACGCGTCTCGTTGGTGGTCTGTCTTGCTTGAGATCAAGAGTCTCAAGCGGCGGTCGCCCTTCCTCACTAACACGAGGCACCACGAACCTCTTGACAAACCCAGCATTATAGGATACCGACCTTCGACGGTTGGGAATATCTGAAGAGGAACTGTCCACAGAACTGCCTGCCGGACTTGTGTTGGTGCGTGGTAATTGATGAGAAGGATTAACAAGAGAAAGACTGGGACGAGCAGGGAAAGTCTGAGCTCTCTGCTGCCCACCATTGCTGAGTGTGCGTTTCTGCAATGTGGAAGATGCTCTGCAAATTCCCGACACTGGCCACCCATTCTGTCGGAGGTTGATCCAAGAGGCGGTTGCCACCATCAATAGTTTAATGTCTTCCGGAACCACCTTTGTCAATCGTGATTGGATTTCAGGTGGGTTGGAGACAATCCAGTCGCTGGCAAGCTTGGGATCCAGTGGGGTATTTCGAGTAGGAGGATAGCGACCGCTTGAGGTCGACATGGTATTATAAGTATCGAATACGTCCAGCGTATTTGACATAAGGGACCCCATGATAGGATGTCTTCGCGTATCGGGGTGTATCATACTGAATGTCCATTTGACTTCCGCCGGCATCGGGCTCGGTGGAGGTGTTTGTTCGCCATTGTTCCTGGGCATGGGAGACGTTGGCGTCGATGTCTTCCTGACCCAGCGCGCTGTGCTGATCCGACCGCGCTCATCAACACCAAGAAATTCATACGACCCGTTGGCCATCAAGCTTGATTCCCATGTTGATCCATCCTCCATTACTATCTCGGCTGATTCATCACCCATTTGAGAAAGAGGACTGATAACTGCAACAACATCTCTTTGGTCTAGCGAGTCTTCGGCGTCAAGAGATCCTGGAGATGCTGGCGTATCGTAGTCCTCACTGCGGACGATAAGAAGATCATTAGGGCCTAGCGCTGGCTTCGTACGGAACAGGTGAGGGCAACGTTTCGCCATGCGAGGCACAATTTGGGAGCCTGTGATGAGGCTGGATGGAACCACATCAAATGCAGGAATGGGTCGCTTTTCGCCAAGCTCCTGTAGTTGAAGGAGAAGTCGTGGGCGCTGGACTAGCCGGCGTTGCTTGGCTCCTGGTCGAGGAGCCGGATGTGCAAGAAGAAATTGTGTAGACCGTCTGAACGTGCGCTTCCTTCTCCTTCTTCGAGGAGTCGTGGAGGAATCACTGAGGTCACTTATTTCCGAACAGGCAGCTGAGCCTTCATCTTCGCTTTGAATCTCTGAAGGTGGGAGTTCGTCATCGGTCTCGGGTTCGAGGAAGCGAACGGAGAGATCTCGTCGAGGGATGTACTCAGACTTAGGCCTGGGGCGAGAGGTTCGACGTATTGGTGTCACCGTAGTTATGGGAGCTGCTTTCTCATGATATGATGTTGGTCGAGGTTGAGGTTGAGGTTGAGGTCGAGGTTGTGGTGATGATGTGATAATTGCTGACATGGGCCTTGTTGTTCTATCGGCATCCGACGTTCGTCGAAGCGCAGAGCGGAGGAAAGGCATTGGCCCTTTGGGTGCTTGTGTAGATGACCGATTTGACGAGTATTCGTGGCCGTGAAGGCTAGCACCAGCATGTAGAAACATCGTAGCCAAGCCGACTCTGGATCGAGCTCATGCAATAGCTCAATTTGGATGACAATTGGTTTTTAAAGTGAAGACAGAACCTATTATCGACTATAGCTGACTGATGATCGCTGTTGAGTGAAACGAACAAAAACCGAAGTGTCGAGAAGTTGATCAAGATATGATATGTAGTTAGGTGAGGGTCGAAGCCGAATACGCAGCAGCGAAAACCCAGGGCGTGATCAAGCAATATAGTAACCGATCTGGCGGGACTTTAAGCCGGGGAGCTGTGGTCCGATGAGACCAGGGTGCGCGAGATGGGATGATACGGGACAATGTGACCCGCCGTGGAAGCCAGCACTTGGACAATACACGAACTGGTAGATGAAGAAATGTTGAGCGATGTATCAAAAGACGAGAGGCTGGTTTGATGTCGCCAGGGGGGTTATAGCACGGTTGAATACAGTACGTAGGTAGAAGTTGCTATCAAGAAGGAGTTCGCTTGTAACTTCGAAAATGACCTGACAACAGGTCGCGTGTGTTCTGGTAGGATTTAGAGTCAGCTTTGAAGAAAGCGGTCACTGTTGCAAGCAGATGATAAACGATTATTGTTGAGCGGCGTAGAGCTGTAAGGCGTTATGGTCTCATGGGTTAGGGTCGGTCAAGACAGCAAAGGAACAGACGATAGAAGCGGTGGAAGGTGCTCGGGAGTATATCGAAGCCAGACGCGACGATGGGCAGATCCAGGGGTATTAGAGCGAGAAGTGAGCCTAGTTTAAGGCAGGCCAAGCTGGGGTAAGCAATGGCTTTTCCATGACTGTCATAGCATGGCCATTAAAACTGCGTCAACGGGACCTGGTACAACTCGCCTTAAAGCCAAGGATAGGGCGGTCAAGCCGCTCAGGCACAGCTCAACGATGCCGCGAGACTCCAGTCTCCATCCGCTAAATAGATGACCAGGGGTTGAAGAAGCGGCGCCGGGAACAACATGCTGCAGACACGCGAAGACAGGGGATAGAGAAGCGAGTATGACTTACGTATTAGTACATGCACAGCATTGAAAAATTGTTGAGTGACGGCTAAAAAGTCAGGGTGTGATGGATGATAATTCTGAGGCTGGGAAATTGAAAGAAACAAGAAGGAAGATTCAGGTAGAGGAGAAAGAGAAAGAGAAGAAGGAAGCAAGAAAGAAAGGAGGAGATTGAAGGAAGAGGGTGGTAAGATGAATTTAGTGAGGCCGCCCTAGGATCAGCGGGCTTGATATTAATTAGCAGGAGGTGACCTCAGCTGCTAATTACTGGTTGTGGTTGTGGTTGTCCCTGTCGACTTGTTGTCTCGAGATGTCTCTGATGCTTTTTGCTTTTTACTTGTGTACCGGTACGCCGTACTTTGGGCTGGCTCGTTCCCCAGGTTATTTCCCTTTTTAGTAGCCAATCCTGGTGATCGCAGCCCGATATTGTTTCGCTGCTTGACCGGCTTGATTGATAATATTCGCTTCCCTATTAATGATTGTACGTTGACGTCGCGTGCTGGTCAAGATTGTGTCACCAGACCAAGCCTCTCCTTTCTGTAACGGTCCCGATTTCTTAGCTTCAAGGCTGGATGCGGCTCTTTCTCTCGCCAAGTAAGGTGTGACAGTGATAATCGAATTTGAAGAAAATGTCAAAGTTGAGAGTAAACATCAACTGTGTTAAAAGGAGGCTGGGTATGGCGCTTTTTTACGGCGATCAATGCTTTTCGCTTCAACTAACCTTGATTGTAAAGCATGGGATAGATTTTTCTCTTCTTCTGCCTTCTCCCGTGTCTTCCAGTTGATCCCCGATATTAGCGAAGTGGGGGAGCGGGTCATAAACGCATGGATGGAAAACATGGAAAGTTGGAAACACAACCGATGCATCCATGATCTATCCGTATCCCACGGAACCTCGCTTGACCGAGAGCTGTTGCTTGGTTGTTGACTTCGGCTCACTTGGCCATATAATTAAGCTTTCTGGCGATCAAATCGCTGTCCCGCAACCCATACTGGAATGTCATATGAGGTGATGTTACCCATTTCATCATTTGCCGGGGACGCTCAATGCAAGCTGCGGCACCTCCCGTACAAGACTGGCCCAAGCTGGATTAGACACACCAACACGAATACGAGAGGGCTGGGAAGCCAATCGAGTTATCCCATCGATAAATCATAGACTAAGTTAGATGAATGTATCGCTATATAACTTTAAACTCTCAGCCGTACCGTCAGTTAGCAATAGCACATTTCTGAAGCGGTTCAAATTACCATGAGCTGTTACAGAATTCTTGTCCCAATACATCCTCCCAGCATTCAGGGCCTGTCTTACCAGTATACCCTACAGTGGCTCCTTCAGGAAGAGATGAGATGAGTGTAGTGCTGACGAGAAGGATTGCCACAGACATAATCTGTGTCTTCCTTACAAATAGAACGACCCACATGATTTGTGGTATAACGGTTTATCATAACTGCTTCCCAAAGAGCCGGTTATAATAGCACGTATATTGATTTACTTATTCCACGTTGCAGTCGATCTCCACACTATTCGCTTATCACCGTGGTTCACAGCTCACATTCTTGCGGTCAGAAACGCCCGCTTTGCAGCACACAAGCGTAACCTGCACTTATTCTCGGTGATATGATCGTCATAAACTGTCTCAGTCTCGAGTCCATTTGTCTGCGAGGTTGCGAAATTCCTGTATGGTGATGCACTGACAACTATAGCAAGTCTGTTTGACTATCGAAACTACCTATTGTCGCAAACAGTAGAGTTCACAGCGCAACTATGGATTCGGCATATGTCAAAGCCCACAACGTTTGAGATTTATCTGGATAATCTGGTCACGGATAGGAAAACCCTAAGAGCGGTCGAGCCGTTGTAAGTTGAACGAACTAGAGCTTTTTTGCATGCAGGAAACGACAAGGATGAGTAGGCACTTGCATCCGCAGAAACAAGCATGGATTAGTTAGATCGTGCATACATGCGCATAGTACATACATATCGCCAACTCAGAATCCCAGACCGCCTGTCTGGTACTGAAACGAGCCAATTGTTACATGACAGCTATGAGCACCGTTTCCAATGGCCTGCTGTATCGCGTTATTGCACTTGTTGGGGGCACCATTTGAAGTCATGGTGTTGATAGTTTTCAACCTCACACCATCAGGACCACCATTACTTGCCTTGCATCGGCACAGTTTGTTTAAACGAAAAATGAAATAAACCAGTACCACATTTAAGGCATGATGAAGCGCCCAGAACGGTCCAAAATGTATCGTCAGTACAGTAAGTACATGGAGGTAACGGCTGACTACCGTTTTACAGTACACCCTCTCTGACTTGTCATAAAACCTGTTACCGCCTCCGACAAGCGCGCGCCTGCATATCTCAAATGACAAATGCCGGGCAGGCTCTCGGGCGTCGGTAATCACTTCTTGTCCGATTGCTTCAACATGTCCGTCCATCTCGGAATTTTCGGCTCCTCTCATGATAATATCGCCGGAAGCTATGGGGATTGATCAGCGCCAAACTGGCTTCACTGTCAGTTCGTGATCGTCCTTACGGGAGCCTCGGAGCACAAGCTCGTTGAACTAGAAAGCTTTGCATCTTTAGCTTGACCCTTACTGGGAATATCGTCAGCTGTCCGAGTGGCCATATCCTCATAGGGTAGCAGCCGGGTCTCTCACGCAGCCCTATCCATCCCTGTGGCGTGCGTTGGGTTGCTTACATGGATACAATTTATGTACTGTACGGAGTACGGACAGACGGAGTAGACATCTACTAAAAACAGGATGCTACAAACTCAAAAAACGATGATTTGTCAATATTTCCAAAACCTGTATTGTTCCCGTCGAGGCTTGAAGCCCATTTTTGACTTTTAACCTCTTACTCGGGGCTCTCTTCGAAGCACACTCAAACGAGTGGTATCGAGAATTGTCTTTGACCATATGCTTGATAGTCTTAGGATACATCACCATTTGTAAGGGTCGTATCTGATCTCAGGCAGGTTTCATTTCAAATATTTCCAGGCTATTCACCAGCACTTGGTTCTTATGTATTGATACCTCTGTCCATGACCCTTCTGCATGAAATCGTAAGACATCATCAGATCCTATGCGCCCCGACGTAGTAGGAACGAACTGTAAATATTACTTCCCATATCAATAATTTCGATGCTTAATACCAAACGAGACAGAAGTCACATATATGATACCATTTTCAAGACTCGTTGTGCCTTATGTCAAGTTAGCTTTGTCTTAAGTTAGTGCATGTATTCATATATCGACCTGCTTGATCGACAAAATCCGGGGTATTATTAGTCATCAAGCCACTTTGCTGTAAAATTCCCCCACCATGAAGTCGCAAACATGCTATTAACAATACATCAGCACGACTATATGCTTCAATTTCACCGATAATCTTCACCTGTTGTTCCCGAGACGTAAGGCTGCGCCATGATTCGACAGCCTTTCATCGCGGCGCGCAGTTCGCGGCATAGAGTCGCCGTACTGGCACTCTACCGGGCACTCTTGAGGACGGGATCCAATGTTCCTTTGCCCAAAGATCTCCATCCGGGTGGAAAGAGACATCCTATAGCCAAGTTATTGAAGAAGAGATTCGCCAAGAATGCGCCGCTCACCAGCTTGAGGCTTATTTACGATTCAATGGCTTCAGGATATAAGGTATAAAGCTTGACAAGACATATTTGACATGGGCTAATATGACGTCCAGTTTCTTGCTTTATTAACCAAAGGGCAACACGAAACATCACCCGAGCATTCTGAAATACTTCGACATCTCCAAAAACGCAACAAAACGGCTGATATCTCTCGAGCCAAGTCCCCATCCTTCAAAAGACCTCCCCGATCAAAACAGAGGCACAACCCCCCTCTCCTCACCAACGTTTCTGCTCCGGACGAGCCCTCGAGATACGAACCGACAGTTCGCCCACTTCCGAAGAGCGCTTTCGCTGGTGAGAGAAAGGTACCCGTCCCTGGCCATACTGCCGAGTTGCTGTCGTTTCTACGGATGAAGAAGCCGGAACCTAGGGTTTTCTCCCGAGCGCTTGGTAGAAAGACAAAGATATACAGACGTGATATGATAGCAAGAATGGAAGCTGAGACGGAGGGTATATCCTTAGGTCAAGCCGAGGATCGTTGGGATACTTTGATGGAAAATCTTCTAAAAGCAGAAGGTGTCACAGATAGGGTTAGCAATGATGGCCTGTTGGCCTCGTATCGCTTCTCTGCTGCCTTGTCAAAAGCTTGGTGGGGTCGCACACTCGACAAGCATACTCAAGACTGGACTGCTCGTGGTGAAGCAATAAGCAAGCTCGTCGAGCAGGAGAGGGCATTGGCTAAGCAAGAGAAGGAGAACGGAGCTGAGCCAACTGATCCTGAAGTTGCAAAGAAAACTCTTGACGCAATTTTCATGGAGTATCGCCAAAAACAAGTCGAACAAGAGGAAACGAAAAAAGCAGATGGTGCTATGGAATTCCGAGATCCATTCATGTCTCCGAGATGGCTAGCAGAGGTGCAAAAGTTGGAGCATGATTACTTATCGAAAAGCGCAAGAAAGGACGATAGACGGGACGGCAGACAGGACGGCAGAAGGGACGGCAGACAAAGCGACAGACAGGACGTTAGACGGGATGGAAGGTCAACAACAAGAGACATCGGGGAAGCCCAGAAACCATTACCGGCTAGGAAAGGACCAGAAGATAAAGCGAAGATCATATGGTAGATGATGGAGATTTGGGAGGACTGTACCCTTTCCCCCACAAGCCACTGGATGGCAATGAAGCTGTTATTCAAAGGAAGGGGATATGCTCTTTTTGTGCGATGATACCCAGGCTTAGACAGTATTTGACGGAGTTCACATATGGACAGATATAAACTAGATTGGGCACCATAGCCCTTGTATTCAACTTTTAATGTTGTGGAAAACATGAGAACGGTATATACAAAATTCCCAGTCATGTACCACAGAATACATAAGTCATTCGCCATTTTTGTCATGTTACCGTTGTACTCATCAATAAGTAAATACCCCTAACAAATCAAATCGCTTAAACATGCTCAATCTCCAGCTGTCTATTCGACCTATTCGAATGAGCTCGCGGTCGAGTAATCATGTTCAACGTCTTCTTCCCTTCGTTTGCCACTTCAGCCCAGCTCTTGAACGATTGGAACGAGGGTACGGATGGTCGGCGTGTCTCGTCTCCGTCAATGGTAGCGAGCTCCGATCGAAGAGTTCTTGGTGAAGACATGGCGGATAGTGGCATCGAGAAAGTCGGACTATTCGGCTCAGAGGGTAACGGAAGCGGTTCGGGAGTCACAACTCTTTCCTTGGACCGAACAGGCTGCTTAGGCAACTGACCCCATTGAGGCAAGTTCCTAGAGTCCATAGCAGCCGGGTTGCGATCTAGCGCTGGGCTACCTTGTAGAGGTGTCGGAATCGTTTCAACACTATGTCGAGAGAATACAGACGACGCCATGCTACTGTCTGTCAAGCTCTGGTCGCGGGCGAGGTTCGGCGTCTCGTTGCGAGAGGGTGTAACTGGCAAGGGGAGTTTAGAGCCGGATCCACGAGAGCGTAAAGTATAGCCTGACATATTTGTGAAGCTTGGGGAACGCGAGGTCGAGAATTCAGTCGACCCCCTGGGAGTTATATCGCTTGGAGGTCGCGGCGAGACGGCCTTTCTTTGAAGCGATGACGATTTCTGCTCGAGAGGGAGACGCTGAGTAGACCGTGACAAGGGCTGGAGAGCTGGCCTTGCAGCAGGGGTCGTTGGGGTCGAGTTTGATTTTGGAGATGATTCCAGCCTGGGACCTAATGCCAGTGATATCGTACTACTCCTGCAAGGCCGCGGCATTGCCGTTCTTCCTGAGGCCCGGCCTATACTGCTTCTCCGGTTGGAATTGTCTGCTTCCAACGCGCGGCACCTGTCCTCCATATCCTGCAGCTTCTTTTGCAGAATACCTGCAGCCTGTTCGTGTGCTTTGCGCTCATGCTCGAGTCTAAGTTCATATGTCCTATCTCGTCCCTCCAGCTCGTTGATCTTTTGTTGTAGGCGGTCATTTTCTTTCCGTAGGCCCATTAGTGCTGTCAACTTTTTATCCCACTTATCCTCAACCCAAGAGATAGGTCGTTTGCAGCATTCCCCATGGTAAATCTGATGAATACCTCCAAGCATGGATAGCTTGTCGTCTATTTTGTATGCATGCAGTCGGTTCTTGGGGTTTGAGGTGATCATTCGAGCAATCAAACCGACAATTGGCCTAGGGCGGACGGTTTCTTGCCCTTCATAAGTAAACATAAAAGGGGGCGTGACCAAGGCATGGGACGTGAGCTTTTCAAGGTGAACATTCAGCTTCTTTTCCCGCTCGTAAAGTTGCTCTTCCTGTGTGTTTCTTGACGGGTATCTAAGTGTTTCGTCAAAATCGGCCAACCGAATGTTGTAGAGAACAGTTGCGATATTAAGAAAGACAAGACCGAGGGAATATATATCCGACAATTGCATACTGGAGCCATTATCGGCATAGAGCTCAGGTGCCCGCCACCTCTCCGTTCCTGGTACGCCCTCGGTCATGGTCTGGTCCTGGCCACTTACATCCCTCGAAACGCCAAAATCGGCAAGGTAAACTCGGTCTGCCTTGAGGAGAATGTTGGATGGTTTGATATCGAGATGCCTGACATTGTTTTGGTGGCAGTAAGCCATGGCACGAGCAATACAGCCAATTGTGTTACGCAAGAACTCAAGCGGGCATTTGGTTGTAGAATGAAGAATCTGGTCTTCAGCAGAGGGCTCAATGGCGCTCAAGTCCTTGATGTCTAGAGCATCTAGCCTCTCAAGGATATCATCGCGATCGCCTTCTCCCAATCGCAGATATTCTATGTCTTCGAGGAGGGTACTCAAGTTGCAAATGGCGGCGGGCCAGATGAGCAGGCACAATTCGTGGGTTCGCGGGGCGTATGTTGCGACCAGCTTCACAACATGTCGATGGTCAAGCTTCTGCATGGTCAAGCTCTCCTTGCGCAAATCTTCGATTGTAAAGCCGCGCCGACGCGGGATTCTCTTGCGCGCAAGATAGACGGACCCATAAGATACCTTCTCAACGCGACCGAATGCGCCATATCCAAGATCGTCGAGTTTGGCGAGTTTCGTATCGAAGCGTTTCGCATCAGGGCCATTGAAGAGGGGCTTATTTCTGTGTGACGGAGTGTCAACAATGGATGCGTGGGTGTCTCATAGTCGCTGCTTACATGCCAGGCCAGCTATCATCGTTGTTCCAGCTATCGATGATGTTGAGCTCCTCAAGTTCGCGCTCGGCCTCCCATACACGACCATAATGTTGGGTTGGGCCTGTTTGTCCAACTCTGGTCCATCCCCGTGCCCAGTCGCCCATGTTGAGTGCTGTACTGGAACGAACGGAAGTCGTCGAGAGGATAATGGCGGACGGTTGCGACGTACTCTGGCGAGGTTATACAGAAATAGAAGCCATAGTGAGTTAGACCGGCAACCACGATTTATTTTAGCAGGCAAGCTGTATAGAAAGAAGAGTATGCTATTATGAGATCCTATGAGGTTGCTGATTGAGCCAAGCGAACAAGTCAGGGAATTGTTGGGCGGAAGATGGATTCGAGAGAGTTGTGAAACGGCAGAACACTTGAAGCCGTTCGTTAGTGGGGAAGCATAAGCCCGCCATCGCGAAAGTGGCAGTGACTTTTGATGGTGGCCTTGTGTAACCCTAAGAGGGAAAGAGAATCGACAGTCCCTGCTTGTCCAGTGCATGGTATATAAGATATGACAGTGGCTGAGGTGCATCTTTGCTCCCTTTCCTCCGTTATTTTCCAGACGTTAGACCTGATACGGTTGGTAAAAGACTAAAAGCCATAGTTTGCTGTCTCTGTCTTGTATTCAAGCTTCTACCAGACCTAAGGGGGAGAAACAAAACACCGGGAGTGACTACCATAAGATTTCTTGAATTTTGTATAATGATACTAACTAAGTTAATGTAATATAACTATTACTAAAGTTTCTTCTAAAAGCCTATAATTTTTTTATTCTCAGTATAAAATTATAATAAATATTCTAACTAGAAATCTAATATGTAGGAACACGTCCGGTATTTTATTTCCCCCCGAGGCAGACCCCCATTCTCCGCATCGAACACTGCCCCTTCAGTGGGCCAACCGTCGCACCGATCCGTTGGAACCCACAGAACCCGCTAGCCGATCAAAGCTGAGCCACTGTCCAAGCCCCTGAAAATGGATTCCATCCGTAGGTGCTGCAGTAGGTAGGTTCGCTTCCAGTGGAGGCTTGCTTGCATTCTATGGAGGGGACAAAGGATACCTTAGACTACCTATGCGAGTTACTGCCATGCTTTTGTATGAAAGGGAATCGCATCAATTTTCTTAGGTTATTGTACAGTGCAAGCAATCGTTGTTGAAGATCAAGACCGCAATTCTATAAGCCGAGCTTCCATTGGTGGTTCCAAATAATCTTGATTGATCATCATCGGTTTTTGTTAGCGCTAGTCGATAAGCAGACATCGGCACTTCGCATCCCAGTCCACGGCACAGCCCTCCTTAGAACTTCAACTTAGTACCTACCCAACCCCAACATCATCTTGCACCTTCAACCACGCCTCATCTTCTGGCTCCATGTCCTCCGTGTCCCCCGTGAATCTCCACCTATTATACGGAGCACACCCGGCAGTGTCCCCGATTTTTGACCCGGCGTCACCGGAGCTGTACTGTCTGTGTCCTACCTGCATAGGTGTTCAGTGTCTTCTTAACACCTGATCTCAATCTCAATCATAGGACACGCGTCAGAATAGGCTGCTGTCGCGGTCATCTCATTCACCATTGCAATTGGTTTCAATGAACCGGATGGTTGAGGTCCTTGTACATGTTAAGGACATCGGCATTTAATTTACATTGGGCATCAAGTATTCTCATTGGATTCAGTCGCAATGCTTGAAGCACCACAAACAGCGCCGGAGTCGCTCCCAGTAAAGAAGAGACCGCAGGAGATTGAAGAAATCGATGAGGATAGGGGCAAGAAGCGGTCGAGGGGCCGTCCACGCCTCGACACCAAAGATGAGACAGCTCAAGATGTAAGTCTAAGCAACAGCTGAACACTGCACACCCCAAGTTCATCAACTAATACAATGCATAGCGTCGTCGAACACAAATTCGACTGGCCCAAAGAGCCTACCGTAACCGTAAGGATACCGCCATCACCTCTCTTGAGGACAAAGTCAAAGATCTCGAGGACGCCAATGAGAACATGAGCAAAGAGTTCATGAACTTCTTCGACTTTGTTCTTTCACAGGGGATGCTTGAGGGTGCGCCCGAGGTGGCGCGGCGTCTGAACGATACAACCCGCAAGTTTCTCTCACTCACACGCAAATCTGCCGAGGACTCGAGTAGGGACGATTCAAACGAGTCCCCAATCCAGACGCATGATCAGGACCAATCCGATGCACGGCCCTCGAAGCGACGTACGACTGGTTCCGGATCTGGATCTGGATCTGATACCTCTAGGTCAGCGAGTGATGAATTTACCATCCCTAACCCACCAGCCAACTCTGCTGCCCATGGAAAGCCTCAAGCTACTCCGCAAAGGATGGATGGATCAATACGGCAGCAGGCCACCCCACCTCTTAACCTGCCTTATGAGATCATTACGATGCCGACAACAGACAATGCGAGCTTTCCTGTTTATGATACCCAAACGCCAGTCATGTTGGATCAAAATCCGTTTCTTCAATCACCATTCCCCAGGATCCCTCCCCCCTCATCTTACTCTTCACACGAGCGGAGCTTTGGTCGACGTCTCCAAAGAGCGACCCTGGAGGCTGGACTTCGATTGGTTTCGATGGCCAACCCGCCTCCTCACCGTTACGCCGAAGTCTTTGGATTCTGTCTCTTGTTCGAGCCTCGGGAATCTATCATCCGCCGCATGTCTAGTACGCTTACGAAGGTAAGCCAAGAGTCGATGTTTTTCTGGAAGTTTCCTTTTACAAACCTCGGTGGCGCGGGCACATTCTTTCCCAACAATGGAGAAGCCGGGGCCTTTACAACGATAGCTGCGAATGGACGAGCAATGCCGCTTGGGAACCAAGGCCTGGCCGAGCCTATGAAGCCCCCTGAAATGACCGGGTTTTCGATGGGACCCTTTGATGAGGATACGGAAGCTATAAAGGGTGATCGTATTGATGCTCGCATGCGAATGATGTACAAGGGCTTTGAAGGAGACTTCTTTGATGCAGATGAGGTCGAGGTCTATCTACGTCAACGGGGGATTGTCATTCCTGCCAACGTGGATTTTATCGATGCTGAGATTGATATTGGTTCATTCAACAATTCGTCACAGTTTCCTGGCTTTTCCGCAAGCAGCAATGCCTTTTTCGGATCGCAACAGGTGCCTGCATCCAACCAAGGGCACTATATACCCCCTCAACAACAACACGCAAGCAATGACCCTAATATGTGGCAAAGCACTATACCTACCACCCTCGTAAATACCACATCGTCCATGCCATCAGCTACTCTTATGGCACCGCCATTAGGACCTGACCTGGGAGGCCTTGCACAACCCGTTAGCTCTACGAGTTATGGGCAGTACAATACGGAGATAGGGCCCTTCGTGGATACATCGTATTTTCCGCGAGATTGGGAAACCGATTCTAGTTGGATGAAGACAAAAGTGACAATAGACGTAAATCGTCTGGTAGCAGGTAAGTCCTTGTAATTCCGATTCTCATCTTTAGACCAATAGCTGACGAAGAACAGAGATGACAGATAACTCAGTCTGCTTGGGCCGTACACCAGGCGTACGGCCAGGAGATATTGATAAGGCTGTTAGGTCGGCAATTATACTGACTCAATCATAAGATTGTCTCTCCTGTTAATTTACGATGGGGAAATCGTCCTCGTTACAGCCAAAGTTGAGCATGGGTATATAAAAGCTCGCATCGGCCTTCAATGTGCTGTACGGTAATTACGAAATTGGTTATTTGCATGGAGTTGGCGTCATTATTCTGATGGCGGATACCAGAGTCAAGGAAGAAATGGGCTCGTAAAATGTTATTAGGGGATATTCCTGGCTACTTTGTATCAATAACTTAAGTCTTGTCAAGGTTGGATAGCGTTGCTATTTTGTGAAGTCCAGGAACCTATCGACTTCTACAAATGATCTGCGCCGTTGTCTGTCGATGAGCATGAGTGGGGCTTTCAGCACCTCATCTCTCCAATATCTCACATCAATGAGGGGGATGATCATTTTTCAACCTTTCTCTATCCTTGACAGCGTATAAAAGGACACGAAAGATAATGGAATACACACACGACCAGGGCACGCCCAGTGTGAAGCCTCGCCTTATCATTCATGGTGGTGCAGGTAACATACACCGCGATACCTATCCTCCAGAGCAGTTCCGGGCTTATCGCAAAGCCCTCATTGATATTGTGAGCATATCCATCTGGGCACAGTAGTTCTCAACGTTTAACCCTCTTAATCAGGTCACGAAGACAGACCAGTACATGAGAAGACAAGATAAACTGATCTCGGAGAAGCTAAACCACAAGCTCCCATCAGCTCTGGAAGTCGCAACTTATGCAGTTCAACTTCTCGAGGACAACCCCTTATTCAATAGCGGACATGGTGCCGTGTTCACTCGTGATGGGTTCAACGAGCTAGAGGCCTCAGTGATGGTATCTCGTGGCTTCAAAAAGCGAGGTGTGGGCGTCATGGGTCTCCGGCATGTGAAGAACCCAATTCTTTTGGCCCGCGCGATGCTTGAGCACGGCGAAGACGATCTCGAAGCGCATCCTAGAGAGACCAGCTCTGGCGATCTTGACGTCCCATCCGCACAGGGTCATACACAGATATATGGCAAAACAGCAGAGCAACTGGCAGAACAGTACCAGCTAGAACTGGTAGACGCAAGTTACTTTTACACTCAGCATCGCTGGGATGAGCATATTCGCGCTCTGGACAAGGAAAAGAAAGGCCAGGGGCTAGCAACCTGGAGTGCGACTGAGTATCTGCCTCAGGGTACATGCGGAGCAGTCGCTCTCGATCAAGATGGAGTCATCTGTGCAGCGACAAGTACAGGAGGTCTTACAAATAAGCTTACGGGGCGTGTCGGCGATACACCAACTATTGGCGCAGGTTTCTGGGCTGAGGAGTGGGACGAGGATGGTGATCCAACAGGGTCATCAGCGTGGAGTCATTTGAAGAATACTTTGACTCAGTCAGGCCCGTTGCTCGTACTTAGCGATGTGCTCAAAGGCACATTGGCAGATTGTCTGCCGACTCCTGCAGTGTACGCTCCCCTCGGTACAGATAGTGGCCGTTTGTACACAACAAGATCGATTGGAGGGTCTGGAACAGGCAACGGCGATTCATTCCTGCGAACTAATGCTCTACGAACCGTTGCGGCGATGGCAAGATGGAAGCCAGAGTCAGGTTCCATGGCTGTCACTCACGTTGCAGGCCGAGGTGGTGAGTTAGAGAAGAGTGCGGGTGACAGATGGGGCCGCACAGGAGAGGGAGAAGGCGGCATCATCGGTATCGAGAATGTGATCATACATGATTCCCATGGCCGGGTGGTTGAGACTCGATCTAAAGTCCTTATGGATTTCAACTGCGGCGGCATGTTTCGGGCCTGGATCGATGACGAAGGAAAACCCCAAATGAGCGTCTTTAGCAATGAGCCATCGAGCGACATCTAGTGAAACAAGGAAAAACGGCCCAACATTAAGTGGTGGAACAGGGAATGTCATTTGTATTCGTTCTGTATCCAAACCGCGATAAATAAATGCAGCATAATAATCAACAGTAGGGTGTTCCTATTCGCTCTTCTTTTGTAGCTGCTGATATTGGTGCACTTCCAAACCGCCTCCCCGTCTCTTGGAATCGTACACATTCGCTCTCTTTTCCTCGTCAGACATAAGTTAGTCTGTGGTTGCAAGAAGTATAGAAACTCCATCGCTAAGCCAGAACCCGCCTTCCCTTAGCCCCTCCCAATATCTTACTCTATTATACATGGAACGCCGGCCCGATGCGAATTGAAGTGATTAAACGTCAGCCGGATTTTTGTTCGTGGTAGTGGTGGTGGTGGTGGTGGTAGTCGTGCTGGTGAAAATACAAGAGGTCTGGCTCTTCGAAGAGCCAGACCTGCAGAGTCGTCGTAGATAGTCGTGGTGGTGGAGTTGAGAGTGGGGAGTCGAAGGTGTTAGATCGTTGTTTATCGATCGTAGTAATTTATGTCGTCAAGTTTGCCTCACAGGACAGCTTCTTGAGGAGGAGGCTGGGGAGCTTCTAGCTTGGTGCTGCCAGCAAGCATCTTAGAGAAGCCGATACCAACACCCTCAATGACGGCGAGAAGAACAGCACAGCCGATGGCACCGTTTCGTGCAGCCTTGTAACCACCTCGGATGGCAAGAGAACCACCAGTGAAGAATCCGGCGATGATAGCATTGTAAGGGTCCTCCTTCTGGCGAACGCCTTTCACAGCGCAGTCGAATGTCGAGAATAGACCACCCCAGACACCAAAGTTACCACCCAAGACTGGGGCGCGCATCTTGATGGCTGTAATGGCACCAATGCGACGTTCGCCGTAGGGGGAATTGCGGAAGCCCTTGATTCCGTGCCAGATGGTACCGCCAATAGCCTAACAAAAAGGCAATGTCAGTTATATATTTCGCCGTATTTATTATCGTCGTTGTCGGTATGATGAACTGTAGCTCAAGTAGGAAAGGCTAGACTCACGCCCATACAGAATGCACCACCAAAGTCATTGAGAATGACAAAGGGGCAGGGGTCGCGTCCGTGATCCATGGCTGGTTATATGTTTTGAGAATTTGACGGCAGAGAAGGGCGGGGGCTCGAGAGCGAGACTGATGACGGCGAGGTTTGGTTTGAAAATTGTGAGGCCGCTGTAAAAGGTTGCGGCCAACCGGACCTTGAATCGCGCAACGAGTGAATTTTTCGGGGCGGCGGTTGGATTATCCGGGTATCGATAACGGTTGGAGCCGGCTTCGGCAGACTCGAAGCTTCCATTTAGCGATTTGCAGTATGTGAACCATGTCAGCCAAAGCGTATTGAATTTACATAGTACACAACTCAGGGCGTGCATATTTAAGGACTTACTCGCAGTACATAGATGTGATATAGACTATAGGAAAGAATTTGGCTTTCGCTGGCAGTTGCTTCGGAGCTCTACGCGCAATATCCTACCTCACATTAAACCTCGCCCAGTATGTCCCACCAAGCCTCAGATCGTCATCCTAGTCGAGAGCGGAGCTTTAACCACATGCCTATTCAGGCTCGCCGAAGAGACATGTAGGAGCTATAATGGGCATATACTTGGCATACTTCATCGTGAAGATCTATAAAAGAGATGCGCATCCTGTCGCGACAACATATCAAGACCAATGCTTCCAACCAGAAATTATCCGTGATGACTCTCAAAGTTCTACAAGCCACTGAAGCAGATGCCCCTAGGGCTGCCGCAATTGAGACGATGGCTTATGGCCCAAATCCCCTCGACTCAGTTCTATTCCCTGGGCCACGAACCTCTGGTCCTAGCACCAGAGCCTCGGATCTTGTTGACATACTCCAAAATAGTCCTGCCTGTCGATGGGCAAAGGTTGTTGACACCAATATTGGTGAAAATGAAGACGAGATGGTAGCCTTTGCCATGTGGTATATCTGGGAGACTCCTCCGACAGACGCACAGCACTCCTTCTCTTCTGACCGGGGACCGAGTTCTAACCCAGAAGTATGCAAACTCTTCTTCGGTGGCATGAACAAGATGCGAGTGGATTATATGAAAGAAACCCCATATGTGTGTATGTTGCAATGAAGCATATCTCAAGGATGAACAAACACATGTGCTGAAACCAATAGATCTTAAACTCTTACATACAGATCCGAAGCACCAAAGGCGTGGAGCAGCATCGCTTTTACTTGAGTCGGGGCTTAAAGAAGCTGATCGTCTCAATATCCCATCTTGTTTAGAATCTTCCGTTGAAGGACGAAAGCTCTACGAGAAGTTCGGGTTAAGGGAAGTCGACCGAAACACAAATGACTTTTCGCGCTGGGGCGGTCCGGCGGATATTACCATTCCCTTGATGGTTCGCCCTGCGGGGTGGAAGCGTGCTGAATAGTACCAAGACATGGAAGGAAACTATACAGAACAAACCCTGTATGGAGTCAAAGTGTATAAACGATGTGGCTGAAGCATAGTGGCCTGGACCTACTTCGGAGCTAAAATTTTTATATACTGAGTCATGTCAATACTGTGCCGCTTCAAAGCCTTGGGCATTGAGTACTAATAAATCCATGGATGTTTTCGATGCTACTTAAGGAAGCCTTGGAAGGCATTTCTGCATCAGCCATCCATCCTTTGATCTAGCCAGCTCTGGTGACGTGAGATGGAGAGTTGGCTAAGCGCTTGGGCCTGTGACTTAGAGCCTAAGCGAGACTAGCGCGGGAATAGACAACCCGCCATCAGTCGCTGCAATCACTCAAATGCAGCGAATTAGCTCTGGGCTTGCACCCCCTGGACCCTTAGGTGTAGTACCTAGTAGACTGCCTAGGCCTGGCCTGGGCCGGTACCTGTACCTGATCAGGCACTTCAGTGCAGGTGGACAGACAAAGACACTGCCCCGGATTATGCAACTTGCTTTCTGCCTTTGTAACTTGATAACAACAACTACATACAAAGTACGTTGCTTGCGTGCTTACTTTGGTACTTATATGAGAGCTACCGGCCTTGTCACAGTCAACAGAAGGCATCTAAGCTGACTACAATTGCGTTGGATCTTAGAATATCTACTTCGCCTGTGTACTGCCTTGTTAACAGCTCCAACGAGACAAATCGGGATACGATACCTTGGCGAAGAAACACCGCTGCTGGCCCGGCCGTGATTGTCCCCGCCCACTGTTGGCTAATGACCATCAGCTGGCTCTGGCTTGTGAACCACGCTTCATTGAGACCAGAGTCATTCACCGCAAACGGTCGCTGTTCTTTCACACGAGCCATTCTGAGCTGCGCCTCCGCTCCCTCTCAATAGTTTAATTTCACCAGGTTCAACGGTTGACGTCTCTGACATAAATGGGCGCACTCTGCTCCAAATCAGAGCTGGTTGATGGAGCCAAGGATCCTCAACGGCAACACATCCCAGAAGAGCGCGATCGCCACGATAGAAAGGATTATTCACATACCGATTTCATGGCTCGTCTATCGCAACGCGCAACACATCCAGCTAAGAAAGCTCGGATGAGGGAACCCTTACTAGACGATGCCGCAGCTGCGCGGAATCATATCCAGGCGCATGATGTCGAGATTGCAGCACGGGAATCTATTGTTGGGCCATCAAAACCCGCAGGCGCAAATGCGCTTTCGCAAGTACCTGGCAATGTTGGGGAATACTTCAAATTGCGAGAAACGATGGCAGCGCGTGAGAAGGCGCTGGACTTCGATCATACTTGTCGCGCGCGCAGTACGCCCGAGGAAAAGCATGCAGATGCCATCCTCCAGAGGTTAAGGCGAGAGGACGAGGAAAATGTATATGCCCAGGCCCCACCACGAACTGGCTACGGCGGACAGCAGCACCCTCGATTTCCCGGAGATCACTTCCTCGGCAACAAGCATCTGATCGATCAAACGGCCTTGTTCAGAATAGCACAGCATATGCCAAAGGGCGGCCACTTACACATACACTTCAATGCTTGTCTTGCTCCTCAAGTTCTACTCAACCTTGGGAAAGAGATGGATCGCATGTTTATCACAAGCAATGTGCCCTTAGTTTCAGATGACAACCACACCAACTTTGATCGATGCGAGATCCAGTTCTCATTGTTGAGCCCTGAGAAGGAAACGCCTGGCGACTTGTTCTCTGTAGAATACCAACCTCGGCAAACGATGCCTTTCAGAGAATTCCTCGAAAAGTTCCAGAAGCATTACACCAAAGACTCCACAAGTGTCGATGAGTGGCTATATGAGAAGCTCATGTTTCATGAAGAGGAGGCACACAATAGTCTACAAACCGGATCTGGGTAAACTTACAAAATGTCCCGTTTGGCAGAGAACATGAACACTAACACCTCACAGAGCTTGGGAAAAGTTCAATGGAAGAACCCGTATGATGAAAGGCCTGTTTAACTACGCGACAGCATACAAAAGATACACCCGGCTTTGTCTGGAGGACTTCATGAGGGACAACATCAGCTATGCGGAAATCCGACCCAATTTCATGACCAGCAACCAGCTCTGGAGTGATGATGGGACACAACTTATCGATAACAAAGGAATAATGGAATTAATTATTGAGGAGGTTATGAACTTCCAGGTTGATATGAGAAAGCAGGGGCGATACTTTGGGGGGCTCAAAGTAATCTACTGCACGCCTCGGTCGTTCGAGCCAGCACAGATCGAGGCTGCTCTAACAGAATGTCTGAAGTTCAAACAGCTATGGCCAGAGTGGATTGCAGGTGAGAAAACTGCGAATTTCCATTCTTACCCATCTTTACTTACTGCGATGTAGGGTTCGATCTTGTTGGCGAGGAGGCCAAAGGGCGGCCTATCAAAGACTTCATCCCTGAACTTCTAAAGTTTCAAGACGATTGCACGCGTGAAGGTGTCGATATTCCATTCCTTTTCCATTGTGGAGAGACACTGGACATGGGAACCGATACCGATGGCAACCTCATCGATGCGCTCCTATTGAAGTCTAAAAGAATCGGGCATGGTTTTGCGCTGGCCAAGCACCCCTATGTGATGCAACATATGAAAGAGCGCGGTGTTTGCCTCGAGCTCTGTCCCATCTCTAACGAGATATTGGGGCTTACGCCGCGTGTCAGCGGGCATACCATGTATCAGCTTCTTGCCAACAACGTACACTGTACAGTAAGCTCGGACAACGGTACACTATTCAGGTAAGATACCCTCATAAAACGTTAAGGGCTTTTTGTTAACTTGAATGAACAGATCCTCTCTATCTCACGACTTCTACCAGGTATTGATCGGTAAGGCCGATATGGGACTCTTTGGATGGAAACAACTAGCTCTATGGAGCTTAGAACATGCCTGCCTCTCAGCGTCCGAGTATAGTTCGATCTCTCGCGACTGGGAGGAGAAGTGGAAGGCTTTTGTTCAGTGGGTAATCGAGGAGTACGATGATCAGAGAAAATCTGCTTGAAGTTGTGGTGATGATTGAGGGGTTTCCAAGATAGGGCAGGGGTCATCCACGATGTAGACGATTGGTGTTAATATTAGCGAATCGGGGAGCCTGGCGCATGATACGAAGATGATTTTCGGTATGGTTGGCTTTTTGCCTCAACCTGAATTGGTTCATAGAGATGAGAACGAGCGGAGGATGTTAGTGCGCAGAATCGCAGTGATGGATACATGATTATGAACGAAGCAGCAACTGATTTCAAATCTGCTGAACTAGATAGACGTACATACCCTGGATATCGGCAGCGGTAGAGCAAGTCTTGGAGAAGTGCGCAATTTGATACTCCTTCTTTGCGCAAAAGTCTTATGACATGAGTGGCTTTAAAGTATTTGTGCTTATCCTATAGCGTTTATCCTTTGGTCGCACAGCCCTGTTGTCGTCGATGAACTACTAAGGCAGCCTATTTGAAATGAATACTGATCGTGGTGCCATGAGCAATCGGTTTAGGGTAACAAGTAGACTAGAAAAACGGCATCTGAGAATCGACTTTCATCACCCAACAACGTACATTTAAGCAGTTCATTAAAACCTCGCAAGTATTTATCTGGACAGACGAATCATAGGTTAAACTAGTTGACTTGATGGTTTGCTTCTAGAATCATTGTCCAAAGTTCAGCTGAGATGACGCGGGCTTCAGGGGGCGGGTGCAGCCGCCGTGGCGCAGCCGTTCAGCGGACGGGATGGATCACCCCATTTATTAACCGTTCTTGTAAAGTAGGCTGAAGCTACATGTGCCATTGACCTTGAATGAGAAACATTGGGTTCACTCAAATAGAGCATCTTCCGCTCTGTGGTCAAATATGTCTTGAGGCTTTCAATCCAGTCCCATTTCCCCTTCGTTGTTCCTCGTTCTCGTATTGTCATAGACCGTCGAATCTATACATGCCCATATCGGCACGATACTCCAACACCTTGTTTTGATACTCCTACGACATGTCTGATCCTGACAGCCCAGGCTGGAAATGGTTTCCCAACACCAAAGCCAACTGGTCGCTCGATGTCGTGACGCTGCTTGCCGTCATTGGCGAGTCGTCTATGGCTGATCAGACCCAAACCATCACGGCATCGCTACTATGCCTTCTCCCGCGACTGATTCCAGCCCCTCAAGCTCTACTTAAGCCTTCGCGTCCAAGTCGGATGCCTGAAACACTCGCCAAGATGACGGGTGTCTATAGCGGAACGACACTCGACTCTGTAGGCTTCTTTGCGACTATTATAACGCCCCTGGATACCCTTCACCCATTCAGCTTCCGTGTTCTCGAGATCACACATACCGATCGATCTCATTTTGGTGATATAGACACGAATCCTCCTCCTGCCCAGCAAGGCTGGTCTGCTCGTGGTCTCAAGTGGATCAGATCTCGTCGTTCAAAGTCTCATAGCACAGAGCTTCCATTGACTGACAGAGGGGCACAAGGTACCTACTTTGGTCGTGCACCTACGACAGAGGCGGGTGTCATCCCCAAACAAGATACAGCGAGGTCAACGGCTACAACGCAAGTGGCCACTCCCCAGCCTTTAAATGAGAATTCCCCAGGGGGCGAATACACACCCAAGCCACTCGCGCGCCGACCTACGGCAAAGCAAAAAGTCCAGGACATGCTTGCAAACCCAACTTTTGCCAACACCAAAAGACGCCCCGCAGTCCCGGCCAAGCTCTTCTCACCAATTCATATTCTCTCTGTCTTCTCGTGCCTTCTCAGCATAGCTATCATTATTTGCGCTATTGTATGGAAAGACGGCAACGCTATCCTGTCTGTCACACTTATGTCCTTTGCCTCAACTGTGGTGGGGTACGCATCACTTTGGCATCCCATTCTCATGAACCGAAAACACACCAATGAGGTGCCCAGAGGCGATGTTATGATTCGAACTCGAGAGGGAGCATTCCTTCTCATTAAATGTACAGAAGAAGTTGCTCGAGAACTATACTCTGGTACTGAAGAGTGCGATTACCATGTTGGCGACCGCACTTATCGGCTGCTTATGGCCATTGGAACCATGCTTCTTATGGTGAGCGTCGTCTTGTTCGGCAACTGTACATGGAACTCACAAATATTTATCGGTGGAAGTTACATTGTTTTAAATGGACTCTATTGGGGATTGGGTATGATCCCTCGGTCCCATTTTTGGGATCTTTCTCGGTACACATGGCGGGATGTCACTCCTGATGATGCCAAGAATGCCAATAGGATCACCAATGGGGATGATCAACGCGAGGGCTATCCAAGCTTCACACGGACACTGTGGTATGCTATTCGAGAAACTCAACGTACCGGCTGGGTTGGACGCAGTGGAGCTGCACCTAATACGGAACAGTGGGGGAAGTGGCTCAAAGAAGCTCTGGAGAATGCTAGGAGCGGAAACAGATCATGGAATTCCGTAGCTGAGAAGGATGTCATTATGAAGGAAAATATCGGTGTCGACGAGATGTTCGACGAAGCAGCACAACATGCGCCAGCCGTGGAGGTTCAGACAACTGCTATGCGACGAAGCCATGATTGGGAGAATGACCGCTCAACATTTTGAGCAATAGACCAGAAACTGTGGTCACTGCGGAAGACGGTGCGTGCATGTGTTTGTGTATACTCGTCTAGCCCTGGTGATATTCACATTGGCGTTGGATATTTATGACAATCAAGATTGAGATGAGCGATGACATACATACAGCTCTTGTTAGCAATGCTCGGGCTGCTTATTGATTGATACCTGACAACGTTTGTGAAATTCAGAAAGATTCAGGAATAAATAAGTCTAATGATCCTACAACTTGCCTTCCAATAGGCAGTTTGACTCTATGTCTCTTTGGCGGGCGACCATGTCATGTCCCAAACGCCGGCTATCTATTAACGCAAAATGCTTCATCCCTCACCCCCGTTTTGATCCTCTTATGTTTTTAACCCAGTACAAAACCCTTTAGTCATCGAAATAGATGCCCTTCTTGTCCGAGATATCGATAGCACCACCTCGGTAGCTGCCTCTCTTCTTCTTGTTCTTCTCCTTGGTGAAGCCCTTGCCCTTGGTGACAATCAGATCCTCGTGCGCCCGTTGAGAGTAGGAGATAGACACGTATTCATTAGAGGCAAACTTGGGGTCAACCTTGATGTCCTTGGGAATGCGAGAGAAAGGCTCGTTCTGCTTCTTGCGTCCCTTGACATCGAGAGCAGGGTCCGGAGGCAGAGGAGGATAAGCTGAGTTTGCCTGAACCTCGGGTGATGTCTTGTCTAGCGTGACAGAAGAATCGGAAGAATCTTTAGCCTCCTTCTCCTTCTTGACCTTCTTCTTGTCATCTGAATCCGAGTCCGAGTCCGAAGAGTCCGAGTCTGAGTCGGATGATGAACCGTCAGAGTCGGGGAGTGGCACCTTGGCAGCAGCCTTGCCATCAGAGTCGCTAGAGTCAGAATCGGAATCAGAGTCGGAATCAGAGCTTGAATCAGAGCTGGAGTCGGAGCTGTCAGAATCGGAGTCTGATTCGGCACTCTCATCGTCGGAGTCGCTGCTAGAGTCACTGTCGCTAGAGTCGGAGGAGTCTGAATCGGAGCTTGAGGAAGCGGCGCGCTTTCGCTTCTTGGCCTGCGGTTTGCCAGAGTCGGAGTCGGAATCGGACGAACTCGAGTCAGAGTCAGAGCCAGAGTCCGAGGATGAATCAGAGGAGCTGTCGTCGACGGGGGCTTTGCGCTTGAGATTGTTTGAAGCCTCGGGCTTGGCGACCTCATCCTCGCTCTCGCTGTCGGAGCTGCTTGAGCTGTCCGAGGACGACTCAGCATCCTTCATATCCACATCCTCTACCTTACTTCCTGCGGAGCTTTTCTTGGAAGTCTTCTTCTTGCCAGCCTGGCTGCTATCGTCCCCCTTGGTAGCCTCCCAAGTCTGGTAAACACTGACTAGGGAAGGGTTGCTTTGCTCGTCGGCAGTGGCCGTCGCTTGCCAGCCCTTCTTCTCCCGCTGCTTCTTGAAAGCATCGGCAGCACCTTTGAAAGAGTGATCAGAAAGGAAGTTCTCTACCAGGTCCATAAGTTGACCTGGCGGAGGTGTAGATGCGACATCGTCCTTGGCCGCGGCGGCCTTGGTGCTCTTCTTGCCCATGTTGTCGGAGGTAGGATTGGTTGGATTGAGAGGATTGTTGGAGAATAGCCACGAAGGAGGGCTTTGTTTTGAGCCAGACATACGCCGATGCTACGAGAAGAGACCCAGACAATTGCAACAGGCAGGAAAGTGTACTCCAAGGAACGAAATATTTATTCGACTTCGCGCTGATCAGAGACTGGCTAACAGAAAAATTTCAGTGGACAGGTGGATCGCAGGTGTGGCACGTGCGCTTATCCGTGTCTTTATTCTTATCGCACATTTCTCAGGTACCTAGGTACCTTCGGGAGGGCCACTTTTCCTACGGAAGTATCTTTTGGAGCAATCCCTAAGCGTCAAAGTTCTTGACTCTAAGCGCGGCAAAATTACCGCGCGCACGCGCCCAGCCCCTGGGTCTCTTCGCACAGCACTAACTCATATGACGAGACGACGCACTAGTCCCGGGCGGAATACTTTCAACTTGGGTACCGTAGCGACAGTAAAAGCACCCCGGACTCCTGTATCACCTCACCAGCTTGCGACTGGCTGGTGTTGCAAACAAAACAAAGCCGACCTACAGCCACCTGAATCAACCTTTTCCAACAACGAGCCATCGCCTACAGCTCGAGTCTGATCAAATACTTTACGAGTTCACCTGCCATTGCACTGGTACTATTCTGCTGATTAATGCGAGTCTTTCGAACAACTCACGTCCTGCTCGACTCAAAGACCGAAGAATCGATCACCGCCGAACGATGTCAACGAACGCGACAAAAAGAAAGTTCAACAGTTTATTGCAGGGCATTGGTGCAACAAATCAAAGAAATGGCAATGATGCGTTGATTCACGACACTGCTTCATCGCCTTCGAACCGTTCGACTACTTCTCCTGGCGCAGCAACCCGTGTGTCAGGCGCTGACGCCGAATTGCTCCAGAAACGTCGACGGCTAGGCCTACCGGACTCAACAGCCCCCAAGCTAGGGAAGAGAGCAAATCTTACGGCTGCTCTCTCCGCTATTGTTTCCAAACGGACTCAAAACCAGAACTCTTCCAAGAGCTCTGAACGAGCACCTGCACGATATGCGCCAACCGATCGCGCAGACCTCTTGAAACGGCTTAGCACGTTCCAAGAAATAACAGATTGGACTCCAAAGCCGGACAAAGTGAACGAGGTTGAATGGGCCAAACGTGGGTGGGTGTGTCACGGTAAAGAAACAGTTCGCTGTCTCCTGTGCCATCGAGAACTGGTTGTCAAACTCAATCGGAAGGTCGTTGATGGTAAAGAGGTCTCGGTTCTGGTAGCTTCCGAAATTGGTAGGTTTCATATGACAATCCTGTTATTTGATAGTGTGCTTACATTCGATAGAGGAGGCTTTGGTCGACAAATATGCCGATCTCATTGTAGCCTCACATCAAGAAGATTGTCTTTGGCGCAAGCGAGGATGTGATGGTATGTCTTTGTTCAAGGAGTTCGAACTCAATACTGTGCTAACATTTTCTGCAGACTCTATCTTGCGGTTGTCTTTGACCAATGCGCATGCCAGCATCGCCGCCTTACGCGAGCGCTACGATGAGCTGTTGGCAAGAAAATCCTTTCTACCATACGAGTTCAACCTAAGGTTACCGGATGAATTAGACCTGGATAATGTTCTCGCACGTCTGCCTAATGACTTCTTTACTAAGCCAGCGCCTTCAAAAGAAGCTGAAGCTCAACCCAACCGAGTCGCCCTGGCACTCTCCTTACTGGGATGGCAAGGCCTCAACAACGCTCGAATTGGAGCAGTACCAAATTCGGCTTCTTGCCATACTTGTCTTCGGCGGCTGGGGCTCTGGATGTTCAAAAGCAAAGAAGTGGGAGACGACGGTGAGGTCCTAGTACCTGCCCCTATGGATTTCCTAGATCCGGCTAGAGAACATCGTTTCTTCTGTCCTTGGTCAAACCCTGAAGCCCAAAGGCAAGGCCACTCCCAGAGTCGCCCAGAACACGATCTACCCGGTTGGAGGCTGTTGGTGCAGGCACTCGCGAATGAAGCTCATCTTCGAAGCGTCTACGAAGGACGGTCACCCGCACGACAACAAACTCAGCGCGCAACGGCTGCTCCTTCTACACCTCAGAGGCCTGGAACAGCTGCATCCATCAACACACCAACTGGGACACCTGCTTCCGTTCTAACACACGGTACGGAGCACGCCGATGAAGATGACAAAGATAGAGATGCAAAGGACAAGGAAAGGTGGGCGAGACTAAAAAGAGTGAAGAGTTTGTTCGATACGAAGGGGAGCAGGAAGTTGAGGCATTCGATAAGCAAGTCAATCAGTCGGCCTGGAACAGCACACTCATCAAAATCAAATGGTGGCCAGAAGGAATAAGGGGGTTATCCTTTATAATAGACTGTAATGTGACTGATGATACCATGGTTGCGAGATTAGTACCGTGGCACAATGGAGATCAAATCACTCATTTGCGAGGTTGTATTAATACATAATTAAAGTCGAGGCTGGCCCTCATGCGTCCTTTATATCTTTATATACAATGGCTATCGTATGGTGCATGTCCCGCTGACGACGAAGAAAGATATTGAGTCGAACATGCGCTGTACAGGATCAGGTCGATCAAGATTTCCAAACAATATCGTCAAACGAGACAATTTGTCCAGTGTAGGCTTTCGTCTCGGGCTGCTTTTCGATCCTATCCCCCAAAGAGAAGCCGGCCATTTCCAGTATTGCAAGTCGAACACCCCCAATCCCACCGCCGTTGCCCATTTGGCGGGATATAAACGCAATCTTGGAAGCTGTGGCATAAACATCGAGCATACGATCGGAGCCTTCTCTCCAGCTTGCAGCTGACTGTGCCTCAAGACCGCTTACGATGCCTTGGATCTGAGTATAAAGGTTATGGCAAGCATCTTGCCATCTATCACCAGGTTTATCCGCTTTGGTGATAACAACCAGGGTTCGAGTATTTGACCGAGCAAGGGTCCTCAGCATCCATCTGTCTGTTTCCTGGAGCTTCTTGTCGGCCGGTATCAAGATAATCGCGCCTCGAAGCATCTTTCTGGCATTGAGATACTTGAGAATTGTCTTTCCCCAATCCTCCTGACTCTTGAAGCCATAACCTGGTGTGTCCATGAGTACCAGACTGTGCTTGGGGGGCGCATCGCCCTTCCGAACAAGCTCCTTGGCAATCTTTGGGCGTGGCCCGACACCATATGCATTCATAGTAGTCGTTTTACCCGGCTTATGGCTTACCTTAGCCACCTCCATGCCGCCAACAAGAGCGTTGAGAAACGACGATTTCCCAGCGTTTGAGGCACCCAATACCACAATCTCTGGTATATGGTCGTTATGAGGATGGTGATAAAAAGACTCTGCAGAGTAGAGAATCCGGCAATCTTCCCCAAAGAACTTTTCGGCTGCCGCGAGAGGCGAGTGGTCCTCCTTAGACGCACCGACGGGTACAGATGAGCCCTCTTTGAAACGCAGGGATTCACTCTGGAACAATACTTGCTGGTAAGGTTTTATGCCTTTTGGTAGAGGTCCCCTCGGTTTTGGGGCCTTCGCTTTTCGTGCTTCTGATGCGTTGCTATTAGGCAAGACGCTTGTTGTGATGGTATCTTTAGTAGCATCATGGCTTCTGACAACCTGGGGCTCCGGCTTTGAGCTTGCGGATAAATTGTCTACACTTGGAGGAGCGACTGGATCGCTGGCTTGCTGTGCCTGTCTTGGAGCAGCTATTGTAGTTCGACGGATCGGCCGCCGGCGCAAGCCCAAACTCGATGAAGTAGAGAATAGAGCCCTTTGCCTAAAATAATTCGTCGAAGAAAAAAGAAAAGACAATCGGGATGCTCGTAATAACCGGGGTTGCGACATGATGACCCTCTTTGAAGAACTATGAGATGAGAACTAGCTCCCATATAAATGGAAAATTTGGGTCAAAAGTCTGCTTCTTTAGCGCAAGTCGAATCAAAACACACAGCATCAATCAGTGTTAAATACTGTAAAGAGAGAAATATGAAACGAAATTACAGCAAACATGATGCTGATGAGTAGATGCAGCCTCACAAAAGATGGTGAAGCTTCATTACTGGAGGCAATGATAGTAGAAAAAGGTGGTCACGTGCTGGGCAAAAGAGGTCCACCACATAATGACTATTCAGAAGTTGTTTGACTGCAGATTTGGATGAGATAATAAACTTCACAAAAGCCTCACGTATTGTCACCGAGAACTCTACCACAAGGACTTGTAAAAAGTGTCATCCGCAACACACTGAGGCTGAGTCTGCCACTACGATCACAAGTATGGCAGCAGGAAATCTTGCTGAGATCGACGCCCATGAGCAACCATCTGACGAGATGCGCGCTGAGTGGAAGGGCTATATGCGCCAAGATCACAAAAGTCTGCTGAATGACCCTCGGATCGATGACCCTCGTGCTCCTCTCCAAGAATCCGGGTTTCGCCAAATCTCAAGTGTTTCGAAAGAGCAGGTCGCAAAAGGCTTCGCTCGTCTGGACCCTAATCTTACCTCACAAGCCGAAAATGACATTCCAATCATACATCACCCATTACTACCAGGTAGATATTATCTTTCAAAGCTTGAAATTTGGGTAAAAAGCTTATGTATTGAATAGGATTGTTGATTTTGCCTGCTCTTTTGCCTCCAGCTGTGCAAAATACGTTATTAGATCGTGTGGTCCATCGCGACCTCAGCGTAAAAAACCACCAGACCAATTTGCATCTTCACTACAGCCTGCCGTACCCAGAAGGGGAAACCAATTATGAGCGATCGTTCTTCTCTATCGACCCAGATACTCCGGCTTCCTTTCTCCCCAAAGATCCTAGTGTTCATAAGCCGTTGTCAATCAAGCAGGTCATGCAACGCAAGCTACACTGGGTCACGCTTGGAGGCCAGTATGACTGGACTAACCGCGTGTATCCTGAAGAACTGCCACCCGTGTTTCCAGACGACATCTCTCGCTTGCTGGAGGACATTTTCCCCGAAACAGTTGCCCAAGCAGCCATTCTCAACTTCTACACACCAGGCGATACCATGATGATGCACCGCGATGTTAGCGAAGAGACAGATAAAGGCCTAATTAGCATAAGCTTTGGATGTGATGGCCTGTTCATGATAGCCCCCAACGACTTGAAGCCCGGATCGGATAGCAAGACATCAGGCGAGAAGCAATACTTGCTTTTGAGACTTAGGTCCGGCGATGCCATCTACATGACGCAAGAGTCAAGATACGCCTGGCACGGGGTGCCTAAAGTTCTCAAAGATACATGCCCAAGTTATCTGGAAGACTGGCCGGCTCGTGATGATGGAAGATTTGAGGAGTGGCAAGGCTGGATGAAAAACAAAAGGATTAACTTGAACGTCCGGCAAATGCGAGACTGAGAAATATGCAGACCAGCTGCAGCAGAATCATGAAAGGGGGTAGACCAAAATACCAGCATAATTCGTACATTATAAGGCCGAGAACGGGTATTATCATTAACCGCTTGCTCCGCATGCTATGATACAAGATATTTAGAAGTTCCAGCTAATTGTCTGGATAGAATAACAAAATCGCTGTGCATGCCAAGTCAATAGTCCTGAAACCAAGTTATAAAATTCTCAACCCTCAACACCTCATCAAGCAAAGCCAAACCCCTGCGCATTTTCTAATGCCATTCCAAGTCGTTCCCTCAACACCTCTTTATCTCTATATTCTGGCAAAAGCAGTGTGCCGTAGCACGTGTATGCTGTGGGCAAATGCCCACCGGTTCCATCCTCCTCTCCGTTCTTCTGTATGACAAACTGTAGGTTCTTCATGCCACCTACTGGGACGCGGTCAGATGATGTCACAAACTCGAGTAGTCTTTGCTTCATCCTCTCATCATATCTCTTTACAATGGACCAAAAGTCCTTGATTGTGCGGTGTGAAGTGTCCCAGCCCACATAGCGGGTGTATCGTTTTAGTTCAGAAACATCAATTTCCTGCACTCCTTCAACAAGTGACTGTAGGGTGGAAGGACTCAGAAGTGAGAGAGACTTCTTAGACAGACAAGAATTGAACCCACGCTCAAAGGCAAGATACTGCCGGCGAATAGAAACATCTGTGAGATAACGAATGTAGTCAATGATATAGTCATCCCGGTTGTCGTTGGTTACCAGAGGGGCATCATCTGGGTTGTTCATTTGAGGCGGCGCGAGGTCGTTCGAGTTCGAGGCTGAGTTTGGCCAAGTCGTCTTTTCGGCCATTCCCATCTCACGCGTGACCATGGTACCAAGGGAAAAGACCGAGAATTCGTAAGTTCGAGTAAAAATGTCCTCGACTAAGCCATCCTTTTCGTCCCATTCCAGTAGTTTCGTCAGACCGCTTGCTAGTTCTGGCCATCCATCGGCGATATGATGAAGCTCTTCAACAGGCTTGCCTAGCAATTTTCGATAGAGAGCCTTCGGGAAAGTAATTGGCAGTGTCAAGCCGTTGTACAGGGCGAGCGACACCAAAAGCCCAACCAGTTCATATTTCCAATATTCGGTTAGCGACCCTGGGGTGAACCAGGCCATGCGTGTTCTTTCATCAACGGTAAATGCTCCATACCCAGGGTCTAGACACTCAGCGATAGCCAACCGAAAGAACTCTTGTTGGACACCTCCAGAGTCAAAGCCTTCTTCGCCAGCATTCTCTCCGAGATGTACCTTCAGTGGGCGGAGTAGCTCTCGCTTTTCACGTCTCCAGAGCTGGTCAAAGGCATCTCGAGCAACGTTTTGTCTGCCAATCTCGAGCACGAGGTATTTGGAAGAAGCAGTCCTTAGAAGATCCTGCAGGACCATTTTATGATGTGGATTAGTGATAAGGCTTCCAGGGTCGACAATGGCGCTCATTCGAGTTTTGAGCGAGCTCGACTCTTCAAACATGCGACTCATTCGAGCGAAGTTGATCGAACGGAAGAATGAAACAAGTGTATCTGGACTAAAGATATAAGGGTAATCCAGGATGTGTCGTCGCCAGCGCGTTGAACTGAATGTCAGCCAGTCCACAGGCATCTCGATAGAATCAAGTCGTTCTGATAGATAGTCAACCCGAAATTGGATGTCTCCTAGCAGTAAAAGGTTTCTATTGGCATCTTCATCGTATTAGCAAAGTCAGATACCATTAGTTGATTTGGAATAGGGTACAAACGCAAGGTCTCGATAAACGATAAAGCACCACCGAAAGGTCCGTCCATCGCAAAATCTGCCCTACCATCCCATTCATTTAAGAGAACCGCCCGCGCCCAATCTAGGAGGACAGTCGGGACACGGGTTTCGTGTAGGAGACGTTCAGGATGTGGAAAGTCGAGGATCGATGCTGAACCCGTGCTGAGGAAATCAAGTTGGTCCACTAAAGGTTGAAGAACGTCATTCTGAATATTTGTTAAGTCGTCTAAACAATCGCGAGATTGTGCATGGTTGGCAAAAAGGCGTCTAGTTGTGACAGCACAGAATAGCCTCCGTGCCAGCCTGATAGTCAAGTCGTTTGAGAAAGCATCGTCGTAGTCAAGACAGCGGGACGAAGATTGCCGGGCTATTGTGCTGCCCCCGGCAAGTGTTAGTCCATTAGAACGAACACGAGACATTTCATATAGCGTCCGTGAATCAGGGACAGCTGGCGCAGCAGCAACCAAAGCATGCATGCAGATAGACACCAGAAAGCCCGCATCACGATCGGAAAGGGATTTGGTGTGCTTTTGAGGCTTAGATCCGCTATCTCCCTGGGAAGAGATATTTGACTTAAGGTCCGGTGGAGGAACAAACAGACGGCCTGCCGCCAACCACAAACTGTGGAAGACCAGGCTAGAAGCGACACGACTTAAGCGATGGAAGCAGTACCACAGAGTTTGAGAATCATACAGTTCCTGCTCGTGGGTAAAAGATTGCACAACAGCCAGTGGATCGGCAAGGACGTTGAAGAGTGTTTGCTCATTGAAACGAAGCCATTGCTTTCGAGATCTAGCTGTACGTAACATTGACCGACGACAAAGCGGCTTTCGTTTACCAGAAGGTTTGGGGTATGGATTGTTCTTTTCATAGGTGGAATGGAAAACGGCTTCGGAGGTACCGTCTTCCTCATATACATCGCATATGAAATCAATCAGATTGACGTCGAGCCGCAGGAGAGCTTGAGGTAAGATACTGTCCAGACTGGAAACTTCGTCAGCCTGCGCCTCGGACGACCTTGTCTCTTGTAAGGCGCGATCATTCTTGATATGACCGTTGCCCAAATGATTATCCCTCTCGCCTTCACTCGATAGTTCGCCAGGTGAGACGGGGAGTGGGCTTATCGACTGCCTAAGCTGTGCTGGCGTTTTCGTGACATTTTCGAAGAAACCTGGTTTTAGAGGCACTTCTGGTATGCCTCGACCGGGCGAATTCTTACTGCTCTTTGGTCGTAAAGATTTATCGCGCAAGGAGTTGTGCACTTGGGAAACTTTAACAGCTTTATTTCCTTCTTCGCTTTTGGCGATATTCTGTGGCTCTGCAGAACCCTTCCTTGCTTTGGGCATGGCACTGTTCCGGGGTTTAGGTGACGGACCATTCCTTGCCCCTGAGGGTTTTGCCTTGCAATAATGATCATTCAGCTCGGGCTTATGTGGCTGGTAATTTGAATTGGTCGAACGAGTCGCATTCGATTCGGAAGGGGAGGCGTCATCAATGTTTGAGCCCGTGGAGGTATCAGTCAACGTGGGCTTCTGTGAAGCTTTAGACTCCACGGCGGATGTGCTTAAACGAGCCACCTCAAGGTCACTGATCTTTTCCGACATTGCCGCCACACTCTTGGGTGTCAGCCATTCAAGCATTTTGAAAGTCACGGTCCCGAAGAGATTGGCGGCGAACGAGCGATGGTCTTTGCTCGTGGAACTTTCGACGACCCGCATCTGGGTACTTGAATCACCGCTATCGGAATAATGCAAACTCTTTGTTGTGTGTTTGTTGCCAGCATGGATCAGAGAAGCCGTATGGCCAGTAGTGGGAGATACTACATCTTGGGACGATGAGGAGGACGACCGTGGTCTTGAAAGGCGTTCCTTGTGCATGGCAGGTGATGTGGCAACGGTAGGCCTCTTAGAATCGGGATGCGATGGTGAAGGCTGTCGCGTGGAGAAAATTAAATTACCAAGAGCTGCTGGCGGATCTTGAGATTTGCGAAGAAACGGACATAGTCCTTTTTCTGGATTGTCCTGGCTTGCCAAATAGACTGCTAAGGTCCTAGCGCTCGTCGTGTTATATCTTCGGATAGGGGCCTTGCCTGCCAAGCGGCGTCTGAATGTGAAGCATGATGGCGTGGCACAATTGACATTTTCGCAGCCGGATCGAAGTTGGAGGATATATCTGCTCGAAGGATTAGGCCTTGAATGCTATGACAAGAGACTGTGACATTGAGAAATACCTCTCTACCAAAAGTTGAAACCCATGCCGGCGACTTGCTTGATGTATTGCATAAACACGCGCTGGATTTCCAACATTCTGTACACAAGCTTTAAGCTCAGGCGGTGCGTCAGGCGGCAGACGGGGGAAAGACGCTTCTTGCCATAAGCCTGCAAGAAGATCTAAATCAACTGAAAACTCGGCAGACGGGTCCCGAGGACGAGTGGAATCGGGCGTCATGACATGGAGTAGACTATTTGGTCGCGCCTCGATAGGGAGCTACAGGATACGTGTAGTAAGGATAGTAAATGCTATATAGTCAAACAGAGTATTATCAGTTGATCGAAAGGCGCAATCAAGCGGTCGAGTATAACGGACGAAATCGGTGTCTAGGGACGATTGTAAAAGCGATGCTGGTCTCTGGAGTTTGGAGTTGGGAAATCTGGCGAAGTTGATTGATGCTTGAGGGACCCGTTGGTCAGCCTCGCGAAGCAGTCAATGATGCGCCACTAACAACAACCTGCAGTCGCAAGCGCAAACATGGGACACAAGCAAGTGCCAATTTGAGCGGAGCTTACAGGGCCAATTAGGGATTTAGCGGGCTACTCCACCATCCTTGTTAGGGTGCGAGAGATCTAAGATGCATGCATTCGTACTAACTCGTAGTTTGCGCCCAGAAATGTTTGATATGGGAAGTTAGGTAATAATCATAGGGAGAGAGTTTTCATACTCTAATGGTTGTATATTAATGCAATATATTGCGATCTGTAATCACTGAACTAAAAGTAGGACGGTTCTCTTCCAGAAAGCCGGATTTTGCTGAAGCCATGGCAAGGCCGAGACGTCCCACCACCAGGAGTGACTCAGCCAAGGGGTCTGGAACCCTTGCGTGGCGGGGTTCGGGGCAAAAGAAAAGTCAGTCATCCATCTCGCTGATAACCTTTTCTGTGTGACGTTATCAATGTAGCCCCGCCATATCCCACCAACTCGACTTCAAATTTCCTTTCACATTTGCAACCGTTGTCCAGCACAATTTGCGAATTTGAAGCAAAACTTCTTGCTACCCGAGCATCCAGGTGATTTCTTCTATACCCGTACTCTCTACTACGAACACTACATCTCCGATTTCCACTATGGCGAGTGTCCAGGCGGCGGGTGCTGCCTCGCACCCATACACCTGCAATACTTGTCAAGTTGCATACCGCAACATTGACCTGCAAAAGGGTCACATGAAGAGTGACTGGCAGTAAGTTCATATGCCTGGCAAACCTGTCCATTACTATGTATGCTAACAATATGGAAGTCGATACAATCTCAAGCGTCGAGTCGCCTCTTTACCCCCCATTTCCGCCGATGTCTTCACCGAAAAGGTTCTGCAAGCCAGGGCCGTGTCAACCGCAGAAGCTGATAAGGCTTATTTTGAACGTGCATGCGATATCTGTGAGAAAACGTATTACAGCGAGAACGCCTTCCAAAACCATCTTACAAGCCAGAAGCACAAGGCGAAGCAGGCCAGCAGTGGGCAGCCTACCTCTGGCCGCGCTGATGATGAGACCACGTCCGTCGTTAGCTCGACCTTCTCCCTTGGAGAACCTATCGCACCCAGTCAAGGAGAAGTGGACTCAGACGCCGAAGAAGAGTTCAGCCATGTTGTCGAAGGTCTTCAGAAGGCAAGCATCACAGAACAAAGACCATCACCTGTCAAAAGACCTTCGCATCCTCAACCAGCAGTCGAAGATGCGGCAGAAGAGGATGCCGCAGCAACTCGTGAATCCGACTCAGCCACCCCTGTCCCCGCCGCACAAGAACCCAACTGGACACTTGAGTCTTGTTTGTTCTGCAATTATTCGTCTCCCACTGTTCCTCTGAACACACATCATATGGAAAGATTCCATGGCATGTTTATCCCGGAAAAGAAGTACTTGGTGGATATTGATGGCTTGCTCCAACAGCTACAGGACAAGATCCGACAACACCATCAGTGCTTGTACTGTGATAAGATAAAATCCAGCATGTTCGGAATCCAAACACACATGCGTGACACAGGCCATTGCAAGATCCCCTATGAGACTGAGAGGGAGCAGCTTCGAATTGGAGACTTCTACGACTTCCGAAGTACCTATTCTGATGACGATGAAATGAGCGACGATGGTTCCGTCGCCAATGAGGAGAATGGCGGTGCTAAGCTCGGAGCACGCCGCTCTGCTAAGCTTACCAGAATGGACGGAGCAGACATGGAAGGCGAAGGCGCTGACGGCTGGGAGACAGACAGCTCAGCCTCGTCACTGGACTCTGAGGATCTGACTGCTGTCCCTGCGGAGGGTCACATTCACCAATTCGAGCGACTTGACAAGCACCCGCATCACTCGAGTCAGGACCCAAGACAAAGACATCAAGCCGATGGCTGGCACTCTCATGCCCACAAGCCTACCCGCGCCGTCTTCTATGATGATTACGAGCTACATCTGCCTACAGGCAAGTCTGTTGGCCATCGTTCATTGAACAAGTACTTCCGCCAGAACCTGCACAACCATCCTTCCGCAGAGGAGCGGGCAGAACGTCTTGCTATCGAGGAAGCCAACGGAGACCAGGAAGAATCAACATCGGATGGTCAGCTGGTGCAGACAGGCCCTCGGTCTCGGGAGATGGTACCGCGAGGAATGGCAGGCATGGCTGGTGCGCCAGAGCAACAAAAGAGGCGAGCTCGCAGAGCAGAGGAGAGAGGACGAACCTTGGAACAGGTTCATTCCAAGCAGAAGGATCTGGCATATGGAAAGAAGTTCAACAATCACAAGAACTACTACTACCGCGAGCAGGGTGGTGGTTAGATGGATAGTCTATTTTCTAATGATTTCAGTTCCATAAAGATAGTTAAAATACAAAAATAAATTTAGTTTAAGTTACTAGGAAATGGCTTACTACCTACAGGCTTAAGTAGTTATACTGTCCCCTTTAAAAAGGGGGTGTAAAATAAGGATATAGTAAGACACTTATTATACTAGCTATATAAAAAATAGTAGTCCTTACTAGTTATAGAAGGTAACTAGAAGTTATAATATATAATTAACTTTATTTGATTATTTTAAAACTTTATATAAAAAGCTAGATAAATAATATAAAGCTATATTAAAGTTAGTTACGTTTTGAACTTAAAAACTTATAAAAAAGAGATTCTTTTAAAATATAAACTATTTTAACTATAATTATATATAATTAGAAATATATATATATATAGTAAAGTATAAATAGATAATATAATATAGCTTTTATATAAAAGATATAACTTTTAAAAACTAAAATATACTACTTATTAACTCGAGCCGAGGGGGGGCTAACTAAGTAAGGTTAGTTAGGTATATAATCTTATAATAAGTATATTAATTAGAGATAAAAAAAGAGAGGGATTTATTTTAATAAATATTATATCCTTAATTATTATATATAAAGATTAGTAGTAAGTATAAAAGGACTGGTTTTAGAATCCTTATTTAATATAGATTTCTAATAGAATATTATAAGAATTTAAATTTTAGGTATAACTATTTATTTTTACTTTTAAAGTATTCTTTAAATATTTTATTATAAATATTTATAAAAATACTATATTAATATAGTCTTAGAATCTAATTTTCGAAAAAATATATATATAAAAACCTTATTTTAAACTTTTATATTTATATTTATTTTATCTCGGTTATATTACTATTAAATTACTATTAATTACCTTTTATTTTATTTAGTTACTATAGGAAGGGGTTATTAAATTATATAATCTCAGTTAATTAATTATAGTAGTTTCTTTTCTTAAACCGAAGTAATTTAATTTATCTTTTTAGGATTTTTAACCTTCGGTAAAAAACTCTATTTTATATATATACATTTTCCTTTTATATCTCTGTATATTAAACCTTTAAAAGGCTATATTAATTAGTATAGCCTAGCTAATTAGCTATATAATCTATATCTTATAGCCTATTTTTATAGTATTAAGGAAGTCCTTTTTTCTATCTTTAGGGCCCTTATCCTTCCCTAGCTTATTAAGTAGATATATCTTCTTTTTAAATTAGTAATACTAACTATAAAAAAGGCCTAGGATCTTTAAGACCTTATAGCTAAAAGTAATAAAGTAATATATAAAAGCATTATAACCTTAAGTAAGGTGCCGGACCTATAGATATTCCGTTCTATAAAGGTCTAAGCTTAGTATATTTATAAAAGTAATACTAAGCTTAGGTCTTTTAAATAAAAATATACTTTTTAGAATACCCTTTACTTACCTTTATACCTAGTAATTAGTATTAAATAGTAATAATTACTTTATAATAATCTTTTTATTATTATTAAAATACATTTTTATTTTTAATTATATTATTAAAGTAATTAAAAGTATAACCTTTAGAGTAAACCTTATTATTTAATAAGCCTAACTATAAGTTTTTATCTTAATATAACCTTCTTTTAAATTTAATATAATATATTAAAAGTATTATTTTAATTATTTAAAATTATTTTATTTTTGTTTTTAATAAAGTATACCCTTAACTATTATAAATATATTATAATTTATTACCTAGCTAATTAACCTAATTAAATATATATATATTATAAAAAAGCCTAAAATAATATATAAAGACCTATAAAAAGTAAATTTAAACCCTAGCCTTTAGCTTTTTTAATATTTACCTAAGTTTCTATATATTATACCTTACTTTATAAATATATTTAGCTTTATTATTCTTTACTATATTTATATTATTATTAAAGGTATTATAAGATTTTTAATATTATATTTTTAATATATTTTATATCTTAAAAAGAAAAAAAGAACTTTCTTTTAATTATTTTTATATTTTATATTAAAAAAAGCCCTTTAATATATTAAAAGGTATAATACCTTATTATAAATATATCTTAGGTTTTTAGGTAATTAAACCTTAAGGTAATTTTATTAAAATAGTTTATTAAATTATTTTAATTTAATATAATATACCTTTATTATTAATTATCTATTTATAGATATCTTTTAATTTAGTTAGGATTACCTTTAATAAAGTAATTATAATTAAATTAATTCTTAAACTATTAAATTATTAAACCTTTTATTTTTAATAAAAAGATATTTATATTTATAATCTATAAAGCTATTATATTTTAACCTTTAATATAATAATATAAAAAATATTAAAGGCCTTAATTATAAATAAAGGCCTAACTTTAGGTAATAAAGGCTTTAACTATAAAGTTAAATTAAGCTATTAATAAGAAAGTTTATATTAATTTAAAGTAAAACCTATTAATAGATTACTATTATTATAAAATAACCTAAAGGCTATTAAATAAAGATTATAATTTAAATAATTAATAGAGAAATACGATATATAAATTAATTTTAAGATTATTACTATTTAGGATTTTAATATAATAATATAGATATATTTTTCTATATTAAGACTTACTAATTTTAATAAAACTCCTTAAGAATTACTAATTAATCTTTAAGTAAAGATATTATATTATTAATATATAGATTAATAGAGAATAGTAATTATTAAATATTTTTTATTTAAACCTATTAATAGCTATAATATAATAATTCTTATTACTATTTAATATCTATATAATATTTTCTAATTACCTCTTTTTTTTATTTTAAATAATATAAAAGATAATTAGATAGGTAAAAAAGATATATAAAACTATTAATAATAAGAGAATGTAATATTTATTAATTAATTAATTAATAATAGCTTTAAGAAGATTAAAAAGGAGTTATTAAGGCTATTTAATTTTAAGAATGCTAATAATATAAATAACTATAGTTTAATTACCTTAAATAACAGGAAGGTTATTTATATTAATATATATATATTTTATAAATATATATTATTATTTAAATATTATAGTAGTTTTACTTTAATTATGTATTACCTTAATATATTAACTAGTAATATAAATACCTAGCTTATATTTAAGCTTAATTTTAATACTTAGTATAATATCCTTATTATATTTATTAATAAGTTTTATTAAATTATTATTAAGTAATTTAAATAAATTAAAGTAAAGTTAATTAAGGAATTATATTAAGCTTATTATATTTCCTATTTTATATAAAATAGTATTATTTTTATTTAATAGGCTTAAAGAAAGGTAAGAAATATTAAGTAATTAGGCTATAAAAAGTCTTTTATTATTTATATACTTTTTAATTTTATTAACCTAAAGATTTTATAATTTCTTATTTATTTTAATAATAATATTAAGCTAATTAACTTTATTAAATAATATAAAGATTAATATATTACTATTAAGATTATTATTAATTAATTATTTTATAGTAACTTTTTTAATAATTACTTATAAAAGAATTAACCTTTAAGATAGAAAGATTAAAAAGATAATTAAAGAAATAGTAAATATTAATAAAATAACTATAATTAATAAAATAATAAATATTAATTCTATAATACTAATTAATAATAAGACTTATTATATAATAACTAAGATAATTAATATTATAATAAGTATAATAAATATAAAAAAGATAATATTAAAAGGTAATTATATACCTTTTAAGATAATTAATAATATTTTTAATTATAAAAAGGTAATTATATTTATAAAAAGGAAGTTAAAGATAAGAAAGTATACTTTAAGAAAATATATTTTATTCTATAAGATAATAAAGATATTAATAATATTAATAAAGGGGAAAAGTCTAAAAGATAATATTTTATTACTTTATATAATTTCTAAGATATTTATTTTATAACCTTTATTAAAAGACTATTTATTAATTTATATAAATAAAATATTATTAATATTTTATTTTCTTATTTTTATAAAAGATATTATTAATCTTTCCTTAGCTAGGCTATTTTTTAAGAGTTTAGTAAGGTAAAGATATATATAAGGCCTTAAGATCTAAAAATCGAGGAGTTTATATCTGAAAAAATTAAATAATATACTTAATATTATTATAACTTTTTATTTTAAAATAAGCTATATAAATATATTAAGTTAGAATATAATTTTATTATAATTAAATAAAATAATATTCTTTTTAAAATTAAAAATAAAATAATAATTAATAATTAATAGTTTTATTAACCCTTACCTTAGTAAATTAATAATAATTTTATATATTTAAGATTTAAGGTTAAGTCTATTTATAATAGCCTTTTAATTATAATCTATATTAATATAGACTATAATAAACCTATTATAAATAAATAATAACTTTAATAGTTATTATATTTTATTAAAAAGACTATTTCTATTTATATTTAAGAAGTAAATAATATAATTAGTAAACCTTATAATAAATAGGCTATTTTTACCTTTTATATTAATAGTATATATATAGATAGATTTAATATAGGTATTATTAAGTTTATTTATAAAGCTTAGATTTAAAATAAGGAATCCTTTTTTATATTAATAACCTTATTAAGTAATACCTAAATAGTTTTATATAATATTAATATTATAAATACTAAATAATAACTTAATTATTAAAGTCTTCCTAACTTTTATATTCCCTTTAAGGTAATTTAAATTAAATAAAAGGTATTATAATAAATTATAGTTACTTAACTAATTATAGTTTTTATTAATAAAATATATATTATATTAATAACTTAAAAAAAGATTTTAATAGATTAAACCTTTATATTTTATAATTTAGTTAATAAAGCTAGTAATAAATTAGTAAGTTAAAAAACCTTATTGAATATTATTATTATAAATCATATTAGTAAAGATATATAGTACTATATTAAATTAGAAATTAACAAAATTAAAGATATAATAAAGATAAGATTTATTA